CCCCCCCCACCCAATCCTTCCCCTTCCTTCACGGAAGGCGCTTGCGATCCGGCAGCGCATACCATGCGACCCCGCCTGGCCTATCGCAGTCGTTTCCATCCTTGGAGGAAACGCCTTGCGCGGAGCCTGCCGGGCCGCCGCGGGCAGAAACTGACCGCGCGGGCGATGCACGCCTCGAACCGGCCGGGACTCTGCAGGCTAGCACGATGCCAGGCGCCGCATTTTCCGCGCGGCGCTGCTATTTTCGGCAGGCGCGAAGGATGTCCATCGGCGCGGGGCCGTTGGGCGGTGGCCGGTGGCTTTTCTAAGCATACCACGCAGACGCCTGTGGTTATTGCAGTCGAATTTGGCCCGGTGCGGTTGCTCATGACGCGTTCGTGCGCCCGGAGGCCGCGCCGGCCCGATAGATTCGCGCACCGCAATCCGAATCACGGAGCAGCATCGCCTTGCGGGTTCTTGCGCCCCGCTTCTCCCCCGGCGGCGGCCGAGGAGGAACCGCGGAGGCCGGGCAGCCATACTTATGCCCCCCCCCCGCCGCGCGGCGCCGCTGCTTCCGTCGTACCATTCCCGGGGAAGAACGCGGCCCCCACCCCCCGGGACTCCGCGCTGCGAAATTACCCCGGCGGGGGGGGCTATCGGGCCGCCTCCGCGCTCCTGAAGCCCCAAGCCCCGCTTAGCCCGCAGCGCGAAAAGTCTCCGAGGGCGCCAAAGCGCCGCGCGCAAAATAGCCGCATCGCACCTAGATGAATGAGGTCGGAGGGCTCGCCACGCTCGCGCGGGGTTTGCGGTTCTACGGTCCAACCCGGCCCGGTGCGATTCGTTCACGCCCGCCCGGATCGCTGTTTGCATTCTACCACCGCGCAGGGTACAGCCATTGTGTGTGTTACTTCTCTAGTGCTGGCGCTGCCGATGGCGGGTGCTTGTCGATGGATTCTCATGCTGGTTCTGGTCGTTAGTTTGGGTCTTTTGGGGGTCCTATTGTGTTGCGTGTGCCTATCTACTACCCCGTGCTGATATTAGTTGCTCATCCGGTGTGTCGTTCGGGGAGGCTGTGTAGTTCTTCCCTCCTTCCCACACCAGATCTCACATATTTACCAAAGCAAACCAGAGACGCGCTTCACCAGAGCCTGACGTTTCCTGTTTGCGCGCAGTGGGAACATCATATTTGAAACATTTGTTTGACGGTAGTGGAGCAAGGAAATATTGTCGCAACGCTGCGCCGCACGAGCCAATTCTTCTGGTGCGTCGGATCAAGCTGCGCTCGCAGCTCCATCGCAGCGCACGGCAAAACCGATCTAGTCCAGATCAGGACTCTTGCAAAGATTTCTGCAGATGCGTTCCTGCTGACACTGTCGTAACGGATCGTCCAGGATTTTTTGCTTTTCGAACAGCATTGCCGAGTAGTATGAGACAGTAAAGAGCAGTGACTCTTCGTCGGAGAGAAAAAAGTCAAGACTTTCGATGTCTTGCCCAAAATGCCGTAGTACTTACGACAAACGTCGAGAAAGTTCTTGTGTGGAAGAAGAGTAGAACTTCTGATTTTAGAACGACCAGCAAGAAGCAAAAGCGTCGTGATGCATTCCGTTGTCGACAAATTTTTTCCGTTGTTAGTACGAGCGACCGCCATGTTCGGAGGCACATCAAAAACTGCTAGTGATAGACAAACGAAAGTAGAGATTGCAAAGCCGTTTTTTGTTTGCGCGATGTTTGACAGTCCACTTAAATAAACCTGAAGAATTCATCATTGTTCAACAGTCGATCTCTAGGGAAAGTAAGTAAGTAGCAACTACGGGCGTAGAAGCGAAAAGGAGTAGTGCTGCAGTGCGAGGAGCGCGGCATCGGCAAAGTCGCCGTCGCCGTGCTGCTCTGCTGCGCAAGATTATAGGCACGTCTCCGTGCACAAAGTATCATGCTGTGGTACGAGTTTTTTACTTCGCAACGTAACTTGATGACCTTCTCGACGCGCTTCGGGTTGTAGTGACTTTCCGACCGACACCTCCGAAGTTTTTTTTTGATACTAACTTGCCGAAAAGATTATACCAACTCGTTGTACATCTGAAATCTATACCAGAAGGACAAAATGCACATTAAGCAGGTGCAGATAAAGGGCTTCAAGTCCTACGCCACGGAGGTAACCGTGGGTCCGTTCGACACCCAGTTTAACGCGATCACCGGGCTGAATGGCACCGGGAAGAGCAACATTCTGGACTCCATCTGCTTCGTGCTGGGGATCACGACGCTGAGCGCCGTGCGCGCGTCCAAGCTGGAGGAGCTGGTTTACAAGCAGGGGCAGGCGGGCGTGACCAAGTGTCAGGTGACGATATGGTTCGACAACACCAACAAGGCGACGAGCCCCGTGGGTTACGAGAAACACAACGAGATTTCGGTGATTATGGCGGTGCTGAAACGCTACATTCTCAACTGTTACGTGAATTCGTGACGCAAGAATAGCAAAAGTGAAAGGGATGGCTTTGCGCTTCTTGCATTTTTACAACGTTCCTGACACGGATTGTTCGAATGCTAAATTTAGTGTGTGAAGATGAAGTTGTGATGCGAAGGAGCTTGGTCGTGTAAACTGTGATGGTGATCTTGCATGACAAATCACGTAACAGTTGAGAGCGTAGCGTTTGGGCATCCCATAGTGAGCCGGCTGATAGTGATCGGGGGGAAGAACAAATACCTGATCAACAACAAAAACGTGCATATCATACAGAAAAAAGCAGGCAGGGCATGTTTGTAAATGCAAAAAATATCAACTGCGCAGAAAAATCTGTCACAAGCGAGCCCATAGAACGCGGCTTCGGGTACACAAAGCAGACACTTTTGTGTTGTAGTTATTTTTGCAGTAGATATATGTCCTGCGTGCTTTTTTCTGTGGGATAGTGCAGCATCAGCAGGTGGCCAACATGTTCCACAGCGTGCAGCTGAACGTGAACAACCCCCACTTTCTGATCATGCAGGGGAAAATCACCAAGGTAATCAACATGAAGGCGAAGGAAACGCTGTTATCACACAGAAAAAAACTGGCAGGTCATATTTGTAATGCAAAAATAAGCACACAAGAAAACTTGTATTGCATACCCGGAATAGCATGCTACGAGGTCGCCCATGACAGATTTTTGTGTGTATTCATTTTTGCATTACAAATATGCCCTGCCAGCTTTTTTCTGTGGGATAGCTGTCAATGATTGAGGAAGCCGCGGGCACGAAGATGTACGAGATGAAGCGGGCAGCCGCACAGAGACGGCTGGAGCAGCGGGCTTCCAAGATGGAGGAGATTCAGCGCATACTCTCCAATGAAATCGAACCGACGATCAACAAACTGGAGAAGTAGGAAAGGGAAAAGCGCAGCAGCCTCGCGTCGACCCCCAGAACTGGGAAATAGTTCTCATGCAAAGTAGATACCAATGTGGTTGGAGAGCTTTATTCTCGTGTAAAAGGACTTTCAGTCATCTTGCTGAGCCAACGTGTCGGCGTTCATCACAGCATGTGTTGTTATTCGACAAACTCTGCGACTACTCCGTTTTTTTTGCATAGCATATCGCATGAAAGATTTGTGTTGCTTGAATTTTGGTAATGCAAGATGGAGAAACGTTAACGTTCTAGTGGGATGGGACTTGTGCCAGTTCTGGTGGCGGGGCGCTTTTCATTTTGATAAGAAGGAGAAAGAGGCCTACATGGAGTGGTCTCGGTGTAGCTCCGAGCTTACCACCATAAGCAAGTTCGTGATCGCACTATCAAATGCAACTAAGTATGGGTCCTCTGGAAGATTTTTGGGAATTTTCCATATTGATCGTACATGTTCATCCGCGATGTCTGTGATGCATTCATTCTCTAGTGTCACAGCTTTTGCGAAGGCTGCGTCATGCCTATCCTGCACGAAATTCGCCCTCTCGTCCGGGTGGCAAAGGTCTGAGCTCGTCCGGGATACACGATCGAATAAAAAAGTTAGCATCTTCACTTTCCAGACCTAGCCATATTTGCATTGGATACGCACACGATTACTACGAGTTCACCAAGCAGTCGGAGGAGAAGGCGCAAGCGGTGATTGACGCCAAACAAGGGGAAAGCGACCTGATCGTGGCAAACGAAGAGCTGAAAAGAAACGTTGAGGACTGGTATGCAATCGAAAATTTTGTTTTCCCCCAGCACGTCAAGGATCATGAAAAAAAAGCGAACTCCATTTTTTTATTGATTTCTGCATCATGATTTGACGATGTTAATGTTCGTGTCCGGTCAAGGTGCAGATTTCTCGTAGTAAGTTGCAAGCAGTAGGAGCTTCAGAAAACGTGGAAAGTATGTTGCACGAGAACTACCGAAGTAAACTTTACTTCGGTAGTTCTCGTGCACTATCCTGCAAGGAGGTGGAGAAAAAGAAATTTTGATTGCATAAGTGGGAATTGCAACTGAAAGAGAAGGAGCAGGAGGACGCGGCGACGGAAAGCAACGCGGAAAAGAGAGTAGCCAAGACGCGAAAAACCGAGCTGCAAGCGCAGAACACCAGTCGCGAGAAGAAGATAAAAGGCACCAACAAAGCCCTGGAGGAAAGCATGAAGAGCGGCCAGGACGCGACAAAGCAGCTCGAGGACGCCCAGGTGAGAATCGACTTCAGACTTGTCTCTTGCGGATAACTTGACACTTGTAAGTAGTGCCCTGACACCAGTTCTTACTCGCTCACTTAGAAGAGCGAGCACGCATCTTGAAGATTTCTCTCTTTTTCAGTATCGCTGGTACCTCTGTCTCCTGCTGCCCTATTGCGTAGGGACGGAACTACTCAGGATTTTTTCTTATCTTCTACTTTCTTGCGAAGGAACGAATAGCGCATGGGTAACATCATCATCATCAACGAATAAAGATTTTCCGTAATCAAAACCAACGTCGCAGGCTGCCGTGGACAAAGCAAAAGCAGATTGGGACAAGGCAAAAGCCGACGCCGAGCAGGCCCGGGAGCAGTCGGAGACTTTCACGAAAGAAATCGACGAACTGAAGAAAAAGATGCAGCAGCTGGAGGCGGGCGTGTCCGCCAACGCGGATAGCGGGGAAACGCTGCAGCAACAGATTTTGGACACCCAAAAGCTGGTCATGGAGTTGCAGACGGAGGCCAAGAAAGCGAGAGCCAACCAGGCTGCGGCGGAAAAGGAGATTCCAATATCAAATGGAACAATGTCTGGGTCTGGAAGGATGCAACTTGTGATGCTGAATTTGGATTCTACAAAAATCTGTATTGCGTGAACAGCAAAAGAGGTTCAGTTTCTGCCACGGCGAGAGGGCATTTCTCGTGCGGTGTGGGCATCAGCAAGCCCTCACAAAATCTGTGATGCTAGAGCATGCGTCACAGACTTCAGGAGTCATGCGAAGTGTGCATGACAAACCTTGCATCCCTCCAGACCCAGACATTTTTGCATTTGATATCCGAACGTGGAAAACCAAATGAAAAAATGGAAGATGTGAGAGTGCACAACTCCCCCTCCCCCTCATTTGTCATGCAAAATACCAAGTCCACTCCTTGCACTTTGGGAATGTTAGCGTGACGACTTCTGGTAGCCCAAATAGCACTACACTACAGTGTAAATTTGTCATGCAAAACCGGCACTCTTGCTCTTGCTTGTTATGCCGTTCATGCTATACAAATGAGGGGGAGGGGGAATTGTGCACTGTCATAAAAGAAGCAATTGAGTCAAGAGCTGGATGAGCTGAAGATAAGAGAAGCAGAGGCTGAAGCGGTGAAACAAAAACTGCAAAAGTACGACGGGACTCCGGACAAGTATAGATTATGTTCGTAATACATGTTTTAGTTTTTGCCACTACCAGATGCAAAGGAAGCGCTTCGGGTGGGTATGTATCACGACATCAGGAGGAGCAAACATTTTTTGGTTGGGTCGGGTCTGCATGTGCCTAGAGGTCGTGCGCATAGGTATTTTGCAAAAAAAAATGTGCGTTCTGCTTTGCATTATAGTGATCCGCCGCCCCGTGGCCGTTTGTGGACGGCCCTCCTCGTCATGTTTCGCGGCCGTTTTGATGCTGCAGATCTGGGTGTAGAATTATCGTGCTTGTTGTGATTCAAAGGGACTTCTAAAGTACTATGTAACTCCCAAACTCCTGGCAGGATCGCGCAGGAATATCAGCGGCTGAGGGAGCTGAAAAACGAGCTGTCGAAGCTGGAGGAGGTATCACACAGAAAAAAGCTGGCAGGGCATATTTGTAATGCAAAAATAAATACACGCAAAAACTTGCCATGGGTGGCCCCATAGTTAGCATGCTGCTTCCGATATGCAAGACAGGTTTTTTTGTGTATTTATTTTTGCATTACAAATGTGCCCTGCCAGCTTTTTTCTGTGTGATAGGAGGCGAAAACCAAGGTGGAGCAGAACAGCTCCGTGTCTTATGCGGCCCTACAATCCAGACTGGAAAAATACAATTTCATCCACTCTCGGAAGAAATGGCTGGAGCGGTACCCACCCAACGCGCCGCGAAATTGGGACCCGAGCAAGGCGGTCCAGGGGTCGCTGGCCTCGCTCATCGAGATCAAGCCGGATTACGCAGAGTACTTCCATGCGTTGGAGGTCGCCGGGGGCGGCGGTCTGTTTCGCATCGTCACGGACACGACGGCTACCGCGAAGCTGATGTGCCAGAAGGGGGTGACTGCCGGGCGAGAGACCTACTTGCCACTGGATCACACGACGGGGCAGGGGATTTCCCGGCAAAAGGTGGACCGGGCCCGACAAATCGCAAACGCACTCCGACCGGGGGCGACCGTGCTGCGAGCCGTTGATGCCATTCGTGCCCCCCCGCAACTGCAGCAAGCGGTGGAGAACGTCTTCGGACCATACTTGCTTGTCGACAGTAGGGATGTAGCCCAAAAAATCTGTTTCGACCCCAGCGTGAGAACTGCGGTGGTCACCAAGGTATGAAGATTTTTTTTTCGCATGAGAGCACATACACTCATTGGAAGATGAATGTGTAGTTGAGAGGACTGCAAATTAATCATACCTGCTGGCGTCGATGGAGTATAAAGTTGCAAACAGGACGATGAACACCTTCCTGAACTACACTACAGGACGGAGATTCGTACAATCCAAGTGGGACGATGGCGGGCGGTTTATCAAATGCGGATATGTCTGGGTCTGGAAAGATGCAGATGTTTGTCATGCAGAATTTTCATGTCCCGTGATGCCAGGAATAGGAATACAGGGTCTAACATCACACGTTCAGCAGGATGCTTTGTGCGATGTTTATCCTGCATACATGGCCCAAAATGGGTATTTTTCCTCGTCTTGCCCGATAGATTTTGCGGGACGGGCACCGAGTTTTACTTCCAGACCCAGACATACTTGCCTTTGATGCGGCTCGAAGGACAACAATAAGCTAGAGAACAGCTCTCCGGCCGTTTTTTTTTTCTAGAAAAAGTCATGCTCGAGGAAAGGAAGGCACCCGCACCAGCAAGGAAGTTTCGCGACATTATGACTTTTTGTGTCGAGGTAATGTGGCATGTCACGTCCTTAGCTTCCCTACGAGCAGAAGGAGACCGCAACGACATCGCTCAGTTAGCAGAACTGAATACGTCTTTCGGATGGTTGCACAGAGCGTAGTCTTCGGCACACACGGCATGAACGAAAATAACCAAAGAACTCACGTTCTTTTTCATCTTGAAACGGCAGAGGGGATCTTCTTGCATTGCATAAAGAACAGTGGCCATTTCAAAGTGTACAAGACACAGTGGCAGCCTAAGGAAGCGTCTACAGAGGGGAATTTTTTTTGCAAACTGGAGATAATGAAACGCCGTGCTGATCTGTATGACTCTGCGAGACTCGTAGCGATTCTCTTTTAGTAAGCCAAATCGTGATGTACTGAAGTACAAACGTTGGTATACAGCAAAAATAAAAGCTAAGCATTCTATTTGTGGTCTCTTTGGAGAACGCAACTCGCAGCTAGATAGCATCCCTATACTTCATGTACCGAAAAATGCATGGTATCGTAATTGTTTAGTTTGCGCGAAAAATTCCAACGCGTGAGAATGTCATACCCTCCCTGGCGAAGAAACATCACGAGTGCTCTGCCGAGAAGAAGAAAAGCGAGGAAAAGCTCGCGGAATTAAAACATTATGAGAGTGCACTAGCCCCTTTCTCCCTCATTTGCCATGCAAAGCGCCACGCCTGCGTGAAACTGTAACTGCAGCAGCGCAGGAGCAGGTCCTCCACTCCTTTTCTCATGCAGAGCACGACCAAATGAATATCATTATCATCTTCTTTTCTCGTTGTCCCAGAAAGTAGCCAACAAAGAAATCTCTTGGTATGCGGAACATTGGCGCACAGCACGGCCGTTTATGCCATGCAGCAGCTACGTTTGTGGTGGAGGTCTTCGTTTTGTTCAACTCTCTGCTGTACAGGCCTTTGAAAGAGGGTTAGAAGGAGTTTTGCACCCGCATAAGACGATGGACCACAAGGAGATCCAACCGCATATCGCAGAGAAAAACTTACGGCATCACGGGAGTCCTCGCACGGGAGCAGCAACGAGGTTGTCGTCCTTGGTTTTGCCCGCTTGGTGCAAAATAAAGAGGTACAGCCTCAAGTTCGCGTGTAAATGTGCAAACGCTTGCATGATAGAAAACGGCGATCTAATTTGCATTATTTGTGGAACGCCGCGCGCCCACCGTTATGCAAATGGTTTTTCGCTGGATATCCCTGTTACTGGAGCTGCAAGGCATCCACGAGAAGATAGAGAATTGGAAGAAAATATCAACTGAAGAAGCGCCCGCATAGCATGAGTAGTTTGAGCAGCAGCTACGGTATAGATATAATACAAGTTCTTCTTGTGGTTGGCGCATCGAAAGCCAGCGCCGTCGGAAAATCTTCGAGGAAGCTGCGCATCCTAGGATGTCCCTTCTTTAATATGCCGCTGCTTTTTTGTAATGTCGCTTTAGAACTATGGTATGCGGGTGATTTTCAACTTGATACAGACTAAACGGAGAATCGCATGCCGCTCAGTGTAGGGAGCGTTTGGAAGGTAAGAAGCCTGATTTGATGAATGGAATTTCGAAGGGAGTTTGACGCACGAATCCGTTTTCTAGCATCAATCGCTCTGTGCGTTGGAAGATCTTCCTGTCATGAATAGGAAAGCCAATAAATGCTCACGAAAAACACAAAAAACTGAATAAACCAGGCCTGAAAGCCGAGCGGGACACAGCAGTTGCGATTTTGGAAAAGTTTCCCGCCCGGCAGGAAGCCCTCCAATCGAAGTTGCAAAACTTGGAGACCGAACAGAGGGATCTGCACGCCGGACGCGACGAGCGGAAAGCGAGCTACGAAAAACAGGTGGCAGAATTGGACAAGAAGCGGAAGCCGCTCGACAAGGTGTCGAAGCAGAAGGATAGTGAGTGCGTCACGCTCGAAGGTACATACGAGTCGAAGGTGGAACAGCTCGAAAGTGTCCAAAAGAACGCGGGTCGCAAGGAGGCGGAGCTCGAAAAAATGCGAGCCGAAATCAAAGAAATGCAGGAGAAGACGGAGGAAGCGAACAAGGAGCTCGAAGCGCTGGAGGCCAAGCTGCAGGAGTGGGCCGACTTCGCGAAAGAGGTGCAGGCCGAGATTAAGGAGCTTCTGAAGAATATCAAGGACGGAAAAAAAAAGCGGAGTACTAACGACCAGAAAATCTACGAACTGAGGCTGAGGGTAAGTAAGTTTACTGAGGCTGCAGGTCGTTTCGCGCATTCTATTTTTTACATTACCTCGCACACAATGATGAATGTCTGTTGATCAAAAGTTGAAGTTCTCTTGGTCTGTGCGCTCAACTAAGAAACAATCGGAATACTTCAGTTCGTATCGAATGCGAATGTGTCTGGGTCTGGAAGATTGGAGGAGTTTGGTTGGTTGGTTGGTTGGATAGCGCCTGTTGCCGGTGCAGGTCCCGCCCTCCATCGATTGCGATCCGGAGTAGCCGGAACACAGGGCCCTAGTGGCGCAATCGATCGACGAAGCGCTTTTTGACGAGTTTGCAGCCGAGCAGGCTTTACATGGCCGGCGATGTCAGTCATGCATGCTCTTGCATCGCGCGCGTTTCATCGCGAAGGCGTGATCATGCCTATCCTGGATGAGAAATCAATGCCCCCTTCGGGTGGCAAAAGTCTGGATTCGTTGTATCTTTCGCTGCCCATTCAATACGGGTTTTCGCACCATCGGAAGCTAACGTCACGAACTCCGCCAATCTTTCCAGACCAAGACATTTGCCATGCATAGTTCGATCGGATGGAGATGGATGCGAAGAATATGAAGCACTACGTGGCCAAGATGAAGAAGCAGCACACCTGGTTTATGCAAGGCGTTGCAATTATGATCTCAACTGTCACAATCAAAACGGACATTTTTGCTGATGCAAGGAGTACGCAATCTGGGTCTGGGCTACTCTCAGAGGAATTAGACGCATGACGGCTTCTGGAGTTGTCCCAGTCTGCATCATAATTATCCGGGGAAATTTGTATATCCAAAAAGTAGTGCGCCCGGTGGTCTGTCTCTGTCGTGCAAGATTCTGAATCCAGATTTTTCCATTGTAACGTGTGAGATTGTAACACCTGAGCCGGGTTATATGGTTGAAGAAAGACGAGCATAAATTCAACGAGCCCAACGGGGACTACGACTTCGAGAATAAAGATATTAAAGCGATCAGACGCAAGCAAAACGAGCTCGAGGAAAGCATCCGGTCGCTCGGGAAAAACATCAACAAAAAGGTCCTGCAGCAGCACGAACAGGCCGAGGACGCGTACTTGTTAATTAGTATGATGCTTCAATACATTAGATAGATCGATAAAACTTTTCTGTTTAGAAAGGGCACAGGCAAGCGATAGCATATAAATTCAAAAATTGGAGTGGGTCCTCGTTCAACGTCCTCAGGAACCTCTCACCAGAATATATAAGAACCGGGCAGACGCTAAAAACAAATAACAAGCTTCATCGCGCCTTCTTCACATAATTCGCAGGTTTAAAGATTTGCAGGAGAAGCGTGCACAACTGGAGGAAGACAAACTGACGATTGACACGCTGTGCCGGAAGCTGGACAAGAAGAAGGAGCAGGCCGTGCGGCACTGCCACGAGTTCGTGACCGACATTTTCGGCAAAATCTTCAGCACGGTGCTCCCGGGGGCGGATGCGAAGCTGGCTATCCCGGAGGGCATGACGGAACAGGAGGGCCTGGAGATCCGGGTTGCCTTCGGGGGCGTGTGGAAGAAGAGTTTGATCGAGCTCTCGGGCGGGCAGCGGTCGCTGCTGTCCCTGTCTCTCATCCTCGCACTGCTGCGGTACAAGCCCGCCCCGGTCTACATCTTGGACGAGGTGGACGCGGCGTTGGACATGAGCCACACGCAGAACATCGGAAAAATGATCAAGGAGCAGTTTCCGGATTCCCAGTTCATCATCGTGTCGCTGAAGGAAGGGATGTTCACCAACGCGAATGTTCTCTTCCGCACCAAGTTTGTCGGCGGCGTCTCCCAGGTGGACCGAGAAGAAGGCGGGGCCGTGCAAGAGAAGAGGAAAAAAGAAGAGCAAAGACGCCGGGCAGCACTCGCAGCGGAGCAAGAAGAGGCGGAAGAGGATATCACACAGAAACTTCGACTTCTAGCCGATGACTTTTATGCCAGGTTCGTTACATACAGTTTGCATTGATGTTGAAGACATGTGAAGATGCGGATTCTTGTTCGCAGATTTTGTTATGCACATGTCATCAGGTTGTAGTGCGCTTTGGGATGGGAGTAAGGCGTACTGCATTTGGATAGGGAGTTTTCAGATTGATCATGCTAGCGTGTTTCTATGTGATAAGTGAGGAGGAAGAGGAGGACGAGGAGCTGGACGCGCAAGATGCCGGCCCGGACAAAAAGAAGCAGAAAACCTCTATTGCGGAGAGCAAGGCGAAGCGAAATAGTGCCGAAGGCGCGGGCGGAGGCGATCACAAGGCCAAGCGGGCGAAGGTCTGAGGTGGTCAGCACTATCGGAGTCCAAAGAAAACGATGCTATTCCTGTCGCGCTTTTACAGATGAAACTTTTACTTTTCACAAAATCAGCAAAATATCGACAATTCTATTTAAGCTTGAGCAGAACTCTAGAATGCAGAACCGATCATCGGGCGGTTCACCAAAATTCAAAGAGCTAAGGGTACGAGCGGATACGGATTTTTATCGAATTTACGAGCTGCACAATCCACAAAGCTGGATGAAGTGCTCAGATTGAAAAGCTGAGAAGCTGCTGAGTTGCAGAAGAGTTGTAGCCGCTGCTTCTCCTGGTGTATTCTTTTGTTGCTGCTCAGATCCGGTGTTCATCCGTGGGCATACAGCGTTTTGTGTTTCCGGAGGATTTCAAGACAACTGCAGCATCTAACTGTGTCGGTTTCAGATGGTTGGTTTGTCGATCATGTTTTTTAGAACCACGAGAATGGCTGGGAGCGAATCTCTTGTGAAAAATGCTGTGAACTGGAGCGGGTAGATGCAAAATTGAAAAGTTGCCTTGAGTTTGTTGGAGTTCTTCCGGATGATCGGCAGGCCAGTGGCGAAATAATATGTAATTGCCTACTGAATCTCTTTAATGTCTACCCCATAGTTTTAGTTTCGTTTTGTCGCAACATGAAGTAGTCCCAACCTGCTCTGTACGTAGTACAGATTGAGAAGTGTTGATCACAAACTAGGTTGTAAGCGTATAATCAGCGGTTTAGATGATGATCCTGCCACAACTTGGCTTCGAGATCATGCTGACCGTGCAGCGTTTAGACAGATAGGGTAAGAACCAGTAAACAGCCCCATACCTCCACCAGCCGCACGAAATCTATAAACCAAAAATGTCGCTGTGGGGGCCGCGCAGTCCGGCGCAGCAACCCAATTTCGCCACTCAGTTTGGGATTGTTCAGGAGCCGTATGCGCTGGCCAGTCCTTTGCTCGGGCCGTCCCCGCGCGTCGACGGCCAAACCCCGAACCCGGGGTACGAACCCGTGACGGCCGACGACGTGCGGCGTGACCTCCCAGTGCCAGCGGCGCTTCGTGACAGCAACGCGGTAACGAACAGCCGGTACGCTGCGGCGGATGAGGCGTATACCGCATCACAAGTTCTTTTCCAGGCGGTGCAGAAAGCCGCGTCTCTACTCATCGGGACCTTTCTCATGCTGATACTCCTCTTGTTCGCGATCGCGTTTCTGTTTTACGGCTCCGAGCACATGACCGACAAAGCCGTCGATAGGCTCGGCGGCAGTGTCAGGGACGGGTTCGGGGGTCCAGGCGGCCCACCGGCGGTGTGATAACATTCTTGGTACAGCAGAAACAAGATCAAGTGTCGTTATTTTGTGGAAAACAGTTGTGTAGAGGCTGCCACGACACGAATCTGGTGTTAATGTCCGGAACAATAGATGCAGTTCTCAAGCGGCATTTCTAAGGAAGATGACGCCCCGGATTGATGTGTAGGATATGTTTGCTTCGCATCGCACAGTTTTTCTCCTTTCGAAGAAGCGCGAAACAGAAAATGAAGCTGTAGATAGCCCCGGAAAAGTTGGAAGATAAAGAACTATTGCGAGAAGAATTTTATTTCCCTCCGATGTACAATGAGTATTGAACACAGATGAAGTCCAATTCCAAAAGACGTGATGAAGTGATAGACAGTTGTCCCGACAATGATCTACAGAGGGGCTGCGCGCACCTTGAACCAGCACAGCAGCCTAGTGTTAGTACTGTGATGTCGGACTGTTTTCATGCCCATTTTCAAACAGAAATCGTTGGATTCATGTTGAAAAAGGAACCAGGATCAGGAACACAGCGAAGAAGATCTGGTAGATCAAGGGTCGCTAATGAGCTGAACAACAAACATGAGCTTTGGAGGTTCGACAAAGGTCCAGCATGGTTACTGTGACGAATCACTGAGTGTGTCCTGATTTTCGATCGAAAACCAGCAATACATAGGTCTTAACGAAAAAGTCGTTTTGTTTCTATCATGAAATTTCAGAAAATCAGAATATTGTTTTGCTTCAGTATGCTCGATGGATAGTGCCCCACCCCCAGCATTAACCAAGGGCAAAGTCGACGCCCGCCATGGATGTGCGGTGCAGTGGCGTCCACGGTGTGTAGGATTTCTGAGTATAAGTGACGAAAAACGTACATCATTGAATTGATAAGAGCAGCGTCCGCGAGCCACCGGATCGCTTACTCATGAAGGTAAAATAGCATTATCGAAAGTTTGCCGTTGCATTCATCAAACCAGACGAAAGACATGCGCGCTCTTGGGACAGCACTTATTACTTTCTTCGCCCCATGCGCGGTGTCGGCGTTGCGCCTTGGCATCGGTGCAGCGGGCGCGGACACTGTTTCAAGTGCCGGTATGCGATCGCCGGGGGAACACGAATCGGGCAGGCATGCACCCGATCCGGCCGAACAGCAAGGTGATGTGGAAGAAGCATTACTTCAGCAAAATTCAGCAGCACAGGGGCCAAAAGTCCCGATCCCACGCATTTTCGGGATTCCTCGGCCGCCGGAAGCCAATACTTGCTACTTGAACGCTGCGCTGCAGGCCTTTTTGCGGTTTCCGCCAGTCTTCCGCCGACTTGCACGGTTCTGCCAGAAGGATGTTTCCCAGAAGGATGAAAACGACCCGGCGCACGGTTTCGCCTACTCCTTCTGTCAGATCTATTCCCGTTCCGTCGAACCTGGAGACGCAGGCGCAACAGCTGTGGTAAAAGCAGTCCAGGAGTGGCAGAAGCAGGTTTTTGCGGCAAAGATCGCGATCGACGGCAAAGACGCCAATGGCACACCACGCTGCTTGGATTACGGGGAACAGCAAGAGAGTAACGAGATTATCCAGCGGATTCTGATGGAAGTGCAGAAAAAGAGAAACGGGAAAACTGATTCGCTCGAAAGCGTCTTTTCCGGGCTAGAAACGCAGAAACAGATGCGGCCGGCGAAGAGAGATCCCACGACAGGGCAACTCATTCCGACAGCTTCGGACTGCGTCGAGTTTTCACCGCCGCAGCCCCAGCACCTCGCAATTCAGCCTAATGGTGAAGTAGACACACTGGACGGGCAAGCGTTGATCGGGAAGAACTTTGTTCAGTCCTTTGACACGGATGCGAACACCCGGTGGAAATGGCACGAAAACCCGGTCTGCAAAAGCGAAACCGCCGACCGAACTGTCATAACAGAGAAAATCTCTTCGTTGCCGCCCTTCGCCCTCACGGTCGAAGTGCAGAGAACCTCACGCCACAGCTGTACAGCAACCGGCAGCTGTGACAAAAATAGTTCCCGCGTCGCCTTGCCGTTGCAGCTGGAGATTCAGCCCGAGTGGATGGTTGATGAAGATGACAAGAGCAGTACCAAGCCAGCCTCGTCGGCCATTTACCTTTTGCGTTCCTTCACCACGCATTTGGGACAGGGAGGGAACGCCGGACACTACGTAGCGTACGCGCGCGTTGCAGAGGAGGAGGGAGTCGAATCGGAGCCGCATGAGCGCTGGTTTCTATTCGATGACGCGAAAACGACCGCTCTTGACAGCATCTACCCGGTTTTGCACTCGCCGAGCACAATGGCGGAAATACGCTATGCATTTTACGAGCGGGCACCGGAGGGGTACGTGAAGAGAAAAGAGCCAGAGGTGCCGGTAGTTCCGTTTGTGCCGCGAAGCGAACGTGTTGACAGGGGAAAAATCGCGGCCGCGGCAAATGTTCCTGCGCAGAAATCGCAAGTCGAGTCTGTGGTCGGGGGTGCATGGTCGCTTAAGGGTCTTCTCGGATTTGGAAAGCAGCCAAATCCTCCTGCACCGACTGTTACGAAACAAATTGTGTCGAGGAAACAGAAGCGCAAGAGGCGGCACGGTCTCTCCTGGACGTTGTCGTGTCCAAAACGCAGACGTACCCTCGATGCAGGTAAAAACGCGCTCATGGAAATCGCAGAACAGAGCCGCAGCAGGGAACAAGTGGGACCGGAAGGCAGGAACAATGACTCCCCACAGAAAGAACAATGCAAAAACATCGCAGAGGCGGAGGCGAGGGAACAAACCCAACAAGGCGAAACCGAGCCGCCTGATGAGCCACAGGCTTTTGTCGGAGACGGATTGCCCCCCTCCGATGGTTCGCCGGGTAGTGCCCGGAAGTGGCCATCAACCGGACCGGCTCAGGGAGAGGACTTCTGCCTCGAACGAGTTTCAACGCGATTCTCCAGACGTAAGGAGACGCCATCGGAGGTTCTCGTTTTGGAAACCGCATCGGCAGATATCCTGAGTAAAAACGTCCCCACACCAGAGTTGTCATGCAGATTTGCAATGACAGGAACATTTGTAATGCGCATCGCCAGGAGAGGCATTTTTCGTCGTGTTTTGGAATTTGTAATGCTGTAAACAGGATGAGCAGATGGATTTCTGGTGCAGCTGGCCTTGCGAACCTGCACTACACTACGGACTGCAACTTGTGATGCGTGACCCCCAAAAGTTCTAGGTTTGTGTTGCAAAATCCCCATCTTGACTCTGGTGTGGGGACGTTCTTACTCAGGATAGCAGAGGAGGGATCATCAAATGTGCCGGACACGTCGAAGAAACGTAAGCAATTCACGTCGCGCTCCACTTCGCCGATCAAGGTTTGCTCCCCTTTCAAGCATTTGACGCCGGTGGGTAGAGCCAGACAGAAGATGAACTGCAAGTTTTGCGGGACGGTAAGTTTCCCCCTTCCGGACGCAATGACCGGGGACCGTCGTAGTCCTGCTCCAGGCAGCGCGATGTAGCACGAAGAGAAGCACGCGAATGGAGAGTTCGTGCAGCTTGGACGAAAAGGACCTTCGCATGCGTGGAAGCCGTTGGAAGAAGATGGACGGTTTCCGAGTAAATGGGAAAAACGAATAATTCCACCTACAGATCTGGTCCGTGGAGGACATTTGCGTTGCCGTAATCACGCAAAGTGTGGGAAGTCGTGGGCGTGGCCGCGTGGGATAAGCTACACTGCCGGCGTCAACAAAAAGAAGGCTTTCGAGAAGCACGTAAGGGCCTGCAGCTCTGTGTAAAGTAGAAGAATATAAAGATGTAGGATAAAGGCTAAGGCAGGAAGTGCACATTCGTGCCAACAAGTGAGTCAGATTTTTACCCGATGCGAAGGGCTTTACAGTTGCTGTAGTCAAACTTTCGAGCTAGCCTTACTCTGTGTGTAAGATGTTGTGAAATAAAGCTTTTCGAAAGGACCGGCCGTTCAGGGCAGGGATCGCGATGCTTAAATAGAATAGTGTTTTGATTGCTGCGCGTGTTTACGTGTAACCAGAAACTGAAAGACCTTATTTCTGTACAGTTTTCAACTCAAAGGTAGACGTGGATCAATTTTTCAGCCTCTTGAAGTCGAATTGCGGTGAACGTCTCAATTGGAGCACTGGATCCATTTCCAGCATTCGATCAGGGATCACTGTCTGCTTTTTTTTGGCACCAACCTGCCAGACTTTTTTTTGTTCCGCTCCTCCTGCCACTGCGGCGAGATGATCACAAGCGAGAAAACGATCCCCGGCGTCGCACCACATTGAACTAACAACTTACATGTACTTTGGCTTCGCAACCGTTTTTTTCTTTCGCTGGTGTTGCTGTACTTAACAAATAAAACTTCGCACAAATTAGTCTGTGCTGTGATCGACGTCTTTCTCCTTCCAATGCCTTGAGTAGAACCTCAAGTGTTGTACGTTTTCTACTCCGTAGTTCGTGGACCAAACATTCGACTTTACCTTAGAGCTTTAAACTTCACACAATAACAACTGCAGCGTAGTTTCGACACGCAGCATTTCCAGGATGGGCGACAGCCTGTACAATACCCAACCCGGGGTGTTTGTCGTGCCTGATGACGCGGCGCCCCTGTTGGACAACGCCTTCGGTGGCAAAACACAAAAAGCAAGTGGCGCCACTGTCGTCTCGATTGTCGTGGCGGCGGTGGGCGTCGCGATCGGGATTACCGGGCTCACCACGGGAATTTTGGCACTGAACAAAGTGGCGCGGTTGAGCGATCAGTTGAACAACCAACTTCTAACCCAGCGCGATGAGTTACAGGCAGTGATTGACGACAAGGAGATTTCCTTGAATACGGCAATCGCCGCCAAGGCGACGGAGCTGGACACGAAATGGACGGGCGAAGCCGCGGGCTTGAAGACCGCGCAGACCACGTTGAAAGCGGCGCACGAGACGTTAAAGACCGGCCACACTAACTTGCAGAAAAAGTTCGACGACCACCTTCGCGCCCTGCCGCAGACCCTGAGCGCCGAGGTCACCAGGCAGCTGCGCGACTCCACGACGATTCAAGAGAAGTTGAACCACTTGAAGCAGGAGGTCACCACGGGCGTGAACCAGGCAAAGGAGCAGCTGACATCGTTGTTGCAAACGATGAAAACGGAGCAGGAGCAAAACTTGAATTCCGCCAAACAGGAACAGCAGCAGAGCCTGGAAGCGGCCAAGCAACAGCTGACGCAGGCCACGGAGGAGGTGCAGACGGCCCAGACTCGCGCTCTGGAAACGGTCAAAACGGAGTTGACGCAGGCCTTGCAGACGGCCAGACAGGAAGTGGAAGCCAATATCGCGACGGCGAAGGCCCAGGCGGATGAGATGTTGCAGGGAGTAAAACGCGAGTTGGACGCGGAAGTGACGCAAGCGACGGCGGCGACGCGCACGCAGCTGACGCGGGATCTGCATATCAAGTGCAGAAATGTCTGGGTCTGGAAGAATGCAACTTGTGATGCTGCGTTTGGATTCCAAAAATGTGTATTGCGTGAGCAGCAAAGGGAGTGTAATTTTTGCTACGCGGAGAGGGCACTTATCATGCGGAATAAGCATCAAGAAGCCCTCAAAAAATCTGTTACGCTAGGGCATGCATCACAGACATCGTGGCTCATGCAAAACGTCCATGACAGGTCTCAGAATCTTCCAGACCCAGACATATTTGCGTTTGATACTGCAAACCCTGCAGCAACGGCAGGTCAATATGAAGGAAGAGGTGACCGGCGTCTTCGATCGGGAAAAAGCTGCGGTGTTGCAGGCTTTTACGACCCGCATCCACGAACTGAACGACGAGAAGTTGCGGAGTTTCGAATCCACTTTTGACCGGAAACAAACGCAACTGATGAACCAGTGCACGGCCAAAACCGCTGCAATCACTGCGGAGTTGCAGGTGAGTAGAAGAATGTAAAGCGAGAAAATTATGTTGAAGCAGAAAAATTATGCTAGACCTAGAGGCTCTTTGTTCCTGTTGAGAATTTGTAATCATGCAGAACAAGAGCTCGAAATTTTTCATGCCCCTAACGCTAGGCAGTGAAGAGATTTCCGCAAATCAACAGCGCGCCTCCAGCAGTTATGCGACTAATGTCAGCGGTATGCAATCGGAGCTGAACCGGTTCAAAGAAGAAACGCAGGAGCGGCTGCAGCGCGACTTCTCCACGTGGCAGGCGGCCTACGACCGGCGAGCCACCCAGGCCACGCAAGAGCTGGAGCAGGCGCAGGCACAGTGTACGCGGGTGGCTACCACTTTGGACTCCTCGCTGGCGAGCGCCGAGAGCAGGCTGAAAACGGCCACCGACAACGACCTGCGTACGTGGAAGCGTGGTCACGAGCGGGATCTGACCCAGTGGAAAGAGAGCAGCAGCAACGATTTAACTCGGTCGCAGGAGTCGTTTCAGCGGAGCATTGAGCAGTGGAAAACGAACACGCGGAATGATTTCGAGCAGTTGCAATCGCGCGTGAGTGCCTTGCCGAACACGCTTACGAGTCTCCAACAGAGGGTGACCGCGGGCATCAACTCCATCGACGCCCAGAAGCGGCAGATCGACGCCCTGCAGCGTACCGACATCGACCTGCAGCGGAGTGTGCAGGAGCTGCAGCGGGGTGGAAGCAGCGCCTCGAGTCTGCGAAGCGACATTTCGACTTTGCGCTCGCAACACTCTACGCTCGAGGGGCGCTTGAGTGACTTGCAGCGCCAGATCAACAATGCCAGTCGAAGTGCGGGCGGTTCTTTTATGGCTGCCCCGACTCGGTCTTCCGGCTTTTCGGCGGCACCGACGCTGTCCTCCGGGCGTAACGGCAGCCGCTGGGCAATCCCGACTTAAGGCCGAAAGGAAGTGGAAAAAACCTGATGATGCCCTACGTCGTTGAGATTTTGAATATTTGGCACCTCCGTGCGAGATCACGTCGCCACTTTGAGTGGTGTGGATACTTAAAGACGAAGCATGATATGTACTCGAGAATGCAACAGCTTCACCAAGTGATACAACATGTATCGGAAGACATCGAGTTTTTGATAATTTTGACTTGAATAAGACACTGCTCGGGGCAAAGAAGTGCCGCTGCTTTTCTGATGTAAGACTCCACCACGCCAAAAGAACTACTACTCCTGCAAGGTAGCCCCATTTCTTGGACCCGAAGCTACCATTTTTGAACCTAAGGCGCCACGGAGCCACAACAAATTTGTAGATCACGGAACAAGCAGACGGACCAATCCGTGGGGGTGGCGTGTTTTGATGTCGACAGAAGCTTCATGGATATGCAAGAGCCCATTACTTTTGCTCCTCTTGAAGTTTTCTCAAAAAGAACAACTCAATCGTTAGTAAAGTAACGTTCACATTATCAGCAAACACTGTACAAAACTGAACACCAGAAACAAACATGCTGTCACGCTCACTCTCACGCCGCTTCCGGTCTGTAGCTGCGTTGGCGGCGCTAGTACTGGTTTATTCCTTCCATGCAAACCTTCACACGGCATCTGCGTCGTTAAGCGATCGGGATTGGTGGTCAGAATTTCTCGGAGCCGACTGCGACGAGGACGCGGAGCCCAGCTCCGAACACCTCCACTGTGCCCTCAACTTCAGCGGTCCCCTGGCGACGGTGTTGCAGAGTCCGCTGCCGAAGTTCGTCGCGAACAAGAGCACAGCAACAGCGGATAGTAAAAACGAAGACCAGCAAGATGAACATGTTGACAAGATCAGTGCCATTGTGAGTTGGCAGGAAGAAGCAAAGGCGCTATTCCCGCCGCTGTTGAACAAGAAAAACTTGATCGGCGACACACTCAAATGGCTCCTAGACAGAGAGATTGGTGCGCGAATCCTCCCGAAAGCGACAAAACCGTTGTCGGGCTCCGTGAGCGCCGCCGTGCGGCTGGTCGCCATTCTTCACAGCAACGTGCTAGATTCGCTAATCCACATGCTGCTGATCAGGCGAAAAAAGTTGAAGAGACCAGACGGGTCGTCGGGCATCACGCGCCAAGAAGCAGAGAAGGTCTGGGCCAAGTTGGAAAAGGAGGAAAAGAAAGCGGCTGGCTCGAATAAATCTGACGGAAGAAGCGATTCTGGCCACAACACCCGAGGGCGGATGTTTGAGAGTGCGCTCGAGTTGGAGCTTTTCCAAGTGGGGTTGCAAAACGCAGGGTTTCTGAAGCGCAACAAGAAGTTTTTACTGGCCAAAAGAACCGAGTTCCCGTCCTTACTGCGAGACCCGCTCGTCGCGCAGCTGTTCCACAAAACCCGGCGCGTCACGCTGCTGGAAACAAGGTTGGATGAGCGGTTTGGTTACAAGCTGGACGCCTCGAAAAACTTTTGGATTCCGGGTCTCCCCAGCATCGCGGAACCCATCCTCCGAGGTCATCCATTACTTTTTGACCTCGAGAAGATCGGGAAGCTGCCTCTCAGCCTGCTGGAGACCAAGTTTGTGCCGCCGCCCGAAGACAAAGTCGCGTCGAGCTACGCCCCGGGAGTGTTGCCGGACGAGAAGATGGAGATCGATTCCCGGCTCGTGATGCACCCCGGCCGGCTGCACAGCGGCTGCAACGAGGAAGTGTTGCCGGTTTTTTGCGATATTTTACAGGCATCAAATTTCCAGCAGGAGGCCGCGTCCTACGTGTTTGGCCCGACGGAACTCAGGCGTATCCGCCGGGGGTCCTGGACGCAGATCGGCGGGATGAACTCCGCGTCCTGTGAGAGCAATGCGGGGATTTTGCTGCTTTACAACGGCGCAATTGGTGGAAAAAAAAACAAAAAGTCGGAGCTTTTCCTCGATGTCATCACGCAGGAACCGGGTGGGGAGAAGCGATTACCCCCGGGCAAAGCGGCGGCAGTCGACGAGTGTCGGTATCCCGCTTCTGTTTCCATCGTGGACGAAAATCCAAGTGCGGCGAGGTCTACTTCTTCCAAACAGAAGAAAGACGCGATCCTTCTCGTCGTCCGCGTTTGGCACCCCCTGGTGCCTCCGTCGGAGAGAGCCCGACTGGGAGAAATTTTACTCAAGGAACGCGTGGCCCCGGACTTGGTGCGGAAAATGGTCGAGAACATCGGGGAGACGAGGAGAAATTACTCCGTGTTGGCACAGGATTGGCTCGCTGTAGAGCAAGAGAGCTTCGTGGAGCAAACCATGTTTTCCACAAGCGCGGAAGCGCCCAAATCAGATGTCGCAGATGATGAGCTTTGAACAGGAATAGGAAAGTAGGCATGTAGTTGGTACCGCTGAAAGATAGAAGATTGTGCTACGCATAATTAGGATTTAGCGCAATCGTCCGGGCCCGCCGTGGTTTCCCTCTGATTATATACGTTTTATCGGTGAGACTGGCGTCAGAAGATACATTGCCTCGGTATTCCTTTTCGTGACGACGTTTCGGTTGTAAATCGATGTACCAAAGCTGCATAGCACTCTTCGGTCATACCAACGCAGCATCCGTCCTATCGATCGGTTCTGCCAGTTGCGCAACCTGTTAAGATTTCCGTAGAGTTTCGGTTTGCGTTTTGAGACAACTATGTATCGGTAGTGATCTCTGGTACGTGTTTCGGTAGTTGTCGTTTCATCTGTGAAAATTGTTGTGCTTCTCTCTTGCGAAGATCATGCATTTTTCACTCAGACCGTTGCTTGCAGACTCTGAAAAATATCCCTGTGCCTATTGTCTCTGTATCGTTTTATTATTTTAGCTTTTTCATCCCCGCTCTGGCTCTTCATACATAACACTTTATTCCCTATCGCTATCCCACATTCAAAATGAATCGACGCGCCGGCCCCCCCGCCTCCGCGGCAAACGTGCGCCCGGTCCCGAAGGGAGCTTCCAAGCAGGTCGGCTACACGCCGACCGTCGCCGAGGTGAACACGGTGGCCCGCGATCTCTCCGGCCTCGGCCTGTCCGATAGCGACGACGACGAGCGCTTCAATCTGCTCCGGCACAACCAACCGGAGCCACCTCCCTCCCCGACCACCGCAGCGAATATCAAGTCGGCCGCTGTGGCCACCGTGAAACCTCTCCGCAACACGCCCCTGTCGCTGAAGCGCGGCCCCTTCGGCCGGACGGTGGACGGCATTACGCCGGCCTTGAACCCGCCGGTCGTGCTGCGGATGCGGTGCCTGGTGCTCGGGTCCGCGGCGGTCGGGAAAACGTCCGTGATTCGCAAGGCCATCGGGCTGAAGGAACCCAACGGCCACACCGTGCACTCCATTCCGCGGTGCGGAGCGGCCGACGTGCCACGCATCAAGAAGAAGGCGACCTACGATCGCCAGAGCTACCTGCCGACCATCGGGGTGCGGCTCGGCTTCGAGGAGCAGAACGCGGGGACTAGCACACCTACTGGGATGTTGAACAGCAGTGCCATGCCGCCGACAGGGCCGGTGAAGGGCCGGCACAGCGTGCAGGTACTGAAGGAAAGCCAAATGGACTCGGGCGAAAAGCTGAATGCCACCAGTTCTTACGTGGTTCCGGTTTTCGTCCCGGAAGCCAACGTGCTCGTGGAGCTGCACTGTCTCGACCTGGGCGGCGCGCAGGCCTCGCTCGGGAGTTTTGACTACTACTTCAAGGCGTACCAATTCCACCTGTGCAACGCGCTGCTCGTCGTCTGCGATTTGATGCAGCCAAAGTCTTTCGGCATCCAGAAGTGGCTGGAGAAGGTCCGACTCCCGCAGCTCTCCATGCACCCGATCGGATGTGTGGTGGGGAACAAATTGGACCAGTTGTACGACGCGCCGACGAAACAATTCTCCCCGAGCCCGCCCGAGGCAAAGAGCGGCGCGGAGGCCGCGGGTTTCGGGTACTTCGAGACCAGTGTTTTCGCGGAAGACGACTCTATTCTGAAACCGTTTCATTATCTCGCGGAAAACTACGCGCGCAGGTACCGCAACCGGGAGGACGCACTGCGGGATTTGCGGACTTGAGGGTGATAGATATCTTTCGATCTCACTGTGGAACAAAAAACTCTTGATGGAGCGGAAACAGTTACGTGTCATTTCGACTCGTTTCGCATTTTTTTGGTAAAGTACTTCGCCACGACACATCTTTATTTTTCAGCTGAGGCTGGGGCTCACGTACACGTTCCACCAAGTGCTGGGTGTTTTGTGTGATGCAGAAGTGCATTTTTTGTTCGCAGTTCTGTGTCGCCCTTTTTGGGATACTTATCCGTCGATTGAATCTTTCTTGTCCATTTCCTAGGCGTTGCCACGAGCGGCGAGCCTGATCTCATGCTCCATTACAAGCACAGGTCAAACAAAACGTCCAAAATCTAGAACATGGCTGTCGGTGAGTGATCATTCAAAATGACGAAGTAGAAAAGCCACGAAGTTGAAAGTGAACAAGGAAAAATGTCCACTACTGGCTCATCCGTCGCGCTCGTCGCACTCGTGTGCGCGTTCTTTGCTGGTTTTGCACCTCCACAAACGTTCGTTTCCGCGCAGCAGCAGGACGATGGAAGTGGTAACTGGTTGCTGCGGAGTTTTGTGGAGCACATGCACTGCGAAATGAAGGAAGAGCAGGATGTGGAATTTTGGCGCGACGTGCACCGGTTGACCTCCGCTTTGGACCCGCTATCCGAAGAGTTTTCGCCCAACGAGTACGAGCAGGTGCGAGTGGCTGCGAACCTGCCGGACTTGGCGCAACCCCAGCCGGAGCAAGTTTTGCTACAGAGGATATCGCACGTGCAAAACTTACTTACCCACATCCTCGTCCCCTACAACGTCGTGGACCCTGTGTTCGCCCTCGAGTGCCCCCTCGGGACAGCCGCGTTGCTGAAACAGTTTGCGCGATACTGTCTTCACCTCTTTCAAGAGAGGTGCGCGCAGCGAGCCGTGCGGGTGCTGCAGTTGGCGAAGCTCATGACGCTGTTCAATTTTCCGGACTACGGGACCATGATGGGCCAAAGCAAGTGGCGCGCGGATTTGGGCACGCTGAGCTCGCAGGTGAGAAAAAGAGTACTCGTTTCTTTTATTTTGATGCGGACACGCTGCACACACATTCATTGATGAAAGATCTATGTAATATTTGCGTGTCGCTTAATCCCCCCCAACAGGTCTATGAACTCTACGGGCCCGGGGCGCAGACCGCCGTTCGGCGAAAGCAGCTGACAGCACCAGTGACCGCCATGTTAAGTATTGGGATTGTTTCCTACTGCAACTACGGGTCGAGCAGCTTCCCGCTCCCCGGATGGAGTCGACGGAACAAAAACGCGTACGCGAAAAAGCACGGCTATGTGATTCATCACTTGGAGAAGCCGATTGTAAAGCAGTACCACCCCTGGATGAACAAACTTCTCGCCGTGCGCCACTACCTCCCGTCCCACGACTGGATTATGTGGGTCGACTGCGACGCGTATTTCATGAACTTCGAGGAGAAGATCGAGGATTTGCTTTTTCAGGAACGGGAAAGCGTCAACGCGCTCGGGGACGCAGATCAAGCCGCTCAGACCGCCACAATACTAGCGTCAGGCGAGCAGGAGGATGGGCAGGGAGGGAGTGAGTCCGGAGGTGGCTCCGGAAGTTCATCGCCCGCGTCCAGCGACCCAGTAACCGGTGAGACGAAGTTCGATTTTGTGATTGCGGAGGACGGAAACATGTTCAACAGCGGCGTGTTTCTGATCAAGAACAGCGCTTGGGGCATGAAGTTTCTGAACAACAGTATTGATTTGCTAGCCGCCCCGATGCCCTACTCCTTCCAGCACAATCAGTGGCACGAGCAGAGCCCGTTTATGTACATTGCCTTGGTGCCCCACATCCTGGATTTGAACACGCTGATTTCGACCTCCTCGCTCGCGAAACCCGAGAAAGGGCTCGTGCAGACGGATTGGCGAACGCTGGGCTACGATCCGAGTCACGTGCGGGTGGTGCCGCAGTCCCGCATGAACTCCTACCCGCCGGAACTGGTGCAGCGTACCCAGCACGCGCTGCGCCACCACGGGTTTGCGGACCGCGACTTTGTGATTAGCTTCAACGGCTGCGGCTCGGTGCTGGGCGGCGACGTGTGCTTGAAAATCTTCGGGGACTACTTCGAACAGAGCATGCGCGGGGTACAGGAATAGCAGTTCTTCGTTTGCCCAGAAGACGAACCGCGTTGCACCATCCTTTGAGAATACAGTTCTGCAGGAGCACCTCCGTGAAACAAAATCAGTGAAGGACGACCCTTCAGTCCAAAAAAACACAGTGTGCATCGCTGCTACTATGGCGTGTTCAGACTAGTTCTTGCTTTTTCTGAAGAAGATCATGAAGAAGATTCTCAGCTCCCTTCGCACGATCGTCGTCAAGGATCCTTCGTGCAGTAGCAGCACGCTTTAGCGAAAGCACGTTGCGGCCGATCCAGCAGTACTGCAATAGAAGACCCGCAGCCACTACATAGATCATGCGAACCAGTATCCTTTTGTGATCCATTTACTCTGGTTTTTTTGATAAATAATCTTTCCGATGTCACCATTCCCTCTGTTGGACGCGAACAGGTCAGATGAAGGCGTGAGATCTACGTGTATTTTTCCTCTAAGGTAGACGTAGATACCAACGCAAAAAATGATGGCCCACCGTCAGTAAAGTAATTGTCAGGTTACCTTCAATTGTAAGATTCCCCAGATAACAAGTAGTTTCACCCCTCAAAGACTAAGAAGTACTCCCGAACTACAACTTGCTTGTTAGTGTATCAGGAAAATGGTCATCCGTTCCGACGACGACGACAGCGATGCCGAGAGCGTGCAGAAGCCGACGAAGAAGGCGCGGCTCGGGGGCGCGAAAACGACCTTCGTGAGCAAACAGGAGCGGGAAAAACGCGAACGGGAGGAAGCGGACAAGGAGCGCGAGGCGCAGCGCCGGCGAGAGCAGGAGGCAACGAGGAAACGAAAACAGTTCCTCTTTGCCGACCCGCGGGATGCGGAGCGGCAGCGCGAGCGCCAGGAGCGCGAGTTCCAGCGAAAAATCCGTGAGCAGGAGAGGGCAACGAAGATGGGCAACAATCCGAATAACATCCCTCTCGGAAACGGCGCCTCCGCTGCGGACGGCGTCGCGGTGGGGAACGGGAAAGCCTCGTCCAGCAAGGCGCCGCCGAAACAGGTGGAGGTGAAGAAGGCACAGAGCACGTTGCGCGACCTGGGGCTCTTGTCGAACGAGCAGTACGAATCTGCCGCTTCAAGCGTGAAAACGGGGGCGGAGGGGACGGTAAGTTTTGTTTTGTTTTGTCTTGTCTTGTTTGATTTCCGTTTTTCCTTAAACACGTGCTTGGCACCAGTTGGGCAACATGGTGGAAAAACTACCAGAGCTACAGCAGGCACGATTCTTTTGATTAAGGGGGAAATAATTTCTACTGACCACAACTTATTTCCCTACCGCAGGCCAACAGCGCGGAACTTTGGCAGTTGAAGAAGAACTATCTGGGACTACGGGACGAAAAGCGGAAACTGCAGAAACCGTCTGAGAAGTTTCGCAACATTTTCAACTTCGAGTGGGCAGCCGACGACGACACGTTTCGGGGAGACACGAACGAACTGTACACGAAGCGGCCCGAGCCGCAGCTTCTCTTCGGCCGCGGGTATCGGGCTGGGATGGACGTTCGTGAACAGCGCAAAACCAATATCGTAAGGAAAAATCCCCCCTCCCCATATCAAAAACGTATCCGTCTGAAAATTTGTGATGCGCATTTGCGACCTCAAATCCTGTCTGTCTTGCAAGAAGGCAAGTCCAGAAAGCATTCCGCATTTTGCAGGCGGTTTGTGATGCTGTTTGGCTTAGAGCATACACGTTTGTCATGCTAGGTGCCTACGTCAAAACCTCTTCCCTGAGGCTTGACATATGCCAGCATTCCTCTACTGCAAGACAAATCTGACTTGTGTATGGAAATCCAGCATCAGAAACTTCGTTTCGATATGGGGAGGGGGGATTTTTCCTTTTGATAGCCAACACCTTCTACGAAAACATGATCTCCGTTCGAGCCGAGGCCACGGGGGAGGAGGTACTTGCAACTTTTTCTACCGTTTGTTTCACTTGTTTTGCATGATCGTCACGAAATGGGAAGATGGTGGTCAGTGATGGACCACACAGTGGGAACTTCGTTATTGTTTCTGTTGTTATCATGCTTAGTGTTAAGTTCACAATTAATTGAACCGCTCTTCAGGTGGGAAGTTTCCTGTCCAACCGTGAGGCGATGCTGCAGAAGAAGGAGGACCGTGCGAATGCGGACGACGAGAAGCACTGGAGCGCGAAGCCGGTGAGCGAAATGACGGTGCGCGACTGGAAGATCTTCCGGGAGGACCACCAAATCGTTCTCCGGGGCGGCCGCGTGCCGCCGCCCATGCGGAACTGGGCCGAGGCCCCGCTGCCCGTGGAATTACTAGACGCCGTGAATAAGTGCGGGTACACCGCGCCCACCCCGGTGCAGATGCAGGCGATCCCCGTCGCCTGCGCGCTGCGCGATTTGATCGCCATCGCGGAAACGGGTAGCGGGAAGACGGCCGCGTACGCGCTGCCGCTGTTGCGCTACCTCCACGACCTCCCGCAGTTGGACAACGAGAGCGCGCAGATGGGTCCGTACGCGGTCATTCTGTGTCCGAGTCACGAGCTGGCGTTCCAGATTGAGACGGAAGTGGGGAAGTTTAAGCACTTCATTCCCCACATTCGGACAGTGACCTTGGTCGGCGGGCAGGGCGGGCGGGACGCCGAGAAACAGGCGTTCGAGATCCGCAACGGGGTGGAATTGGTCATCGCCACGCCCGGTCGCTTGGTTGACGCCATCGACAAGCGCCACACGGTGCTGCACCAGTGCAATTACGTCATTTTAGACGAAGCAGACCGGATGATCGCGCCAGGTAGAAAGAAGACGATCGCTTTTGTTTTGTGATGAAGAACCTACTCTGTTCTGCAGATTCATCCGTGTTTGTATCTATCATGTGAGATTTGCGAAAAAGCGTTGTTTCATCAATCTGTAAACTTATGAGAACGTCGATTCTACTTTCAGGTATGCAAGAGTACCTGTACCGCACCCTGGACGCGATTCCGTCGACAAATTTGAAGGCCGAGTCTGAAGACGCGGCGGTGAAACAGGAGCTGGAACTGCTCGCAGGCCACAGAAAATTTCGCATTACGCAAATGTACGGCGCTACCATCCCGCCACCGCTGGAGCGCCTCGCGCGAAAATACTGTCGACACCCGAGCGTCATTCAGGTATGGAATTTGTTTTTGAGATAGTTTTTGTTTAAGTCGAAAATGCATTTTTGAAGCGAGGGGAAGTCGAAACTGTAGCGCTGATTAAGTACCTCTATCGCGATTACGCTTGTCAGTTTCAATCATGTCATTGTTATTTATCCTTCTACAGGTCGGCGATCCATCCGGCGGGAACAAGAACATTGATCAGCGTGTCAAGATGATGCAGGATGCGGACAAGCGCAAGGAGTTGGAGAACCTGATCAAGTCGGAGGACTTTGAGGTGCCGGCCATGGTGTTTGTCAACCAGAAGCGCGCCGCCGACGTGCTCGCGAAGTGGCTGGACAGCATCGGCAAACGGGCGGGAAAGCTCCACAGTGGCATGCTGGCGAGCGACAGGTACAGATTTGCTCATAGATGCTATGTATTTTCGTGTGTTGTTTGCTTTAGGTTCTACTCGGGTGAAGCATTTTTAGAAGCGGAGTAGGCACGTGTGCTGGTCGTCTTCACTTTTGCCGTTTGCAGGTTAGTACAGTGAGGGACTGTTATCTTGCTGAAAAATTCATTTCAATTTCCCAACTCAACAGGCAAGCTGCACTGGAAAAGTTCAAGGGCGGACAGTTGGATTTCCTCATCGCCTATCAAATGTAAAAATGTCTGGGTCTGGAAGAATGCGCCTTGTCATGCTAAATCTGCAGCATGCAAAAATCTGTGTTGCATGATTACCAAAAGTCGTCCAGTTTTGACCAAGTCGGGAGGTAGTTTCTCATGCAGGATAGGCATTAGAAAGGTCTCGCAGACTCTGTCGTGCTAGGTCCTGCATTCCAGACCTCCCTCATGGGTCATGGAAAAGCAGCATGACAAATCGCGCACTCTTCCAGACCCAGACATTTTTACATTTGATATCGCCACCGACGTCGGCGCCCGCGGTCTGCACGTGGAGGGGCTCCCGCACGTGATTTGCTTCGACATGGCGACAAGCATCGACGAGTACAAGCAGCGCATCGGGCGAACGGGTCGTCTCGGCAAGAAGGGAATTTCCACCACGTTCCTCACCCCGGCCGACGAGGGGCTGTACTTCGAACTGAAGGAATTCTTGATCGCGTGCGAGAAGCAGGTGCCCCACGAGCTGTCTTCGCACGAAGCCGCCAAGGTGAAGCCCGGGACAATCACCGAGTCCGGCCACATGGCCGGCGCAAAGACAAATGTGGTCTACTCCAGCACTTTTCGCGGCTAGGAGTCGGGAGGGTGCTTTTCGTCCGTGCCGACAAGAATTCGTCTTGTGGTATTTTGTACGTACTACTAAAACAAGCGACAATTCATGATCAAGGGCAGTTCCGTAGAAAGGCTCTGGCGATAGAGTCTGACATTGATTGTAGCGATCAATTTCATGATCGCCGCCAACTACACCCTTGCGGTTTCACTTTTTCAAAAAAAGCACGCTACGCCGCGAGTTTTCCCGACGACACGTATTCTGATCGGTTGTTTTGCTTCGCGGTGCAGTGCGAGCGAGCAGGTATCTAAATCAAGGGTCATAGTACCCTCTATGGCGGTGTTCGCGTTACCATTTGGAACAATCGACGAATGAATAAAGAAGAAAATGTCTCCTAACTACAGTGTGTCGCATCCTCGTCCTCTCGTCCTTGTGAATCGCAATCGTCTATCGATCTTACATTAGAAGTCGCAGGAGACGCCACGGTGAGCGAGGGCCTTGACTGCTCGAGAATTGAAAAGGGGGCTTGCGAGTGATCCGCTTCCGTTGACATCGATAACAAGATTTCGTTGGTGTCTTGTTCGTAGTAGTACAGAGGCTGGATAGAAGCCGAACTGACAGAGAAGAAGTACTTCACCTCCAGTTCACTAGGAGCCTAAACATTAGTAGAAAAAAAAATGACGACACGGACCTCCGCCGAGGCCGGCGAATACCTGCACGGGGTAGGGGACTACTTGGAAAAGGCAAACGTGTACCCTTATCTGCACCTGCTGGTGAAGGAACTGGTGTCACGGCAGCCCGCGGATCCAGTGCAGTTCCTGCTTGATTTCATCCCCAAGAGCACCGCGCGCCTCGTGGTACTTGGACCAGGCAGTGAGGCGTTCGCGAAGAAAATAGCCGAAAATGGGGTCGGCGTAGCAAAGCCGGGGGAGCTAGAGACGTGCGATGGCACGGTAGACGAGATTTTTGATTGAAGTTGTACTGTCCAATAGCATGGATCTTTTTCCTTGCAATCTTTATACCTAGCGCGCTCCTCCGGAATCAATCTGCAACGCGTGATCCATCGATCAACACAGACGCTGTCATCGCCAGAATCCATCAAGTCGTCGCTGCAGACCAAGGAAAAGTGGGTGTGCTATGGCTACCCTAGAAACGCATCGGAAGCTCTGGACATTGTAGATGCGCGAGTGCTCGTGTCGCTTGTCATCGTGCTGCAGGAGCGCGGCGCTGACAGAGAAGGTAAAGGAATCATGTGTATCGTTCTGGTTCAAAAGTGCTGCTGTGTTTCATCAAGAAAATAGTACTGTTGTTTCTGCTTCGCGACATTTTATCACCGTAGTTCTATCGGAAAAATAAAAACTCTACAGCAACCCCAGAAGACCACGGGATGCTGCTATCGCATTCACAACTGTCGTCTATCCATCCGAGCCATGGTCATGCTGGTTTTGGTCATTTTTTGCTAGCCGTAAAACCATGCATTACCAAGATATTGCGTACTGATATTTCTTTATCGATCGTGTTCCTGAGTCTGACCCAGCAAGGTGTGGCAGGGTGCGTCTTTTATTTCACTTTCTGGTCTTGGATGGAATGGGATAGTTGTCAGCTTCATAGCGTCAGGCAATAGCCCAGTTTCCTAGCAGCGCGGTTTGCACGGTCGATGCGGGAGAGGACAATTACGAGGAGAATTTAGTGCTGATTACGAAAAAACTGCAACAGCAAAGTATCGCCAGTCAACCGCGCGCCGCGCCACAGATCATACTCTACGGCAGTAGGGGTAGCGGCGTCACCACGCAAGGCGAGCGACTCGCGAAAAAGCGCGGTCTGGTATAGAAAAAGTTCATTCACAAAAACAAAAAGTGCTAGGTCGAGTTTTACTACTTCTGGTGCAAGTGGGTGTTTACGCCGTAAACAACAAGCGTGGCACAAATAAAGTAATCATCTGCGATTTGGATAATTCTCTGTCATTGCGGTGCAGGACACAGAAATGGAAAAACCTATCCCAGGTTCTCGTGGACGCGCACAGATTAGCCGGTGCATCAGGTTCCAAGTCTTCGTCCCACCGGCAGCAGCTGGTCGAGGCACGGCTGGCGCGGCCAGATGCGAAAGAAAAGGGCTTCGTCATGTGTCACTACCCTACCACGCCAGACGAAGCGGCGTCCCTGAAGCAGTACTTGAAAAAGAGCTACGCGGGGGAGCCCAAGTTGCTGCATTTGGGGGCTTCCTCCTGGGTCTGCGGCAGAAGGCTCGGCGGACAGATGTTCCGTGATGCCGGAAGTGGTAGCAGAAAAGACTTATTTTGTTGATAAGATGATCATGATAGTATGCAAACGATAGTGATAGCAAAACCAAAATGTAAGCAGGTTTTTTTTGTGATGTCGGGCTGCCTGTACAAAGAAAAAGAAAACGGTAAAGGAAAATGCTCATTCGTGACTCCTACCGATGACAACATCGACATCTACTCCAGGTCGAATAATACCCCCGAGGGAAGCCACGAGAAATAGCAGCGTCAGCGGGCCCGACACGGATATGCCTGCCATGATCGCGTACTGAGATAAGATAACATTTTCCATGCATCTTCCGCTGCGTTTTGTGTGCAGTGTTTCTGATTAAGTCATTTGTTGGGTAGTTGACTTTCTTAGGCAGACACACACCAACTTCGAAAAACAGGTATCGCGACTACCTGAAGCAGTGTGCGGGCATGCGTTTCGTGTTTGATGATTGGTACGATGTGGATGCGTCTCAGACCATCGACCATGCCGGAGAAGAGATCGAGGAAGTGTTGGGATTGTAGGACCGAAATCGTTCTTTCGCACTTATACGTTAACACACACTGAAATAACATCAAGCGAGATCAAAGTCTTGAAATTTGTCTTCACACACACAATTCATCCGAAAAGTTAGTTTAACACACTCACCAGATCTAGACCTGCAAGCAACTATCTTCAGAGACGCGCATACCGGCCCTCCTCTTCCAGGCTTGTACAATACTGTAGTTTATTATTTTAGCAATTTCTGCTCCTGCTCCTGGAACTGGATGTAGTTGAATCAGTGGCGCTCCTGTTGCTTGTAAGACTAGGTGAACGTCAACGGATTGCTGTCGATTCGCATTCCGAGAGAGACTTCTTGGCGGTCCTCCTTCGCCGTGAAATTGTGGAGGTTGTATCTAATCTGGCTTGAAAACTTTGCTGCCTGCAAGTGCCAATGTACGATGGTTAATTGTACCCTCTGTCAAGCGCAGAAATCTTCACACTCGACGGCGAAGAAAGTTTCGGAAGTTCTCTGGCGCTTATACTCGACGTTGGTCCTATTTTTGTGAGCATCTGGGGGGTGGGTGACGGTGACGCCAGTGACAGGTTCTGATAAGATCCTCGGGGAACAAGGATCAATATGCGGACCACGATGATCTACTTCATGACGATTCGTGATATCGTGCAGGGTCGTAAACATGTCATCAGGAACAGGTTCTGTGTAACTTGTGGTTTGGAAAAAACCACGCATACAAAGATACCGGTCAAGATGATGATGTTGTTTACTCCTCGTCCCACTTCTTTTGTGTCGCTAGCTCTGGCGCTGCGGGTTTTCGTCACATCGGAGGCAAGAGAGCCGGTTGTACCCAGTACGGTAGTACAAGTGTCGAAGGACCCCCCGCTGCAGCCGATTCTAGTTCCGGTTGAGGATGACGACGACCCGGACGACCCGGACGATGAGTACACGTACGCGAAAGCACTCAAGTCTGACCCTTTTTTTTTCACGCGGACTTCGCGGTTGCGCCGTCGTTTCTGGCCTTCAGATGTGGAGGGAATTCAGTGGGACTTGCGGGGGCATTTATTGGATGAGAGAGCGCCAGCCCCCTCGTGCAAGCGGAAGCCGAGAAATTTAGGCGCGCTGTTGAAGGGGCGTGAGAGCGCAACACCAGTCGAAACGTGCCTTTTACCGGATAAGACGGAAGGGCTCAAGCTGCCGGCGGATAGTGCGATGGACAGTCTGCGCGCAGCAGTAGAGACGGTCTTCCCGACGACGCAGGCGAAAGCGGAAACTTCAGCAACGACGAGCGCTGAGGGAAGAATCGCAGATAATGTCCTCAACATTTGCGTTCTGGGTCCTCTAGATCGACACTACCTGCGCACCTCGGTCCGGCCGCTGGTCCAGTTTACATCCGAGGAACCGACGCGGCGACTGCGGCTCATCGCCCCCCGCGATCAGCTGACGGAGGTGAAGGACGACCTTCTCTCCCTCCTTCCTACCGCAGACCAGTTGCAATTGCTGCCACAGGAGCACGTCTCTCCCATCGATTTCGACGTACCGGAAGACGAGCAGCCTGCAAGTCTGAAAGAGCTCCGCGCGTGGAGTGCACACACCGTCGGAAGTGGCGATAGTGGTAGCGACAACATCTTCACTGAGAAACGAAGCAATACTACCGAAATAAATGTGAAAAGAACTGGGTGTCACGTGCTCTCCCTGCATGCTGGTTCCCAGGGGTTTCACGGGGAGCTGCTGAAAGCGCTGAGCGGAAACCTGCCCCGAACACTGCTTCTGTTCGACGCACACGAGTTATTACAATGAAAAATGCCCCCCCCCACCCCCGAACTTGGGAGCATTTGTATTGCAAACCTTTCCAAATGAAACATTCGCCGTCTTGCATCTATCAGCATCACAAGTTTCCAATCGTGAATAGCAAAAATAATTTGTATTGCAAAAAACCCCAGCTCCAGCAAGAGCGGGGCTTGTCATGCAAGCGATGCGATACACGCCTAGACTCTGCATCAGAAAGATTCATACTCCTCTCATGCATGACAAAAAGTTTTCATTTGGAAACTTCGCATCACACACGCGGCGCGGTTGTTTTAGCATCACACGTGTTTGCAATTTCAGGGGTGGGGGGCACTTTTCACTGTAGTACGAGTGCGACCGGGGCGCGAACCGGGTCCACTGCAGCTTACTTTTGGCGCAGTTTCGTCGGAGCCACTGCGGGACCCCGGAGGTTCTTGCACAATTAGAAGCACAACATGATCACAGCCACGAGGAACTACATTGGCAGAACAAGCAAAGAGCTACTGAAAATAATCCAAAACAACTGCCTCTGGGGCTGTGGAACCCGGATTGCTTCGCGACGGACGCGAATAATGTCGTGCAGCTCCCGGTGAGAAGTTCCTGCGTGTGTGTTGCGGACCCGGACCGGTTCGTTGACGCGGAAGACCACCTGGCGGTTTTGGAGGATGAGCAATGTCGGGAGTTTCAGTCCCCCTCCGCCCGGTTTGAACAGCTGCACTTGATGGAGCGGTTTCAGCGGCGGAGCCAACTCCGACGGACGTGGTCGCTGCCCGAAGCAAACGACCGTAATATAATGGACTGGGCTGCAGAGGAGGAGGCGGTGAAAACGTCCTCTTTCGAGGTGTTCGCTGCGGTGGAAGAGGATTATGGTGCGGAGGACAAAATAATCGAGGGAAAAGATCATAAAATTGCAGATAAAGAAGACGGGGTTGGAGTTGCAAATACAAGTGCTGAAGAACTTTCTGTGCCAGAAGAGGACGACCCTGAAATAGCTCATCCAGGTGAAGAGAAGTTCAATATCACGCGCGGGGAGTTCCTCGAGCACCACGGGTTCCCAACGAATTTGTTCCAGAAAAATGCGCGCAGCCAGGAAAAATTTCTCGGGTACAGTCAGTGGCGCCAGGACTGGTTTCTGTTCCACAACTTCTTTCGCTACAGCCCGAGCAATGGGAGGCAGGGGTTCTTCCTCGATCTCGGCGCCTCGCAGCCGACGATATTGTCGAACACCGCGGCGTTCGAAAAGTGTCTGGACTGGAAAGGACTCTGCGTGGAGCCGAACCCCAGTCGGATCCCAGCCCTGCTAACCTACCGGAACTGTTTGGTCGTGCCCTTCTGTGTGGCGAAAAAGGAAAAAGTTCTCACGCTCATGACCGACCACGCAGGCGCGGCGGAGGGCATGGCGTCGGAGGCTGCGGAGCCCAGTGCCGTGCCGGACAAGGAGTTTGAAGACGAGAACGCGGTGGACTCTCTGTGTTTTCGGCTGGAGAAACTTTTGGATCAAATCAGCGTCGGAAGTGCCTCAGAGGTCAGGCACGCGAAGAGCAGGCTTGATGGTGGAGGACAGAGCGGAAGCGGCATCGTGGATGATGCAGACGATGTAGTAGAAGAGGGGCTGACTATAGATCTCATTTCTCTTGACGTCGAAGGCCAGGAGGTCGATATTTTGGAAAAGTTCCCCTTCAATAAGTTTTACATCCGCGTGTTTCTCATCGAAACGGACCACAGCAACTCCCTGAAACTGGACATCCTCTTGATTGCCGGGGGGTACGTAAAGGTTGCCTTGCTGGGGAAAGATGCCATGTACATCCACCACAAGTTTGCGAAAGAGCTAGCGACGTGGGGAAAGGAAAATCCGCTCGCCGTTGAGTACCCGGAATACGTCACAATACATCCCTATTACGAGCATTTTTCCACCTTCCAGCGCCGGTTTCTAGACCCCGACTTCGGGGAAAGAAGATGATGAAAAGGGGAAAGGGAGATGCACTCCTGAAAAAGGAGGGGTGAGGAAGCATGTGGAAGCATGACAGTTGTAGTTTTTTTTTGTAAGTAGCTGGAAAACAACAAGAAAAGGTAGAACAGTAAAGAATTGTATATTGAAAATCTCGGGAATAATGATCACGAAAACCGCGGGAATAATGATCCTACCGGTACTAGTCTCGGTGGCCTGACTTTGCAACAGTTCCAAAATCGGGATAAGGTTAAAGACTTGCAAGTACCGTCTGCGTCCGGCTCCCAGCAGCAACAGCAACAAGCTTCTACGTCTTCTGGTAGCAACATCAACAATTCTTCTAAAAGTAATGCTGTTAATACCGGTGCCAGATCCTCCAGTCCTTCAGCCGGTTCGTCTCTGGCTCGACGCATGCAGGACACGCACCTCTCGGACGAAGATGATGATATGAAGGAGGAAAATAGTCGTGAGGACCGGTCTAACAAGCTGCAGCGTACTAATCGTGAAGGCAGGCATCGGGCCCGCAGTAAGAATTCGGACCCACGATCCAGCCGTGAGGAAAATCGTAGCCGGGAACGCGAAAGAAAGACGCCAGCAAACAGTCCAGGCGGCAGCCCCTCCCTCCAGCCGCAAGACAAAAATAAAACGAATCAGAACCCGTTTACCCAGCGGGCTGAAGATATGAATGGAGTGGAGGAAGTTAGAGGATAGATTGCTTTCGGCTTCACGAATATTGCTTACAACTAATTAATCGCTTTCGCATTAATCACACCGATGGTTGCCTGAAGTGCATCAGGCGTGAGAACCGGGATGACATTTTGATGCGCTCTATTTTTACTTGTATTCGCATTTGCATACTCATCTCTGTGCTGTTTTGCAGTGCATCAATCACTTGGCTCTTTATTTCCTGCATTTGCATGACTTACTGTTTGCTGCCGCACGGGCAGCCATTTACGTCTGATGAGCGCGTCTTTGCTACAGGATGGAAAATTTGAAACTTGTATGTTTTGGTGAGGAGTTCTCCCTTTTCCCTTTCTTCTGAAATGATGTGCTTTGGACAAAACCGATGCTCAGTCGTAAATATATTTGTGTTGCATAAATGAGCTTTTTCGCACGTTCACACACAAATTTGTATTGCAAAAATCTTGGTTCTCGCATGATCCGGTTTTGTTCTTGGATAAATGCCAACTCTCGAAAGCAGCATCACAAAAATGCATTACAAGTTGCGCTTTCTTATGCTGAGTTCTTCCCCATGCAAAATCATAATAAGGTCCTGAGATCGGAAGATCCAAAGGATGAAAGTTCAAAAAGGAAATTATAATCAGGCTCTTTCTTCATGCTTTTCATTATTCATGCTGTTTTTCATTATATTTTTGAGGTGACTAACCAGAAATAACTAGCTATCTAGCATAGGCACTATCGTATTTTGTTAGGTTTACGATTAGGACGTGGTATACGCTAGCTGCGCAAGTCGGTTAACAGTGAACCGGTACCCACGGGTGTTGACCGATCGACCTATTGCCAGCTAGGGGAGCACCCATGCGGTGGCAGGATCCAGCGCCCCTAGGTCGGGGGCGCTCCTGCCTTCGCCGTATGGGACCCCGTGGGCAGAAGTATCCACTCGCGCGCCGCGCCCGCTCTAGTTAGGGTCTACTTTCGTTCCTCTTCTTCTCTTCATTCAAACACGACAGGATAAGCACACAAAAATACGCAGTTCGCCCCGGCTACAGTGATCTACTTAAACTTCAATTTTGATTTTACATTGCAATATATTGAAAATCTAGATTAAGGGGAAAAGAAGTTAGTTGTTGGTCTTCGTCAGTAGCTGGAAAACAGCATTAAAAGTTTGGATAAAAGGAACAAAAAAGTTAGTTTTCAGTAGCTGGAAAACAGCAAAAAGCAAGTAGAACAGGAAAAAGTCAAAACTTTTGGAAAAAAAAGGAAAAAGAGATTAGGAAACGCGGCAAGATTTTTTTGTCCAAGGAACACGCAAGTTGTTGATCAGATGAGGCGCAAGTCCAAAAAACCAGAGGAGACATATTTATACGGTCCAACACTGTTCAGCTTCTCATCACCATGATCAGAACGAAATTGGACCCTGATTGGATCTTCAGAATCGTGGCGGCGCTAGTATAGATCACCAAAAGACACCAGAGTGACGGATCATCGACGACAAGTTACAGATTGTGTGAAACAAAAAGTTTTTTGATGCTCCGTCGATGAATCTATTATGTTTGCAGGCAAAACTTTCTGAAGTGCGTCGTTGGCCGGTGCTTCAGGAAAAAATAGACTTGGTTACTACGCAATCGATACAATGATGGTTTTAGAACTCGCTTCGATTAGTGTCGCGTAGGAGTCTTTCTCCACTTTGCCTCTAGCTTATTTTACTATTGCCAAGAGCAGCAAAAACCATGGCGCACTCGCTCGCGTACGAGGTGAAGAAGATCCAGGAGCTGAACGAACAGGAGCTCGCGCGGGGCATTTTCGATGCGAAACACTCCTGGCACCGAGAATTCCGGGAGTCGGCGTATGTCCGCGTCGATCATCTAGACAAAAGGCTCACGGAGGGTGATCTATCAGAGTGAAAAATCCCCCCTCCCCATATCGAAACGAAGTTTCTGATGCTGGATTTCCATACACAAATCAGATTTGTCTTGCAGTAGAGGAATGCAGGCATATGTCAAGCCTCAGTCGAGGAGTTTGACGTAGGCGCCTAGCATGACAAACGTGTATGCTCTAAGCCAAACAGCATCACAAACCGCCTGCAAAATGCGGAACGCTTTCTGGACTTGCCTTCTTGCAAGACAGACAGGATTTGAGTTCGCAAATGCGCATCACAAATTTTCAGACGGATACGTTTTCGATATGGGGAGGGTGGATTTTTCCTTCTGATATGATCTCGTCACTGTTTTTTCCCAGTTTGGCGAGATCGCGGACCTCCGGTTGATAAGGGACAAAGAGATATCCTGAGTAAAAATGTCCCCACCCCAGAGTTGTCATGCAAATCTGCATCCCAAAAAAGTTTGTCATGCGGAGCCCCATGAGAGCCATTTTCTAATCCTGTTTTGGAATTTGTGATGCTAGAATCAGCATGATATGCTACATCTGTAATGCTTCGGAACTAGCTAAACAGAATTACACTACGAGGATAAACCTGTCATGCGAAACAACCAGAGGTGGCTGATTTGTCTAGCGGATTTCCCATCTTGACTCTGGTGTGGGGACATTTTTACCCAGGATAAGAGACGGGAAAGTCGCGCGGATTCTGCTTTGTCTGCTACGAGGACACGCGGTCGGCCGCCTACGCCGTCGACAATATGAACGGCTACCAATTGTGCGGGAAAGTGATGAAGGTGATGCACGTATTGAAATACGAGGTTCCCATCTTATTAGACGAAACGCAAGTAGACGCCGAGGGGAACCCAATTCAGCTGGAGTACAAACCGACTGGTGCGGAGGGCTACGGCGTCGGCATCACCGCACAGTTATCCAGTGTGAAAGCGGACATAAAAACGAAACACATCAGCACGAGCAGCAACAAGAAAACGCTGATGGACGAGGAAGATGCGGATTTGGAGATGTTTGAGCAGCAGCTCGTGAAAACGGCGGAAAAAGGGAAATTGTTGCAGGACAAAGCCACGAAAAAAGCGGAGAAGAAGCGGCTGAAAAAGGAAAAGAAAAAGGAAAAGAAACGAAGGAAAAAAGAGAAGAAGAGAAAAGAGAAAAAGCTGAACACGGGCAGAAATAACCAAGCTGTCGATTCAGACAGCGACAGCTCTTCATCTTCCTCCTCGTCTAGCAGCAGTAGCGACAGCTCGCCCGCTGCGCGAAAAAGTGCACGGGAAACAGTACGGAAGCGGTCTCGTGGGAGAAATAAATGATTGGGAATTTTGTTGTACCAATCGCATTTTGTCAATGATAATGTATTCACTTTAGCGAAGCACGTGTTCTTTCCACTGTGCCAACATGGAAAACGAACGCACTGTAGCGACTCATATCATTTCATGTTCAAAAAGCGACAGTAAAATCTAGTTCCTTCAAGAACATTTGAGAACAAAGGCAAAGGGTTCTACGACGCGCCCCACTCTACTACTGTGCAGGCATGATCTGCGGATGTGTTCTCCGGTTGCCGGTTGCGCATTGATCTCTTCCGAGCTGCACTTAGCGCTCGTCTCGACGTGAGGCTCGCGCCGCAAATCGCGAGCGCTTTTTTTTAACAATACATGATTGTATTCTGCAGCTTTTTTCCGTAGCTTCGTTTCGTTTCGTTTCGTTCTGATGCCTCGGCGAGGCGTCAGAGTCTTTGGCCCTGCAGTTCTTGTTCTTTTCTCGACTCGTTCTCAACAGCTCGAGGAGATGATACATAGTGCGAAAGAGTAGAAGGTAGCTTCTTGAGCGGCTTGGTTTTGGAAAGCTATAGTCGTGCAAAGACAAGAAACAAGCTTTTTGTGTTGAACAATTATTGTAATTGTAACAATGTGTTGTTCGTAGCCATTGTTGCTCAAGACTTTAAGACTTGTCGTTGTCAACGTTGCAGATCATCAACGTGCACATCATGCAGCACAAACCGGCGACGGTTCTTGCGCAGGTGGGCCAGCGGAGTGGTACTAGAGTGGGACAGTTCCGTCACAAGAACTCTCGTCTCCAGTCGGAGGTCCGGAGAAAATTGTCCCTTGCGGGTGGTGGAGCGCAGCTTCTTTTCCTGCTTTATCATCTCGTCGTCCAGTGTAAACGCGCGAGTGCGGCGGTGGAGGAGGAGACAAGCACGACGATTTTCAACAAAGAGGAACATGTGATGTTGGCGTCCCGGGTAGGTTTTCGGTCGCCTATGGGCCGGTCAGGACCGCAACAAGTACTAGACCACGCGCGCCGGTATGAAGCTGAGACGACCTCCCAACAATTCCTCGTACAGTCGCCAGGAGTTCTACTTGGGGAAACAACAAGAACCGATGGTGCGTCACCATTGGGGTCGTGGTCTCGAGCGGACGAAGCACAAGACCACCCTGGCACAGAAAGTGCGTCCGTCTCCGACTTGAGATTCGTTCCGACGCACCAGGAAGTAGAGACCGCGAGCGGCGGAGGGATAGGACATCAACCCGCGACCAGAACAAGTGAGATGCTGCAACTGCGCGCCGACGACGCGGAAGCCGCGGGGAGTAGCGCTGTGACGACAATGACCACTACTGCTTCCACCGGGACAACTGATTCCGCAGTGCAAGCTCTCGCATTGCAGTTGCAACAAATGGAGCAAGAGTTGCGGGTGCTGCGGGAAGCCACGACGCGGCGCTTCGCCGAGGAAAGGAACGCGACGGACACCCGTTTTGCGAAAGAAAAAAACGAGACGGAGCGCCGCTTTGTCACTGTTCGCAACGTGGGCTCGATTAACGAAATCATTCTGCAGCGCCTGCTCGCCGTTACCATCGCGAGGACGCGCACGGACGGTTTTACCTCCGTGGTCTTTCTTGTCGTTGGATTTATTGCCGCGGTGGTCGGAACGATTTTGCCTACGGCCCTGGTGTTTTTTCCGACCATTCAAGAAATGCCCGTCGTTGTGGTGGGTGATGATGAATACGCTTCTAGAGGTCGCCTCCGCGCCGGCGCGGAAGGCGAGGACGATGGTGAGAGCACCACAGGCGAGCAGCCGCAGCAGGAACTACCTGCGCAACAAGAAGCCGGGGCCGCCGTGGTAGAGACCGAGACCTACTATTTTCTCCCGGAAGATTTCGTTGACACAGGCACACTTTCAAACGTGTGCTGTAGTCACGGCTCGGCCCAGGGGAAGATATGGTCATCCTGTCTCGTCTGCTATGCGATGTCCATGCTACTTAGTCGCTACACCTTCAAACTGTATCCGGATTGGTGTCCGTTCAATCAGGACGACGACGCGCCAGATCTTGCCACTGCCGAGCTTGGGCTGGGGGAGGTGAGTAGTTTCCACGAGGTGGCTTACCGAATGCTTTGGTTGCTGGTTCCGAACATCCTCTTCATCCTGCTTGCAGCAATTCCCACGGTAAACGGGCCTGGAGCTCGATCCGGACAAAGGAATATGAACTCCAACACTCCTTCACCTCCGCCTCCTTCAGGACTGCGGCCAGTTCCTCTGTTGGGCGAGTCCGTGCCGCATGTGCAGGGCGTCAATCCCGATAATTTGCGCGAAAACGCCACCAGTCATGCGTCGAACAGTACTGCGGGTTCCGCCCAAGAAGCCTTCTTGACACGAAACCGAGGCTGGCTCAAGTTCATGCACGTCGGACTGGCGGGGATAGCGGTTGGTGGGCTCCTTTTCGCTGAGACTCTACAGCTTTTCGTAGGCGAGGGCGTCCACGTCGTCAATTTATTCACGATGTCGGGCGAAAGCGCCATGAACGCGGCCTGGCACGACGCGTCGTGGTTGGAGCACCGGATGTCGCCGAGTCTGTTTACCGCTGAGACGTCGGAGTGTCACGGTATGTGGCCGCCCGAGAAGATGCTTCCCAAAATCTTTCGTTTTCGGGTGGTCACTATTCTTCTCGCATTCGTCAGCGGGGTCTGCTGTGCGGTTTCTTCCCTTGCGCTCGACAAGATTAGAAGTGAAGTCGTTGACGACAAAATCGTGCGAATGCAGAAGGGGGCGCTCGTACCCACGCGCAGCACCAGTCTCTTCCTGCCACGTCTTGTGTACACCTTCGAGCTGGTCACAATGTTGCTCGTGTGGACCCTTCCTTTCTATCCTGCGCTCATCAATGAGTACCGATATTATGACGATTTTCGTGCACTGAACCAAGACATCACGACTCAAGTGGGCACGATTTACCGTTTCCATTCTGACGCCCTCCCGCAATGCGGAACGTATTTTGACCTCGCTGCTCCGCGTGTCTGCAGTGATCTGGATCAAAATCCGTATAACATTCATTTGTACAATACCGGCGACCCCGCCGAGGGTGGTGATTCGAAGTGGATGTGGTGGCAGGCGGAACAAAGCGGCAACGTTCCCATCGTGAATGCAGGAGGCCTGGATCCGGCGTTGCCATGGAAGAACTGGCTAGCCTGGACACAAGAGCGCTGGCACTGGCGCGAGGCCGCGGCTGGGCTCAATTTCACTGCAAATTCTTCGTGAAGATGAAGGTGCAAAAATATTATATATTCAATTGCGGAAGCGGTCGTCTCTGTTGCTGTTCTCTCCCCGATTTGTTCATGCCCTCCACCTTATTTGCTTTCACTGCTGTCGCTCGTTCACCTACCTCCGGGTTGTTCATCTTCAACGGATCTCCTGTTCGATTGTTCAGTGAAAAGTCTACTTCCCATTCGGCAAAAATACTGTGGTTAGGGGAGGAGGTTGATTGAAGAGCGCTGTGAGGGTCCTGTTGGCTGCTATGTGGTATACCTTTTTTCCCTCAAGAGCAAGAGCAGAGCAAGTGTGGCGCAATGTAGAGAAGCAGCATTTCTCTAGTTCGATTGTTCCTTTGAAGTTTTCTATAATGATCATTCGGGATATCGTTGTTCTTGTTTCAGTTTTTTGGAGTTGCTGGAGATGTTTGGTGATTCTAGTGCCCACAGGAAGGCTTAATTTCTTTGTTGTATTTCTCTTAATGTTGTGCTGTTGCTGATGTGGGAGTTACCCGTAGTATTGTTTTATGCTGTAGTGCTATTACTGTAGGAGTTGCCCGGAGTATCGTTTTACTGCTGTGCTGGTTGTTGCTGCTGCTATGCTCTGCTGAGTCCCAAGTGAAAGAGAAAAACAGAGATCCCCAGATATTCGCTGCCATAATCGGCTTTGTCGACTGGCTAGCGCTTTTTTGTAGATGTTTGTATGCTGACGAGGTACAACAACCTGGGAGCCGCATCCTCCCGTACGAGGTGAGACGCAAATTTAGGCCTTCGCCCTCCCCTTTTGGGAGTTCCGCCAGCGCGGCTTTGCTGAATCCAATGCAATGTAATATATCGTGTGTTTTGTGAGGGAGCAGAAATAAGTTCGGAAATGAGCGGACCACAAGCAGATTTCAGGTTTTCATGTCGGGCTCTTCGGAAACTCATAGCACCAACAGGATTTTTGATACTAGCGTTCACTGAATTTAGGTCGGTCGCCGGCCGACAAGCCGCGTCACGTTTCGTCTCAAGTGGTTGCTTCGAATGAGACGGGTGTGCTCGTAGACCCATTGTCACATGGCGGGCGACCGGGATAGCCGCCGCAATGAGCGAGAGGACCCTTGCTGGACCGGGAAAGCAGCAACCTGCCTGAGCGGGACTGGCGGGCATGGGCACTTTTCGTTTTCTTCTGGTTTGTTTTCACCTGGCTGCTGCAAAAACTCGGGTTTATATGATTGATGTACGGTGGTCGTACGGAAAAAGACAAATAATCTGGCTTGTCGTGCTTTCGTGCATCGCAAATGCAAGACTAGACAGGTCAGTCTGATCGGTGTAGTTTCTAACTACGCTAAGTGCGTAAAGCCTAGACAGAGCACAACCAAGATAGATGCTACTGCTCGCGAAATATCATACTAAGATTGTTGTGTTACTGAAAAATTCAATCAAGTGCGGTGTCGTTACAAAGTAATCGATCGGTATGTGCATATGAAGATATTGGCAGAAGTAAAGTTCGGGCAGGCTTCTTGTGCTTTTGGTGCATCGGCAAAAAGTGAGCGTGATACTGAGGGACAGTGAAGATCGAAAAAGCGCGCTATGTATAAGTATCTGAAAAGAGTAGAATCACAATCATGCACAACTACTGCGTAGGGCAGAGCGTACTTTTCTCAAATCGGACTTGGCTACCTCAGGTCAACACTGGAACTCATAAGTGGTGCGCATAGACATTCCCGTGAGGCGCAACTTTTTTCTATACCTAGAGAATTTTTACTTGTGAGACGAGGAGCGACTGCGATGGATATACTTACGTACCTTCATGCTCTATTGCTGTATGGCCCTGGTGGCTAGTTTATTTGTTTACTACGGCGTCGCAGTCGCGATAGTCGCACTGAAATCTGTAGAAAATCGTGGCGTGTCCGAGGGAGCAACATGACAATACATAGACACCCAAACAAGGTTACCTACCACGTCAACAGGGAGTTTTCCTCAGCACAAGCATAATTAAGACGCACGGCCCTCGAGGACCGGCATAAATATGTCGACAGAAAGGGAGCTGGAACGGCGGCAGATGCAGGAGCGAACCGCATCGACCCGCCGGACGATGAGTGAGCCCGGAGGTTCTCTTCTAGATGGCGTCGCTCCTGCTTCGCAATCCTCCTCGTCCCAACATCAGGGACAGCATCTGTTGCGCGGCTCCGCTGGAAGGACAGTTCTTTCACAGGGTGGAGTGATTGTCGGTGCATCAGGAGCGAGCGGCAGCAGTTCCGCTGACAATACTCGAAGCAGAACAGCAGGCAGGACCACTCCGGCCTCGTCAAAATTTTCCGTGCCCTACTATGAAGGAACCGGTGCGATTGCAGCATCAGGAACTTCTTTCGGTAGCAGGAGTAGCTCCAGTGCTAGTATGGAAACAGATCATGGAGATGGAACGACATCAGCGAGTGCAGCAGCTCGCGGCCTCCAGGTGGAGGAAAATAGAAATACAGGATTGCAAAAAAGACATCGTCGGGAAGATCAACATGAACATATCATGCACCAGTTCCGGAACGGAAGAAATCAAAATCACGAGCAATCCCTCCTGGTCTTCCACAAATACTACCTAGAGGACGATATCAGCCAGTTGATAAACGCGCAGAAACGGCTCCTGGTGGAGAAGAACTCTTTTTTATCCGGGGGTTTGATCGTGGGCCTGGTGATCGGGTTTCTCTTTCTTTTCGCCGGCTTCCTCTGGACGCGGCGGTGGGTGAAGCAGAACGTAATGGGCGAGACCAACAAGGACCTGTTCTTTCAGATGTCGACCAAGCACGAGCGGCTGGCGGAAGCGAATAAACACATCCACCTGACTATCGTGATGAAAAACGTCCCCACACCAGAGTCAAGATGGGGATTTTGCAACACAAACCTAGGAGTTTTGGGAGTCACGCATGACAAGTTTCAGTCCGTAAGGTAGTGCAAGTTAGCAAGGAAAGCCGCATCACAAATCGATCTGCTGATCCTGTTTACAGCATTACAAGTTCCCAAACACGATTGAAAATACCTGTCATGGGGTTGCGCATCACAAATGTTCCTGTCATGGCAAATCTGCATGACAACTCTGGTGTGGGGACGTTTTTACTCAGGATACTGACCCGGAAGACCGCGGAGATGCACCACCCGACTTTGTATCAACTGTAAAAATGTCTGGGTCTGGAAGAAAAAGAATGCAACTTGTGATGCTGAATTTGGATTCCAAAAAAATCTGTATTGCATGAGCAGCAAAGGGAATGCGATTTTTGCTACGCGGAGAGGGCATTTGTCATGCGGAATAGGCATCGCGAAGCCCTCAAAAAATCTGTGATGCTAGGGCATGCATCACAGACATCATGGCCAATGCAAAACATGCATGACAAGTGTGTCAGACATTTTTACATTTGATACTTTGGAGTCCTTAGACGGCAGTGTGTGGGAGGTAAAAGTGATCGACCACTACAGAAATTCGGGGCGAGTCACCCTACCGGAAGCTCCCGTGGAATATGACGACGATATGAGGCCTGTACTGTGACTGATTGCATTTTGATGTTTTCGCTATTTTGATTGCATTTCGACTTCCATGTTCCACTCAGCTGCTGTTGAATTGTTCACGATAGTACTTTTTCGTCATGGACGCTGCAGTAGGAGGTTTCTGTCTACACGATCATACTGTAGTCGCACCCGGTAAATAAAAACCTCAGGTCGTCAGCAAGGCGTTTAGCGGGCACTACCGATTTTCACTCACCTTCAACCTCGGGCACATGTACAACATCACCGGCCTCGGGTTCGACGAGACCGATGGCACCAGTACGCTGCAGGGCTTCTATGAGGAGACCAACGGCGTGATGATTTTCGAAGAGAAGTTTCAGCGCACGGACAGCAACACGCGGCAACCGATGAAGGCCATGGTGGAGTTGCTACTGCTCGGGCACGTGGGGCAAAGACGGTCCATGAAGGGCAAGTCCGTTCCCACCACCAGAATACCGCCCTGCATCATTGTCGGAGCCGACTGTTCCGACGGCGCCGATACCTCTTTACCAATTGCAGAGGAATTTAGATTGCCCGGTATATAGCTTTTAAGAAATAATAAATCATGGAAAACTTTCGTTGGAGTTCAGTGTTTTCGTTCTGTGTCGGACTAGATGACGAGTACTTACATAGATACTGTGCCACACGCATAGAAGCTTAAACCGCTCGTCCAAACATTACTTATCAGGCGACGACAGCACCGGGGGGTACAAGAAAAAGCGGAGCCGGGTATATTGAGAGGAAAAATCCCCCCTCCCCATATCAAAACAAAATTTCTGATGCTGGATTTGTGTACACAAATCCGAGCTGTCTTGCTGGAGAGCACTGCAGGCCCATATCAAGTGTGAGTAGTAGAGAGGTTTTGGCCTAGGCACTTAGCATGAAAAACGTCAGCGCTGTAGGCCCGACAGCATGGCAATCCGCCTGCACAATGCGGCGGAGCCTGCGGAGTTGCCTTCTTGCAAGACAGACACGATTTGTGACCACGTATCAGCATCACAAATTTCCAAATGGCAATGGCAATGTCGGTGCATCACAAATTTCCTACGCTGGACAATGGCAATGTCGGTGCGGTTGTTTTAGCATCACAAATTTCCAAAAATATACCTTTTCAGTATGGGGAGGGGGGGACTTTTCCTTTTGATAGGGTACCGGCGAAGCCCATGGCGGGGTTGGTGCGGAAGATGACGGGCGCGTTCGGTCTGGAGGTCAAGGAGAAGAAGCCGGGTTCCCCCACCAGCAGCCGGAAACTGGCCCCAGAGCCAACGAGCTTGAACCCCAACGATAAGAGTCCGCGGGTGTCGGACGTTGGAAAAGGGAAGAAACCGGCGGCGAGCCCGCGCGGCGGAGTGGTTCACGACCCGCGGGACGACGATTTTCTGGAGAAACTGAAGAAGCAGGAGGTCAGCGCGATGAGGGTGCAGGCGGCCGCCCGTGGTCGACTCGCCAGGAAGAAAACCAGTCCGATGCTGAAGGAGAGGCGCAAGGAGGGTTTGAAACAAGCCGGTTACGCCATGCAGGGACGATAGGCGGTTGTGGGCAGAGACCGGGAAGGCGATCATGATCCTGTGGCTTACATACTGCTTCTCCTTCTTATTTTTCACTTGGCGAGTTTCGTGAGCCGGTTTTTGTTGACAAAGAAAAGCTGTGAATATACAGCCAAACGCGGGATGAGCATACTGTTTGTTTGGTTGTGAGTTTCTGAAAGTTCTTGTGGTTTTGATGAAGATGCTGATTTCAAATTATAACGCAGCGTGACGTTTCTTGTTTCTTGAAACTGCAATGAGTAGACCCGCTCAATGGCACACATAGCGACCCATTCCGTTTCTCAAAATGTACTTAGATTTTTTGCCCATTGCTCGCGAAGCTGGGTGCACGAACAAAGCAACAAGCCGCACAAGCGAAACAAGCACAGTACAGTAGTAATGCGAACACATCGACATTTTCGAATACGAATTCCAATCCTCGCGCTTCCAAAAAAACGCGAGAAGATACCGCCCACCTTTCTGGTGCAGGTAAGCACGTCGGTGTTCCAGTTGTTGCGATTCAGAGCACGTCGTGAGTGAGGAAAATTGCAAGTAGACCGTGACAGTGGAGTTGCTTACGAGAGTGCAGCTATGCGCGTACTCTCCGCTTTCCTTCTACTACGGTAGTTCTAGTTTCTGCTTTACTTACCACAGTTTCATCACACGTCGCACAGCGCTTGTAAGTGAATGCGCTGTTCTTCCTTATCTTCTGGTGCTGCAAAAGGCACGGCAAGTTGAAGTCACTGGAAGAACACCCCTCCAGCACTGCATCCCACAAGATGTCCGGCGAGGAAGAAACCAGGCTCTCCTTGAGCCCGGAGAGCAAGAAGAGTCGGGCGAAGGCCATTCAGAAGGAGATCCGGGCACTTGAGCGTGACTTGCTTTCCCTGGATCCCAGTCTCGCGGCGAAAACCCGGCGTGGAGGCTGCTGCGGCGGAAGCAAGCCCAGGCCTGGCACTCCGTCGTCGGTGTCCTATCAAATGCAAAAATGTCTGGGTCTGGAAAAGTCATGCTGCTTTTGCATGACGCATAAGGTCTGGCATGGAAGCTCTAGCATCACAGATTTCGAGAAGCTTCCGCAATGCCGAATCCGCATGACAAACGCCCCATTTTGGTGACAGAAAGTGGGCAGCTTTTGATTTTTATGTGTTGTGAAATGCGCATCACAAGTTCGCATTCCTCCAGACCCAGACATATTTGCAATGCATATGTCCTCCCCAAATGACAAAGTCGTGGAGGATGAGATCAAAGCGGAGTTGTCAGCGGAGGAAATGAAGCAGGGCCACGAGTACCCGCTGAATTTTGCGATGAAGGTACGAGTTTCTTGTTAGTATCGACGCTGGTTCGTGCTGTACATAGGAAACACAAAAAGCATAAAAAACCATCCGACACCAAGATGAAACCGCGGCTTTTGAAAGATTTTCCCCCATGGCAATTTCCCTCTTGGAGGATCATCTTTTCAAAATTCGGAAAAAAAAAACACAGATGATGCACGTGCTGTGGCCGAACGCAGAGCGTGCTTTCGCTCGGAAAATCCAGTACAACATTGTCCCGTTGCTCGCGAAGGATCTCCCCCCTGCGATGCAGGACATCACCGTGAGTCGGATCTACCTCGGCAAAGCGCGGCCGAAAATGGGGCCACTGCGGCTCATTCCGCCGAACTACCGAGCGCAGGTCCGCGCGAGTCGCGCCGACCGCGGGGGCAGTGTCGTATTACAATGAAAAATACCCCCACCCCCAAAGTTGCAATAACAGAGAAATTTATAGACAGGGAGTAGGGAGGACCAGGGAGGACCAGGGAGGAGCGTTCGCGTCTATATAGAAAAAGCATCGGGCATTTTTTCAAAATGTGTTCACCGATGGCATGGCGAACTTTCGGGCCAAGGCCCCTTCAGCTTTCTGATAGCCATACCAATAACAACTGCGTGGCCCGAAATTGAACAGCGACGCAGTAAATTGTTGAAGTAGCCACTTCAACAGTTTGCGTTGTTGTTCAGTTTACAACTTGCCATGCAGTTGTTATGGAAGTGGCTACTTCAATTCGCACAGGCAAACTGTTGAAGTTGCCATTTCAAAAACTTGCGTTGTGCAAATTTTTGAAGTAGTCACTTCAACAATTTGCGTTCTTGTTGTTGTTCGGCTTGGGTTTGCAACGTGTCACGCAGCTTGTGTTGAAGTGGCTACTTCAACTTCGCGGAGAGTTGAGGTAGCCATTTGAATAGCAAGCGCATGACAAATTGCCACAATAGTGACAATTTATTGAAATTGAACAAAAATTGTGAAAGTGGCCACTTCAACAATTCGGGTTCTGCGAATTGTTGAAGTGGCCATTTCAAAAATTCGGGCTGTGCAATGTGTTGAAATGGCCATTTCAACAAAACCCGAATTGCAATTGTTGAAATGGCCATTTCAACATTTTGCACGACCCGAATTATTTCAACAATTCGCAGAACCCGAATTGTTGAAATGGCCCTTTCAACATTTTGCACAACCCGAATTGTTGAAATGGCCATTTCAACAATTCGCAGAACCCGAATTGTTGAAATGGCCATTTCAACATTTTGCACAACCCGAATTGTTGAACTGGCCATTTCAACAATTCGCAGAACCCAAATTGTTGAAGTGGCCATTTCAACAATTCGCAGAACCCGAATTGTTGAAATGGCCATTTCAACACTTTGCACAACCCAAATTGTTGAAGTGGCCATTTCAACAATTTGGGTTGTGCAAATTGTTGAAATGGCTATTTCAACAATTTGCGTTGTGCAAATTGTTGAAATAATTGTGCAAAATGTTGAAGTGGCCACTTCAGCAATTCGGGTTTTGTTGAAATGGCCAATTCAACATTTTGCACAACCCGAATTGCTGAAGTGGCCACTTCAACAATTCGCAGAACCCGAATTGTTGAAGTGGCCACTTTCACAATTTTTGTTCGCACACGACGCAAATTGTTGACATAGCCACTTCAACAATTGGCGTCGTTGTCCAGCTTCAGTTTGCAACGTGTCACGCAGCTGCTCACGACACTCTGGTGGAGAGTAGAAGTGGCCACTTCATCAAAAGCTGCATGACAAGTTGCAAACTGAACAACAACACAGATAATTCTTGCTGCAGTGGCTATAATTTGAACGCGTTTGCGTTGTTGTTCAATTTCAACAACTGCCACTACTGTGGCAATTTGTCATGCAGTTGTTATCGAAGTGGCTACTTTTTCAACTTTCTTCCGATGGATGGAGGACAGTTGGAGTAGCCACTTCAATAGTTTGCCCTTCATTTCTGCGCTACAGCTTGCCAATCATGATGGCAATTTGTAACGCAGAAACGAAGGGCAGGAGAAAGCTCTTCGCGTTTCTTTTGTCCTTCATTTCTGCATTTGTAACGCAGAAACGAAGGAGAATAAAGCTACTGAGAGTTGAGAAAGCCACTTCAACAGCTTCGCACTTACTTGGCCCCTCAGCCTCATGTGTGCGCTACAGCTTGCCAGCCGTTGACTTTGGCAAGCTGCCACGCAGGCGAGCGCCATACTTAGCCATAAAACTCAGGCGCCAAAAGTCGGGCCGCCGTGCAGTTTTCGCCGGGAGTTGGGTCCGAGGAAGGCTGGACTCCGCTCCCGGGAGCTGAATCCAGACGCGCTCTCTGTTCGTAGAGCATGGCGCAGAGCAAGGGGCGCACAAGTGGCGACCCCTGTTAGCGCAAGTTCCCCACCCACTTTCCAAAAAGTTTCCAAAGCCCCAAGCCCTTGGCGCGTCTGTTGCCCGCCAGCCGGGGCGCCGTTTGTGCGTGCCGTGCCCTCGGCTGCCCAGCTCGCGTCGCGTTTGGCATTGGGAAGACACTCCGGCGCGGCGCGCCGCCGGCCCCAATTGTATTTGGGGCCGCCTGGCACTAAGTACAAACACCGAAAGGGCTGCCCTTCGTGGGTCTTGCGCTTTTCGCCATGCCCAGGGGCGCCCGCTCCCTTTGTTGTGTCGGTGGCCCTTTTGGGGTCACCAGCGCCCCGCGCGCGCGATGTAATGTTGGCAGAGCAGCGCGGGGCGGGGGCGTTGTGGCAAGGCGGGGCCCCGCGCGGTTTTTGCAGGCCAGCCTTCGGGAGGTCCCGCGAGTGAGGTCGCCCGCGACCGGGCAAAATGGCAGGCCGGCGGGGAGGCGACTTGGCCCAGGCGCCAGGATGGCAGCGGGCGCACGCAAATGCCTCCCGCTGACCTTACCGCGGCGCCTGTGGGTGCGTCCATTGGTGCAGTAGGGTATTGCGGCTCTTTGGCGATCGCGGGCGAAGCAACTCGGGGGCGGGGGCTAAGGCCCCCCCTGCGCTAGCTTTTGATTGGGCCCGGGCTTTGGCCCCTGCGCCACCCCGGGTGGGCCGCGCCGCCCTTTGGGTGGGTCGTTAGAAGTTGCCCGGGCCAGGCCCCCCCGCCGGTTTTTTGTTGCAGAGAGAAAGAACAGCCGCGCGCCGGGGGCCCGGCGCCCGCTGGCTTTTGCGCGCGAAGCCCGGAGGCTTCTTGCGGCCGGCCGCAAGCGGCAAGCGTCTCTCTGGCCTCCGCGGCCTTGTGCGCAGCGCTCGGCCCAACCCGAGCGACCGCCCGCGGACGCCCCAAGGCCCCGGCGGCTATTTCATTCGGGCGGGCTAGGGGGGTTGGTGGTGTTCCATTTCCGCCCCGGCATAGGCGCGGGCTTCTTTTGTAGCTATGCTCGCTGGGGATGGGGTCCGGAATGGCTCCGGGCGGCTTTGGCCCGCCGCGGCCCAGCGCTGTGAGTGCTTCCGAAAGAAAGTACTTCAAGGGGGCGCCGGGTGTTTTCTGCGTTGGCTTTTCATTCTATTGGCTTTGGAAAATTTTGGGAAGGCTTCGGGGAGATATTCGGGAGGCCCCTGCCGTGCTCTTTCCAGTTTTTCCAGAAAAAAGAAGAACGGGGGGGCCCGCCTTGCGGCCTCCGCTTGGGTGCGTCTGCCCGGGCCCGCCGCACGGGAGGCGCGCCCGCATATTGGAGGCGTTGGCCCGCCCCGGGGAAAGGGTGCGCCGCAGAGCGCGGCCAGGGAGGCGGGCCAATCTGCCCTTTGCCGTCCGAGCCCGTCCCGGCGGCTTTCGCTTCTGCCCTGCCCTCCGCCCCATAGCAGTCTTTTGGCCGGCCTTGTGCTTCGGGGCAGCCAGGCGGCCTGTTGGCCCGCCTCCGTCCGCCCCGACGCGCGCCCGCCCATTTCGCCGGGGGCCCCGGGCCTTCGTTCCTTGTATTGCCCGGCCCGTGCGCGTGTCCCACGCACTCGGCGTGTGGGTGTACCGCCCGCGCCCTACCCAGAAACTGCCTGCGTGGCGCGCCCCGCCCGCGCGGGCGGGCACGAAAAAGTTCGCAGGATTTCCACCCTAACGCAAAAAATTTCGAAAAATCCACATAGCGCAAAAACAAAATCCAAAAAAAAACCAAAAAAAAACTTTTGAATTTCTTTGCTTCCCCGACGGCCTGGCCTATGTGGGGCAGCTCCCGAGTCTGTTCTCGCCCCTGTTTGTCAGAGGAGGGCCTGGCGTAGGTGTCGCATATTTGCCCGCTTGGGTGGTCCGCATCTCTTGGCCTCCGCTCCTGGTGATGAGAACCCAGAGTGGCGAATCCGTGTGGGGTTGGGCCTTCTTCTGCCGGGGAGCAGAGGTTTCCTCGTGGCGCATTTTCGCCACAGAGGATTTCTTTTTGGGTTTGGCCAGGAAAAATATTAGAAAAAATTTGAAAAAAATCCGGGAAAAATCAAGAGGCGCACAAAAAAAATTTGAAAAAAATTTTAGAAATTGGCCAATTTGCAAAAACCAATGGGATTTTGCTAATGTCGCCGATTTTCCGAAATTTTTTTTGGCCTTTTTTGAGCGCCATCGAAATTTTATCCGGCCGAATCGAAATTTTTTTTGGGCAAATCGAAATTTTTTTTAGATTTTCCTTGGCCACATGCTGAGGAAGTTCTTCACTTCAGTTCGAACGCATCCGAGCGCCCGCGTTGTCGAGCAGCCGCGCCCATCATGCCTGCGCGCCGCATCCCGCGCGCTCCCGAGGCATTTCGAGCGCGCGCGGCGTGGCGACTTCGTGTTGAGTTTCATCCCATTGCGAAGCACCGAAGGCAGCGACCCACACCCCCCCACCCTTCTGGTGCAGCCTGCAGGATGGGCCCCAACTCGCCTCCGGCCCAAGGGCCACCCCGCTACCCTTTGCGAAAATTTTAAAAAAATTCAGAAAAAAGTTGGATTTTTCGGCCCAAAAGCGTTAGGGGCAAAATCCGGCGAAAAAAAGGGGCCGGCCCCAGGACAGGCGTGCGCGGGCGAAGGGGCCCGCAGGAAGGGTGGCGCAACTTATTTTGCCCACTGGACTGACTGACTTCGCCCGGTCGGTCGCAATGGCGGTGGGCACGCACCCACGCAGGCAAACCAGCTCGGCGGCCGAACTGCCGGCGAGGGCCCGAGGAAGGATGGAGCAGAGAAGCTGCATGCCGCCGCCCTAATGAGAAGACTGGCAAAAAGAGCAGGGGCGGGGCCCGCCAAAAGTTGGGCGGCAGTGGGCCTCGGCCCGGGCATCCACCCCATGCGCGCGCCCATGCTATGGGCACCGTTGTGACAGCCGGGCGGGCCGTGTCCTGCCTGCCGCGCGCGGCTTTCTCTGGGCCCTCTCGCGTAGTTCGGGTCCAGAGGGGCCGTGGGCCTTGGTCTTGCTTTTCGTTTATCGGTCGCCGCGCCGCCGTGTCCTGCAGAACATTACTCAATAGGCATAGCCATTATTTAGTCATGACGGCGTGGCACGGGAGTAAAGACCTTGGAATTAATGCGGGCAGGGTGCCTAACCCGCGGGGGAGAAAACAATCCAAAGCCCGGGGCGGTTGGATGTGGATCAGGGGCAAATTTTGTGTATGTGCTGGAAATTTATTGTTGAAATATTAATATTTTTGAAAAGCTTTGCGCGGTCCGTTTGTAGGGTAGCTTTGCCTTTGCCATCGCGTCGCCTTATAGCTTTGTCTTTTGTCGCCGCATTCCCGACATCGCACTACCATGGGGATTGAGTATATTCCGCATGGAAAACTCGCGCAAATTGTTAAAGAGCACCATACCGCCGCGATTGGGGTTTTTATGATTTTCCGGCTTTCGGTTTTGGGTTTTATATAGCAAAATCTCCTCCCTGGTCCTCCCTACCCTGGGACCCGGGATTCTATAAACTCTTCTGCAATAACTTGTGATGCAAAGTTTCCAAATGAAAACTTTTTGTCATGCATGAAAGGCCTATGAATCTTTCTGATGCAGAGTCTAGGTGTATATCGCATTGCTTGCATGACAAGCGCCGCTCCTGCTGGGATCTTGCGCAATGCAAATTTATTCTATTCACGATTGAAAATCTGTGATGCTGATGAATGCAAGAGGGCGAATGTTTCATTTGCAAAGGTTTGCAATACAAATGCTCCCAAGTTCGGGGGTGGGGGCATTTTTCATTGTAATATGTCGGGTCCAGTGTCCACTCAAGCCCGATGTCAAAGTCGCGGGGCAATATGGAGGGCCAGCACCGCGAAGAAGTTTTTGTGCGAGATGTTGAGACGAAGCAAGGGTCTAATCTGGTCGCAGGCGGTCGCGGCGCGAGCAGCATAGCGCCGTCCCGTTTATCATTCGACAGCGAAGTGGAGCGCGTTCCGTTTATCACAGAAAACAGCTCATCTTCCTCGAGCGCATCTGCATCCGGGGAGGAAGCGGTGGATCTGAAACATGTTCCGCGAGCGAAACAAGGATCCGCACCTCGGAAGCCAGAGTCCGAACAGCCACAAGGCGCAGGTATCAGCAGTTTTCCCTTCTTCTCGTGTTTGTCCCGCTCGGGGACCGCATCGGGATCCTCGTGTTTTGGCGCGCGGGGTCCAACAGCCTCGACAGAAGGAGGAAACATCATCGGAGAACCTGCAAATAACTCGGACGAGTTGCAGGTTCAGCCGTCCGAGCAGTGCCGCTACCCCTCTGCCTCTCCGCACATCGAAGATTCTTCCTCCGGGAGCACCACGCGGTTCTTATCCGCCTGCAGCGAGAGGGCAAGTTCCCCGCCGTGCTTGAAGTCTCACTTCGCCGAGCAGTTCGCGGAGGCCCTGGAGGAGGCCACGCACGAAGCTTTCGTGATAGAGGGCGCGCATCGGCAGGAAATAAACCAAAAATCTTCCGGGACGTCTGCTGAACAAGTCGACGGCATAATTCTGGAAGACAAGGCTGCCCCGGAGAGCCGGTGCTGCACGCCGGCGAAGCAACCGACCGCGGAGGGGGAAGCGAATGACGCGGAAATTGAGGAGGGCCGAGAACCACAAAAACACATCGTCGGCGGACTCGACGAGGTCCCGCCGAGCCCGGGGAGAAACAGCGCGCGGTCCGTCCGGTCGCCCGACAAGAACCTGGATCGCTCCTGGTCGGCGGTCGCGGACTTGGTTGGGAAGGACGAGGTGGATCGGCTTGTGTGGGAGATGCCCTTCGAGTGGCGCAGCGACATGCTGGTCGAGTTCACCGCTTTGAATGGAATGATGCGGTTTGGCTGCGAAGAGTTCTACACGAAGGGGGACATGCAGATCGTGATGCGCCCCATTTTGAACGAGGTGCCCCTGTACGGCGGAATATCCGTTGGGTTTATCAATCCCCCGGAGATGGACTTCAAGTTTGTCGGGACGGGGTCCGGGCTGGCGCAAGTGCCCATGTTTGCGCGGAAGATGAAGCAGGTGGCGGTGATGGAGTTCGCCAAGCGGTTTGTGTTGCCGTACTCCATGTTCCTCCGTACCGTCCCGGTGGATAAGTTAGACCTCCCCTCCTTGAAGTTCCACGCGGTCCCGGATTTCTGCGTGCGGGTGGAGGTTTTGGAAATGCGGGACTTACCCGGGTCCGACTACCACCTGTTTTCGCAGGCCACTTCCGACCCCTACTGCGTCTTCAAGCTCGGCCCCTTGACCTACCAAACCGAGGTCGTGAAAGCGAACTTGAACCCGGTGTTCACGGAGAGAATGCGGCGGTCGGGGGAGTTTCTGGTCTACAACGCCCGGCAGCGGTTGTACGTGGAAGTCTACGATCGGGATGTTTTGTCCGCCGACGACCTCCTCGGGAAAAACGACTGGGTGATTGGCGATCTGATCGGGGCGGAACCGGTGTGGGTGGACCTGCAGATGCCCCCGGAGCTGAAATCTTCGCACAAGCACACGCGGCCGCAGATCAAGCTGAAGGTGACGAAGTTGCTGCCCGTGGTGATGCAGCCCCCGTCGGACGACAGTGACTTCCCGAACAGCACGCCCATCTCGACTGCGCGGGGGCAGTCTTTGCTGAATCTCGGCGGCGTGATAGATCCGGGCAACACGGAGATGGGGGCAAACGCGAAGAAGGCGATGCAGCGCTTCGGCTCGACGATGTCCACCGCTGTGACGAAAGCGATGTATCCTGTGCAAAAGTATCGTACTCGTACTAATTGCAGATATGCATGACAAATCCAACTTTCTACCTGAAACAGCATGACAAATTGCATTTTTGGTCTTCGGAAAATTTGTAATGCAATTATATACTAGTACGAATACGATACTTTTGCACTGCATACGATGACCAAGTCGCCGATCCCGAAGCATTTGATGCCGCGCACCTACCTTTTAGAGATAAAAGTGTACGGGTGCAACGGGTGCAAGAACAGCTCCATGTCGGCGATCAATCTGCGGTTGAACATCAAGGCGAAATCGGAAAAGGAGCACGAGAAGGTGTTATTGCAGTGAAAAGTATCCTGCACTCCTGAAATTGCAAAATTTTGTGATGCGAAGTTTCCAAATGAAAACTTTTTGTCATGCATGAAAGGAGTATGAACCTTTCTGATGCAGATTCTAGGCGTGTATCGCATCGCTTGCGTGACAAGCGCCGCTCATGCTAGGGTCTTTTGCAATGCAAATCTTTGCTATTCACAACATTGGAAACCTGTGATGCTGATAGATGCAAGAGGGCGAATGTCTCATTTGGAAAGGTTTGCATATACAAATGCTCCCAAGTTCGGGGGTGGGGGCATTTTTCATCGTAATAGGTGTTCTTCGACACGGCGCGGTCGTTGGTCGCGACGATGAAGCTATCAAATGTAAAAATGTCTGGGTCTGGAAGAATTCAACTTGTGATGCTAAGTTTGGACTCCAAAAAAATCTGTATTGCATGAGCAGCAAAGGGAGTGTAATTTTTGCTGCGCGGAGAGGGCATTTGTCATACGGAATAGGCATCGCGAGGCCCTCAAAAAATCTGTGATGCTAGGGCATGCATCACAGACATCATGGCCCAGGCAAAACATGCATGACAAGCCTCAGAATCTTCCAGACCCAGACATTTTTACATTTGATAGAAGCTCCCCCAGAACCCGACCTTGCAGAAGGGGAGCAGCGTTCCCGTCTCCTCCGAAGTGGTGCAGCAGCTGCGCTTCGCGGGCTACTCCGCAGCGAAGATCGCACACTTTCTCGGCGTAAATTTGGCTGACGTAGATAATCACCTGCGCGGGGCGCACGAGGAGCTGTGGTGCAAGTCGTTCTTCGTGTTCGTGCGTGACCCGTCGATCACGCGGGTGAAATTGGCGGTGTTAGGGTCCAAGAACCAGTTTTCCGCGGACCCGACCAAGTACAAGAAGTACCAAGACGAAAAGCAGTCCGTGTTGCCCGGAGCAAAAATCGCGGTCGGGGTGGTCAATAAGCTTTCCTCCGTCGCGCGCGCCGGGAGCCGGGTGTTCGGCAGCGGGGCGGAGAAATCAAGAAAGTCGAAAAGACGCTCCTCGTCTGCGGGAAGCAGCGATAGTCTCGGGAATGTGCCGGGTAAGTACTAGGGTTCTTTGTTGAATCGGTACCAGTAGAAGACTCTTTGTCGTGCAGTTGTGATTGATTTTCGCGATCATTTACTTGGTCGCTATTGCTAGTCGTGTGGTCGAAAAATAAAAATATAAAAAGGCGATGGCGAACACAAAATTCAGGCGCGTCCAAAGACGCTTTGGTTGAAGAAAGCGACGACGAAGAGGAGGAAAAGCCCGAGGATCCCAACGACCCAGCGTTTACGGAGCACTTGGACGAGATCCGGCCACCGAATACCTACGAATTGAAAACGCTTCTGAAAAGGATGAACTACGCGGAGCGGCTGTCCATGAAGCCGGGAATTGCGGGGCCAGCCGCTGGATTGGACGTGGACATCTCGTTTCAACTGCGGTACCTGCAGGAAGAGGACGAGGAAGAGGATAGGCTGGCGTAAGAAAAACGTGGAAGGGATTTGTTTTTACGTTGAAGAGAATTTCAACGTAGAAATAGAAGGGCGAATGCGTGTCATCAATGTCGTTCTCTACCTTCTGCGATTTCGTTCGAAAGCGTGCTACGGTAATACAGCATTTTTTTGTAGTAGTACAGCAGTATCAGAGCTACAAGACAATTCTTCAAAATTTGATGTAATCAGTATCAGATGAGATGAAGCGACTGTACGATTTAGAGTTTTATTTTGCATGTTCAGAATGGTCCTACCATGACATCAGGACACCCGCGTGGAGCAGGGGATTAGTTTTTTGCATGTACGATATGTTCCTCAACGAACTACAAACAACGGAAACACAAAATTTCCAATTGTACACAACTATTTGAAAATCTTGACTTGTCCGCGGAGCCGGCGCACGCGTCGTTTATTCTTTTTGTGCCCTACTAGTGGTGTTCCCGTTCGTTTCTAATGCCGGATGATCTCTTGACTTGCTGCAGTTTTTTCGGAACACGGAGAGGCAGCTTCTGATCTCTCGCTTCTTCACCGTGTGAGAGGACCAGACGAGATGTGTGCATTCTTCTCCAGCGGAGCGAAAATCAAGAACAGAGAAAGCGTTTTCTTTTTCATGCTCGAATCACATTCATGGAGTTAAGTAAGTTGTTTTCCGAACGAGTAGCGGGCATCTTTCGAGCTCGACTGCGCTGAGAACTGCGGCAGGGGAAGGTATGAAATGTAAAAATGTCTGGGTCTGGAAGAATGCAACTCGTGATGCTGCATTTGGATTCCAGAAAAGTCTGTATTGCATGAGCACCAAAAGGAATGCAATTTTTGCTACGCGGAGAGGGCATTTGTCATGCGGAATTAGGCATCAAGAAGCTCTCAAAAAATCTGTATTGCTAGGGTATGCATCACAGACATCGTGACTCATGCAAAACGTGCATGACAAATCTCGGAATCTTCCAGCCCCAGACATTTTTGCATTTGATAGAAGGATACAAGACACCATGTTCTCCAGTTACCAGGCATCGCACGGCGCAGCGTCCATTTGGGACACATCGGTATTATGCATGGAAAATTTGATGTGCTTATTTGACGCAACTACGACTGATGAACGGGAGTCAGTCAATTTCATACATTCAATTTTTCACTGTCGTACTAATCGAAACAAAACCTGCAGCTCTACAGTGGCACGAGCGCACCGTCGAGCAGTGGAGGCGCTGCTGGTGGTACAAGAAAACCCTCATCTTCTTCCTCCTCGACTAGACACAAATTTAGCCCGGACTACCGGACGGCGCTCCGCTTTGCCCAGCACCCAAATTACACCGGAGCGATTGCTGATGCCAAACTCGTCAGAGCAGTAGATCCGGCGACGTTGCCAAAGTAAAGAACGCGTTGTTATAGTACTCCACCTGGGTAGTGGTGTTTTTAGTTTCTCGGTTTTCGCGGGGCATATCCATCCCTTGTTTGTTTCACAGTGTGTGTACCAGTATAATAGGCAAACAAAGTAGCACTAGCACCGCAGCGCAACATCTTACAACAGGAAGCGTGCGCTGGCGAGTAGGCGGCCAGAACGCGCTCCGCGCGGGAAGTACGCCCATTACCCACACGCGAACGAGCATGGGCTGGTTCCTGGGGGTATTTTTGGCTACAAGCCCGATGCTAGCGTCCCAAAAGCCTGTCTGGTGGTAAACGAGCCGGAGAGTCCCAGAGGTAAAAACGTGTTTTCCGTTTTCGCGATAAACAGCACACTTGAGAAGTTGCTTCTACGACATCCACTTAGCGCACACGATGTGAAGAACTGCTTTCAAAAATACTGCAAACAGGCAAGCATGCGCGCTTCGGGACGAATCTTCCCAAAGAGGCCTGGCAAGCTTACAAAGACCGCGAAAAAAATCCTCGTGGGCGGGCGGCGCGCTTTTCTGCTGAGCTTGATCCCTTCCCTGGACGATATCCCACAGGTTTGACGCGGGAAGTAGAGTAGTTTCTTGACTGTGATAAACACGTTTCGTTCTGCTTTTTGTTTTTGCAACTCCTTTGCGCGGGAGTGGAAACAATCTTGGCGACGTTGACTTCTTGAACTTTCAGTTTCTGTTTCTTGCTCGGATAAAGAACGAAATACGTGAATTCTAGCGCAGACGAGGACCACGATAACGCTGGTTGATTTGAAGTGTTAAGTAGGTAGAAAGGCGATTCTCCAGATAAAATCGAGAATCAGATCCATGTCGTGCAGGAGGAGATCTTGGCGAAATCACAATGCATCAGTCGTTGCAGGTCGTATGATTGAAATGTGTGATCCAATCGTGGAAAATCTTCGTTCTTCTATTGTTTTTTTACTTCAGCATTAGGAGCTGTCGACGACTGTGATTGTGCTTTGTCCAGTCTTGCCTTTCTCTTGAGGAACAAATTGTATCAGGAAGGGACAGCAGGAGCAGCTACATGTCCATGCACGTAGCAACTCGTAGTGCAGAATCAGTATGTAGACACGATGAGATGTTGCGAGTATAGACTGTACCATCCCGATCGCCACCAGTACCCTTGTGTGTAGACAGTAGACATTGAGGAAAGAGCCACCATCAACATGTCCCTCCACGAGACCGCTGTAACTGGCGAAGAGGCGATCCAACGCAAGATAGAGCGGGGGAGTTGCAAAGACTGTTGGCTGCAACATTGCGCGTGTGACTTTTTGGAGAAAAACCTGCTGTCGCAGAACTTTCCGAACACAAAATTTGTCCTGCTACTCGACCCGTTCGAGCTGCGGCGCTCGGTTTCGGCGAATACGGGCAAAATTCTCACGATTTGGGGGGCGGAGCGAGTGATTTTCGGGCACGACGAGCAGATGCAGCTGTTGGAGCGGTGGCTGGATGACGCAAAGTATCCCGTGTGTCTGTATCCAACGCCTGAAGCCGTATCGGTGCCAAAGTTCTTCGCTGATTTTCAACATGGGGAGACGACTCATTCGGAAAATAAAGTACTGGACGAACACCATCGAGAAGCGCTTGAAAGCGCGGAGAAGGGAACAAAAGAACTGTCTCCGTCGGCGGCTCAACTACATCAAACGGAGAACAATACTTGCGGTAGCCAAGTAGACAGAAAATTTCCGGACCTCGTGATAATACCTGACGGGGACTGGACGCGGTGCAAAGTTATGATGCGGCACCCAATGCTGCGCGTACGGCTTCTCGGAAAGCAGGATTTATCGGAAGCTGGAAATAATAGAGCAGATCAAAAATTTCGACAAGAAGAGGCAGACCGCGTCGATGGACTTGAGCAGTTTGTTCCACATAATTTCGCAGCCGACACAATACTTGTACCGACCCAGATTGAGGCTTGGAAGCTGCGGGATTTGACAACAATCAGCACCCTCGAGCAACAATTTACTTCCCCATTCGGTCGGACAAAAAAGTACTACTCTGGCCCTTCAGAGCGACTGCAAACCGCGGGCGCCTTTTGGCTCATGTGTCACGAGACGGGCGCGTTCAGCGATATTCTTCTCGAGAAAATGGCGTTGCAAATTCACTACCTGATCAGCTGTTACCATAAGCAAATCAATCGCGTCATAGTGCGCGGGAGTGGGCAACGATTTCATGTACAGCCGGGGCATGGATAAACGAGGTTTCTTTTTTTTTCTTTCCTACAACAGTTAGGTGTATAGTAGAACGACACCGGCATGCACCGAAAGGCGACAAACGAAGTTAACCGTTTCAATTGTTTGATTTTGGACAGCGACAAACACCTTCGTTTGAAAGTATCTACTTCAAGTCGAGCATGCTCGAAGGAATTGGCATCTAGTACTGTTGCAGATCATCATGCCATAGCCTGTTTGACGGCTCATGTAGAAACGTGTTCCTGCTGGTTGATAAAGACTATCCATCGGTCACTTTGAAAGCACTCGTTTTTTGGAAGCATAGACAATCCTCAAGCACGACGAACGTGCAATCCATCGGTCCGGATTTTTTACACCGTGATGATTACATGCTCTGTTGAGAGAAGCAAGGCTCTAGCGTTTTTCTGTGCATTGCCTACTGCGCTGCAGATTTTACTTGATTTTAGATTTGAGCGTTTTTCATGTTCCGACATGCTTTGCAATTAATTTATTTCGCGTTTCGCCTGCAAGTTTTACAACAGGGTCGTGGGTACCACGCAAGGTCGTTGAAAACGATCGCTCGAAATCCCTCCCCTCTCGTCGTCTTAGTCATTACTGCTACAGCAGCATTTTTGAAATCAGACTAGAATTTGTGTATGTTCGCACTGATGACTTTTGCGAGAACTAGATTTCAACGTGTGAAGAAAATTTGAGATCTGTCTGTTTTTCCACCGCGCGAAGCACCTCCTCCTTTCTTTAGGATTCTCTTCGATCTGAGCCCACAGCTGCACTGATTATTCCGGTGCTGTAGCTGTTCGTATTTTTTAGAGCAGCCGACCATCTTCGTTGAGTCCTTTGGCTTTGTTGTGGATTTTTTTGAACCACTTTACCTTTTTTCTACACTAAACCAAGTTTCTCTTTCTGATTTTAGAAAATGACAACGGGCGAACTAACGAACGTTTTTGTTCTGCCCTTGCGTGAGCAGGTCGTTTTTCCGCATCAGCGCTTCGGAATCAGCTTGGGCAAGGCAATCTTCGAGCGGGTCTACCAGCACTGCCAGGAGCACCGGACCCAACAGGTTGGCTTGGTCTGCATCGCCTCCAAAAAACACGCGGCGAGCGGCAATTTAGGGTCGGCATCCAACTCCAGCGGAGAAACTCTGCCGTATTCTACAAACACTGCGGGACCGAAGAAAGCAGGTACTTAGAAATTGATTCAGTGCTAGAGATCTGTGACCTTTATTTGAAGATGTTATTTTTGGTGAAGAAATGTCTTCTCAAATGCCCCGCCACTGCAAAGACGAAAAAGTCGATTCTCAAAGGGACATGAAATATTTCATCACAAACAGTTGGCGTCACGGTCGGGACTGCAGATCCCAGCAGCAAGGACCTCCCCAGCAAGACTGATGGAGATAATAGCAATGCCTTCGGGAAGTTCGAGTTGTACAATGTCGGGACGCTGTGCGAGTTGCAGAGCCACGGCCGCGGCACCAGCGGCACCACGGTGTCGGTACAAGCCAAGAGCAGAATGGAAATCAAAAGCCTCCGGATGTACGATTACTACGGCATCGCAACCGTGAGGTTGCTGGACGATCCCCCGCCAGCGGTGCTCCGGAGCGACAAGGATATCAGAACGCAGGTGGAATTGCTGCACGATATCCTATGTAAAAACATCCCCACCCCAGAGTTGTCATGCAGATTTGCAAGCGCAAGAGCATTTGTAATGCGCATCCCCATGGGAGGCATTTTTCATCGTGTTTTGGAACTTGTAATGCTGCAAACAGGATAAGGAGATGGATTTGTTATGCGGCTTCCCTTGCTAAGCTGCACTACAGTACAGCCTGCAACTTGTCATGCGTGACCCCCAAAACTTCAAGGTTTGTGTTGCAAAGTCCCCATCTTGACTCTGGGGTGGGGACGTTTTTACACGGGATACACGAGGTGGTAAAGCAGTTTTCCGAATCCGCTTCCGGGGAAAAGCGACGGGGAATTCTGTCCCTGGGGGACATCCTGCGGTCTCTTTTGTCGGATGAAAGGTAAAATGAGAAAAAATTTCCCCGCGTAGTGGTAGACTTATCCAGTGTGACGGAATTATGAAGAGGCATGCAATTTTAGTCCATGTGTCAGTGTACCAGACGTTGTAACAATGATGCAAGATGAACAGAAATCATTGTATGTGTGTTCTACCGAATGCAAGAACTCTGTTCGCAGGTTTCCTTCCCAGCTGCGGTCTCAATTCGAGAACAACCTGCGTTCGTCGAAACGCGAGCGATTCGCCGAAGATTTGGAGAACAGTCCGCTGGGGGACCAGGGTCAGCTGACCGACGATACCGGTTCGTACGACGGATACTCCCCCGGGCTGCTGGCCGACATGATCGCAGCGCATCCGCACTACCGCTTTTCGGTGTTCGAACAGCAAACCGTGCTTTCGGAGTTCGACGTGAAGCAGCGATTGGAAAAGGTGATCCGCGCTCTGCAGCGCTTGGCCAAGGCACAGAAAATCTCGCAGGAGATTTCCAGCAGCATGCAAACCCGCAGCGAATCGGAGATGAAGGAGGCCATTCTCCGCAAGCAGATCCGCGACTTGCGGAAGGAACTGAAGGTCGTGGGGAAGAAGAAAAACAAGAAAGCCGGCGAGAACGAAAACGCGAATTCCGACGAAGACGAGGACAGCGAGGAGGACGAGCTGCAGGCCATGCGGGACAAGGTGGGCCGCGCGCACATGAGCAAGGCGGCGGAAAAGATCGCGGGCCGGGAGCTGAAGCGGTTGAGTAACATGCAGAGTCACCACCCGGAATACACGGTGAGCAGGACCTACTTGGACCTCCTCTGCACGCTGCCCTGGAATCGCTCGTCCGACGATGCCGTTTTGCAGTTGAACTCCGCAGCCGCTATTCTTGACGAAGACCATTATGGCTTGGAGAAAGTGAAAAAGCGCGTGCTGGAGTTCCTCGCGGTGCGGAAATTGCGCTCCTCGGTATTCAGCACAAGCGTAAACGTTGTCACGAATGGCGGAGACGAGGGTAGTGGTCCACCAGGCGCAAACGACGCCACTGTGACAGACGCTACAAATAACGGAATTAGTACAAATAGTGGATCACCTGCAGACGAGGGGTCCGCGACGGTTGTGGAGGACCAACAGAACGGTACGGACGTAAACAACCCCGACGCACGTCCTAAAAATACGCCTCCACATCATCTCCCCGTTGTGAAGCGCATCATCCAGCCAGGCGACATGGGAGGCACTAGAAGTAAATCGCCGAAGGTGGATATGCGCGGCCCGATTCTGTGCCTGCTCGGGCCACCGGGGGTTGGGAAGACCAGTTTAGGTAAGTCCATCGCGAAGGCCATGGGCCGGCAGTTCCAGCGCATCGCGCTCGGCGGGGTGCGGGACGAGGCGGAGTTGCGCGGGCACCGGCGCACGTACATCGGCAGTATGCCGGGCGTGATCATTCAGGCGCTGCAAACAGCGGGAACGAACAACCCGGTCATTCTGCTCGACGAAATCGACAAGCTGGCACACGGGATGACGAGCAACCCGCAGGGGTGCCTGTTGGAGATTCTGGACCAGGAACAGAATTTCGCTTTCAAAGACCACTACCTGAACACGCCGTTCGATCTTTCGAACGTCTTCTTCATCTGTACCTGCAACGACCTGAGCACCATCGACCGGCCGCTGCTCGACCGGATGGAAATCTTGGAATTGTCGGGGTACTCCGTCGAGGAAAAGATTTTCATCGCCCAGCGGTATTTGCTGCCGAAGCAGCGGAAGGTCCACGCGTTGGAGGAGCTGTCGGATAGTGAAGAGTTAGAAGAGAACGGCCCGGTCGTGGGGGGAAAAGCAGGGTCCGGCGGAAGTCCGGTTACGGCGGATAGTGGTTTTGGTGAGAACTTGTATGGACGAGGGGCTTTCAACGCACCATCCCGGATTCAGCACGCGGATAGAAGCACGAGCAGCAGGAACAGCAGAAGGCGGTTTGAAGATGTTGAAAGAGCAGCTTCACGACACGAGCCGCAGCTCGGGCTGCACCGGCATGACGACTACTACAACACTTCCGCTTACGATCTAGACGACGAGGTGTGCGTAATGGGTCAAAAAGGCTTTTGCGGCTGCAAGAATTGCACCTGCACGAAGCGGACAAAGACTAGATTTGGTCCACCTCCGCAGAACAACAAAACTACTCGGAGAAGGAATGCTGCCGACTCGGAAATGTATTGCAGCGACGTGGAAACGACCGCATCGAGCGGGAGCGAGCGTTTGAATAGTAGTTCTTTACGTGCAGTCGGAAGATCGTCGACGGAGGACGAACAGGAGATCAATCCGCTCTTCAGCTGCAGCGTCACCTTCGACGGGTTTTCGTCCGCCAACCAGCGACTGCAAGAGACGCAGTTGGTGTCTTTGAATGCGATGAAATATAGTGACTCACCAACGATGAGCAATTCGAAATTTGAGGGGTCAACAAGGAGTTCGTCCTCCTCCTCCGCCACGATTCCGTTCAACAAGAATGATAAGCCATTTACCGGGCCGAAAAACGTGAAACCCCCAGTCAAGACCCAAGTTCCTCCATCATCAGAAGTCACACAAGTGGTCGCGACGTCCATTCCGCCCTCCGGGAAGGCCGCCAAGCGGCCGCCGCGACTGGAAGTCACGCGAGCTGCCCTGGTGAAGCTGATCACGAAATACACCGCGGAATCCGGGGTGCGCTCCCTGGAACGCCGCATCGCGGAGATCTGCCGCTGGGTTGCCTACGAAATCGTCGAAAAGGAGGGGAAAAACGGGGTGAAGGTGCAGGACGTGTACACAATCAACCCGGCGGATTTGTTCAAAATCTGCGGGATCGAGGTTAGTAAGCACGAAGATTTCCTCCAGGACACACTAACACCGGGCGTCGCCGTCGGTCTGGCCGTCACGCACTACGGCGGCGAGTTGCTTTTCGTCGAGGCGGCGAAGGTGAAGGGGAACGGGAACTTGACCATAACGGGCAGACTCGGCGACGTGATGAAAGAGTCGGTCAGAACTGCGTTATCGCTTTTGCGACCCTACATTCCCGCGCCCTTCCAGCAACACGACTTACACGTGCACTTCCCAGCGGGGGCCGTTCCGAAGGACGGACCGAGCGCGGGGGTGGCAACGACGTTGGCGTTGGCCTCGCTGTTTCTGGAAAAGCCCTGCAGAAATGACACTGCGGTCACCGGGGAGATCACGCTTCGGGGGCAGGTATTTATCGGCTGTTGTGAATTTGATGGGTAGTTCATCTGTCGATGACAGTCTAGCGTCTTTAATTAGGTGATCGCTTTTTATATCAAGCGCGAACAAAGTTTTTCCCAATCATTTGGCTCCTTTCATTTCATTTGGTGGCACGTAGTTTATCATCCGACAAAACGCACAGGTCCTTCCCGTGGGCGGCATCAAGGAAAAGATCCTGGCGGCGAACAGATCGCCTGGCATCAAGTACGTGCTTATACCAGCATCGAACGAGGCAAATGTCGAGCAGGACCTGGGCGGCCAACTGAACAATGTCAACCTGCGCATCGTCTACATTCGAACGATTCGCGAGGCCCTGATTCATTCGTTCGGGGTCGATAACTCCCTGCTACCAACCGCGGTTGAGACGCTCTCGACGGCTCCTGCGAAGTTGTGAGGAACAGAACGACTCCTGTGCTTCTAACACAATCGCAAAATGCGCCGCCGCTACTTACACTAACACTGAAATTAAGTTTATATACGTTTTTTGTTGAAGTAAAATTTTGAGACTTATGCCCACACCCGACCGAAACCGTGTGAAGCCCATTTCAGGTACGAGCTACGTTTTGTTTCCTGGGGAAATTTTCAATAGCTCGAACACCCCGCAATGAATTTGTATCTCGAGAAGTCCTGCACTACTTTTTTCCGGTGCCTCTCGTTCGAAGAGAAACTGTCCCAATCATTTGTTGCTGCGATTCATTCACAATTTTCAAGCATAGATAGGAACGAAAAACCCAAATTTTAAAACACATATTGGGAACCAGTTCTTCGCTACTTTTCCATGTTGATTCGGTAATAAGTTTAACCAAGCGAACTTCGTTTTTCTTTGTTTTCCAAGCGTCAACGTCTACTTTCCAAGCGTCAATGTCGACACGCTGTCGCGGCGAGTAAAATTACTCGCACCGTGACAGTTCTTACACGTCGCCTTTTCCATTAGAATAGCACTTTATCCTCGTGTGTAGTAGAAAGTGAAACGCTACTAGATGCAAAAGCAGACACTCTTTATCACCCTTGTGATTGATTGTGACAGTTTTTGGCAAAAGTTTTTGCATAGAACGACCAGTGTGAAGATAAACAAACATCGATAGAAGCCTTTTGATATTTTGAGCATTCTTGAGGCACATCATGATTTTCCACGGCACAGAGCAGGAGTGTCTGTGTCGATTCATTGGATACCCCCTGCGTACCAGTCCGAATGACTGGAGACTTTGGCACACTGATGGAAAGTTGTTGAGTTCGAGAAGGTCCAGCGCGAAATGCGAAAGTCCGAAGCGGACTTCGAGTGCCACAGAGGCTCTGCGGAAACCGCGAACCGCAAATGACCTAAGTACTTTATACTTCCTTCATCTCACAGAGCGATGTGTGAGTGTCATCGCGTGAGTGATTGCGAGGGTGCAAACATTTTGAAAAAACCGTGTTTGCGCGAGTCTTTAGATTGTCATCCTGGGAGCTTGTTGCGAGGGGCCGGCGTCCAGATCCCGCCCAGACTCCGTCCAGACCAGCTGCAAGTGGCTCCATACCGTGCTGCCTCGCGTTCCAACCAAGTTTTTTTGATTTTGTAAGGAAAATTGCAGAGAACGTTAGAAATTCAGATTCTCGCCGTGTTTTGCTTGCAGTTGCGATATCAAAACGGGGTCTGGACGGCGTCTGGACGGCACGGGTGAGCGGCATCATGCCGTGCGGGTTCGGTTTGAGCGGTAAAAGTTGGTAGAAAATCGCGAAAAAGTAAAGCTCGTGGCGAATCTTCGTAGTCCCGCCCTGGAAAGCATGACGCCAAGTCCCGTCCAGACCCCGTCCAGACCCCGACCAGAACAGCTGAAAGTACAGCCGTACCATGCGGGTTCGCGTTCTCGGCATATATTTTTGAATTTTACCGGAAAAATTGCCAGGAACGTGAAAAAACAACAGGGACATGGTGTTTGGCTTTTACTGCGAGTGTCTGGTCGGGGTCTGGACGGGGTCTGGACGGCATGGGTGAGCGGCACCGTGCCGTGCGGGTTCGGTTTGAGAGGTAAAAGTTGGGAAAAAATCAAGAAAAAGCAAAGCTCGTGGCGAATCTTCGTAGTCCCGCCCTGGAAAGCATGACGCCAAGTCCCGTCCAGACCCCGTCCAGACCCCGACCAGAACAGCTGAAAGTACAGCCGTACCATGCGGGTTCGCGTTCTCGGCATATATTTTTGAATTTTACCGGAAAAATTGCCAGGAACGTGAAAAAACAACAGGGACATGGTGTTTGGCTTTTACTGCGAGTGTCTGGTCGGGGTCTGGACGGGGTCTGGACGGCATGGGTGAGCGGCACCGTGCCGTGCGGGTTCGGTTTGAGAGGTAAAAGTTGGGAAAAAATCAAGAAAAAGCAAAGCTCGTGGCGAATCTTCGTAGTCCCGCCCTGGAAAGCATGACGCCAAGTCCCGTCCAGACCCCGTCCAGACCCCGACCAGAACAGCTGAAAGTACAGCCGTACCATGCGGGTTCGCGTTCTCGGCATATATTTTTGAATTTTACCGGAAAAATTGCCAGGAACGTGAAAAAACAACAGGGACATGGTGTTTGGCTTTTACTGCGAGTGTCTGGTCGGGGTCTGGACGGGGTCTGGACGGCATGGGTGAGCGGCACCGTGCCGTGCGGGTTCGGTTTGAGAGGTAAAAGTTGGGAAAAAATCAAGAAAAAGCAAAGCTCGTGGCGAATCTTCGTAGTCCCGCCCTGGAAAGCATGACGCCAAGTCCCGTCCAGACCCCGTCCAGACCCCGACCAGAACAGCTGAAAGTACAGCCGTACCATGCGGGTTCGCGTTCTCGGCATATATTTTTGAATTTTACCGGAAAAATTGCCAGGAACGTGAAAAAACAACAGGGACATGGTGTTTGGATTTTACTGCGAGTGTCTGGTCGGGGTCTGGACGGGGTCTGGACGGCATGGGTGAGCGGCACCGTGCCGTGCGGGTTAGGTTTGAGAGGTAAAAGTTGGGAAAAAATCAAGAAAAGGCAAAGCTCGTGGCGAACCTTCGTAGTCTCGCCCTGGAAAGCATGGCGCCAAGTCCCGTCCAGACCCCGTCCAGGCCCCGACCAGAACAGCTGAAAGTACAGCCATACCATGGGGGTGCGCGTTCTTGGCATAATTTTTTGAATTTTGCCGGAAATAAAAATTGCCAGGAACGTGAAAAAACAACAGGGACATGGTGTTTGGCTTTTACTGCGAATGTCTGATCGGGGTCTGGACGGGGTCGGGACGGGACAAGTCGGAGGGTCCATAGCATGCGCATTTGATTTGGCAAGCAAAAGTTGAGATACTTACTTAAAAGCGTACTTACTTTTCTGTTTCGGATTTCTATATTTTCGTAGGAGCAGCGGTAAGCACTTCTTGTGCAGCAAGATCAAGATGTGCCGTGCTTCCCGAAGATTGATATTCATGTTTGACGGAGCGGTAGGAGTTGGTGGGGCGACGAGGGAAGCACCGAGCTGCTGCGGAAGATAACTTCACACGACGACTGTCAGTATGGCCAGGCTTCTGCGGATCTTGCACCTGCTGTGCGCGGCCAGTGCAGACCGAGCAATCCCTCCTACCAACCACGACAGGAGTGCGGACGCCGCGCTGCACCATGAGGCTCAGCATAGGTTGGTAACTGAGAAGGCGTCCTCGCCCCAGCAACACTCTACCGATATTCATCCCGATGGGGTGAACGAGGAAAGCAGCGACAAAGCGAAAAGATCCGCAGGCGCAGCCCCGACTGCCCGTAGTCGCGGAAAAATAAAATCTGAAGACGCAGCTGCAGCAGCGGCACTTCTTCAACATGAAAATCAAAACGCGGCTCTCGACCAACAGCTGATCCTCGAGTCCGGTCTTCGTGAGCAAAAAAGCAGCATGCTGTCCGCGCGCAAGCTTCAAGCGGCGTTTGACGGGAAGCCAAGACCGAAGGAGCCCAACGCGTTTCTGCCGATGAGCCGCCGCGAGGGGATGGAGTACGCCGGGGTGCGCAATCTCACCAAGGACCACGTCTACGAACAGATCGCCATCCTCCTGCTCGCCTTTGCGGTCACGGGGCTGATGATCTTTGGGCTCTGGTACGTGACCGACCGGGTGAACTTGACGCACCCGCCCAACGAGGTGCGCGTGGACCCCTACACCGGCGAGGACCTGCCCCGGCCCTTCCAGTTCCTCCGCGACGAGGACTTTCAGGACAAAGTGGCGGGGTACATGGAAACGTTCCGCGAGAACAACTACTACCTGTCGACGGTCCTGTTTTACCACTTGGGCCAGTCCCTCCTGTTCGTCATCAAAGTGTACGACGTGCGGGACGAGATCCCCTGGTACGTGTTGCTGCTGGAAGCCGTGCTCGGCCTCCTTCTGTTCGTCGACCCGTTCGTGACCAACCTGCAGTGTTTCATCATGAGCGAGTTCGGCACTTTGGAAAAGCTCAAGTACAAGGAGCTCGCGACCGAGACCATCGCGCTGATTGCGCCGATGCTGTCGCTGGTGATCTCCCGGCAGCACGAGTACGATAAGGAGGCGGGCAACTACCTCGCGGATCCGGGCAACACGATCGGAACCTTCTGGTTCTCGTTTCGCTACTTCGGGTGTATTCGCTTGCGGAAGTACTACTTACTGCTTTTCCCGGAGATGTCTTCGGTCCGCTCCCCCGTGGCGCGCGCGTCCTACGCGGTGATTCTGCGATTCTTCGAGGTCTTCATCTTTTTCTACGTGGTTATGGGAGTGTCAGAATCGAAATTGACAAAGTAGAAAAATTTGTGATGCACAAAATCGATGTCAGTTGGAGCCTCAGTCTCCAAGTGGCGCATGACAAATTTCGAGAGCCCCCAAATACAGTCTGTGATGCTGTTTGAGCAAAGAAGACTGCTCCTGTCATGCTACTCTGGCAGCACATTGCATACCCATAAACAGGCTCACAATCGGTCTCATTTGCCTGCTCCCCAATACAAGCTTTCAGTGACCTACATTTTATGCATCACAAGTTTTTCGATTTTGTCGATTTCGATCCTGACACATCCATAGTGGTGGTTAGCACCTTATGGGTGGTGGAGTTCGCCGAGGGCTTGTTCCCGCGACTCCTGCCCCAGGCGAACAACTGGACGCTGGACGCGAGTCTGTGGTTTGTGACCACGTCCGCGATGACCATCGGCTACGGAGACTACGCCCCGGTCACGTTCTTCGGCCGGCTGGTGACCATGATTTTTCTCGTCTCGGTGCTGCTGCTCGTCGGGCTGATCGCCGATTTGCTCTCGAAGATGCTGGCGGAAACGGCCAGCGGGCAGGGCCGGTACGTGGTGAAATCGCGGGTCCCCTACGTCATCTGCGTGGGGAACTTCTCGCCCGCGACCGCAAAGTCCGTTCTCGCGGAGTACTTCCTATCTCACAGAAAAAAGCTGGCAGGGCATATTTGTAACGCAAAAAAAAACACACAGAAAAACCTGTCATGGGCGACCTCGTAGCATGCTATTTCGGGTATGCAATACAAGCTTTTTTGTCTATTTATTTTTGCATTACAAATATGCCCTGCCAGCTTTTTTCTCTGGGATACTTCCACGACGACCAACACGCGGTGCACCGGGATCGGATGGAGATGGTCTTCGTCCTGGTCGGGCAGCAGTTCAACGGCGTCGCGCAGGCCGTCGGCGAGTGGTGCAGCGAGAATCAGGACTACAGTCCGCGCGTGCACGTGTTTCGGGGAAATATTACCAGCACGTACGACTACCGGCGCTGCGGCGTCGCGACCGCGAAGGCGGTTCTCGTCGTGCCGAACGTGCAGAACCCGGTGGATAAACAGAAGGAGGACGTGGACAGTCTGCTCCGCGTGCAGGCGGTGCAAAAGCGGAGTCCGCCAAATTTGCAAGTGATCGTCATCCTGCACTTGATGCGCAACCGGTACATGTTCTTGGGCATCATCCCCAGACGGAACCTGATTTGCGCGGACGACTTCAAGTTTCGGCTGTTGGGACGGGTGAATTTCCTCCCGGGGCTGCCGTCGTTGCTGTGTTCTTTACTGCAGTGCTCGTCGATGTCCGACAACGACCGGTCGCTGTTCAAGCAGCTGGAGTTATCCAAGAAAAAAACATTGTAGGTGTAACTTTTTTGGAGGAACAGCATTACAAATTTGTCTGGCATGACAGCAGAAACCTGTCATGCGCAGATAGTACGTGAAAACGCCCTGTAATGGACCCTACGATGCATGTCAAGCATGACAGACGCAATCACTTTGCATGTTGCGCATCACAAATTTACACTAACAGCGTTTTTTTCTTGGATAGGAGTCCTCCTACCAGGAAGACACCTTGTCGAAGAATCAGTTCATGCTCTTCCACGACGAGGAGCTGCATTACGGGCAAGGGAAGGAACTGTACGCGATCACCTTGAACCCCTCCTACGCGAAGTTCGCCCCGAAAGCCGAGGACATGCCGTGGTCCTGCATCGTTCGGGACGTGTTGTATATCCAAGAAAAAAACTTTGTTAGTGTAACTATCTTCGGCTGACACCATCACAAATTTGCTCTACATGACAGAGAAAACCTGTCATGCGTGGGTTGTAAGGAAAAACACACATGAAAAAAGGGCTTCGTGGCTGTCTGGCATGACAGGCGTAAATCTGTTGCATGTTCTGCATTACAGATTTACACTTACACGACAGTTTTTTTTCTTGCATATTGTACCGGTCGAAGAACAAGGACGTGTTGCTTCTCGGCTACATTCGGTACGACCCGGCAGCGGACACCAGCTATCTGAAGTATGAAAAGGAGGTCATTTTTTTCCCGCCGGATTACGACCTCGCGTTCTCGCACCCGACGAAAACCAAGGTTCTGGGCATTTTCATCGCGTCCGACGCCTTCGACATCCGCCAGCGCCCGAGCATGGACGTTTTCACGCTGCCCGAAGTGGACAGCGACGAGGAGGAGTTCGACGAGGCGGCATTCGACGCAGCGGACGATGAGGATAAGGAAACGGAGGAGTCGGATTTGGAGATGCAGCCGGCACTGGCGGGGAATTTGAGCTTCAAGAGTACTTCTAGAGTGCTTTGGTTGGATAATGCTTTTCTGTGTTAGAGTGATAGGTAGAAGTAGAGTAGTAGTCCAGCTCTAAGACTAAAAGTCAATTTAGTAGATTTCATGGCCTTCTGCATTTTGCTTATGTGATACCAAAATTAAGGAGCTTTGCCACGTCGTCACCATTATGACAGGTGAAAGCGACAAGACCGTTTCGGAGCGCGCTCTGACGAAGCACGAGATTAAGATGCAGCGTCTTGCGGTTCTTGCGGGTGTCGACCCCCCCGACTTGTCTCAGAACTACTCGAAGCACGAGAAGATAAAGGCGGAGAAGGCGCCGCCGAAAGTGTACTACAGACGGAAGATCATCGAGAAGCAACTGCAGTACCTGCGGCAGCACGAAATCAGCGTGGATAACGTGTACGAGATATCCTGAGTAAAAACGTACCCACACCAGAGTTGTAATGCAGATTTGCAAAGACAGGAAGACTTGTAATGCGCATCCCCATGAGAGCCATTTCCAGTCGTGTTTTGGAATTTGTGACGCTGTGAACAGGATGAGCAGATGAATCTGTGACGCGGCTGCACTTGCTAATCTGCACTACGCTGCAGAGTGCGACTTGTCATGCGTGACTCACAAAACTCTTAGGTTTGTGTTGCAAAATCCCCATCCTGACTCTGGTGTGGGTACGTTTTTACTCAGGATACGAGATCGGGAGACGGGCGTTCGCGGATCGGTATCTGAACAACCCGCGCGCGCGATCGCAGTTGAAGCCGGGGGAAAACAATCTACCCTTCGACTTCGAGGGCGATCACTTTCTCTACTGCCTCTGCGGGCCAGCGGCGGTGAGTGATTTGTTTTGCGAACACACTATGGAGACTCCTCTTGGGTGCCTTTTTCGAGAATCGAAGTCCGTAAAGTTTAAAGCGCCATTGATGTCGTGTCTTGATATATGTCGTGCAACCACGTCCAAGTGTCTTCTATGCTTCTTGTCAAAACAGGTCGGCCTATCGCTTTCCGTACTGCTGCAAAACCTGGCCCTCGGGCTAGAGGAGGACGGCCCCGATTACTCCGATGATGAGTGGGGGCAGCAAGAAGTGAAAGTGTACAGCAAGCAGGAGTCTGGGGAGGCGATGGACATGCGCATGCTGGAGCAAATGGACGAGGAGCAGTCGGAGTCCGCCATGTCTCTGATTCCCTCGTCCCGAAAGCGGTTGCGGAAGATCGTTTTGGTGGTTCTGTCAAAAAGAAAGCCGTTGGACTGGGACGACGCACTGGCGTTGGCGCGCGAGAATCCGCACTTGATCCCCGTGTGGGTGAAGGGCAGCCCAACAAAAATGCTGGATTTGGAAAGGTATATAGATTATGGCATGGGCATTGGCGCATTCAATAAGTAGGCAGCAATGTTGACAACGGCAGGAAAGAAACAGCCTTGATACATAGTCATCTCCTCCAAAAAAAAAAAAACAGATGCAGTTTCCGGCGGGCCCGCGTGATTTACGTGCAAGGGTTTCCGACGAGGCCCACGGACGGGGAGTGTATTTTCTGCACCCGCTTAATTGAGTCCACGATTGGTACCGACAGCATGGACCCCATGCTGCCCATCGTCGTTCCGGAGCTGACCCTGGAGGCGAATTTTCGCTATGTGCCCCTCGGCTTGTCGCCGAAGGTGGATCACCAGGTTTTTGAGGACGCCATGCACGCGAAGCGGAAATCGTTCATGCGGAGCCAGGAGTCCTACGCGTTCACGAGCAACGCGTTGGCCAAGCAACCCTTCACGAGATCGGCAAGGTACTCCGCCGGCCGGTTGTACGTGAGCAGCATGCTCACATCGCTCGCGGTCAACCAGGTTTTCAACCCCGACCTGGGCACCCTGATCCAGATCATGTCTGACGCTTTGATGGTCGTGGAAATTAGCAACGAGTACGTCGGTCAGCCGTACGGGAAACTGTGGAAGTTTCTCCTCTCCCAGCGCCTGCTCGCAGTAGGACTCCTTCGAAACGCGGTCACGATGGCGAAAACCCTCGGAGCGGCGACCGCGCTCGGGCTGGTTTCGCACGAGTTTCCGATCTGCGCGCCTCCGAAGGACGATGTGCTGCTGCAAGAGGGAGATCGGGTGTATGTCATGAGACATGGATTACTGTATACCTTGGATAGTTAGGAGGAACCGCAGTACAACAACTTCTACCAGGCTTCTGCTCCTGCTTTTCATTGTACAAAAACTTTGACCAAATTTACTACTTTACAATTTTTGCTACATCATCTGCTCTACTGTGTTTGTGCATTTGCTACCGAATAAATACTTTGCGTTCGATTGAAATTCTGAATACACGGACGACGATAACGATATCAACTGGTTTTGCGCATGGTTCAAAACAGATTTTGCACCGAAGTAGACCGCGGCTGCGCTTCGTGTACAAAAAAGCGGGATCGACACAGCAAAGGTTGACTGTCTTGCAACAGCCGGATACGGATTGCTTCTGTACGGATCTTGTTCCGAGTGTGTGCGTTGCAGAGTGAAAAGCGATCGTATGCTTTTGCGCTCGATTGCGATTTCGTTTATTTCGGTTTTCTGCTTATTGCGAAACGGAAACTAAGGTCGGGAAAGCGATTTGTGTCTCGCATCTCCTGCCTTGTCAGGCGACATCGTGGCTCTTTTGCAAACAGACTTTGCAAAATGAAACTCTCATGCTTATCTTAGCAGGGAATGGGAAAGATCACTGAGCTTCCCTTTCCAAGATGCGGTCGCGCCCTACCCGAATCAAAAATGGCTGCGGCGCCGAGGCGCCACGACTCGGTGCTGCAACGCGAAGTCCTAGCACTGCCACGTCCCGCTTTCTGTCCACCGCATCTGCGTACGCTCGCGCTCTTACGTTCTGCACGTGTCTGGGTACTACGTTCCGCCTGGTCCTCGCGGCCGCCGACTTTTCGGATGCGCCGGACGACATGCTGACGATCGATGCGACGGCTTCGATCAAGAAGCCAAGCAAAGTCCGAACTACCAACGTCCACAAAAACCTTGCAGCGGGGGACCACACGAATGCCATGACGATTCTGAAGTTACAAAAAGAGGTGGAAGCCCTCTCGCAGGAAAACGCGCTTTTGATGGAGCAAGTAAGCCAGAAGCACGAACAAGGGCTGCGGCGAGATGGACTGTCACCGACTACGACCTCTTTGTCCTCTTTGACTAATGGCAAAAAGGACGGTGCCGCGCAGTCGACATCCTTCGTGGACATAACTGCGGGGGAGAAGCAGAATTTATTCCCTACGGGACGAGCAACGAACCAGACCACGGAAATTATGGAGGACGAGAACACCGAATTGGCGACGCTCGTGAACATGCTCGTGCGCAACGGAGAGGCGGCTATGGCGGCGCAAGAGCGGTTGGACCACGCCGTCGCCGCGCGGGTGCGCGCCGAGTTTTTGGAGCGCGAGGCGAAGCTGGAGTGGAGAAACGTCAGTAAGGTAAGAAAGTGGTGTGGGAAGTTCGAATTTATCCCTTGAGACGGTCGTACATAGTGATGGATGAAAGTAGAAAACACAGAACTTAATGAGAAAAAAGTCACCCAGGTCATGTGTTGTTAGATTCGTACTCCTGCAGTGCTTGGAAATGCGACTTGATAGTACAGGTTTCCAAGGAGCTGACGCGAATGGCGATGAGAGAACTTTTGCGCGACTCGGTCTTCCCGCTGCCCCTTGCTGCGGGTCGTTCCTCCGTTGCGGCGAAAGAGAAGAATTTTGTCGGACAGATCGAGTCCATGATCGCCGGGGTTCTGGCGGAATTCAATGGCTTCGACATGGACAAAAACAACGTGCTGGACAAGGACGAGTGTCCGGTGCCCCCGCCTGGTGCGGATGCGAACAACGACGGAAATCTCACCCCGACCGAAATCATCACGCACACGTACAACAACTTCATTTCCGTGCTGGAAGGGGCCCGTCCTGGTGGACACGGCGAGAAACGTGAGCTCAAGAAGAGCGTCGAGAGTCGTGGGGGGAATCCGACTTCCGCCAGCATGTTAGAGGCCGGCATGTCAGAGTCGGTCGCGAACTTCTTTCGGGGCGGGTGTGGAATCTGTGGGTGCTCAAAACCAGAAGGCGTGGATGGAGAAGAATTGCAATTCGGTTGGGAGGACGGGCACTACAACGCACCGGGTGCCTTGCAGAACATATACAGAGACACTCCGGGGGAATACAGGTGGACGGACTCCCCCTGGGAGGAAGATGCGGAGCCGAAAGCGGAGACGAAAGCGGAGCCTAAAGCGGAGCCGAAAGCGGAGCCGAAAGGCAATCTAGTCAGTCTTTGATTGACCTTCGAACGCGCTTGGATGAAGAAGAAAAGAAGAAAAATAGTGGACGGAGAGGTGACGCGCAAGCGGCTTTTTTTTCCCGGATTGTATAAATTGATTCGAAGATGAGTATTACTACATCTCACAAAAGCTGCCATGGTGGCTGATTGCCTCCGTGGATCTCTCTCTGTGCTGTTGTTCAGGACCTCCTCTTAGATGAGGCAAACACTTATCCGACCCGTTCCGCCGCATATGCGGCGTTACGCGCGGCCGCGAGCACTGCTTCATAGTAAACCCCGAAAGGTGCTTTCCATATGTTCTTCTAGTGCAGATCGAAGCTACGCACTGTGTCAGTTTGGCTTCTGAATACATGGACGAGGGTATCAACTACTTTTGCGCATGATTCGAAACAGATTTTGCACTGAAGTAGACCAGCACCTGTGCGCTTCGTGCACAAAGAAGCAGGATACGCCAAGTGTTGACTGTCTTGTACCAACAGCCGGATTATTTTTGTACTGGGCTTTTTCAGAGACGGAGAGAGTGCTTTGTGGTCAACACTCTCGCAGCGTGAAGAGCGGTCAGGTGCTTGTCCGTCCCATTGCGATTTCGAGTTTCGTCTTGTTGCGAAGGTAAGGGGATACGATGTTTGTCTCGTCTCCCCTGCCGTGCCAAGCAACATTGTGGTTCTTCTTCTCTCGCAAAGAGACTCTGCAAAATAAAACATCGACGCTTACCTTAGTAGGGAAAGTTCACTGGATTTTCCCCTTGCAAAATGTTGCCGCGGTGTACCCGAACCAAAAGCGGCTGTAGCGCCGAGGCGCCACGACTCGGTGCTGCAACGCGAAGTGCGACCACTGCCACGTCCTGGTTTCTGTCCACCGCATCTGTGTACGCTCGCGCTCTTACGTTTTGCACGTGTCTGTGTACTACGTTCGACCTGGTCGCGGCCGCCGATTTTTCGGATGCACCGGACGAAATGTTGACGAGCGATGCGACGGCTTCGATCAAGAAGCAAAGCAAAGTCCAAACTACCAGCGTCCACAAAAATTTTGCAGCGGAGGACCACACGAATGACGGCGGGAACGCCATGACGATTCTGAAGTTACAGAAGGAGGTGGAAGCCCTCTCGCAGGAGAACGCGCTTTTGATGGAGCAGGTAAGCCAGAAGCACGAAGAAGGGCTGCGGCGAGACGAATTGGCACCGGCTACGACCTCTTTGTCTTCTTTGACTAATGGCAAAAAGCATGGTGCTGCGCAGTCGACATCCTTTATGGACATAACTGCGGGGGAGAAGCAGAATTTATTCCCTACGGGAGGAGGAACGAACGAGACCATGGAAATTATGGAGGACGAGAACACCGAATTGGCGACGCTTGTGAACATGCTCGTGCGCAACGGAGAAGCGTCCCTGGCGGCGCAAGAGCGGTTGGACGACGCCGTCGCCGCGCGGGTGCGCGCGGAGCTTTTGGAGCACAAAGCGAAACGGGAGTGGAGAAACGTCAGTAAGGTAAGAAAGTGGTGTGGGAAGTTCGAAATTTTCCATTGAACGCTTCGTAACCAGCAATCGCAAGACGATAGGAGGGTATCTGTGTTTCATTGCGGTAGGAAGCATGTCTGTCAAATTAATGCTCCAGGTTTCCAAGGTAGGAGCTGACGCGGATGGCGATGAGAGAACTTTTTCGTGGCTCGGTCTCACCGCTACCCCTTGCTGCGGGTCGTTCTTCGGTTGCGGCGAAAGAGAAGAATTTTTTCGGACAGATCGAGTCTATGATTACCGGAGTTCTGGCGCAATTCAGTGGCTTCGACAAGGACAAAAACAACGTGCTGGACAAGAACGAGTGCCCGGCGCCCCCGCCGGGTGCGGATGCGAACAACGACGGAAATCTCACCCCGACCGAAATCATCACGCACACGTACAACAACTTCATTTCCGTGCTGGAAGGGGCCCGTCCAGGACACGGCGAGAAACATGAGCTCAAGAAGAGCGAGAGCGGGGGACAGAGCGAGAAGCCGACGTCCGCCAGCATGTTAGAGCGAGATGATTTGGCTCCTTGGGACTACTGGAGTTGGACTTTTGGATGTGGTGGTCTAGCACCACATCAAGGGTGGCCAGTGGATTACCTATACCCGACTTCGCAGCTCCTCACCGGAGAGTTTCAAAACGTTTTCTCGGGCAGTCCTCCGGAAAACCTGGGCAAAAGCAGGCTCAACCATCCTCCTCATATGAACGAGTTTTACGCTGATTGATAGTGAGTCCTCTTGGCACGTCAACCTGTTTCGCCGCATATGCAGCGTCACGCCTTAAGGTTAATACTGTCCCACAACGAAAGATCCCGAATGGTACTCATTCAGTATGTTCTTCTAGTAGTGCAGATCGAAGCTATGTGCTGTTTTTGTCTTGGCTTTTCCTTGGCATCATAGCAATGCAAGGCACGTAAGAAGCCAAATCCATAGCAGTTCCAGACAGGTTAAAATTTTTAGAATTTCAGGCTAAGCCAGTTCAGTTGTTTTTAGATGCTCTTTCTCAACACATGAGCAAAGAAGAATGTTGTCGCGTGCGTGACTCGATCTTTGGGCTTATCCGTTGGATCAATACAAAATGCCACTGACACCGAATGTGGCCTGCGCTCCGAGGTGAATGATCCACCTTCGTCTTACATACAAGTTGATCTCGTGACAGCGACCACCCGACGCTTTCTCTAAGTATGTAGATAGTGTCTAGATCACGCTTGATTTGCGTTTTTTATTTTTTTTTTCGCGATCATTTAGGTTTTGCTTTTGCTTATCTTTGCCCTCCGAAAGAGCGGAATCAAAGTCAGTGCGAATATGAATATCCAAGATGGACGAATCCTGTCTTCAGTATTGGAGTGCGTTATGACAGAGCGCTGAGTCCTCGTCCCGCACCGATTCCGAAGCGCCATGAAGCGGTCGCGGGAGCGAACGCGGCGACGGGCGCCCGACGGCAGCCTTTTTCGCTTCGACAGTCCACCCCGGGATGCGCAAGGAAATCTGATAAGCAGCACGAGCGGCGGCAAACAGCCGTTCCCCTTCAATATCTGGCAAGTCCGTCCAGAGCCGATCGTGACAAACTTCTCGAAACTGAAGAACGTGATTGCCGCGGACAGTTCGCTTTCTCTCGCGGTGGATTATCCTGATTAAAAGCGTCCCCACACCAGAGTCAAGATGGGGATTTTGCAACACAAACCTAGGAGTTTTGGGAGTCACGCATGACAAGTTTCAGTCCGTAAGGTAGTGCAAGTTAGCAAGGAAAGCCGCATCACAAATCGACCTGCTAATCCTGTTTACAGCATTACAAGTTCCCAAACAGGATTGAAAATGCCTGTCATGGGGTTGCGCATCACAAATGTTCCTGTCATGGCAAATCTGCATGACAACTCTGGGGTGGGGACGTTTTTACACAGGATATGGATTGCCAGATGGCGATGTCGGAGCTGTACGTCGGAAATCTGCCGCCCGGAATAACCCCCGATATCAAATGTAAAAATGTCTGGGTCTGGAAGAATGCAACTTGTGATGCTAGTTTCGATGTCTAAAAAATTTGTGTTGCATGAGCAGGAAAAGGAGTCTAATTTTTGCTACGCGGAGAGGGCATTTGTCATACGGAATGGGCATCAAGAATCCCCCAAAAAACCTGTGATGCTAGGGCATGCATTACAGGCATCATGGGTCATGAGATGACAAATTTTGCATTCTTCCAGACCCAGACATTTTTGCATTTGATACCCGAGCAGTTAAAGCAATTCATAAACCGCTGCGCGGCGGTGCTCGGGATTGGACCGCAAGCGGGACTAGTGACCGCTAGCAACTACGAAGACACGTCAGACGAGAGCGGGGAGAGCGAAGGGGAAGATGGGCAACCGGCGAAACAATTTGCATTCGGGTTCTCCTCCTCCAATGGGCGCAGCAGCAAGCAGACGAAGACGCCGACGGGCGTCGTCGCATCCGTGGCGATGGCGTCGAAGGACCGAAATTTTGCGTGGGTGACCTTCAGGAAGGACAGGTACGCACTTTTGTCTCTGCAAATGAGCGGCATTTATTTGTGCGGTAAGAAGCTAAGGTTCGGTCGGACCTACGCACAAATTCGTTTACGTGAAACAAAAAACTCCCTGCCCCACGACCATGCTGCACTTTGCGGACACTTTGCTTCGCATCTTTTGCAAAATACTGAAATCAAATGGGACAAAATTTGTACTTAACCTGCTTGGGGCAACCACATTTTGCCACGCTTGCATGCAACATTGGATCACCAAGCACGAGCAGGAATAAAGCACTGGCTGTACTAGCACTATTATCCGCAAAAGAGTTGTGCAAGTGAAGGGAAAACAAAGTGCCGATTTTTCGTATCTACATCCCAATGAGGCGGAAGACCGCGGTCTGCTGGTCGAGGAACTGAAGGCTATTCAGGTGGACCAGGCAAACGTTACCGTGGGCGCCATGCAGCAGCAGAACGCGCAGCAGGCGGCCCTGGCGCAACAGCAGTTGCAACAGCAACCCTACAACGCGGCGGCGATGCTGCCGAGTGGTTCGACGCAGATGAACTTGGGGATTCTGCAGGATCAGAAGTACTGCCTGCACAACATCCCGTCCAGCGTGGAGGAGGAAAAGATCTCGCAGCTGCTCCGTACCTTTGGCCCGCTGAAGTATTTCCAGGTGGTCAAGCTGGACGGACAAAGCATCAAAGCGGCGTTTTTCGAATTTTCCGACTACTTCACGCAGAAGAACGCGCCCGTGACGCTGCAAGGGCTCACGATGGCGGGGAATAAGCTGCAAATTATCACCCCGGAGGAGGCGTTTCAGGTCGGGTTCGGCCGCGGGAAAGTGTCCATCGGGGATAGGGTCATCCCCTCGAAAATCCTCTACATTGGGAGTTTCATTTCGGAGCAAGAACTCTGCAACGACGAGGAGTACGACGAAATTTGTGCGGATATCAGGGACGAATGTGCCACCTATGGTAACTATTGTTGTTTTTGATCAGAGGATTCTTGGTTTTTTGTGATTTCATTTCCATTCCCACCACCGCTCCACCAGTATAGTTTATTTCTTACATGCTGCCGAAGAAATCATTTGAAAAAATATTTTGCCTTTCAGGTAGAGTCATTGACATGGTTGTTCCGCGTCCTCACGACGACACCATCACGGACGCGGACAGGCTCCGCGGTGTGGGGTATGGTTTTATCGAATTTGCCGACGTGGTGTCGTCCAGTAAGGCAAAACGCGACTTCGACGGGCGAAAATTCGGGGACTTCACGATGGAAGCGAATTTTTTCAACGTGAAATTGTGGCAAGATCGGGACTTCAAGTCTGTGAAACCCAACACGGAGGCGGAGCCGGTAATACACGCGAATGAGGAGGAAATGGACATTTCTTCAAGTGGGTGACGACGAGTCATCATCTACTCTTCATCTATCTTCGGAAGATGAACAGAAGGAACCATGATTTTTCCCAACCCGTATTCAAACATTCTTCCAATTAACAGCGACTGGCGATACTAGATTGATGACAACACAAACTCTTGCGACCACTTCTTGAGAAATGGCTCCTGGTACTGCTCGCGCAAGTGCGAAGTGAAGTATCAGCGTGATCCGACTCCAAGCCGCACTGGTGCGCCTGCCTGCCTTTTCACATTGCGTGTTCCTGTTTTCATCTATGAATGTCACAACTGGCCAGCACAAGAAGGACCTACTCTTGTGGATGTTCCAAAACTCCGCTTCTTTCTGGTCTTGGCGCTATTACTGCAACAGCAGAAGAACGATCACATCAATAGACACCTAAAACGAATTTGAAGAAAACGCTACGAACGGAACAAGATCATATCATAGATAGAAGGGGCAGCTCGAAAAAGTACAACAAGGAGCGCCCATTACTCCTACCTCCTACTGTATCTTCTTTTCTACTAAGTAACAACGAACTCTTTAATATGTTGCTTTGCTTTTTTTCGCAGCAGGGCCGGCTACACCAGAAAGACACTTTACAACAGTTTCCTATGTATAGAAAATAACCAAAGTCATCTCCTTTTCCTGTTTTACCTAAGTGAAGAAGGCGTTTGCTCTTTCTCTATTCCACAAAGATGGGCGGCACGACCAGACGACCACAGCTCTGAAAAATAACAGCACAATAACGCGAAGAAGTACCACGACGACGTTTTCTACTTCACACCTCGATTGCAGGTGGTACCACCTCCCCCCCACCCCAAACTCCGACGACCCACTATGTCGAACGACAGCAAGAAGCCGGGGCCCACCAGCGGCACTAGCGGTGCGGCATCTTCTACCGCCGGAGCGACGAGAAAGGAGGACCCCAGTAACAAGAGCAAGAAGGATTTGAAAAAGGAAGCGCTGAATGAGGAGGATCAGAAGCTCAAGGACGAGCTGGAGCTCCTCGTCCAGCGAGCGACAGAGAAGCACGACGTGAAGATCATAAAGGCCAGTTTGGACAATGTCAGCGAGAAGCTCAAAACCGCGTCGTCAACAATGACCAGCGTGCCCAAGCCGCTCAAGTTTCTGCGACCACACTACGAAACGCTGCAGAAATTCTACGAAGCGGAGAAAACAAAGTTCCTCGCCAAGGACGACGTAACCTGCAGGCTGTACGCAGACGTGTTAAGCGTCCTAGCCGCGGTGAAGTCCCCACCAAAAAGAAAAGCGGACGTGAAGAAACAAGAGGAAGAGGCCGCAAAGAAGGCTGCGGAGGAGGAAGGTACGATTGTCGCGATTACATTGCAGTGAATTATTTGTTTCAATTTTTCTTGCTAGCGTTTATATCGCTGTGGACGTGATGAAAGCGGATGTTACTGTTAGTAAGTACCTGTATCAAGGAGGATCGCAAGAAATCCAAACCACTTACAAATTTCAGCTAAGAAGCAAGCAGAGGCATCGGGCGAGAAAAAGAAGGACGAAGAAAAAAAGGAGGAGGAGCAGCCTACAGAAAAGAAAGAAGAGGTCTTCGTTGAAGAACTGGATCCCTACAAGGCGAACCGGTCAAGGGAGTGCCTCAGGTGCGGAGCAAAAACTTTTTGTTTTGCTAGCTTGACAGGCCGATGATCTCGATGTGGAACGATGAGACTCAGTTTTGCTAGGGTGCCGATTTCATCTTTGCTTGGCTCGTAAACAAAGGTGCTGTTTTTAGTTAGTAGCGAGTGTGTAAGAGGTCTTATCAAAACAGGTATCGGCTAGAAGGTACTAAGGGCGACACATTCGTAACCTGGGGCCACGAGTACGTCCGACACTTGGCGGGTGAAGTCATTTACTGCTACCACGCCATTAACGAAGGCGACGACGATGCAATGGAAATCGAGGGTGAAGGTACTTGTTTCTCATGTCTACCAATGCAAAAACAAACCTCGAGGGCGTCGATTTTGAAATATGCCTGTTTCCATCGAATCCACCGCTTTATCGTATGCGAACGAACTAAACAGACACGCCCGAGCCTTCCTACAAGCCGGACGTGAAAGAGCTGCTGAACCTTGTGAGCGTGATCGTGCCCTTCCAAATCAAGCACAACGAGGAGACCACGGCCATAGACATGCTGTTGGAGGTTGAGCAGATAAAAATGCTCCCGGACTTGTTGGATGCGTCCACCGTGAATCGTGTTTGCCTGTACCTGATGCAGACCGCGGTGTACGCCGGTCAGGCGGAAGAGACGCTGGCTTTGCAGAAGCTCGTGTACGACATCAACCTGAAATTCAAGCGGTACACCGAGGCGCAGCGGGTGGCGTTGAAGATGAAAGACCACGAGCTACTGGTGAAAGTGTTCGCCGACTGCGAATCCCTCACCACGAAGATTCAGATGGGATACGTGCTGCGACAACACCGATACCACTACGTAGAGGAGGACTGGGACGAGAAAATTATCGAAGCCGCAACGGGCGAGAACTGGATGAAAAAATACTACAAGCACATCGGGAAAGAGCTGGATGTAATTTTACATTGTTGTATGTGCACACCTTACTCTGTTGTGACTAGGTTCTTTTTCTTAATCTCGAATCAAAGGGAGTAAAAGTCATCGAAAAAGAACACAAAAACAGGTGCTGGAACCCAAGCTTCCGGAGGATATCTACAAGAGCCATTTGGAAGAAAAAAAGCAGCAAGTAGTGCTGGACAGCGCAAAGCAGAACCTCGCTTCAACCTACGTGAATGCGTTTGTCAACGCTGGGTTCGGCAAAGATAAGCTTATGACCGTGGGGGAAGTCTGGCTGTATAAAAACAAGGTACAGGAGATGTCCTCTAATCCGAAAAATGCAGTGCCAACTAGCTACATTTTCTGCGGCGTGAGTACTCATCTGTCGTCCATATGGTATTTCTCAAATGCCACGCTATCGCAAAGAAACTGAAATAAACAGGAACACGGTATGATGGCCGCCGCCGCTTCGAGATGTCTGATTTCGCTCTGGGACACCGAAGTCTTGGATGAGGTCGACAAGTACCAGTACGCGTCCGAAGAATACATCAAAGCGGGTTACTGCCTTTCCCTGGGGATCGCGATGTCCAATGTCAAGAGTGAGACGGATCCCGTCTGGGCTCTGCTCCAGGACACTGTCGAATCGTATTTCATTTCTTAGTACACTTCATAGATAGATGTAGAAGACGAGAGACCCGCCGACGCACTTGTATAAATGTTCATGGGATTTTGCTTTTGCCTCGCATGTGGTCAGCATGGATGAAAGGTGCAAATTTCCGTACACGACAAACCCAAATTCTCAGGGGCGGGCAGAAGGAGAAGATAGCAGCCATTATGAGTTTGGGTTTCGCTTACGCATCAACAAAGCACGAGGAGATAGTGGAAAACCTCACGCCGCTTATCGTAGACGTGGACGCATCGATGGAGTATTTTTTTGATCATTTGCGACTTTATTCACTTTGTGTGCTAGTCCGAAGATTTTGGCTGGTGCAGAATGGGAGTCCGTCATTGGCTCTTAATCGTCAAGGATGAATAGAATAGAGGTTTATTCCACAATATTCCAGGCTCTCTGCAGTGTGCGCCCTCTCTGTCGGGATGGTCATGATGGGCAGCGGCGACGCTGACATTTGCGGCGCCATCGTTGCAGCGCTTGAGGAGCGGATGAAGTTGACCGGCGCTTTGGACAGTTCCGTGGCCACCCTTTTCCCCATGGCCCTGGGCTTGATCATGGTTGGCGTCGGCGAAGGAACAGAAGAGTTCAAGCTCGAGGCGCTGGTATCGGATTTTGGAATTTACTTATTTGAAAAGCATGAACAAAAGCAAAACCAGGTAGAGGTACCACTTAAGTAGTAAGTACCTACTTACCTGGAAGATTTTTCTTTTTTCGTCCGTGCGAATGCTCTACCTCTATCCAAAGCATGATTGTTTGTCACCAAAAACAACGACAGATGGAGATGCTGAAGCAGATCAGCCACCCGCTCGGCGCTTTCGCGGCCAACCTCATCACGGGGTTCGCCTACGCCGGCAGCGGGGACGTGCTGCAGGTGCAAAAGATGATGCAGGTGTGCGGGGACCACAACAAACACAGCAAGGACGAGAAGGAGGAGGAAAAAAAGGAAGAAGGCGCGGCCGAGGGGGAGAGCGCAAAATCCACCTCCCCCGCCGGCGGCGCCGCACTGCTGTCCATTGCGGCGATTGCGTTTTCCGACGACTTAAGCCGGGAGATGTGCATGCGGATGGTCGAGCACATCCTCCAGTACGGAAACTTGCAGCTGCGGCGAACAGTGCCATTGGCGATCGGCCTGTTGTTCGTGTCCAACGCAAAGCAAGCGGCAATAGACCTGCTCAGTATATTATTTTTGTGTGTCAGTGAAGATGTCCATCAATTTATATTCTTGTTGACCCCGGCTCCTCTGGTAGGCAAGTCAGTGGAGTTAGTCCTCAGTTTCTGTACGAAAGTTTTTTGCCGTGCTTTCCAGTGCTGTTCAGCGTCTCGACCGCCTTCATAGTCAATCTTTTCCCATAACCATATTTCAGGTAAGCTCTCCCACGACGCAGACGTAGAAGTAGCTTCCGCGGCGATTTTCGGCATGGGTATCATGGGCGCTGGCACGAACCACGCGAAAATTGCCGGTTTGCTCCGACAACTTGCTGCGTACTACGCAAAGGACGCCAACGTGCTCTTTGTCGTCCGTATCGCACAGGGGTTACTCTACCTCGGCAAGGGGTTGCTCACACTCACTCCTGTGCACAGCGACAGGTTACTCGTGAACAATGTGGGCATGGGCGCTTTGCTCACCCTGATGACCGTCATGCTCAACTCCAACACACTTCTGTTCACCCACCACATGCACTGGCTCCTGTACAACTTTCTATCGATTTTCAAATATCTTACGTCGATGCTTTCACATCGTTTTCATTTATCCTTGCCCAAGACTGAGTTCTCCTTCTCATGTCCTTATTTGTTGTGGTGGTAAGGCCGCTGCGGCAATGTACTTAGTTTCTCTTTCTCCTGTGGCACAACAAGATTTTTTTCAGCTAAGGACAACTGCATGGCGTAAATCTCACAAAAATGTTCATCACAGCTACATGATTGTGCCAAGTTTGGCTACCCGCATGCTGATATGTGTCGACGAAGAGGGGGAGCCGGTCCCCGTCACCGTGCGGGTTGGGCAGGCTGTGGATACCGTTGGACAGGTGGGGAATCCGAAGTCCATCACCGGGTTCCAGACGCACACCACTCCGGTCCTTATGGGCGCCGGCGACCGAGCTGAACTCGCAACGGACGAGTTTTTGGCGGAAACAAACGTGTTGGATGGTGTCGTAGTGGTCCGGAAGAATCCCGACTACAAAAAGGAGACTGCGGCATAAAGTCTGATATTTTTTGACATCATGAAAAATATACAGACTGAATCAGCGACTGATGAAAACTTCTCCTTTCCTCCCCAGAACATCCGGAGGTAGTAGTAGATTTTTTCAACATTTTTTCTTCATAAGCTTACGAATGTGGCATACAAGTAGGATCATGTTGCCCATGGATAAGATGAATAGTTGATAGAGGCTTCTATCTATAGCGACGTATGAGTTTGGTTTGTAGTGCTTGTTCTGGGGGTAAGCAGCTCAGGATTGGAGATTTGTGTAGAAGTATAGGGATGATCTTCAACGGCGACTACTTCAGAAACTAGAACACAACTTACTAGCTACTTCTCAACGTCGGCATCCTAGTCGATGTTGGTCAACACTCCCGGATGCATGCAGACGTTGTTCGACAGGTGTTCTAGTAGTGAGGGTCGGTAGTATATTCCGGTGAATTCAAAGTATCGTCTGGTCTGCGTCTTGATTTTTCGTTCACGAATGTAGTTCTCGTGTTTTGCTACCGCTTTAGTTACACGGAGTTTTATTAGGTGATGGAGTTATCTTTCTGTTTTAGTACTGTTTCTCGCTCTGTGTCTACAAATCCTCCTGTCGCTCTGTCGTGTTTTGCGCCTAAAAACTAACGCAGCATTCGAAGTCGTAGGCACGCGATTAAGTGAAATCGTTGAAACAGTACAATGATGTCGCGCGGCGCGTAGAAGTCAGAAGAATGTCGACAGTCGAAGAGCGCATCAAGGTGTTGCCCCGGGACAAATTGGAGAATTTGTTCCACAAGAGTTTGGAAAAATGCCGGACGGTGGAGGGGCAAGCTCAAGCGTTACAGCAGGAGCAGGCGGTTGTAAAAAAGGAACAAGAAGTTACACAACCTAGTGAAAAGGAAGACAACACACAGCCGGATGTTCAACAAAAGAACGACGTAGATGACGACACAGCAGGGGCGGAAAACAAGGAGGCGCAGGAGCAAGAGAGGATACACGCGGAGCAAGTGGCGGAGTTACAGAAGAAACAAAATTCCGACTTGGAAGACCAGCGAGCGAACTGCGAACGAGAATGCGCGTCGTTGCAAGCCTATCAAATGTGAAAGTGTCTGGGTCTGGAAGAAAGCAACTTGTCATGCTGATTTTGGATTCTAAAAACATTTGTATTGGATGAGCAGCAAAGAGAGTCCAAGTTTTGCTACACGGAAAGAGCGTTTGTCATGCGGTATAGGCATCAGGAAGCCCTCACAAAATCTGTGATGCTAGAGCATGCATCACAGACATTAGGAGTCATGCAAAATGTGCATGACAAGCCTGGCAATCTTCCAGACCCAGACATTTTTACATTTGATAAAGCCTCTCTGGACGAAGTGCGGGGCCGACTGGTGGCTTCGGAGGAGGATTCAGAAGTTGTAGACGAGGGGGGAAGCAGTGCAGTTGTACTACCAGTGGACGAGGCGGCGCTCAGCGAGGCTCTTGCGTCGCAGGAACACGAGGACTTGCGAAAACGTCTTGCGACCACGCGAGAAGGAATCGTCGCAGAGAAACGAAAGGCGCAGGACGAACGCGCACGAAGAAAAGCAAGCGTCGAGGAGCAGCTGCGGGTTCGTGCACAGGAGGCAGAAAGGGAGCGCGCGCAGAAAAATGCCGTACTACGTGCAGCATCAGACGAGCGAGTACTACGTGAAAGGCAAGATGCGGAGGAGCGCGTCGCATTGGTAGACAAAGAGATACAGAAACTGAAAACAGCTGTAGAAGACACACAAGAAGATCTCCGCGCTGCAGCAGAAAAGGAAAACCAACTACAGGCTGAAGTTGCAGCAGCCGTGGCGGAAACTTCACATCAAGCGAGCGACGAACCTCCTGCGCAGCAGCCAACGCCGCCAGCAGACAGTAACACTGCAGAAGACTGCTCAACCGCATCGAAAAGTGAAGAGATAGACGCACTGGAAAAACAGCAAGTGGATTTGGAAAACCGAATACAAGCGCTCAAGGCCGACCAGGCACAGAAGGAGGAGGAACTAAACGCGCGGATACGAGATGCGAGGCAAAAAGTGTCGCTCCTGGACGAGCACGCGGCGAAGAGGAAAACACTTGCAGGGGCTGCAAACTTGCGGCGGGAGCTGGAGACGAGAAGAAACTACTTGACGGAGCTGGAAAAGAATCTTGCGGATTTGTACTCAAACAGCACAAAGTTCGAAGCGGAGCAGACGCAAGTAGTCAAGCAAGAAATAGCAACGCTAACGAGCGATTGGAAGGGTCTGCTGACAAGTTCAGGTAGTGAGTAAGGTTCAGCCTCGTTTTTGCGTGCCTATCGTGAGGTTGGTTTTTCCTTCTTTTGAATAAACGTGAAATTGGCATGAAATATTTGAAAATCCAGATTCCTTCTCCGCTGCCACAACCGGGAGACTTACAAACAACGCCGAGTGGATGGGTGCTTTGTCCTCCGCAGCGAGTAGCGCTTTCCAAAGGATACTGGAAGACAAACGGGAGCGGGTACGCGCGCTCGGGAACACGAACAAAGTCCTGCAGGCGCAACTGCAGGAGACAAAAGCGGAGGGGAAAGCGGTGGTGAGCGAGTTTTCGGAGAGCCGGAAAGACACGGCGCAGAATGCGCTGGACGAGCTGGAAAAACTGCAGAAGGAGGTGGAGGACCTGAAGAGAACCAAAAAGAAAGATGTGGAGTTCACGCAAAAGGAGCAGGAGAAGCTGCAGAAGTACGAAAAAGTGATCCAGCAAGCGGACGCCAAGCTGAAGGTGAACCAGAAAAAGTGCAGTGCGCTGAAGGAACAACTCCAGAAGCAACAAGAGGAGCACGTGGCGGCGCAAATGGAGCTCGACCGCGCGAAGCACGCGGGACAGGAGCTGGACTTCGATCACGAGGAAGTGCTGGCCTGCGTCGAAGTGCCTGTGCGGGGGACAGCAGCTAGTGCCTCATCTACGTCGAGTAGTACTACAAGACCGAAAACGCCGACTGGGTCCGTGGGAGTTCTTACGAAAAACCCGGCGAAAAATTCAACATCGAAAAATCTTCAGCCAGATTCTGAAATCTGGTGTCTGCTGAAACACCAAAGCAAAAATCTCGACAAGACCAGCACGGCCAAGGACCTCGCCTACAAGCAAAGCAAATGTTGGTGGCGACTGCAGCAGCTCGAGGAACTGCTCCCGAAAGCCACCAGCACGACGTTCCCCGTGCCCTTGCAAACCCAGTACCGCCAGTTGCTGGAGAAGCAGGAGCAGCGAGTTTTGCAAGTGACGGAAGTAAGAAAGGAGCGAGAGAAGTGTCTCGAGAATCTCCGTGCGGAGTACCAAAAGTACAAAAAGAAAGCGGACACCGTGGCAAAACTGCAACAGCAACAAACGTCCTCGTTCTCTTCATCTTCGGATGGAGCAGGGGGTACATGCACTTCCGAGCAGAGTCTCAAACCCGAGGAGAGCATGGCCAAGGGGTTGGAGAAGCTACAAAGTGATAACGCGGAACTGCGTTCGCACATCGCCGCGGTGAGCAAGGAAATTCGGGAATTGCAGCAAGGCAACACGCTGCACCACCAAACTGTGGGAAAAATCCGCACGGAAATTCTTCGGATTTGTGACTCCCTGGCCCAGAAGTCCACGCAGCAGACCAGCTTCGAGAAGAAAAAACAGTCGATCCGGCAGGAAATTCAGAACAAGGAGGAAGAGCGATTTATGCTGGAGAACTACGCGGTCGAGCTATCAAAAGGAAAAATCCCCCCTCCCCATATCAAAACGGAATTTCTGATGCTGGATTTGTGTACACAAATCAGCTCTGTATTGCAGAGAAGCGCTGCGGCCAGATCCCCAGGCTAGGTAGCAGGGACGTTTGGGGCTAGTTGTTCAGCATGGCAAACGGCTCCCCTTTAGTCCCAAGAGCATGACAAATCGCTTCCATAATGGCGCGAAAGCTTCTGCCCTTGTCTTCTTGCAACAGAAATGTGATTTGTGGCCTCAAATCAGCATCGCAAATTTTCGGAAGCATACCTTGTTGATATGGGGAGGGGGGATTTTTCCTCACGATACGAGCAGAATAGCACGCGCAAGAAGGCGCTGGACCAGGAAGTGGATATCTTGCGCACGCTGGAGAAAAACCTCCAGGTAGAAAGAAAAACGCTGCAGGAGAAACTCGCAAGCCTGTTGGAAGAAAGGCGTGAACAGAACGAGAGAACGACGACGGCAAGAAAGGACGAAAAGGATGATGGAAAAGCAGTCGCTGGCGCCGAAGAAGCGGGGAAAAAAGAGAGTTTGGAAGGTATTAGGTGTTAGAGTGCAAGAGCAGCTCCATCAACTTCGAACCATGCGTAGATTCTAAACTACTGCACTTCGTCTTCGCAATGGCATCCATTGGTTTTGGTTTCAGTACAGGTCGTTCGATTATCCATGTTTTGCCTGCGCACGCCGACATGCAAATGCAATTTCAAAATGTGATGAACGAACCACACTCATAAACAGCTCCGCCGGAGGACGCAGGGAAAAAGCTGCAGCTTCCGCTCGGCGTGAGCACGAACTCCAGTGCAATACCGCCGGAACATCAAACAAAGGGCCCTTCCTTTCTCCCGCCCAATCGGATCACCACGACATCCGGCGGCAGTAGCACGACGCAGTCGACGGCACCGGAGCAAGTATATCAGAACAACAACTTGGAGGAAGTCCTCCGGCAGCCCACCGTCGCTTGGTCAGACCTGATGGAGCTCCGCGCGCTCATCCGCCAATACGAACAGTGCTTGGAGCATATTGAGGGGAAAAATCCCCCCTCCCCATATTGAAAAGGTATGTTTCCGAAAATTTGCGTTGCTGATTTGTGACCACAAATCAGGTTTGTCTTGCAAAAAGACAAGTGCAAAGACATCCGCCCAATTGTGAAGCGATTTGGCATGCTGTTGGTTCTAGGGGGTAGCCATTTGCAATGCTGAACAACTAGACCTGAGCGCTCCCACCTAGGCTGCGGATCTGGCCGGAGTGCCTTACTGCAAGACAAATCGGATTTGTGTACGCAAATCAGCAGCAGAAGTTCCCACTTTGATACGGGAAGGGGGGATTTTTCCTTTTGATAGAGCAGGAGAAACGGGACGAGGACTTGTTGCGGCAGCAGAACGACCACCTGATTTTCCAGCTGCAGGAGATCTACTCAACTACGAACTTGCAGCAAAACATGAGCGAGCAGATATCCTGAGTAAAAACGTACCCACACCAGAGTCAGGATGGGGATTTTGCAACACAAACCTAGGAGTTTTGGGAGTCACGCATGACAAGTTGCACTCCGCAGTGTAGTGCAGGTTAGCATGTGCAACCGCGTCACAGATTCATCTGCTCATCCTGTTCACAGCATCACAAATCCCAAAACACGATTGGAAATGGCTTTCATGCGGATGCGCATTACAAGTCTTCCTGTCTTGGCAAATCTGCATTACAACCCTGGTGTGGGTACGTTTTTACTCAGGATAGCAGACGCAGCTGGAGTACATCCGGAACGTGTTTCGGCAGTTTCTGGATTTGGACGAGAACGGCTCCATATGCATTGCAAATATGTCTGGGTCTGGAAGAATGCAAGTTTGTCATGCTTGCCTGGCATGACTCATAAATCTGTAATGCATCAGCAGGAAAACGAAAAGGGCCTCTTGCCTGTCATGCAAAAACGCAGTTTGCCATGCGGAAAACGACACACAGTAGCAGTTGAAAAAATTGTCATGCTTCGCTGCCGATTGCAGTCCCCCCACCAGTCACATTTTAGCATCACAAGTTTCCAGACCCAGACACATTTGCATTTGATACTCCAGTTCGCTGTACCAAAACCTCACGTCTTCCCTCGGCGGGTCGCGGAGTAGCTCCGCGGGAACCCTGCAGAAGCTCGCGGAAGAACACGAGCAGTGCATCCCGGTTCTGTTGAAGTTCCTGGAGTTTGATCTTGTCGAGCAGGAACAAATCCGGCAAAAACGCGCAAAGAAAGCCGAGAGTTCCTACTACCAGAACGCTGCGAACGAGACGGCAAAAATGATTACCAATTTACGCGGATGGCTCAGGTTTTGATTCAATCGAAACGATATGAGTATAAAGCGAAAATAATGAGTACAACTTCAAAGCGCGAACTTGTTGGATGGCCACCGTCCTCTCGACGTCGTTCTCAGCGATGGATGGCAGTGATGTGTGTGATATGCAAACAGTGTTCGACAATGACAAATAAAACTCCACAGGAAGTTCTGAAGATCGTGGAAGATTCTGGATTCGAATATCCGTTCGGTTTTCCTTGTCGGAGCTTTGATTGTGAAGAACGATGAGGAGAGCAACATATCGGTAATAAACTTTTGTTTGATCATCGTCGCAGGGTGGGGCACGCATTTTTTGGGTCGTGAAACTTACCGAACCAAATTTTTGTCGTCGTCCGTGAAGAACCTCGCATGTTAAGGTCATGGGAGGCCGGTACCTGTGTTTGCGCACTGAATGAATCAATACTTACTCCAGGACCACAAGTTTGTCAATCTTTTCGATTTCCCGCTGAGAAATTATCGGTTTAAGCCTTTTCGATTTCAGCATCGGTTCGTGGGTGTTCCCTTGATGCGCATAACTTTTCACTTTGTTCTGTCATTTGTGAAATATGAAGTACCTTGTGCACGATCTCATTTCGTTTTTTGAAGTGAAGTGCCGTCACCTCACAACGGCTACCTCTACGTACAACCTTGTCGGCTGTGTATATCGGCCGTATTTCCACCGCAACTTTTGTGGCAAAGAGGTAGAACCAGGAAGAGACTAATAAGCCTCGAAAGAAGAAGATGGGATTCGACGAGAGGTTTCCCACGCTGAGAAACTGGCCCGCCACCGACCCGGCGTTTTTGGAGGGCGTGCACGACCAATACAAAGCGCACTTTCCGGAGTACAGTATTGACACCCCGCCAACGGAGGAGAACATCCGCGAAGCCAGCTTCCGGGACCTGCTCGCGGTCTGCTTCGGGCGAAGCATACAGACCGTCAAAGATCAGCAGTTTGCGGACAAAACATGGGAAATGGCAATGCAGGACTTGGTGCGGAAGTGGAGAGTAAACAGGTACTTAATTGCGTTGTTTCGATACAGTTCTACTTCTACCTTAGTCGAGTGCAATCGGTTGCGCTGCGATTGAAGGTGCATGAGAAAAAATCATCAAACCGGTTGCTTCAATACGAAGTATGACATCAAGTGTCCCTTTCACAACTCTTCAGGGGTTCTATCAACATCAACGACCGCATTGGGGGAATCCCCTACCTGCACTTGATCTGCAAAGTCGGGCAGTGCCGGTACCGTGCCCACCCGGGCCAGGATCCGCGCCCCATGAACCAGATCCCGACCCGCAACCTCTTACTGGAAACCATCCTGAAGGAAGCCAAGGACCTGAACGTCAACGCCGTCGACTTCCGGGGTCACTCCGCCCTGAACTACTGCTACAGTTACACCTTTGAGGTGACAAACGTTCCGGAAATCGGGCCAGACGGGCAGAGAAGGAACAAGTGCGCGTACGCCGTGTCCATCCACTGGGCCTCGGTCCGCATGCTGCTGGCCCGCGAGGAGTGGGTTGCGCTCGATTTCCCGGTCCCCGGCGGACAGTTTGGGAACATGCAGTTGTTGCATTTGCTGAAGCGCAGCTACTTGCTGTTCCAGGAGGAAAATCACAAGCAGTTCCCGGCCAAGGTGCACCACGATTTGCTGCAGACAATAAACAAGTGCGGCGCTGAGGTGGAGCTCGCGCGGACGCTGCGGTTTTGGCCCATGCAGGAGAAGCTGCAGAAAGACAACACAAAATACGATTGCACGCTGCTCACCCGCACAATCAGCAAACGCTGGGGCGACGGGTTGATGCTGTTTTTGAACGAACCCGCAACCGAGGAGGTAGTGGAAAACATCTGGAGACATCCGGCGTTTGATAGGTACAGAACAACGTACTTGATAGATTGTACTTACAGTTACAAGGCGCAAGAAAAGACAGGGATGTTATGATTTCTGTAGTGGTACCCGTACCGGTATGATGGAAAAATAGCGGTATGACAGTATGAAGATCGAGGGAAAAAGAACATCAAAATTTCCGCATTCACAACAGAATGGGTTTTCTGGACGAAATCTGTCTGGTCGAAGGCAACAACGTGCGAAGATGGCGTGACATCGACGTCAATTCTATGTACCTCGTGGACAAGTTCAACTGCACAAAGAAGGCCTGGTACTACGTGATGCATGCGATTCAGTTCCAGAAGGGCGCAGAGCTGAAGGATCAGCTGGTATAGTTTTTTTTGACGGAATAGGAAGCTTTATTCCGAGACTTTGAAGCACAACAAGAATGTGAACGGCTCCCGCATTTGGTCGAATATTACTAATATTCGACCAAATGCGGGAGAGATAGGGAGATAGGGAGAGTCCCCCTAAAAGGGGGCAACAAAAACAAAACCAAATTGATCGCAAACAGCACGGTACGGCCACGACAACATCTTTCGAAATCTGGGGCGGAAATGCTTCCGAAATCTGATGAGGGAAAGTTGAAATGGTCATTGCAATTTTCCTTCGATGAGGGAAAGTTGAAGCGGCCATTTCAAATATCCTTCGATGGGGGAAAGTTGCAGTGGCCATTTCGATTTTCCTTCGATGAGGGAAAGTTGAAGCGGCCATTCTAAATTTCCTTCGATGAGGGAAAGTTGAAGCGGCCACTTCAAATATCCCCCCATGAGGGAGAGCTGCAGTGGGCATCTCGATTTTCCTTCGATGAGGGAAAGTCGAAGTGGCCACTTGCGTTTCAAATTTCCTCTGATGAGTCAACGGGCGCGCGGTGCTCGTTTGCCTTCGAATCGATGCAACGCCATTGGCTGCGTATGGGGTGAGTGAATGCGCGCGCGCAGCGCGCGCGCAAAATTTTTTTGGTTCTACGGCTTACCAAAACGGAGCATACCGTCGTGATTCAAGGGGATGAGGTTTACTACGGCTCTCCCTATCGACCTATTCTCCCTATTCCGCTCTCCCTATTCCCTCGATTCACTACAGTCGTATATATATTAGTTATGTGTTTGTTCATCAGTTTCAGTTTACTCACGCCCACACGGCACCTCATGTCAGATCCTTGGCGTTGAATGAGAGCACCTCCGCGAAGTTGTAGAGAAAAAGATTTTCTGTGCAAAAACTACTACTTATTCATCACACCAGGCGGCCCAGGGCAACACCGTTTCCATGCAGGTGGGTGGGAAGCAGCCCCAGCTCCCGGGGGTGCAGAAGCAGGTGGTGAAGGTCGGAAAGAACGCGTTTGTCGCCCCGGCGGAACCCTCGAGTCCCATCCACAGCACGCCGCCGCGTTCCAGCGGGAGGACGTTACGACGAATTTCCGTGTCCCCCGATTTGTCCAAGGCGCTGGCGCAGGAGGTGGCCAAGATCAACTCCCCAAAAATCCCGAACTTTGAGGAATTGGATAAGAAAAAAGCGGCGAAAGAACAGCAGTTTGCGTCCACGCCAAAGCCAGAAGTAGTGAACAAGAAGGTCGTGTTGAGCAAGGCAAAGGAAGCCAGTAAGGAGAAGAAGCCGGCACCAGCATCAAAGGAGAAGGCTGACGAAAAAGATTTGTTTAAGGAGGATCCCGCTGACGACACGAAACCCGCTCCGAAGGCAATGAAGGCAGCGCCAGCGATGAAAAAGGCAGAGAAGGAAGTTAAGAAGGTAATGAGCAAAAAAGACGAGCAAGCCATGAAGAAATCGCCACCACCAATGGCTGCTGCAAAAGGGGGCAGTAAAAAGGACAAAGCAGCACCGGCAGCCGCAAAGAAGTCACCACCAGCAATGAAGATGAGCATGAAAAAGATGCAGAAAGCTCATGCTGAGGCGAAGGCAAGTCCGAAAATGGCATCATCCCCAAAAATGGCATCATCTCCGAAAATGGCATCATCGCCAAAAATGGCCTCATCACCCAAGATGGCAGCCATGAAAAAGGAAGCAAAAAAGGAGAAAGCTTCCAGCATGAAGAAAGCCGCCGCGGCACCAGCGAAGGCGAAGCCAAAGATGAGCAGCATGAGCATGAAGAAAGCCGGCGCGACTGCATCTTCCTCACCAAAAATGGGGGTGAAAAAGACCGCCATGAAGAAGAAGTGAATTCTGCTGCAACAGTTTTCTACAAAATAAATCTTGAGAATACAGGGCAACGGGTTCTTGTAGATGTGCATTTGTTGATGTAGTAGTCTACTACAACCGTGTCGTCGTGTAAAAAAATATCATACTTCTTTTGTACCTGTAACATAAGGTCTGGTGATGTCACCGTAATAAACAAATAAAACGATAACGTGCCGCATAATGTGATTAAACTTTAACAGTATACTATCAACGTGTCATGCAACGTCGCATTCGCAGTGACAGTGTATACGATTTTCTTATCATAGCTACCCACACAGAAATTTGCACCACTTGCGCTACACTTCCGTACATACAAGGTCGAGGTGATTCGTCGTCTCCAGAGTGGTCCCAAATGCGAATGTCTGAAATTGATTCTACCTCCCTTCCTCAACGCAAAATGACTGCCACCTCGCTTCTTATTCGTCGTTACACCGCGACGCGCTTGCGACTGAACAACGTTTCAAGGCGTACGCCTTGCTGCGAGCCGGTGCGTTCCTGTTCAGAAAAGGCCTTACGTTCGTATTCGGCCTTTGGATCTAGATCTAGTGGAAGATCAGAAGTGGACAGTTCTAGAGATCAACAGCACTCTATTGTTCGTTGGAACGCTGCAGGTCACGACCAAGTGTGCGAGGATCTCCGCTTCCGATCCTGTTTCTTTCTTCCGTGTCGTGGCGGTTCTGTATTGGCGTTTTTACATTTGAAAGATTTTTGTCGGTACTCTCAGCGAGCCGAGGCTACAACGCGTAGCGTGCTAAGTTCCCACTCACATCATCAACTGCAGGAGCCCCGCGTCTCTGACCGCCTCCGCGCCGACGCAAAAATGAAAGCAACACAAGGCGGTCACTTGTCGTACTTTTCCTTCCTTCGGCAGCACGTGATTGGTCCGGTGGTCGCGGCTGTGAGCGTGTGGGGGTTTTGCTTGCTGCTCTCCCTGTATCTGTGGCGATCCATCGGGGACGAGGAGTTTAATCAATATCTCATGTCCACCTACGTGATCCCGATTATTTCGTCCGGTTACCTGCTGATCAAAAACAGCGACGAGGCTACGGAGACCAAGGACGACGCGGAGCAGGAGCAGACGAAGCAGTTGCTGAAGTTGCAGGGGTTGAGCCTGCAGGCGGAGCTGGTCTTGGTGAACAAGAAACAGGTGCTGGTGTCGCACATCAGGGAGGCGCTGGGCCGGGAGCGCGCCTTCCGGTGGGACGAGTTGTTCCTGTTGGAGTTGGAGCGGCGGGAGGAGGAGAAACAGACTGCAACAGCCGGAAACGTCGCGGTGAACGTGGTCTCGAGCTTGGTCGCGGCGGCTGCGGGTGGCGGAGGGGGCAGTGCAGTAGGGACAACTCCTGGGAAGAGCGCAGCTGCGAAAATGCCACGAACCAACAGAAACCTGGGAGTAAGTGCAGCAACTGCGGCAGACGACGGCCGATCTTTGGCAGACAATCGGAAAACTAGCAGCGGTGGAGCCCCCTTAGCCGCCGTTGCTATGCAGAACGCGGGAGCCGCCGCAGCTTCATCTGCGGGCGGAACTAGTGGAGGTTATAGCGCGCCGCAACAACCGGCAGCAGCAGCACCCACCCTTGCAGCATCGACACCGAGCAGTACTTCTAAAGTTGTTGCTCCGGCGACGGCGCCTCCCTCGGTGAAAACGGTGGAGGTGAAGGCCTCGGAGTGCGTGGTTTCTGAAATGGCAAACCGCCCGGTGTTGCGCTTCACGTTTCAGTGTCCCACGAACACGAAGCAGAAGGATACAGATTCCAAGAAGCAAGCGGCAGAGGATGACAGCAAGCAGTCGGTGAAACAGGTCGGGTATTCGTGGGTGCAGGCCATTCGCGACCGTTTCGGGACGAAGCCGGAGGACATGATCACGCTTGAGTGGACCGGCGAGGTGCTAGAGGTGTCCGATGGGCTGGACGTGTTTCAGCAGTCTCTGACGATCACGAAGTTGCCCGATGCGGGTAAGAACTGGCAAGTGAAACAGCTGACGCTGTGGAAGCTGCGACAGGAGCACCCGCAGGCGGACCAGGCGTTGCGGGCGGCGCCGTATTTTTCTTCGTTTAAGAAAACGCTCGATTTGTACAGGGAGCGGCAGACGCAGATCCGAGAAAACATCGAGGAAGAAGCGAGTTCGCGAGCTAGTTTGCCGGTGGTCTCGCAGGAACAAAGGCCGCGGGCGGGGGGCGACGTCGTCAAGGGGAAAAGTGCTGTCGTGGCCCCATCCAGTAGAAGTAACTCGAAGATAACATCATCATCTTCAGGCACAAGAGCCCGAGCGCTGTCATCCCCTCCAGTAGAGCGGGAGACGAGCGAAGCAGTGGCAAAAGTAACGGGACTCGCTGCGAGCGGAGGTTCGAAGAGCCCTGCTGATACCACAGATCAATTAAGTGCGTACAAGACCCTGGCTAAGAAACGCGCTGACTTGGTGGAGGAGCTGGAGTTTTTCGTGAGAAAGTCTGAGTGGTCGGCGACGTTTCTAAAACGACTCCACGACGAACGGCAGAAACAAGGCTCGATTCCCGCAGGCGGAGCGCAGCAAACCGGAGGATCTTCCCCCGGCAATCTACCGGGGCACCCACTGTATTCGAAGTCGATGTGGCTCGCCGTAGAACACCCAGTTTCTATGATCACGAGTGTGTCTCGCCTGGTGTCCGGGGTGGTCTTTTACCCGCAGGTCGGGCAAAAGTACCGTGCCAGCGTTGGGTCGGGGAGTCCAGGAATGTTGCGTCGGAACTTTCACCGCTACTTGTCGGCGATCTTCCCTCGCGCGCGAGCGCGGCGCGACGTTTTCATTCGAGTAACGACAACGACGCCGCCACCAACTGCCGTCGTGAGAAGCAGCATCACAGCTGGCCCGCCCGCTGTGGCCGAAGAAACACAGCAGGTTGCAAAGGAAATCGAGACTGCAAAACTAAGTACAGCGGTTTCATCGGGGAGTTCGAAGGCATCTACGGCAGCAAACAGGCCCGGGCCTGTGGCTGAAACACCAGTACCCGCCCCCGTTGATGCCGCAGCGCCAGTAGCGAAACCCGATTCGATCCTCCCGGTTAGCACGCCAGTTGGCACTCCTCCTTCTTCAATAGCACCAGTGGTGACAACTTCACCGCCGATTCCGGAAGAAGGCGGAGGGGTCTCGTCCGCCGCTCCAACAGTGACCACTTCTGCACCAGGTACCGCGACCGGTCAAACAGCGACTTCGGCCGCGCCCACAGCAGGCAACGTCAACGAGTTATCGAGCGGTCTGCTGAAAGTAAAAAAAGATTCGGGTGCTAAGATAGAGGATTTGGACACAGCAGCCGGAATGGACTCAGTGTCTGCAAAAGCAAACACCTTCTCATCCAAACCGGCTTTGGCGGAAGAAAAAACGAAAAACACCACTGCTGAAATTACCACGGGCAAAACGACAACGAGCGAGCCAGTGCGTGAGAAAAAGCCCAAGGCGAAGCCTGTGGTAAGTGTGCCACGGGACTTGAAGTCGGGCACGACTTCTAAACCACCTTCGTCGCGCGGGGACAAAACTACACCGGCAGCGGCTAGTAACACCAAAACGAGAGGTTTGTCTTTCGCCAGTACAACAGATGACGTGGTTGAAAATTCAGTTCCACAAAAAAAGCAACTGCAACCAACTGCGGGCCTCGCTCGACAAACCACTACTGCTTTCTCAGGCCGTAAACTTTTGGAAGAGCCGCAGGTCGCACCGAACAACTGGCAACTTGCGACGCATGAAAAGTCGGGAACATTTTTCGGCGCCTTGCCTTCGCGTTCTTTGACTTTCTCGCGGTTCACTACGGCGCATCTATTTCTCGAGCCATCGGCGCAATTGTCACGGTCATCCCTGACGCTTGTCCGCACCTGGTACAGCCTGCGCAACGGGCGGGACCACACTTGTACGTCTACGATGCCTTCGGCGGTGGCAAATTTCGCGGCGTCGGATGTTCGTGGACAAGAGCACGCAACTGCGGCGCAGTCGGATCTCCAGGAAGCCTGGGTGGCGCATTTCACTCTTGCAGACAAAAAGAATGAATACGGAAGTACAATAAAAGGGGCATCAGTACAGTCGAAAAGTAGTAAGAGCGCCAGTAGCCAGTTTTGCCGGAGTCACGTTTCGCCCGCTTTTACTAGCGCGAACGTTGCGAGCTTTCGTAGCAGCGTTGCGAAAAAAATCTCTTCTTCCGTGGATATGGTGGTCTATGATCAAGGGGCAGACACGGTCATGAGGCGAGAAGGAGCAGCAGCACCAGCAGGAGTTCCCGGTGCAGTAGCTGAACCAGAGGAGAAGCATGCATCTGAGAAACAATCCGGACTTACTGATCCAGCTGCACAATTCTCAAGAGTAACGGAGAGTAAGCTCGAGGGGCGTGTGGTATCTCCCTCGCTGCCGGGCGGCACAAGCACCATGAAGCAATTTATGAAAAACGTGCTGTCAGAAAAGAACGACAAATTCCTCATTGTCGATGGTGTGGGCGACTTCTACGACGGCCACGCGGAGCACTTCCAGTTCTTCATCGACGGAAATGCGGCGACATCTTCTAATGCATTTGCCTCCGTGAATACGCCGCAAACGCAGATGGCAACGTCACAGCAGCACGCTGACAGAGGAAGAAAGAAAAAGAACAGTTCTCATCCTGCGCCCTCTACTCCACAGGACCTAAAGGCGACGTCAGCCTCGTCTCCTTCCGCAGGACAAGAAGGATCATTTCCGAGAAACGACGAGGCCGCCCGCGCGTGGGCTCCTGCGTCGAGCAGCACGGACGAATTTCGCTTACCCGCCGCGGACATCCCAGGTTCTTCGATCTGGAGTACGGTGCGAAACTTTTTCGGTTCCTGGTGGACCGAGGGAGCCGCCGTGCAGCACGAATCAACGGCTGGCGGAGGAGAGGAGCTGCAAAGAAGTCGCATTGAGGCTGCAAACCAGCTGCATGGCCTTGCGGCGCCCGGCGCGCTTGGTCTCGCCGCCTCGTCCCGTGACGCGCTCAATGTCCAGACACTCTCTGATGCGAGTGCGATCGACGCAATACCAGCCTCGCCAGAGTCCCAGCGGTTTCAGCCGTACTGGAATCCCGTACTATCTGCGGCAACCGCGTTTGACATCAATCGTGTTTTGGCATTGGTCGCACGGATTACAGGCATAACGCAAGCGAGTGCAAAAATTTCTCTTCCGAAAGACACAGACATGACCAAGCAGGCCTCGCATCCCAACTTTGTCAGCGTAGAAGTGGACCTTTCCGCCACACAAGCTGTTGTAAGTGATGGAGGACTATTAACTGTTCGGCTCCTAGCCGAGAATGCGCTTGAGGATGAATCGGGACGAGGAACCACAGACAAAGCAGCAACGCCGGCTGCACCACCGACAGATCAAGGTTCCTCTGCATCTTCTTCTGTTGCATCCAAGCCGCCCGCTTCATCTTCCAGTGCCGCACCACTCGTGACGATAGCTCCACCAGCTTCACGTGAGCAAGCTATAGCCGTTCCCTCGCGAGAGAAAATAAAGCCACCGGATGCTGGTACCACGACGACTGCAAAGACCTCCGCTCCAGCAGTACTACCCGTTCCTGAAGTTGCGGGCGCCACGCTCGAAGCGGGTTCTTACTGCTCGCCTTTTTTCCTAGAGTGGTTTCTGTCCGTGAGCTGTGGTATCCATGTGCGGGATGGTCTCTTCCAGGCCTTCGCGCAAGCGCGGGAGCACGCGTACTGGCTCTCCGGAGCGCGGAAGTGGCACTCGGAACTGCAACTCCAGGAACAGGACGACTTTGCCCCCGAAGACGCAGACGAAGAACTTCCCCCGCGACGGCAACTGCAAGCGAGTTCGGGCGAGGTCGTGAAATTGCTCCCGGACAGCGAGGACCTCCGCCGGACAGAGGAAGTGCGCCTGCGCCAGGAGTGGCTGACCTTCCGGGACTTCGTGCTGTTTCGGACTCTAGCGAGAGCGCCGCTCTTTCCCTTAAGAGGCTTGAGTCGGGGCCTGTTCTTCGTGGGAGGGTTTGAAGAGGCGAATGTTCTGAAACTGCCCGCGCCAGAGGATGGTGGTGCAAGCGTAACTCCTGCTGGTGCACCTCCTTCGGTAGTAGATGGAAGCAGTCCCACTGGCGTATCAGAAGGTGCTGAGGGAGCAGAAGTCGGGCACCCTGAACCTGGTGCTCAGGAAAAAACGGAAAATCCAACGGGAGATCGGTCAGGGGCTAGCCGGGCTTCTTCGCCGGACGGCGCCACCAGGAGGACCAGGCGGATGCAGATGTCAGAGGGTACTACTACTTCTCAAGCGGAGACTAACTTCGGCACAACAGGCGACTTATCGGAACCGCAAAAAATACGAATAGCCTCACCAGAGCAGATCTTCATAGCACACGAGAGTGTGTATGCGCACCACCCGGATCAGGTGGTGAGGGACTTCGCTCTCGAGGCACGCTGGACTTTGTTTCAGGGTGCTGGGTTGCAGCAGGTCTTCCTGGATCCGGACGTGTTATTTCCGATAGCTGCGCCAACACAACTCGGGGGCAGCACCAGCAGCGAGGCAGCAGATGATCCCTACCAACGCGAACGGGAGCAGCTCCGTGCGGCGTTTCAAGAGGCGGTGAACTTTACCAAATCCGTGGAAGACATTCTCGAGGACGCCCACGTGATAAGAACAGGAGATCACCATATCGACCAGCACAACTACCGAGGACAGCACTCCTCGAGCCTGAACACGCACGAGGCCCATCAACTTTCAGCCGTCAGTGCGGCCCTGCCGAAACCCCAGGGGCAGATCTACGGGTTTGCAGCCTTCCAGTTTCTGCAGTGCCCCTGTCACACCGGGATTCTCAATTGGCGCAATCCGAACTATGTGCAGCAAACCATCGAGTTCACACTGCAACAGGCTCTGGAAATCCCGAGCAGCGAGCAGTACGGCATTTGGCTGCTGGAGACACTCCCCTGGCGGCAGCCGAGCGTGGCTGTCGCCGAGGCATGGTCGCGGAGGAGGCGATGGGTGGTCAAGAGCGTGCACCAAAAAATAATTCTTCGCATGAGCGGCTACGAAACGCTGCAGCTCGTCGCCAAGCGACATGAGAGCTACTAGGCGAAGATTATGGCAGTAGGAGTAGCCGTTTTATCATCTTGTTCTGCTGCTGCGAGGTGATTTTGCGCGGTCGCGGTGTGTCCCGGATGCGCTAGACCTCTTGCGTATGAAAAAGTGGATATCGCTGCGCCGGGGCTTTGGTTTTGGTCTTCCATAGGTTTCTCGGCTTAGCTCGCCGCTTACAGTGCACTTCAAACATGTTGGCTCTACTTCTGCGCAGTGTCGCCCTTCCAAGAATTAAGTAGAATCTGTACAGGCATAGATTCATTTGTCCAAGCGCCTGGTCATTGCTGCATCTGTGACGATGCTCGTTTCTACTTTTTGTGTTTTCCCCGAGGGCATAATTGGCAAACAGCGGCTTGATTTTTGCAAATCGTGACTCCGTCGCTTGTGGTACGAGAGAGAAGAAGCACCCATGAGCGCTGCAATCATCCAAAAGAAGCAAATTTTTTCGTTTATCGCCGTGATCGCGAATCGTTGTGCACGATTTCAAATGGAATACATCGCAGGTCCCATTCGTTTCGAAGACTTCTCAGGTTGCTGAATACAATTTTTTCGCCCTCGTGTCCCCCGTTGAAAGACATCTATGATCTGCTTTTTTTTGCATGCGCGAGTTTTTCTTTAATTGTCCATGTCGGCGCCGAGCCTTGTTGTAGTTCACATTCAGCACTTTTCACTACGGCACCGCTGAGCAGAGCCTTTTCACTACGGCAAGATGATGATCACCGGGCCGTCTCGTGCCGAAACCGCGGCAACTTTGCGTCGACGGTATGACGCTTTGCGTATTGTTGCTGGAATTTTTCTGCTCTCCGTTGTCGCCGCAGGTGCCTGGATATTGTACGATTGGTTTGAGAACAGGCACTTTCCATTTTGGACCGCGATATTTGGTGGCGGGCCGAGCGAAAACACGGAAAAGAAGGAGAGGCTTTCCACATCAACTACGTCGACTTCTAGTTCCTCCAACATGAACGGTCGTTACACTGTCCAGGAAAAAACACCCATCCACATCCAATTTGTCATGCAAAACATACATAAAATCCTGTGTTTGTCATGCAAAAAATGGATGTGGATGGGTTTTTTTCTGTGGATATACACGCTGGACGATCCCCGCGCGGCGAAATTTGAAACGGAATTCGCGAAACGCGGAATGCAGTTCTTTGACGTGTACAGTGACGTCATTGACTCGCGCTACGCGGAAGTGTATTGGACGGAGCAGGGGAATTTGCCCTTGCCGAGGGTAATCCAGGACAAGTTCGAGAACGGAAAAACGATCGCGATCACGGGGTACGAGCATGACCAAGTGTTTGCGAGTGATCTCAGCGTGTCTGTGCCCTTCTCCTGGGTCTACAACCACCATTACGTCGTATATGTGACAACGGGGAAGATGGAGTACAAACTTGCGGCGAGGTCCGATGTGCGAAAGTGGGCTATGAGGAAACACGGGGATGAAAATTCAGGTTCTCGGAGCAGTACTGCTGCTACCGAGCTTTCGAAAAATCAGCATTTGGACCTGCACCACATGGGTGTGGGCATGCGGGACTGGAACAAAACGCACGTGAGACTTTGGGTGCCGGTCGATAGCAGTCCCAAGAAGAAAGAACGTGAAAATTTTTATCCAAGCGACGACTCGACGACTATTCCGCGCTCGCAGTTTATTTCCGAGGCAAATGGCGGGGAGAGCCGCAAGAGCCTGCACAGCTATCCAAAGGGCTTAGCGCAACTAGTGTACTCACCGAAGTTCTGGCACGTGACGCCGATGCAGGTCGACAGCCGGAACCGGAAGTGCGGGTTGGATCCGAGCACGGTCGGAAAGCCCTGTGCGACACTCGGTCCGGAGCCAAGGCAAGCGAGGTACGGAAGAGAGATGAAAAACGCCAATGTGTCTGCACTGGTGGAGTGCCCGTGCACCGACCGGTTCGGCGGCGACCCGCTGATTTACGGGGAGGCAGTGAAGACGAAGTCCTTCCGCAAGCAGTTTGTGGTGGAGAACTGTGGAGCCGCAAGTACAACAGCTACGACCGCGAAAGCTGCGCAATGCTTCGAAGCGGCGGCAAACTTGGTTCACCTGGATTCGTCGCGAAAACCTGTGATCGTAAGAAATACGACCGTGCCAGCGGACAGTGCGGAACGCGCACCAGCCGGATGCTCTGTTCGATTTGTCGACACTCCTGCAAGAAAGCAGGAGCGGCCAGCAGCTGGCGCCACACGATCGCGGCGTGCAGAAGAGGACACGTCGTCGGTAGAGATCCTCTTTCGCGAAGCAGCAGCTGACTCACTCCAAACATCGAAAGATATCAAAAACTCTGTTGCAAAAAAGTGTACCACGGCCGCCAAGAAGCTAGGGAGTGTGTCTTTTGACGGCATTGGTGTGTCTACCGAGATATCTGTCAACGAAACGCACGTGGAAATGAGGCTGCAAGGACCCGCGACTGTTTGGTTCGGCGTGGCATTTGACGCGGTGCTGATGGCTGACCAGCCTTACACCATCCTCGTTTTGCCGAGGGGCTCGACGTCACCAACCGGGGCCAGCTCCTCACAAATGGTTCCACCAACAGAAGCGGACGTTGTTGAACAGCAGATTGGCACGTGCGGCGAAGAGGCGCAACATTGTCCCGGGGACAGGCTGAAGATACAGTCTTTGACGAAACTAGAGGACCGAGTTGTCGAAATTAACCCAGATGATTTTTACGTAAGTGAAAATACAGGACCGAGTGCACGAACTTCTTCTGGTGCCGCACCGCAGTTCATGCGCATAGTGCGCGTGGTGCGGAAGCTGATCGGCGCTAGTCCGAAACACTACACCTTCAATGCCGGCACCATCAATCTGATGGCGGCGATCGGCCGGTCGCCGAAATTCGCCCATCACAAGGGCCACCGACGAAAGCAGGTCGCACTGTTTGACAGGAGCGCTGACGCGTTCAACTGCGTCTGCGTTGATTTGAAAACGCCAGGCCTTCTGTGCGATTCCAACGGCCTGAATTGCGAGTCCTTCGTGAAAAACTGTGCGCCGGATTGTGCAAAGACGGACATTTTCCACACAAAGGAGCACCACTGCGGCGACCTGGTTTGGCAAGAGAACCCGACCTATCAAATGGAAAAATGTCTGGGTCTGGAAACTTGTGATGCTGTGCGGCGTATCATGAGGAGGCCACAATTGCTGGCTCAGCATGACAAGTTTCTGAGCTGCTAGGTGTTGCCTATTCTGCATGAGAAACTACCTTTCTGCATGACAGAAAAGTGGGGCTCTTTGGTAATGTGCATGACAGATTTAAGAGTCATGCCAGACAAGCATGACAAACTTGCATTCTTCCAGACCCAGACATTTTTACATTTGATACGACCTGCGCCAGTCTGAGTTATGTGGGGGGTCTTCAGTGTTGCCGACACGGATCGACGTTGCTGGACCAGGGGCAGAAGATGGACCCGCCAGACGTGCTGCAGTATCGGGTCAAGTTCCGGTTCTGGTACGAGGAATACAACGAAGGTGGGCGTACTGTCAACACGCAAGACAGAAAGAACGCAGCTCAAAGCCCGACGAAGGTCCGCCCTCCATCGCACCTGAATCTCGATCGACTGTACTACCAGACCGAGGGTTTCGCTGGTGAGTACGATGTGCCGCCGGCGTTCCGGCTCCCGACCGAAACTCAGCCTCTGGTTGGATTTCCCGACTTGAAGGTTGGGGATGTGTCGAAGGGCACAAAATGCACTTGTGGGCGGGAAACAAGCACGGACCGACGTTGGGAGTTTTCTTCTGGGGCGAAAATAGAGCCGCTGAGTCTGCTGCCCTCATGCCACTGTGTCCACGCTTTGGAGTATCGGTTTCTGTTCTATCGGAAGGCGATGAGAAGTTCAACCCTGGATGGGTTGTTCGAAGAGATAACTGGCGCAGTCTCTTTGTCAGAGTCGACTGTCCGTAGCCCGCTGAAAGTTTCCAAGGGGAGCAGTGGCGCCGTTGCAAGAAGCGAGGCTGTGAATGTGTTGCCCGGATTGACGAGATTGGCCCACGGTGCGGCGTCGATGAATGATCAAAGCACCACCGCACTTTCACACACGGGAAAAAAACCCGGTGTGTACCTCATTTGGGCGAACGGGCACTGCCACGCACCTTCGTGTCTTTCTATGGAGCTTTTTCGCAACGACACTGGGGAGCTGTTGTGTAAACAAACGCCACGGGATGCGGCGTCGGAAGCAGGAAGCAAATTCGGGGAGCCGGGATACATCTACACGCCGCCGTGCATTTTTGCCGCTCCGGGCGGACCAGACGAAACCGTCTTGCCGCGTGCGCCTCTCATTCCTGACGGCGTTCCGCTATTGAGCGTGAAGAAAAACAAAAACACGGATGTGGGCCATCTCGGCGAGATGGCCTCGTGGCAAATGCGTGCGGTCGGGGAGGAAAAAGTCACTTCACTAGCCGAACAGGCATCAAGAATATAGAATACCGGACGACAGAAGTGGCCGGGATGCGCGTTTAGATTGGTTCACTGAGTACACTACCTAGTGGTCTCTACCGTTTTTTCTTTGTTCACCGGGAAGGTTCTCAAGTACACCAACTTCTAGTTCATCCGGCGCCGGTGTTCCCACATTATCTCAGTTCTTGTCTTTTTTTTCGAATTCGATCGTCCAGTCTGAGTTGGAGAGGGACGTGCGACTGAAAAACTGCAAGAGCGACCGCTCGCAACAAAAAATGTCTTTTCTTTCATGGGCAGAAGATAGCTTCGAGGATGTCAAGATGACAGCAATAAACCTTGCACAGCGCTGTTTGTAGTTTGGTAAGGATGTAATTTTTTGGTTGATTGACTTTCAGAAAAACCAAACAGAGTCATAGCTACAGGCTGAGAGCCTAGACATCGTTGAACATGTGTACTTCTCGTCTTTGCCGGACTTTTGATTTTGTTGCCGCACTCATTGCCCATTTCTTGTTCGAACTTTCTTCCGGGTACGCCTTCCCGATTGGCACCACGCCTGGATGGACAGAGCAAGTGAACAGAGTCGAATTTCAAGAACCGAAGAAGTACCGAAACTCATTGGGAAACGCCGTCTACCCTCTCGAGAATCACGACGCTGCATTTCTCCGGTTTTCCTCTGGTCTGTCGACGCAGGTGCTCATGGTGCTAGTTGAAGATTTTCTGGCGCTTGCAGTCTTTATTCTAGGCTACCCAGTGATGCTGCACTGCGCGAAAGGAGCCCGGAGGGGGCACGCACCCAGGTGTTTCCGGCTTTTTCCGATCCTTTTCGTGATCGCGACGACTGGGTACCTATGCGCCGTCTACACTGCGTGCTACGTCGTTCCGGCTTTGGGTTTTCTTTTGGACCACGTAGCTTACTCCGTCTGCGATCCCGGTGTGGCTTCAACGCCGGAAACGCAAAAGAGGGCAAAAGTCACGGGCTTCGTTGTGTTGACTTCGACGGTGCTGTTTGTGTACAGCTACACCCTCGCTATGTTCACCGACCCGGGCCTTGTTCCGGCAACTTCGCAGTGGTCTTTACGCCACAACAAGAATGCGACGGGCCTCTCGCAATTCCTCCAAGATCGGAAGAAGTCCACCGGGGAACGAAGATACTGCAAGCACTGCAAACACTGGAAGCCGGACCGTGCGCACCACTGCCGCTTCCTGGGGAAGTGTGTCCTGAAAATGGACCACTACTGCCCGTGGCTTGACAACACCATCGGACTGCAAAACTACAAGTACTTCCTCCTCGCCGTGCTGTACGCCTCCGTCGGCCTATTATCCGTCTTTTACAGCCTGCAAACCGAGGTTTTTCGAATCGTCACAGCTTCATCAGGGGAAGTGCATCTGCTGCCACTGTTTCTTCTGCAATTGGCCGCGGGCATCGGGTTTTTTCTTGGTATGTTCAGCCTAGCCGGATTTTTTTTCCATTTGTACCTCATCCGCTTGGATTGCACGACCTGCGAATTTACCGAAGAGAAAAGAGAAAAGCAGAAAATTTACTGGTGGACAAGCTATCGCGATGTTTGCGGTGGTGGCCTCTTGTCTTCGCTGCTTCCGTGCGTGAATCCTAATGGTATAAAATTTGATTTGAAATAAGCATCAGCATATCCATATGCATACTGAACACTTGGTGCTCGTGGTGTCGGTGTTGAAGATGCCCTCGCGTTTCTACTGTAACATTTGTACGTAACCTAAGTAATATCGAAACAGGTAACGGCAGCAAGATTTACGAGGTAGCGCAGTACGACGTTTCAGGGGCGGCGTAACTCATCCGGAACGACGAGCAGGGACGAGGTTCTCCGCACGTAGCTTTGGAACGAACGCATAAATTTTTGCTTGATATCGGAGTAAAAACTTTTTCCTGTTGATTTTTATTTTTAGCAGAACTCGTCACACTATTTTTCGAAATGAATGTGAACTTCATTCAGTTTCAGTTTCTTGGGCTCTTTTTGCTAGTAGGGTTACTATCAAAATGATTTTGGTACAGAAAGTAGTCGTCGAAGGTCATTTGTATGATGTTAGTAAGTTTTGAGTATCACGAGACAAAGGTAGGAGGGAGGTTTCCTCTAGGGCCCTCACTTGCACGCCAATCGGATCTCTGCATCGACTTCAGTGAGACGTTTCCGAAGCTTGTGACAAATGAACCTGCACCACAGTAACCTGTTTCCGGTCGTTGGATTTTCAAATTTGTGTGGTTAATGTGGTTCTTTGTTCGTCAGGGTTGGTATGGATTCGCAGGATAGGGATCACTCTGAAATCGTTCGTACTTTCATTCTTGCGACCGCTCCTCGTTGAATTTTTGCTCCCCGGGTAGAGATGTTTTCGTGTTTTTAACATTCACCATGGGTCATGCTGAATAGGTTGTCCTTTTGTTTTTTCGCCCACCAGCACATGATTCGTCTCTGCCTTTGCGGTTCGTGTGGAAATTTGAAGGCATACAAGATATAGTTGGTCGACGAAATCGTTGTCGTCGTCGTATTCATCGGGTAAAAACAGGGCGCATGACAAACGACGTCCGTTGGAGGTGTGATAGACGTCTCAATCGCAGCCCCTTCTGCAATAAACTTGTCACCGAGCAGTTGTAGCATCCATTTTTTTGCCTTGTGCAGTAAGTGTTTGTCTTCGATCTTTCAGGTTCTTTTTTGAAGCTACTTAGTGCGACACTTCTGACTATCGGATAATAAAAACATTAAGAAGTAGCAAGGACGTCATGGGCGATATCCGCGAGAAGGGGATGTCGAAGGATGAATTTGCGATGTTCATGAAGCCAAAGTGGAAAAAGACGAACCGTGACGACACCGGCAGCGGCGGGCATTGGCACCTCGGACGGGAGCAGAACAGCACCAACCCGTTCTTCTCGACATCGTGGCGCGACCTGTTTCATGTCGTCCTACCCGTCTCAGTGCCCTTGGCCTTCCTGTTTTTTTTCCTGTTTCGGAAGTTCCGCAGGAGAGCAGGACCGAAGAATTTGTACAAAAGCTCGCCGCTGAAGACTAGGGATGTAGTCGACGCGGATGGAGTGGCGACGACTTCGGTCGTTGTGTTGTCAACCCAACTGTATCGGGATGGCAGGGCTTGGACCGATGAAAATTTCTTTGAAACAACATCCACATGTAGTGTCGACTCAACAACATCAACATCTGTACGTGGCAGTGCTGACAAAAGCAATTCTTGTGTGGTGGAGTTAGAACAAATCTCTATCTCTGCTGTGTAAAACTCTTCTGGGGGTCCAGCAATTTGTACTGGTTCATCAAATGGCACAACCCGTTGTAAGAAAATGGCATCGAACCGTTTCCGTCGAGATAAGGTTGCACTTCTACCGCTCACAGTGGGTCCTAGTCGTCCATATTGATACCGATTTGGTGTGTTCGCGCAAGAGGGCTGCGCTCGTCGGTGTTTTTGTCGTTTTTTGCTATCGTTGTTGGCAATCAACTAGCTTAAATAAGTCCTTTTTTGATGGAGTTTTCACCTGTTGTCGATGAGCGGCGCAAGCACTGTTTTTTTCCGCTTTCTCGCATCTTTTAATCGTTTCCGTGAAAGTCGTTCCTGTTTTTGCGTTTGTAGCACACAAAGATGAACAAGTATGAAGGCAGCATTTTGAATTTCCACTACCTGAGCAAACCTGTGATAGTGATTGTCATCACCCCATCTTAACATCTGGGCACATTTACCTACGGTGCTTGCTACGAGAAGAGTTCGTCTTTCTGCCGATTCCGAACGAGATGACTCGCGTAGAAAAAAAGCGATACAGCCGCCGACGTTTCTACTACGCGGAAATTCTGATGGCCCCATCCTGACTTCGTTTTGTTCGTTGGTTCCTTTGGCGATAAGAGGTAGCGCACACAGAAGAATCATAGGTGCACAGCGAGCGTTTTCCTTTTCGCTGGTAGAAAACAATCCTGAACCTCCCGGACACTATTCGAAATAGCTCCCGAAGCAGGGATAGAAGAGTATTTTTTTGGATCGTTTATTCATCTGAGTAAAACAGAACCTTATCGTTCAAGTCAGAGAATGTGAAAAATGGGGAACCCCGCCTTCGGTGCGAGAATTGGCCTCGATTCCTGAGCCCACTGCGAACAAGTAGTGAAGAACTCAGGTCCACCTCGGTGCCAAGCCGGGCGTCGAGCGAGAGTTTCGTCGGCGTAGACGTAGTGCCAACCGGCGACTCGTGTATCTGTGCAAGAGACCTTCCAAATGTCCACTCAAAACCCGCGGTCCGGGGCCTCTAAGGCCAGCGAGAGCAGTATGATGAAGCTCCGATCAAATTTGACCGGCGCAAAGGAGTCCAGAAAACGGGCGGAGCTCGATGCCCAGTTGCTAGCCAATCGTACTTTACTGTTCTTTGATGTAGTACTGAGGCAACAAGTGCCAGCACCTCCGGATGCTAGTGCGAGCACGGTATCGATTATTCAAACAATATCACAGGTATCGCTCTATTGAAGCAAGAGGAGGAGAAGGCATGGAAGAAGATAGACGAAACGAGAAAGCGAGCTGGGGAGATAGTGGGACTGCGAACGGTGAACGAGAGCAAGTTCATGGCCAAAGAGGACTACTACAAGGGAAAATGGGAAGGCATAAGGCAGGCCCAAGCACAAAACGCGTATATAAATCCGGCTTGTGATGTTTTGCTTTTTTGGGAAATTTGGCCTTGCATGTTATGTACAACAGTGCGGCTCTACGTTTTTCATGTATTCGCCGAATGGAAGATGAAATCACAATGAAAAAAATCTCTCTGCAGATATAACCGCGACAAAGCAAAGGCAACACGAGACCAGACGAAGACGGAGCTCATGGGCCAAAAAAAGAAGCAAGTAGACAATGTCAAGGGCCTCAGTCAGGTATGTTTTTCCATTCGGTCATGCTGAAGAAACTAAGAGATCACAATCACTCACGCTGCGCTTGAATACTCCCTCCTGTGGTTTCGCTCTGAAAGAAATGGTGTCAATTATGCTTTGCAAAAAACAACAACTTCACTGACTTGCAGCAAAACTTGATGGCCAAGAAAGAGAGACAAGCCATGGAGCAGCAGATAAATAACGAGCGGTCGGAGATGATTCGCCGACAAAAAGCAGAGGCGAAAGCCAAATTGGAGCGGGAGCAAGAGGCGAAATTGCAAAAGTATTCAAAACTACAAACTAGTACCACGTGTTGTCCTTGTCAACAGGTCTTTTCTTCACTCAGATTGTGCTTCTGGTGCTCCAGGAGAATAATTTTTAACATGCAACGTAATAGAGGTGCCACTGGCGCTGCCGGCTGCCATGGAGATAGATTGGGCGACCGGAGGGCGGACACGTATTTGGTTTCGAATTCCACAATCATATGCGACTGCACAGGTACCGCTCGGAATACGAGAACCGGGTTGCGCAGGAGGAGATGTTGCGGGCTCGGACCGAAGCCCTCGTGGCGCAGATGGAGAAGGAGGAAATGGAATTGATTCAGCGTTTACAAAACACCCAGACGGTGCAAAGACGTGCCTACGAGGTAATGTTGACTTTCTAAGTAATTGTAAGTACTTCCTGCAGAACTGCTGCTCTTTGGGTCTTTGGTCTTTCTGGGGGACGGACGTCAGAGGTGGGCCCTCCCTGCACAATATTAAATGGTGGCGACTTCCAGAGGTACTTTTCAGCAGGAGAATCTGTGCGTTCATTTACTGAGTTATGGTGTTGCAGCAAATGAGATGAAACACGAAAAAAACGATCCATACGAATCACCACAGGAGCTCGAGGGCGCTCTGGGTGCGACGACAACCTCTTCCGGCAACAAGCTGGCAGCCTCGCCGTCTACGATGGCAGAGATCAAGGAAAACTAGCTCAGCAGACACGTCTGTTTCACCGGAGGACCTCCGCTTTTTTATATGGGATCAACCTCAGCGCATTTTGTATTACGGTAACTAGCCCCAACGGAGTGTAGAGTCCACAAGAGGTGGATTCTATCCCCTTCAGGTCAAACCTAGCAGATTCTTAAATTCGAAAAGTAGACGAGAAAAACCCTCTCAATTCCAAAAGAGTAAATTAGCAGATTTAGATTTCACTTTCAAAAGACTCACGGTCAGCGCGTGGTCCAGTCGTCTCAGAGGACCAAAGAGTCCTTCGTTAAAGCAGAAAAATTTCACTTTTAATACACTGTTCGTGTTGGACACCATCAGGGTCCAGGAAAGTTTCTCGAGACTTATTTTTCGATCCTTTGTTTTTTAAACGGACGCAGCTACGCACTGAGGCTCCTGTACTGAGTTTTATTTTCCGGGTTGATAACGGTCGTAAGTACATGATTTTCAGACAATCCAAGGGAAGGGACGGACGTGGTCGGGCTACTGTCGCAGTGCCAACGCCACTGGTCACACCGTCGATTATTTTGACGCTGTTGGTCGCAATATTTTGTAGGAAGCACTCGGGAGCGGAACTGCGAGCAATTGATTTCAGATTTCACCGTAACAGAAAAATGAACCCTGTATCAACTACACTGAAATGTGCAAAGACACTTTTTTTCAACATGGACGATACACCTATGTACATACTTGGAAACATGAGAAAGTAAGAATGTTGTTGCCTAGTGGCGCTGCGACTTTTTTCGCAATCTATTACTGTAGCTGTTTTCTTCGGGAAAAATTCGCTCTCTGTGTTGTGCGTTCTTTCGACTGGAAGTTGATAGAGCCTCGCTGCTGCCGTGTTGTTGTGTACTTTTTCGTAACTTCTGCTTCGGACAACGTTTTGCATCTCATTGTTGAAACCAGAAAAAGAGCGGAGCAGATACTTGCGAGTGAAACTGAAAGTCGAAAGAGCCCAGGCAACGGGAGAGGCGAGGAAGGCATCGAACTCGAGACAGTGGCTGCGGTGTGAGCATTCGCCTCAATGCAAAACTTTACGACATACAGCTATCCACACTGACAGGAATATGAATGGGTACGTATCTACATGGATCAACAGTAAATTCGTTTCCGCACCACTAAGTGGTGCCCGGACCAAGACTTCGAGTCTTCACAGAATTCGAAATGTCGTATCTCCGCCCGAAGATACCTCGTCTTTGTCGACAAGGTTTATTTCCGCAGATCGTTCTTGGGACAATTTCCATCCTTCTAACCTCGATGAGTAAAAATTCCAGTTATTTCGTAGCGGCGTGCTTCGAGGGCGAGGAGGTGGTAGCGCAGTGGCCTGACGACGAAACCCGGTATCTCGATGCAGTTGTCATGAAGGACTTGTATCCAGAAGACAAAACCATGCGGTTGCAAGTCCTGTGGGACTTTTCCAGGACTACTTGTCACAAGCCGGGTCGCGAGGAGTTCTGCAAGATACCGTATCGACAGGTAATATGTGAAAATCTGTGTACAGTGGCAGCAAGTACTGATTTCAGGTTCAGTCAAATAGGAGGCGAGGAGGTTTGTCCTTGTCGGAAGAAAAAATGCTGTAACATTCATAAAAATGTCAATAAAAGTATAGTACAAATCAACAGGTGCGTCGCCGCGGCGGGTTAGCCGGTGGCTTCACGTGCTTCGACGAGATTTACGCCGACAATGAGGTAAAGGAAACCATTGCCAACGCCATCATTCCGCGCGAGTCCCCGGACCCCATCGCGCTCCGTCGACCCTACCAGGGCGATGATCCATCTGGAAGTGATCGGTCGGATTCCGTGGATGTGGTCGGCATTGTAGTCGCGATTATCGTTTCCGCGAGCGTGCTCCTCCTCTGCATGGGGTACGCGATGTGGTACACTTCAACGAAATACGATCTGTTTCGCAGCCAAGTGGTCCCCGACCCCAGTCACTGGGCTGCGGAGTACGATATTCCGGACTTCAAGCAGTTCATGGAATCGCGGCCGCCCCCGAAACTGCAGAAGCGACAGCCCATCAGCGACGTGGCCCGCGCGTACCTGCCCGCGCAGAAGAAGCCGGCCCCCCCGAAACGCCCAAAACTGTTCGGCAACGAGGAGACGCGGCTGGCGGACGAGCGGCTGCGCCAGATTTCGCGGGTGCATTTCTTCGGCGCCGGGCAGAACGGAGGGGCGGATTTTGTGCGGTATCCGAAGTCCACGCCTGCCTTCGCGGCCCGGGACATGGAAGTGAAGTCGCGCGTCCACGGGACTTCGGCGTACGCGCGGCGCACGGTTGTGCGGGAGCGCGGAGTGCATATTCCAGACGCAGATTACTACTCGACGCCCGAGGGGCGAAGAATGCGGCAGATCTCGGTCAAACGAGCGACGGAAATCGCGCCGCCCGCACGCAGCGGGTCCGCGCCGGCGAGCCGCAGCCGGGATGCGATGGCGAGTTTCGACACGACGGACCGCGATGAAGAGTGTTTCCGCCCGGCGCTACAGACGCTGGTCGCGGGGATCGGCGCGAAGAAATACACCAAGGCAACGCGGTATGGCCAGCGAAACACCGTGTTGGATCCCACCGGGTTCTCCGACGCGTTTTTGACGGCCGGTCCGCCCGGGCCGGATGAGTTTTAAGGGAGAAGAGCGTAATTGTTCGTCTAGATGAATGCAGTTGGTGCTCAATTTCTAGTCACGAATTGCGCCGCTTGCAGTGGTCGGCGAAGATGTTGATACTCGTGCATCCACTTCTACTCCTCACTGTTGCAGCATAGCTCACCAGTGACGGTTTTGCTTTTTCGTTTCCATCTATGTTGTAGTATAGGTTTATTTCTACTGTTTCATTCATGTACAAAGGTTTGAAGCGAAGACGCTGGTTGAACGGAAAAAAAGACCAGGATGCTGAAAAATGAAAAATGTACAAGAGCTTGTTGAGCAGTAATGCAAATTTTGTACTAGTGGGTTGTACTTGCCGCAACTCATCAGATTTACCTCTGTGAGCGAAACCTTGCAGCTCCGGAGAGATGCGCTCCCGAAAAGGAATCGCTGTGTTGGTGCTCTTCACTTTTCGTTTTTCAAATCTTTTTCTTCGGTCGTTTTTCTGAAACAAGCAATTCAAATCCACGTACAAATCGGACTTTCAAACGAAGCGCTTCAAAAGGCCCTGCAATTTAGGTCTGTCGGAGTCTAGGTTTTCAGTTTCAGATCACACATTTCAAAAGAACATAAACTACATTGCATTTTTCGTGCACTCGGGGTCCTCGCGTCGCAAACTCAAACCAGCCAACACACTTAAGCAGGACAAAAATGTCGTCCGCTCCGGCAACTAGCAGCAGCAACAGGCGCGGCCGGGCCCGCAGCGACGACCGGGATTCGCTGATTGGAGACGCGGCCGGCGGCGGGTGCGGCTTGTTTAGCCCCGAACCGCAAGAGTCCGCCGCGGAGCGACGGTTTCGCAAAAACGAGGAGGGATTCGAGATGAATTTCGCCGCGGCAATGGATGACTACGAGGAGGAAGAGCCCTGGAATTTAGAAATGGACGAAGAGGACAACCTGGTAATCGATGTCGCGTACGCTCACTGGCGTGGGGTGGAATACTACAGCAAAAATTACTTGCTGGAGGAAGGAGAAGGAGCGGCGGAAGGTGGTAAGGAAGGGGACAGAAATGTTCTTGACAACATTGCATCTGCTGTCGAGGAGAACAAAGCTGCGACCACCGTGGGAGACGATAATGTCGGCCAGGACGGGGGCAAGAAGAAGTCTGTAGTCGTTGGCGGTAAACAGGACGACCAGCAAGGTAGCAGCAGCTCATCTTCATCCTCGGTCAAAAATGTGGTCAACATCGGTGGCAGGAGCGATAGCATTACCCGCTCAACAACTGCAGCGCCCAAAGGGAAGTTTCCCGCGAACGCTGACGGGAATGAGGAGCTCGCAGAATCGATCAGAGGTATTGAATTGAAAAGGCTCAGGGAGCTGAAAATATCTTCTGCGACATGTAAAAACACGGCGACCACGGTAGAAGTTGCGGAGGCTGCACGGGTAGAACAAGACCACTGCGTGTTACAACAAGAGTCGAAAGATGTTGAAATGGCTCCTGCATTCGACGATGCGAAAATGATATCGAAATCTTCTTGTACAAGAGAAGTCGTCGCGTCTTCGCCCGCGCCAGCGAAGCGGGCAGGAGAAGAATTCAACGATCTTTTTCCGGAGGACGATCCTGAAATGGAAGAGATGCGGTCAAGGACAAGAGTGAAGAACAAGAAGGTATAGTGCGTAAGTACTGGAAAAAGTACGGTGCAGTTTGCTAAAAGTGCAGCTACTAAGGTGTTGCACTAGTTCTTTTAGTTAAGAAAGTAGTTTTCATTGTGCTACGAGATGATAATCCGTGACAGACACCCGGATGTTGGAAGACGCTGGGGTGCTATGAGAGACAACTTGTTCTTCTAGTTCTAGTAGCTACCTCCACTACGCACCACAGCTCCAGCGCCAGGGTTCCACGCTTGCGGGAAACAACAAAAACCGCACACCGGCTCGCAGTCCCGGGCTGAGCCGGTCGGAAGTGCACAAGCGACTGGAGCGCTCGGAGAAGCGAACCCCAGCACGGCGAAGGATAGACATGGACGACATGTTTGCGCCGGTTCCGTCGAAGGACGTACTTGCTATCTTGGTTTGATGCGGAATAACTGACTTTCAGAATCTACTTTGTACCGCGGCGCTTGAAACACCTGAACGTCGTGTGAAAACGAAGGTCTTTTTTTTGAAAGCCGATGTCATTAAAAAGCAATTTCGCATGATCTTAGGTCGACCGCCTGAAGATCAAGCACATGTTCCGACTGAGTTGGTTGTTCCTTCGGGCAAGTGCCGAGAACGAGGACCAGGACAACTACACCAAATGCGGCTCCGCCCGGAAGGTCACGTCTGTGGATTACGATGAAGAAAATCTTTGTGTGGAAATCAATTTTGGGCCCCAAACCGCGCTGCGGAAACAGCCCTCCGGGATCGGAGAGAAGGATGTTCCGTTTGTTGCGGAGAGCAATCCTTTGTCACCAACCGCTGGGAAGAGGAAGGGGACAGGTATTAAGCTTCTTGCGAAAATCATACCTCGCAGAGCGACGTATTCACTCGTCTCTTATGTGACAATGCGAGTGTCAGTACTTCCAGTTCCAACGACTTCATCCTGAAATTCTGCGCATTCCTTCATAATGAAGCGAGGTATTCAATTATAACAGGCACCTGCCCAAGTGCGCAGCAAAGCCCCGAGGGGCCGCCTCTCAAAAAGCAGGCACTGAATCCCAAAACGCCGCTTGCAACGCCTGTCCGCGGTGGAGGTTCCGCAATGTCGGCGGAAAGGATAGTGCTCTCCTCCGCGCGGCGAGACGCATGGGGCGAGCAGGAGCCGAGTCTGACTGTGGTGTTTCTCGCAAAAATCGATTTCCAAATTTTCAAAGAGTCGATGACTTCGAAAAAGAATCCATTCAAGGACCCGAGTTCGAACCACTATCTCGCGCCGGCAACCTTCGAAGAAGAATTTCGGAAGAAGCAGACCTTTATGCAGGAAGCGCGCAACAAGCAGAAAGCGAGAACACGGGTACTGGTGCGCGGACACTCGCGCAAGGGGCATCGTGTCGCGCCGCACTACCGGCGAATTCTGACGAACCAAGACTACAAGAGCAAATCCACCTGGCTGGATCTTTTTGAGTAGCCGGCAAATGCAACAGTCTGTTAGGTTATCTTTTTTGGCTGCTATGCGAACAACAATTGTGGCGAACAAGAACGGGTATCCACCCTACCAGTGACACATGCTCTATCTGCAGTGGGAGCGCATCATTGTGTTCACACGCAAGAAAGGAAGGTCCTTGAAGAAAAGTCGAGTTCATCAAGTAAGATGTCAAACAGAACTTGAACGAAGACAAAAAATGTCCCATCAAATTTTCTGGATGAGCGCATGCGCATGCCAGAATCGACGGAGGATCATCAGGGACGAAGATCCTTATCTTTGTATGACGGCGCTTTTGTAATGACATGAAGAAAGATCATAACAAACAAGATACGCTGTGCTCTGTAAGTAGGTTCTTGCTCTTTCCATAGATTTTTGATCCTGAAGCGCGTTTCGATCACTTTTTTTCTGTGGCAAAAAATTGATGTTGCCGGTTGATAGCAAACACCATAGGTGAAGATCGCAAAGCCATGCCTTTTTTTGTGCGGCAGGCCGAAGCACTTGCGTTTCCTCTAGTTTCACTCTTTCATCGATAAGTACATAGCTCCATTTTCGAATTAACACAAGTCAAGTGCTGACCTATGCCACTTTATTTCTCATTGTTCGCGATGGACATGTCACAACTTGAATCTCCTTTAGCTGAAGCTGCACAAGTTGTAGAACAGAAATACAATAACTGCATGAAAATTTTCTCCACTCGCACTGCATGGCCATTTTGTCGCGATTTTCAGTCGCAAGGGAAGAGGCTAACAACGACGTTTTGCTTGCACTGCAAGGAGTCCACGAACACTACTCGACAAGATGGGAGGCGGGAATAACAATCGCGGCAACAACAAAGGGGGCGGCGGAGGACAGCACGGTAAAAACAGCGGCAGCAGTAGCAAAAACAACAATCAGCGGAACAAAAAGAAGGCCGACGACCAGACGACGCGCCCGGTCGCTTTCGACAAACGCAACTCTTCTTCCGCGCTAGAAAATGACCCTGACACTAACAGCAAGCTCCAGCCGATCGAGTGCCCGGTGTGCTGCGACACCGCGGTGTGCGCGGCCATCGGCGTGGAGTGCGGACACTGGGCGTGCTTCAAGTGCCAACTGCGGATCCGCGATCTGGCGCAGTCAAAGGAGACAAAACGGAAGTGCCCGATGTGCAAGACCACGAACAACAAACTGGTTTTCACCCAGCGCCCGGACTACTTCTTGCAAAACATCAAGAACGACAACACGAACCGCTTCTACACGGAGGTGTGCCACATCAAATTTGACGAGTGGGGGCACGGTTTCGACAAGGAGAACAAAGCCTTGATGCAAAGAGCCGTGGAGGATTTGTATTTGTACAAATGTTGGACCTGCGCGCCCCCACAGCCGGCTTTTCAGACCCTCTGGGACCTGACCAAGCACATGGAAAAGCAGCACAGTCGCTACTTTTGCCGAACCTGCTTGGATGGTCGGGAGATTTTTCTGGAGGAGCAGATGTGCTACGCAACGAAAGACGAGTTGGATTTGCACCACCGCGTCGGCGATTCCGGGCTTGTCCCGATCAAACCGCACGCGGACTGTCAGTTCTGCAAGAAGTCGTTTTTCACGCACCAGGAGCTGTACCAGCATATGATTGTGGAGCACATCACATGTTTTTTGTGCTTCGAAGCGCACCGGGAGAACCGGTTTTTCAAGGACATGACCTGCTTATTCAACCACTTTCTCGCGGAGCACCACGTCTGCCGCTACGAACGGTGCATGCGGGAAGGGATATTTTCCCAGGAGACCGTGTTCGCGCACGAGGCACAGCTGGCGCAGCACCGCATCGCGGTGCACAAGAACCACAACGGACCAACGAAGGAGGAATGCTACCGGCCGAAGCTGGATATCACGGTAATTTTGTTAGATCTTTATTGCCGGCATGATAGTCTTAGTTCTTCCTAGAGAATCAGAACTTGTGTAAAGACTTCTACTACATCAACAAAGCGCCTGATCGTCATAAAATTCTACACGATCATATGAATCGAAAAACAGGTTACCTCCACGCTGAACGGCTTGTCACACGCCCAAATCAACGATAAGGAGACGATGGCGGCCATGCCGCAGCAAGACAAGCCCATCTACTTCACACACATTCACAACCCCGAGCGACCTCCGAAAGAAGTGATTCTCCCGCCGTTGCCCAAGAAGGAGGTCGTCGACCGATATCCGGATCTCGGCTATGGAATGAGTTGGAAGGACTTTGATGCCGCAAAGCACCGGAAAAAAGCACAGGAAAGGAAGAAGAAGACTGCAACTACCGGAGGGGGCGTGCATCAAAACGGAGCTCCAGGGTCTCCGGAGCAGCACGTCTACGATCCAAATGCGCCTGAAGATGGCAAGGAACAAGAAGGAAATGTCAAGAACGGCGCGAGCACGCCCGAACAGCACCCCGTTGATAGCGGCGACGCCGGCAGCCCAGCAGAGGACAGCGAAGACGACCAGCGGACCTTCTTGCGCGCCAACGAGTACGAGGCAGAGCAGCAACAGAAAATGGTAAAAGCGCTGCCCGCGGATTTGCTCGACCTTCCTCCCTCCGTCCGGATGGACACGCAACTCCAGAAAAGCAGCTTCTTGCACGCAATTGATGCCGTTCTGGAGTGCAGCGTGGGAAGCGTTACGAAGTGCAAAGTGGAATTGATGAAAGAGTCCGTGAAGCAGCAAGCCGACGGCGGTGCGGCCGGACGGGTGGACATTCCCGGCATGAAAAAACACATTGCGATGCTCAGCCCGCTGGCGTTGGACTCGTTGTCCGAGATGCGCGCGTTTCTGCTGCAGACTTGGGATTCGAGGTTCAACACCGAGTTGATCACGGGGCTCCGGCCGTTATTCTTCCGCACTCTGAGAAATGAAGACCACAAGGGCACGCCCGCGCATTGGTTGACCTGGAAGTACCAGGCGCACAACGCTCTGGGGAAGCTGCGGGCCATATCAAAAGGAAAAATCCCCCCTTCCCATATCGAAAACGGAATTTGTGTTGCTGTATTTGAGTACACAAATCACATTTGTGTTGCAGTAAAGGACTGCACGCAGATCGTAAGCCTAAGGGGGGCCCTTGCTTTGGTGTAGGGCCTAGCATGGCAGACGTCTGCCCTATAGGCCTTCCAGCATTACAAATCGCCTGCATATCGTGGCAGACTCTCTGAGTTTGCCCTCTTGCAAGAGAGACAGGATTTGTGGTCGCAAATCAGCATCACAAATTTTTAGAAACATGCCTTTTCAGTATGGGGAGGGGGGATTTTTCCTTACGATAGGCCAACGAGCGGGAATTGATCCGCTTGTACGTGGGGTTCTGCCTGGAGCGGAACGTTACCAGCTACGCCGGCCTCGACCGCGCGAAGGAGTATTTGTTTTGAGATGTTTAAGAGCTGTATTTAGTTTTTCAGTCTGTCGCGCACAAGGCTTCTTCCTACGTTTGTGATGACGAGTGTGACGTCGACGTCAATGAATGTGTTTTCGAAATCAAACTTGCATCGCTCTCTTCAAACCCAACACAGGTATCCCTCCCTCGAGCAGTCCGCGGTGTCTGCTGCGGCCAAGGACGCGGACGCGTTCAACCCAGAGCTTGCTTTCCGCCCGGAGCGACGGGGGGTCGCGGGCACACAGTGGCAGGGCCGCAACGGCGGGTTTAACGCCATGGGCTCGCAGGATTTTCCGGCGCTGGCGGAGACAAGGACGGTCGATGAGGACGGAACGCCGCTGCTAGAATTGACCATGGCGGAGAAACTGAAACTGCAGGAGCAGAAGGAAAAGATGAAGAAAACCGCCAAGGCACCGTCCACGGCGAGCAAACTCGGGGGAAAGAAACCCCAGCTGGACAACGAGGCGGAGTTCCCTTCCTTCCCGATCGGTCTGCAGCCGCTCGGCGGGGGTGGGCCGCCGCCCGTGAAGAAGCCGGTCACCAAAAGTTCGGTGTTCGGTGCCGCGAGTCTGTCCGCGGGCGGCGCGTCTTCGTCCGCGGCGTCGTCCTCGTCCACGCCCAACAACGCGGTCGCCGCGAAGAAGAAAGCGAAGGTCGGACAGCCGAGCGCGGCAAAGGACATCACGTTGAATTCGAATCCGAACGCGCCCGCGCCACCCCCGATCGGACAACAGCAGCAATCTTCCAGTTCCTCCAGCTCGTCCCGGCCGCGCGACGCAAGCACGGGGTCGAGCTCGCTGTTGAAGGGAATCCAAGAAAAGCAGGAACTACTAAAAACCGCCTACGGCCCCACCAAGATAAAAGACGAGGCCGCGGAGCGCGGTCAGGTGGCGAAGAAGCTGGGGAATGCGGAAAATTTTCCCGCGCTTCCCAGCAGCAGCGTGCACCAGCCGGCCGGAAAAAGTCGGGATACCGGGGGCCTCTTGAAGGGGGCAAACATCATCTCGAAAAAGACCGGAACCGTGGTGCCGGTGCAGCAGGGTTCAAAGACGGCGCAGCTGCAGAAAAAGAAGGACCTGTTCGATGACGACGACGACTTCGCAGACGTGAGCTTTGCACAGGTATAGAGGGTTTTTGATATGGTCTGAAGTAAATTTGTGTAGTTTGTTCGAAAGTAAGGAATTCAGTTAAGTACTGTGTTCGTCCTTTTTTCCACCGAACAAGTACTGGTTGTTTATCGCAGCGCATCATATAATCCAACAGGCTTTGGTGACTCAGTCTGGTTCTGCGGACGCCGAACCCGGGTCGCCTAGCTGGAATAGCAAGAGGCCTGTAACTACAGCAAGCAAAGTTCCTGACGCGTGGGACGACGACGAGTTGTTTCCCACACTAAACGAGAAACAAGCCCCGCCCCCCGCGGGGGACGTTTCCCCATCGAAGCCCCTAGTCGGAAAAGCGAAGCAACTCGAGGAACAGCGACTGCGGCAGGAGGCGCGCGACGCCAGGCTCGCTAAGCAACTGCAAGATGCCGAGAACAATTCGGCGGGAAAAACGGAGCAAGCACCGCCGAAGGCACGAGGGAGACAGAAAAAAACGCTGATCGCGTGGGGATAAAGGAAGTGCTAGCTTTTTGCCTGTGGAGCTGTATCATCTACGCAGATTCATCTCATATAGAAGCTGCGTAGTACGGAATTTCCACTTCGCAAGTTGGAGCTCTCAATCCCGGTTGTCTGTGAACTGCGCATCGGAATTCGCTTTTTGGGAGATAATTTCCTAGTTTCTCCTTCTCTTTTCACTGGTACGGGTACGTACTCGAGTTTTTCAAGCGACAAGTATTTTAGTTTGTTAGCGACCGCATACAATCGGACAACGACAAGCGACAATTGCGAACGAAAAAAGCGTGCGAACGGCGCTCTTACAAAATGCTTGATTAGATTCGGGTGTTCATCACAAACTTCTACTTTTTTTCGGACATGAGAGAATCGCGTGCACTATCGCCTTGTTTCCCGACCGGAGTTGGCTTTGCGTATAGATACGTCGTCTGCGAGTTGTTGATTGTTGCGCATCGAGATAAACAGTTCAAACTCGTTCATTCGTTGATGTCTTCGTTCGCCACGAGAAAGCGCTATCGATTCGAAGTCTTAGATATGAAGCAGCGGTAGGCGCGAAACTCAAAGCAGTCGAGAGGACTACAACCAGTCAAAATTATCGAAATCATGGTGCACCCCGCTCCTCTTGGCAGAAAGGAAATATAGAAAAAATTATTTTTTTTGACTCCCCGCGATCCGGTCGCAACTGGGGTCGGACGGGGAAAGTTCAAATCTTGTCCACTGTTGCTCGTCCATCCGCTACGACAGCAGCAGTAGTGGAAACTAGCGCGGGGTGCCAGCACAGTAGAGGAAAAGCAGAAACACGAGCAAACTCATTGCCGGTGTAGAGGGAAACGGAAAGCGTCCGGGCCTTCTTACTCTGTTGCCCCTACAGAGACCTTCGTTGCCGGGCCTCTCGTTTGTTCTTTGCACAAGAACCTAGTACCGCGACACACGATGAAGAAGTTTGTGGAGAGACGGCTTGCGCGCGAGCGCGTGCTCGAGAAGGAGCAAATTGCACTGCGGAAACAGGTGAAGGACATCGAACTTATGAAGTGCCACGGGGAGGCCGATTTCCGGGTCGAGGTCGCAAGAAGAGCACGAGAAACAAATGAACAGAAGGCCGAGGTACAGGAATAGAGCCTGCTTTTGAAGATCGTGTTTTTATTGACTATGCGCGGTCGGAAAAGACTTCTCCTGACGCATGGAAGTAAAACTAAAGAACAACGATAAATAATTCACTGTACAACTATAAAAAATCCAGGTTTCCACCGAGTATGCCCACGTGCAGGCACAGCAGGTTGCAACGCGAAAAGCCATCGTTAGCAAAATGGAAACTGATCTCGCGATCGAGCTGGAGCGGAGGAAAGCACAAGCAGTTATTGAAAGGAAAAACTCCCCCTCCCCATATCGAAAAGGAATGTTTCCGAAAATTTGTGTTGCTGATTTGAGGCCACAAATCACATTTGTCTTGCAAGGAGACAAGGGCAAAAGCTTCGCCCCCATTATGGAAGCGATTTGTCATGCTGTTGTGCCTAAAGGGCAGCCGTTTCCCATGCTGAGCAACTAGATTGATACGCCCCTACATAGCCTGAAGATCTGGCCGCAGTGCCTTCCTGCAATACAGAGCTGATTTGTGTACACAAGTCCAGCATCAGAAATTTCGTTTTGATATGGGGAGGGGGGATTTTTCCTTTCGATAGCTGTTCGCGAGGAACAGGATCGCATCAGGATGTACGACGGTACACGACGATTGCTTCGGCTTTTTTTGTGTTAGGTTTCTGGTGGAAGCACGTTATCGAGCATGCAGCAGGCTGTATGTCGGTCATGATTTGCACATCATTTTGGAAAAAATAGAAATGTCGTGTTTAGTTGTGTCGGGCTCAGAATTTTCTAAACCCGGCCAATCTATCAATCAATGCAGGTAGTGAGGAACTGCGACAAATCAAGACGAAGTTGCACCAAGCGCAAGTGAACAAGGAAAGGCATCAACAGCTCGTGGAGCAGCTCCTCAGAAAAGAGCAAGAGAAGCAAGAGGTACGCTTGCGTTTGTTGCGTCACACGGTACAGCCTTTGGTTTTCGGCCGACACTGAGCAGTAAAGCCAAGAGAAATATTCATGGATAATCAACGAAAAATGAAACTAAAACAGGAAGAAGAAATTTCGCAGCGGATGGAGTATGATCGAAGGGAAGCAATCGAGAAGAAGATCGCGGACGAAATACACAAGTCTCAGCAAAGAGGTAAGGCTTTGTAGGCACGGTGGTTTTATTTTCTTGCGCCCATGTGCTGTGGTTTTACGCTCAAAGAAATGATCCGCTCCTCCTGCCCTTGCGTTGCTTTCTGGGGGGCACTGGGGCAGTGGAGGTATCACACACGACTGACGCTGCTTTTTTCAAGCGCATCTACCACCCACAACTCCAGGTAAAGTGACCGCAATAAATCAGCAGCAGATCATATTGCGAGAAGAGGCAAAGGGCTTGTCAAAAATCCAAGCCGAGAAGGAGAGACAACAGGTAGACATAACGCGTTTTCGCGTATACTAAGTTAATTCGAACGCACATCGTAAGAAAGTACCGAACAGATGAAGCAGTGAAGGTGCATAATCTGAATAAAAATCAGCTTGAAAAGTAATCTCCGAATCAATACTGCTGTTGTAGGTTGAAGCAATAGTGGAGCAGATCGCAAAAGAAGACGCTTTGGAAGCCGCCACAAGAAAGAGGAAACAGGAGGAAACCCAAGTCATGCTGCGGGCCTTCATGATTGAGCAGCAAGAGCGCCAACGAAAAATGGAGCAGGTATAATCACTCAATTGCTGCTGTTGAATGTGCACGAGCAAACTGCTGCAAGGTATTCCAAGAAAAGATAGATTGCTTACTAAGTGCAACTTGTTCATGTTCCACCTGGACCTGTGTTGTTTCTCTGGAGAACGGTCCGACTGGAACACAAAAAACAGGACGAGCTCGACGAGATGGCCGCTATCGAAGCGTTCGCGAAAAAGAAGCGTGCTTTGGAGGAGGCCCAAGAGGAGGAGAAGCGCAAGGCAGAGGAGGCGAAAAAAGCCGCTTACGAGCTCATCGTCGCGACCGCCGAAGCAAGAAACAAGGAGGCGGAAGAATTCGAATTCCTCAAGAACGAGCTGTAAGCTGCTTTTACTTCTTGTTGGAACGTTCCAGGTTCGTTGGTTGTCGTGAGGCCTGGTTCGAATTTCCTTTGGAGAATTAGATCTTTTCTTGAGAACAAATTTGCGCGTTGATGTTCACAAAACCGCAGGTACGCAGAGGAGCTCGAGGCCCAACAGCGACGGAAGGAGGAACTGGGTATGCGCAAAAAGCTCGAGGACCGCGCGGAAATGTTGAAGGCATACGAGGATCAGCTGCGTTTGAAGGAGGAGCGCCGGGTCCGCGAGGAGCGCGAGGAGGCGGTGTTCCGGGAGAAGCTGCTGCACAAATTCGCGGAGGACGACAGAATAGAACAGTTGAACGCACAGAAAAAGCGCATGAAGGTCCAGGAGCACAAGCGGGAAGTCGAGAGGCTACTGCAGGTAAGTATGTTGAGGGGTGCTGGCTTAGTACAACCTACAACTTCGCATGGCGATACGTGTACTTCAGTTGCTGCAGCATCTTGTTTTGCTTCGCCTTTTTGTGCTGAGCACGTGGACGTGGTAGCACGAGTCCCCTGCCATGTCATGCGCTACGTTTTATTTCTTCGTGAAAAACAGGAACGGCGCGCTCAGTACCAGGCGGAGCGGGATGCCGAGCTGCTGGAGCTGGAGGAGCAGCGCCGGGTGCAGAAGGAGCGCTACGTGGAGATCGAGGAGGAGAAGAAGCGGCTGCTCCGCGAGCATTGCGTCCAGTTTCGCGACTACCTGCCGAAGGGCATGTTCCAAAACCGCGAAGACTACGACTACGTCATGGCCCAGCCCGAGCCCAACTAAAAAGAAGTCCTGTGCGGTGTTCGCGGAAAAATTAAGCGAAATAATTCCTAAACTTTTATCAGACATCCAAAGCATCAAAAGTTTTAATTCTATCATCAGACAAATCAGACAAAAAGTTGCAGTTGTCGGCAGAACAACTGCACGAAATAAAGGGAGGGGAAACAGCAGCACGACCTCCCACGGTTTCAATTTTCTTTACCTTTCTTTACACATCAGACTAAACGCAGACAAACTTGTTACGATTTGAAACTACAAACAGACCAAACAGATTATCATTTGAACTCGTGTTGAAGTAAAGCAGATATAGATTTAGCAGACCAGAAATTGTTCCTGCTGCTCGTTGGGTTCAGTTCTTGCTTCTTTCTTCTGCCAGAGTTGGCTGGCAGTTCGCCTGTACTCGCTACAAGCAGCAGTATGGAAAAAGCTGAAGAGACGTTTTGAATGTTTGCACTAGCGCCGGACTCATTCTTGCGCGAAATGGACGGAACAAAATGAACAGAACAACAGTAGATGCGGACACAAAACAACAAGTGCAGAACTTGTTCAGCTTTTGCGCGGTGTTTCATTATCTTGAATTTGGTGAAGCGCTAACAAAGTATGAAAAAAAGACGAAGCGCACTCCACCCGGTTTCTGGGTCAGAGGTGTCCCACCTCTGACAGGTACAACAGGAAAATCCTTTGCTTTCTTTGTGTTCCCCCACCTCGCTGCGCGTGGGACCATAAGCGCGCTTTAAGTACACTATGCATGGCTCAATGCTTTTTCACCGTCGCGTGAAGAAGGTCGCGCGGCCAGATCTGAGGACAGCACTCAAGTCATGAACTAGGAGTCGAACATCAGTGTGCAAGATGGCGTCTGAGGAGGCTGCGGAGGAAATTGCAGAAGAGGCCAGCGAAGAGTCCTCAGCAAACGTCCCGGAGCTGGATCTTTCACATTGTGGCGTCAAGCAAAGGGTCCGCGACATCCAAGCCGACATTAACGCCGAAGTGCTATCAGCTCGACAGGAGATAATTGTATTTGATGCTTTGATGAAGATGAAGTAAGTAGGTGTCGGCTCGAACGAAAACGATTATTCGCTCATATCTATCAAGCCAAAAGCTGACTTCTCTGTAAGTAAATGATTTTCGAATGCCAAAACCACTTCAACAGCGCCTCGAGCTGAAAAAGGGGACGCGAGTGAACGAGGAAGTTGCCAAGGAGGAGAAGCTATCAAATGTAAAAATGTCTGGGTATGGAAGAATGCAAGTTTGTCATGCTTGTCTGGCATGACTCTTCTATCTGTCATGCACCTTATCAAAGAGCCCCGCTTTTCTGTCATGCAGACACGTAGTTTGTCATGCAGAATAGGCAACACCTAGAAGCTCAGAAACTTGTCATGCTGAGCCAGCAATTGTCGCCTCCTCATGATACGCCACACAGCATCACAAGTTTCCAGACCCAGACATTTTTACATTTGATAGAAGCAATTCAAAGAGGGCGTGACAGCAGCCGTGAAGGGGACGCAGCGTGTTATCCTCAAAGACCTGCGCCGATTCGAGGATTCGATACAACCGGTGAAGCGGCTGCAACATGCGGAGAACGTATGACGGCAGAAGTTGCGAATTTCGTTGAATCATGCTCGCACCAGTTGTGCGTACTAACTCGCAGCAGCGATACATAGATGAATCACCGAAACAAGATCTGCAAGAGCCACTTAGCCTCAGAAAGGCAAATGCTTTCTGTAGTGACAAAAAAAACTAAAATCAGATGCGGATATTGAAGCAGACCACCCAGATCCGGCAAGACACGAAGGCGCTGCGGAAGATGCTTCGCAATTTGGACAAGCGGCTGCAGAAAATGGAAAACGAATTGGAGTTCTAAAAGAGCTTGTACGATGTAAAAACACGACTCGCCGACAGTCGTAGTTGAAATCGATTCACTCGTTGGACATTGTTCTTTGGAAGCGGTGAACAAGTTAGATGTTTCGAGGCTGTAGATCTGTAGTTTGGATTTGGAAAAAAAAAACAGCTGAAAAATAACTGTAGAATCGAAGATGAACAAGGTAAGAGCACTGATAGATAGAGAAAGCAGGAAGTCACTGCTTCGTTCCACAGCCGGTTGTATCAGTGCCAGGAACCAATGATTGCACCCGCCTGACTCTTTGTGTTCGCATAGTGAGTCCCGTGATCTCCAGCTGAAAAATCTAGCGCTTAGAGTGGGCTGCGCAGAAGTACTGTCCTGGGACTCGATCCAAGGCTCAAATCTTAAGGCAGCTACCAACAGTTCGATTTCTAGGGCCGTCACCATGCTCCCACGAAGGTAAGTTACACCCCCCGTCCCCGCACTTATTAAATAGCACCAGCAGGCCGGCGCAACCATGTCCGTGCAAAATTGGCCCCGTGTCAGCGTTGTGTCGCTGTTTGTCAGCTTTATGACGCTTTTCGGTGTGATGGTTTGGTGGGAAACCGACGATGAAGGAAATAGCACCAAACCAGCACTGCTCTCACGCGAGTGGACGGAGAAACCGTGTGCGGACCACGGAGACTGTCCAGCGAAGTACGCCTGCATGCCCTTCACCATAAATTCTGGATCGGCGGCAGCCGCAGGAACGGGGGGGAAGAACGACGCAGCAAAAGCAAGACAATTTCGGTGCGCTGCTCGCAGTCTGGTGCTCGATTTTTCCATCTCGGACGTGCTGTGCACGCTTTTCGTCTTCGTAACGGCGTTTCTGTCCGCAGGTAGCGGGGTCGGAGGTGGCGGGGTGTTCGTACCCCTTTTTCTGATTTTGCTGAATTTCAGTGCCAAGGAAGCGGTGCCACTGTCGAAGGCGTGTTGTCTCACGGGTTCACTGATCAACATCGTGCTGTTTTTGCCAGAACGAAATCCAGTTTTAGCCTCGCGGACACTGGTCGACTTCGACGTGGTGGCCGTTTTGAATCCGCCGCTGCTTGCCGGCATAACACTAGGCGTCATCGGTCACAAGATGAGCCCCGACTGGGTCGTCGTACTGCTGCTCCTGTCGACGTTAATTTTCGCTTTCAAAAAGTCCTGGGCCAAGGGGGTAACCCGATGGAGAGAGGAGACCAAAATGTTGCTTGCGCAGGAGGAAGAGGCAAACGCAAACGAGGGGAATGACAACTCCTCGGGTAGTAGTGGAGAATCGGCTGCGCCAGCTTCGGCCACAACAAATGCAACGACCCCTGCAAAGGCTGCCACAGCGGCTACTGAGGTGAGAGGTCGAGACGCTGACAAGAACCCTTCTGCGTCTTCTCCAAACCTATCATCATCCCCCGGCCGATCGACAGGGAAGAAGGACCGAAACGCGGCAATTCGCACGCCGGGCACCGCAAACAAGACAACCAAGAAAACGATTTTCGGGCGGCGGTCGGAGTTCATCGCCGTCAGTGGCTTTGAAGAGGACGAGAACTACAATTCACAGGAAGATGATGTGGACCTAAGGGCTAGCGGCGGCGCAGGAGATGGGGAAAATACTGACACGACATTGCACTCCACCACGATCATAAGGAAACAAACTGCGCGACCATCATCTTCTTCACGGAAGCCTGAGGAAACAACCGACGCGTTGGACCTCTCGCTTTTTTCCTGGCGGAATTACTTGTGGACCTGGCAGACCGCACGCAAAGCGATTGAAATCACGACTCTACTCTGTGTTTTTCTGTTCTTCGTCGAGTACACAAAAGCGCCGCGCTGCACTGGCCTGTATTGGTTGGAGGTGGTGTTCCAGTTGGCGGTTTGTCTCGTGTTTTTTGGATTCGCGTTGAGGCGAGTTCTCCAGGAAGAGCAGCGGGGGCAGTTGGTAAGGACAACAGATCTCGAAGATGTGGATCTGGAAGAGCTCGGGGAAGTTGGCACGGACGCTGAATTGGAAAGAACCGGCAGTGTGCAACGGGGGGGATCAGCAGCAAGTGTGCCGAATTCGCGAAAAAGTTCCTCTGTGAAGGACGGTGAGCAGGAGATTCGCACAACGACGTCCATCACAAGCAGTGATTTTCAGGTTGATGACGAGGAGGACGACGCAGCAAGCAGCCGTCCGCGAAACAGCACCCCCGCCGGCAACGAGTGCGCGCAACTCGCCTGGGCGGAAGGCACGAACCGAGTCGTTTTTCCGTTGTATGCCGGAGCAGCCGGGTTTGTCGGTGGCTTTCTCGGCATTGGAGGTGGTATGCTTCTGTCGCCGGTTTTGCTGGACCTGGGATTGCTGCCTGAAGTCACGCAAGCAACAACGGCGATGTTCGTCTTCCTGAGCAGCGCACTCGCCATGTTGCAGTTCTTCCTGTTGGACCTCGTTATGCCGAGCTACGTCTGCTGGTATGGCTTCTGGGTCTTTGTAGCAACCGCTGCGGGACAGTTTTTACTGAAAAAGCTTCTGCAGCTCTACCAGCGCAAGTCGCTGATAATTTTGTCCGTCGCGGCAATAATTTTTCTGTCGATGGTGCTAATGACACTGAATGGCCTCTATCGGCTCTACATAGACTACACGAACCAAGATTGGGAAGCACTTTCGTTTAGCTTCTCCAAGCTGTGCCATTAGCGCTTGCATGGGAAGAAGCTGTAGGCTGCTGCGATCCAGTTTCGGGGACGCTGAGAAATCCAAAGAAGAATTAGTAACCGGATGCAAATGGCACTAACGCCACCCGCGTGTTCGACGTACGAGCACTGAAGGATGGCCTCAAAGGAGGCATCGTGTTATATGCTGCCGGTTGAGAGGAAATTGCTGGACGTCCTACTTGCGAACGTTTGTTAGAGTGAAGCTCGCGTTGATCTGCAGGTGAGCGATTCTATGTTGTGCCACTGGAGTCGACGCCACAGCGGGGTAATCGAGGGACGGTAGTCCTCGGGTCTTTCATTCCCGCATCTTAACAACCCAGATGCGTTTGACGACCGGGCCGCTTGCTCCCGAGACGAAATGCGTGCGTGCAGTAGTACTTAGGTTGAGTAGTCTTATGTCAGCTACTCTGGTTACCTACAGAGATAGAATGCACAGCCCCGCCATGGTTGGACTTCGTGACGAGGCGACTTATTTCGGCGGTGCGGGCCCGTCGTGTCGCGGACATTCGGAAGACCTCCCGAGCCTAAGCAGCTGCGGCAATGGGAACGCTATTGATCAGATCGGTCCGCAGACCGCAACGGATGGCCGGCGCGCGAGCGTTGTGACAGCACAGAAGCCCCGGCGTGGGTGACTCATACCTCCCGACAACCATCAAAAGTCGCGCGCAGTTACGAGTATACCTACAACTACGCGGACTCTAGGGCAAAGCTTCAGCGCCCCAGCGACTCGCCCCGCCGCCCACCGTTCGCGCTTCCTACACACCCGCGGCGCCTCTCGGCGCGCGCCCGCCCCCATTCGCGGCGGCTTTTGTGTTCCCGGCAGGCCCGCGAGGCGCCAGCCCTTTTTTCGCTGCCGGCCTATAATTGGGCAGCCGCGCCGCTGGAGCAGTCAGTGCCCGCGCCTTTCGTGGCAGACCCCGCCCCCTGGCGGCACTGCGATCGCTTTCCGCGAGGGCCGTATGGTGGCGCTGCGCCACCAGCTTGATCGCGGAATCGCGCCGGTGGCCACTCGTTCTACGGCTGCATTGTGCCCGTATGAAAGACACAAGTATCTCGGGAGGGCGTGTGACCGTAGAAGTTGTAGGTGTAGCCAGCTCGTTCAGGAGATGGTAGCGCATGAGCATGATGTGCTTGCTTAATCTACCTAAGGTGAGACCGAGAGCCACCTGAAAAGGTGCGCGCGGCGCTGTGCCAACAGATGTTTAGTCAGGTCAGGCGAGTTCTGGCACACAAGAGCAAGTTACCAGCAAGCGATGGCAAGTGATCATATAAATATGCGAGATCTGGCTGCCGGTGAGCGTGAGCCGTTCATTGCAGAGACGAGAGTACACTAAGTACGAGCCTGAGTGTAAGTGATAATGCAGCAGCAGTGCGCGAGAGTGTCCAAACCCCAGTAGCTGCAGAAACTCAGTGATTACTTTTAGTCAACAAGTTTCACGTACGAAGCCGGGTGGTCGGGTTAGTCGTTTCCGTGGTAACATGCAGCGCGCTCCAGCACCTGTCCGGAGTCCCCGCCCGGCAGCACCTTCTCGAGCGCCTTCACGAGGAGGTCCACGCAGCACTGCGACTCGGCGAGCCGAATCGGCGGGCCCAGGGGAAGCACGGGAAGGAGATGCGAACAAGCACGGGTATGTTAGCCAAATGAGCGTCGACCAAACGTTACGGAAACTCCATGTGCACACAGCGTGCATAACTTTTCTTGAGCACCAGTTCGATTGCCATTTCGTTCGGGCAAAGCAGCAAATTCGCGAAGACGCTTTGAATGTGCGTCGCAGGATGGACCAGGCGCTGCTGAACAAAAGTATGCTTTACTTGAATCGGATTTTCTCCTCGGCCGCTCGCAAGAATGTTTGTGTTGTATTCATCTCGCACACGTTTACGTACTTTTGTTTAGCAAGGCGGGGGGCGGAAATTCATTCTTCAAAAAAACAGCGCGACCAGTCCCGGAGCTCGTCCCACAAGTCAGTCGAACAACATCAATGCCATCGTTTGTGCAACCAAAAGCGAAAAGGCTTTTCTAGCAACGAGGTCGAAAAGTTATGCCGGCTTGATCGGTTTCGGTTGCAGCTTTCAACATGGTGGCGTGCTGTTGCTGGCAGACGGATGTGCTTGTCTATCTTCAATTGTACATGATTTAGTCGTGGTTCACTGAGTCATAGATAGTGTTGAAAGGAATATCTACCACTATTTTGTTTCTGATTTTGTCTCGTTGATGCACGAGCCATGACCCTGTACCATGAGTCTCTTGATGAATGACCTGGCGTTGAAAGAATCGATGTAGGATGGGCTTGTATTTGGTTTGAAGGACGAGTCGAAGAACGAAACGAATGTCAAAGGAAAAGAACACATTGGGATGACGGCCGAGGGGAAACGCTGGTCCGGAAAGTGCGCATTCAGCAGCTTGCAGAGCGTCTGCTTGAGATTGTTCGCCAAATGTAGGAGTCTGAGCTGTGCAATAATACATCGGCGTTCGTTGGTACGTTGGTTTGAGAGAAAATACAGAGATCTGTCTGATCTTCGGGGAGACAAAGACTAAGGTGTCTCTTTCCTTGTACTCTTGGATTTTGGGTGGGCAACCAGAGCCACTTTCACAAGAACGAGCGAGGTGGAGGCCATGAGTATTTATGTTTCCGAAGCGGGCAGCACATGCACATCAGGCACGGCGTCTTTATCTTCGTGTACTGAAGTGGAGTTACCTCATTTGCGCACCAACGAGGGACTGCGAAGCACGACAGTGAGAGAGTAAGTACATCCTGGAAAATCCTCGTCAAAACCAAAAAAAGTCTGATTTCGTGCGAAGATGCGTCGTAAAGTAGTTCACAAGCTCGATGGCTCGTGCCGCAATTATGGCTCCTCCCGTATCTGCATCAGCGTAAGCTTTCGTGAACGCAATCGCCAACACCCGCGGCGCAGTCGGGGTTCCTTGCGACGTAAATACCTCGGGAGAAGTAGAACGCCAATGGACGGGGTATTTTGCCGGGTCGGTGGTGGAGGAAGGGCCCGGGGGTGGTGCGTGGGCTGCGCTGGTTTCCGAGGCGGCCCTTAGTAAGGGAGCGAATGCAGGCCGGACGCCCGCGCACTCTGGTCTGCAGCCATCTCCTCCAGCTCATCTTCGAACCGGTTAGAGACCACGCCAGTGTGGCCCGCGCAACACTGGCCGACGCCTGCGGCAGTGATTCCACGGAGCGTTCGCCGGCCCCTTGCTCGCCTTTGTTTTTCTCGTTCCCACTCTGGCGCCCCGCCCCGGCGCCTCACCCCCCTGCGGGCTCTCCGGCATCCGCGCCGCCTGCGGCGCGCGGTTCTGCGATGTCGCCGCCGCGAACGGTCTCGGCAGGCGCCGTTGGCCCGTGTGCGGTGGACGGTGGCGCCTGCCACACGGGTCGCGCCGTGTTGGTCTTCCTGAATCTGGAAGCGCCGGCGCTTTGCCCGTAATTGGCCACGGTCGCGCGGGCCCGCGCTCGCGAGGCAAGGCGCAGTCATGCGCGTGTGGCGCGGCCGTGAGAAGTGTCGCATTCAATGACGCCCGTGCCGATGCTGAGGGAAGTCAGAGCTTCGTTGCCTTGCTGAGTATTTTGCTGGCTCCTGCCACAAAAGGAAGAGATCTTCGGTTTATTGCCGCGGGCGGTTGTAAAGTAAAGTTGGGTACCGGTACTGGTTTCTGCGGTGTAGCGACCTTGTGGTAGTGATCCGTAGTGGAGAGGAGTTGGAGGGATAGGAGTCTTGTCTTGACTTGCTCGGGGTGCGCTATTTTTCAGCGTGAGTGTGCTCCACCTCCACGCATGTGGAACCGCGAGTGTGCTGTAGTCAGAGAGGGCGAGATCGTTTGTGTTAGCCAGGAGCGCGGAAAGTCAGGGGCTCAGTTTCGTATTTCAACATCCGCGGCAGTGCCCGCAGCCTTGTTGGTGTAGTTGTACGGGACGTTCCGAAGATGCCAGCCCCGGCCAGTGACAATCCTGCCTACTACCCGACTGACGGGGTTTTAAACTGGGGCAAATTCGTCGTCTGCGACGCTCGCACGAAGAAGGAATCTGTTTACGAATGGTCAAACGGAAAGTACGTCAAGCGAGGTGGTATCACCATTGGACAGCGGGTGGTGCTGGGAGAATTCCGTTCACCAGAAGCGGTCAAGTACAACGGGCTGCGGGGCTACGTTAGAAGTATCTAGTACTTGTTGGCTGTAGTTTGAGTTTCTTGTCTTTCTTCAATCAATCAATGTCTGGCTAGGCGCAGGCGCTTATGTCCGTGGCAAGACGCATGATGAAAGAATGAATGTAGCGGAAACAAGCGCAGAAAGCGTATCTTTCCATTCAGTGTTCGCCACTACCTAGGTGAGAAGGACGGGCTCTACAGCATCCACTGCGAAGGATGCGAGGGTTTCCCCTACGGGGCGATGATGACGTGCGAGGACTGCAATCTGTTTGTCTACGGCGACGACGGGCAGCTGTACCACGCCCGCCCGAACGCGGACCGCGCGGCCCTGGAGGAAAGCGGGAAACCGCAGTACATCGATGTGGACCAGTACAAAAAGATCGTTTCTGTCATCGAAGAGTGCCAGCAGCAGCAGGCGCTCCCGCCGCAAGTCTACAAAAGCGTGCCGCTCATGTTTCCGGGTCACGCGGAGCAGGATTCTGCGCCTCCACCGTCGCAACTCAGTAGACCGGCAGCAGCTCCACCACCACCGTCTTATCCGAGCTACCCGACGGACGAGGAGAGAAACAGCGTGATTCCTGAAGAGTACAGCCCGAAGGCGAAGTCCCCGAATCCGATGAATGTTCGATCGAGTGCGCAGCAAGAGCCACCGGGAATGACGATGCTCCCGAGTGACGTCGAAAAGTTGGACCTTGGGCAAATAACGCGCGACGCCGGCGCGCTAGTGGACTACGCGCGGACGACAGTCGCGGGCTGGTTCGGACGGGAAAGTGAAGGAGCACAGGTCGGGATCCCCAAGGTTGCAGATGCAAATAACATCGAGGAAACGCTCCTGCCGCCGGAGTCCTCGCCGACGTTTGGCGCTGCCGGAGGAGCGTCGTCTTCGAGCTCGGGAGCTCCGCGGAAATCAGAACTGGATCTGCAGCTGGAGGCCGAGATAGCAAAAGCACAAGCCTCCTACGAGAAAGCTCAAAGGGAGTATGAGCAGACAAAGCGGGCGAGCGAAGGTATGTGTGCTGATGTGTAATGTCGTCCACTTCTCCTAGTGAAACCAGAACCACGTCGCTCGCTTGTACTGAATGAATTGCAGAAAAAATGATCAAATCAAATTCATTCGAGGAAATGGAATTTGCTTGTGAAAAAACTTACCCCAGGTCTCGCCCTGCTTGGAAAGAAAAAAAAGAAGCCGCAACCGGAGGGCGAAGCCGCACGCGGGCCATCGACTATCGTGCTTGGCGGTTTGGATCTTTCGGACGACCCGGCCTTTGCAGAAGTGTTGAATAACAACGACAATAACTTTGTCGACGGCGAGGTTGGCGCGTTGTTGCCGCCTGGCAGCGCGACGTCCTTATCTGGAAAAAATAAGCTCACGTCAAAACAGATAGTGTCGATGCCGATGCTGACTATGCCGGAGCTTAAGAAGCATCGGCTCGAGTCGAAAGAGGAACTGCTCCGCTCACAGAAAGGCAGTAAGCGAGAGGACACAAAGTCGGGGGTCGCGGGAGCAAATGTCGTCGCCGGTACGACACTGGGATCGGGTACTTGGAAGTTCTTATAATATCTTCTCTGTCGTAACTGTTTCACATAGTTTGGCGACTGCGCAACTTCTGGTCACTGGTATAGCCCATTCTGTCAAATGAAAACGACATGCATGATTATAGAAAGAAGGAACAAAGGGAAGCGCATCGATTACTTTACGATTTCCACATTTTCCACGTTCCTGCAGGTCTTCTCCAACCCAGCAGCGCGACCATGCTCGACGCCCCGAGTTTGCACGAGTACGCCGCTAAGGAGCGGGAGAAGTTTGCGAGGCAAGAAGCGGAGCGGCAAGAGGCCAACCGGCGGGTGCAGGAATCAGTGATGCAACAGCAGGTGATGTACGAGGAGATGCATCGCCGATTCCAGGTCGCAATGACACCGGTCGACAGCCTCGAGGCTGCTCCCGACGGTATAGTTGGCGCATCTCGAGGGCGAAGTCCGGGTGGTGCGACAACCATGCTGCAGATACTGCAGCCGAACCCGGAAATAGCCCGGACCGGGCCGTCCCTCACGCCGCTGACGAGGGAGGGGGCACTGAATGTACTGAATTCATCTTCAGTAGATTTGGGGGCATGCAAATCTTCGCATCTTGATCTTTTTGGCTCAACGAACGTCAACAGTTTCTATTGGTACACCTATGATGAACAATTATTTCACAGACCGGCGCGCGACCCGCGCTGACGACGGGAGACCTTGGGCACCTCGTACCAACTCCGCGCGAGCTTCATAGCACTGCGAACCGCCATTGGGGTACACACATCCCGTCGGGGATTCACAAAACGGCGCTCGCGCAGGAGACTGCTCTGGAGAGCGGCGTGCGACACATCGGAGCTGGACAGTATTTCACTGAGGAGTTCTACAGAAGCATGACTCGCTGAATTGAAAGAATCGGAAATCCTTGGTTGAATCGAGTGTGAAAATTCGATCCATGTACTAATTTTTTTCCACAGACCTGGCGCCTCAAGCTCACGCTTGCGAACGCAAAGCGACACGGTGAAAGAAGCCTATCACATTCCGGAGCATGCAGCGAGCATCCAGCAACAGGCCTCAATTCGGTCCAAATCAGAGGCACCGCGATTACCAGGGAGCGGAAACTGGCGTGTGACGCGCGACCCGGATACGAATCGAACCATGTTTTTGCCTGCTGAGGCTCCGTCACCTGAGAAAAAGAAGAAAGACCCGAACAAGAGCGTGGCAGCTGCGGGGTCAGCAGCGCCCCCATCGTCCGCGGCGGCGCCAAGTGAGGAGGGATAGTTGATGTCTGCAGTATTGGCGCTCAGTCCTACCTCTGGACTGCCATTCGGTTTTGGAGATGAGATGCAAAAAAACAAAGTACAAGACTTCATCTCTATGCCAACGTCATGAAAAAACAACGTGGTTGAAAGTTTTCCAATACGGAGAAATATCAATCGCTGTGGGAATATGCCGACGATCAATCTATTTTCCGTATCCATTTTTTTTCTTTTCCAGCCGCCGAATGAAACAGTTTTGGTAGAGGCTTAAAATTTCAAAAAATTTTGCCTCACATCAACATCAAGTGATATTGAAAAGAAAAAGAGTTTGCCATTTCCATTCGTCCGCGTGTCCGTGTGCAGTTGAGTGGATCTGCATTCCGGGTCGCCGGAGTTTTGTTCGATTTGGATTTCCTTTATTTTTTTCACCTGCTGTTGAGCATGAGGCATGCAGAGGTCTTAGAGTGACAACACTTTTTACCTCCAACACGTGCAAACTGTGCAACAGTGTAACGCTGCAAGAAAAGGTTGAGCGCACCGAGGGCCACAATTGCAACGCTGTGCAGGAGGTAAGAGAGAAATAGGAGCGCGCCACACTTCTTGCGGTTGATCTGAGGCCTCACCTGGTATGGATAGCGTTGGGTTTCTTCTCTCACGTATGCCAAAGAATGTCGCCCCACACATCCCTCCGCGCTACCGCTACTGTACCGAGATGGTGCGCAATGGGATCGAGAATACGTGTGGGGACTGGGTTCGATATGCGTGCGGGCATTCCGCCTTCGCCAGGCCGGGCGTTTCTTCGTCTCCATTCAAGGGCCAGGACGCACCAGCTCCGAAAATCAGCGGAAGCCCGGGGCAGGGGACACCCCCGGGCGATGACGCGAATGGATTCCGGCCCAGACTCCTCCTTGGCTGGCTCCGCGCGCGTTTGCGCGGTGTTGAGTTTGTCCGACGGGTGGCGCGCCCCGTGCCTCGGGCGCGGTTCGTTACTCCTCCAGAGGGCCTTCGCCTTCCTGCGCCGGGGGGCGGGCTACGGAAAAGGTTAGCGGACGAGGGGGCGCCCGAAATTTTGGCGGAAAATCTTCGGGGAGGACAAACTCCGACACGCAAGCGGCGCAAGATAGAGCCCGGGCGCCCTTCGGAGATCGCGGCGGGCGGTTGCCCCCTTCCCCTGGCCCACGCGGAAGCGAGGCCAGCGCTATTCGCAGAGCATGCACGCGTCGAAGCCCCACCGACAAGGAAGCGTCTTGGTTGCGCGAGAAGCAGGGGCAGTCGTGGGCCTTCCCCAGACCGCTCGCGCCGACATGATGGCAGCGCCCCTTGATATGAGCAGGCGCATCATGGTGGGGCACCGGCGCAGGGCCGGGCATCACTCAGCCCATGCGCCCCCGCGAAAAAAAGTTTTGCAATGATGTAGGCCGCAGGCGGGCAGCAGTCTGTCAAACGCTTCCGAGAAGGCTTCCTTGCCGCGTCATATGTACGTATTGACACAATGCGTGTAAAGTTTTCGTTCTTTTGTACTAGTTTTTGTTCACGAGATGGGGTGGGTGTTGAGAACGGAGAGGAAGCTGTGTTTTCCATTACTGCCGAGCGTGAGGCGCACACATGAGAGATCGCACGCACAAAATGTTTCAGCGTGAGAAGTTGTTGCTGTGATTGCCTGGCTGGGCGGTAGTTTTGCGGCTTTTTATCCTGTTGTTCTACTTGTGTGTGACAGACTGTCACTGCGTTATATATGCGGGCGCGGCAGCTTCATTTCCTAGCAGAATATAAGCCAAAGCTTTCGCTTCGAGGTTTGTTATGAACCTTCAAATGAAGAGGAAGAGCACGATAGCTGCGTGCCTCCGGTCGTCGGACCGTGAAGATGAAGTGAAAGGAATGATCCTGCCGGTGCGATCATGAGAAGGTAGACGCGAGAGATTCGCCAGTTTTGTTTAAAAGGAGCGCAACACGAGGATCAATCCCGGATCGGAACGGCGACGGAACATCACGGCCCACCATGGCGAGCGCGACGGGGAACATCGTGGTAATCGAGCGCGACTCGCTCGACTATATGGAGAAGGAGCAGATCCAGTTCGACGACAGCGAGTACTACAACATGCGGGTCAACAAGCCACAAACGCTGCGGTTCGACCGATCGAAAATGGGGCGGTTGTTCGAGGAGATTTTTTTCGCTGGGTTCCTGCCGATGATTGTGTACTTCTCCAGCCTCTTCTTTCTGAGCACCAGCCTGCTGCGCCGCAATATCCCGAACGCCGGAACCTGGATCGCGCGGATTCTGGCGGTCTTGGTGGCGGTGGCGCTCGTTCTGTGGCCCGCCGGGTCACTGAAGAAGTCGACGTGGGACATACGGAAGACGAAGGTTATGGAATGGAAAGCAGTTACCTTCCTTTGGTACCAGCTGCTCTGCTTTCTCGTCGTCGGGATTTTCAGTATAGATTTTTTGGATGAAAGAAAGAATTTGACTGCTGTGCGCGCCTGTCCATTTCCAGTTTGTACTATTGCACGCTGTGACCACAGACAGATACAAATTGATTCCTCCGCATTTCAGTTTGACACCGTGTTTACAGCGAAAGAACTTCAGGTATCGTCTACGCGGATACCATGTACACCGAGTACGTGATGCCGTACCAAAATTACTTGGACAAGAAGTGGATTGAGCAACCCATTTCTCCACTTCTCCAGTCGGGGCAGAACTTTCAAGATGCCGGCGTCGTGTCTTTCTCCGCAGACAGCTACATAGATCGGGCGCACAACGCCTGCTTTCGGTATTTTTGTGATGTTGTGTTGCTTGGCAGAGCTGTTTTGCTGTGACGCGGCTTTAACTAAATATTCCACTGTGTCGAACAAGTGCGTTCAATTCATTTCAAAATGCAAAACTCAACTTCTACTATCAGGGGCGCCGGCGTTTCGTATTGTGTCGTGCCCATCGTGCAGGACACTGCGGGCACAGGCGACCGGACCCGGCTCCCCAGCAGCCCGACCGGGAGCTACGATTACTTCGCTGTGGGCACCGACTGCTGTAGTTGCCCGGGGACCGGCGATTTCCAGTGTGGCGATTGGGATTTTTCGGAGAGCATGGGTATCAAATGCAAAAATGTCTGGGTCTGGAAGATTGCGAGATTTGTCATGCTTGTCTGGGATGACCAGAAAGTTTGTGATGCGTGTCCAAGAAGAGAGCCTTTTGTCTGTCATGCAAAAACGCAGTTTGTCATGCGAAAAACGCAATACAACGAACTGCAGACATTTCTCATGCTTGGGTGGGCATTGCAGAGCACTCACTATTCCCAACGCAGCATTACAAGTTTCCAGACCCAGACTGACATATGTGCATTTGATAATGGGCGGACTTCGGCAACTCGAAATGGAGCAGCGAGCGTTTTACCAGCTGGCGGTCGAGCAGTGGGAAGCCGCGTGGAACAAAGACTCGAAGACGCCCTTGTTCTTCCACTGGAAGAACAAGCCCTACGTCCAAATGAAGTACCTTCGCGACGACTTCAGCACGAGCATCTTCATGACCACGCTCACACTGCTGGCGGTTTTGCTGTTTGTAGCCTGCGCGCAGAACCAGATCCGGAGCATGATCTACGAAAGCTATGAGCAAGAGTGGCTGTCCGCGGCCGCGAATGCAAGGGAAAAGAAAGAAGCAGAACACGGGGAAAGGTCCTATGGCGCTGCTTGATCACAACAATGCTACTCTACAAGTGAATTAGGAGCAGGACGATGATGTAGTAAAAATGAACCCTCCTGGATGAATTGTGGGCCATTTTTTTGCCGTCACACATCCTACACCTGATTTTTTTCCCAGAAGTAAGTTTGAGCACGATGGATATGGAACACAAGCCATCGTGGCCAAAACTACTCCTGAACCTTAAACAAATGAACCTCGACGACTGGCAAAACTGTTGCAGATGAAAACCAAAACACCTCGCTGTACGATAGATCGCGCAGTGTTGTTGAAGACGGATCAGCAGCGTGCTTTCGTAGAAAAAACTGATCCAGCTTTTTGTTTGCAAAGTTCCACGACAGATACTAGATCTCAGCTTGATGCCATCACTGAATATTGGTTCTTACATACTTACACGGGAAATTTCGCGAGATGGAAGATCGACAAATTTTGGGTCGATCAGGCACTACCGCTAGCTTAGATCTTGGATCGCTTTTCGTCTTCTGATACTTGCTTTTATGGTTTTCGAAATCGTGATATTTCTCTTGCCTGCAGCCGCAGCGACAACACCAGCGATTTTTTAGCGACTCCCCATTGTATTGCGAATGTTTTTATGAACGTAAAGTTTTAATAGCACCTGCCGTGACTTCGCGCAGCCCCAGCTACGTGGGAGGTATGGTCTCGAATTTTCCCAACTCCACCAACCCCGACGACAGCGTCAGAAATAGTATTTAGTCAGCGAAAATGCAGTGGGCCTCTCTTCGAGAGGAGCGCGTTTGCGACTTCCCGCGCGGAGCGGCGGGCCCGTATAATGGGCGTGCAGTTTCCTCCAGGCAGCTTGTCCTGCCACGCGGTGCGAACGAGCGGATTCTGTCGCCAGCCAGAGGTATTGATGTGGACCTACTTCTGATAGATTCTAACGAGGCACTAAGTGAGATCTTGGTCGCGAATTTGATGATGTGCCGCTCAAGCAAGGTTTTTTCATTTTCTCACAATAAATGTAATCCTTCGCTAAACTGATGAATTTCAGCCTTCGAAGCCGGCCTTCTGATCGACGCTGGAAGTGGGTGTTACGCAGTGAGGTACGAGGGTACCACAGTTTGTCAAGAGGGTTTCGAAGTAGACGCTATCGAGGACCCGTTTCTGGAAGTGTACGATGTTAGTCCGGACGTCCGAAACCCCGGCAGCTACGTGCCGGGCACGGTGGTTTGGCGCATTGCCCTCCCCGACCCGCTGGCCACCGTGAATAACCGCAGCGACCAAAGCATTCACTACGCGATAGCAACCACCGGGGACGCGCTCTATTTGTACGTGCTTTTGACGACGTGCGTCGTTTACAAAATCCGGCTCACGCAGTCCCAGAGCCCGGGCTTCGAGCTGCAGCTGGTCAACGCCATGGAAATCGCCCAGCAGGACGCGTACAACGGGTTTCAGTCCTTTTCCGTGGCTGGCCCGAGCTGCGTGGTGTTCGGCACACTGGAGGGCTTGCGGGTTTGCAAGTTTGCGGAAGATGTGCTCCTGAGCGAGATGGACCAACAATTGAGATCATACACTGCATCCGGTGCGCAGTTGGCGCTGACGGACGGGGGGAACGAAGATGCAGCCATGAATACAGGTTCTTCTGACAACGAAGATCATGTGCTTGTCCCGCGGCTGCCGAACGCGCCGCAGCACGACTTCCTGTGGTGCGAGGACAACAGGAAAGCGCAGAACCGGTTGACCAAGTTCGTCGGGTCAATTTTTTCCTCCTCCGCTCCGTCGCAAAAACCGCCTGACAGGAGTGTGCTCTTGACGCACACATACGACACGGATACTGAAGAAGTACTTGTGTACTCGGCGGACAACATTTTGCGCTTGGTGTCAACAAAGAGCGACGGTACTAGGGGCGACCCTGAGCATGTTCGGGTTCTTGCGGAGTGCACGGTCGACGAAGCTTTGAATGGGGAAGACCAGTTCTCGCTCCGCGTCGCGTCTCACAAGCACGCCCGCAAAGTCGTGATCGGCGCCAAGCAGCTGTTTCTGTTCGAGGTCCGGGAAGCGCATGAAATGGTAAATCATCGGTCTGGGAACACGAATTTGGCCAAGGTTTTACGGGCCAGGAGGGAAATCGTCACCACGCACACGGACCTGCTGCCATCCCACATCGCGCTCACGGAAACCTCGCTCTATGTTTGCTACACGCTGCTCGGAGATAGGACGGTATTTCTTACGTTTCTTGTAGCTTTTTTTTGTAAGAATTAGTGAGGCCTTTGCTGCTTTCAAACTGTTATTTGTGTCCACCTTATTTGATATTGGGGATCGGCCTCCTCCTAAATCAGAAAATGATACACGACTTGCAGGACGAGATTCTTCATGTAGACGCTTTTCCGGTGCAGGACCACGTAGACCTCGAGGACAGCGACGTTGTACACCCGGTCCGGTCCTGGACCCACTCGGACGACGCCGATTTCCGGGAGGAGGCGGAAGCCGTTGCCTACGCCGAATCGCCCGCGTTCCAGCAGTTCTTCGAGCAAGTGACTTCATTCCAAAGTGGTAACGAACCCGCGCAGCTGGCCGTGGGGGCGTCTGCGACCGAGTTCGTGCAGTTGTGGTGGGCGAGAAGAATTCTGAAACGAAATCGCTTTACCAGAAGCACGGTCGCGGAAGTGCTCCGGGACATGAAGTACGAGTCAAGCCGAGGGTTCAGCACCGGGAGCATGTCACCACCGGTACAGTGATGTGGTTATGTGTCTTACAACGTGAATGAAAGCGATCATAGTGAAGTGAGTATGCATTGATTCCGGCATGAAGCAACTTTCCAACAAATGCATTTCAGGTGGACGACTTTTCGTACGATGGTGGTCTCTCCCTCACCGCTGAGTCACTGGCTGCGTCCCTGCGACGCCTGCAAGAAAACTCGCGACAAGGGCAGCTGACGTTCTCCGAGGTTGCTTTTGAGTTCATCGAGAAGTGCCGGGATTACGAGCGGAGCGGAAACACTACCCTCTCACTGACTCGTGTCCGCGCTTACAGGAGGGAGTGCGGGCAACACCACCGACTCCAGACGCATTTTGAGCCTGTGGCTCGGCTGACAGCAGCAGGCGTCTCGTTGTTGCGGCCCGTCGCGGACGAAGCGCTGCAGCAAGTCTGGACCACTTGCTCCACTTTCACGGCGCTTGGCGACAAGAAATTCTACGCGTGCGAGGACGGCACACGTATGGGCGATTTGTCTCCCGGGGAAATGACCGGGGAGCGGGTGAGTCCCTGCTTGGTGCGCATGCTTCGGGCGGCGTTTGAACTCGCAGCATTCCTCAGGAAGCCGGAAACGCAGCCGGCGCTGGGCCTGCAGTTGTCCACAATAGCGTGCCTGCGACCGCAGTACCTGGGGTCATTCCTCCAAGGGCTAAGGGACACGAATCTTCCCGAAGCAGCAGCAGCGGCCGTGAAAAAATCACTGGAAGGTATTTGACCACTTCGAAAAAGAGCCACTTCATGTTCATTCCCACTTGCAAGTAGATATGATGAGCTACATGGTGTTTTAATGTCTGGACTTCAGAGTGCCTCCAAAGGGAACAATGAAGAGCCAACACATAAAAGTAGATAGGGATAGCTGAAACTGCGAATTCACGACTGTACTAGTACCTTGTGTAGTCAAGAACGTCGAACGAAGTGATGAACCACCTGTGAATATGTCTGGACTTCTGAGCCTGTTTGGCACTGAAGAGACAGCACATAAATTGTAGATAGGGATAGCTGATATTTCTTGCTAGGCACGTAATACAGAAACATGTACACGCTCCTCTCCCTCGCTTTGTCGCGGTTTTGCGTCCGACAGGATGAATATGCATCGTCCTGAACGAAACTACTTTACGGTGCAACATTAACTATACAGAAATCGGCAACGTCGAAGAAGCCTGTGGGGAGTTACTTCGTCTGCTGCACCAGTCTGCAAACAATCCCGCTGTGCCCCAACCAGGGAACGCGACACGGCTACTCCCGCTGCGCCAGAATCCTCCGATGTCTTTTGCCCTGGGCGAGTGGCTGCAGGGGAGCATCGCGACCGCGGAGTTGGAAGTGACGACGGACCTGATGACCAGTGTCCTTTTGTGGATGTACTACCACCAGTTCCCTTCTATCGGCGGCATGCATCTCGAAGATGACGACAATTTGATGGGGGGCGACCAGGCAGCAGCGAGGGTGCGGCAATACTTGGAGCAGCAAGCCCCGTTCCAGCAGACGGTACAGCACTGCCTGGCCGAGCAGAGCGGAGCGACTCCGCCGGCACAGATGGGGAAGCCGTTCACGCTTCTCGATGAGTTTCTCTCGCTGAAGCATCTGCAAGCCGGGGCGACGGATATAATCATGTATGGAAACAAGAACAGCAACAGTCCCAGCAGGAGCCGGCCGTCAAATAGAGCTCAGCGGCCCATCTTCCAAAGATCGCCGCCGGGGTGTGGCTACGAAAGTCTGAACGCTGGCGTCTTACTAGCTCGCGCGGCGGTAAGCGCGGTGAAGACGTCGGTGCGAAGTGAGGGGGCGCAGGCACAGACGAGGTCGCTGTTTGACCAAATTGTGAACTACACGAGCACTCTGCCGCTGCCACCAGACGCCCCGCGCGTGCCCTCCTCCTACTTCCAGGGCCGCGCCGTGCTCGAGGGTGCTGTCGCGGTGGGTGCGGACGATGCTTTGGAGCTGGAAACGGCCGCGAGCGGCTTGTTTCAGACCGACGCGGAGAGCGGTTGCGTACATAACAACGGCATGTGGGCGGCAGTTCAGCAGGAGAATCCGAGCTGGGAGGCTTTGCTGGAGAGAACCGACAAATTGCTGATAGAAACAACTTCCTCGACCGCAACGAGTCCCGCCTTTGCTCCCGTCACCCCCTTGTTAAATTATTTTCTCCACGTCGCACAACTTTTTCTTGACTGCAACGAAATCCTGCACGCTTTGGATTTCATCACGAAGGCCGCAGAGCAAGCCGAGGACTGTTGCGAACAGGCGTTTCACGACGCCGCGGCGCAGCTCCAGAATAGTGCGGACGGGGATCAAGAAGATGAAGAAGCAAAGCAGCACCGGGCGGCGGCCTCAGCCTCCGTGCTCGACGCGCTGGAAACCCTCGCGGGCCAGTGGTCCCTGCTTCCGTTCGACTTCACGCTCGAATACGGTTTATGGCAGGACGCGTTCTCCGTGTTGATCCGGCGCAAAAACACTTCCGAGTCCCCGGAAAACGCGAAGCTGGCGGAAAAACTTGCGCTCTCCCTGATGAACAAGGGCGCTTTGGATTATTTGATCGAGTGGCTTCCCGACATGCCGGACTTCTACCAGGACGTGATTGAGAAGGTTCTCATACGCCACGAGCAGCACGACATCCTGTACACGCTCTACCTCTCGCAGGGACGGTATCTGCAGGCCGCGTACGAGGCATTAACGTACATCCAAGCGCTGGAGAGAGAGGCAACCGAGAATCTGGTCAACGTCGCGCAAGAAGAACTGGACGTCGAAGACGTGATGAGTCCGACGGTGTTGGGTTTCGAAGGGGACGAGAACACCCGAGCAGGGTCGCTTGGTCTGCTCGAGCAAGGAGCAAATTCGGTTCCAGCGCAGAATCTCGGTCTCGGGCGACCGTTAGTTTACACGGAGTTCATGGGCACTTTCGCAACGTCCGATTCCAGAATAGCAGCGAAGATGATGCAGCATAATTCATCCACGAAGAACCCGCAACATGATGCAGATCTTGTTGCCAAAGCGCGGCTGCTCGACAGGTTTTTGCGCGGCGCTGTGCCGGCGGATTTGCTGAAACAGCAGCAAAGGTCCATTTCCCGTGCGCTCATCGTGCTTCCGGAGTCTGGCTACGCACACGTGGACGTATCCCAAAGAACCGACGCGAAAGCACGTGTTCAGCACGGGTCAAAGGAGAAACGCGACGAAGCGTTACTCGCGGAAATCGTAGGTAGTGCTACCATTTCATCACCCGAACAACAACCCCTGTCGGAAGAGCAACAGCACGAGTTTGAGGAGATAAAACTCACCGAAGACGTGAAAATACTCTTCGACGAGGCGGAAAAACAGGCGGCTGAGACAGTGGTTACGGCGAAGGACTTGCACCGGTGGCGTTTGGTGCTAAAAGCGCGGCACTTCTTCGCGACCTGCCCGCTGCCTACTGTTGGGTACGATCAAGAGTTAGACGCGCAAGTCATCGAGGAAATCCAGAGCACGAGGGAGTTGAGACAAGACACGCACAGCTCCTTTTCCTCCGTCCTACCGCTTCTGCACGATCCGCGGTATTTGAGCGTGAAGCTCGCGCAGCAGGGCCTGGGAGTTGACGCGGTCAAGCTTTGCAAAAAGTTCGACGGAGTGGACATTTTCAAGTTCGCAATCAAACCTTTCTTGACCGTGGTGGTCCGGTGCGAGCGAGCGGAAAAGAGCCTGGTGACGACAAAACGATTCTTCTCGCAGCGAAGCCAAAACGACCAGCGGGTAAAACAGCAAGGACCGGACAATCTGACCGAGTTACTAGTGAAGCAGAACCGCGCGCGGGGCTGCTTGAGCGGTATGTTCCTGCACCACGATGGGCTGCAGTCCACGAAGCCGGCGACCCTGCAGAAGCACGGCGTGCTGAACCACATGAAATACACAACGAAAGCGCTGTGGCGGACAGCAGAGCAGCTGATCGTCAGCACCGGCACGGCGCTGGAAGCGTCGGACTACCTCGTTTCCATCGGGGTGTACCCCTTGCCAGCGACGATCATGCAGTTCTTCCTGAAGTCCGAATACCAGAAAGATGTCAACCGCGCACCGGGCATGTTTTCCGAAGTGGAAAGAGATCAATTCTTCAGCGCCGACGCCAAGTCGCCCAGGAAAGTCCTGCAACTGGGCGAAAACAAAATGACGCTGGGAGGAGGTGGGAGCTCTGGTTCCGCTGCGCCGTTTGTGGATGGACAAGAGGAGAAAACTGGCGACTTGACGAGCATGGAAGTAGAAGGAGACGAGGACGAAGTCGATGCAACAGCCCGTTGGACCGACTTGCTCCGCATATTCCTCTACTACCAGCGATACGACGGAGTTCTGGAGCTGCTCGAAAAGAAGGTGAGTACCTAAGTAGATTTTAGCAAGCAGTTTTTCATCGATTCTCTATCTTATCACATTGTTCGTTGCTTTGTGCTTGCATTGCTCGACGCACGATGCGCTGATCGAAACGCTGACACTTTTATCTCCCATCTTCGATGAACAACAGGTTGAAAGGCGAGGCATCGCAGGCTTAGACGACGCGGAGTCGGTTCCAGTCGATTTGATTTTGCAGTGCAAACGCTCGCTGCAGCAACTCGTTGTGGACCAGGATACGACTCACCGCTTGGAAGACATCCAGGACTACATCGAGAGATTGGATACCATCCTTGCGGATTTCAGGACCGACTGAGGGTGGACCATATTGCCTCCGTTGTAGAAACTGCGCAAGTTCCTCCAGCCCTGCACTTCTTCGCATAAGATTTGGGTGGTTGTAGTATCATGTATACAAAAAGAACAAAAACGACAAAAGGAAAGAAAGTACTAGAATCAAGGGACGAAGACGCGTCGTCCTTGCTCACTCAGGCGAGTCATTCCAAGATTTTTTCCCGTCGCAGGATAATTGTTCTCGTCGTCTGCCCGAATTAAGGAAATAGCATACATCAGGAAGAAAATCCTTGGTTTTGACTGTACCTTGTAACGCAATGTTCGGGATCGATGGACCTATGACCAAGAAAGTATGAACCTACTGTCGTGATCGTGGGACGGGTCTGCATCCTGATCGCATCTAGACTGTCGTGATCGTTGAGTAGCAATGGTTTGACAATTCGCTATCGCAATCGCATGTTGAAACATCGTCGTGGTTTGGTGAAGTCTCCACAACGAGCTCTAAAGCCAATCTACAGGTCCCACAAGCACCTCCAAATGACTGAATTCAGAACAATACCTTGGCTATCGCTTTTGAATGTGATTGCCGATAGACACAGACACCGCAGCTTGAAATTAGTACCATAAAGTTCTTAAAAAGCGTTTTTTGTTTGAAGAAAGCGGTTACTACGTACGTGATTCAACTGCATTATTGCACCAGAAACACGCACCCCTTTTCCTTTTGAAACTGCTCTTTCTCTATCCATTTCTTTCGTCTCGTTTCGCGCGATAAGCATACAGACAAGATGCCGACCCCGTTATTGTAAGGAAAAATCCCCCCTCCCCATATCGAAAACGAAATTTCTGATGCTGTATTTGAGGTCACAAATCGACTTGTAATGCTAGAAGGCCAAGAGCCGCAGTCGTGGCCTCGTTTGCAGGCAATTTGTCGTGCTGTTTCCCGCTCTCAGCTGCCTCCTATCATGCTGAAGATGCAAGGCTTGACCACGGCGCCCAGCACTACAGTCCGCATCTTTTCCCGTGTAGCATGACAAAGCTGATTTGTGACAACAAATCTGCATCACAGATTTCCGTTTTGATATGGGGAGGGGGGATTTTTCCTTTTGATACCCGTACTTCAAGTTCACCCGGTTTTGGCAGACCATCGACCCGGTCATTGCCAATGTGCAAATTCCAAAAGAGGTGCGGATCGAAAACCGACGACTCGGTACGCTGTACCTGTTTTTGATGCTCGGAGCCAGCACCTGGGTGCTGTACAATTTCATCTATTCCAAAGCATGGAACATGGAAGAAACCCCGGTGCCGGGTATCATCGAGCTCTGGTCACAGTTGCCCTCAAACCTCACGGGGAACTCCGCAAATGAAAAGCACTGCGCCGACATGAACTACTACGCTTATGATTGGTCGTCCACCTGGACCTACCGGGCAGAAAAGTGCATGATTTTGCCGCCCGGCGAAAACGTGCACAAGATGGGCAACAAAATGTACATCCCCACCTACGTCCAGGACAGCTATCAGGTTCCAAATGAATGTTGTTTCTTGCTCATTCTCATTTTTCACTAAAAGATAGATGTGTTGGGCAGGCATCTGATGTGATTCTATTCTAGTAGCCTACAAGGACCTGCATGGCTTCGATTAAAGGATTTCTTTTTGAAAGCTTGTGAGAGCGCAAACCTAACTACTGCACACGACAGGTCGGTGGCTCAACGAATTGGACCTTGAATTATTTTGCGCAAAACGTCGATGAGATGTTTATTTACTTCAACCACGGTTACGAAGTGCACGACAAGGATGAAGTGAACCGCGGGCGGGACAAGTTCCAGGCGACGAAGGGAATCGTCGGGGAGCAGGCCGAAACGATTCACGGCGAGAAGGGGCAGCTGCTGACGATAATCCAGGACGAGGGTGGGAAGCGGGAGTGTATCGTTTCCGGGAAATCGCATTGGTACCCGAAGGACACGAAGAACGGGATTAACGGGAAGCTCAGGGAGTGGCTGGCCTGCGGCGGCGTTTCCCTGGACAGCGTCAACAACGACGTGAAAAGCGGGTCACCGGAAGAAACGGGAATCCCGACATTTCGGATGTCCGGCTTGAAGCTGCACTTCGATTTGACCTACCACAACACGTACGGCGGTTCGTGGGAGACGCACCGCGAGAAGGACTGGGAGGGGGTCGTCTGCTACATCCGGGTGCGCGTCGGCCCCATGTGGAACAGCAACCAGTACGCTAGCCACACCGTCGTGTACAATGGCGTGTACCCGAACACCAACGACCCGGCAAAAGCCGACCCGCAGTCCGCTTACCGCTACCGCTACCAATACGGTGTGGGTTTGGAAATTCAAGCCGCCGGGGCGTTTGCCTTCCTGGACTACCAGGCGCTCATCACCGGGTTGGTCAACGCACTCGTGCTGCTGGCGTTGCCGACCTTGGTCGTGAAGTTCGTCGCCTTGTATCTCGTCGGTCCGTCTTCCACGGTGTACGCCAATGTGCAACGGGAGCCGCTGGACTTCAACACGGCCATTTACGGGTCCTGCGCGCGGAAAATCATCGCCATGCAGACGTTCAAACAGTTGCTGCAGCAGCACGGCGCGACGGAGGAGGGTTTGACCAAGGAGCACTTGCGCAACATGCTGCTGAAGGCCATGCACCAGTGCGTGGTCGACGGCAAACTGGACGAGGAGGCCATCGGGTTGATCGCCGAGGCGATGTTGCAGGGCATGGATCAAGACGGGGACGCGCTGATAGAGCTGAACGAGTTTGTCGAGACCTGCAGCGTTGGGGAAAACGTCACCTCGACGGAAATGGGCCGACTGTTTGACCGCAAGCGGCAGCCGGGTTATCTCGAAAGTCTGTTAACCGACTCGAAAATGAAGGCCATGCTGGCCCACGCGCAGGGGAAGGGGGCCGGGGAGAGCATTTACGCCAAAAAGAAGCGGTCGTCTAGAAGTCGGGGCAGCTCGCCGGGGGGTGGTTCTGCTCGGAGCAGCAGCCCACCGGCGGCGGGGAAGGCGGCGATTCTGGCGGAGGGCGAGGAGGCACTGCGGGCAACGGCGGTACCGTACCCCTCAGAAGGCTTCGATACGGCACACGAACTTGAATTCGCAGATGTCGTGTCTTCAAGGGGCTGAAGACGAACAAGTTGTTTTTCTGTACTTCGTCGAGTTGATTTGGTAGATTTCAGAATGGAGACAGGAACTCAAAGTAAAGAGCGATACGATAGTAAATTACTTCCGGACCACCCTCTCGTGTAGAAATTGGAGTTTGAATTCGAGCAGTGTCACTATGCCGAAAGAAGTACAAAATTGATTACAAGATTGTTGATATTTCATTGTACAGAAAAGTAGCAGCCACAGCACTTTTTGTTTCTTGCGAAGATTTTCTTCTGACGACAACGAATATGTAAATAAATCGGACACTTGATGCGATGAAAGGTAAGGTTTTCCAGCTCCTGCTTAGATAGAAGTTGAGCACACTAGTCACCGTGGGGTGAACGATGAGTTTGTGCAAGTGACAGTGTTTCCTGAAATGCTCGGCCGTTCTTCGTAGCGGAGACTAGACTAAGTACATCAATACCTGTGTTGGCTTTCAACAGGGTTAGCCTTACCAGATCCACTTTTTTGAACTAGGCAAAGATCACGTCATGCACGATCACATTGGCTGTGGTTTGTCATTGTCTTTATGGTGATCGGGGGACAAACTATCTCTATCAACAGCAGCATATTGGCGGTCGTTCCTTTGTTGTGTCTTTCGTGATCCCATACTTGTTCTTGTGCGTTTTGCATCCGGACAGCAGTATTTTTGCAATCGCAACAAGGTTGATCCTAATGAGATGGATCGTTGACCCGTTCTCTTTTAAACCCTTTACTGGGTAACATCATCATCATCAGATCAACCATGGATTACATGTTAATATGTGAGTATTACATGTGAAAAGCGACCCGCACAGATGGAAAACATTGGAGTAGGGAATTTCCCCGAAGCTGCCAAGTTTCTCATCCCCGGTGCTCGATGTTGCTAGTGCTACGGTACAGTCACAATATAATATTTGAAGGAGTGTGTATCTGTCTCGTCTGTTGAATCTGACAACGGAGGTAGTGCTGCTGCGGAAAGTAAGATGAAGAACTCAGTACGAACCAGATATCGGCCACTTCACAGTGGCTCAGCTGCGTTAAAGACCAGAACGCACTCACTTTTGGTCGGAAGTCAGCACAGCAAGTTGGAGCAACGACTCACGCCATCATCTCTCTGGACGGCAAAGCGATTTCAGAGCAAGGTCGGGTTTGCACTGCCGGCAGATTTCGACTTCAACGAGGCTACCGCAGATGTGCAGGAGTATGCACAAAATTCACCTTCGGGCGATCGGCTTTCACGTCCAGAAGTACCCGACCGAGCTCCGCTGGACACGGGTACAGCAGATAATGCAGTACTTGGCAGAAAGGATAAGGACGACCACAAGAGTCGGCGAGTTTTTCAATCGACACGGACAGGGGCGTCAACTACGCCTGCTGCTTGTGCAACCGATATCGAAAAAGATATCAATCGCGAGGAAGTAGTACCAGAATCACGAGCTGCGCCCGATGAAGTAGCTGCTGAAACTCACGAGGACGGGAAGGTCGAGGACGTGGAGCAATTGAAGGAGGAAGTTCGTACCTTGTTCAAAAACTTGCGCGGTCAGGCTCTTGACAAGCTGGAGGACTTTTCGCCGGTCCACCTTTTTTCGCTCGCCTGGGCCTTTTCCACCGCGAGAATTCTCGATGATGAGCTGTACAACCGGTTGTCTCAGCGGGCGCTGCTGCTCGCGCTCGAAATGGACGAAAAGTGGTTACCGGGGGTGTTTTTGCCGGGAAAGAAGGCGGGTGAGCACGTGGCATCTGCATCTACGTCGCAAGTACCAAAGTCGCAGCTTCTAGCTGGATGCGAAGAAACAAGCGAAGCTGCAGCGTGCCAGGACGAGACGCATGTCGTAAACAAACACATAAACACTTTCGACCGAGTTGCAGATGCCGCGGCGCTCTACCACCGGCACGATGACAAGACTGTCGTAAACCAAAACTTCGGGGACTGGCACGGGACAAAGATGACCATCGTGAAGGAGTCGCCGCACTGGATCGCGCTGCACAAAACCATCAAGTGGGTGGTCAACCAGCAAGGGGACGGGAGTGCGGCGGACGACACGGATTTGGCGGACGCGGAACAGGCAGAGATGCTGAATCAGAACGAAGCTGCACAGGATGGTACGGCAGCAGGCACCGCTCTAGTCAGGCCGAAATCCAAGGCCCCGTCAGTCCATCACTGGGTGCGGAAAAAATACGGGTACGCATACCCGATTTGCAACCGTGCGGACTTCTCCTACGGAATTCTGCACCGCTTAGACCACGAGACGTCCGGCGCTTTGCTCTGTGCGAAAACCTGGCTCGCCTACTACTGGCTGCGGCTGCAGTGGTGTGCCGTGAAGGTGCGGAAGCAGTACGTGGTTTTGTGCCACGGCCACGTCAATCGGAATGTGAAGGAATGCAAGGGGCGGATCAAGGTTTTGAAGCGCATCGTCGGCGGAAAAAAGACCTGTCTTGCCAGCATTGAGAAGACCGGAAAGCCGGCGAAAACGGGGATTGATGTGCTCGGGCACTTCTGGCTCCCGCGACCGAGAAGCAGCAGAAACTTTGTTCCGGCCGGGATGAGAAGTCCTGTCTTGCAGGTGACCGACAGTCTGCAGCCGGGACGACAAATCGTAAATGATGCAGGGGACGGTACAGGCACTGGAGGTTTCGACGTCGAGGAAGATCATGACAACTGTGCAGACGAAGTAGAAAACGGAGAAATAAACACGACGAATATGATGCCTGTGTCGCTCGTTCGCTGCCGGCTGTTCACGGGGCGAACCCACCAGATCAGGGTTCACCTGTCGAAGGAGTTGAACCACCCGATCTTTGGCGATAAGAAGTACAGCTCGAGCGAACGACTGAACGAAGACAACGCACTTTGGAAAGAGACTTTGTACAAGCCAAAAATCTCTTCCACCCCTGCTGTTGTGTCGGAGGAAATTGCGGAAAGTGAAGAACTACCAGGGAAATCTTTCTCCACCGACCCTCAAGAGGAACTGAAACGTGTCGAGAGTACTGCCTTTGCAGACGCGCAAGTAACAGGCAGTCGCGACGAGCAGCAACAAGGCGCGAAGAAAGACCCATCGGTGGAGCAGACCCGGTGGTGGGGAAGGATGTTCTTGCACACACACAGCCTGGAATTTGACGACGTCCCGAGGATAGACGAAACAACCGGAAAAACTGTCTGCGATCGCCAAGAAGTGTACGTGCCGGTCTCCGCAGAGTTGCAAGCGTTGCTGCGTCGAGCGAAACCAGTGGCAGAAGCAGATGAAAACGCGTTGGCAGGATGGATTGAAACAGACGTACCTCCGTGAATGAGTTTTACTGGCAAATATTCTCAGATCTTGGCCGAGGGCTTTTGCGGGAACGCACTACACTAGAAAAAATAACGATCCAAATCTGGTCCTGGTCAGAAAAGAAGAAGAACCAACGACAAAAGCAGTCATTTGGTACTAGAGTGGATCGTGCTAGTTTTGTTCGGCTCCTAGTTGCTCGTTCATGCTCTCTGCCTATTTTGAAGGTCCTGAAATATGTTCTTGAGCTGGAGGTAGAATTTTTCGGGATGAATTCTGCAGTGAAAGTAGTTGTGCCAGATGAGAGCAGGACGTTGTAGCACTTAAGTACACGGCACTACCAGCTTAGATAGAAAGTAGAAGTGTCCATCTGTTCGTTCGAGCACACAGTAGCTCCCATAACAATGAGCGCCGAGGAACAAGGCGAAATTGCAGCTGTCGTGGCGGCGGAACACGAACAAAGCGACTCCGAGCCGCGCCAAGCCGTTTGCTGGCGCCTTGTGGATTTTGGCGAAGAGAAGGGCAAGGGCATGCGCGCGACTCGTGCGATTTCGCGCGGTGAGCTTCTCTATTCCGACCCGGCTTTGCCTCTGTTCATTCAGACCGAAGGGTGCGCACGCGAAATTGACGAGGCCATGGGCTTTCAGCAAGATAGCTCCTCCGATGATGATTCCGACGCGGAGTCAGACTACTCTACTGACGATAGGGACGATGCTAATAATGAAGAAGAACAACTCGAAGATTGGTGGCGCCGCCGCGTCACGCGGTCCGAGCTCGACTTATTTGCGCAAGCCTTTCCGATGAATTGCAGTGACAAGATGCCGCCCAGCATGCGGATGATGCGGAAATACAATTTTGTTCGGAAGCAGTTTGCCCATTTGCGCCAGGGACTACTCGATGAGGTGAGGGTGAATCCCACCGAGCGGCAGAAGTTTCTGGACGCTCACGATTCGTTCGCGCACGTGCTGGGCCGACAGACGGTGCTGGGGACTTGGCAGACCAACGCGATGGCGATTTCGCCGGATCAGTCGGATTTCCTGCCGAAGGGCGCTATGCCGGCGGTCATGTGTCCTCTGGTGGCACGACTGAACCACAGTTGCAGCCCCAACGTGCTACATCACTGGGACGCTGCAAAGAAGGAAATGCGGGTGGTGGCAGCTCGGGACATTGAGCCGGGGGACGAATTGTGCACGAGCTACTGCGAACTGCGTCAAACGAAGGAGGACCGACAGGATTTTCTGCGCGAGTTCTACGGCTTCACCTGCGCCTGTTCATCGTGCTCATTGGACAGCTCTGACGAAGAGGCATTGAACGGCGGCGCGGGAGAACTCAGCGACATTCGGCGGGAAAGAATACAGGAGCTCTCGGCGCAGGTGTTTGCGGACGAAAACGAAATGTGTGGAAGAGGACCTGCCCACAATACTAGACGACCAGCAGCCGCGCATCAGCGCTCAACGGAAAGGGCCGTGACGGAGCTGATTCGGCTGCTAAAGGAGGAAGCATTGTTCTGTCCAGTGTTCGAATACAGATGCAACTCTGCGCTTTTTGAATCGGCGGTGCGGCACAAGGATCGTGAGCAGGCGTTTCTCATCGCAGAGAAGTGCGCAAAGGCGCTGGGGAGCTATATGGGATCGGATGAGACGGAGGTGCGGATATGGAGAAGGCGTGCGATTGACGAAGAGTATCTGGTCCAGCATCCATTGTGGGGGCAGAAAAAAGAGAGGCAGAGCAAAACGACACGAGAAAGTGGATCCTTTGAGGAATCGTCCAGGAGGGGGCGCAAAAAGGACTATGGCCGGCGTACGAAGGGGAATGATAGACTGTGAGTGTGCGTGACCACGTGTACTGCAAAGGGCGACCATCATAAATAAAATGAACTTTTGCTTTCGACGACGGCGACCAAGCGACAGACAACGTTGTGTCAATGGGCAAGGCCAAGATCATATGTTTCGCGCTACAGAAAACGACTCAACCGCTAGTGTAAAGCTTTTTCGCATGACTCTCGTGAAGCAGTGCCTATTGCTGAATCCTATAACGAATCCGTTGTTCGGTCAGTCAAGAAGTGTTGGCTTCAACTTTCTCAGCTGCGCATCAGTCAGTCGCATCCTCAATAATCCAAGTTCGTAATAGAAGCAATCGGTACATTCGCCCTTAGTATAGCAGCTTGTGAGTTGTGCTAGTCGGTAAAAAACAGGTAGAATTAAAAATGTATGACGTGAAGAGACTTGACTCGTGAAGATGCTGATGTTGTTCTCGGTCTCGGCACAGATACGACATCGAGTCGGTTGTGATTGGAATTCGTACGAAAAAAACAGAAACTTTCGGTCGTATGATGTCGTTTCGTAGACATAGTCGTAGCGTCAAAATTCAACACTTCGGCCTGGCTCAGGCTCTCGTGCGCAAGTTTGTCGTTCCTGTTGCTTCTTCGAGAAAGAAGCTTTCGTCTCGTTTGGTTTCGTCAACTACTACGCTAGGACTTAAGAATAGACCGGCTGATGCTCAATACGCGGCTTATCTCCTGTAGAAACTCGACGAATACAACCAGGAATTTATCCCACTCCATTTTATCCCCTTTCGAACGAATTTCACGCAGTACTTCTCGTTTATTTACGGTTTGTACCTGTAGTACTGTTCACGACTGAATGAAAACTGTCAGTTCTCAGACACTATGGAAAATACCGCCCCTGGGGAGAAGAAGGAAGCGCAACTCGCCGAGCCGCTTCTGACCGCTGCCGTTGACCCAGCCACGTTACAACTGCAACAACAGCAATTGCTGCAGCAACAGCAACTGTTCCAGCAACCCCCAGCAGCGAGCGCGTATACTCCGCTTGCAACTACAGCCAACCCAGCCCAATTCCTTCCGCAACCCGAGGGAGAGGCACCTCCTCCCAACGTGGTAAGCGAGGGCGAAAAGCAAGTTCTCTCAGTTCCGGTTCTTCCAACGAAGTTCCTGGTCACCCCGACCGTACCTCCGACTGCAGCCGACGTGACTACAACTGGTCCTGTAGCAGCTGCGCCACAAATTACGTCAAGTCCGGCTGCTCCGGCACCTCCTGCAGTTCCAACCTACGCGACCGACCCAGCCAGTGCGCTGCCTGGCGTCCAAGCTGCACCGGTATCGCCGGACTACTTTCACCAGGCACAGCCCATCGGGTTCAGAGTCACTAAAGGCAGCGTAAGTGGCGCGACCACCCCGAGAGCCGGGTTTTCCGTGGATTCCCCCTTCACCCTTGCGGTTCCCTCGCTAGACGTTCGCACCGGCGGGGCACTGGTGCGTCAAGTTCAAGGCGTCATAGAACCGCACTGGGCACTGGATCTACCGATCCTGACATGTATTGAATGTTACCTGATCTTTTTGGTTCAGAGGATGCCATTGTCAGTGAATTTATATATGCAAGTAGTGGACTTAGCGTTAGGCGGTAGCTGACGAGCTCGATCACTAACGCATACGCAAAATGTCGCAAAAGGTTTTTTCTTGTAAACATCATCGAAAAATAATCAAACTGTTCTATCACAGCACGTCGTCGCAGCAGATCTCGAAGTCTCGGTAAGGAGGTTAGTGTGAGCAAGAGTCCCAGCACCGTCGGAATGCAACCAGACGGACGCGACCTTGGGCAAACCGAAAGAGACCTTGTGCGTGCGAGAAATCTCGCGCAGTTTTTCCTCGCCGAGCGCAACGGTATTTTGGCGGAAAGGAACGAGCCGGTGCCTGATTTCTTCCAGCGCGGCCCCTACTCCGCTCGCAGCGCCCAGCCCGGAGGCATGTACAACTACGGCTTGAACCCTAGACTTTACAGCCCACCGGTGCCGCTGCCGGCACAGGCGGACCCGATGGTGGGGCTAAAGACGGCACAGGACTACTACACCGCCTACCAGCCGCTAGGGCTTCCCCCGTCTCCCCCGGTCGCCGGTATGATGCAACCGGCGCCACAGATGGGACAAGCACAAGCCGCACCACAACCCGTGGCCGCACCTACACCCGACGTTGCAGTTGCGAGTTCGAGTGCTGTTCCCGCCGTTTCATCACAAGACATGCCCGGTAGCAGCGGACAAGCACCCGCGATGGGTATGGACGTCGCAAGTGCCACACCGTACATGAATATAAATAATCTCCCAGCACCAGCAGCTCCTGCGGATCAGGCGAAACTTCCCGATCCGCGCGCGACGCAGCAGATCGGATTCAATCCGCTTCCCGTAGCGCAGCAGATGCCGCCGCAGTACTATCCCCCCGTCGCGGCGTACCAATACCCGCAGATGTCGCCCCCCCAAGCCAACATGCTTCAGCAGCAGCAGGGGTACGCACCGCCGTCGGCCCCCATGTTCGCGAAGACCTCCATGCAGCAACCACTCATGCAGCAGCAGCCGCAGCAGGCCGCGCAAGCCACAGCCAAAGCGCTCAAGACCGGTCCCCCGCCGGCGCCGCCAGGCAGTGTGGAGATGACGGAACCCAAGACGGCGGAGGGCGCGGTCGAGAAGAAGCACGCGAAAAAGAAAGCCAACGTGCACGCGGTTCCCGGCAAGGGCCGTGGGGGCGCGCTGGGCGCGCTGATGATGGTCGCTTCGGTAGTTGCCGCGGAAGAGGACGACGAGGACGACGGGCAGCCCAAGCAGTCGTTTATGGAATTGATGGAGACGATCGAGCTGCCCTTCATCATCCGGGTACCGCTGAACTACATCATCTTGCCCATCGTCGACGCGTTGTTGTGGATATCCTGTGCAAAAGTATCGTACTCGTATTGTCATCATGCATTACAAATCCTGTTCTTAAGGCAAATTAGCATTGCAAATTTTAATTCTCATGCTGAGGAAATTTGTAATGCATTTATACGAGTGCGATACATACTTTTGCACTGCATAGTGGATTTGGTTCACGATTTTATGGCGCATCATCAAGTTGATCCTGATCGGCCCCTGCTGGCTGATCTACCACGGGGTTTGCTTTTGCCTCGGCGGAGGCGACGAGCTGATTTACTGCGTGTACGGGGTCGCCTTAGCGTTTTTTGGCGGGCAGTACCACACCGCAACCGCCGCGATTGCCGCGTTCAACATGGGCGGGGGCGGCGAGATTTTGGAACACTTCGCTGCGATCCGCGACAACATCAAGTGGATCGCGCGGCAGACTACGATGGACGACGAGGAGGACCTGGATGGGGACGGGGTCGCGGACGTGCACCAAATCTCCAACCGGGAGTTCGTGAAGCGGAAAATTCTCCTCTTCCTCGAGCACTGCGAACCCGGGCGGCTCACCGACGCGATCATGGCCACGTACGGAGGTACGGTGGGCGTGTTGCTTACCGTCAACTGCGCGGCCGCCGCTTTCACTAGTCTCGGCGTGTCTATGGCCATGCTCTCGGGAAAAATCGCCGCCTACACACTAACGCCACTCATCCTCAAGTGGATGCAGGGAAGATACAAGTACATAACTTAACATTATTATCTTGGGAGTGCTGGAGTCTCTGCTGACAGTACTAACGTGCACAACTGTATTTATTTGTATTGAGCAGAAGATGCTGAAGAAATAAGAATAGTTGTTTTGTTCTGACGGTAAAATCAAAAAAAAAATTGCAAAAAAAATCACAAATACTCTGAAACAGGCAATGGGTGCACACGTTCGTGAATTACATCACGATTTTCGTCTGCCTGTTCCTCGCGTTCTACTTCCAGGAAGTGACGTACCGACTGCAGTCCGCGCTGAACGGGGGGTGCATTTTCGCCGAGAGCGCGCTGTGCTGGTACTACCGGGCGGTGAAGCCGGATCCGGATTTCGATCTCGACACCACCATGCTGGACGAATACATCGGCTGGTCGCTGGCCGCGGTCGGGTTGGTGTTCCAAGTTTCCGACCACACGCACACACTGGAATGGCCCTACAACATCTTCGTCACCCCTTTGTTGTTCGTTACCTGGTTGGTCAACTACCTGGCCGGCGTTCTGCTGGGCTGAGTGGAAGACTCCAGACACAGACGGATGCTTCTACTTTTAGTTCTTCAGCCTTGCTAGGTAGCCCCAACTCGAAGATTTTTGTATGAATTATCTGCAGTTGTAACAGCTATTTGCGTTATTATGGATTTACTTACTACCACACCCTCCTCTGTTTCGTGTCAGAATGAGTATGGCTGCATTTTTTATTATTTTGCAGTTCGCAGCGGGGTCCGCAATTGCAATTCGAATTCCAATTTGTTTCCTTTTATTCCACACGTGTTTCATAGAGAATGTATCTGTTGGTTACAATACCCCATCTTTCGCCTAAGATCGTCGGCCGCTTTTCTAACCTAGTCGATTTTATATGTTCCAATCTACTTCTGCTGGCACTGGCAGCAATAGCATGTGAACATACTAACGCAGTGGCAGACGAAGAGGCTTCACTCCTATATGATGCGCACACAGAATCTGGAACCCACTGTTTAGATGAATGTATCATGAGTGAGAATTTCATTTTGTTTTTGACGACCTATGCAGTGTGGCCCTTCACGTTCAGCTTCAGTAGTAAATGCACGAGCCACTCTCCGCCGGTAAGTAATAGACTGCGGGTGCGCACTGAGATTTTGTTGTTTTCCAGATATGGTCGACGCATGATGGTGTCAAGGTCAAGAATGTGTGATCAACAAAGAGAATACATGTCCAAAGACGATCGAGTATGTAGGAATAACTACTTATAACTACTGGAGCTGACCGCCCCGATCTCATCGCAACTTTGTTGGACGGATCAATCGGAGCCAAGTTCGGTTTCTATTGTTAAGTACAAAAGCCTATGCTTAATTATCTCGAGCGAAAACTCGGTTTTTGCGATCAAAATTAATATACAGAACCGAAATTGAAAGTTCAGAATCGAGTACAGATCCTGCAGAAAAAAGATCAGCTTTCGTGAAAGCAGCGCGGAAATATTGTGGGGTCACAGATCCTTCTTGTTTTACGGACAAGCATTTTACCTTGGAAATTAGCCTCCGTTGCAGTCACACACCCCTCAGTATTGCCTACCCTATCACGACTTGACTTTTTTGTTAGCGATGCGTTTAGCAAACAGGCATCACTTCCGAGCAAGAACCTCACTCGCGATACTAGTGTAGTACGTCGTTCCTTTTCGATCCTCATTGTGCCTGAGACGTAGTGCTCATCATTCATTGCTTCATTTTTTTTACTGTGCAAAAATCTGAAATAGAAGACAAGAATGGGCGGCAAGAACAAAGGCAAGGGCCGCGGCAACAAGGGACACGGCAAGGGGGGCAAGGAGAAGGACGGCCTAACCTTTGCCTTCCAGCGACCCGCCGGTGCGCCGGCCATCCCCGCCGCGGAGCAGAGCCGTTACCACTGCAAATGCAAGAAGTTCAGCGGGCGGACTTCTGAAGAGGTGGCACAGATGATTGCGGACGGGCTCGCAGAACACACACTCAGCGACAAAATTCAGCTCGTCGACGCCTTCAAGCGCCGAGCTTGGGACTTCGTGTTCATCGGCGTCCGAACGAAGGACGCTGCTCTCTTCCGCAGCTTTCTGACATCAGGAGCTAAGACTAGAAGTACTACTAGCGATGAAATTATCAAAGAAGAACAACAGACGACCGCAGGCGCAGTAGGACAGGACGGAAAAACTAGTACACAAACTACAGCACCACCCGCGGCCCCACAGCAGGACCAACAAGAACTCCAGCCCGAGCAAGTCGAAATGTTGAAAGATGTACAGTTTCTTATCGAAGAGCAATACCCGATCGCCGTCAAGGAGGCCTCCGCCCGGGCTCCCGCGGACGAGGAGACCATCGTCGAGGAGGACCTGGATCGGTTCGGGTACAAGAAGGGACATATTCCGACCTTGATGGAGTTGAAGACGAAGCTGGCCACCTGGTCAAAACAGAAAAACATTCCGTTAGTGGACAAAGTTTGTCCGTTGTTCAAGCAGTACGACTACGACCCGCTGCAGTTGACCATGAAGCACACGTACACACGTACCACCTGCAAAAACATTCTGCGCCGAATGGTGAAGCAGTGCAACAAGAGCAAAACCCCGCCGCCGCAGTGGGCGAACGTGAACGTGCAGAATCACGGGATCATCGTGGAACCGATTCTAGACTGCCCACAATACGCGCGAGACGCCGGCTACCGGAACAAGTGCGAATTGTCCTGCGGGGTGAAAGATATTACAACGACATCAAGTACTAGAGAAAAACAAGAAAGCCACGACGATGACGACGGTATCGGGAGGTTCGAAGTTGGGTTCGTGCAGCGGATGGACCACACGAATGAGCAGGTGATCGGCTCCATTCAGGATCTGCCGCACGTACCTGCGTCCGCGAAAAACGTCTCCACCGCCCTGAAAAGCGTGATCAAACGCTCTGGCCTGCCCGTGTACCGGAGGCACGCGTCCAAGCGCGCCGGGTTCTGGCGGCTGGTGATGTGCCGGGTGGTGGACACAGACAAAACGACGGGAGCTTTACTTCCGGCGGACCAGCACCAAATCCTACTTGTCATCCAGACAACCGCGTTTCACGACCCGGTGTTGCTCGCACACTTGACAAAACTGGTGGAAGAGGAGTTCAAGGGGTTGAACTTGCGGTCGCTGTACTGGCAGATGAACGACGGTATGTCAGACGCGTTCGATCCGAACGCGCCCGTGCTAAAGCTTGCTGGAAATAAAGGTGAAACCGAAGTAGACCAAGGAGCGCTTGTGTTGGCAAAGCACCAGGATGAGGTAGAAAGGATTTTAGACGAAGCGCACGCGAAACCCATGGCGGAATTCAAGCTCGCGTTTGACGAAGCGACAAAGAATTGCGCGCCGCTGGGCGAAAAGGAAACGCTCGTTGCCCACATCGGGAGTAGCGTTGACACCAGTGTGACAGACCGGCAAAATGCGTGGGAATTTGTCCGTGGAATGCGAAGTAACAGGTACTACACTCAGGGCCTGAAGCTGAACCTGAAGGATGAGCCTGCTAATGACGATGGTGAGGACAATGACAGCACAGAGAACAAACTTGATGGAGCACAACGGGATGCCGATGTCGATCCGCATGAGAGCCTATCTCCGCACGAATCAACGAGCACGGCCGCAGCGGAGGAAGACGAAGAGGTCGACGAGGTGGAGATGGCGGATCAACCTGAAGAAGATTCAGCAACTGCTTCAGGGGAGATCCGCACAGCCATGGGTAATCTGATGCGGGCCAGAACAAAGAACGAGAAGAAGAAAAAGAAGAACATTAACGTAAATCCCCCACAGTTGGTGTACCACGTGCTCGGTGCGGAGACCTTGAGCATGCCCCTGTGCGGCCTTACCTTCACGTGCGGGCCGAGCAGCTTTTTCCAGACGAACTCGGTCGTCACGGACAAACTGTACAAGAAGGCGCTGACGTGGGCAGGGCTTCTAGAAAAAGAACAGCCATTGTTGATAGGAAGCGACATCGATTTGCGGAAGCTCCAAGATGCAGCGACAGAGGAAGCAGGTAAAAGAACACAAATCTTGTTATGTAGCTTTGAGTTTAATACATCCTGCGCTTAGGACTTGTTTTTGTGCTGCAGCTCGCATACCGATGTAGGCTTATACTGTGACTTTTGCCCGTTAGGGCTCCTCACTAGAAAATCCAAAAACGTTTTCATAATTTGTTCCTCTTAACCTCCACAACAGCCACGGTCCTTTCCTCCTCCACCAGCAAGCCGGACACGCACCTTGTCCTTGACGTCTGTAGCGGCGTGGGGACGATTGGGTGCATTGCTGCGAAGTCGGACCCGAACTGCCAGGTCGTCGGGGTGGAGCTCATTCCTGACGCGGTGCAGGCCGCGAATGAAAACGCAAAACTCAACAACGTCAGCGACAACTGCGTCTTCTACGCCGGCAAGGCCGAAGTCGTGTTGCCGGATTTGTTTTCCTTCCTCGAAGCTTGCAAGAAGAAAGCAGAGACATCGTCATCGAGCAACGACATTGAACTCGACGCGGAACTGAGCCAGCGTTTTGCACCCGTAATTGAAACCCTGAAAAAAGCCAGTGCTTCCCACTTCAGCCGAATCACGGCGATCGTGGACCCGCCGCGCACGGGCTTGCACAAGGACGTCATTTTCGCCTTGCGAAAGAACCTGGCGATCGACCGCTTAGTGTACGTCAGCTGCAACCCGGACACGCTGTGCGACGACGTCGTGAAGTTGTGTTCGCTGGAGGGAGATTGCGACGAGGAGGCGTTCGTGCCGTTCAAGGGCGTACCCGTGGACATGTTCCCGCACACCGTGCACTTGGAGATGATCTTGTACCTGGAAAGGTACAAACCAGCCCGGCACGACCAAATCTGGCAGGGAGAACCGCTGTGGGTGCAGAAAATGAAGGCGAGAGAGGAAGCAGAACGACGGGCGGGAGTCGCGGCTGAGCCCGATGCGAAAAGACGGAAGAAAGGCGCCGAGGTGGAGAGGGACGAGAAGTGATGAATGCATGCGCTCCCTTGCGTGAAGACGAAAACTCCTTGGCAGCTTAGTCTATGTTCAAAAAATGTTACGACCACGACGTCAAATAAACCAACATGTGCTCCTTCCGAACCGGCGGAGGTGAAGACTCTAAAGAGTGAAGCTCGACGCCGCTCATCACAATCTATCGTATCGTCGTGTTCCGTTTATTGTCATGTGGATCGTTGCATGTGCTGCTGCTGCCACAAGAGCGACAATATGAGAAATTAAAAGAAGAACATGCGCACTAGCAAAAAGAAAAAAAGATCATGCCCACGATGAACATATACTTGTCTGGTTGCAAAAGATCAGAACTGACGTTACCTTTTTTTTGTCAAAGCGTTCTGAGTAAACGTCAACCGCTGAAAGCGCATAGGCGCGTTAGATTCCCTCTGAAAGTCCGTCTTGTTTCTACAGCACAGCTCAGCTGCGCGTGTATTCTTCTCTTCTACTTAATTTTGATTTGCGTCTTTTGCTTTTGAGCATGGTCCGCACTACATGCAATAGTAAGCGAATTTCAGTACCTTTGTCCAATTGAAATGGGTGAGGCGCCTGCAGTTGTCAGAGACGAGAGGGAGAGAAAAAACAAAATCGAAGAAAATTTAGCCGACTTTGGCCCAAATAAAGAGCGGAGCCGGAGGGGCTCATTTTCACACCTTTGCTGTTATTTTCGTTCTCTTCGCTCAACACCAATCGAAATTCGCAGGAAGACCTTTGATGTAATATCGCTCACGTTGCAGCTTCATCGTCAAGATGTTCGAAGAAATACAAACAAAAGCGCATTAGCAGACATCGAAAATATGCTGTCGAGGGCGCGTTGGCGCCGAGCGCCCACACTGGCACCCGAAAACGTGCGCGGAGGTGCAGAAGTAACGCGTGCGCATAATTATTCATTTCCAGCAGTTATCTGGAGTCCTACTCGAGGCCGCAGCAGCGTTACTATAGTACTCAGCTGTGGAGCGACGTATCCTATCCCGATGAGTTGCGGGCGACTCAAGTCAAGTTTAGTGTTGAAAGCATGATTTTATTCGCTGTGTGCTCAGACAGGGTAAACTGTGGTTTGATGTTGTGCATGATCGCCAGTGCTGGAGTTGGAGATGATTTGGGAGAAGTGATGAAAGTACTTCGATCCGCATCAATCCTCTGCGTAACGATGAAGACTTGAGTATTTGCAAGTTTTTCCATGCATAAGACTGTCTCCTACCGCAGCACTCGATCAGAAGCGTCTGGGGGGGGGGGGGGTGGCAAAACATCACCATCAACCACCGGTATAATAAATTTGAGTCAGCTAATATTAGGCCATAGACCTCTTGCACTTGCTGTTTCACATGCTTTCGACGTCTACTTTGTGTGGTCCATCTGAAAGGGCGGTTTATTCTGTAGAGAAAATGGTTTCTTGTTAGTGCTGCGACAACTTGTGAAAAGACGTGCCCATATGTTTTTCCACTTGGGTTTTCTTCACATGACGATGACACTATGCAATGCAAGGAAATGAATATTCTATAAATCAAAATAAAAAAAAAAATATTAATATAACAGCGGAGCGCACAAGCCCCTGGAGGATGTCGGCACAGACAGCGCCACGGACGATGGCGGAACTTTCGACAAGGCGTTCGGTGAATCCATTGCAGGTACTTTTGCATTCTCTCTGCATTGCTTCTCACCCCCCGAATAAACCGAAATCGGGCCTTACTCCGAGAACAAGAAAAACCGGCATGCCACTCGGTGCGGCACGTATAAGAGCGGAAACCTCCGCTTGTAGTGGTTCGTTTTCTGTAATCTGTAGTTGTTCGACAGGAGTAGAGGGAACGAATAGGGATCTATCAGAAAAAGTATTCAACGTCACCTGTTGTTTCACTTATGTTTGTAGATGAATGTTGGCGAAAAGGACGTCCCTCAAATGTGAAAAAGTCAACGAGACCGCGGACACGCTACAAAGGTACTACTTATGCAGCCAAGAAGGACAGGTCAGCTGCGCCTGCGTTTCTCGAGAAGGAGGAGCAGGGGCGTTTGCTGCAGTTGTACGGAACGGGAGCAGATGGGACGAGTCCGCGGAAGACATTAGACGAAATGAGCGACCTGGAACTGGCCTACTTCCAAGGTATGTGGATCGGGCATTTGTCTGCGACTGTGCCTGGTGAGGACCAGATGCTCAAAGTCATCCAGCCGATCACACTGCAAAAATTGGAGGAAATCCGCCGGCAACTGCGATCACAGGTCGAGCACGACTGATTTCGATCTCCTTTGTTCGCTTCCGAGAGTTTTTGATGTGGTCACTACCAATAATGAGATGCTATCTAGTTTGGGGAGGGCGCCAGGGAAGGGCGGTGGGCCGCGGTGCCCGGGGCGGCGGGCGATTTTGCAAATTCCAGAGCCGTAGTGGCTTGGGGCACTCTCTTCAGCCCGTAACTGTTTCGGACTTGGCGTCGGGTGGTTTTCATAATTTTAAATACTCCTCGAAGTTCTGAAGTTCGAATTCCATGCAGAGGAGCTGCGAATTTTGGGAATTCGAAAAAATGATCCATTTTTGAAAATTGAAATTTTTTTTTGGGAGAGTGGATTGTTTCGGGAATTCGAAAAAAACATTTGAAATTGGGAAATTGCAAAAATTTTCTCGATGGTGAGCGATTTTGGAAATTCGAGAAAATTTCTAAGTTTGAAGATTGGAAGGCTTTTTCTTCAAGTAGCGCTACAACCAAACGAGAGAAGCAAAAACTTCACCCGGATTCCGTGTATCCAATATGAACAAACAAACAAACAAGATTGGAAGGAAAAGTCTTGGTGTTGGACCATTTTGGGAATTCGAGAAATTCTTAAAGGTTTGGAAATTGCAAAATAATTTATGGTGTGGGGGATGTTTTCGAACTGCCCCCGCTAGGCAGGAGGAGTTTTATGGATTGGGAAGTGGCAGTGGCACACCAATGGATTGCGAATCTTAGATACTGAGCCCCATTTCAATTATATACTTCTTTCAAATGGATTTATCGAGGGCGTTCAAAAATTTCAGGAGTTTGATTGAATTGGAAAAATTAACTCCAAATCTCAGGCCCCGGAACTCCTCTTCCATTTTCCCATCTACCGGTTTGGTTCGAAGTTCTTGAGCTTTGACTTTAACAAAGACGGCGCATTGAGTCCCGCGGAGTTCAAGCACTTCTTTTCGGAGTACAGCAACGAGGATGGTGGAGCGGCAAAAGACTCGTCGACGTATTTTGCGATGTTCGACGCGAACGCAGATGGCCAGTTGTTGATGACAGAGATGATCCCGAAGTGTCCCTGCATCGTGTCGCCTGGGGCCAGAACAACGGAGAATCAGGACCATTCTTCGACATTGGAACTGCGGTCCCGTATGAGAGCCGGGAACGCGCGGTCTAAAGCCAACGCAAAAGCGGCTGCAATGCGGGCTGCGAGTGCTCCTAATGTGGCGGTTACCTCTGGCGGCGCGATTTACGATGCAAGAGACGTTGATAAGGAGAAAACAGAACAATGGATGAAGGACAATTTTGTGACTCAAGGTGGGGGGCTGCTCCCCGAAGCCCATGCACCCCGTCCGCACGGGCTTCGACCCGCGTGTCCCTGTCATCATGGATGAAACAATTGGAATTGCACTTTGATGGATGCGCTTGCTTGATGAACACGAGAACTTGGCAGTTTACTCTATGTCTAGAAGTTGTTATGCTGACGGCAAATGTTGCTACCTATGAATAATAGAAAATCTCCAATATGTGCTTCCGCACCGGCGGTGAAGACTCCAAAGAGTGCAGCTCGACGCCGCTCATATCAATCTATCGTGCCGCCGTGTTCCGGTACTGTCATATAATTCGTTGGATGTGCTGATACAGGAGCGATGACATAATAAATAGCGAGAACAGTTGCACTCGCAAGAAAGATCTTAATGCGAGGAAAATGTTTTGCTTGTCTGGTTCTGGTACTGCTACTGGTTGCAGAACGAAGATCTTCAGCGCTGCCGTTTAATGTTCTTTGTCAAAGCGTTGAGACTCATCTTCATGGTTGGTATCTCGTCACAGGCACGTTAAATTTTATATTTTTTCAAGAAGTCCGTTTTGCTTTTGTTTCTACACAGTTCAGGTGGGTTTCTCTTCTGTCTGGATCTTGTGTCTTCTGCTTTTCTGCATGGTCCGCATCATCATATGTAATAGTAAGCACATCGAGTTCGAGTTGTACTTCGTATAAAATCGTCATCGTCAAAAATCAAGTCCAAGCCAAAGTTCTTTAGCTGGAATAGGTTTTGAGTTACCTGCACTGCTCTGGTCTACTTCGTGGTCCTACCGAAAAAAGGACAGCTGCCGAGCAGGAGTTGCAGCGTTTCCGGGATAGTGTCACGCATGATATTGATAAGGAGATAGTACAAAGAGTGTCTTCTTTTTTGAAGAAAGTGCTCCGACTCCCAGGCGGGCCGCAGGTTGTTACCAAGTGTATTCCTGGCGCATTTACAGAGACGAGCCGTGCCTTCCGCGGTGAATTTGCACGCAGTGTGGAACTCAGCGAATGGGAAACCGTGTGCGATCCAATAGAGGCACGCTGCTCAGGTTGTCCCAAAATTTCGACCGTACTCGACGAATCATTTCCCCCTGGGCGTTATCGGCCATGGATTTATGGCAAGCACGTTCTTCTGGGTTACATCATGTGCAAGGACGAGTTTGACGTCGACATTTTAAGCCTCCCGGGAACGGTATTAATTGCGGAAGAATCGAAACGAAATTAATTTAGAATTTCTTTATTCATTTACTCTCGGTTTAAGACTATGACAAACACGAATTTTAAAGCCGAGCCATTGCAACACCAACAGAGCCTCACTTTTGCACCATTGGTATTTGTGCATGAGCGGTCTCTGCACTTTCTCTAGAAAATTGGAATTTCAATACTTACAGTACGAGACGAGCGAAGACAGTACCCATTTGGGGCGTGATTTTGGTCATCCCTTCCAACCGACGTTAATTCGGCTGAGCCGTTCAGAAGCTATCAAGACAAAAGCAGAACAAATCAAGTTTAGGACAAAACTAGAAGCGTTTGAGGCAAACCCTAAAGCGTTCATAGCAAACGCGAGAGCAGAAGCTAAACAAGCTATCAAGGCAGAGGAAGCAGAACGACGGGCGGGAGTCGCGGCTGAGCCGGATGCGAAAAGACGGAAGAAAAGTGGGGAGTGAGTAGTGGAACAAAAGTGATGAATGCGAAAGTGAATGGATGAATGGCTGCGCTTACTTGAAACGAACTCGACGACTTCGTCACATGTTGCTTTAGTATGTAGTGAGGTCACGAACGTTCTAACCTAGCGATCTTTTTGACAGGCAGTGCGCAAAACGACCGGCAGTTATCAAGCGGGCGGAAGTGTTTTTGGACATAAAAATTTTTCAATTATCAAGCGGGCGGGGCTTTGCCGTCAAACAAGCCCGGTCGAAAACTATCGATTCCCGCTTGATAAAACGACGCAGGGGAGCCGGCAAAAGGGGCGCCCTTCTGAGGCGCCCACCGCCTTGGTTTCTGGCGATTTGGGGCGCCCAAAAAGGGGCGTCCAAAAAGCAGCGCTCCAAAAAAAACAGCGAATCCGCATGGTATGGGCCTCATTTTGCCCCACATTCGGGCCCCGCAAAAGACGCCTTCAAAGTCCGCCATTTCAGAGGCGGACTGAAGGCCAGAAGATGCGGCATTTTGGCAAAAAAAAACAAAAAAAACAAAGTCCGCCAAAAGCAAAAAGCCAATCCGCATGCTATGGGCCCGATTTGGGGCTCCCAAGAGGCCGACCCTGGCGCGGGCCCCGGCGGGGCCATAGCATGCGGGGAAGGTTTTTCGATTCGAAACCAAAAGGAGGCCGCCTCTGGATTGAGATTTTTAGCGACTGCCGTGCCGTCGTGCATAACATTACCCACGATGGCATGGCGGGCAGAGAAGTTGCGTCCTTTTTTGGCGTGAAGACAAAAAGATCGCCGTGACCTCACTACCTCCGCGGACGCGGCTATTATTGGTAATACTTGCGACCACGACATCATCAAGATAAACAACACGTGCTTATGAACGGGAAGGTCACTCTAATAAAGAGTGGGACGCAAAAAATTCTCGTTTTGTGGAGGTGTCAATCAAACCCTCGTGTTCCGTAATTTAGAAAACAAAGGGGAACACTGAGAGGACGTTCTCAGTTTCATCTGGTCACTGGGTCCAGGGTGATGTACGGATTTGCAAGATCATCTAATTTCGGATGTTGACCAAAAATCGCGAGAAGAAAGTGTTGATGTTCTAGACGCATGACCGGTCACGGCGCGTGACCAGGCTGCAAAAAAGCAAAGTTAAGTACCGACTTTCATCAACATGAATCGTGCTGCTCTTGCTGCGAGGCCAACTTCGGTCAAAAATGCTGCGATGTTAAGCGCATCTGCAGCCCCTGGAAGCTCTGGTCCGGCCGGAATGAGCTCCTTGAATGCGGCTGAAAAAGTTTTGCGGGAGGACAGAAAACCATCAAAACCGAGATCAACATTCGACGACCTGTTTGTCCATGTCACGCGCGCTTGGAAACGCATGCACGCAACGGGAAAACGGACTCTGCCACGAACGAAAATCCACGGCGCGCAGTTCGTTCAAATTTTGTTCGACCTTCGCCTAGTACCGAAGGCACCTTCAAGGGATGAATATTCCACTTCTAATCGCAGCACCAACGATTCATCTTGGGCCACCCGAAAAATCATCGAAGCGCAAAAAAGAATATGGAAGCAGCACGATATCACCAACGCGACGCGTTTCTGCGCAGAAGATGAAGTATGGAGGAACGAAGACGCGGCTATTCCCTACTTTTCCGGCAACATTGACACGATGGGACACAAGGACTCCTCCATGTTGCGCGCACGGCCGGTGCGGCTCAGGCTACGTGGTGACGGGGTCCGCGAAGCCAAAACAGCAATTGAAACGGTAGAAAGATTCCTGGGGAAGCCGCCCGTAATCGCAGAAAAAAAAGCTGCTTCAAATAGCACTGCTAGTAGTGACGCAAAGAGTTGTAGTACACAGCAAGATCCCGATCCCACTGCCGGAGCAGGTGCGGCCAAAGATGGAAACTCAGGCACAGTAGAAGACGGCACGACGGAGCGCGAGTCCCGTCGGGAAAGACGAAGGCGTCAACAGGAAGTGCGCAGATTAGCAAGATTGGATCTTGGTGAAGAGGAGCAATCTAATGCACTATCAAGCAGCACACCAAGAACCCGTCGTCTCTCTGCGCCGGATGTACTGGACTTGATGATGCAGCGGGGGTACTACGGGCAGTTTATCGAAAAGAAAATAAACTCCGCAGGTCCGGGCCGGCCACCGAAGCTGACGCTCGAAGAGTGCAAGAAATGGGCGGCGTTTTTCTACCTGGAAAAGCTGAAACAGCTGAACCGAGAGGAAAATGCTGAAAGACGCTCCTCCGCGTCTGCAAAGACGATTTCTCAATCGGTCGTGGACCACCCGGAAAGTATCTCATCAACCAATGAATTGAGCGGAGCAGGTACCACACCGGCTATAGCATCCGCGACGCTGGTCAACCCCCCCGTAGTGACGCAAGACATCGGAGCCACGTTGGCGAGTCAGAAACTCCGGCGGCATGAGTTGCGATCCGTCCTGCACCGTCAAGCACAGTCGATGGATCCGGCAAAGAAAGATCTGGCAGCCGGCGGACCCGCGAAGAGGATCGCTTTGGCACGAAATTCAAGGCATAGTCGCCGCTACAGAAAGCGCCCCCGCGAAGACAAGCGCTGCATGTACTGATGAGACTAGCTACGTTTTACGTTTGCATCTTGCGAAAAGCCGCCAACTTTATTTTGACCGTGCAAAAAGTTGATTGTGATTCCCAATGCCATGTGCAATTTATTGGGCAAGTACCGTTTTCCCCGCCTAGTTCCTTGCAGTCATACTAAAAGTAATCTAGCAAAAATCAGGATGCAGATCGGTGATGTTGACGCAATTTTTTGTGATCGAAAAAACGAAGAGCTGGCTGTTGAGAGAATCCATGATTCAGAGAGAGACAATTCTTGACGCATTATTTCGGATCTGCATAAATCAAGCAGTCGGTGTGAGTTTTTCGAGTGTATGATCGGCAGAAATGTGAGAGTAGAAAAACATCCCGTGAGCGAGGCAAAAGTGAACTAAAGAACCATGGACGAGGGAACACCAAATGAAGGAGGTCTTTTCATGGAAGTTTTTTGCGCATTCGAATTCGGAGCGAGCTGCACATTTTTTTCCAGAGAGTTGGAGTGGACCCCGCCCGACTAGAGAAGTATATTGATTCTACCCTTAAATCATACCACCATTCTGCGAGTCCTAAACCATTTTGACCTTCGTAACCTCATCAAGTGTGAAGAGGAAGGTTTCATTCAACAACACTACCGTGCTCAACCATACAAGCCATACCAAACAAATTCCCGAAAAAATCATTTTTTCAACCTCCCACCCCGACCTTCTAGATTGTTTTAGCACTTTAAATTTGTGAGTTCACAAATTTCTCGTATTTTTCAGCCTACCCAGTCGTCCGCGACACCTCGCCAAGAAAATGTTGGCTCGTAACTTTGCCAGACGGCTCGCGCCGAGCTTCCGCGGCGCCGCGGCTAGCAGTACTGGCGTACGGGCATTTTCCACCCAGATGCAGGAGTTCAAGGTCTACAGATACGACCCGGAATCGGGAAACAAGCCAGAAATGAAGAGCTACTCCATCGACCTGAATACTTGCGGTACAATTTGATTTTCAGGATTTTGCTTTTGGATAGGTATGCTGGAGGGAGGTACGCCGCAAGCAACTGCAAGTAAGTATATGAGTTACGCTAAGAACGCGGTGCCCGTGATGAATCGAGGACAAGACTCATTGCAACAAGCATTTTAGCACACAAAAACTACAACAGGACCCATGATTCTGGATGCCGTGTTGAAGATCAAGAACGAGGTGGACTCAACCCTGGCTCTCCGAAGATCGTGCCGCGAGGGTATCTGCGGGTCCTGCGCCATGAACATCAATGGTATAGTGTTTCGTTGAAATACCCACGACAGCTCCTTGGTGCCATGCGAATGAATGTTAAAACTTGTGCAGTGTGTTTTCGTGGTTAAAAGAAGTCACTGGGTGAAAATAAAGTGATTGGATTTCCATTGTTCCAAACAGGTAAGAACGGTTTGGCGTGCCTGGAGTACATTGAGCCAGGAACCAAGGCGATCGAGATCCAGCCATTGCCACACACGTGAGGAGCTTTGATTTGATTTGTTTTTCTTCATGCGGACTCACATTCATTTTCATTCATCAGCTAATCAACGTGACTTATTTTCATTGGCAAAGCGAAAAGTCTTTGCTATAGCTCCCCTCGCGAACACCTAACTACAGGTACGTGCTGAAGGATCTGGTGCCCGATCTCACCAACTTCTACTCGCAGTACAAGTCTATCGAGCCGTGGCTGAAGCGAAAGGACCCGAAGCCCACCGGCCCCAACGGGGAGGAAGTAGAATACGCTCAGAGCCCGGAGGAGCGTGCCTTGTTGGACGGGTTGTACGAATGCATTCTGTGCGCGTGCTGCTCTACCAGTTGCCCGAGCTACTGGTATGGTTATTTACTATTTGGCGTTTTGAGTTTGTTGACGACTGTATGTAATGAGCACGATAAGCATCACAATGCTCACACATAATCTTTTTCGTGTAATAAAAATCGTTCATTTCCAACAGGTGGAACCCGGAGTACTACTACGGCCCGGCGGTGCTGCAGCAGGCCTACCGATGGGTGGTTGACTCCCGCGACCAGTACACGGAGGAGCGGTTGGCGTTCCTGAACGACACCATGCGCCTGTACCGGTGCCACGGCATCATGAACTGCACCTCCTGCTGCCCCAAGGGGCTGGACCCGGCGAAGAGCATCGTGCAGCTGAAGAAGTTCGTGGAGGAGCAGTACAACCCGGAGTGGGAAAACAAGGTTGCCGAGGAGATGAAGAAGAACGTCGATCGTGCCGGCGGTTTGAGTTATGCGTAAACGACTGCGGAGTCCGGCCGGTTGCTTTGTTTATGATCTCCTTTGCAACGGGTCGGGCTCTGGGACAGATTGTACGGCACTCTGAATACTCAAACCTAGTAGCTACTCGATGACGTTTAAAACAATAGTCTTCTAAATCCTTTTTCTTGAAAAGAGCGACAGTAAAAAGGCGAGTCGTATCACAAAGGTTCCCTGGCTGGAATCGCTGGCGACTCGTTGAGAAAAGAACGGCACATAAGCGACAGAATCTATCGGCAGAATATCTACGCGACGACTTTGTTTCGATATTATGACATTTCAGCAGCAGCAGTTTAGTACTTCCAAAAGATGGTACATAATGTTTCGATATTAGACGAAAGCAATGGTGGTTCCGACCAAGCGGGTTGGACACCAGAGATAGTTGTACAACTTGTAAAAATATACCTACGGCAGGCACATCATTTCAGACACAGCAGAAGAAGCAAGTAAGTAGAGTATTCATCGGAAGGACATGGAATACCCTCTATTGACACGACATACTAACTTATACCTCCTCTAACAACTACTATACAATACGGTTGATGCACAGAAGGTGAAAAGCACTTCTGCAAAGAACGACACCTATCCCCGGATGAACTAGTACCACGCCGATCCGCACGAAGCTTCACCAGGCGACGCGCGCGACCGGTAGAGAATTTTTTTTGATCTTTGAAACTTCATTTTTCCGTACCGCAACATGCTTATTGGGTGAACTTGTAAGCACGGTTTAGAAAGAATGCCCTGTACTTTTAGTGGTCTGAACTACTGCGCTTACAACATTTTTGGAAAGATGCACAGCATTCTGCCGGTGCCTCAAACATTCTTGCTCTGGCGCTGCTAGCAGTGTGTGTGTATGATTCATTCGTGAAAGCTACAGCTGTAAGAAAGACCACGTACAAACGACTACAATTTTTATCAAACGAACTGAGACTGACTGTTGGGGATAGTTTGCGACCGCGTGATCTCTTCATCAGGAGTGCTCGCTCTGGTGATGTTGTTGACTTTTTGCACAACTTAAATGCAAAGCGTAGTCAGCTACAGATCACAATTCTAACCAACGCCCGTCCTGAATTTTCCCCATCATAAAGTTGCAGACATAAGGGCAACCCAAGGCAAAGTAGTAAAACTCTAGCGTGCAGTACTTCTATTAAGGTCCGCTATAGAGTCATAAAAACACATCCGAACAAAAGTTGATAACTTTGTTTGAGATAAATCGCGTAAACTTGGAAAAAGGAGGTATGCAGTAGCAGCGGTAGCGTCGTGGGTGTAGCTATGATACAATGCGCTTCGTTCGAAACGGGTCGAGATTCGAAAATCTTGGCGTGCGTACAGCGAATTGGTCAGCAGCTCCCCCACGTCGCGACGAAACCTAAAGATGACTTTTCAAAAGAGTAAAAAATGTTATGTGCAGACAGAATCTTCAGAATTCCCGAATCTTCTAGCATCAGCTACATTTTCCGCTACTCGTCTGACAGGGTCGTTGTTACTCGCACGACAACTACTACGAAAAAAGCTTACAACACAGCGACGAGTTGAACTAACAGAAACCAGTAGACTCGAACCGTGAAAAGAGTCCGAGCGCTTGAAAATGCAAGAAAAAACGCGGAAGTCGAAGATGGTTGTGAAGTTTTGAAGAAGAATATCAAAGCGATTGTTGTCATGCGTGGTTGCATGATCACGAGACGGAGTCTCATCGTGAATCAATGGTTGTGTTGTTCTCAATCAATTTGTCAGCTTGCAGATGAGGTTCACTACGCGTCAAGTTCTTCCTGGCTTTGCGTTTCGTTTTTCATTTTGACTTTGACAACGATATCACCAGCCTTTCAGATCTAAAATGTCTCAAGGAGAGCTTCCTTTTTGGATCATCATACGTAGTATGAAAGACCAAGAAGGTCTAACTGACCAGCAGTACTAAACCATGCCGGTCTATAAACAGCATACTATATTATAGAAGTTAGCCTCGTCGCAACAAAAACTAGTCGCTAAAATTTTTTTGAAGTACTCAACAGGCTGTTCTGCAACGCAGAAAGTGAAATAAGTGATTATCGCACTCTACTTCAACACATCATTGTCAGTGACTCAACCAAAAATCTTGTTTTTTGCCTTGTCCCTACTTCTCAGTCAGACAGCACCAGTAGCAAAGAAAACGATTCCACTTTCCATCATGGCCTCGTCTTCCTCCTCTAGCAGAGCAATCCCGGCGCCCATCGCCCTTCCCCCACCCGCGCAGCCACTACAAGCTGCGATACCGCTCGGCCCGCCTTCTGGACCGACCGCAAGTAGTTCTTCCTCCCCGACGGCACGAGTAAAAATTGCAGCGCCAGGGCACGACGTTGCCGCATCAAAGAGCAGTCCCGCGACGACTTTCAACCCAGAGGAAGAGGAATTGGTCCTGTTCGAGCTGCCTGAGTTCGCCGAGACGGAATTTCGCTGTAGCGATCTGAAGCTCGAAAAGGAAGTTTTGCACCTCGACGGCGGGCGGATGCAACTTGACGTGCAGGAGCAGGTCGTGCCAACCTCCCTGATGTGCTTCGTTACCGAGAACTTTGACTTTTCGCAGCGCCCAGACAAACAATACTCCAACGTTTTGACCAGGTACGGGACCCACAACCTGTGGGCGCGGGCGGAGCAAAGTCAAGTCGCAACCGGCGGACCTCCAGGAGATGGGGAGCAAGCGAAGACGTCCGCGTCTCTTGTCGAGCATGAGTTGCATCCGGGCGGAGTTGGTGGCGCAGCAACTGCACCGGCCTACAAGGCTCCGCCAAAGACAACCTATCTCGGTACCGTAAACCGAGTGCTGTGTGCTAGAACGATGCGCTACAATGCTGAAAAGGATTTAAAGAAGATGTTATTCTGAAGAAAGAGTTTTGGTTTAGAAGGATAACGACGCTCGTTCGTCATGATCTCACAAGCGACAAAAAGAAGGAGTTACAAACGAGATGTCACTCCTTCTGGTGGGTGTACCTTTTCCAACTACAACAAGAAGGAAGTTGGCATTTGCTGTTCGACGCACTTCTTGAATGCACGACTGTACTATTCGTGGTTTGCTCATTGAGGGCCTTGTCTGTAATCAGTATTCTTCTTTCTTGGATGTCGCTGACTCCCACTTTCGAGTCGCCGCAACTTCGATGGTCATCATGTGTTTACAGTGTTTTTCTTTCAGTAAGTACTTTTGCCACTAGTTGCCTTTGGCGAAAGCGTCTCGGTGGAGAGAACTGCTGTACTGTGTAGAAATAACCTACATCAAGTAGAAGTTCTCGCCTGCACGACTTCTGCGTCTTCTTGTGCAACCGTTACGAGGACCTTCCGAAGAGTCCAAAAAGAATGCCCGAAGCTGCGAGTTTGCGTTTATCTTTCTCAGCCGAGGAGCGCGACGTGCTTGCGGAATTCCGAGCTCGCGTGGACGCTGCGCGGAAGCGGGGAAGTACCACTGCGGCGGCTGGTGAGAGTTCTGGCCGCGCGCCGCCCCGGAAAACGCACGAGAACATCCAGTCAGTCGAGAACATCCAGTCACTCACAGTACGGAGCAAGCCGCTGTTTGCTACGAATTCTACTGTGTCTTCATCCTCCTCCTCAGCGGGCCCGCATCTCAAAAAGACGAGCCAGACCAACCGAAAATCACAAGAGCACAGAGCGACAGACGCGCTGGAGAGTGTTTTTTCCGAAGAACCGCGCGGGCTGTACAACAGTTATCTGCGTGAGAGTGTGGCCGCCATCCGCCGCGCCTCCAGTTCGTTTTCATCCACAGCAGGTGCAGGTTTTCTGTCTGGCGTCGATCACCAGATCGCGCACATTCATCCGGATGAAAGAGATTTTGGCGAAGAAGCGCCGAAATCCAATCGCAAGCTGAGCACAAGACCCACGACGCACGACAACAAGGTCTTTTCTACTAAAGGCTCGACGAAACAGTTTGCGGATGCCGGCACGCAATGCAGCCGGAATCCGAACGAGGATGACACCGCCACCGCACGCCGGTTCGTTTCGGGCACCGGCGACTTGATGTCTAATCCGCTTGACACGGCCATTTCCTTCGTTCAAGAAGAGCTAGACGAGCTGGAAGACGCTGCGTACGCAACGCTGCCATTTGGAGGTGGCGATGTGGCGGGACTGCAGAACAACCATTACTTGGAAGGTTTCTATAGGCAGGAACGAGATCATTTCCGCCGTGCAGATGAAGGATTTGCCGATGGACCTCTCTACAACAACGATTTGGTCCACGATGGGTTTTTCGAATGCGAACCCTACATACAGATGAATTCCGCAAGCTCGTCGTCCTCCTCCCGTCGACATCAAATGCGTTTTGAGCCGCCACACCGGGTTCGCGTACCGCCAGGTAGCCAGGGAAAAAGACCGTTTTCAGCGCAGCACGTTGTGCCTTTCAGTAGAAAAATCAGGGACCGGAACGGGGGGAATTTTCAGGTAAATCACAATCAGGGTCACTCGCACTACGACGACTTCGACGCAGCGAGAGGGAGAGGCTTGCGGTCGCGCGCGGCACAGCCCCGACCCGCCTCAGCAGGTGTTGGCTGGGTTCCTCGCCACGATTTTTGGAACGCTACGTCGGGCACTTCACAGGGCCAGGGAGGTCGAAGGAGTTCCAATGTGCCGAGTTGTAGATCTTCTCCTTCCTCTGGGTACGGAGCTCCGTCGAAGTGGGACAGGCTTTGCTACCCGCCAAATCGACACATCAAAGCTCGCGGCCCAATGGGAGGACAGAAATCGCGAAAGTCCCGATTTTCGCCCCCGAAACGGCGATTAATATCGCCTGCGAACAGCAGTCGAAAGACAAGTGGAGGCACGGTTGCTCACTACAATGTTGCGCGAACGAGTACTAGACCACCGCAGTTTCGTCCAAGAAAGTCATTGAGTCCGCACAGGAGACGAGCAGGCCCACCCGTACAAACATACGCCCGATCGAAGAGTGAGGCGCAGTTGTTCGCACGAAGAGCGGACCCGCGTTCTTTGCCAGGGCAGCAGCGCCGCTTCCTTTCGCAGGTGGACACAGTGCACCAGCTACCATTCGGCGCACGAGTTCACGATCAGTACGCCCACCCGCTTCCCTCGGACTTCGCGTCTTTACTTCGAAGGGTGTCCGCCTCTCCAAATAACCGATACCAGGGGCGATCGCTCGGACCAGCTACGTCTCTGAGGCAGAAGGCGTATTCTGTGGGAGAGCTCTACCGCCGTCCACCGGCGGTCGGGACGGCGCACCCCTCTGAGAGGAGCCTGGGGCACCGACCTGCCGCCACGGGAAGTGTGCAGCACAGAGAGGAGTACTTTCTACAGGACGCATTGAGTCGCGACATGATGCACGAAGCTGCCTTGTCGGATTTAATTGAACGGTCGTATCACGTTCACTGAATCACCGGCGACGCCGCAGTTTATTACATGACGACATTTGTTGTACGCTGTAAATTCGTTTTTCGGGTCAAGTAAAGTCTCTTGTGTTCCATGCACTGCAGGAATTTTCTCTTTGCGTGCATTCCTGCTGAATTTCTTTGGATCTGGACCGACTATCGTTTCTGCAATTGGAACACCACGTGGACGAAATTTTGTCGATCCATTGTCGACCCGTTTAAGGTTTTGTACAGGTTCCATGCGCATTTCAGATTGCGCCAGCCCTCCTAGGCAAGTGATTTTGGTATAGCAAAGAGAAAGACACTTCTGTAGCCTCTTGATCAAGAATGTGAAGATGATCAAGTGCAGCAGAGTGGGTGCTTGCAGAAGTAGCGCGTCTAGCGCTGCTTCCGGGAAGTGGGCGGCTCCCGCCGCCCAAGGCGCAACGCCACCGCGACGAGAGGACACTTCGTCCCCAGCCCTGACAAGCAACTTGCTACTGCAGGTCTGGAAGAGTGCGAAGAAGCGCAATGTGCAGCCGTATGAGATTCCGGCACTGCTCGCGAAGGCCGTGCGGAACAAGGATGCGAGGACCAATGTGCAGTTCTGGCGAGAAGGATTCGAGTACATTCAGCACTTGGAAAATCTACGAATCGCGGACATTGCCTCCATCGTGGTGACCGTCATGAAAGTCGACCATGCCGGAAAAGAGGCACTTCTGAAGCACTTTTTGGGACAAATCACTCAGCAGATGAATAATGGGGATACAACTGGCGCCACCGCCACCATTGATGTACAGCGGGCAAGCGCGAAGGACCTTGCGAACTTGTGCGTGGGGTTTGCGGCAGCAAAAGATCGGCACACCGCGAAGCGCTTCCTGCAGGAAGTTGCCGTGCCTTTGCTAGAGGGAGTGTCTCAAGAGCAGCATCAACAGCATGATCGTGTGGGCGAAAGGAGCTTTACCACGCAGGGTAGCCATTCCTCTCTGGAGGACGACAATGGCGTTGATGATTGCATGGCGCGGTTCCGGAGTGCGGGAGCAGGATCATCGGGCCACAGGCCAAGCACGTCATCAGAGGCCGCGCCGCTGTCAGAACTCGCTTTTGGAATGGATGCGAATGTCACGTCCCGGATGTTGAATGCGTTTGGCAAGGTTTTGGGCTCTGCGACGCCCGTTCCTGTGGTGGAGTTACTCGCACGGTCCGCGAAGGATTGGGTTTCAGAAATGTACACACGCGAACTGGTAAATGTAGCGCTCTCAGTTGCGAAGGTAGCACCCGTGGAAGTTGTAGGGGGAAGCAAGGCATTTGGTAGAACAAGACCAACTGCAACTGCTCCAGGGAAAGATAATCGAAGCTGTTTGACTGTGTGCCGAGCCCTGATGAAGCAGATCCGGGACAGAATCGTGTCGGCGAACCTGTTGCCAACTTTCAACGCGCAGGATTATGCCAACTTCGTAGCAGCATTCGCCAATTTTAGCACCAATTGCGCCTCTGAAAAGTTGTCAGTTGAGGAGGGTCAAGCCCCTGCAACTAATCGCGATCTCGCCACCGGAAGCATCTCATATGATTTTCGCGAGGACGACGCCTTTCACTGTGCGCTCGCTTCGAGTGTGACAAAACGTTTGAAGAAGCTCGACGACGCTCAGCCGCAGCATGTCGCGAGTTTGCTCTGGAGCTTTGGCAAAAAGCTCGGGAAATTCGATTTGGTTGCATCGCTAGTGGACGCCGAGCTCCCGGTCAAGATTGAACCAATTATGCCAAACCGAGGCGATAAAGAAAACGAGCGCCATCCTGCAGATCTCGATCTCTTCCGATTCTCCAAGCCCCAAGAACTCGCGAACACTTTCACTGTTCTCTCCGTCGAAAGGCCGAAGTTTGCGCGCACCGTTCTGTTGCCGCAGGTCAGGAAGCTAGTGGAGAGCGATTCTGCGAAGCTGAAAGGGGTGGATGCCATTCCGTTGCTGGAAGGATACGCCCGGCTTGAGGACACTAGTACAGAAATACAGTCGGGCCGGTCCGATACGGCCGGGGAGCAGGCAGAAAAGCGGTTCTGTTCGGCCTTGGGGCAACGCTGCTTGAAGTTGCGCGAACAAAATGCCTTGGACAGCGCACAGACGGTGTTCATTTTTCACGCATTTTGCAAGTTGCAGTGGGTTCTAACCGAACCTGATTTACTACTGCGCCTGCTCCCGGACATGCACGTAGCAACAAGTGGGACACCCTCTGCTGCTGCGCTGGATGCGAACTCACTCTCTTTAGTTCTGAACGGCATCACACACCACCTCAACCTCCACCACGGTTCATTGCCGACCGCAGTACCATCGCAAAGTTCAACTCAAGACACAGTCGAACAGAGAGTTTCAATGAAGCTGCGCGCCGTTTGCAGGAATATCCTGAGCTACTTTTCCACGGGGAATTGTGAAGTTTTGGAAAACTCTCACCGCAACAAGCCTTCTAAGGCAATTGCTCCCATTGGCACAGCGCTCGACTTTGAAGGTTTTCTGAAGCTTTTCTATCAGGGAAACGCGAATGTAGACCGTAGCACAACCAATCTTCTGCAAAGCCTTGCCTTTCTTGCGCAGAATCCGGCTTCGGGTCCCTCAGCGACCTCAGCTCAGCAAAATACCGACCTCCTGCGCCACTTGGGGCAGGTTGTGTTGCAGGACAGCCACAACTTTTCCAACTCAACATTGGTGCAGTCGATTTACGCCGCGACGCAGCTCTCCGATCAGTTGCCACCCGGACTAAGCAACCGTTTGCTCGAAAAGCTGTCCGTTCAGCTTGGTTGCACCGCAAATCTCCGTGCCTCCGACTGCGTGGCTGCGGCAAACACTTTGGCCCTGGCAAATCATGTCGACGAGGCGTTGCTGGACCGCCTGGCGAGGCGGTTGCTCGAGACTTTCCTGGCAGCAGTTCATTCGAGCGAAACTCATCGTGGTACGGCTGTCGACCCCACGCACAACACGAAGGCGGCCGCACCGGGAGGAAAAGGCGCTCACAACGCTTCAGAGGATTCTGCCACGGCTACAAAGAAGTTCGCTTGGCAGTTCTTGACGAGCTGTGCGAGACTGGGTTTTCACTCAGCCGACGTAGCCTTAGTCGCGGAGCAAGTCGCGGAGCACCACCTGGATTTTAGGTTTGCGGCGCCAGGAGAAGTCGCGAGTATATTGTCCAGTTTGGCTCGCTTGGACTCCACCTACACTGCCGTGCGGACCTGGGATTTGCGACCTGTCATCGCAGAAAGCGCTGTTTGCCACAACCGCTACTCCGAGCTCCTGTTTTTCGGCTACATGTTTCACCTCTGGCGGGCCGAACGCGGAAATAACTTCATCAACGCGGGGAATACAACCGGGGAGAGTTCGATCTTTCAAACTGCCTACCGCAATTTCACCTCATTCGTAGAACTGCTGGTCGCGCGAACGGGTACCAAGGAATCGACGAACGCGACAAGAAGTGCTGGCAGTACAAGAACAGCAGGTCTGCCGCTGCCCACTTCTACCACACGGGAGGACGCTTCGCAGGTTCTTACTGGTCTGCTGATCTTTCCACAGATCTTCACTCGGTCCTTTACCATCTTCGCACCAGCGGAGCAGCCGACCGCTACATCTTGGGCAGCACACTGTGGGCTATCCGTGTTGAAGAAGTGCTTTCGTTTGACAGAGAATCTAGCCCAACTGTGCACACAGGAGCCATCCTATTCGCAACGGGAAGGCGATTCCGAGGGCGATGTGATGGACACGCTGGTGTCGCTGCTGTCCCGTGCGAAACTTCATCAGTTGACGACGCAAGTGCCGGCAGGGCCGTACACAATCGATTTGTGCTTACCCGACAGTGCGGTGGCGGGAATGCGGTAGGTCGTGAAGGGTGGACACGAGTTCGTGAAAAACCCAAATAGAAATCTAATGACTCACAACAGATCATGGGGAATTCGAGATGGAGATGAACTGTAGAAGGAAACTGCAGGAGATTGTTGCATTAAATTTGTTTCACACCTAATGATCAGTGAGAATGGCGAATTTCAAAGCATTAATGAATAAACGAAGCTTGTTGGTTTTGCGAGCACGCCGTCATGTTAGCTGATCTAATTAGTCAGGGCGGGCGGAGCATGATCGCATGAGAAAGAACAAGAACCTGTTTTCTCCGTACACGTGGGAGGTGTCGATGTTGTGTGGGTTAAGATAGTTGAGTTGCGAAATTTCGAGAGTCGCAAAAGTGCCGGACTTGGAGTGACTCGGGGTATTGGGGGCTGAGTGCAGAAGTACGCACTGCTGTAGCTGCCAGGGGGCGGTGATAAGAACAAGAAGCAGCATGTGCGGCTGCGCAATTACTTTTCTCGAATCCAGATTTCTTGTGAACATGAATTCAAACTAGAAGTGAGAAAAAAAACACACAAAGAAAAGCTCACAAATTGAAAACTGCGTAACGGGCGGCTAGACAGATAGGAGCAAACAAGGCTCCGTCCTCGTGCTCCGTCCTCGTTTCTCAACCGTTTGGAGCAACACCATCGAGCACGATGGCGGCTACAAGCACGACGGGCGTAATGTCGCAGCACGCGGTGCGGGACAATCCGGTGATACCAGAGTGCGTCACCGTCGCGTTCGAGAGGTATCAAATGGGGTGTCTGCACGAAGAACTCGCGGGTCCCGAGCCAAGGAAACTGCAGGCCCTGGACATCATTCTGGACATCTGTAAGGTGGACACAAAAGCGCAAGAAGGTGGATCGTTGCTTATTGGCGCTGAGGTTATTCGTGGATGAGTCTCTGCTTCCGCCCAGCATAGTAGCCAAAAGGAAATACTCAACTACAATAACTCCACCACATCTACTTCTACTTCAGGTGTCATGCAGGGCCTTCTCGATGTGCTAGTGCACATACTCCGGGGCTCACCATCGCCAAGTGTAAAAGAGAAAGTGGTCAAGTGCTTCTTGCTGCTTTCGAAGTTTCCCAACGCCAGACAAAAGCTGTACAACTGTTTTTGACTTTGTTCTTTCGACTTAAGTACTTCAGATCTATCTTTTTGAACGCCTTTGTAGACTCACTTCATCGGTCGCACCGATATCGAAATAAACTGAACGGCTTAATACTCTTGCAACCACAAAATAAACGTCTGTGCAGTGTCGAGGACAGCGGAAAATTGGAGGAGCTGAGGCATGCAGTGCAGGCGTCAGAAAACGAGCAGGACTTCTTCGGCTGCCTGCAGACGATGCGCAACGTGTGCCTCTACCCGAAGGGTGCGGACGCGCTAGTAGCAACCGGCTACTGGGACTGGCTCATCTCCATGCTGCTCGACGAAGCCAAGTCAAAGCCATCAGATCTGCGAAAAAGCGTCTACGAAAGCCTCTACAAGCTCAAAATCGAATGTATATGTTCAGGGATTGAGCTTGTTTCTGGGATGAAAACCACAAAAATTGTCGGCCGTTTCAGGTTCTTTTGATGCTTATGATGTACTACGGAATGTTTCGAAAAGACCAGACATACCTCAGGTAATCTCGACCACAAGAACACAAGCACGCCAAAAAGCTTGATAAGGCTACTGCTCAAGTCGGACTTTACCATGGCACAAGGACCGGAGTACTTACTCATTACCGTATGGTGCACGTGCACCTGCACTGGTGATTTTTTCGCAGAGCAAGTTGTCGGCATTTCATTCACTCATTACGGATGCGAGATTTATGAGAAGATGAAATTTAAAAAAGGTACGCCACCAGTGCCCTTGAGTTCTGCATTGCGGTGTGCCGACTAGACGAGAACAAGTCGGAGTTTATCCAGAACGACGGCATAGCGACGGCCTATAAGGTTTTTCTTGGGAATGGAACGCTTGCAGTGGCAGCGACCGGTATGGAAGTGTTTTTTTGATGCTTGTGCAAAGTAAACCTCAAATCGTGCTGCAGGTGGAGGAAGCTTCATTACCCATCCTTGATTCGTTATACCTCAAATTCCATCAGACACCCCGCTGGTTTTGCTGACATCGCGAGCGCTGCAGTTCCTCGGCTCCTTGACAGTGGCAGTTCCGGGGAAAAAGCTTGTGGCCGAGACGATTGGTCCGGCCAAGATTGCGGAGTTTTTTGAGCAGTGCCTGGACGTGCAAAGCGACAAAATCGAGCGAACCTTAACGCAGTTCATGCTGGAAGTGTGTGAGCATCCCGACGTGCGAAAAGCGCTGCGCAGTCGGGAGAGTCTAGTGGCAAAACTGCGGGCCTCGGAAATCCGGGCGGATGAATTTGGCAAGAAGATCCTGAAGAAATTGATCGACAACATTTTCTGGGAGCCATAGGCCGCGCAGAGGCTCTTGCTCTGCTAGTGCTGCAAAGGCGAACGAAGAATACAGGAGCAAAATACGTGATTAGATATGAATGAAATGTACATCGTCGATACCGATCGCGATTGGACGCTAACCGCGATCTAGTAGCCAGTACTGCTTTCAGATTTTATTCGAAGATTTGACGACACATGTGTGTCCAATCAAATAATACCGAAACCAAATTTTTGACACAAAGACCTCAGCGTCTGAAACTTTTTCGTGAAACCAAACCTGAAACCATATCTATGTCAAACTCCCAGCGAGCAAAGGTCTCACGCCGCTAGAGCGGCAGAGACGAGAAGTGAGGCCGTACTACACTAGTACCTTGTGAATAAAGTCTGTGCACAATTCCATTGGACTGGGTCTTCTTGGACCGCTGAGTTGCTTTGTATATCTGAAACACCTACTCGGTACTCTGTACAAAACAGCTAGAACTACCCAAAATGAAGCCGATTACTACAAACGCGACCCCCTCTGCAGCGCCGCTTGGAGACAGGCCTGCTTTCACACCACCCAGCGACCACGTTTCATAGTGGATCTGGATGTTCTTCAACACTAGAAGCGTTGACTCACGAGCTGCCATTTTCGATCTTCTAGCTCTCGCACGTGCTGACTGGCGCCCTCATTGGAAGATCCTGCGAGAAGTATTCAGGGTTGCCGGGACCTTGACTGCAGAATTTGAAGATCTCATGAAGAAAGGACCGACCAATAATATCCGACGCTGAAGCTAGAATAATCAGTCTGACCCACCGTAGTTTGAATCCTTTCTTTGACTACGAAACAAATTGCGAATAAGTTTGCGAAACTAGTAGTATACTTTTTCGTGGCTGCTTTTGGCTCCTGGTTGGAGCGGACCCAACAAGACCCTTCCCGTCGCCATGGCGCAGTTACTGAATTTGAAGGGCGGGGCCCTGAATCTGGGGGCTGTAAAGCAGGGACTCACGACAGGTCTGGACCAGGGCTTGAGTTTTATGAAGCAAAAGATCAACGAGGTATTTTTTTTGCGTTCCTTTCCAGTTTGGACCTTCATCACATGTTCTTCACTCTGATAGTGCGGAAGCAGCTGTAGACTTGAACAGGAGAGATGCGCACACAGAGACGCGACACACTCAGAAAAGAAATATAACAACAATCGCAGGTCGCGAAGCACACTCGGCAAGCCGGATACGACAGCGACGACGACCCGCCCACGATCGAGCCGACGAACCCCGGGGAGCAGCTGGTGCGTTACTTCATCCAGGGCGGCAATCCGCAGGTCCCCGATGACGAGGACAACATGTTCACGCTCCCCGCACTGCCCTACTACACCAAGGCGGTGGTTTTGCAAGATTTTCCGCTCCGGGGCGAGTTCCACTTCCGCTTCAAACAGCCGGACGACGAGTTCGGGTTCATTTGGGTGGACGTCCCGGATCTGGAAGACCTCGTGCCCTGCTACCAGGGAATGATTCAGCTCAAGGTATGGAAGAGGAAGATATCAAGAACGAATTGGACAACCTACCTGATGAAAATTTTATTTCGCGCGTAAAAATCCACGAATCTCTTCACAAAAAAGTTTAGTCTAGTGCACGTGCATCAGTGAAGATTCGCGATGTTGTCCGAAATTTTCAGGTCCTCTCCCTCCCGGTTCCGAGTCCGGAGTACGCGCGCGTCAGCAGCGTTGCGCGTCCGGTCGACTCCCGGGGGTCTCGGGGCCAGTTTTCGCCCAGTCAGCGCAGACAGCAGCCGGTGGAGACGGGGGTACAGCCGTCAAAGCCCGTCGCCAACCCAGACTTGCTGATCGGCACGGGCCCAGCGAGCGCCAGCAGCTCCTTCGGCTCGGTGCAGTCCTATGCGTCGGGCCCGACGGCGAACCAAAGAGGACATGGCGGGAACCACTTCGCGAAGAACGATCTGGAGTCGCTCGGGCCGGTTGTAAAAGCGGAGGACCTCGACCGAGACAAGCTGGTTCGAGAACGAGAAGAGGAGAAAGCAGCGAGAATGCGCGAGAAACTAGAAAAGCACAACGCGGTAGTAAAACGACTTTTACATTCTGGATGTGGATTTTTTTTTTTGACGTTGCGATTGCGAGAGCAAGGAAAATTTCAATGTAGTTTGTGATTGCACACACTCTGTCGACGAGCTGCTAGTCTGGGCCGCGCCTTGCGTTTCGTTTGAGGTGGAAGAAGAAAAATTTATATCATAATCACACCACAGGCTCGCGAAAAGGAAGAGTCCGGGAAGCAGGAGCGGGCAGAAGCGGGGCAGGAACTGAAGACGGAAATGGATAATTGGTGCATGAACCCGCAGGACGGCAAATGTCGCGACGTGCGGACCCTCCTGGCCAGCTTGCAGGATGTCATTTGGGAAGGCAGTACGTGGCACCCCGTGAGTCTGGGCGACCTGATGCTGAACCCCAGTAGGGTGAAGAAGTGCTGGCAAAAGGCGATTTTGATATCGCACCCAGACCGCCACAATGACGCGGACGGGCGCAGGAGGTATCGCGCAGAGCGAATTTTCGAGGCCATCAACGAAAGCTACAAATCCTTCAAACCGTAGTGACGACACTTTTTCACGACCCGTGTGCGTAGAGCGACACCAACGCGAAGTTACATTATGCGGCAATAAGTTCCGCGACTAAGAAATAAACCGGGAAAGCAGCACTGAGTGAGCCCTCCTAGGCCTGTATGGATCGTCGTTGTTCGCAATAAAGTAGTTGTGAGCCACTAACTTGATGAAATTCGGCAGATGTACTATGTTGAGGGACAAATATTTATGGTGATCATGAATGACAATGAACTTGAAAGATCATTTCTCCTTTACGTGTTTTCTGGACGATCATTTGCGAAAGAAAGATCGAGATCTCCTGTGTTGAAGGGTGGATGAGATGGTATGAACGTTCGGTGGTAAGAAGTCAGGCTCAGGCCCCAGTCATTGTCGAACACACCACGCAAACTCCTCCGCCACTTGTATCTATCAGGTCTTGGTGTAGTTCATGACGTGTTTAGTTTTTTTACCCCTGACCCTGACCCCGTCCCGCAGAAAGTTTGTTGTTTGCGCAAAATTCTTTATCCGCCTACGCTCCAAAACCAAATTTTTATTTTTTGCGCTTCTTTGTTCTAGTGGAAACCGAAACGAGAACGACATCAAAAGTTTTAGGTTTAGGGGGAGAATAGTTCTGTAGATTCGTTACCGCCCGACCTCCTTGTCCTTATTTGCGCGCATAATATACGCCCTCACGTCATCTCCCAATTTCGCAAGAAGAATTAATCATGTCGACCTCAACTACGCAGCAAGATGTCGACATCGGATTGGCGCAGCGGATGAAGGCTGCCACCCTGGGATCTTGCCTGGTTGCGCTCACGGTGACTCCCCTAGAGGTGATCAAAGTGCGGATGCAGACACCCGGTGGGAACGTTGTCCGCCCTTTGACCGGGAACAGCCCGAGCTCCAGTTCCACTGCGAGTAGACCGCCCATAATTGCGCACGATGCTGTCGCGGGTGCTGACGTCGGCATTAAGGGCAGCCATAACAAAACCACATTGATTAGCAGCGCTACTCCTAGTGCAACAACGTCTTCTAGTATTTCCGCGGCAGCACGAGCGGGAGCAGCTGAGCCAGTGGCGAAAAGTAGAACGACAGGCTTCATTTCCAAATCCCTCTCGTCGCGCATCGTTAATCTGTCGGACGGTATTCGAGACCAATGGGTGCGGATTCCCAGCTCGTCGAACACAATTCAGGCACACAAAGTAACGACTGCAACGACGACCCCGAATCTTCATGGGACCAACGGTGCACCAACTAAAGAATCGGCCCCAGGTGGCACAACTGTGCACGGCGAAAAACCCCGAGCCGTTCCAGTTGGTCAACACGCTACTCCTGCTACAGCAACACCTGGAGCTTCAAGTGCTGCGTCCGGAGCATCTTCGAGAACTACGGGCGCAGCTCCCAATCCGCCAGCCGCAGCACGTATTCAAGGCTTCGTTTCGTCTTTCTCCTCGGGCCGTCGCACGAACAACATGTACCAGACGTTTAAGCACGTGGTGCGGACGGAAGGGTTTCAAGCTTTGTATCGCCCCATGTGGCCAGCGTTGCTGATGTCGATTCCGGGCAACGTGCTGTATTTCGTTTCGTACGAGATGGGCAAGGAGTGGCTGGAGCAGGACATCGTGCAAGGCGGGCTGGTGCGCAAGGTATCCACGTCACTCGGGAACGTCGGAGTTGGTGATTCTTCATCACATGATCTGGGTGCCAGCACAGGTGGAGGTGCGCAAGGAAACAAGAACTCAGCGGATGAAAGTAGAGGCACAGCAGCTAGTTCTCCTTCTGCCGCCTCTAGTACAACTTCGGCGTCCCATTTATCAAAAACATCCCCTCCCTCCTCGACCTCGGCCTTCCTTCACGCCTACCTTCCCGCGGCAGCCATCGCCGGCTCCCTGGCCCGCACGGTCACGGTGTTTTGCATGGCGCCTTTCGAAATAGTGCGGACGCGGTTAGGCGCGGCGAACTACGGCGGCGTCGCGCAGACGGTGGCCGAGCTCTACAGCACGCAGGGGCTGCGCGGCTACTGGAAGGGGCTGCAGCCAACACTGCTGCGGGACGTGCCGTTTTCCGGGCTGTATTGGGCGAGCTACGACTTTTTGAACCGGAAATTGCGCACCACCGTGTGCGGCGCGCGACCACCACCGTCCGTCAAAACTACTACGAGCGGGGGCGAAGACAGAGATCAAGCAACGGGAACAACGGGCGCGGAGCTTGTGTTTTCCTTCACGGCCGGAGCGACAAGCGGCGCGTTCGCGAGTGTCTTGTCGCATCCGTTTGATGTGCTGAAGACCCAGCGTCAGGTCGCGGACTCGAACTACCTGGTCGGTGGAAGCGGCGCGGCCGCGAGGCTGGGGGGCGGGACGTCGACACTGGCGGCGTTGCGCGACCTGCAGCGACGTGGCCAGTTGTTTGCAGGCTTGGCTCCGCGGGTCTTGCGCGCGGCTCCGGCCTGTGCAATCATGATCTCCTCATACGAATATGTGAAGCGCAATCTCTGATGATGAATCGCAGCGCAATTTGCAAGCGGGAACATTTATTTTTGACCACGTCGGTCGGTCGTGCTTTGCAGCACAGGTGATGGTCGTGAGCAACACTGACGAACAGTCAACTAGAAGTGAAAGCGAAGAGTAGCAGCGATCCTACCATGTTCATGAAGAGGTTCAGAAGGCGCGTGTGACTTCTCTTGGAAGCTGCAAGGGGGTAGCATTTGGAGAAACTACAGATGTGTTCGAGGTTCGTGTCAAAGAAAATATTTTGGGCTGATGTAGTCGTCGCGTCCGAATTTCCTCCCTCACGTTCAATCTCTGCGGAGTCCTGCTATCCATACGTTCAAGAAAGAAGCACGGAAAATGTTCAATGATCCGACTGGCTCTGAGGAGTTTGCAAATAAACCGTGTTAGCAGATGAAATAGACATCGCCTGCAAGATCCAATGAATTCGAGATCCAGCCACATCAGCTTGGACGGAAACGTCGAGCGATGATCATGCTGTTGGCCTGGATTCTGCGGACGCCGTTGTACACAATGAGCGAAAGTAAAAGTTAATGAAGATCGAAATCTTCAGACCAAGATCACGACAACAGGATCGTGCCCAGGTCTTTTTTGAATTTTTGACAAATACAACCAGTTCCAAAGTCATCGATCCGTTTCCAACTTCGTCGATGGTGATATTGAGCACCATCTTTTAGAGCAGGTTCTCCTAGCTGGATAGAGGGAGCCTGGTATCAGATAGAACTGTTTTCGACCAGATCGCCCTGTTTGCTTTGGACGTTTGCTTCGACGGAGACGGTGATGCTGTGCCTGTACTTCCCATTCTGAACGAGATTCTTTCCATTTTGAATTTGACCTTAGCGACTAACAAAATGCCGAGTGACATGTTCCGTATGCTGAGCCAGGGGGCGAATTTTCGGCAGACCCGGAAGACGATACCCCCAAAAAACAGTGCGCTCAGCACACAGGAAGTAGGAATAAACAAGGCGAAGAGCAACGTGAAGTCCTCAGCTTCTACAGCACCGAGTTTCAGCAGTAAGCCAAGCGCTTTAAATTTCTTCCAGACCGGCGTTACCGGTTCTGATGAAACGGAAAAGGCAGAAGAAGGAGCGAGCGACGAGAACGAAAATTTGGAAGAAGGGTCAAATACAGCGGAGGATGCGCTTGATGGCGCTGACGACCAGAGAAACAATGGTCAAAATAAGATATCAGAGGACGAACTGAGGAGGCAGCACAAGATACGAAACGTGAGTAGCGATTGTCCTGCGCCCTGGGCGACTTTCGACGACTTCCAAGTTCCGAGCTGGATCGTCAAAAATGCGCGACGGGGACTGCGGTTCGAAACGCCAACGCCGATTCAGATGCAGTGCTGCCCCGCAGTGTTGACAAAACGGGATGTGCTTGCGTCCGCCCCGACCGGGAGCGGCAAAACCATGGCGTTCCTGCTGCCACTGCTTGCATCTTTAGAGGCAGACCGATCAAGAACAGCGGCTGCCGAGACAAAGAATAAGCCGCAGGAGCAGGAGACGAGCAACAAAATAACGGGGAATAATAAAAAGAAAAAGTCCATCAAGAAGAAACAAGGAAATAAGGCAGAGGTTGAAGAGTCCACAGCTACCACTACGACCGACGACAGCGACAATGGCATCCCAGCCCCCCGGCTCGTTGTCGTCGACCCTACGCGCGAGCTCGCACAGCAAACGTTGCGGGAATTTGTGAAGCTTGCGGAAGGGCGACTAACGGACTTTAGTCCGAGTCTGCTAGATGACGAAGGTAGTTACGGGGAGGAAACGATTGTTGCAGTCAGTACACCGCAGAAACTGGAGAAAATGCTGGAAGAGAAAAAAATCTCGCTGAAAAACTGCCGGTATTTTGTGCTCGACGAGGTGGACAAGTTGCTGGACTTGGGTTTCCGCGAGCAAATCGACAATGTCTTGTCCTACTGCAACACGGAACAAGCAACGACCCGTCCGGCCACGCTCTTCTTCTCCGCGACCCTGCCGGAAAACGTGGTAAATCTCGCGGAAACGGTGTTGCTCAATCCTTTGACAATCCACGTCGGACTGGGCTCGGCCGCCGCGAATCCCGATGTGGAGCAGAAGCTGGTGTTCATCGGGAAGGAAGACACCGGGAAGCTGTTCACGATCAAAACCATGCTGAAGACGGGAGAGCTGAAGCTTCCCTGTATCGTTTTCCTGCAGAGCAAGGACCGGGCGCGGCAGTTGTTCCAGGAATTGCGGCACGAGCCGGCCTTTGCGGGCGAAAAGCGGGTAGACTACATCACCGCGGAACGGAAAAAGGAGGAGCGAGACACTGCTGTGGAAAACTTCAGAACCGGGAAGACATGGGTACTTACGGGCTTTTTTTTTGAATGCTTTCATGATGCTTCTAGTTCTAGCTCTTTCGGAAAATATTGTAAATGACAAAAGGAACAAACGCAAATGCTCACCTCTCAAACCCTTGCAACATGAAGTGAGAAATTTGCACTAGACGTGCACTAACATCACACTTTGATGTTCTCTCAATTCAACTCACAAAAGGTGTTGATCTGCACGGATTTGATGAGTCGCGGGGTAGACTTGAAGCACGTGGAGATGGTGGTAAACTACGACTTACCGTTGAAGCAGTCCACCTACATTCACCGCATCGGGCGCACGGGGCGGGCCGGAAAGCAGGGGAAGTCCGTGACCTTCTTCACGGAAGACGATTTCCCGTTTCTGCGACCGATCGTGAATGTCGTGCGAAATTCCGGGTTTGCCGTGGCCGAGTGGATGCTGCAACTAAAGAAGCCGCGGAAGCACCGACAAGAACGCGGCGGGCAAATTGAATTCCACCGGCATATCGCACGAAAAGACATCCGAACCGGTGGCGTGAAGAAGAAAAAAGTCATGAAAGGAAAGGCGAACAAAGGCAAAGTAGCGGGTGCGAAGAATAAGCCCGCGGAAAATCCTGCTGGCGGTGATAGCGCGAAGATGAAAGAACCCAAAAAGAAGAAGAAAGCAATGAAAAAGAAGGAATGACACTGACGAAAGGTCCTGCACCAATGATTTTATCTGCCAGTGCGGAGGTTCATCCCTTTGTGGACGTAGGCTCTAAGTTTGTTGCGCGACGAATTTGCATGAGCAAAATCATCTTTGTACTGCTCTGCTGAGCGGATTGTCCTGACAACCAGGACTTTCTTCGATGCTGCCCGATGTTCTCATCAAAAACTCACTTTCCTCTCTGAACCTCGTTGAATGTCCGAACTAAGCGAGGAGGTCTCAAAGTCTCTTGACAAGTGACTGCTGTGTGTTTCTTGAGTGATCGCGAGAATGGTTTCATCTTGTTTTATTTTCAAATCGTCCCCGAAGTGGTCGCGCCACCCTCCCGTCCACGTTGATGTGGCCTCATTATGTCGGTTTTCTTAAGTACGTTAGATCTGGTGCTACCTCGTTTGCCACTTTGTTGAACTTCTAAGAAGTAGACCTGACCACTAGTACAAAAATGTCGGGCGCTGTTTCCAGCCCCACGTTCTCCGCCGGAACGGGCGACACGGCTAACATGCATGGGGCGCGGATGAAGATTCCGCTGAGTTGGTTTGACGCGAGCATTGAGAAGCAGCAGTATGTTCGTGGCAACATCGGTGGGACGACATCAAAAACGCCTTCGTCCTCCTCTTCCGCACCCAATTCCCGATCAAACTCGAAGACCTTGCTGCCCGGCGGCCCGGACAACGGTGCCGACCAGGACTACCAGCAGGGCCTAGAATTACTGCAGGGGAGAAGTGTGGTGGCTAACCCGCGGCTGGCGGCCTTCTACTTCCGGCGAGCAAGCGGGAAGGGACACTCTCGAGCGGAGTACATTATGGCCATGCTGCACAAGACCGGCTACGAGGGGATTTTGCCCAGTGCCCGCAAGTACCTGTTCTTCCTGCAGCGGTCTGCACGGCATGGGCTCGCGGTGGCACAGCTCGAACTAGGTACTGAGCTTTTCGGGCGTGTGATGTTCGTGTCTGTTGGAAGAGAGGTCATTTGGAGCAAAACACTATCTGTCTCATTTGTGCTTCGTTGGTTCGGGTTCGTTTGGTTGCAGTTACAACAAACTCGTTTTCATCCACAGGACTTCTGTATCTTCGCGGCTTTCTGCTCCCGAAGGACGTGAATCGGGGGAAGCGACTGCTGCGCAGGGCAGCCCAGTGTGGCGAAGTCGGCGCCTGGAAGCACCTGGCTCTGTCCGCCACGGGGGAGGAGAGTAGTTCCTGGTGGGAGAAGGCTGCAAAACAAGGGGACGCTGAGGCACTGTATGTGCTCGCGATGCGCGGTCTCAACCAGTACCCGGACGCCACTTCGCCGCCGATGTCTTCGTCTCAGGCCATTGAGCAGTTGAAGACGGCAGCGAACAAACAATGGCCTGAGGCGTTGCACGCGCTTGGTACTTCTTGTTCTTTGTACTTGTTGGTCTGAGGTGCTTTGTCGTGTTGGCCACCAGGAGCATCGAGCTAGTTATCTGTTATAGTACTTTATTGCAGGTTCAGTTTCTGCTTCTGGTCGGTCGCACACAACATGCCGAGCCATCGTCAGTTTCTCGGAGAGTGGATTTTTTTGACACCACTTTAACAGGTGAGATGTATCGCGGTGTGGCGCATCCGGCGTACTCCTACCGTCTGAAAGAGCACATGATCGGGCAGCTTTTGCGTCGCGACTGCGTGAAGTCCGCCCGCTACCTCGCGCTTGCCTGCGACGAGCTCTTAAACCGCCGCAACCAGCTGGAAAAGGAAGCCCGCGCGTACGAAGAGAAGCTGCTCACCTGCATGGGTGACTTTGACCAGGCAATCTCCTCGCAACTCCTGCTCGCCCGCGTTGTCAACCGGTGGCGACACACGGCCACCCGGCGCAAAGCGCTGCTCCGTCGGTTGATCGCTAAGCGGGAGACCACTTACATCCGCCCAGCGTGGAAGATCTGGCAGACCAGCGTTTTGCGCCGCTTTCTCGACCTGCGCGTCGGGTTTGAGGAACCGTTTGAGTTCGGGAAAACGCTCGGCCTCTGCTTCGCGCAGTGGGCCTTCCGCGCGGTGGTCGTGCCGAAGAAGATGACGAAGATCGTGCGCGCGAACGCGAGAAAGAAAAACTTGCGGAAGGCGCTGCAGTCCTGGCGCGCGTGCACGATCCGCCGGCGCATGGCGGTGTTTGTACTTGTGGAAGTGTTGAAGCAGAACTTGCGGAAAAAGTGCACAACTTTGCTCCCCTCCCAGGAGGAACGAAATTACCGTCGGGGCACGAAATTGTTGGAAAAGATGCTGCGGCGCAAACTGTACCAGAGTGCGTGCTCAGCGTGGCGGTTGACCACTGTCCAGCGCCAGACGAACGCGCGATTCGTGAATGAGGTTCGCACACTCTCCGACGAGAATCGCGTGCTCCAGCAGGACCTGCGCACGACCGCCCAGCGCCTGGCCGAACTCGAGCGCGAGGCGGCGGCTTGGAAAAAGCGGTACGACGAGGAACATACGCTGAACCAGCAGCTGCTGCAGTCGGGGCTATCGGGCGGCGCCTACAACCGGAAGTCGACCGATACCACGGATTTTGTGCGCCAAGGCTCTCCAAACGCCGCACGGGAATCGCAACTGCGATTGCTCAACAGTGCGGGCGGCGGGAGCAGGAGCGCGTCGCCGGGACAAATTATGCCAATGTCCAGCGCGCAGGCGCACCTGGAACCGACGACGTTATTCCATCAAAGCACGGGAACAAACCTCTCCTTCAACCAAATCCCGACTACTACGCAACAAGGCAACACGACGCTGCTCCGGACGAGCAGGGGGCTTCTCGGGGGCATGGCTTCGAGCGCCAGCACCTCCCGAACAAACAGTAAAAAGGCTTCGCCTTTATCTGCAACCGGCACGACAGATCCGCACGAGATTCTCGGCAGATCAGCTGGCGGGCAGCTCTTCCTAGCGGAGGACGCGGGCGGCAGTGCTTTCCTCAACAGTGCACAGCACCAACAAGGAGCGACATCGTCAAGCCATGAGATGGTCTACCCTTCGCGAAGATCCTCCTGGTCCCCGAAGGCCGTGTTTCGGCCGGTGTCCAGAACCGCGGGCTTGGAACATCGAGAAGAGGACAGTGCAGTGGCCCAAGAACAGCAGCTTTGCGGGACTGGAACAGAACAGCCCTCGCCGATGAAGCGGCTGATGCAGCGGAAAATCATGTCCAGTCAGGAACGATATGCAATGCAAAAATGTCTGGGTCTGGAAGAATGCATGTTTGTCATGCTTGTCTGGCATGACTCTTGAATCTGTCATGCACGTTACCCAGGAGCTCTGTTTTTCTGTGATGCAGGAACGCAGTTTGTCATGCAGAAAAGGCAACACCTAGAAGCTCAGAAACTTGTCATGCTGAGCGAGCATTTGTGGCCTCATCATGAGACGCCACCCAGCATCACAAGTTTCCAGACCCAGACATTTTTACATTTGATAAACGACTGAAGAGCATCCTGGAACAACCTGTAGACACGGACGACGAGATTCTAGCCTCAACCTCCCTGGAAGGAGAACAGGAAAACGAGGATTCTTCCGCCACGCTGGAATCCAGTTCATTAGTCCACGTAAAAAAGACCGCGACCGGGAAGACGACTGCGTCTGCCCGTCCTGTTGGAGCAACAACTAGGCAGCAGACGATGTCGAAAAGGGAAACACAAGAAATCGATCCCATGATGAGGATTAGCACGGGCAAGTTTCCGCGCCGTGTGGTCTCGAGAAGCCGAAGCTCAACAGGTTTCACCACCGCTGCAGCGTCCTCGACTGGGGCCTCCCGAGTTCGTTTTTCGGACCAGATTAGTCGAAGCTCGACCATGTCCACAGCCTCGAGGTTTGATGGGACAGCGTTAACGGCCAAGACGCGCGCGGCCTTGGCCAGCACCCTCTCCACGACCGGTGTGCGGCGGACCAACTCAACCGCCTCAACCTTCGCGCCCTCCAGTACCGCAAGCACTACTTTTTTGCAGCGTACTAGCGCCAGCAACAGGAGAAGCCAAAACCTGCCGGGGAGGCATCTACGGTTCAGCAGTATGAACAACCCGGGCCGCGCCTCTACTTCCTCCATGGTAAATAACAGACGCTCGTCGGCGCAAAGCGGTGCGGCAACGGGCGGCGCGTTGTCTCGCCCGGGGGCAGCGAGTGATGAGGTGCTACTGGATGATCCGTCGGAACTCTCTTCTGTGGTGGAAGTGCTGGCCTCCGCCGCAGTGGGAAGGGGGGTCAACGCCGGGGCTTTGCCCAATTCTGCAGTGGCCGCCACCACAGCAAATTCCGCAACCAATAACTTTCTCGACCAGTCTCCGCTCGAATCTGTGGACGTCAGGAGAAATTTGTGGCAGACGCCGCAGCGGACAATCTACTACTAAAAACATGTACTTTTCTGATCTTGCTCCGTTTCTCTGTAATGCTGATACGCAACCGAAAACGCAAAGTGGGCTGGCAGCAGAGACAGGATTCGGAAATTTGTTTTCGTCGCAAAAAGACGCATTTCTTTGAGAAATGCTTGTTTTCATAAGCGTTTCTCTGGAGAAAGCACTGGCTCCACCTGCATAATCGTACGTGGCTTCTGTTGCTGTAGTGATGGCTTAGTCGTGGCGCAGCAATCATGCAGGCATTGTCCTTGCAGCGGGCTCACGGGCTCAGGAGTCAGTAGTTGCAGAAGTTGCGCCATCAAGTCGATCTTTTATCAGTTTTTTGACTCGTAGTTGCCAGATCGTTTCATTTGCCTTACCGGATCCCCGCTGCTTCCTACTGAGTGGACGTGGAGCTCCCGTGCTGGTGAACAAGATGCTTCTCTAATACAACCGATCCGGAATCATGATTATGATGTTGCAATTGACTTCATTTTTTTTCTGATCCTGCGCCTGCCGAATTCGATCGCGTTCGCGTAGCCAGAGCCACACTCACTTTAGTGGCACATATCGAAGTTAGGCAGATGGACTTTTTAAAGCTGATCGCGTTTGCGGCGGAGCAAAACAAACATCTTCAGACGTTTTATGGTTACCACTTTTTTCCGTCTTTGCAGCAGGCTCTTGCATCTTTCCTTTCCTCAGCTGCAGATGGCCATAGATCTTTCTTTCTGCATTTGCATAGACTTATTCTGCTTGCATTCATCCTTTTTTTTTCGAGAATCAATTGTAATAGATATTCCTTTCAAGTTAGAACTTTCACTTTCTATGCAACTACAACATGATAATTCGCACTAGTAGCAAGAAACCATTTGTTTCTTGATATGAACTTTTAAGTCAAGATCGCAAGGCAAAAATGAGTTCCGTTATAGCTTTAGTAGTCAAGTATAAGTAGTAGATAGTTTTGTTTACTTCAAAATGCAATACTGATGTTTTTCGATGAACTTTTAAGTTGGCGAAATTAAAGAAGCCTCGCCCACCATGAAAGCATCTTGTGGAATAGCGGCTCAACATGGTGCGCGCTTCCGCTTGCCTATTTTTTGGTACTACTGTCTCTCCTTCGCGGCATTTGGATTTCTGGCCAGCGACATGGCGGAGGCGGTCAAGGTACGCTCCTTTCTGTCAGACCCCGATACACTCCCACTGCAGGAAGTACGGACGGCGCAAATCAGAACACCGCCTCTAGTTTCAGTGCCAAAGGAATTTGAACTGCTTCCCGATGAGTCGTGGAATTGGAAGACGGGACTATCGAAGCAAAAGGAGCTGGCGACTCAGCACTGGGTCGCGGGACTTTCGATGCCCGACCACATCGGGATACGCTTTTTACAGGATGTTGCGCGCGGCCCGGACGGTATCGCCGACTTTCGCACCGCAGCCTGGCACGGCTTTGCAGGTTGTGTCCCCGTTGGGGTGCTTGCAGCGCGGGAGCGCGCAGAATTCTATGTGGAACTGTGGCAAGCAGTAGCATTCGCAGAGCAGCTTTGGACAGAAGAGCAGTCCCGTCGTCAGACGTTCGTCACACGACAGGAACAGATGATGCGTATTACCCGTAGCAGACGACCAGGGAGCGGGACCGGTAGGAGAGGTGGATCTCCACCCGGCCTCTACACGACCAGGGGACGCATTTTCTGCCACCAGTGTGGCAGAGATCGAGATTGTGAGAAGATGAAGCAAATCAAGCAAGTAGGAGCATTGTCTGCGAGCTGCGCCCGGTCACTTCCAAGAACGACAAAAAAGGCGAAAAGTTCAATATCTATTCCAGGGATTACATCAAAACGGAACCATGCGACTTCGAAGAAGCCGCTTTCCGCGGAGCGGCTGCACCGGCTGACCCACCACCGATGGGTGCAATACACTGCCGCGAGCGACCCGGATTCGGTCGACGGTGGATCAGCGCTTCATCTGCTTGAGCCAGGGCAAGCGTTTGTGGCAGAATTCGACAACGTCACTGCGGAGACTGTTGATCTTGCGAAAAAGTTGCTGGCCTGCCTCTGGGAAAACTACTTTCTCGAACAGGATCCCGGGGCGCGCGAGTACTGGTGGATTTGGCTTTCCGCGCGCAACTGGGCAGTGCTCGCTCAAATCGACCCCGACCTCCTAAAATTCCGGCTGCCGCTTCTGCTGCAAAAGGAAGGCGATAAGGAGAAGAGAAAAGCGATTATAACGAGGTTGCAGAATATCGTCCTGGACTCACGGGCAGACGCGGTACTGGACTTTAGTACCGATGAAGAAGTAGAGGATGATGAAGCCGACGACCTGGGCCATCTGTTTGCTAGAGGCTTGCAAGATGCACTCCTCCATTCCAACACTGACCGCGGTGGAGCGAGTCCGACTTTCACTGCCAGCACGCGGAGCACTTTAATCACAGAACAAGGACTCGACAGAAGCTACTTCGCCACTCTTAGTGACGTAGGAAGTAGCTCCGACCCTATTAGCGAGAGCGAGCAATCACCCGCAGCGATGACGGAAGGATTTCCTCATGCACCGACCAATGCGGTGGAAGGCGATGGCGAAGCAGAAAACCTGGGCGGCGCCCCTCTGACTAGGAGTACATCTGCGCCCCCGCCGCCCTCTATGATTCGGCGGGATGCGATGCGTGCGCTGTGCGTCGCGTTTGACCAACCGATAGGTTTTGAGCGCCTCGTCGGGAAACAATTGAAAACAAGCGGAAACAACGCCGAAGTCTTCGGCACGGAACCAATTTACAACACGGTACGGTCGCACCTGTTCGCCGGCGATGTGTTGGAGCAGCGACGGCTGCTCGATTTTGTGCAGAACCAGCTGCAACAGGACTGCGACGCTGACCACGGTGTTTTTGTTCTGGCGTTGCAACAACTTTCCCACCTAACGGACATTTTTCACGACCTCCCACAGGAAGTAGATAAAAAATGCGCTGGTTGTTGTACAAGAGGAAATAGCGGTCAAGAGCACGATGCAGCGATTCACTTTCTCGAGAGCTTGCTTCTGCAGTTGCTGAGTCTAGGACAGACGAAAATCGACCCGCACGAACACGCTGACACTGAGGACGGCACGACTTGCGGAAACCGTTTGAAATCACTCTTCCAACTCGGTGCTCGTCGGGCGATCTATTCCCGAAGTTTTCATCACAACCCCGAGTTTGCGACGCTTGTTGCCCTTTTGGCGCTGACTTCGCACGAAAGCATCGCACGTACTCTGGGCGGCGGCGCCGAGATTCAGCTCGTGCGGTTGCTGTTTAGCGGGGCCTTGCGGGGGGTAGCAGTAGCACGGGAAATAACGATGAACAAATCTGGGTCCTTGTCGCGTGACTTGCAGAACATGGAGGTTGATTTGACGCCAACAATGCCCTTCCGTGCTGAAACTGTTTTGCGAGACTTTTTGTACTACGCATTCGTGGGAGAAAGTCGGACAAGTCTGCGAACAGACAAAAGAATCTTCCTCGAGGCGTTCGATACGGTGGTGAAGGAAATCCACGTACTGCCCGGCATTTCCGACAAATGGCCAATGCCGCAAATGTCGGAGACAGAGGTCGTTGTGGCGCTGCGAAACATCGCACTGGAAACGTATCCAGAGGTACTCGGCAAACTGAGGCTCTTCGACGAGACGTTTATTGCCGAACCACGGATGTTGAGACCAGTAGAAGAAATACCGCAAGAACGCTTGAGACAAATCAGTAGAAATACCTCCCCGACGAGCAGTCAAGTAGAATCTTCCAGCCTTTCCTACTGCTCAACGGGCCGGGGTCAACGCCCCTTGAGGACATATCATGCGATCTGAACGAGGTAGAAGCTGTTGTTTCCGACTGGATAGAAGAGAGTCCACTTTCATCTACGATGCATTTTTGGTTACGTTGATCATGATCTTGATCATTTGAAGAGATTCGCACGCGTAGAACTCGTCGCGCACCATTTTAGTTCTCATATATTTCATCATATGTATAAAATCTTTTGGTATTCCTCTTCTTCAGCATGGAGCCCCCATGATACCTCTTGTAGATGACCAACAGAAGAATAGTACTTAGAGGTGTATTCCTCCACGAGGTGTGTGGCATTTTTTCCACGACCTGCGCAGCCCAGCACGTGGAAGCTCTCATTTGACGCCACTCGAGCTCGACCGAAGACCAAAATTTGCCCGTAGCTTTTGAAGAAATGCGCATTGACGCTACAAGATGAACGATGACCGCTGAAGATTCACCACGCGGATGAATTTCCTTTATTTTTCATGGAATCTGATTGTGTCTTTATCTTCTCGTAAACAAAAGTACCAGCTGGAGGACAGAAGGAATATTAGGACATCACTTTCTTGGTTCGGTTTCTTTGAGAACCCCGAGTATTTGTGGATCGGTATAATCCGTTGCTACCGCTCAATTAAAGAAAAGAAACGTTTTCCTATCCTGTGACCCTGCATGAAGTCATTTTGAATAAAGGCTCGCTCCCCCGGTAAGTGACCCTACAGCGACAGGCAGCGTTGATCCGCGTTCGCTTTGCTGACCACGCCATGGTGTCGCCGGGCTCGAGCCTCATGCGTCTCCTCAGAAGATGGAGCCGGTCGTGCACTTTTCTGCTTCACAGCGTACTGTTACCGCTTCGTCAGGTTTCGTTCTCCGAGGGCGCAGTGCGGATGGAGAGAATATTTCCCTACGAAAACAATCCACCGGCGGCTTTGGACGTCGGCGCCATACTGAATGCTTTACCACTAGAAACCACATCTGCCCTCGACACCGCAGCCCAGGAGCTCGCACGGGGGATCGCAGCTGTGTTTTTCAACGGGACCGGTTTAGAAGTGGTTTGGGAGGACGCAGACGATGTTTCCTCGACAACCGGTCAAAGCGGCCTAAAAGTTCCGCGATTCCGCTACGCGGAAATAGAAGAAGGAGGGGACCAAGTGGGAGTGGCGACACAAGCAGATGGAGGACCTGGCGCAGTAGAAGAGCCAAGAGAGCGAAGTAGTGCACAAAATAGCACTGTTGTAACAACTTCTCAAGCTGCTGCAGGTGCAGGAGCTCCAGCTGTAAAAATACCAGAAGCCGCATCAGGATCATCCAAAGCTGACGCTGAGACGAGGAGACCAGAAGAATCCTCGGGAACCTTCGCTAGTCTATCGAAGAGCGTTTTCGGGTGGTTTACGGATTCCACGAAAGACGAAAGCACTGCTACGCCCAGCGAAGGGGCCGTCACAACTTCTGCAGGTCGTGGGACTTCTGCTCCTGAAGACACAAAGCCTGCACCAGACCTTGGTGCTGGCGATCATGTAGATGCACCCAGGTTAGCAGCAGGCGCGTCTTCAGCTGAAGTGGCGCCAGTACAACCTTCCACGCAAGTAGAGCAGAAAACCTCTTCAGATCCTGGCGTGCCGCAGACGAAAAAGAAGGAGAAGCTTCGGTACCCGAAGGAGTATTTGAACTTCTGCATCCTCGGCATCGGGAAGGGCAGCATCCCGCTGCTCACCCGGTACTTCGAATTCTTCCCGCAGATTTCGTTCTGGGTTTTCGTGCAGGAACTTGACTGGGACCTGTGGGACTCGCTCGTTGCGCACTTCCCGAAACGAAAAATAAACGTGGAATACGACGACCGGATACCGCGGCTGAAGCCCCGGTGCCACATTCTCGCCTTTGGCATGGACTCGGTCGAGTTCACGATCAGCAAGGTGTCGCGGTTTCTGTTCACCAAGACCGACCAAATGCTCCTGGTGTGGCAGACGCACGGCTGCGGCAAGCCGGGGGCTCTGGAGTGGAACCCGGAGTGCGCCTACTTGCACTCCCAGTGGACCAGCACGCTCTGCGGACGGCAAGCCGACCTCGACCTGACCCCAGAGCAGGCACAAATGCTGCGAGAAACACGGTATGGCGCCTTGGAAGGCCGGGGCTTCGCCGACTGCACCGTGGGACAGCGGCTCGGCGACCGCCCGAATTCCTGGGCGGTGCGGAAACGGCGGGAGGCCGGGGAAGTGATTTCAGAGGACGAGTTTGAAAACGCGAACCCGCTAACCGCCGGAAAACCGCTTTGTCTCTGTCTGGTCGACCGTCTGTGGATGAGCGACTTGTACTACGAAAAGCCGATCTGCGAGGAGTTTGAGCAGCGGAAGCTGCCCCCGGGCCGGCGGATCTACGCACGGCACACTGAGAATTGGTACGACCCCCTGAAGGATTTTTTTTTCGGCTACGGACAGTGGAGCCAGGACTGGTTTCTGTACAACAACTTTTTCCGGCACAAGAAGAAGGGCTTTTTCGTCGATATCGGCGCGATGGCGCCCTTCGAGTTGTCTAACACCGCCGTGTTCGAGCAGTGCTTCGACTGGGAGGGGCTCTGCGTCGAGCCGAATCCGAGCCAGCATCTGGTCATGCTAGGGTACCTACGCACTGCAAATTATACGTGGGCTGAGTCTGGAAGCAGTGTGCGAGTGAGTGGTGCTCGTTCCGGTAGACAACGCTATAAAAGGCTATCTTGTATGAGAAGAAAAATTTATTTTGTGTTGCCCAGTTCTCGGGATGCATAGTGTGGATTGCTCATTGTCCAGGATAAGCAGCGCAGTTGCGAAGCAGAGGCCTCGCCAAAATGTACGATGCTGCTGGACCATACATAGTCGTGGCAAGAGACGATGTGGGCCAAAGTAAAACTGTTCCAGAGCCAGAAAAATTTCCAATTGACAGCCTCGGCCGAAGTGCCGGCTTGTCCCCTTCTGCCTCGGCGACAGCACGGGGAAGCGGAAAACATTTGCGTTGCAGGAGGGCTCGTATGGTACTGGACAACTCGTTTCGCTTCCCCTCTGTTGGCATGCAAAGTGCAGCTGAATCCTTTTACTTTTTTTGTAGTTGCTGCATGACATCTTCAAGGAAAGAACCCAGGTTTAGCAACCCTAAGTGGTCGAGAACAAGCAGGATTTTTAAAAGTCTGTTTGTTCCGTGAGATGACAGTTTCAGTTGTCCACTTGCATAGCTCGACCGGACACGCACGGGTCGCAGAAGACGCCCCCGTAGCAGAAACGAAGGAGGAAACGCAGAAAGCAATCCAGGACTGGCTGCGCGGCACCGATCACCTGGACACGTTTCAGTCCGAATGCATCTCGTTGGAGGACATGCTGCGCTACAGCGGGGTCACGTGGAAAACCCCGATCGATTTCGTCTCCATCGACATTGAGGGGGGCGAGTTCGAGATTTTGAAGAATTTTCCCTTCGACAAGTTCACCATCCACGCCTTTTTGATCGAGGCCGGGCACGACTCGGCGCAGCGCATCGACATTCTGTTGCTCGGAGCGAAGTACGTGAAAATGGCAGTTGTGGGGAAGGATCAAGTGTACGTGCACCAGGAGTATCTACACACCCTCACCGGAAACTACCTGCTTGGGGAAACTGACATGAACCCGTACGAGCTGGTGTACCCCCCGTACATCAACATCGACCCGTACAACGACACATTTGACGTTTTCCAGCGACGCTTCCTAGACTCGGAATTCGGGAAATAGAAGACTGAAAGAACGCAGTTGTAATTGTAAAGCTGCTGCATTTCATATATCTTCTCACAACGAAAAGCGCTGACTATTTGTAGGGTCAGGCAACGCGACTCTCACTCTCAGCCTACGCGATTCACACTGCGACTGCGTTCGTGGTGCCCTCTCCCGTTCTCCGGTCTTTGTGAAAACAAGATCGGTCGAAGTAAAATGTCGGTTGATGAGTGGGCTGTCGCGCGTGTTGTACTCGGATCTTTTAAGGAGCTGTCGTGAAATTCTTCGCGAGATTTGATGATCAGCATTTTTAAGATCAAAGTGGATGCACGATTATAAATATATCGTGTGCGGTGCTGGTTCCACTAGTGTTCGAATCAATGTGCTGATCTGATGTCTTGTAGAGCATTTCAGATTTCATTTTCAACCACCTTTTTACTTTGCTAGCTTCTTTTCGTCAAAAGAAACGAAGAGTACCATCATCAGTTCCCCTATGGCCTTTCTCGAAGATGATGCAGGGTCCCATCGAGCGGCGTTGCCATATCACTTGTCGTCGACCGATTTGGTTCCGTTACCGCGCGCCTGATTTCGCCATTCCCACCCAAGGCACGACTTTTCTCAACTGCACTTCTGGCGGGAGCAGCAGCAGTGGTTGCAGCAGAGTCAAGAACATCGTCGCAAAACCCCGAGACGTGGCGGGTGCTTATCGACAGTTCGCTTCCAAGCCGGTCACGGTCGCCAGTAACAGCAAGGCAGCTTCCTACGAGAAAAATTCCCTTTTTCTGCGGAAGCTAGCGGAGAAGACACTGCTCGGAGAAGAGCAAAGTCGTGCGGTCGCTCGGCAGCGCACGAATTTGTTCACGAATGAAAACACCGAGACAAAAGCCGGTCGGCGCAGCAAGCAATGGAAGCAAGCGATGGAGAAATTTGGCGAGGACTGGGGGAAACTGAGCCAATCGGAAAAGCGTGCGGTCGAGAAGGGAAAGGTATTGGAGCACAGTTTTACCGAGAAATACACACCGCCGCCGAGAAAAGCGTCCGACCCCCTGTTTCCAGACTACGACGCAGTCGTTGCCCGGCAGAAGCGGTTGGATCTCAAAGCACAGCAGGCCATGCTAAAAAGGACGAGTAATCTTCCGTCGGTGTCTGGTGCGACATCAAACCGGCACGGTGGTATTCTGGGTTCTACAGCGCGGGAACAAAATTTTTCAGAAAATTTTGGGCGGCAGCCGGATCGGTACCTGCAAACAGACACAACAAACACGACGGAAGAGGCATCAAAGGAGCTGGACAAGTTTCTGATTTCCGTTCCCCATGGTCTGGAGCCGCTGTTGGAGGAGGAACTATGAACTGCAAAAGTGTCGTACTAGTATAAATCGCAATACAAACTGGCTCAGCATTACAAATTGAATTTGTAATGCGGATTTAAGTACCTAATCCTAAGCCGATGCCTAACCATTTAGATTTGTAATGCATAACTCGGATTACTACGAGTATGATGCTTTTGCACAGGATAGGAACTGTATGAGAGCATTTTTCCGCACACGCCCGGCACCATCACGCACATGGGTAAGGGGTTGGTTTTCGTGCAAGGGCGCTGCGAATTGCTCTGGAATCTCGCGATCACCGCCAGATTCGTGGATCACGTCCGCGTGCTCTTCGCGCCCATACTTGCTTTCGGTGAGGCGGAGTTGATGCGCGGCGTAAAGGGCATGGAAGCGGACTGGGGGCGGTTCCTGCCGCCGCATTTTCGAGAGGAAGGGCAGAACGAACAAGAAAACCAGGAATTATTATCCGGGCAGATGAAAATGAAGCCAAATAGAGAAGAGGACAAATCTACTCGTCTCGGTGCTGAAACGAATGTTGACCACTTGCAGATACAGGTCGTGGCAAAGTGCGACGAAAAGTCGCGACTCAAGGACGTGCGCCTGGTATCTGACCTAGTGGCGCGCTCGCTGCCTGTCCGTCGGGTAGACGTGGCGACGATCCGCAGAAGGGTTCTGGAAGGAGAGGAGAAAACTTCGGAGACATCAGCAGAAGATGAGGCAAATCAGGAAGAAAACAAGCCGGAGGCGAAGCGAAGAAAGGCCGCGGAACGCGACCTGCAATTGTACGACCGATTTCAGCGCCACACGAGCCCCGACAAAGACGTGACGCAGATAAAAGTAGAGATGCGCCACAACAAGGCGCATCTGAGCGTGTACGCGGCCGCACGCCCGCGATTAGGTTGCGCGAAGCCCTGCGAGCGGCTGCCACCCCCGGTGGCTTCCGCTTGCATTGTCAAATGCGTGCGCGCGATGGACTACTACAGAGGTCCCACGGAACTACCTTTGGAAAGCAGTGGTTTTGCACGGGAGACTCTCGGCGACCAAGAGCCTGCGTTCGCCTCTGGATGCCGCAGCGTGACTGGAAAGGCAGCTAAAGACATGTGCCCTCCGACACGGATCCTTTGGGATCCTTTTTGCTCCGACGGGGGGTTACTACTAGAGGCACTGAGCGTTTTGCAAGAGACACCGCCAGGAAGTCCAAATTTGAACTATCCAATGCTCCGCTTTCCTTCGCACGACGAGCAGAAGTTCCAAGAGTTTCAACGGGATTTGTGCGACCGCATCGGTTTTGATCCGGAGCTCTCGAGGCCGCTGCGAAGTCTGGCGTTAGTTGGCAGCCACGAGCGCGGAGTAGCCACCGCAATCGACAATTTCCACGGCTACCTGAAGCGCATGCCCCGCACCGATGTGGTGGCAGAAAAGCCGAATCCGTTTCTCGGCGCTACTTTCTTGGGCGAAGTAACGACGAGCAGTTTCAGTCCTGATCTGCGAGACGGCGATCCAGGGGAAAATGCGGAGCTTCCTGTGAGTGCTTACAGTAGTAAAGATTTCCCCGACGGCGCCGGGGGAAAGGAGCGGGACGGCACATTATCTGGTGGTCGAAAGCTCTCGCGACGAAGAGCAGCCCCTTCACTCGTCGGAGGGATGAAGGCAAGATCTCGAGCGACGCAGCTGCGACAAGCGGTGCAGCCACTGCACAGTGTGAGCTTCTACAAAGGAAAATGCTCCGTTGAGTTCGCGGAGGAGCTGTTCTCACAAAAATTTCAAGTTCCTGCCCTCTCATCGTCAGATGCCGCGGAAAGGCATGTCGAAATTCCCGCGCGCAGCAGAACACTTGTTCCACCACAGGTAACGCTGTTGACGCATCTACCTTCTGGACCGGGCGTTTCTTCCCGCTATGCGCTGTGGGCGGCAAGTGCAGTGACGAAAATTCTGAAGAAGTGCTCGTTTGTCACGGATGCTTTTTGCCTCACTGCGCGCGGAGATTTGCAACGCGCGTCTTCGGCCAATCTCGATTGGCGTGTGCAGTTGCGGGCACAAAATAACGAAAATGGATCGGATTTGCAATTGTTGCGGTGGCAGCGCGCATGACGATATCATGGGAATATGAATTGATGATAATTTAAATTTTCTCGACGAAGTCAAAGCTGAATATTCAGAAAAAGAGGGGCAGAAAGATTGATTAAGATTATTCATTGCAGTGTTCTCTCTGGTTCTTTAGAGTCTTCTTTGAAATTGAAGACTTCTGCAGATGAGAGGAATGAAGTAGAGTAGAGCTTCACTGACAAACGTCTGCGATGATACAAAAAGAGTTGGCGACAAAATGTTTGAGAGGGTAGCAGAAATCAATAGAATAAAAGATGTCTACTATCTACTGAGCTCGGTCATTGTTTGAAGACACGGTGCTCGTTTTGGTTGACGTTTTTCACAAAGTAGCACAAATGATGGTGCCTTCCTGCTCCTGTAGTACTTTTTTTTTGGAGTCTGCATTCGTTTTAGTCTGCCGCTGCCCACCACGCACTTTCTGAGCGCAAGAATTGTCTCTGTGAGGAATCAGAAGCTATGTCCTCTGGTGGATCGTCGTGTGCCCCGCCCTCGAGTTCTGCTACAGCAGCCTCAGGGGTCGCCAATAATGCACTGGCACAGCGACCGGGCGGTATCTGTGCTGCCGAGTGCAAATTCGTTTACGGTACGGGGAGTTACAGATTTGTACTGCAGAAGGACTCGATCGCGAGGAGTTCCAGCAGCACCCTGTCTTCTTTGTCCGCGCCCGCAGATCATGCAGTAACGGACACAGAGGAAGCGACACCACCGGGCGCCGTAAGAATCACCGGCACAGTGGTTGTGGGTTCGAATGGGACAACGTGCGTCATTACCAACGGAGTTCTCTCCGCGTTGGAGCTTCGGTACCGGTTGGACTGTTTGAGCACCGGCTGCCCCCTTTGGCAAGTCGAAGCTTCCCGCTGCAGTTTAGTGGAGTACTCTGGAGAATATTTTTCCCTAAGAACGAGGAGCCAGCAGGACGGCAAGGGGGCGCCGTGCTCAGTGCTCTTCACTGGAGTAGATGGCGCCCGGTCTTTAATTGGCCGGGACGGGCCAGACGCAGTTGCGGAGCGGAGCGGCGTGAACAAGAGGCCGGCGGGTATCACTGCTAAGAGGGCCGACGCCTACTTTGGTTATTTATTTTCATGTGAGGGTCTAGGATACCTACATAGTTCTCGCCGTCCAACCCATCTAATCTTGCAAGAGGAAGCGAGAAGACCTCACTCCGAACTGCATCAATGGAGGAAAAGGAACCTGTTTGAAAGGTTGTACTCAAGGTAAGAAACTGAAAAAAAGCACGAAGTGAACATATCTTATCTACAGGCGATATCAGCTGCGGTGCCGGTGCGCGGTTGGCTGAACTGTTTCTGACGTCTGCACGCAAGGAATCAATGCGTCAATTCTTGACGATGCGGGAGTATGACGAGGAGCGCAAGGGCTATCTGAGCCTGAAGAGGGGCGGGGTTCCGAAAGTAGTGGAGATCCTCGAGGACAAGCTGCCCGCGATAGTGGAAAAAGAGAAGGAGCACACTCGTCCCAACGCCGGCAAGGAGTTATGGGTGTACCGCCTGACCCGATGGGGCGAAATATTGAAGAAGGAGGTAGAGAGGGAACAGGCGGAGGCCGAAAACTCTGCCAAGCGGGCCAGGTCCGGGCGCTAGCGATGCTGGAAGGGCAGAGCGAAGTAGAGCCTTTAGCTCAACACGCGCGCACACGTCTCCAGAAAACGAAAACCTACCGCAGTCATCTTTTCACTTTTGTAAGGTACTTATAGGATACTGCCTTGTCCTCACTAAATGCATTTTTCTTACAATAGAAGGGGCATTGATACAAGGCTAGCACTCTTCTAAATTTTTCTGCTAAAAGCGCTGACATTTATTCCGCTAAATCAAGCACCGTTTTTCGTTGTTAACCGACACCAAAGCTGCAAGAAAACTGTGAAGAGGATAAAGAGCTTTTCTCTGTGGGGGAGACAAACACAATATTTTGCCATAACATAAATCATTTCATTTCATGAAGGATGGACATGAAACATGTTCCGCTTCATCAAAGCATGAGCAAAGCGGAAAGGGCATCGATTTGGCCGCGATTCAAAGACACCAGTCTCGTGTTCGAGGAAGTAGTGCGTGTGCGCTCATTTTTTTCTTCCCGAGGAAAATTTGCCGAATGGCTAAACCAGCGTGTTGCTCACAATAAACTAGAACTTGATTTCTTAGGGAAATAAACACACGATTATACGAGCGACTGCGAAAAGGAAAAGCTTTCGATTATTCAACATAGACCTTTCTACTTCTCCTGTACGGCACTGCCATCATGTCATCTCTACTCTAACTATCTCTCTTTTTGGATTGCAAGTTGAAGTGCAAAACGCAAACCACACGTTTTCCCGAGAACTCACTGTCACTTTCTGCCATCCCTCGTCCTCTTCTTTGTTTTATATCGACCTGCACCTGAAGCTGAATCGTCCTCGCCCTCGCGTCCTTGTTCGGCTTCACGGTGGAAAAGGAAATGCCGGGATCTTCCTCTTCGTCCTCTTCCGGTTCAAGCGTCGCTGTGGTGCCAACGACCAGTGTCGCAGAAGTGAACTTTGTACATGGTGCGGGAAATTACTCTTATTGTTTGCAAAGGGGCGCCGTCGCCCCCAAGGATGAGAACAAGACCAGCATCTTCGCAACGGTGGCAATTTCCAACGTGATGCATCTTCTCAATGGGTTTCTGTCCTCGCAGGAGATTCAGTACGTGCTTAGCGACATGACTGGCAAGGCCGTCTTCGCGGTAAAGGGGACGAGGAGCGCACTAGCCGAATACACTTGCACTTGGGCCGCTTGCACATTCGAAGCATCAAATGCATTCGAAAACGTCGAGAATGGGCAGCAGGCAGCTTTGATCTTCACCCAGGGCCGACAGTCACTGCATACCCTCTTGCCCGCCGCCCCAGCGAACGAGACGACGAGTCAGACATCAGAGGAGGGCAGCAGGAAGAGACAGAGCAAGGATGCACCACGGGATGAAGGTACTACTGCGCATACAAAAATCCATTTCATAATATAAGTTAATAGTAGCTAAATTTTATACTAGTATATGTTGATGTTGTTGTACTATGTCTTCTATGTCACGTGTCAGCTTCTCGATCCATGCTGAGCAGTACTAGACAGAGCAGGAGTACTTGACCACAGAGCAGACAGAAATTGTCGCAACAAAATCCCCAGATGACACGCTGAGTAAGATCTTGTCAAGCGACGCAACGAAGGAGGGGATGCGGCGCTTTTTGGCTTCGAGGACGTACGACGTGAATCTGGGCGCTTACATCTCCACCACGAACGGCCCGACACCCGTCGAGGTTCAGGCACTCGAGAACGCTCCGAAAGTTCCCGCTTTCGTCACGAAAGCAACTTTCGTTAGCAACAGGAAGCCCAAGTTTCTCTACAAGCTGACCGCCTTGGGGGAGCTTGCGAAAAACAAGGTAATAGAGGAACAGAAAGAGGCGGAGGAGGAGAGTCGAAAGAAAAAAAAGAAGAAGCGCGTAGGTTCCTGACCCGTCGGCGGTGGCATCCTCGCCGCGGAAGATCGTTGGCTGTATTTCATCTGTCTAGGTTTCGGCTTCGTGTCTGATTTACGATCTAAGCACTCTGATTATTGTAGATCATCGCATGCGCATGCCATGTATTTCTACAGTCGGTCCGTAAAGAAAAAAAAAGAGGCAAGAAAAGTGGCTACTGTTTCAGATATTTATATACTTCTGGTGAAGAATGAAGAGAAGTCGAAGTCGCGATAGAATCTATATTTTGCAACGATAAAAATCCACATGCTTATGCACGACATAGAATCAGAAGTAGCAGGGTTGACACACATACATGCTTTGCTTCTGCAAGTAGCGTGTGTATTTCGTGGTAAATTTCTACACTCCCTTCTGCGAAACCGAGACAATACACATAATTTATTCTGCTTTTCGTATATCAATTTTTGTCGCTTGATAATGACTCGACGAAAGATTTTTTTGTGGTATTGCATGAAAATAAAGATTTTTTTGTGGTATTGCATGAAAATCTTCGAAAAAATGATTGTTGAGGCGATACAGGAGCACGGAATAGATACAAGATTTTGGATCAAAGCATGATTGGTCTGCTCTGCAGTCACAGGGTTCCGCACTGAAGTTGCGCATTCTGTAGCTGTACCCCTGGTCCCGACCCCGAGGGTGATCTTCTTCTCTTCTTGCTCATGCAGAATATGCGCTTCACCTTCAGGGTGGCCAAAATTATGTCACAGGAAAAGATAAAGGAGAGGAATCCATTCCGAGTGCAGAGATCGTCCATGAAATGCAAATGTGGACCCAAGGAACTACAGCACAGGAAGCTTTTGATGTGTGGCCACATTATAAAATCGGAGAGACATGGTCATGGACGGGCACGGGGTATTGTTGAAACTGAGAGAGAGTGACAGGGTGAAAAAAGTCTGGTACAGCACTCCTCGCTTTTGTGCCTGGGTGTCTTGATGTACAGTTGTTAAGGACGCGGGATTTAGAATGAAGCCAGATTGTCGTCCACATGTTTACGCGGCCACCGACTGTTTGGCAAGGGGTTTGCGTATAGATACCGGAATTAGTTTCAGGTCTCGGCTTGAAGGCCGTCAATACGAGTTGTCAGAGCAACATGACGCACGCAATTACATGGCTTTCCTACACCCCTTCAGGCATCGGGTTGGAACGAGCGCGGCGTGTGAGCGCAGTGGCGAGGATTGGAATGACAGGAGGGCGAATTATGGCTGCCCTGGCGACACTTCTTGTCGTGCTTCATGGTGTCGCAGGGTTTGAGGTTCCCGTCCGTAAGCAGAATCAGACCACTGCCATTGGAAGTTCCGAGACCGACGTTCACACGTCCGAGCATAACCCCGTGTCCTCCAGGGAAGCAGAGGCCGTTCTCAAGAAGAACAGCACAACGAGGTATGATGAATCGACGAGCCAGCGTCTTCATAAAGATAGCTCCCTCTCCAGCTCGGACTCACCAGTTGACGAACAAGCATTGGTAAACATAGTTGCGGAGCACCAGGATGAGCCGACCAATAAGTTGCTGCGAAGCACACGACGGGACCAGCACGATTCTGCTGCGCCGGTGGAGGTTCTGGCCATCGATGATGGTGGCGGAGTGCGTGCAGACCAAAAGATGTTGAAGCCACGTAGTAATCAAGCGCAGCGCAGCGAGGACGTCGCAAACAAAACGGAAGAGGAAGTAGGAACTTTTCAGAAAGAACCGCAGTCATTCTCCTCCTCTGCTGATCTTCGTACGAAAAATAAAGTGCGGGACGGAGCAGGGTCGTCTGGAAGAAGTCGGGCACAAACCGCAACCTCGGAGTTGTTCTTGGCCCAGGATGAGGAACAGCCGGTGCCGGTCATCATCTCCTATGCATTGCAAAAGTATCATAGTCGTATAAATGCATTAATACAAATTTCCTCAGCATGAGAAATAAAATTTGCAATGCTGATCTGCTTCAACAAGATGATTTGTAATGCACGGCTGCAATACGAGTGCGATACTTTTGCACAGAATATCTCCAACCTCGACTACATCAAAAACATCAAGACATCCAGCGACAGCAAGGACCAACTCTTCTCCCAGCTGGAGGACGATTTCGACAATCCTGTGACGATATCCTGTGCAAAAGTATCGCACTCGTATAAATGCAAGTCTTGCATTACAAATCTTGCTCTTAAGGTAAATCCGCATTTACAAATTTTATTTTTCATGCTGAGTGATAGAACACAGATACTCAGAATACTATAGCCGTGATAGACTAAGAGCATATGCACCCGCTTCACTCACCTGAGTGGATTTGAAAGAGTCACTCCCTTCATGGAAGGTTCTACTCCTCGGAGGTCATTCATGTCATTTCGTGATCATCTTTCTTGTCATTTGGATCTCTCGCTTTGCTCTTAGATCTACAATGTAGGTCGTATTCTGATCCTTCCCTACATTCCCCCTCTGATTGAACCAAGTCCAGAAGCAAGACGGCCTGCTAGGTGTCAAGTGACTCCAAGCATTGCCTGATTGCTACTTGCGACTTCAATCCTAGAGCAAATGAGAAAGGACCCGAGCAGCGGCTGGATCGTGTCAGGGTCTGAAGAGTACATCCACCAACTCAACAGATTCGAACTCTCGTAACCAAATGGCTACGGAATACCGGTCTGATGCGCCAAAAACCCCCGCAGATACCCTGCTACCCGCCAAGTGACTCCAGATGAAGCATCACGAGCGTGGGAGGAAAAGACCATCACAACCTACTACACAAGTTCCCGCAGTCCCTTGCGACCCTATCTACCCCATTCCCCCTCGATTGCAACTAGATAGCGCAATACAAGGCTAGAAGACCTTTCTTCTTGTCGAGAAGTGAATCCTGGGGCGGTGTGCGAAACACCAGCAGGGGTTTCGTCGTTGGTTTTGTCAGAGGATCTGCACGATTCAAACCAGTTGGACAGTAGCAGAGATCATCAGCGTGATCCTTGACCGAATGCCAGCGCACTTGGAAGTGCTTGGTCTTCTTAGTTGGAAGGGTAGATTCCGCCACGGTCAGACTGCTCTGATTGTCGCAAAAGATCTGAGGCAGCTGCGTATTGGTCTGAAACCAATCAGCATAACCCTGAGACTGAACGAGCTGCAAAGTGTCATAGAGAGCAATGTACTCGCTTTCACAAGTACTATGCGCCCTAATCGACTGGCGACGACTCGACCAGGCTACCGGGCATCCCCGATAAAAGAGAATGGAGCCGCTACTACTCCTAAGCGTAACAGTACACCCAGCATAGTCAGCATCCGAGAACGCAACCCACTCACGGAGTTCGCCTCTCTCCTTGTTGTGCTGATCCAACTTCTGGACATGTTGAGGCGTCGGCGGGCCTGTCCCCGCCCCCCACGTTGACTCCCGCGCAGAGGACTACGACGCCGCGGTTCCCACCTCGACGGTGGCCAGCTCGGAGTTTTGCGCTGCTGCTGGTTCCCACCACGATTCGTAACCAGTTTGAGATGATTCAGACCTTCCTCGGCCTCGCTTCACCACCAGGTCCCGCCTCCGGATATTTAGCTCCGACGCCCGGCACTATGGCGATTCCGATAGCTCGCGACACCTCCTCCCGTCCAGTATCGCGGCACGCTCGCGGAAAAGACAGCTTTCCTACACCAATCATCGCGTCCCCGCTGGTGTCGCGCCCCACACCTCGACCTCGGCGACATTGGTTCTGCCTTCACACCGTGGTGGCCGATCAGACGAGTGGTTACGACGCCGAGGCTGCGCTCACGGCCCGCCTACGACCCCTCCCGCCATGGAGCCAAATTTGTGCCGATTTCCATCATCCCAGACACACGAGCCGCTTACCGGCCTCTCTCTCGTCTTGCATTTACTGCTTGACGCCCGGTTCCACTAAGGGTACCCTCCCTTTTTAAGTATTCTATTTCTGTGTGAGCTGTATGTTGATGGAAATGCATCACAAATGCGGTCTACCAATGCCGTGCACGACGCGGCACCGCCCGATCTCGATTTTATTTTGCCGGTGATGATGACTGACCTTGATGAGTGAAAAATTACCGGAAATAAAAAGTCTGTTAATAGTTCAACTAGTCGATCCTGCGCCACATTGTATGTAGTCTGTTGAGCCGCTCCTTCAGTGGACCACTTGTATGTCTTGTTCCTCCTCGGCCGGTACCGAATCGCTCCTTCGGGAAACCCGAGCTTCTGCCACCGTGAGACCGCTTCTCTCACTATAGCATTTTTTTTTCAATTTGTATAAACCCTCCCTCGGCCGTTTTAGATTGTATGACCGGCAGTCTATCATATCGGCGTCCGTTACCATTTTCATTTTTTGATATTTTGTAGCTTTCACGCAATTGTTACGACTTACCATACCGCACGCACAGCGAGTTCGAGTCTTTTGGTTATTGTTTTAGTGCTGAGAGAGGTACCTGGGAACCGCTTCTTCCCACGCGAGGTGAGACGCAAATTTAGGCCTCGGCCCCCCGGTTTACCGGACCTGACCAACACTTGTCGGGAAGTTTCTTTGGACTTAGACTCAATTGCCGGAGAATACTCAGCCCCCTCTGTCAGAGTATGCAACAGATACCGCCCAACCCGCTTAGCCGCAGTGATCAAAGCCCCAGTGGGATTGGTCATCAGCCTAGCCACCCGATTGACTGCGAAGAGACAATCCGGACGCGATTGCGTAGCAATGTATTGCAAACCCCCAACCAGACTCCTAATAGGGAAATCTGGCTGCGTGGCCCCCTCTGAAAGATCAGAGTAGACGCACGCAGTGGAAATTGGTTTTCCCGCATTGATTTGAAACTTTTCAGCCAACTTGCGAGCTGCTTGCTCCATGTCCAACTTCATATGCTGCTTCTCAGCATTATACAAAAGCCGAACGCCTAGGATGTCCCTGATTTCAGTAACACCATCGGCAGCAAGTTCCGCTTTGATGGTTTTACCATCAAACTCACCAAGGATCTCCTTGATAGTGTCATCTACTTCTTTCTGTGTAGGTGCACTGATCAAGCTGTCATCAACATAGATGGCCAGCGTCACAGAACCGCGACGGAAAAGACCAGGCTCACTAGGATGGCGATCCCAACCATGCTTACGCAAGGATGCATCATAGCAGTCAAACCACTTACGCGGCGCAATCTTCAAGCCATAGAGAGACTTAAGAAGGCGCATGACATCACCACGACTATCCTTGTGCCAATGCTTAGGCAGACGGATGAACACTCGCTCGTCCTGACCAAGGTCACTACGAAGGAATGCATTACTGATGTCAAACTGCCCAGTGCGTTTCTTGTTCGCAGCAGCATCGACCAAAAGAACCCGACTTGCAGCGTGTGAGATAGTCGGACTGAAGATCTCAGCCTTGCTGGCCTTCGTCTGACGATTCCCCAACGCCACGCATCTGGCCTTGTATCGACCGCAGCGCTTCTTGGTGTAAATCGCCACGCGTGGCATGATCTCATCGTCATCGGGTAGCTTATCCTCGTCCGATACTGGCCTCCAGGACTGCAAAGCTTCCAACTGCAACTTTTCAAGGTTGACAGCCTCCTCCATGTACTTAGCAGAGTCCGGCGCAGTAAGGGCATGCTTCCGTGTAACTTGAACCGTCCACGCAAGAGCTTGCTCACCTTCCTCCAAGTCATCAGAAAGTACTGAGCTTGAAAACGCGGCAGCTACTTCCGCATCTAGTTCAATCTTTTGCGCACCTGCCTGATTCGCTGCAGCATTGTTCTGACGCCTAGTCTTCCTGCCCTTGCGGGTAGACCAGTGCGGACAAAGCTCACGCGTGAGACCCGTCGGCCGACCACGACGTAGACGAACTTTGACCATTGAACCACCACGCTTGACCCATTTAAACGGATTCAAGTCGTCGTCGATCAAGTCTGAACAATCATGCCGATCACCAGAAGGATTGCTTTCGTTGATCTCTTTGGACCAATCATGAAACTTACCAGCCCCCTCTGAAAGGTTGGGAAGTTCCCTCCGCTCGCCTATTTCCAGCTGGAGACTACCATCTGAAGGCTTGTCGGAGTTTTGGTCGCCAGTCTCCTTGTCAGGTTGCTCAAGTGGCACCGACTCAGGTAGACCCGACTCAGGAGAAACCTCAACAGGACCACTGGCCTTGTCTTGGTCAACCCTGTCACCCTGATTCGAAATCTCCAAAGTAGGAAACTCCTCATCGAGTTTCTGTCGCTTAGCCGAAGGACTTACTTCAACCCCCGCAGGACGGCGCAAACTATCTCCCGCCCCACCTCCAAGAATCAAGCAGAGGCCATGACGCCTCCTCTCAATCAAGGCAGCAGATGTGAGACTAGTCTGTCCCCCCTCCGGCAGCTGTTTCGGATCCTGCTTAAGCTCCTGAATGTCACTAATGACTGCGTCTTCGAAGAATTTCATCGAGCTACTCTCCTCAACCACAAAGCGCCATGCGTTCGTCTTGTCGCTGAAGCGCCAAAGACCAACCAGGAAGCTTGAGGAAGTACGAGAGTAACCGAGAAAGACTCCACGCTCATAGCGATCATCCAGCTTTTGCTGTTGGGTATGCACTTTGGCATAGCACTCACATCCAAAACGACGCAGATGCTTTATGGATGCTGGACGATTCCAACGCCGCTGGAAAGGACTAGACTGCGACTTCTTGCGCTGCAGTCTGTTATAGACATAGGCGACGAAGCGAGCACAGTACTCCCATAGGCATGGATCAACGCCCTGCATGTTGGACCTGATGCCATCGGCAAGTGTCCTATTCCATCTCTCCACCACTCCATTCTGTTGCGGCTCATAAGGAGAAGAATGGATCGGAAGAATTCCGAAATCTTTGCAAGCCTTTTTCCAAGATGACTCAGCTCCTTTGAAAGTAGGCTCGTTGTCTGTCCTAACCCGTTCGGGTTTGCCGACGTCTTGAACGAACTTCCGCAGGATGTCCCCACAGTCAGACTTCTTTTCAATAGCATAGACCTCGACCCACTTGGTACAAGAGTCCACAATACTGAGAAGATACTGAGCACCTTTGAGCGCCGCAGGAAGCGGAGGGACCCAAAAAGTCAGAATCGACTTGCTCCAGGAACTTCTTGGCAATATGCTCCGGCGGCCTAGTAGGCTTGTGCGATGGATGCCTGTCCGTAGGACTTACTTTTCGCACAATCTCGGCAAGAGCAGTCAAAGCCTTCGACTTTGAAATGCGCAAGACGCCTGTGGATAGTCAATTTGGAACCGTAGGCGGCCCCAGCTGCTGCGCCAATGGTAGCGAGCTGAGCCTGTGCCTCATCCTCGAACGAAACATCAAACACAGATACACCGCCCTTGACTTCAAACTTGTGAGACTGACCACTGGGGTCGATGAACTCGCGCCAACCATTGGGATCCCCTTGAGGTCCACAGTAGTGAAGCTGAGCCCCCTCACTCGCAGCGACTTCCATTGAGAACAATTCCCGAGACAACATCGGATGGAAAAGATCAAACCGCATGCCCTTGCTGTTCGGTTTGAGTTTACCAATAGCACCTTTCACGTTGGATGCTCCATCCGCAGTGCTAAGAGATTGATCAACAGCTGGGCCAATCCACTCGAAACGACTACGGACGCCCGACATATGGTGGCGAGCACCTGTGTCAAGAATCATCTCACACACGCTACTCGACTTCCCATTCTGGCTCCTAGTATTTTCACCTGAAAACACCTGCGCACTAGAAAGGGTCGTAGATGCTGTGTACGACTTTGCCGGATTGCTTTGCGCTTGAACGTTAGACGAGAAACAGGCGCGGGCGAACGATCCATAACGAAAACCATACACGTGACGGCTCTCATCCTCTACCTCAGAACAAACCAACTCGCTCTTCTCATCTGGCTCGGCCTCCAAAATGGGAGAAAGGGAGAACACATGATCGACCACCTGACCAGTTCGCTTACTGCGAGCATGAAAAGATCCTACCAACGCACCAGAGTTGTCACGTTCCATAGAGGTGGAAAGTTCATCATCTTCATCATCAACAGCCCTCGGAGCATCAGAGGCAGGCGCGGAAACTACCACAGCCATAGCACCCTGAGCACCTTCATCATCATCATCCTGCTGCTTGCCTCCCTTCTTGGCTTTGTGCTCTTTGTTCAACTTCTCGAAGCGAGCACGCAGATTCTTCGGAGCCTTGTTGGGATGCAGCACCCAGCAACTGCCAGGCGGATGAATCTTGCTGCAGATTTTGCACTTCTTTTTGTTCTTGTCTCCTCCCGGAGGCTTCAGAACAGCATTAGCGTTGGCATGCTTTTGCTTGTCCTTAACCGACTGCAACTCCTGACGAAGAGACTTGACCTGTGCAATCAGAGCACGAGGATCCTCTTCCTTGTTCCCTTTCAGATTCTGCAACCCTTCAAACTCCTTCAGAGTGCGTTTGATCGTAGGGATGTCAGTCTGGTTCTGAGCCAACAGAGTACCGGCGACAGTGTTAAACTTGGAATCGAGTCCAATCAACACACTAGCCGCGAGGAGCTCATCAAGCGAGATCTTTCCCTGCAGGTCCTCCCGCGCAATCCGCTGACGAGACTCCACGAACTCCTCAACAGGCGTGGAACCCTGGGGCATCAAGAGTTTCTTTTAGGCTGCCAAACGGCTAGAAGCTTCCTGAGAGTTGAACTTCTTAAAGATGCTAAGCATGATGCCGAACAAGTGTTGATCATCAGCTTGCTTCGCAGATTGCAGGGGTATGGTGGGGGCGAGAGGCATGTATGAGTTTTGCGATGTATTGGCGGAAATACATCGCAAAACTCATACATCATACATGGAAGATTTGAGGAGAGCGCGACGGTTCCCATGTACAATGTATGAGGTGCAATACATCAATGCGTCATACATTGTACATCGTACATTGTACATGGTCCAGTGTATGACGTACGATGTATGACACATTGCACATTGGTGCATTGTGCATTATGTACATTGATGTATTGGACATTGGACATTGGACATTGTACATTGTACATCGTACATTGTAGGTCGTCGAGCTGTTCGAGCAGCTCGACATCCGGGCCCATGTCGAGCCGTTGTCGAGCTGTTCCAACAGCTCGATATCCGGGTGGGTCCATGTCGAGCTGGTGGGGCAGCCGTGTCGAGCTGTTGCAACAGCTCGACATCCGGGCCTCTGCCGAGCTGTTGCCGAGCTGTTGAAACAGCTCGACATCCGGGCCCATGTTGAGCTGTTGTCGAGCTGTTCAAACAGCTCTACATCCGAGCCCGTGTCGAGCTGTTGTCGAGCTGCTCGAACAGCTCGACATCCGGGTCCATGTCGAGCTGTCGACATCCGGGTCCATCATGTCGAGCCGTTGTCGAGCTGTTCCAACAGCTCGACATCCGGGTCCATGTCGAGCTGTTGTCGAGCTGTTCAAACAGCTCGACAAGCGAGGCCATGTCAAGCTGTTGGAGCAGCCGCGTCGAGCTGTTGCAACAGCTCGACGTCCGGGCCTCTGCCGAGCTGTGGTCGATGCACGATGTACAATGTACAATGTACCAAGCAGGATGCACCATGTACAATGTATGATGTATGATGTACAATGTATGAGGTACCCAGAGCGGAGAACTTGCGATGTATGATGTATGAGGTACCTACAGCGGAGAATTTGCGATGTATGATGTATGATGTATGAGGTACCTACAGCGGAGAATTTGCGATGTATGGTGTACAATGTATGATGTATAATGTACGAAAGTGAGGCCGTTCTCCTCAAATCTTCCATGTATGATGTATGAGTTTTGCGATGTATTTCCGCCAATACATCGCAAAACTCATACATGCCTCTCGACCCCACCATATTGGATTGCAGCGCCGACGAACCCGCAGAGAGACTATTGGCGACCTTCGTCTTCAAAGTCTTGACGGCTTTCGCAGCGTCTACAACACTCTGCAAGGCTTTCGCCTCATTCACGGTCTTCGTACCCTTGCAGATTGATACCATCCAGAACACCATCTAGATCATGTTCCGCAAAAGCACTGGCGACCTTATGCCACCAGTCAGAATAGCTCTGACCGCCATCACCGGAGAACTTCTCCAGATCCAGCTCCTTGGACTTGTCTTGGGTGGGCATGTTTTTGGTATTCTTCGGAAACTAGTAGACAAACTCTAGAAACCTACTCGATAAAAGAAAATTGCAAGCAATAGTAAAAGTATACTACTACTGAGTCCACTAAGCTCTAAAAGCTCAAGGTGAGAATGATAGAACACAGATACTCAGAATACTATAGCCGTGATAGACTAAGAGCATATGCACCCGCTTCACTCACCTGAGTGGATTTGAAAGAATCATGGTTCGAGGTTCTACTCCTCGGAGGTCATTCATGTCATTTCGTGCTCATCTTTCTTGTCATTTGGATCTCTAGCTAGCTTTGCTCTGAGATCTACAATGTAGGTCGTATTCTGATCCTTCCCTACACTGAGGAAATTTGTAAATGTAATGCATCTATACGAGTGCGATACTTTTGCAATGCATAGACGAGCGGCGACGGGTCCGACTTGTGGGATGCCTCGTCTCAGGGGACCGGAGACAGCTGCCGGATATGGCTGAGACAGGCGCAGCAGAATAGCAAAGACGATTGCAAAGTTGACGGGCAGCTCCACGCTCGCACGTTCTGGCAAGCGCAGCCGCCGTGCTATCAAAGTGAAAAATCCCCCGCTCCCCATATTGAAACGGAAATTTCTGTTGCTGGATTTGTGTACACAAATCAGCTTCGTCTTGCAGTGAGGCACTGCAGGCAAAGCCTCAGCCTGGGTAGGGGTGTTCTTTTGTAGGTGCTTAGCATAGCAAAGGCCTTCGCTGTAGGCGCAACAGCATTACAAATCGCTGGCATAAAAAAGCGGCGGCCTCTTTGGATGTGCCCCCTTGCAAGAGAGACAGGATTGGATTTGTGATCGCAAATCAGCATCACAGCATGCCTTTTCAGTATGGGGAGGGGGGATTTTTCCTCACAATACGTGCCGGTGCGAGGCGCTGGAGCAAGTCGAGGAGAAGGTGGCCGTGCGCCGTTATTGAAAGGAAAAATCCCCCCTCCCCATATTGAAAAGGTATGACTTCGAAAATTTGTGTTGCTGATTTGAGGTCACAAATCATATTTGTCTAGCAAGAAGACAAGGGCAGGAGCTTTCGCCCCATTATGGGAGCGATTTGCCATGCTGTTGGGCCTAAAGGGGAGCCGTTGGCTATGCTGAACAACTAGACACATACGCCCCGATCTAGCCTGGAGATCTGCCCGTAGTGCCTCTCTGCAATACAGCGCTGATTTGTGTACGCAAATCCAGCATCAGAAACGTCCTTTTGATATGGGGAGGGGGATTTTTCCTTTTGATAGCCGTGGCAGCCAGACCTTTAACGAGAAGGCATCCAAAGACTCCGACTGGTTAACAGGCGCCGGCTTCGAGTGGAACAACTGTCCGCGGCTTGGCGACCCACTGTACGTGAGCAAGACTGGCGTGATATCCTGTGCAAGAACTACGTCCCCACGATCCTACATTCAAGACGACAGATCATCGATTCATTTGCTACGCAGGCCAGGAGCAGGAAGTTTTGGCTGTTTTGCAATACAACAGTGGGTCTGTAAGTACTGCTCTAGTCGCGCGTCGCTCGTGCAGTGCCATCTTAAATCGATCTTCTTAGCGATGAGTCTGATTACAGCGTGACAAATTTCCAGATAGCAGTAGCAAATGCTCCTCATGTTGGGGCTGTGCGTGCGAAACATTTTACTAGGCACGCAGATTTGCTGCATGTCAACCAACTTAGTAAGGGGTGAGGTGGACGTTGCTAAAATGGATAGGGGAAGTATCCCTTTCGGTGCTGCGGAGAAGAGGGCGTGGTCACAGATACCTTCGGCGACTACGTGGAAGTGAACGGCAAAAAAGTGGACTGCATGACGCCGAAACTGGGCGGCGACACTGTGCGACAATAGTCTAAGGAGGACCTGGGAGACCGGGGTTGAGGTTTGCAAAAACAACGGGAACCGCCGCCTCTGCACGGTAGAAGAGCTCGCAGCAACCCGCAGTGATGGCAAGAAAGGAGTCTGCGAAAACAGGGGCGGGGAATGTGACGGAGGATGCATTATCCGGTTGATGGTGATGAACTTGGCTCCCACTACACGTACATAGGCGGCTAGACCAACACAGTACTTTACGTAGTACTTTTTCCGCAGCTGATGCGTCTGTCAGCATAGTCAGCAAGCCCAGCCTGGAATGTCGCAATGTCGACCAAACACATCCAAGCGAATCCGCATTTTCTATAAATAGAGTGTGCGTCTCTAAATTTGATGATATCATCAGCATGCATGGATATGGAATCTGTAACGAAGTTTTGGAACTACGACGAGAAACTAAATTGATATTCGTATCATGATTGTGAAACCAAACACGCACACGTGCAGAGTAAGAAATGGGACGAAGATCATTTCTCCATACGATACCCATCTAGACGAGCACCCTTGCTCCGGATTCCGAGCCGAAACTCGCGGCCGTCGACTCGTACGGTGCTAACAACGGGTACAACACGAAATGCAGCAGCAATAACAAGGACGACTGGGATCCCCACCCTGTATGCACTGCAAACAAGTAGTATCATGTCTGTGTCGCTGGAGTTCGTTGTTGAACATCAACTCGTATTGCGTACCGCTTTCGTTGCATTCCTGCACCAGAATCGGAGTTGCATGACCAACAAATGCGGCACCTTCTTTTTCATGCACAATCACGCAGCTCCGTTCCCATTCGCGACCGCGATAAAAATGAGAAATCGTTGGAAAAGCTTGTCATGTTTGGGTGCTGCATTCGTTCCTTTGGAAGAGTCTGACTCTTCTTCACCCCCCCGTGTAGTCCCCTCGGCATCGATCACGACACCCTTTTGCAAACCCAGACAAGTCTTCATTTGCAGTGAATACCCTGCCGTCCAGATAAATTTTCAAGAAAACGTGCACGTGAAGCGCGTTCAGATCCACTTGGTCCGGCTGGGAAAGGAGACCAATCCCACCGACTCCGCGAACGCGGCGGCCCAAGAGTTCTCGGACGTGCTCTACTTCGGCGTGAACGGCGTCGCGACCAAGGATGACACCGCTTTGGCCAACTCCGGGCCGAACAAGCGCCTGCAGTTGAATGTCAGGATGGCCGCGCAAGAAGACTTGCGGGAAGCCGACAGCGAGTCACCGGACACCGTCTGCACCTCCGGGCAGCACTTAGAGGAAGACGCGGGATCCCCCATGCCTCCTCTGGGGGACAAGGCAACTCTTGGCAATTTGATCAGCGAAGCGGGTGGCGCGGTTGCCCGCGCGCAGTGTGCGGCGGTGAAACACTGGTGCTACCACGAGCGCGACGGCTTTGGCGCTCCCAGCCTGAACCCCTTCCAAGACGACAACTCAGTGAAGATTGCGGAGCACGTATCACATAGAAAAAAGCTAGCATAGCACGTTTGTTCGGAAATTATGCACAAATACATCATCGGAAAAAAAAATTCTCTACTGACTTGCATAGCCTAAGCAGGAAGATGCTATTGGATGGTTCATGACAGATTTTTATCCCAGTTTCAGCTTGTTTTCGCGTTACGAATGAAACAGCATGCTAGCTTTTTCTTGTGTGATAGCCTGAGGGCAAGCGGTACTGGCTGCGGGCTGTAAACCGGAACCACAAAATCACGCTCCACTGTGATCCCGAGCTCATGCACGGTCGTGCGCTGGTGATCGAGCACCCGTTCTGGAGATTCGTTATGGACCGGTAAAGTGTTACAATCGCAACTGGTAGTACAATGAAAACCTGGAAGATATATTTGTGATGCACGAAGCGCACGATCTTGCCTATCTCTATTCTCGCAGCAATGCGCATAAGAGGTTCTGGTTTCAAAGCCAAATAGAACCTGGTGAAACTTGATGTATTGCGAAAAGCGCGAGGCTCTGACTGTATTTTCCTCCTGCTGTTCATCAGGCAAGACCATGAAATCTAGACTCTACCTGTAACTACGTACCAGTTGAGATTGTAGGTTATACTCGTACCGAAGTCATTCGTATCAAATGTAAAAATGTCTGGGTCTGGAAGATTCTGACACTTGTCATGCACGTTTTGCATTAGCCCTGATGTCTGTGATGCATGCCCTAGCATCACATATTTTTTGAGAGCTTCTTGATGCCTATTCCGCATGACAAATGCCCTCTCCGCGTAGCAAAAATTGCATTCCCTTTGGTACTCATGCAATACAGATTTTTTCGGAATCCAAATGAAGCATCACAAGTTGCATTCTTCCAGACCCAGACACTTTTACATTTGATAATTCGCCTTCTTTGACATCGAAGTCGAGGGGTGGTATCGTATTTAAAAACGTCCCCACCCCAGAGTTGTAATGCAAATCTGCATGCTGAGAATGTTTCTCATGCGGAGCCCCATGAGAAGCATCTTCTAGTCGTGTTTTGGGATTTGTCATGCTCCAATCGGCATGATATACTAGATCTGTGATGCTGCTGAAGTACCTCAAACAGCACTACACTACGAGTCCAAATTTGTCATGCAAGACACCCAAAACTTGTGGATTTGTCTAGCCGATTCCGCATCTTGACTATGGGATGGGGACGTTTTTACATAGGATAGGTGGGCCGGCGTCCCGACGCCGAGCGTAGAGGCTCTGGAGCATATGCCGGAGAAAAAAATTAGCAGAGCATATCTGTCATGCCTAAAAACACGGCAAAAAATCCTTCATGGGCAGACCCGTACCCTGGTGTTTAGCTTATAGGTCGAGCAGAGCTTTGCATTTCAAATGAATCTGGCTTGCTAGCGTGCTAGCTTTTTTCTCTGGGATAGAAGACCGCGATACTGCAGACGGAGAAGATGCAGGAGAAGTGGGAAGCAAGGAGACGGGTGGGAAACTGGAGATCAGGAAGACGGCGAGGCAGGATCGTTGCCCGGCGAGGGTGCAGCTTTGTTGCTCGGAGCGGCGACCTTGCTGCAAGGGGTGCTTGCCTTTTGGTAGTGGTAGACGCGTCCTCAACCTGACCGGTTCAGTCACTTCGAAGTAGTACGTAGAAGGTCTTTGTTTACAGTTGATGGAGCAACTCTGTAGTATGAAGTACACGCATCATGTGAAGTGGTGAAAACAGTAGGCAATCAGCAGGCAAGCGACGAGAAAGGCGATTGCCAGATTACCTGTCTCAGGTATACGAAAAACCACAATGTGGAAGAGACGTACTATCTACACTTAGTTATGTAGATGTCCGCGGTCAAGTCAGAGGCTTTATTTGTTCATGGTGTTCGTGATGGTCATTCTCATTTCGGAGCTCGGTAACTTTCTTTCCGCTTGCAGTAAGTTGAAATCTGGCCTTTGGGTCCGGATCTTGGCGTGCTGCAGTTTACATGTTAATATCTAGCACATGCCCCTGCGCCTGCGCTGAAAACCCGCAGGACTGGAGAGAGAAGGCTGCAGCGCTGAATAGTAGAACAACTTACAACCACTGACTTTGCACTAAGATTAAAACAACTTACGACCACTTTGCACGAAGATTGAAACACCAAAAAACGATGTCCTGGTTTTCCTGCGGTGTCTTCATCAGAAATGGACCCCGCTCGTCTCCGTTCCGGAGCCTGGTCGCCACATCCACCATCGCTCCTGCCGCTTATCAGGCCGTCCCGGCCCCGCTAACGCGGAAACTTCTGTGGCCGGGTGCTGCCACGCTGGTGCCGGTCGCTGCGACGAGGGCTTCCTCTGCAGTTGTTTTTCCATCAGTTTCCTCCTGCCGGTGGATCAATAGCATGAAAGACTTTCGACGGAAGTGGAAAAAGAAGATGGCGAGCGGGAAAATCAACAACAAATGGGGCAGAAGAAATGGGGGAAATGGGAACGTAAGATCGGAATACGGTGCCCACTGACCAACAAATTGAAATCGTTAGAACTGCTATTGTGCCAACATCCTGTAAGAGCAAGTCCTCGACGTCTGCTCTAGTAGCACTTACGATAAGTGCAAGTAGAAGTGCTGCGCAAGTAGTACAAGCACAGTTGAACAAGAGAGGACACGAATACTCACAACCTTGAGCCACAGAAAATTGTTATACGAAGTTGTTGCACGATGCTGCTCAAGGAGACGACGTCTTCGACTGGTGTCCACGCACGCCGTGGTATGTTCGCAGCCTACGCTCAGCTAGGCACATCAATGGGCAAGGCTGTGTTTAGATCTCCTGCCCGGAAGGTTGTCTCCCTGGATCTGGCTTGAACAGGAACAGAAGAGATGGCTACGTTGGCACGAGCCTGCATCTCGCTGTTAGTAGAAGATCATCGAGCAGCGCGTTTTTTTTGATCCTGACTTTGGTTCGAAAACTGAATTCGAAACGAAACCTCTGCTGCTGGGCGCGCCTACATCACGGATACCGTACTGCCTTGATCACCTCAGCGGTCTGCAAATGGTTTGGAGACCACAAATAAGCACTCGCCATCCCTCCAAATAAGATCAGCGGTGAGGTCATGTGTGCATTCTCCAGCTTTCCACTCAGCATCGTCTGTACTAGTAGAAAACGATTTTCAATCTTTTGATGTTTGATGAAGCCAAGGGCAACGTGTGACGCGTGACAGTGAATCCAAGAACTCGCGGTCACGAAGGTTCTGTCGTCTGTCTATAATATACTTGACCATTGAAATTAATTTCGCTACGATAACGAAGAGGAACAAGTCAATAAAATGGCCAAGCATAATAATTCTGCGAGTTCCTGGGAGGAATTTGCTATAAGCTCCTTCATGGCGCGCTCGGGTACTTCTGCCACCGCAGCATCCGCAAACCAGCAACCAGACGCGCCGTGGAAGTACCAAAAGTGGACCGGAATGTGGTTCCACCCGTACTTGGAACTCTTTTTCGACGACGGAGAATTTTTCGCGGACGACTTTGGCGGCGATGCTCTCGACGACAGCCAGGTGAAGGAAATTTTTGATATCAAACACATCGCTATCGAACCCCCTCACATCCCGCCACGGGCCTGGGCGGAAGCAAGAAGGTTTCAAACTTTGGTGGAGAAAAGCGGAGCAGGAGAGGGAGGTGCTCCGGATGAGGTAAAAAACGGAAGTGGTGCGAAGGAGATCAAGGAGGTAGTAGATGCGGTTGGAACGAAGAAAGCCGGCGCTGCGCAAGTAGAAGACCAACATACCGCAAACGAAGAAGCAGTCGAGATGCTCTGCAAGGCTTTCGATGTAGAGCCGAAACTCGATGCCAAGAGTTGGAAAACCGTGCTGATAACAACTTCAACTTGTAGAAAAGAGCGAGATACGAAGCCGTCCGTGTCGGTTCCGCAGGTACCCACCGGCACTAGCAGCTCGTCGTCTCTGTCCGCTCCCTCACGGTTGCGGCGTCGCGAAATTTCCGCGAACGACGGGTGGGTCGCCTATGAGTACGATCGAAGCCTGTCTGCCACCGACCCGGTTGTCTACGCGATGTTGGATGCGGACTCGCAGAGAACATTCCTCTGGAACGAAGTCAGTCTGGTGCTCTACAGCAGGGACCGGCGTCTGGCTGCGAAGCCAATTCTCGCCGAGAAACCGACCTTGATTTTGGAGACACGAGGTCGTGACGGTGACACTGCTGAGGCAGCAAGTAGCATAACGACCGGGGCTGAGCCCCATCTAGAATTTGAGGATGCAACGTCTAGCAGGGTGGTTCTGCAATTCGTTGGAACAATTGGCAAGGCGGAAGCAGATTCAGCACCACTGCATCAGAGCAACATTGCAATGTTCTACGAGGACACAGGCGACGATGTTTCGATAGATGTGGTCTGTTCCCTGCTGGGCGAGACAAAAAGTTTGGATAAGCCGAGGCAGAACAAAGTCGAAGAGCCACGAAAAACAACTCTTCCTCAACGCAAAAACTGTCCGGTCCACTACGAGCAAGGCTGCTGGAGAATCTTCGACACAAAATTGACACGCGGCTGCGTGCGTTGGTTTCGACAGGGAAAGGTCGCTTGTTCGGCCGTTCCCCATCGACAAGCGAAACAAGAAATCGGCGCTGTAGACAGCGAGACAGTTACAACTCAAGCCACTGTCGTCCCTTCTACCTCCGTGCAAGCTAGCTTTGTGGCCACGGCACGCGATGCTGATGAAGCACAAGCGTTCAGCGAAGAATGGGGCCAAGTGCAGAATGTTCTTTTGGACCGTTTAAACCAAGCCAAATCCAAGCAGCGGCTGAAGCGCCGAATCCTTGGCAACACGGGCAGTAGTGGACCGAGCAAGCGCAGCGCCCTGGAGGCCCTTCCCCCGGAGGACGACTTGGCTGCCAAGCGCAGAAAGCGGTACGGGGTTTCGTATCTCGACCTGCATGCGGAGGAAAGAGCAGATCGCGACCGGGAGGAAAGATTAGCCATGCTAGAGCAAGCGCACGCGGAGGTGCGTGACCTGACCGAGGAGGCCTGGGAAAAGAAAACTGTGGTGGAGAAGCAGCGGGCGTTACAAGAATTAGACACCTACGACGTCATGAACGATGACGGCACTTTCCGTGGCTCCCAAAACCGCAATCGCGGATTGGGATACACTGGTGACTAGATTGTTGTTTACAGGACACGACGACGACAAATTGTTGAAAAGCAAAAGAAACAGCGAAGAAAAAGCAGATTGACGCTCAAAAATCTTGAACAAGTATTTTCGCCTGTAGTGCGGCTGAGTAAAACTACATCTACTGCATTTGTAGTTGACCTGGTAGTTTCGACATGTTCTATGCGCATGTCGTTCGCAGTGACCCGTTCTTTTCAGGAATTTTTTTTGTCTCTACTTTGTGAAGATCTGCCGTTGCATTTCATATTTTGGTCCCCAAGTTCCGATCACCCTGTACGTCGAAACCCAACCAGTCTTTCTAGTTGAATGAAGCGAAACATGCACGCAGAATCAATGCAAACCAAATTACTATACTAACTAACTCAAGCCGTCCGTAGGAAGACACAGCTACATTCATAGCTGGATCACAACATAATTACACAGTTTTGACAAACACTATCATGTTTCACCTGGGTAGTTGGGCGTTCGGTCTTGACAGACAACGTGGATCATCATGGATTCGTGCCGGCACATCACAACTCACCCGGAGTACCGTGCGATGCGACGACCAGCTTTTGCGAAGTTCATCCTCTTCCTCGAGTGCGAAAAGTGAGAGAACAAACCATCCGCGTTCCGATCAAGGAAGTCCCACACCAGATCTCATACACAGAACAACATCAACAACCGCTGGCACGTCCGCCAACGGAACAGCAGCGGCTTCAGTAGCGGTAACCCCCGTAGTCCCCGTTGCAGAACAACATTCCTATCTCGAGGACGTGGTGCTTTGTCACTCCCAGAAGCAGGCCTACGAAAAGTGCTTTCACTCCTGGTACAAACATTCGTTTCTGGAAGGCAACGCCAAAGACGCCTGCGACAAGTACTGGGCGGTGTACGAGAAATGTATTCACGAGCACTTGGAGAAGCACAATCTCGGGCATCTGTCGGATTTGTCAAAGCCAGTCAACCTCGTGCAAGACCATGCGGTAGCCGGGGGGGAAACTTCGCTGGGCGGCTGCCCGAAGTGAGCTGCCGGGATTGATATGTGCGAGGACTTTAAAAATAGGGTGAACGTCGCTTGTACTTGTTCACAAGTCACAAGTTTGTTGTTGTAAATCGTGACAAGATCTTCACAGGCGACCGATAAGTATACATAGACATGATCAACATGCGACCCACAACATTAAGTTTTCTGCAACTTCCACAAAGTGGTTGTCCATGATTTTGTGCTCACGAACGAGAGCCAAGATTCTCAACCTTCTGTGTCCATGCACGGTGCCGCTGGTCTTCATGCTCGGCCGGGAAAGAGATCAACTTGCCACTTTCCTATCAACGTTGTTCAAATAGCCCGCGAGCATGTTTTTCTCTTTGTACAACGTATCTCTGTGCGTATACCGTTTCCCGCACTGATGATCTGCCTCGTCTGGAGTTGGAATTCTTGTTTTTCGTCAGTCTACAACTCTTTGCCTTCCTTGAATCCACCCCCGTAAAATTAATCATGAGGCGTCGCGGTCGTTTTCTCGTACCCGTTTTGTCGACGTTGTGTCAACATCTTGCCGTCTTGGATGCCGCACATGGGATGCGCATGCGAGGTGTCCAGCAGGCGGACCTGCCGGCTGAGATGCAGTCGCCTTTTGACACCAGAAAGGGCGATGACTGCGACTGTATTTTGGATAGTAAGTCCGGAAAGATGGTAAGCCAGAAGGGAGATGACTGCGATTGCATCTTGGATGGCAAGCAAGTCTCAGCGGTAGCGGACAGTGCGGCCTCCGGTCGCGGTGATGACTGTGACTGCATCTTGGATAGTAAATCCGGAAAGATGGTAAGCAAAAAGGGAGATGATTGCGACTGCATCCTCGACAGCAAGCAAGTCTCCGCCGTAGCAGATAGCGCTTCGTCTGGCGGTGATGACTGTGACTGTATTCTTGACAGTAAATCTGGCAAGATGGTGAGCAAGAAAGGAGACGATTGCGACTGCATTCTCGACAACAAGCAAGTCTCGGCCGTAGCAGATAGCTCGGCGTCCGGCGGTGATGACTGCGATTGCATCTTGGATAGTAAATCTGGGAAGATGGTGAGTAAGAAGGGAGATGATTGCGATTGCATCTTGGATAGCAAGCAAGTCTCGGCTGTAGCAGATAGCGCTGCTCAGTCCGCATCTGGGGATGACTGTGACTGCATTTTGGATAGTAAATCCGGAAAGATGGTAAGCCAGAAGGGAGATGACTGCGATTGCATCTTGGATAGCAAGCAAGTCTCGGCTGTTGCTGATAGCGCTGCTCAGTCCGCTTCTGGGGATGACTGCGACTGCATTTTGGACAGTCAGTCGGGCAAGCTCGTGCCGAGCAAAAAGGGCGATGACTGCGACTTATGAAATGCAAAAGCATCGTACTAGTACAAATCGCATGACAAATTTCCTCAGCGTGAGAAATAGAACTTGTAATGCGGATCTAACTTGAGAAAGAAATTTGTAATGCATGACTGCGATTACTACGAGTACGATACTTCTGCACAGGATACGACTGCATTTTGGACGGCGACCAGGACACCCAAGAAGATGAAAACGCAGGAGCTCCAGCAGCAGGAGTGTCCGCTGTAGCCGAGTCGGCAACCGAGTCCGGGGACGATTGCGATTGCATTCTGGACAGCAAATCGGGGAAAATGGTCAACAGCAAAAAGGGCGACGACTGCGATTGCATTTTGGATGGAAGGAAGGGCACAAAGGAGCCGTCAACATCCTCAAAAACAGTAACCACAGCAGCGCAGAAGAAGATGAAAGTGGTCGAGAACAAGGCTTCTAGTGCAGCCGCGAAAAAAGCTGCCACGACCAAGAAGGGCGATGACTGCGACTGTATTTTGGATGGAAAGAAAGCCACCAAGAAAGGCGACGACTGCGACTGTATCCTGGATGGAAACAAGGAGAAAAATATTAAAGACAGTGCAGGGCAGAAGGAAAAAAAGAAAACCGGTGACAGCATTAAAAAATCCTCCTCCTTATTGTCCACATCAAGCAGGAAAAAGGGTACGAAACTGAGCCGCGTCTTCAGGAGCAATTCGCTGAGTCCAGCGAAGGCGACCGTAACTGCCAAGAAGCACTACAAGCTGAAAGGCAAGAACCGCAAAACCGGGAACCCCTGCGCCTGTTTTCTGGAAGGCAAGCTACCGGGCGAAGATGATGACTGCGATTGCGTGCTGGACAAGCCAGAACAGCAGTTAAAGCCGGATCAGAAAGGAGCTGCAACTACTTCACACGGGCTGCTCCCTGCAACCGCGGAAGAAAAGTCCACGGACGAGGAGGGGGACGCTGACGAGGCCGCCGAGACTGAGGACGAGGAGGAGGAACCCGAGCCTGCTGAAGCAGCTCCGGCCGACGAAAGTACAACTTCCAAGGCAGAAGTGCCAGGCCAGTTAAAGAAGGTTGTCAACCTCTCCGCGCAGCCGCTACTGAACAAGAGCCAGGCGGCCCCGCTTGGGAGCGCCGCTGCGAACCCCGTAGCTACGGCCCCACCGCCGGCCGCGGCGCCGGTTGCCACGCAAGGCGAGTGTGCGGAAATCGAGGGGCGGATTCAGCGGCTGCGGGCCGAAATCGCGCTTTGGTCTGACCACACCACCTGGAACCAAAAAATTGCCGCCGATAAAGCCGTCGTCGCGACTCAAACCACTGCTGGACTCGGTATGCATCCTTAAAACAACACAGAGATATTAGTCTACACGCGCAGTGCTTTTTGTTTCGTGAGTAATGTCTTTATCTTCTATCATTGATTAGGAAAAGGAACGAGTCCGTGTGCTAGGTGTATTCGTGTGTCGAAGCAAAAATGCTAATGACAATGAACTGGTATTTATTTCCTTGTACTCCAGCCGACATGCTTGCGGACATTCGGTATGAGTTGCACCAGTATCAAGTGCAAAAATGTCTGGGTCTGGAAGATTCTGACACTTGTCATGCACGTTTTGCATGAGCCATGATGTCTGTGATGCATCCCCTAGCAATACAGATTTTTTGAGGGCTTCTTGATGCGTATTCCGCATTACAAATGCCTTCTCAGCGTAGCAAAAACTGCCTTTCTTTTGGTACTCATGCAATACAGATTTTTTTAGAATCCAAAATCAGCATGACAAGTTGGATTCTTCCAGACCCAGACACTTTTACATTTGATAACCAGATCACGGTGCCGATTCTCGTGGAGGTTCTGGCGGACAAGATCGAGTATCCCACAGAAAAAAGCTGGCAGGGCATGTTTGTAATGCAGAAATAAATACACAGAAAAATCTGTCATGGGCGGCCTCATAGCATGCTGTTTAGGATACGCAATACAGATTTTTTTGTGTATTTATTTTTGCATTACAAATGTGACCTGCCAGCTTTTTTCTGTGGGATATCGAAATGCTCGAGAAGCAGCACGCGGAGTGTGCCAGCGGCAAGGGAAAGGAGTGGGAAAAGGTCACGAACGGCAGCGGCAAGGGCGGGCCGGGCGGCGAGCGGTTAAACTTGCAAACCATTCTGCTAGTCCTCGGGGGCGGCGCGGCCTTCGTCTTTTTGGTGTATTACTGCAGTCGGCGGTAGGTAGGAGGCTGATGCTGCTGGGACCATTTGCCCTTTCTAGGGGCTGAACCTGTAGTACGGAACAATGAGTATGTAAGTAAGTAGTAGAGCGAATCAACATGATTTCTTTTCCGCTTAGTGAGTAGAATTCAATTTGTTTCCGATCCGTTGTGCCATGTAAGCGTAAGGCCTTGAGCCGAGCGAACCAAAGAAAAACTGGAGGGCAACCAAGACCAACGGGAAGCGGTTTCCACAGTTCAAGATGGAAGTGCAACAGCGAGGTTGAATCTCGATGGCTCTCTCCCCTCCCTCTCGGTGATTGATTTCCTGCTCTCTCGGTCTGAAATAGATACGGAAGATGATCATATCTGTCCTGTTTGTGATGTTTTTGAAGATCAACCTGCAGTCGGTCGTTGAAAAGATCTGATCAGTTGTTTTGCATACAAAAATAAAGCTTCTAGAACCAACGACGTGCAGTAAAAAAGGATCCCATGAGGATGTCGTTTGGTATGTGGTGACGTTTTTCAATTTCACCTGAACGAACGCAAACACGTGAGGTCCGAAATTTAGGATCAATTTGAGCTGACTTCGTCGATCGAACGAGTCTGCTCTGTCGTGTAGACCATGTGATGCTGATTCTTGTTGATCGCACGCGCACGCGCACTCGCAGGTTTATTCACTCCCGACCGCTCTTCACCTAATTTGCCATCGTCGATTTTGATGTTGATAAAGTAAGTATGTAAAGTACAATACTTTAGAAGGGCGAGTTGTACTAGTGCCACTACCTCCTCAATGTACACTCGTCTCAGTGAAGATTTTTTGGCCGCAAAGTTGAAGCCCCGGAGAGTTGTCTGAAATCCATTCTGAAGCCACACCAGAATTATAAACCATGGGCAACAGTCCTTGCTGCTTGACTGGCGGGCGGAACCGCTACAGCCAGGTCGACGAATCCGAGTTCATTCCCGAGAACTCCCTGGCGTGGTGGGACCGCGTCGGCAGGATAGGCTCGGAACGGTGGCAGGACCTGACGCGGTTCATTCCGCAGTCACTGCGAACCATCTGGCTGCACCCTGGGATCGACGAGTTTGGCTACTACACTAGCGACGTAACAACGATAACGAGGAATAAGGCGAAGAGGCCAAAGCAGGGCGAGAAGCGGAAGGTGCTGCAAATCATCAACGTCGAGAAACTGCTCGTGAGAGTGGTGCGGCCGAACTCCCATGGCGAAATCGCGCTTATCACCGTCCCGGCGGCCAACGTGTTTTTCGTGAACCACTTCGGGCACCAGCAGATACGATTGGGGAAGTTAAAGAACAAACCAGAATACAATAACGCGAAAGTCCTCGCTTTGGAGAAGCCAGTGACGTTATTGTGCGATGAGTACGTTGCGGACAAGTGCTCCCCCCCGACCGCGCTGATATTAACAGCGGACAAGGCGTATCAGCTTTTTCAGAGTCCGTTCAACAATCCAAACATTCCCGAGGAACTGTTGCTGAAAAGCGGGCTGTCCGAAGGCTCCGTCGAAAATTTTTTCGGCGACGTAGAAGAGACGCTGCGAAGGAATTCCTACGACCAGGAGGAGATGGCCACCTTACAGATTAGAATGGATAACCTGACCAACCTAAACGAGGGACAGCGGTCAAAGAGAAAACGGCTTCTAAGGCGCCTGTCAGAGGAGTTTGCGAATCGGAGTGAGAATGTTGCACCGGCAGAAGATAGTGCAGAACACACGGAAATAGGACTACAGAATCAACAAAGAATATAAAGAAAAAAAGTGTAGTCTGGTGAAAGTAGCGGCTAATATCAACATTGCCATGAGCAGTGTCCTGTCTTACGCAACCCCAAGCGACCTCGAGAATCGATACATGAGAAGCGATCAACATGTGCGCGCGCAAGCGCGCCTCTCCTGAAGAATGTCAGGGGGATGGATTGTGATGCGTTTGTGTCAATGAAAGTGTTCTGAGCAGTAGAAGTCTCAAACGATGTTGTGGGGAAACTGAAACATGGTCAAAATCCGATATCAACGCAGGCCAGATAAATACGAAGATCCCTGGTTCTCGTCCACGTCCTAGAACAGTTCAAATTCCATTGAAAATCGCTGCTAAAGTTGCAGATCTACTCCTGCGACATGTATTGAAGATGAATGAAGAAAATGCTGGAGAAATCGTTATGGCGGATCAGAAATGCTCCCCTCTGAAAGTGTTTCATGCTTTTTAGTTCGTTCTGCACATCAATAATGAAGGAGCTAGGCGTACCTTTTCCACAAAAAAAAGCAGGCGTCTCTATGTATGATCCTAGAGCACTGGCGACGTTGGTTGGATAGAGTACGATAGCCATTGCCATTGGTGACTTTCACTATGTACATTGTAAATCTTGGGTGACTTCTAAAAATCTTTTGGACACGAACACTTTGTCCTTATCATTCTGCTAGCGCACCACTGGTGTGCAATACAACAAAACATGTCGGGCGACACGAAAGACGACCTGGATGAACGGATCTTCGTTGCCGGAATGGATCCCGCACGGCTTAACCAAGCCAGCGCTTACGATGACGACGACGATCTTGCGGCCGACGTGGTCGCCCCGCCGCCTGCCAAAAAACCGAAGCTTCAGGCGGGCGGCTCAGAGCCCAGCAATCGGCGCAGCAAGGACGAGGATGGAGATGAGAACATGACAAGTTCGGATGAAGAAGAATCCTCGGAAGACCTACTGGATCTCCTCGCCGCGGGCGGAGCAGCTGCCAATGGCCGCAGCAAGTCCACGAAAAGCAACAAGCCGGGCATCCGCGGAAAGCGGGGACCGGAGGCGCGAAAGCGGCGGATGTTGCAACGAATGGAGCAGCGCAGGCAAGAAGTCGGGGAGGACGGAGAGGAAGTCGGGAAAAAATTCACCTACGATCCGTACTGAATATACGATTTTCGTTCGATATTCTTAAAATGCTTTTGACTAGCTCGTTTTCTTTCGCGTTTTAGTATAGTGCGAATGCGTCGTCCGAACAAATATTGAAAGTTCTTGACGCCCGGGAGCTTCTAGAAATCGAAGTTGAAGTAGCCGCTGAAAAATTGAAATAGGAAACCAACTTCTCCTATCAAAACAGTGTGATCGCCAAGCACCGGAATAGCAAGCGGTTGTTTGTGACGAATGTGAGCTTTTCCACTTCGGAGGAGGAGATCAAGGAGCTGTTTGAGGAGTGTGGGGAGGTACTCGAGGTCCGCATGTCGCAGGACAAGGCCACGGAAAAGTTTTCCGGGTACTGCCACGTCGGGTTCGCGGAGCTGAAAAGCGCACGCGCGGCCATCGAGAAGTTCCACCACCACAAACTCGATGGCCGGTATCTCTTCGTCTCCCAATGCGAAGCGAAGGAAAAGAAGGACAAAATCGAACTTCCTTTCTACGCCCTGCCGTCAACACTAGCGAACCGGGTCAGTCTGGTGGAGAAACACCCGCACTTCACCTTTCCCGACAATGTGCAGCGACAAATGGCGGAGCTCCACAAGCAACACAAGTACTGACTTTGATACTTCATCTTTTCGACTAATCGAGTAAGTATGGCACACATATCAATCAAGATCTCACTCCTCGAGCAGCGAAGCAAGATAAGGAAGCCGCAGCGTTTCTTTTTCGCAGGCTCTAATACTTTGTTGAAAGATTTGTTTCTGATGAGCATGGACGATCGGTATCAAAACTCTGCTTTATCCATTGACTCACCTTTTCAGGTACGCGGGAAAAAACATCTCCTGCATCAAGACTGCGTGGGAGCTGACCCATAACGACGGCGAGAAGCTGGACGTCGGTGAGTGGGGCTTCAAAAACTTTTCCGCCGCGTTTCGCACCTTTCCGTACTTCCGGATGGAGCGCGAAGCCCCCTTCCTGAAACCGCAGCCGAAGATCAGCGATCCGACGGCATCCGCTGGTTCGTCCTCCGCAACCGGTAAAGCAGAAGCGGACGGAGAGGCTCCTCATGCTGCTGGCTCCCCAAGCCAGAAACCGATTGTGGAAAGTAGTCGGCTAGTCGAGAAGGAGCAGATCAAACAGCACAAGGGCAGTCTTACCTATGTCTCCTATCTCAGATAGCATTGGCTTTCTGTGGCTTTGGCGTTGGCCGCTGCGCTTGTTGACCGCATAAAACATTTATCCACTAGAGTTTTACCCACATTGACAGCGACATATTCTCTCATATTCTCAAACTGCGACGAAATCCAAATCACATGATTATCCGAAACTGACTCCGATTCATCGTTCGCGATGTTTTCGACGCACAGTAGGAAGGTACTTAGTGTTCCTTACAGGAATCCAGACGCAGAATGATATATTGCGCTTGTCCTGGCGGTAGTAGTGCCGTTGTAGAAGGAGTTTTTTCATGCGCTCTAAGTCTGTGTCGGTGCGCGTGCGTCTTCCATTCGGGCCCTTTGTTCCATGTCCTATCAGATACGTTGAAGTCCCTTTTTGCAGTCGCGGTCGCTAGCTTCTGGGTCAGGAACACACGCGGCGAGATGCTACTTCTTGCAATGTTCTTGTCTCACTATAGCTATGTATCCGTTGCGACGGTTCTTGTAGATTGATCTTCCTGCTGTTTGTGTATTACCTGGGCTGGGAGTGGACTGGGTATTGCTATTGGCTCTCCTTCTCCGCATTGGCATATTGATTCACTCATTCGCAGGACAGACCAGGAGGAGTAATTCCATAGCTAATTCGAATGAAACTGAAAGTCGTTGCTGCAACATCTTCTTTCATCGCCATAGAACTAATTGCTGAAAAACCAAAAACGCAAAAACTTGAACTCGATGTTGCACAGAGGATGATGATGATCGCGATCTTCGGCCCACACACAAACGTGATAGCGCACTTAGGTTGTTGGCACAGCATTTAATAGTCTCGGAGTGTTTTCATCTTCTTCCAAATCTTCATGCAGGGTTAGGGTTCATAAGGTGATACTCGGCACCCCGATCAGCAATGACACAAAGAAACCAAGACCTTAATTTCTCACGCCACAGACTACATCATACTTAGGTTACTTCGCGATTTGATATCTGTTCCCGTTATTATCCCCGTTCCGTCTTGATGTAGTTGGTTCTGATCGACCCTTTATTCTAGTTCCAAAGAGATCGAGCCCGAGGATGTATTACGATTTACTACCAACAAAAATGCGTTTTCACAATTTTACTGACGAAAAACCGCTATAATACAAAGGAGCACCACCATGGGGGACGACTTCGCGTTGGAGGTGTGCAGCACCACCAGCTTCTTGAAAAAGACGCTCGATTCCTACCCGGAAGGCGGCCAAATTGTCGTCGAGGCGTTCCAAAATGCAGTCGACGCAAAGGCCTCGGAGTTTGGCTGTTTCCTCGACTGCTGGCGCGTGGATCATGACCAGGGAGGGACAAGTGCAAGCACTAGCAGTTCCTCGTCCAGCTCCGCCGCCAGCGAAGATTCTCACGCAACCAGAAAAAAAGCGAAAAAAAGTAGCAGCTTGAAGAAAAATAAAAGCACAGGAGCTGCTCGCAGCTCCACTGGTGAGCAGAATGTTGTTAACACCTGCTCCGCCGTTGCTGATGTGGACGACGCGGCGCTCCGGGTGCGCGAGTTTTGCCACGTGTGTGTGGTTTTCACGAACGATAGTGTTTTTCTCCCGGAAGACTGGGAAAGCTGGAAGAAGATGTACGAGAGCGTCAAGGCTAGCAAGCCGGGGAAAATTGGGCAGTACGGCCTGGGCAGCCGCAGTTTCTTCCACGTCGCGGACGTTATCGCCGTGGTGTCCGATAAATTTCTCGCCTTCGTAGATCCGAACAAGATCGTTTTCACGGAAACCGGGGGGAAAAAGTGGGATCTCACGGAAGACGGACACCGAGACCCGACCCTGCGCACGCCGGAGTGGCAAAGGTAAGTAACAAACAGGTTGGTTTTTGCTGAGGAGAGCGCAGAGGACTCATTTCATCCTTGACAGATTCCGTTTCAAGTATGCTTTAGTAGTGAAGTGTCTTTTGCAACTTTAGTGACAGCGTTACCCGATTTGTTCATCAATGAATTTCGTTACGCATCAAGGCAACGAACCTTACCACTACAGGTTTCTGAAGGGTTTCGAGCGCTACGGACTGACACGCGACCAGGAGACCGGTCAGTTTGAGCCCTTCCAGGGGACCATCATTCGTCTGCCCTTGCGCACGGAAGCCCAGGCGCAAACTTCCGAGATCAGTCAGAATGCCTACACACCGGCAAAAATGGTCGACATTTTGAGGCAGCGGTTTTACGACGAGCTTGACCCGATGGCCTTATTGCGCTTCATTCCGGGCGTGAAGAAAATCCGCGTTGGCCAGTACACTCACGACGGTAACCGCTTGGAGGGATTGCGCATCGACGCAGAAGTGCTACCGGTCCAATCTTCGTCTTCCGAAAATATAAGACAAGAGCAGACCTTGGAAACAACATCCTTCACTTCGAGCGTACCGAGCGCAAAGCGGCGCAAAACCGAGCAATCCTCTCGTGGTCTCGCAACTACTTCATCATCATCAAGTACTTGTCCTCGGGAAGTTGTGCCTGAATTCCTTCGCAAGTTCAAGGACTATGCACAGCTCGCGAGCGCCCTCCGAGACCGTCCTGGCGCTGCTGCGACGACGAGCGACAAAAAGGAGGACGCGGTCGTGTTGCCTTCTTCGCAGTACCTGTTGCAAGTCTCGTTTTCCGTGAATGAAAACGCGTTTGTCGACCTTGCTAACAGTCAAACGAGCCCCAGCGACGAAGGTGGTTTTCTTCCGCAACGCGACGGCGAGAGTAACTACCCCTCCACCGTGAGGACGCGATCTGAATTCGTCTCGATCGCGGTCGCTGACGTACCGAGCTTGTCCAATGCGGTGCAAAAACTCAAAACCGCTCCTGTCGTGGGGATCGCAATTCCCCTGGTCGCAGAGCAGCAAGCATCTTCTTCTGCGGAGCAGGCAGGGGCTGGAAATCATGATCAAGTTGTTCTGCAACTACAGCAGCAATTCCACCGGGCGTACACGTACATGCCTTTGCCGTTCGCGACCGGGTTGCCGGTCCCCATTCACGGCGACTTCCAGCTGCACGACAATCGTCGGTCGCTGTGGACGACGGCCTCAAACGACGTGCGCGGCACAGCGCTAGAAAAGGGGAAATGGAACAAGACTCTCGCGGAAGAGCCGCTGCCGGAAATGTACGCGACCATGCTGGCGACGGCCCTGCGATGCAAACTGTTCTCGATGTTGACAAGGAAAGGGAATGAACGTCAGGACCTTGTTCCAAGCAAGAAAGCCATACTAGAATCAGCGTCAGCAGACCACGGCCAACTCGACACCACGCTCCGATCCCGCCGCGAGTACTTTTCCAAGTGGCCAAATCTGTCGCTGCTCGGCTCTGCCGCGACCAATAACCGAGAGTACTGGTCCGCTTTGGCTGAACGAGTGGGCTTCTACGCCAAGTCGCGTCTGACGATTCCGCGGGAGGCAGTCGTCTTTCCACCCGGAGAACTGGAAACTGCGGCGGTAGAGGACGAGGAGACCACTGTCGAAAATGCCCTCTACAAGCCCGAGGACGTTGTTCTCCTCGGCGCGGAGTTCCGGAGCCGTCCGAAGCATCGCAGCGCCGCGATGCGGCTGCTTGCGCAGTGCTACGGACAGACGACGCAGTTGCTGCCGACGGATTGTCCCGCACATGTGGAGGAATTGCTGGAGAAGAGCGCACAGAAAGTGTTGAGTATCAGCAGTTTTTTCGAACAGTTCTTTTTTCCCGCGATCCCGCAGCTGATTGATCAAGAGAGCGGGAAGTGGAAACTTCCTTCATCACTAACCTCCGTCGACGCTAAAAATCAAGAAAAGCAGAAATCCTCGCAAGAGGAGGTCGTACAAGAACCCAACCGGGGGTGCTTCTCCTCAAAGCTTGGTTTGTTCAATACGGAGCGCCACCTCCAGCCCGACGAATTCGATTTGCTTTTGGAACTGTACCTGACAGAAGTAGTGAACAGAAAAAACAAGCAGTCGGAAGGCAAGAATGTTGGAACCAGTTTGCTTCTGGTTTCGAGCGCGGAACAAGCGGACATTTTCAGCAGTACAAAACTTCTACGACGAGCAGATGGGATTGAAAGCGAGGCTATTGAACGCCCATCAACAGGTTCACAAGCTGCTTGCTACGAAGCCATCGGTTCGCTTTTTGACCCCGGAGAGAAGAGACTCGCGGGTCTGCTATCGGAAGAAGCGTTTCCGGCGCCGAGGTTCCGCAACGTGCCGACGCTGCTACATGCGCTGCGGCAGTGCGGGGGCTTGCGGAAGGATCTGGGCTGGGAGCTGATCGAAAAGGTCGCACTGGAGATCGATCAAGGCCACCGAAAAGCAAACGCGCGGAAAGAGTTTCCCGCTACGGTAGACCTTGCGGAAAAAGACTTCGTGGAAGAAGACACGGCAACGTCAGCATTGTCTTCCACGAAACTACCGTCAGTGGGGGTGAAGCAGGAAATAAAATCCGAGGCAGATCTTGTCGCCGGCGAAGATTCTGCAGCAGCAGCTGCAGATACCAGCAGCGCTGGTACCGGAGTTGCAGCGAAGGCCACGAGCTTGCGACGCGTCCGTGTGGACGTCTTCGGTCACCTGCCTCCTCCGGACACGAGTCTCCCATCTTCTGCCACCTCTACTAGTAGTTCAGCCCTGGGTCTGGTGCCCTCGCAAAACCATGACACGAAAACTGCGCCGGCAAAGGCGAGCGCAAGCGCAAACGAGGTGATTGAGCTCAGTGACAGCGACGATGACATGTCGGTACCGCCGCCCGTTCTGAATACTACAACTGCTGAAAAAGAACAAACAGCGCGGACTCAGGAAACTTTGGAAATTACCGTTATCCAGGACAGTTTTTTTGCCGTCAATTCCGCACAAGATTTTGAGACGTTTCGCGCCCGCGCTGTGAAACTTCAGAAGTACATCAGTTGGAAACTGAAGAACGACAGCAGCCTGCAAAGCGATGACCTGGTCGGGGAATCCTCCGAAGATGCGGAGTCTTTACGCGCCCGCAAAAACCGCGTGTTTGGCGAGATCTCGTGGGTGCCGCAAGCCGAACCGCCCCGCGCTGAGGTTTCGAATATCACCTTCCGTCTGTGGGCGGAATTCCGCAGTCTGCGGCCGCCGGCGAAAATGACAGCAAGCAAGCATCTGAAGGGCTTGTTTGCGGCGGTTCCGGTCTCGGCCTGGGACCTGTCCGAAGATGATCCGTTTGCGAAAACCGCCGGTTGGGAAAAGCCGGTGTCGCCGATCCTGTGCATGCAGCAACTTGATCATTTGCAGAAGGGTTTGCAGTTGCGACTTTTGGACGGTGGGATGTACCGGACGCACTTGTGGGAGACGCTGCACATCATGAATGTGCACTGCGGCGGCCAGGCCACTCCGGATTTCTTCAAAGTCAAGAAAAAGATGAAAAGAGCGGGAAAGAGGAAGAGACGCGAGGAAGAGAACTCAGGCAGTTACAACGACCTGGAGCCGCAAGGCAGCGATTTGGTAGAAAACTCGTGTCACGCCTCGAAAGAGGCGACGGCCGACGGAGCTTCTTGCGAAGATGACGCGAACTATGCAGAGCTGCTTCGGAACCGTCTGAGCCACCTTCCACTTTTCCCCGCTGAAGACGGGCAACTTCGTGCGCCTGAGCAGTGCGTCTGCATCTCCTCGGGCGCGCAAAGAGATTTCAGTCCTTACCTCTACACAGTTCCTGTGGAATACTTGCCTTTTCGCGAGCAGCTCGAGTTTTTCGGTGTCGCAAAGAAGCTGACGCTTTCCAAAATCGACACCATTCTCCTCACGGCGCGGGGTGCAACCACGACAGGAAGTAGTAGCCGCGGCCCGAAAATTTTCACTACAGAGGAAAAGGCCGGTCTGGAAAACTTGCTCAAAAAATGGGCGGACATGAACCGAGAGAGCAAAAATAGAAAGCAATCGGTTGCTGCTGGAACTGCAGCGTATCCGAGCGTTGTTTTGACAGAGGCGGACACCCTTGAAGAGCGTGAAGCCGTCCACTTCAACGATGGTCGCGGGAAAAAGCACAAAGCGAAGACGACCACGGGAGCAGGCCTCAACTCAGAGTCACAAGTAAATAGAACGGTCCTCAGCGCCGTGTTCTCGAAAGTTGACGCGGGGGCGCTTGGTGTAAAGTGCCTCTCGGAGCTGCTTGCGCTGCAGCAAGACAGCGAAAGCGAGCAGGACGAGGACAGCGTCGAAGGGGCAAAGGATGGGAAGAACGTGAAGATAAATGTGTCCTACCAAGACCGGATCCGCAACGTCCTGGAAGATTACACAGAGTCCGGCACTGGTCTTGTCACAGTCTGCAACGAAGCAATTCAAAATTTTGACGACGCCGGAGCACAAGAAATTTTCTTCCTTCTAGACGAGCGCCGGCACCCAGCCGAGCGTTTGCTCAACGATCAAATGCAAGCGCTGCAGGGACCCGCACTGCTGATTGCGGGGGACTCGGTGTTCTCCAAACAAAATTTAGACTCCTTGCAGTTCGTGGGCCGGTCACAGAAACGCGAACGATTCGACGCAGACGGGCAGTTTGGGGTCGGCCTAAACGTCAACTACCACGTGACGGACTCCGTCGCGCTCCGAACCGCGAACCAGGTATGGTTTCGTATTCTTCAACGAAATTCCTGTGTGTAGTCCTCTCGGCATTAGATCCTGATTGTTTTTTGAAAGCAAGTTGTTGTCCTACTCCTAGTCATTCTCATTGCACCGTGTATCTTGAATCCTGGAGATCTTCATTTCTGGAAATACAATACAGATACGCTTCTTCGATCCTTTGCACATGTATGCGTCTGCCGACTCCGCTGAGCGGAAGTCTCGACCGGTGAAGTTGTTTGAGGAAAGCGCACTGGAGAAGCACTTTCCTGATCAGATCGAGCCCTTCCTGAACCTGCCGGTATTCTTCCCCACCGGGACGCAGTTTCGACTTCCATTGCGGGCGGAGGCGAGTGGGTTGAAGCGGAAGGTGTATCAGCCCGGCGAGTACGTCCAAGAGCTGGCTCAGTGGAGTTCTCGCGACATGTGGAAGTGCCAGATTTTTGCCCGGTCTCTGCGTCGCATTCGTGCGGGCCGGATTGGGGCGGACGGTGTGGTTTATCTCATGGGCAACTATAACGTGCAGCTGCGCGAACTCGACTCCGTACCATGGGCCCCGGTGCTAACGCCCGGGGGTGCGGACGTGCCGCTTGCTCAAGGGGCTGAAGTTTGTGAAATCGGCGTGGCAGAGGCTTCTAACTCGTCAGGGCGGCATGACGAGCAACGCGACAGCAAAGACAAACAAGGCGAAACCCTGTTGCCGCCATTGGATGAGGATGGAAATAATCTTGCCACAACAAGCACCAGCTCAAGACCCGTTCCGTTATCTCATCCGTCTTCAAGTGCTGCCTTAGCCTCGAGTTCCTCGTCACGCGCTGTGCAGTCATCGCAGGTACCACTCTCCCTGGAGTCGGAAGGTGTCGAAATTCCAGCCCCGATCGCGGAACTCGTGGCGCAGGAGCCCAAACTTCGCGAGATGATGCCGGAAATCGCCCTGGGCGTGCGGGACGGAAGCGCCCGGGACTTCTATGCGAATCTGCCAAAAACGGGGGCAGACCTCCGAGCTCACATCAAAAAGGCCGACGTCCGGAAGTCGCGATATTGCTACTTTCACGTCGTGGTGCAGACGGGGGACGGGTTGGATCTGAGTGAGAGCTCTGAATCAGCAGCCGAAGAAGGAACGTTGCGGAACGCTGAAACAGGGGACGCGGACGAGTATACCGGACCACCTTTGAAACGTGCGAAGCAAGAATTAGATGCCGAAGACCCTGCTCCTGCCAGTTCCGAGAAACCTGTGGCTCAGGCAACGGCACAAGAAAGCGCGAAGAGAAGACAAGCCGACAGCGACGATTCTATCAAAGAAAACGACAACGAATCTTTACTGAAGGTCCAGGGTAGCGGCCGCGGCAGCATCAGGAGGACCTTCTTGGTAAGGAAGCACATCAGCGCGCCTGCTCGGCCGGCTTCAAAAAAGAAAACCCGCAACGCGGCTGACCAGACCGACTCGGTCTTGCCACGAGAAATTGAGTTTGTAGTCGCCCTCTTCTTCAACGCGGACTGTTTGAAGGATTCGCTACGCGTGCTTGAAGAAGAGAGCATGGCGTTGCTGCCCGTCGGTGGAATCGCAATGCCGCTTCGTATTTTGGAACACGATCATCACCAAGGCAGTTCGAGCGAGAATACAAACGACGCCAGCAGCAGTGCGGCACAGGCAGACATGGGACAGAATTTTTACCCAGGCACGAAGGAATTCCAAAGACGTGTCGCGAAGATCAACCGGGAGAACGAGTATCTCTTTCGATTCCGTCCCCTGCGGTCGGGGGTACAGGATCAAAGCCGGTCCGTCACCGAGTTTTACATGCACGGCTTTTGGAAGTTGCACTCGTCGCGGTTGCTGATTTTGTTCGACCAGAAGGAGCCAGAAAAGTGCTGGAATCAGATGCTGATGCAACAGGTACTGCAGCCTGCCTACGTCCTCGCCTTCTGCGGAGCGCTGGGATCCTTGAAACGCATTCAGGAGGAGGAGCTGCAGGCCGCGCGCCGCAGGGAAAAGGCGCGCGCCCAGCGTGCCGGCGTTAATGCCGCTGCCAGCGACAACGACGGTGCGGCCGCAGCGGCCAGAAACCAGGATATTGAAGACCGCGATCTGGCCCGGCTGTGCCTGCTGTCCCTCCCCGCCGTCACGGCCTACCCGCATCTGCTTCCGACGTGCAGCGGTGCGGCAGAGGACGCTGCCGGAATTCTCGAGTTTCCGGCTCTCGAGAAGCAGAATGGTACTACGGCCGCCCTTGCAACAGAGGACGACCCCTGGCAGACGTTTGCGGACGGTTGCCTCTCCTCCCTGTACAGACGGGGAGTGCCGTGCGTGCCGGTGTGTCCGAACAACCCGAAGGCCGGTAAGGCGAGTAAGAAAGCCTCCTGGTTTTTGGACGTGAGTCTGGTGCTGGAACGGATCAAGGACGACAGCTGCCTCGAATGCTCGATCAACATGGACTTCACCCCGGATCCCTACTTTTCGATCGACGACCCGAAGCAGACGTACGACAGAGGGTCCGTGCTCCAATGGGTCGACCAGGACGGTCGGCACCCGCTCACGCGGCGGCCCACGAGCCGCGACAAGTGGAAGTCGAATCAAGCTGTGAAGAAAATCGCCGAGAGCCTGCACGCCATGTTCGGCGTGCAGAGCTCGAGCGCCCACGAGGGTGCTGCGGTCGTGGAGGATGGTTCGGCCGACGACGGCGGTCGAGGACAAGCCAACAAAAGCGATCCCACCGACGTTTTGGAGAAGGAGCTTGTGAGGCTGGGAGCGTTGTATCCTTTGACCAGCGAAAACGAGAAACCGTACTTGACCTCGAAGGGCCGGACGGTCCGCAAAGACACACCGGCTGCGGAGCTGCAATCGGGGGAAGAACTTGTCTGTGAAAATCACGTCTTGATCAACATCCTGCAGCTGTTCGCAACGTACGACCGGTTCCGGAACGCGGGCGTCGAGCTGGTCGCCCTGGAGAACAGCCGGCAGGAGGCGCACGGAAACGAAGTGACGTGGGTGCCGCTGGCCAGGGCGGTGTTTGACGGACGGACCGCGGTCGATTTCTGTGGCGAGGGTGCTTCGCACCGCATGGCCTACTTCCAACAGCAACGTCCGATGATCCGCCACGTCATGTCTGTTTCGCTGCTCTCGTTGCGTTCGCAGGCCCGGCTTCTGCGCGCGTTGTCGAAGAGCAAAGGCACGCCGTTGCAAGAGCTCACGCCGGCCAAAGTTTGCGCTGCCCTTCGCGAGTACACCGAGACCTGGCAAATTTTTGCCAAAAAGCCCGGAGATTTTTGGGACAGATGGGAAAATAAGTGGATGACCGCAGAGGAGTACACTGGTCTGACGAGCGGAGCCGACAGATTCGTGCCGAAGAGTGTAAATTTTGTGCGGCAGGCAGATGTGCCCGCAGAATCGATGCTGCGCAGCCGCGAGTTCGTGCTGAAGTTTCTGGACTTCCTGGTTTCGGACCGCTTTCAGAAGTTCAGCACAAGTGAGGACGGTTCCCTGCTGCAGCAACTCTGTGGAACGCCACTGCTTCTGCTTGGGGGTGTGAGCGGTAACAGGTCTGGGTTTGCCACAAACCTCTTTTTGCTGGGACGGGTGCCAGATCCTCAAGAAGCCGTAGAGCTTTACACGGAAGGCAAGAACACTAGCGGCCTTGGCGCTTGGTGGAGGTGGAGCTGCACACCGCAGTTGTTTCTGGCAGCGGGATGGCAGAAAGATGGCACGGGGAAAAATGGCGGGAACATGGACAAGCACGCAGAAACGTGGCTGTCCAAGGTCGTACGCGAAACCTCGTCCGAAAGATTTCTGCAACATCGAGAGCGGCAGGTTCCATCGCGATTGATAAAAACCGATCAGGACCTAGCAGACGCAGGAAATACGGAATGCTGCCGATTCGTAATCGAGAGGCCCGAGCTCGACGGAAGCCTCACAACTAAAGCTTGGCTCGCAGCAATGGATGTGCTGCACCCGCTGAAAACAGTAGACGTCCCGGGGATGCGGCGGGACGGTCGGCCCGGTTCGATCAAGCAGACAAAGCGGGCGCCCGCAAGTGGCACCGAGCTATCCAAGGCCCTGCATCTGTTGCAAGACTGGCCCCTATTGCGCACTGTGCAGAATCGCGTCCTATTCGGAACTGCAACAAGCAAGACAATTCTGTGGCCGTCTTCGACGTGGGGCCCCGTTCCGCCTCCGCTCCAAGATGTGTTGCGTGCGCTCGGATACTTCGTTGTACCGGGGAAATTCGGAAACCCTGTAGACGATCCTTTCCAAGAGCTGCGCGGGATTTCAGATTTCCTCAATGTCATCCCAGAACAGTTCCTAAAATCGCAGATCCAACTGCGCTGCGTCGTTGGTATTCCGAAGCTCGTGAAAGTTTTGGCGAACAACAAAGATGCGTTTGCTGCAGGGTTGACCGACGAAGACAAGAAAGCGCTGGCGCGCTTCTTTTCGAAGTGCATCACCGAAAACACGATGCTCGGGCCCAGCTCGTCTGGCGGTAACCGCGGCGCCGTTCAATTTCAGGAAGCCGGTGACTGCAAGCGCAATCTTCTGGCTCTGCCGCTCTACCAGACCCTTTCCGGAACGTACCGGTCGCTTGGTCTGGAAACTAGCCGCCGGCAGTACCTAAGCGGCGTGGATTTTCTGTGTCAAGGGACACTGAGAGCGCACCGGGACGCATTTGTGGACATGCCCTACCTCCTCTGGGAGCCGGAGGAGTCGGGAGAGCATGCGACTTCTTCGCGGCCCCTCTGGGAATACGTGGGCGTCGAGGAAATGAAGCTCCCCGCCTTTGCGGCCACGCTGTTGCCCAAGGTTGCAAAAACCGTCGCCGAGCAGGGCCGATGGCAAGATGTGGACCGTTGGATGAACCTGATTCGCGACTGGACGAAAAGCATTAAGAGCAACGACGGAGCCCTGCTCACGACGCTCCGCGAGCAGGTCCGTGAGATCCCGTTTCTACATCGCGCGGCGGCCGCCCCTTGCTCACCTGGGGGCACAAACAAGAAGGCGAGGGAGCAAGTCGTGGCGGCTGCATCCAGTAGCAGTTCGAGTTCTGCGGTCGGGTCTGCGATTTCGTCTGCGACGTCGGCACTGCGCCCGCGCGGGGTGGTTTCCGAGTTTTTCGATCCCGACGAGAAGGTTTTGAAGGAATTTTTGCCCGCGGACGCCTTTCCCCAAGCGCCGCACGATGCGCCCGAGTGGATCCTCTTTTTGCAGAGAATCGGTCTGCGGAAACGGTTCACTACGGAGGACTTCTTGCGACACGCACGGCAGGTGGCGCAGGACGCACTGCAAGTACTGCACAAGGCGGCTCAGGAGGTCTTGAACGTTGCGAATAACCAGAAAAAGCAGTCAACAGACCAAGCAGCATCCTCCTCGTCTGCAGGCACTACACGAGTTGTGGATCCACCTTCCAACCCGGAGCAGGTGCTGCTGGATCCAACGGCAGACCACGTGCGCGCGTTGGCGGACAAGGGAGCCTTGTTGCTGTCATTTCTGCGGCAGCAGGTTCAACAATCCAGCGAAACAGCACTGCTTGGCAGCAGTGCGCGGGAGTTTGCTGAGAAGCATTTTCTGGACGAGGTTCGCAGCATTGAGTTTGTGCCAGCTCTGACACGTTGCGTGAATACAACTACGGTGGGTGATCGTGGTCTCGCACCAGGAACTGTGCCATCCGTAGCTTCGGTCACAAACGCAGACAGTGGCAGGCTCCCATTAGCGAAAAGTGTGTATCTCCCACGAGAAATCTTCGCAGCAAAAGATTTACGTGCACAAATCGCAGGGGAGAACAACACGCACTTCAAGCCCATTCTTGAAGAGTACCCGGGCACGGCCATTACATTTCACGAGGCAGCACACGCAGACGAACCACCAGAGACTCGGTTGCGCGTTACCGTTTCCTCGACAGATCCAGACGAGAAGAAATTCGAAGAAGCGTTCTCCAAGGTCGCTGATTTGGTTGCAACGATGACAGCGGTCATTTTACATGAGATGGGCATCCAAGAGGAAGAGAGCAAACAAATTACGAGGAAAATTCGGAAAGAAGTGTTTTCCATCTATGATGACGACACGGTAGGACCGGATAGCAGTCTCAAGACAGGATTGGTCTGGAGACACTGTGGGGCGCGGCTGTGTTTTTCTGACGAGGTCTGGAATACCACGTTCACGCAGCAGGACCGCGTTTGGAAGCCCGACGAGGGTGTTGTGGAACTGGGTGAGACTGAGAAAACTGTTTTGCTGTTACAGGATGCGGCGGACGCCGATACGGTCTTCCAGCACATTGTGGCACTCTCAGAGTTCTTTCCGAAGACGCCAGAAGCGGCGCCGGAGACGAAGACGATCAGCAACAGCGACCAAGAAGAACACCGGGAGGAAACACGGCAAGATCAAGCTCACGTGGCCCTTGCTAGCTCTTCAAGTGGTTCGAGTTCATCTTCTAGCTCGGCCGCACCGATCAACAAGGTAAACCTGGTCCAGTCGGCCCAAGAAGCAAAAGCGTCTGGAAGCATGATCGAAGGACCAGAAGTTGCTGACGAAGGATCTTCGCTTTCAAATCTGCATCCAATTCTTTCGCAACCGAGCAACAAACGAGACGAGTGTGTTGAAGTGAGCAAGGCGCTGCGAAAGGAGTTGGCGAAGCACTACTGGCACGCGGTGGAGCAATTATCTTTGCTTGTGGGAGAGAATCAGATACAGAATTTAAATCGGGATTCTTTGCGGCGCCAAGCTTGGCTCCCAGTCGTCGATCGTGCCTCTGCCTCCGAGGACAGAAATGCTGTCAGGAGGGACGATGCACGGATAACGGTGCTGGCGCAGCCAGATGGTGTGTACGCTAACTTGACAAACAAGGCCGGAGATTTGGCTGACCTTGACCGTGCGGGTAAAAGGTTTAGCTTAGCTCTCCATCCGCGTTTTACCGCAAATCCCAAACTAGCTTCGTTGTCCGGTATGCTGCGGGAAACGCTGTTAGCGAAACTGACATGCGAACACCTTCTAGGGTTGATGGAGCAGAGATTTGTCCCTGACCTGAATGACCCTGACGCGCCCGTGGTGAAGTTTCATCTGGGCCCGCCGGACGAGAAAACAAGATCGGAAAAAGAAGACGAAGAAGTAGAAGTCGACACATTAACAAACGCAGCAGCAGCGGCTGAAAATAAAGACAATTCTGCTGCAGCAGTTGCTGGCGATCTGAACAACGTCCAGCGTAGTGGAGAGCGCGAAGCAAAGCTCCTGCAGAGTGGCCACCTCTACCTACAGTGTGTGCGCGAAATCCTTATGCTACAGCTTGCGGCTGAGAAGGCAAACTCCTCCGGATCTTCTAGTGCTGCTGTCGAGCAGCCTGCGGGGCACGACGCTGCGAGGTCAGCTGTGGATGTCGTCCGTCGCCGTTTTCCGCTTGTGGATTCGTCTGGCTGCATCTGCCGTGCTGAGGACGGCATCGTGTTGCCTCCAAAAGAACTCAGCAGAGGTTGGTCTGATGCGCAGAAGGAACAGCGGTCACGGGCGTTCGCGAATTTGCGGCACATACATCCTGAAGTCGTGAAGAAAATGGAGACAGTATGGTCAGGTTTCGCGAGGAGGCGGCTGAAACTCCACCCGGCTGAGGAATTTTGCAAATACCAGATCACTAGGATTCTCCCGGTGGCCTCGAACTCCCCGACGCACGCTTTCGCGGAGTTTCTGTCGTCGTATGAGCGGTTCGCTACACCTTTGGCAACACTGTGCCGCGGGTTGGAGCTTTCCGCATGCGCCATAGGCCTTGACACCACGAGGGTCGACTTCACTGCCTGCGATGAGCTACGGAAAGGCTACAAGCTCACGCCTCCAACGACGAAAGCAGGTATCGCTGTTCCTCCGGGCAGCGGTGGGTCTAGTTCAAGTTCATCTAGCTCACGACCTTTGATGGTGCAGCCGCCAGCACAGGTAGTGGAGGAAGACCTGAACGACCAGGCCTTCGAGATCGCCTACGACGCTCCTGCACCTGAGACGGGCCGACAAGTTGAGAACTTTCGGCAAGTTTCCGTGATCCGGTCGCTACTCGAGCGCGTCCTCCAAGGCGAACCAGGACCCATGAAAAGTCTCTGTGATGTGATTGGGGAAGCTTACGGGTTTAGTTTTAGTGGCGACACGATTGGGAACAAATCGGATTTAGCGAGAATACTCATCAGACAGATCATCGAGGACAAATTCATGCACGTAGAACGGAAAGACCCAAATGGTAATCCGCTTTCTGTACATGCAAGCCGCAGCGACAGGAGCGCACCAGGACCTTCTTCGTCCTCCTCTTCCGGCCGGCCGCAACTCGGTGCGAACAGCAGCGCGTCAAGCCGTGATGTTGGTACTGGCGCTGCTACAGGGACTGACGTCGTGCTGGGTGCTCGGGACCATGATTCAAATTTTAACGCGGCCGCCGCAGCAGAAACAGATGCACAACAAAACGCGCCGCTCTCCCCCTCCGGAATCGACGTTGCCATGGCCCCAGACGACGAACTCGGAGGTGAGAATGCGGATCATGGTTCGGAGGCGGATCGGGAATTTGAAGGCGCGCAACCGGAGTCGATGGAGGCCGACGATCGGCTCGGGAGGGATCAGGTGGCTCCGCAACACCAGTTTCCACGGGGTAGCAATAGAGGACCAGTACGGAGAATCAACAATGCACCTACCCGGCGGCCCCGCGTGCTGCACCTGTCTCCGACGGTGCTCCGGAGCGCTGGGCAGAGTAGGCAGCAAGCGGCAGAACTACGGGACCAAACCGGCGACGATTCCAGCGGTGATCACAAGACAGTCGAAGCTTTACTAACGGTAGTGGAAGGGTTGCTCGGAACTACAAGGGCAGGAAATGGCGGAGAAAAGAACGATGCCACGGCTCGTCAGTGCGCTTCAAGTAGCATGTTGACAAGCAGGAACCTGCCACAGCGCCCCGACGGTGGAAAAGAGTCGGTGTCGGGAAAAATAGCAGCGGATACAACATCTCATGGCCCCGCCTCTGCCACGTCGTCCTCTTCTAGCAGCACCGGTGGGATGAACGTGCGCGGAAGCACCGCGCCTGCAGACCGGCAAGCTTTGACGCCGTCGCGGTGGCGAGATCTCATGAAGCGCGCCGACGCCGCATTGCAGTCGCTGTTGTTTTCAAATCCGACGACAGTACCTTCCAGTACCGGAAGGAGGTCAGGCGAATCATCAGCAGTCGTACAGGACGAGAGGGCGAACGGGTCAGAGGACCACGACGTGAATCATCGTGGTGCATCCTCAGCCCCGATAGTTCGTCGAGAACAAGATCAAAATGACGACCGCGCCAGCGGTAACCCGAAATCAAACTCGAACGATCAACATGACGGCAATATGAAAGACAGTGCTTGATGAACTCTCAATTATGTTTGAAATTGAAAAGAGTTCTTGAAGGAGAAGGTGTTTCATCACATAGATGAAAGGTACTACGCTCAGTGAGCGTAGTCAACGAGATGACATGAAGATAGCAATTCGCTGACGCTGAAGTAAAGGAATACCAACATGCACTAGCACCAGGGTGAAAATACACCGATCACGGCCACGGTGCTTGTGCATGGTGCGAAGCTTGGTGTTGTTCTCGACTTTCGTTTTTTTGCGTTAAAGTTGGCAAATTAATATGTTCGTTCTACTTGGTTTTTTCTTCGTAGGAAACGTACGAAAATCGATGCTTAGTCCTCAGCCTCGTCTGATTCTGACACCAATTTTGTTTACGATAGTCAAACATGATCTTTTATATTCGTGTTCAATCATATATTGCGCATTCGCTACTTGAATATATCGCCCTCGTCATTGGAGTCGTGCTCCTGGCTCCGATTCGCTCCCGCGTGATTTCCTAAGCCATTCCGTTCTGATACGCGACGCGCAAAAATGGTGTGGAATTTCGTGTATGGTTTCGTTGATTCGTTCCTCATAATTCAGTCACTTCGTTGATGCTTATTCACCAGTATTACATCGTGATCGTGCAGTGCAGTTCGTACGCAAAAGTAGTTTTCTGCGTGTCAAAAAACGCAGGTATGATAGGTAGCTTTATTCGCCTTTGCTGTTTTTGCACATGCTGGTCGGTAGCTTTAGTCGCCTTTGCTGTTTTTGCACAAGTAATCAAACTGGCCTCCTCTCTTCAGTGGTAAAAGTACCCCATTCCCACATGCATATACACCCATTCCCGATTAGATTTAGTATGTTAGTAGAATATAGTTGTCTGCTATGAAGGAATAGTACGACTAGGGAGCCTGGAGCTCCACCTTGGCTTTCTCTTCACGACGCGCGTTGCCATGTAATTAACTGAACCTCTTGTCATTTGACATTCGCATGACGCACACTAGAAGTTTTCTTCTTTCCACTTCTCACGACACTGGGATATGTAAGTGTTAGGGTGAGTTGCGCAGCAAACAATGCAATTGCCACATGCTGCTGCTGCATAAGGAATAAGTGATTCTCCCGCGGTCTACACAATACCTACATAGGGTTAGTGCGTGACCTGCTTGAGTATGATTATGATCCGTGGTCCGGTTCGTTCTATTCAGTCCGCTCAGTCGTGTTGGGATCTGCTTGGTGCCACTTCGTTGCTAAATTTTGACGAGCTGGCCAAACGCAATGCTAGACCGCGTCCCGCGTCACTCAGCTTTGGATCGTGGCGTGCAGTGATATTTTTGGTATTTCTTTCGCAGACCCGCCTGCGATGGACCGCGAAGATTCCGGATGGAGGACCAGCTATTTACGCAGTCCGTGCACTGCAACGACAAAGTGGGCAGACGCGTATCACAGGAACAGGGAGTAGCAGGCCGGCACCAGGTGCGGTGTTTTGGAAGAGGACTGGCACAGACGAGGAGCAAGGGGGCGACCAAGAAGAGTCAGCTAGGAACGATGCGAACCGAATACGCCTCGTCAAGGAAGGCGAGGGCGACAGTAGTATCAGCGATAGCGACACGAGCACGGCGAGCAGCGCCCTTTCGGAAATAGACAACGTTGACGGGCGGAGCGGTCGTAAGCGAGCAGCAGGACGAGGAAGTAGAGGCGGTGCACCGAGACAGGAAAAGAACGATCGAGGAGCCAAGGACGACAACATCAACAGTGTTGTCGAACTGGCACGCAGCACACATAGACAAAGAAAAACAGAACTAAGATCGGGGGGGAATGTAGCAGTGAAGACGGAACTTCAGGCAACGAATGATAAAAATCAGCCATACGGTGGTATTCCTGAAGGATGCAGGAAAGTAGATAGCAGCACGGGGCGCTGCCGCAGTGAAACTTCCATTTCGCTCGGGGGCGTAGGGCAACAAGTTAGTGACAACCAGCGTTTCCTGTTCGTAAAGCGGATGATTGGCTCAATGGATAATGGTCGCAAGTTTCGTTACAAGTGCGGTGGCAGCGATGAAGAGATCGACCTTAGCACTGGAGAAATGTGGGATCACTTCTTGGTCGAGAAAAAACCGGGAAAGAAATCTTGGGGTGTCTGGACAGGGGGCGGAGAGGTGTACTTTCATGGTTTGCAGTGCACGAATATTAAGTTCGGTCTCTCTGGGTATTCGAGTCTGGGTTGCTACAAAGCCGATTCCAATGCTCTCGTTGGGAACGTGGAAAAGGAGCCGGTAAGGCATCGCAGTGTGCGCGAGTGTGCCTTCGAATGCAGGGCCTTCGAGTATTTCGCCCTCAAGGCCGGTAAAGAGTGCTGGTGCACAGACGACAAGGGCTTCCAAGCGGCGGAGAAGCAGGAGGACACACATTGCGCCTCCGCCTGCCTAGAACCCATGCAGCCAGACGACGGGTGGGATAAGCTGAACAACAATCCGTGTGGAGGTGACGAGGTATTCAGCTTTTACCAACCTGGTTTTGGAAGCAGCTCCGAACAACTGGATAAGGGCGAGACGTGCACACTGCTGGAGCGCGAGGGTGAGAAATGTAGGGGTGCCACTTACATCAAGCTGGCAAATGATGCAGAAGGACTCAAGAACGACGCAAATCGGGTCATTGTCCGCAAGGGACAGCAGGGAGTCGTTGATCCGATGCTGCGGATGATCAACAAAAGAGATCTCGGTAGCCTGGTAAGCGCCGAGCTCCAAAAGGAGCGCGCGGGGAAGAAGATGTTTTGGCAGTGCGGCGAGTATGCGGACAGCGGATGGACGCATGAGCTGAACCCCCAGTCATGGTTCGATCACATCCAAGTTCGATATTTTTCGGACGGGACGGTGGACCTGCGCGCGATGCGCTGCGACGATCCAAGGCAGGTTAGCTTCGGTGGGAAGGTCGAAGACAAAAACGAGAAGAGAGTTGTGGCGGGCGGGTACCAATACCTAGGGTGCTATAATGACCAGGAAAGTCCTCGCGCCATGGAGCGCCTGGTGAGTAAGAAGCGCAGTATCCGCGAGTGCGCCTGGGAGTGCCAAAATTACAAGTACTTCGGGCTCCAGGCGAGGACCGAGTGCTGGTGCGGCAACGACGAGGAGAGTTTCAAGCAGCACGGTAAGGCGGAGGAAGATCAGTGTCACAGCGGCTTTGATGAAAACCCACCAGAAAAGTACGCATTTCCTTTCAAGGAAACCCAAGCGAGCGAAAACTGCCTCAACGCCATCGGTTCGTGGTATGATTTCGCGGACCGCGGTTTGAATCACTCCTGTGGCGGCGATTTTCGCATGTCCGTGTACAAGCGTGGGATGCATCCTGCCGACCTCGGCGAAGACTGCAAAGAGCTCGAAGACACCGTCGAGAAGTGCCGGAACGTGCCTTCGATCAAGTTTGGCGGGGTGGAAATTCGCAAGAACACTCAGCGGGTCTTGCGGAAGAATGCGTTGAGGGACGTGAACCTGAACAACGATCCAACGCCGGGCATGGACCTCGAAGGCATCGTGCACTGCGTCGGGAACGGCGAAGACGCCAAGCACCGCATCCGCATGCGGCCTCACGGTTGGTGGGATCACGTTGGCATCACTTTTCTGGACGAGGACGGGGAGATCCGGCTGCGGGCCCTGCAGTGCGAGCGAAAGAACACACCGGGCTACACGCCGCTGGGCTGCTACAACGCGAAGGACTCCTCCTCGGGTGCGGGGCTGCCAGACACACTCGTTCTTCCCGGAAACCCGCTGCCGTACGCGCCGAAGCTGTCAATCCGGGAATGCGCGTACGAGTGCAGGGGCAACCCGTTTTTCGCCATGTTGAACGGCGGCGAGTGCCGGTGTGTGGCCGAAAAGGCGTCGTACGAAAAGTTAGGACGGGTGGAAGATCCGGCTAAGTGTGCGGTTGAGTGCGAAACAAAAGCCAGGAACAGTAACTGGCACCTGGCGGACCGGAGTTTGGGCGCCTTTTGCGGCGGGGAAAACGCAAACGCCGTTTTCCACCACGGGTGGCCGGAAGTGGAGGTCGCTGGGTGTGAGCACTACGGCGATGCGGACACCTCGGAGATGTGCAGGCAAGAAAATGAGGTCAAGTTTCGGGTCAGTCCCTGCAACGAGCAACCAGGAGACTTGTGCGACACGTGGATTCACAAGGGCTCCACGCGGTTCTTGTGGCTGGAGACCGATTTGCACGGTATGAAAGCGGACGAGAAGCAGGAACTGTGGTGCGGCGATGGAGTTGAGCGCCCCAGGTTGAATCCGACCAGCAATGGTATTGGTCTCGGCGCCTCGAAACTTCCGTGGGACAGGCTGCACATCGAGTACACGGCGAATTCCGAGGTGAAATTCAAGGCCTACCAGTGTTACAAGCCCGAGGTGCACAGATACCGTCTCGTGGGGTGCTACAAGCGGGACGACAAGACACCTATCGAGGAAACGCTCGTTCGCGGCCGGCGGTCCATTCGCGAGTGCTCTTTCGAATGCTTTGACCCGAACAAGGGCAATAGCAACGAGTTTGCCCTGCAGAACGGCGGCGACTGCTACTGCGGCCCCCCTGGCAAGAGCTCGCCGTATACAACGAGCTCGTACGAAAAGGTGGACGACGTGAATTTGTGCAAGAGTGAGACGCGCCCCTGCATCGGGTCCGACAACTACGATCGGGAGGTAAACAATACCTGTGGATCGTTGCAATATATCTCGGTGTACCAGAAAGGCTGGCCTGCGGGAGATATCCACATGGACGTTCTCGAAGGAACGACTTCCGCAAAAGAGGACAAGGTGGAAGAAAACAGTCAAGGGAGTAGCCTTCACAAAGCAGTTCTTGGGAGGTGCACCCCGCTGACCGACGCTACGACCAAAGAAGCGTGTCGCAGTGAGCGGGAGGTGTCGATCGGGGCCAGCAGGGATAATCCGGACAACACGAACTTCTACCTGCGCAAGGGCATGACCCGGTGGGTGACGAAGCGGCACTTGAAGTCGGGATACGACCCAGAGAAGGACCCGTGGGAGGCCAAGCTGTGGTGCGGAGACGACGAGTTGGGGCCCGTCTTGGATCCCTCACTCTACAAAGATATGCGGCACTCGAAGCAGTGGTTCGATCATATCAAGATCGGGTACAGCACTGACTCAGGTAAGGTGGAACTCACTCCGGTTCAGTGCGACCCCGGCGGCTATAGGCTTTTGGGCTGCTACAAGGACAATGAGGATGACCGAATCTTGTTGGGACTGCAGCCGGCTCTCTCCGTGGGCCCGTACTCTCTGCGCGAGTGCGCCTTCATTTGCAAAACCGGGAACGTGCAGCAGCGAGCGTTCGACCTCTTCGGGCTGCAGGACGGCAACCGGTGTTTCTGCGGTGTGCGCGAGGAGCACGACTACACCCGGTTTGGGCCAGTAAGTGGGGAAAACGCGTGCAGCACCGAGTGCATGTACATCGACCCCTACGACCAGTCGGTCGGGAACACCTGTGGTGGCCACCTTCAAATGTCGGTCTATGAGTTTGGGTGGCCGCTGCAGGAGCTGGGGTCGGAGAGCAACGAGTGCCGCGAGCTGACCGACGGCGCGACAATGGAGCGGTGCGCCTCGCGGCTCTGGGTGGCCTTCGGAAACGCTAACGGAAAGCAGGAAGGGAGCAAACGCGGCACAATCAAGTACGCGCGCAAGGAGATGAGGCGCACTTTCGTGAAGCGCGAGCTGGGGATGCTCGAGAACGAAGCGGGAGCGGTTCTGTACATGGGCTGCGGCACTGGAACGGGACAAGAAGGAGAATTCCACAAAGACGGCCAGCACAACAAAAACGATATCATGAGGGTCCGTATGAACCCGGGAGATAAAGCGGGGGGGTTGAATCCGGCGAATTGGGTGCACTCGAATGTGTGGTACGACCACGTCATTGTGGACTACAAAACCGGGGGCGGCAAAGTGAACTTCACGCCCCTGCAGTGCGATCCTGGTGGCTACGAATACCTCGGCTGCTTCCAGGACCAGCGGGAGGATCCAGCAATGGGTGCCGACCATCCCGCCGTCACCAAGCCCCGCAGCGTGCGCGAGTGCGCCCACGACTGCCGGAAATATCTGCACTTTGCGCTTCGAAACCAGGATGAGTGCATCTGCGGGGGTGGCCTGAAGTCCTCCGCCGCTCCTGCCGCGTCTTCGTCTTTCCTTGACGAGGCAAGATCAAGAAAGAAGGCCACCATCACACATATGGTGGCAGAGCACGACAACCCAGCATTGGGCCGCGTCAGTCCGGGGCTGAAAAGCGATGACGTGGAGGATAAGTACGAGGAACCCGACGTTAACCCGCCAAGCTACGCCCGCCACGGGCCGGCCAAGCGGTCGGACTGCAGCAGCCCCTGCCTGGCTTCTGTGGGCGACGACTATGACCAAAGCGTGGGCAACATGTGCGGAGCCACGGACGGCGACAAAACCGTGACGCGAATCTCGGTGTACAAGTACGGGTGGCCGATGGCCGGACAGGACGGGTGCCTCAACCTACTGAACGAGACGCAGAAGGAGGGCGGCAGCACGATTTCCGCGGACGAAACCATGGAGCGGTGCCGAGGAGAGTATGCCGTGCAGTTCGGCCGCGTGGATTCAGGCGCGGACGAGGAGACGAAAAAGAAAGAAAGGGCCGCGCTCCCCTGGATCCGCAAGGGCATGAAGCGGACGTTCGTAAAGCGCGAGCTCGGCGGGTTTACCGACGAAGGCTACCTGTTTTGCGGCAACGACGAGCTTCGCATGAAAATGCACCCAGAGATCAAGGGCGCCAGTGCGGGGGAAGTCGCTGGAGACATGTTCGCGGTGGGCGCCGCGGTGGGCGCCACTGTTGCGTTGGGGCCAGTGCTTGGCGCCGCAATAATGTACGGGCGGCAGCTATGGAAGTGTCAGGACTGAAATCGTCAGAGTTGAAATAGTTTGCCATGCATAAAATGCAACCCACAGAATGCCTGTCTTGCAGAGTAGGCAAGTGAGGCAGATTGTAAGCCTCTTGAGGGGTAGAAACTGAGCTGCTAAAGTAGCACGACAAAAGGCGTCTTCCTTACCCAAACAGCATGACAAACTGGATTTCGGTTCTACCCAAATTTGTCATGCGCCACTTCGAAACTCAAACTGGGCCACAACTTTCATCCATTTTATGCATTACAAGTCTTCAACTTTGTGGATTTCAGTCCTGACACATCCATAGCAGCCGAATCCAAATGACTGGACCCCGTCGAGGCTGTGGTACGATCACGTGGAGATAAACTACGAAGAGAAAACCGGCGAATTCCGGACGACACCACTCATGTGCGGCATCGAAGGCTACGAGCTATCTCATGCAAAATCGCCATCACATCAACATCATTGAAGTAAGTACTTAACTCAATAATTATTTGCCCTGTGTGTGTACGGAGTACAAAGAAATGCATACAATAAAGCAGCATGACCAGAAGAGTTTCAGTCTGAGTATATATAAGCTTTGCATTGCGATTTCGGGGACTTGATTGTGAAGGCGATTTTGGTTAGGATACGAGCTGCTGGGGTGCTACAACTTCTCACCCGGAGATGCCAAGCTGATGGAAACGATGGCGAGTAGCACGCATCAGAAACCCTTGTTCCGAAAAGTTTCCCCGATGCCAACGCAGCCGCGCTCCCCTCGTGAGTGTTCGCACGACTGCCGGCATTCGGGATTCTTCTTTCTTGCAAACGGCGTAGAGTGCTACTGCGTAGACGACGACAGGCTGAAGAGCGAAGCGAACCTGTTGGTTCCCTGCATGCCCTTCCGGGGCAAGCAGCTTCCTCCGACGGAATGCTCGCTCGACCACTGCGCGTCGCAGGAGGCTCCCGGCTACGACAGCGCGAAAGGCAACACATGCGGGGGTAAGCCCGGAAAGAACACCGTGTCGCTCTACCGTCTTGGCTACCCTAAGAGTGAGGCGACAAGCGACATATCGAGATGAAAAATACCCCCTTCATCCCATACTCGTCCGAAAGAATGTCTGTGACGCTAACAATGTGTATCAATGAATCCACCAATCCCATCGATGCTCTGCCTTTTTGCAAAAGGGGAAGCAGAGTAGACGTATGTCATGCTGAAGAACTACACTACTTCCACTTTTACGGCTCCTCACTCAGGCTGGGAATCTGACCACGCTGGTCTGTCTGTGCCTGGTCAGAAAGCGATGCGTGTTCGCAGAATAACGTCACTAGGCACGACCCTTGTGAGTATGGGCGGGAGAGATTTTTCTTCTTTTTGATACGACGGGTGCGAAAAACTGACAGACGCGCATACGATGGAGCGATGCCGTGACCAGTTTGAAATCCGTTTCCAAAAGACCTACGTACGCAAGGGTATGACCCGTGTTCTCGTGAAGCGGCACGCGAACGTGAACATGCACCAGGAAGGGGAGATGCAATGCGGGGAGGACAAAATGAAGATTCGCATGGTGCCGGGCAGTGACGCGCTAACGTCAAATCCGCTGCGCACCTCGGAGCATGTGGAAGTGAACTACCTGGCGCAGGGGGGCCAGGTCCACTTCACGCCCCTGAAGTGCGACCAGGGCGTGACCCCGGAGTTTATCGGGTGCTACCGCGACTCGTGGAAATATCCCGCCATGGTCGGGCGGCGACCGGTACCCAGGCGCTCGGTGCGCGAGTGCGCGCACGAATGTCGCGACTTCGGGTACTTTGGCCTGGGACCGGGCGGCCGGTGCTACTGCAGCGCACACCTGACGAACGAGGGTCCCGGGTGGACGGCGGAGCACGAGATTCCGATCGGACAAGCCCCCTCTAGGTTCGCGGACGAGTCCCTACCAAAACTGAGCGAGCTGAATTTGCAGGACGCTGCGGGTAACCGGCTTTCGGTGGGGGAGATGCTGCATGTGACGGACCCTGCTTCCTCACCAGCAGGAACTAGTACTGCTGCCTCTTCCTTCTCGCAAACACCAAGCTCGCAAACAAGTTCGCTCCTCGAAAACAAGCAGTATCGCCAACAACAAGGCGGATCGGACCCGTTTCATTTAGCACCGGATTCGTCCTCCGAGGGAGACACGACCACGGATGCGACTGGCGCGCTGAACGAACCCGTCGTAACGGCCACAGCCGGGGAAGACGCGCCGATTCTGGCTGGCGGTCCGGAGGAATACGATTTTGATAAGTACGGCCGCGTGCCAGACCGGTTTTGCACGCATCCGGACGCGGTCCGCGCCAACTGCGTGGACAGCTTCGACGGAAGAGCCAACTACAGCTGCGGCAGCAAGGAGGACTACGGGCCGTTACCCATAGACGTGGATTCGCTCAGCGTGCTCCTCGACCACCAAGAAAGGGTCGAAGAGTTTAACAAAGAGCAGGAGGAGGTGAAGCGGCTCGAAGAGCAGGAGGTGCGGAAGGCACAGGAAGTTGGCGCGGGGACAGCAGCAACAGGAACAACGCAAGTAGGGCAGACGTCTCCTCAAGTGCTAGAAGAAGGGCACTCGTTTACCCAACTGCGTGCGCGGGTCGCAGCGAGGAGCAAATTCGCAGCTGCGGAGGGCGACGCAGCAGTAGCCACCGACAAAGTCTTCAAAGGTAGAACGGAGGAGATGATAAACAAAAACGTGCTGGATGAGGACGACGCTGCCATTCCCTCTCCTGGAAAGCCAGGTGAAGGTGTTCCGGAGGCCGCAAAGTCCAGCTCTGAAGATGAGGACTCAACCGCCACGTCGACGACGACCTGCACTTACGACATTTTTGCCGAGGAAAACGAGGACCATCTCCAATACATATCGGTCTACAAGAATGTCCACGGAGCGCCAGATGCGGACTGCGAGAACCTCGGGCACACCGCAGAGGCCTGCCGCGGCGAAGACCATGTGGACTTCAATTGGCTGGGGCTCCGCAAGGGCGAGCACCGGGTGGTGGCCAAGCACACTTTGCGGTTCCTGGAGAAGCAGGGAGGCACGGTCACCTGCCACAACAGAACTGAGGGCTACACGCCGGAGCACGACCCGAGCTTCATGTTCGTGCGGATTCAGGGAGTAGGCGACTACGAGTGGGTCGGTTTGGACTACAATTGGGACACGAAAAAGGTGAACTTCAACGCCCTCAGCTGTCCAAAGCGAAAGCTGCCGCCGACATCGCCGCACCTCGATCCGGAGGGGTACCTCGGATGCACCAAACTCGCAGACACGATGGAGCGCTGCCGGGGCGACAATAAGATCACCTTTTTCAGCGGCGAGGCGAGCAACTCCCAGTTTCCGGCGGTCACAGTGCGCAAGGGCGACTACAAAATTTTCGCCCGGTGGCGCCTCGGCGTGCTAGCCGAGAACGGGAGCACCGATATGGTTGGTATTATGAAATGTCAGGGAGAAGAGCTGACGATAAATTTGGATCCGGAGGGAGCCGCCCAGCAGCCGGCCAGTCCGGCGATGCAGACGTGGTATCACGTCGGAATTGACTACTGGCACGACGGCGGGAGAGTGAATTTCTACGCCCTGCAGTGCGTGAATACGGTCGATAACACAGGTCCGCCGCCAGAGTTTTCGTACTCGTCTGATGTGGCGCCGTTTGGCGCACCGGCGGACACTGAAAACCAAAACTCCTTCCTCTACATCGTGTGCATAATCATCGGCTTCATCGTCCTACTCGCCGGAGTGGGCATGTGGGTCGTCTATTGTCGTCAGAGGAGGAATAGAGACCTGGAAATGGTAGATGATGGGGAAGACGGTTGGTACCTGGATCCTCAAGAAAATCACGCTCTTGGGAGCTACAGCTACCACGATAGCAGTTGGGACGAAGTGCCCTTCTTGGAGCCCGGGAATAGCTATTATGAAACTTCTACGTACAACCCGTTTCACCAAAGCGACGCCCAAAGAGCTCAACAACAAGCCTTCTATAACGCCTCCTATGGAGCAGGAGGAGGCACTACTAAAGGCAAAGGGAAAATGACGAACCCAAACTACTACGGTACTGCATCGTATGGCGGCCGTCCAGGAGAGCGCCAAATCCCATCAGACGATGACACGTTCGACTTCTGCAGTATCATGTGAGAAAATTAAGCTTAAGACCACTGATCATGAACGTGAATGAGCATCTCTGGCTCTAAGGGTTTTAGGATTTAGGGCTTCTCCACAGTTGAGACAAGGAGCGTTCAAAAAAATAGGAATTCGAATGCCATTAGACAAGTCTAAGTCTCAAACGACGGACCGCAGTACTAATACAGTACATCAACATGTCGACACAATTGCAAGAAGAATGTTAGCCGCTAGTGCCTTTCACGGTGCTACGCATCAATCCAAAAAGGCGGAAGACAAATCTCGTGTTCCCACCACTTTTGTAAAGAGAAAGTCATCTGAATCTGATTGTTCATCTTTATTTGCCCAGCGAGCTGCGCCGCTCGATGTGGCGTGATCGAGGTCGGCCCTCCTTTAGCTCTGGATCATGATGTAGTCGGGCCGCAAATCAAAATTATGGTGGAAGGAGTCCAGGAATTTGTACTCGATCTATGTACCGCAACACGAGCACGAGCAGCAATCATTCTTATACCACGGATTAAATTCAACTTCAACGAGCGTCAAGCAGGGCCCAGTGCAGGTTTTTTCTTCATGGGGCCTGGAAGACTTGCGAAGAGTCACTACTAAGCAGTATGGACAGTGTCAAGCATGTAGGTCAGGAAGTACCTTCTTCCTTCTCTGTGCATGATGTCTGTGTAAGTCTATAATTGCCACCAACAGCAACATCTTTTTCCCTCGTCCCTGTTGCAGCCACTTCCGTGAAAATGATGAACCCCCTTTTACCCTAAGGACACATGTGGATCCAGTACGTCTTGAATCTAGTTGTTACCTTTGTGTCCCCCGCCCCACATTTTGTCCGCATGCATGGAGCAAACAAACACTTAGACCACGATCCCTTTCTCATTGAGTATTTACTGTCACACAACGAAGAACAAGAACCCAACCGCAACCCCCAGGCTCAGTGTCTACTTAGCGATGAACGCGGGTAGCAGCGTACCCGTAGTTCTAGACCCCAGATGATACGAAATGACAGTCGACCAAGAAGTTGAAAGCAACGAGATGGGAGCAGGTCGCAGGGGTCAAGGGGAGGATGCAAGTAGCTCCATGCACGTCGTGGATCAGGACGACTTTTTTGCGGAGCTGGAAGAAATGATCTTCCAAGAAGACGAAACGGAACCAGAACCGGCAAAAAACCGTGTCCGGCGAGCATCAGAAGAGGTGCAAGAACCTGAAAGAACCTCCCAAAGACGACAAATGGGCCAGCGCTTCGCCACACCAGGCAACTCTAGTTCGTCCTCAGCCCGCAGAAGTGCTTACGCAGATTTTCCACCAGGAAAGCTTGTCGAATCGAGTGTGAATAACTGTGCTCCTTCCGCCGGCAAGGGCAAAGCGTCTATGAGGACTTCATCACCAAAGAGTTCGAAAAGTCTCCATCCGATCGCCCCCTGCCTCGGTTCCGCGACGGGTAACAAAAGACGAAGAGAGCATAACCAGGAACACGAGCTATTCTTGCGTCCGGTTCCGGTTGTAGATATGAACACGGCTTCGTCTAGCACACACGAGCCTTTCTGGGCGACGTTCGAAAAACCGACGAAGCGACAAAAACGGGCTAGCGACAAGGTATTTTCCCCGAAGTCTGAGTGGTATCTACGAGAAGAACTGAGGTACACGCACAACTCGGGTATGTTGATTTCATCGGCCGCGGCTGGAACGACGAGATCTGCGGGGGAAGAGGCGACCTACAGCCAGGACGTGAACAAGACCCTGATCCGGGATGGTCTGTTTCACCCATCGTTGCCAGACCTGGTCGTCGCGCGGATCCTGGACTACGTTCCCTGGCAGAACTTGGTGCTTCGGGTGGCGCTGCTGAACAAGCGGGCGTATGCGCTGGTGTTCACTACCGAAGAATTGTGGTACAACGCGTACTATCCTGTGCAAAAGTATCGCACTCGTCCTAATTGCAAATATGCATGACAAATGTTTTTCCCAAGGCAAAACAGCATTACAAATTCCACTTCCCTTTTTGGCAAAATTTGCAATGCAATTTCTACTAGTACGATAATTTTGCAATGCATACGTACAAGCAGTACTTTTCCCGCATGTTCACCCGCCAAGTGATGGAGGGCGATTTCAAGGGCTGGACGCAGCGCGGCGTGCAGCTTTTGTCCCGGCGCGATGGCGTTTTTCCCTGTCTGCCGCCGCTGCGACAAGGGTACCTGCCGCAGCGGGAGGATCTTTGTAAAAACTCGTCCTGCTGGCTGCCGGATTGTGTGGCCGGCTTGTGGGCAGCCTCTTCGGCGACATCTTCGGGCACACACAATTTTAATGCGTCGAGTCAGAAGATAGATCGTGCGGTGGATCACCGGTTTCGCACAGTACAGGCGCCGCATCAAGGCCATGGTACCTCAGAGACCGACTTGGCACGACGATTTACAAGTGGGAAGCGGGACGGGAAGAATTTGGTCGGTCTTTCATCTACTGCTGCCTCGGCTTCTCCTGCGAAGGTAGCCACCACGTCGTCAAACAGCCACCAGGAGGAAAAGAGAAACAATGAACCACGACCCGAGCAAAAGAAGAGAACACTGCTACCCTTCTGGTTTCTCTTCTTTCGCCATCTCTACCTCACCAAGGAAGTGGAGCGCGTGTCCAGCCAGGCCGAGGACTGGAAGGATTTTAGCACACTGATGCGGACGGTCGTCGCTGCCGAGGAGGGTGAAAATCTCAGAGGAGACCACTCAGTCTCCGGCGCGGCTACGGGAAACAAGCGAGCGCCGCGTACGATCGCAGACCTGCTGGATGCAGATGCTATCATCGAAGATTTTCAGCAGCAGGTGGTCAAAAACCGCACGAACCGCCTGGTCATGTGCACAAATAATGAAAAAACAGCGAATGGCAATGGTGCGACTTCTTCAGGGTCACCAGGGAGGACTACAGAGACAGTGACATCCACCGCTCCTGCGGTCAAGGTGGAGCGGGGGCAACTAGAAGTGAAACATGATCGCAAAAGAAGCTTAGAGCAGGAGCTACCGGACGAGGGTAAGAGCAAAAAGACAAACTCCATGTCGCCGTCGCCCGCTGGTGCCTCAGTTTTTCCACCCTTCGGAGACGGTGTGTACGGGCTTTCGCTTCATGCTAAGGGATCTTCTGCACATCAAATTCCGCCAGCTGTATCAGCGGAGCCGACGGTGTCGGTTGTTCAGCCGAAGGACCTGAACGTCCCGACCTCGAGCAGTAGAGCAGGGCAGCACGCTGTGTCTGCACCCCCACCACCTCTGCATAAGACTCGGGCGAAAGAGGTTTCGCAGTCCCGCGCGCAGAAGCTGAAACTCCACACATTGCCAGATGAATTTTGGTGTCAGGCGGTGCCATTGGACAACGTCGGCAGGGACGATGAGGGCTCGGCGCAAGGAAAAACGGTGTCACAAACGACCAAATCTGAGCTAGGCCCGACGAGAGTGGTCACTGTTGACCGTACAACCACGCGTCGTTGGCACGTGTGGCAGAGCTTGTGGCACGGGCCCTGGCCGCGCACCGACAAACGAAAAACGCGGATCCTGGGGTGCGTGGAGTGCGGGTTTGTGCACCGGTGCCGCGAGAACGAGCTGTGCGAGTTCACCGTCGAGGCGGACAGCCACACGCACGTGTGCGCGGTGTCCGGGGAGGTAAAAAGTCGCCGTTTAGTCGCGGAGCGGCCGGCGAACAACGAGGACGCGTATTACGTCGACGACGAGTATCAAGTACCGCAGGAAATGTTCCCCAGAATAGCAGCCTACAACCCCAACTCGCAGCGGCACCAGCAGGAGCAGCAGCGTGGCGAGCAGCTAGGCGCGGGCCTCCGCGAAGATGACGTGCTTGTGGTGGAAGATGAGGAAGAGGAGGAGGCGGTCGAATCTCGCTTGGACCGAAAGCGCGTCGCTACGAGAACGCACATCCACGCCGGTGGTGTGCGGGAGCACCTGGTTTACTCCACGAGGCACGACAGGAACGACTTGTGCCTTCTGGAAGGCGACGACGTGGATGAGGAAATGAATCTGCTGTGAAGCTGAAACTGGCATGAAAAGTTGTGTAGGTCAACTGGGATTTCTTGGCAGTCTTCATACATAACGAACGCAAAGGAAAATCAATCTCGTCACTTGCCGACACGACTAAGTCAAGAAAATTCCCAGCAACATCTTGAAGATCGAGGGCATGCCGCCCAGCGAGCACGCGGCACACGCAGCGCCTCACCTGTTTTTGATACGTGTTCGGAGGAACAATTTTCTGTATCTTACAACTAAAAGATCTCTGTCCCGGAGGACGAGGTGAAAAATATCACGCTAAAGCTTTGCGGGCACTTGTGCTAGATTCTTTGCGTGTAGTACCTCACGATGCAGTGAATCAACGTGCATGAATTTCCATCGGAAAAGGACGAAGACTTCAGCTGTGGTTTATCATTATTTCGAGAAAGAAGGTGCAGCTACGGTGTGACCGTGATCGTGAAGTAGTAGATCTTTCTGTTGAGAATAAAGCAAGCTGAGCAATCTAAGAACCGAAAGGCAAACTCCAGAACGAAAAAATCAAAATGTTGGACGAAAAGAATCTTACGGCGATCATTTTCTCGAGGCCTGTGCCTGCCTCCTAGGCTCTGCGTGTGCACGAAATTGGTGAACTGAAATCAGGACCCACGACCGTCATGTCCCTGGTCGGAAAGTTGGCTGAGGCGTTCAGCGTCTTTGCGGGCAGTGCGCGGGCAAATCTTGATGGAGTAGATACGGATGCCGTCATTAGTAGTCGCGATGTGGTGAAGGAGGGATGGCTGACGAAGCAATCAAGGAATGTTAAGGAATGGCGAAAAAGATACGTCGTGCTTACGAAAGATTGTACTTACGACTTGTTGATTATCTTTTGCTTGTGGGCATGCATTTCGTTGTGCTTGTGGTAGCTGCGTAGAAAGTGAGGTGAAATCATTAGAAATTGTTGCGTCTGTGTGGACGTCACGCAAAATTAGTGAGAATTTGCGTCTGTGTAGGTTGCACGCATGATTGATTCTTCTTTACTCCGAGCACTGCGTTTGCATTTCTCGGAGGTCCGCATTAAGTGGATGAATTCTTGAAACAGGCCTCGCAACTTTTCGAAACGGACCGCAGCAAGTGTACAAGTGTATCGAGGCAACAGAACTAGTTTTCTTCGGGCACATGATGACAGTGCGAAGCGCTGAGCAAGACACGGGCATGGATAACAGCTTCTGCATGCAGCGACAAAAGGATGCAAAGTTCTTCTATTTCATCGCCGAAACAGCAACTGAGAAAGAAGGTTGGGTCGGAGCGATAGGACGACAAATGGTACAAATGACCTGTATTTCTACCGAATCGTTTTTCTTTTTGACTATGTATATCTACTCGCTGGCTGAACCTGGAATAAACTTTGCCTTCCAACGAACGTGCGCGAGCCGTCTTCAGGAAAACCAAATCACACTTGCTTCAGGTGAGACGGACTGTCATGATAGATGAACAAGACGGGGACTGACAGCATGGGTTCATACATTTTATTCGCCTAAGTACTCTTTCTGTCCCTGAGACTAAGGCTGGTACAAAACACCCGCGCCTGCACTTTCATTATCATGATCTCTCGAGAAGTTTTTGTTTTCAGTTTTCTGCAACCAATTAATTTGAGCTGCGCGAACATTACACGGACACAAGTCAAATGAAGTGTCTTGGCTCATGATCTTGAGGAGCGTTATTTGCTGTGCGGACAGCCTGACAAGACGAGAAGCTCAAGCGGCATATTGTTCGGAATTTCAGTGGTGCCTTTGTCCAAGTGAAATAGGTGAGGTGGCTGGAGTTGTCAGACATAGCTTTTGTTTGTCTGTGGAATAACGATAATTGTATGACGAAGATAGGATTGTTGATCATGTTGTAGTTGTGTCCGCTTCGAAGCCCGCCCGTCGAAGTTCTGTTTGAGGTTGATCATTATATATTTTGATTTTCGCGGAAATTTTTTGTGCAAAATTCTTGGATCGATCGTTATTGTATGTAGTGTCATTTCCGAAGCAAGAGATCCTGAAAGAGATCGCTATCCGCATATTGATTTTTTTCGGTGGAAATGATGGCGTTGCTGTTGCAGCAGATGTTGAGTGTTGTGGTTTCCTTTTCCGATTTGTGGAGATCTGTATCTTATTTCGCTCTTGAGACCTCATACATAGAACGCCCGTTTTCACATATTGTTTTTCGCAGTTATTTTTTGATTTTGAGGCGTTGAGAGACCCTTTTGGCTTGTCGCAGCAGTATCTAATCTTAGTAATATTTTCCCTAACTTTATTGTTTGTTTTTGCTGACTCATCCACCCACGGCTTTTGCCCTTGCTCTCAAGAGGAAGACGGGCACGGCGACCTTTCCTCATCTCATTTTTTTGCACATTTACACCATGCTCCCTTCAGTTTTGCACCAGGCCCCGCCGGCGCGGTTTCAGAAACTTGTTCAGGCGGTGGAGCAGTTGGCGCCGCCGAGTTTGGCGGAAGGTTGGGACAATGTCGGACTGCTGCTGGACTGTCTAGACGAAACTAGATGGAGCGAATCTTCCTTCAAGCCAAGAATATTCCTCTGCAACGACTTGACCGAACGCGTTGCGGAGGAGGCAATTACCAAAAAGGTCGACTGCGTTGTCACCTATCACCCCACACCGTTCGCGAAGTTTAGAACCGTTACGCGAACGACGCACATTGGTCGTGTTGTGCTATCTATGGTACAACAACTTGTATATTGATTTACACGACAGAGCTCTTGTTCTTAGCTTCCTTTTTCTTCCACACCTTCAATAGCGCGCTCGGAATCAATTCTTTTTCTTCCACAGCGTCACACTGAACGACGTCGATGACCCATCAGAAACGCATGGTGGATGTTCTTCTGTCACAACTACTGTCTTGCAACCACAAAATAAACGCAGATAACGAACCGTATCCCGGTCTACGCAACGCACACCTGCCTGGACTGTGTCAACAACGGGTTGAATGATTGGCTCATCAACGCGTTTCCCAATGTCGGAGAGATTCTTCCGTGCAACCCACTAGATGCGAAGCGACCAAACCTCGGCTCCGGCCGCGTTGGAAGTTTGCCCATGGCAATCACAATCGACGACGCCGTCGGCCACGTCAAGACACTCACAGGGCTCAAGCATGTCCGCAGAGCCGACCCAGTCGATGGTGCATTTTTTTTATAACAGTTTTTCACTGCTTCTGGTTCTGTCTGGCAACTTTTTGTAGAGGAAATTTATTTTGTTTTTTAGGTGGGTGAGCAACGGCAAACAAGTTCCCTCGCACGGTTGCCATGTTGTCATTCATGTCTACTTCAATACGGACCGAACGCAAATCAGGCTCGCAGAAACCAATCCGAAGAGTCGCTGTTTGTGCGGGGTCGGGCGGCAGTGTGTTTAAGGATTACACTATCCAATGTAAAAGCGTACCTATCTTCCCTACTTCATCCTCGCGATACAGATTATTTGCATGCCCATGACGTGGGTCATGCGTGCCCCTGTGGCACCCATTTTGTAATCGCGTTTGGAAATTTCTTATGCTGTAATCAGAAAAAGAGAGCGCAAGCGGGTTTGTGCTGCGGATAGATTAGTTGATTGTGGGGTCGGTACGTTTTTACTCAGGAGATAAATGAGCAAAAATCCGGGAAGCGTGCCCGATCTTTTTCTCACCGGCGAGATGTCACACCATGATGTGCTGGAGCTGAACCAAAATGGCGCCTTCGTCATCCTCACCGAGCATTCCAACAGCGAGCGACCCTTTCTCCCCGTGTTTCGCGAACGTCTGTTGGGCCTCTACCCCGACGCAGAAGTCGTGATCAGCGAAATAGACGCGGATCCCTTGTTTGTGGCGTAGATTAAAAATGTTGAGTTGCACAGTCAGTGCACTGAAGCCAACAGCAAACCGGGATTGATTTCTTGTACTCAACATGATTTTACCGACGCACGAACAAGCCTACATTTATACGCATCATAGTCATACATGGATGAATCTAACTTGGGAATAGAGAACTTTTCGGAACGAACAAAAGTCCATGTACTAAAGCAGCTCAATCCACCACGCGATACATGTGTATAACGCCATAGCAGTGCAAATTGCGTTGTGCCGATGTGCATCGAGATTTTCTATCTGGGTTTGCACTTGACTGTATCAGTCTTTTTACAGGTCGCGCCCTTGTTCCTGTCATCGCGTTGTCGTTGCAGTTTCGTTTTTCAAATTCACTCATGTGCACTCGTTCCGACGCAGTAGCAGAGTCTGTTGACATTTTTGTTTCTCAGGCCGTAGGTGGGTGTGCAGCAGCCAGTAGAAGGTTGCCGATCGTCCAAGTGAGTCCAGCCGAGGCAAAAAGTGGATCAGAAAAGTGAAAAAATGGCAAAGCACGGACTGGAGATGATTGCGTTCGCTCTGCAACTTGCCACTTGCTTCTTGCTGCTGCCGACCGATGCCTACGACTCGTGTCGGGCCGACGAGCATGCGGGGTCCGTGCTCACAGAACTCCTTGCACCGTACTGGGAGTTTATCCGACCCGGCCCTGAGGCGCAGAAGGAACTTGCGCACGCCGAGTCTGTCGGCGTCAAACTCAGATGGCTCGTGGAAAAGGCGCTAGAGAAGCGAATACCCAGGGGTCGCGGCATTCCCTGGCCGGAGGAGCGAGCAATCATGCTACGAAACCGGGGGCTTATGGGAGAAGGCGAAGCGGGCATGGTCGTACCACGGAACAAGGAAGGGACTTCTGGCGGCAGACCTTTGGTTTCTTCAGATCCGCGCAGAGAAAATGCGGAGAGAGAGGCCTGGTTGGTTACAAACGAAGATGTGGCTTGTGCGTTTCATGAGGGCATCGCCCTTCAGCAGCTGTGCGAGACGGTGTAATGTGTTTTTCAGTACGAAGCTTTGAGCTCGTTGCGACTCTATCATGAGTACTAATCAATACGTACATACAACGTCATCTTCATTAATTATATCGATTGTGGTGCTTCATCTGCATCGGGAATGTTGCTGACTTTGAAACCTTCGTCAGGTCTACAACTTCTTCAATGCGCACATTGGGCCGTTCATGGAGCAAAATCGCTGTGGCAACCTAGACGCAAGTTCTTGCAACATCGAGCCCTTTATTCAGAAGTTGACAACCAGCCGTGTTCTGGGTGACGCGTTGCGTGATTTCGTGGAGTCTTGGGTACAAAGTTCAAAAAGCTTCGAAGAACTGGTGGCGCAAGACTACAGCACGGAGTCATCGGCTGCCGCACCCCCGGCAGAGATTTTCTCGGACGCCAAACGGTTGGAGCGTATCCAAAGCCGGCTACTAGACGAAAATTTGCTTCTCGCCGCGGGCAGCACCACCACTGCAGAGACGATTGCAGGAAAAACAAGCAAAACGCTTCTAGAGGATGTTGACGGCGGTAGAAGTAGTAGAGAAGCAGCAGCACAAGAAGTGCGCGACATTCTTGCAGGCTCGGATGTCTCGGAATTGCGGGACACGGACCTGGAGGGCGAACTAGTGCAGCACGATTTGCTCCTTTTGCCGCGGCTGGAAGATCAATCCGAAGCCAAAACAAATCCAACGGGGGAGACAAAACAAGGGACAGATCATGCCAGTAGTTTCGCAGAATTGTCACCTTTTTCGTCGCGAAAAAAACAACTTACGAGCCCCTACCAGTGCCCTCGGTTTCTGAATATGCACCTGGATCTCATCGCCCAGGGCTCAAACGGGCACTGGATTTTGCAGACTTTGCGCGACTACGAGTCCGTCGACGATCGGTTCCAGCTTCAGCACCGTTTTCGACACTGGATGAACGGGTTTCTGGAGGCACGGGAGAAGCTGCTGCAGATTATCAAAGTCAAAAAAGCCCCCACCCCATATCGGACACGAAATTTGTGATGCTGTATTTGAGTACACAAATCGACTTGTATTGCTAGAAGGCCAAGAGACGCAGCTGCGGCCTGAATTGCAGGCAATCTGTCATGCTGTTTCCCACTTCCAGTTGCCTCCTGTCATGCTGGAGCTGCAAGCCTTTCCCACGCTAGGCAGCACTACAGTCCGCATCTTTTGCCTTCTAGCATCACAAAGCCACAAATCTGCATCACAGATTTCCGTTTTGATATGGGGAGGGGGCATTTTTCCTCACAATGCAGATCTGGAAAATGAGGAAGGACATCACCGGGATGCTCGCGCCGCACCGACAGTACAAGTCCATGGACGACTTTCGCGACTTTTCCCAAATCGACTGGAACTGGCTACGGCTACCGAACTCGTGGTCGTTGGACCGAGGGCTGAAACGGTGGAACGTCGTTTGCGCCTTGGTGGAGCAAGCCGTGTGGGAAAAATTTCGCGTCTGGCGCGGGACGGAGTACACCGACGCAAAAAGTAGAACTTCGAAAGGACGATTTTCGCAGAAGAACGTGATCCACGTGGCGGAAATCGGCGTCTTCGTCGGCGAGACGTCACTGTATTTGCTCAGCCGCTGTTTTCGGCACCTCTACCGAGAGTCGAATATCCTGGTCCAGTACCATCTCATCGACCCGTGGGAAGTGGATGCATTCGGCGGCTTTCTCGACTTCTATCGTGCGACCAAGGGCTACACGGAGCAAACCGGGCACGACGTGTATCGAAATTTAGTGCAGAAGCTCGGGAATGCAACCAGTTTGTATGAAACCAGCGACAACGAGGACGTCGCAGGGACCACGCCGGAAGGAACATCAACAAGCAAGGTAGCGGAAGATGAGATTTCGACGGTTGCGGGAGAGGAGCAACGCACGAACTCCGCGCTTTGTTTGAAAAAAAGAATTAACCACGAGCGCTCCCCCGTTCCGCTTTTCGAGGTCAAGTATCGCGACCTCCACGGGAAAGAAATGTGCGCGGGAGAAAAGATTCCGGAAAATAGGCCGGGCGTGTTCTTCCACCGGGTCTTTTCGCACCAGGCGAGCAAGAGGCTAAGTGTCCTCGATGTCCTTTATGTGGACGGGGAGCACAGTTTTCACGGCGTGCACACGGATCTGAAGCACTTCGTGCCCCTCACACGGTACGTGGTCGCGGGGCACGACTTTGACTACTACAAATTTCCGGGGGTCACCATGGCCGTGTTGAACGCCAAAGTGCCTACCACGGACGCGTTCCGGCAGTACGGATTCAGGTTTCAACAAGAACTCTACCTCGACTCTGATACCACTTGGTGGAGTCGACTGAATAGAATGAAATAAAAAAAAGACGACGTCTTGATGCTCTATCTAAAAAAAATAAGACATTCGAGAACGGATTGGACTTCGCAAAAAGACGAAGGAAATAACGCGCGAACCGATGACGGCCATGGCTATGCGTAATACATGGTTTATCAAGAAACCATGTGTGAATGTGATTCATCATCTGAAGTTTCTGCTTTCCACTCCTCCCGCAGTGACTCTCAAACAATACGATCGGATTTTCGAACAACTCCTTCGTGAGTGCTGACTCTGCGTCGTCGTGTTGTCGTGTTGTAAGAGCCACGCAAAAAAACGACACCGTTCAGGTTTTGCTGGCAAAACAAAGAAAAACAAAGCACGCGCAGGACTAAGGCGACTAGAAACCCTCTGAGCCTTTACTTCATGTTGTTGGGTTCTACTTCTACGTTTCATCGCTCTCTATGGCTGCTTTAGATGAAAAATCCAAAATGGCGACTCGCAGACACCACTTGGCTGCTGCACCTTCGACGGCTAATATGAGCGTCAAGCTTCTTTCCGCCGTATTCCTATCTGTTCTGATGAATTCGTTCTGGCCATCCACGACGACCTGGAAGGTGATGATTTCTGCGTCGAGATCATTTCCGTTCGACTCGTGTCGAGGGGATCTACATGCGGGCGCAGTTCTGACGGAGCTGCTCGCGCCCTACTGGGAGTTCATCCGACCCGGGCCTGAAGCTGCGAGAGACCTCGCACATGCGGACTCAGTCGGGGTGAAGCTAAAATGGCTGATCGACAAAGCCCTGGAATATTCCTTGAAAATTTTTACCATCCTAATCCAATTTGTCATGCTAAACATGGACGAGATCGAGAAAGAGAATCGGCTTTTGTGGTGCCAAAAACGGATGGGGATGGTAAAATTTCAGGGAATATGGAAAAGCGCATCCCATGAGGTCGTGGCATTCCATGGCCGGAGGAGAGAGCGGTAATGCTTCGAAATCGCGCTAATCGCGAGCGAACTGGAGATCCAGTTCCAGGGGATCCTGGGGTTGGTGGAAACAGCAGGGAAAGTAGTACACCAAAGGCGACATCCAGACATCAAGCCGACGGGACTAAAGATGGCAAAATTACCGTAGTGGCCCCCGCAAGAAGTATGTCCGGACTACTTGTCAGCTCAGATCCTTCACCAAGTAGAGAAGTTGCTGCACAGAAGGAGTCCTGGCTCGTGACGAATGAGGACGTGGCGTGTGCTTTTCATGAAGGAATCGCCATTGAGCAGCTGTGCGAGACGGTGTAATGTCTTTTCAAATTTTATTGATTATTCGAATCGATCGACTTCACGCTGAAGCTACAAAAGCAACATGAATGCTTGAAGAAAAGGTGCTATAGATTATAAGAACAGCGGAATCGCTCTTCTTTTCTGTTTACCTTTACCTGCGGTGATTTTTTTCCTCGATTTTTTTATCAGGTCTACGACTTCTTCCGTGTACACATAGGCCCCTTCATGGAGGAGCACAGATGTCCGCTGTTAGACTCGAACTCTTGCAAGATCGAGCTCTTCGTCGAGAAGCTGGCGGAGAGCCGTGTCCTGGGCGACGCATTGCATGGCTTCGTGGAATCTTGGTTGACAGCAGCAACGAAGGTTGAAAGAGCTGCAGCGAAATTACAGGTAGAAGGCAGCGACGTCAGCAGTGCGTCCGAGTCCGACAGAAACAGTACGATGGCAGGTGGCGAACGCCTGAAGCGCATTCAGAGCATGTTATTAGACGGAGACCTGGCCCAGTCGCGCAAGCGAAGTACTAAGGAAAGAGAACGACCTCCCGAGGATGCATTGGTCGACCACGTGGCAGCTGAAGCTGTTATCGCACTTTTCGCGAGTAAAGCGGACGGCGCAGAATTGCGAGCCGCGGAGCTGGAGACGCAGTTGCCACAGCACTACGGGCTTGTCGCTCTCGATGAACCAAAAACAGTACCACTGGGGGAAAATGAACAACTAAGGCGGGTATCATCAAATGAAGACCTCACACCTCGAGCTCCTTCCAAGCAGCTTGCTGCAACCCGGCTCTTTTCCCACCAGTGTCGTCATTTTCTGAACATGCACCTAGATCTCATCCAGCAGGGCGCCAATGGACACTGGATGTTGCAAAGCCTGCGCGAGGAGGACCCGTACGACGAGTCGAGGGACAAAGAACGGCTTCAGCTCGAGCATCGTTTTCGTGACTGGATGAACGGGTTTGTGGACGCGCGGGACAAGCTGATACAGATTTGGAAGATGCGCAAAGACGTCGTCGGGATGATGGCTCCGGACCGCGAGAACTACTATCCTTTGACGGAGAAAAACCGCGACTTTTCCCAAATCGACTGGAACTGGTTCCGGCTGCCGAACTCCTGGTCGGTGGACCGGGAGATGAAGAGGTGGAACGTCGTTTGCGGCCTCGTGGAACAAACTGTCTGGGAAAAATTTCGCGTGTGGCCGCGGCGGGGTACAAGATCACCGCACCGTTATAACAGCACCGCGTTTCGCCCAAGACGAGCGAAGGCTGCGAAACAGGCTAGTACAATGGGGCCCCCGAAGGTTATCCACATAGCGGAGATTGGCGTGTTCGTCGGCGAAACTTCGCTGTACTTGCTCAGCCGGTGCTTTTTGCGCCTCTATCAAGAGTCGAATGTCCTCGTGCAGTACCACCTGATTGACCCCTGGCAGTCGAACACTTTCGGCGGGTGGAACCCCTGGGAAGTCAAAAGCTGGCTCCTCGATTTCTATCGCGCGACGCGGGGAGACACGGCGAAAATGACGGGGAGCGACGTGTACAGAACCCTCATGCGGAGAGTCGGGAACGCCACGACCTTGTATGGGGATCGTCGTTACGGGGACGCACCCGCAGCGCCAGAGGCTCTCGGAAGGCCGCCCACAGGACGAACGAGAGGGGGCTCTGATGCTACGCTGAGGAGTGCTTCTGTTGCCGATGGCACCGGCGGTGGCGGTACAGCCGCGAGCTTTGCCTCGGCGTTAGCCGGAAATAAGGAGATGTCCTCTGCGACGCCGTGTCTGCGGAAGAAAATTCACTCCAGGAAATCTCCACTTGCTGTGTACGAAGTTCAGTATCACGACCTCCACGGACGGAGCGCGTTGTGCGGTGTGTCCGAAATAAAGATTCCGGAAAATCTGCCAGGCGTATTCTTCCATCGCGTCCTTTCGCACAGGGCAATAGAGCGGATAAGTGTCCTAGATCTGCTTTACATAGACGGGGATCACAGCTTTGCTGCCGTGCATGCCGACCTCCGAAACTTTGTGCCGATTACGCGGCATGTGGTCGCTGGGCACGACTTTGACTACTACAAGTTCCCAGGAGTTTCGATGGCTGTTATGAACGCCAAAGTGCCCACGACGGACGCTTTTCGGCACTTCGGGTTCAGATTTCAGCAAGACCTCTACCTCGACTCAGACAATACTTGGTGGAGTCGATTAACCTCTATGCCTGAATAGAAATTTAGAAAAGCGAGAACAAATTGATGTGCTCGAATCTTCTCGGTGGAATGTCAACTGCATAAACTACTCATGGGGAGACGCATCAACCACCCAGAAGAACTGAACCAATTTAGCAACGTACGAGCGCGGCACCCGTTTTTGTGCCTGTGTCCTGTTGCGCTTGTTGCTTCACGTTCGTTTTGTCATTCGGGAGAGAGCTGGCAGTGGAGCGGAAACCAAAATCTGCAAGGCAAGGGAGTGAAACACACAAAGACGCAACCAGTTCAAGTTTTGCAATGTCGATGGCAGCGAGTGCGTGGGTGAGCGCAAACACCTTCTGGCAGAGCACCAGTTCGCTCTTTTTCCATAAGATACTGTTTTCAGCTGTATTCTCGTCCGTATTTGATTTTGCCGGCGATTTGCACGCAGAAAATTCGCTCATGGAAGCGGACTCGAGGAACTTCGACTTCCTCACGTAAAGGAGGTCGTTTTCGCATAGTCGGTGATCGGACCTCCGACATGCCGGAGCGTACAGGCCAGGAAGAAAGGCCCCACCAGGAGGTGGTGCATTTCCTTGGGAAGACGCAAGATGCGAAGATCATCAGCAATGACATGTGCAGGAGTCAGGTGTTGCGAATGCTTCAGGGCGGTGTCGCGACTGTTTTGCAAAAATCCTCTGGCGCGTCAGAAAACGGCACGCTTTCGCAGGACCCACGCTCCGAGCTCTTCTTCGCCTGTTCGAAGCACCTGTTTGATAATACAGCTGCTGAGAGCAGTGCGTCCTCAGCAAATGGGGTCGGCGAAGCTGCGTCCTCCTCCTCTTCAAGAGAGCGAGACGCGCCGCCAACTCTCGAAACACTGTCCGAAGAGAAGAAAATCCAGATCGCATCGTTCCCGGTGCGCAGTGGCGGACAAGGGGATGACAATTTTGGACTCTCGAAGGTACAACTTACGACTCTGCGACTGTTTCGATGGTTCTTTACCCATCTCATCCTGTAGCTTCGCTGTCGCTTTGCTGGCTTCATGATCTTGTTGACGTTGAGGGAAATGCGAAAATGAAGATTTTGCGCCATTATCAGGTTTTCGGATTATCCTCCGAGCTAGAAGGCTTAAACCACGCCGAGCTCGTGAAGCTGAACCCACACCTCTTGGGCCTGTGCCGGATGCGGACCTCGCGCCACCCGTTCAGCTACAGCAGTTGCTACAGTATCGGCGGTCCGTTTTTGCAGAAGAGCAAGCGGCCGCTGGCGAGCCGCATTTGCCTGCACAAGCAGATGCTGGCCATGGACAGTGACTTCGAGCGCGTCTTTTCCGGTTTCGTTGACAGCATACTGGAGGACATCGAGTACCTCCGCGAGAAGGAGTCCGAGTTTCTGTTTTTGGGCTTCGTCTTCACACCACTGGTCCACAGTCAGACCTCCACCAGACACGCCGCCGGAGGTGCGAGCGCGAGCGACTCCGGTAAAAATCATGCTGCGGACGCCTTGGAGTTTCGTTGGAAGAAGCCGGACAAGTTCATCACGGTCGACTACGTGAAAGCCCACAAACGGTCTTTCTGTGCGCAGATGCTGGGCCATTACTACGCACAGCTGTACACCACTGGCGCAGGAGGCTCGTTGCTACCCGCGATGTCGGGAAAGGCTGGAAGTGGGATGCTGATGGATAAGAACAACAACGCCGGCCGGAAGGTGGTGACCTTTCACTTCCTGACGAAGCAGGGAAAGGAGGTGATCGAGTGCAGCACGAGCTTCCACCTGTTTGTACAAAACACCGAGACCAAAACGTGGAGCGCGTACTACACCTACCCTCGGTGGCAGCCAGTTCTCGATGGCGCGGTGCTGCTGAGTCCGAAGTTCGCGGCCGGGCTGGCGAAAGCTGTGAGTTTCAAGACCAAGCAAAAGGAATCCAGCGGTGGCTTTTTCGGCGGTTCAACGAAAAAAGAGGACCCGGACGAAAAAAACCGATCGGCGGAAGAGGTCCAGCTACTTCGTATGATTTCCTACCAATTGCCGGAACCATGCTTGGAGGTAGAGAAGTACCTGACGGAAAGGTTGAAGTCATTAGCTTCTGACTTCGAACTGGTTCCGTTTTTTACCGAGCTGAAGTGCCTGGAAAGCCTGAAAATCTGCTTTCGCTCCACCTCGAATAAAGGTTCCTCTTCGAGCAAGTCCGCCGGAGACGGAAACAGAACCGCTTTGGCGAAAGACTGTGCGCGCGTACTCGAGAATCCTTTGCTCTGCCTTGTCCACCGCGCGAGGTCCTCGCTCCACTTGCTGCTCAGCATCGGCAAACGCAACCACTTCGCGTCGCACGTGTGGGCGCTGTTTCGCAGGCAGTTCAGGAGCCTGCTGCAGGACGTGCAGGAAGGGATTACCCCGGACCTGAACCTGTTTTTCTTGTATCCGGCGCTCCATCGCTATTTGGTCTACTTCGAAGACCAAGACTCCATTTTCTCCGTCAGTGTCGAGTCTTTGCGCACGGTGTCCAACCTTCTCCGCGTGTCCGAGTGGTCGTTGCTGCTTCTGCTCGCGCAAGGTTTTTCGGTTGATTCCCTAGCGAAGATCGATGAGTACATGGGCCAGACGCTAGAAGACTCCTTTACCCTCGCCGGTTTGGCAGCAGCGCAAAATTCCGATAGCGGGGGCGGAACCACGAGCGGACAGCAAGCCTCACAACAGTCCGCGAAGCCATATAGCTTTCGCGCGTTGCTTGCGCAGCTGAATCCGTACATTCCCTCGAACTCATCGGAGGCCTACGCTGCACCGGCCGCCGTCGCCCGCAACTTTCCGCCCTCCGTGTCAGCCGCGTGCCAGCTGTTTTTCTTCTTGACCAAGGCGAAAGTAGATGCGGTGGTCTCGAGTGCGTTGCGCCCCTTGACCTGCGCGCGCCCAACGCCGGAGCACCGGTCGTGGCGTGCGGCTTTTCTTCGGTCGTACCTGATCGAGCTCGTGCGGCCGGTTCTGCTGCAGCATGTGCTCTCCAACGCAGCTCGCACGAAGTTCCTGAAGGATTTCACCTTCACCGGCATCAACGAAGCGTACGCTCGGCGGGGTCACGCGAAGCAAGCGAAGAAACGGGAGGGAAAAAGCCCGCGTGCGGCGGAGTCGGTAAAAAGCAGCGTTAACTTCTGCGGGCCGAGTTTGTTCCGTGGCTCCTACCCGGACGGAACCTCCACACCGCGCGTGCACCAACGCGTCGAGGTCAGTGGCGCCCTTGGCAACATTTTCGCAATCACGCCCGCGTTTTTCGGCACTGGTTCTTCGGTGAGCCGGAAGGTGTTTGTGCGGCAAGAGGACATCCATTTTCACCATCTGTACGTTGAGAAGAGCAACCTGGAATTCCTATTTCACCACGCGCGCAGGCTCAGCGATACCCTTTTGTCGCCGTCCGAAGCTGCGGGGGGATCATTTTTCGTTGCGGGCCGAGGGAACACAGCAAGCCCACGTAGTTCAGCCACGCATTCTGCCGCGGGGGGCGGGACCCCCGAACCGCGATCGCCAGCGCCGTCCGCAGCCGTGCCCGGCAGCCCGAGAGCCGCTGCACTCGCAGCGTTGCCTTCCTGCAAAATGCATGCCTCTCTCGGTCCAGTTGCCCTCGCAGGCGCCTTTGCCCAGGGGTCCGGGGTTTTTCCGAATCTGGTCGCGCTGGAAGCCTATTGCGAGCCGGACGCCCGGGCGGATCCCTACGAGGCCTTCGCAGCCGAAGTTGCGAAGATCGTGCGTCTGATGTTCGAAAAGGACGAGCATTTTCTCCCAAACTGCGTCGTTTCTCAGCCCGGGAACAAGATCTTTCCGCTGCACACAGGCGAATTCTCGAAGGACATGCTGGATCGCTCGACCGAGAGCGTTTGGATTGACGGCGTTTACTTTCTCGAGCCAAGCACGAGCCTGCCGCGGGGCTTGCTTGAAGCGAAGAGAAAGCTCGCGCGATCCTCTTTCAGCGAGGCGCGCGCGCAGTCGTGGAGTCAGAAGCCGCGCTACGTCCGTCTTCTGGTCCAGGTGACGCGCCGACTCAGCAACAGCAGCCCGCGGTACTTTCTTGCGAACACGCATCCGGGCCTCTTTGTCGCGGAGGAAACCGCCGCAGCAGACGCAGAACCCCACCCGCTGCTCTCTCCCGAAGGCATCAATCGCGCAAACAACTTCGACGGCCTGTTCGGCGGCGATCTGCTTGCGGATGACGGCAGTCCGGCAGACTTCGTGAAAAACCTGAACGCTGGTCGAGCGAAAAGCCGTGGGGCTTTCAATTTTGACGACGACACAGATCCTCATCTTCCCGTGACCGGGCCCAGCAGCCCGGAGCCAATGGTACAACTCCCGGGCGCGCTGGGTTCCCCGCTGGCCTTCCGAACTAGCGTAGCAGAGTCCACGAGCCCGCCTGCCTTTCCGCAGCAATTCACTTTCCAGAACGGTGGAAGCGCGGCGTCGAACAGCAGTGCAGTTCGCGGTGTTGACGGGAGAACGAGCAGCGCGAGTGCGCATTCGGGCTCGGCGAGCAACGGGGCGCCGGTTCACGTGCGCGACGTGGATGTCAAGACTGCAGAGCCAGGCAGACATGAGGTAAGTAAGTAGTTGCGGAGTTTCGTTCTTTCGATACCGGCGTGCATGGCATTTTTATCTTCCAGATATCGAAAACTAAAGCACAGACTGTTTGCTGTTTTTCATGGCCAAACAACATTGTTCTCAATGACAATGTGAGTGTCATTTGAATTCCAATCGTGACGCTTCTCCCCGTTCCACCTCAGGCACGTCAGCGGTCTGGTTCTAGCTCTCCCTTCGCCGCAAAGCGCGGGAGAAACTTCGGAGAAGCAGGTCCGGACAAAACCCCAGATCCCGAGCCAGATCCATTTGAACCGGACTTCAGTCGCCTACTCTTCTGCGACGCAGTAACGCTGGACGCGCGGCGCGACGTTGCCTCGGATAATCGCGACATCGCTTCCACTCTGCTGGGAGAGGACGAGGTAGATGCAACTGAAGCAGCGGTGGCAGGAGCTTCGCGCAGTCCCGCGCGTCGCCCGGTCGTGACCTCCGCAAAAGCAGCGCTGGCGATGCGGTCCCGGCCGCCGGCCCCGCTGGCCAAAAACGTGCTTTTTGGCCTCACAGCGTGGTCTTTCGAGGGGTTCGACGCGATCACGGAGCTCGCGCGCTGTCTGCACCCGCTCCCCAACGGTTTTTTCCTGCAGCAGGTTTCAAACGGGCGACGGTTGAAGTGGAAGACGCGCACTCTGAATGCCCATGAGCTTCGGGCCGTAGCCCGGCGGAAGCTGGAGAAGCTCACGCGTTACCAGGACCGGGTAGTGGGTTTGTTTGACAGCTGGGTGTACACGCTGAAATATTGCTTGCTCGAATTGGACACCATCATCACGATCTCGGATTCGTCCGGCGTCAATTTCGCGGCCCTGCAAGAGATGTGGACCCAGTGGGTGGTCACGCTACGCGACGACGTACTGCACAGCCGCTTGTTCGTGCTGCCGCTCTTCCCGGAAGTGCAGCGAGCGTGCCTGGGGCGTACAGTAGAGCAGCTGGACGCCTTCGCAATTCCAACCTACGACGAAGACCAACTCCGCGATTGGCTGCGTCTCGCACGCAACTGTTTGTCGGTGCTGGAATGCTTTTGCGTCCTGGCCCAAGGCGTGTGGTTGCACGCGACGGGCAGTCCAGAGGAGCTGAAAGCGGTGCGCCAGCCATTGCTACCACATGCGTGAAGAACAAACACGCGGGGACGCAGGGTCATAGAATACTACAGGACAAGCAGATGATGAAAGAACGGATGACTCTTGCTCTACAACACGAAGTGACATACTCGAGCGGCAGTAGTGCACGCCAGAATGCCCGCCGGGCAGGTTGCGGTGGTCCTGAGGTAGCCGTTTCAATCTGTGTTCCTTCCCTCGGCACCAAAGCGAGACGTTGCTGCAGTGTGGCGTGCACTCCTTCTCGATGGTGTGCGTTTTTCCGAGCCGGATCTTGTCTGATTTAGAACGCAGGCAAACGCAACTCAAACTTCAAACTTGGCCTACATTCAAAGCTGGGAGCGACCCACAATCAAAGCGATCTTCCATCGAAGTGTCAGTTTGTTTCAGTGCTAATCGATTTTCAGGATGGCATTCATTTTTCTGACTTTTACAGTTCACGTCCGAGATGGGCCACGGATTTCTGCAGATTTTCGAAACGTCACTACTTTGAATGTCTAGGAAAAACTAAAACAGCAGTATAACGAAAAACTCGCCACATCATCCAATATCTCCGTTTGAATCCCGAACCTACAGGACCTCTGTCGAATGGAAACAAGCTTTACATACACTTCATGCGAGTTACATTTTTCTTGGAAGAATAGGATAGCATCGAGGTACTTAGTACAACAGGAACAGGCGACTTCTAGATCCGTAGCTCTGCCACTTGCGCAATAGATTCACGCTTGACATCAGAATGTTCGGATTCGGGGGCAGTAACAGCGGTGGTGCGTTCGCCGCCCAATTCGGTGGAGGCAACGGTGGCTCCACCGACCAGCAGCAGTCGCAGAATTTTTTTGGCAGTGGCGTGGTAGCGCAACCCGGCGGCCTACAGGGCGGCGGTGGCTTTTTGCACGGTACACCGACACAAGACGCAACGGGCGGCGAGCAGGCAGGTGGTGGTGCGCGGACAGGCGGTGGCAACGCCGGTGGGAATACCGGGGATCAGATAAGTCGAAAAACAACGTCGGTGTCCTGCTACCAAGTGCACCAGATGGTCAGCGAGAACATGAAAAACGGCTCTGACGCCACACTCAAGCTCTACGGGGAGGAGGTACGTGTACAGTTATAGAAAAGAAGTAGTCGTGTGAACGTGAAGACTAAGCTCAAAAAACAAATAACTCTGCGCTGGTGCAAATGAGGGAAGGGACATAACTCCTGGTAAGCTTTTAGTTTTTTGATGTTTTTTCTGCCAACGCGTTGGCCTGTGCTTCTTCCCAACCGCGACCTACAGAGGCGCATCTAGTATATGTTTTCGTGCGAACACTCCCGCAATTCTATTTCTAATACATACGTCGCTCCTCACTTCCAGGTGCAATACTTGGCTCTGACGGGCGTAATACGGAAGTGCAACAACGAAGAACGAGACATGGACACGGCTTTGGAGATTTTTCTGGATGACCAGACCGCGGTCGTCAAAGTGCGCAAGTATTTCGATGGGACCAGCGAGCACGAGGCAGCGCTACACGAGTATACAACAAAGCATATTTTGATGATTTGGCAGACTAAAGTAGATTCTCACTCTCGATCTCGTTTCGATTTCGCCTATGGATGGAGTATAATTACTTCTGCCCAGAGGTGAGCTTCACTTTCTCTCTAGCAAAGCAAATACTTGTTCGCCAAACCAAAGAACCTTCACAACAGCTCTCTCGCCCCGTCCATGATGATTCGTGTAGTTGGAACGGTGCGGATGCACGGTAGCATGTTTTGGCTAGCCGCGATTAAGCTCGAAAAGTTGTCAGAGCTTGGGCAGATGTATGCCGACGCTATGACTCAGTATCGGCTCCTGCAGAAGTACATGATGAAGAGACAGGAAGAACTCGCACAGCAGGGCCAGCTACAACAACCAGGAGCGGCCGGCGCTGTTATTAATGCTGGAGGCCAGCACCAGCAACCATTAACTGTAGGTAGCAACAATCTCGTTTCTGGTGGCCTTCCCCCTTCTGCCGCTGCCGGGCACCCCGCCGGCGGGTCTGGGCTGCCGCAGATGAATGTCGTGAACATGATGGCGCAGCAGCGGCAGCAGGCGCAAATGCAGCAGCAAATGCAGCAACAACACGGAACGTTGTCGGGCACGCAGCTCCGCGACGGCATCTTGCGTGTTTTGCGGGACGGCACCAAGGACATCGAAAAGCCGGACGGACTGACACTAGACGATATCACCGCGCAACTGGGCGCCGGTGCCGACAAGCAGGAAGTGGCGCGATTTGTGCAGGACCTCTGCAACGACGGACAGATTTTCACTGGCGACACGGATGACAGGTATCTTCCCTCAGACTGCTGAGCAGAGACACGAACTGATTGCATCGCATACTATACGCGCACAGTACGCGGTCGCGGTCGCGGCCAGCACGGACGGACGACAATATTCCAGCCATGTTATGGATACGGCGCTCGAAAAACGACCACGAAATAGAACTTCCTTTGTTCGATGCATGGGTCGTCCGCTTCCGCCCTATTCCAAGAGCGAAAGACAGTGTTTTTATGTTTCTGTTTCGGAACCTCAACCTCAAACACGACAAAAAAATGATCAAAGCGCTGTATCTGCCTCCACTGGAGACGGCCATAAGACTGTTCAGAGACCCGATCCTCAGGAGTAGTTTCTATTTCTTCATTGGCTGGTCTGAAGCCGCAGTTGAGTGAATCGTCCATCCATAAGATCACCTCGAAGATGAAACCCAGAGTACAGCGCAGCACGCTTCCACCAACTCGCATTGTTCGATGTTGCGTGTCGTGTTTTTGCCGTATGGCAGACGATTTCTTTTACACAGACTCGGATTCATTCGTCTGCACGTATAAAAGCTCCTCATCGATAGATACAAGCTCAAGATCCAGCGGTCTGATTTCCTATGAGGGATGTGAAACAAAGTGTTTCACAGCGATGACTTCTTTTTTGTCCATGTGTAAACGCCTTCCGCTTCTCCACATCAACACAAACTAGATACTGCCTCACCTATCTCTCGTACTACACCCTGTGCAGTTCTTGGTGATCATTTTTAGCTACAAATATGCAGAAATAGGTGGACCCATGATATGAGGCTATAGATGATGGAGCTTGCGCTTGCCTCGGCCGCCTGTGCAAAAATGAATCTCATGCCTAAGCCTGTGCTCGGAAGGTCGTTCTGCAAAAAGAGACATCTTCCGCGCTCGCGTGGTCCTGCGCGAAGCCCGAACCCAATGTAGATACGTTCCACTGGCGCAGCGGATAAATCAAGACGACGAGGACCATGAGAGGCTCCAAAAACCATGAAGCTTCTTCATGCCTCGGGCGGCCCAGCAGATTTTCACCATTTCCCTCACTGCCCCTCGCGGTACTGCCTCTCCTACCTCTACTTTTTCCGGTCCAGTACGAGGTACCACACGTTGAAGGTGCTGCGTTTCGTGAGCTTTTTCGCTGCTCCGGCTTGCGAAAAGAGGACTGCGTTGGGAGACGTAGCAGACGTACCTGGGACGAAGACGCGCGCCTGCAGGAAAGAGTGTACCTGGGGACGGGGGATTTGTTTGCACCGATTGACTTGCAGGAGCAACAGCGTCCGTATGATGATCACGAGGCGTTCTATTCGACGAACACGACTCCACGCGGGGATGATGACCGAATGATCCCCGGACGAGGACCGGGCAGTGCAGTGGCGAGCCAAGCGCAAGCGCGTCCTTCGGAAAGAACAACTCCGATGAAAACTGAGAAACCACCCTTTTCATCTACTTCACAATCCAACGTCGCTCGAGGACCTGGACCCAAGGAACAATCAGCAGCTACTTTCAGCAGTACGGGAACAAATCGCCGTGATGCCGCACTGCAGACCGCGCTTTTCAATGTGTCCCAAATTGCACAGCTGGGGGGCTTCGCCAGTTTTGCCCCCGGGGGAATACTGCAGTCGGCCCTAGTACATCCATCGCTCCCTGCTCCTGTACCGGGAGCATTGTTTGGGTTTCCACGCCCGCGAGAGCTGGATGACGAAGTTGTGTTCTACAATAACGGCCGCGCGCCATCGCGTGACAAGAATTTCATACCCGTTTACAGTCGTCATGATATAGAGGCAGAGTATGAAGAATTCCGTACCCCGCCTGGGTCCGAGCGCGAGCGACAGGCAAGGTTTCCAGAGCCGGGAGACTCAGCTGATTTTAAAGCTGACGAGGAGCTGCCGTCTGCCTCTGCACAGCATTATGCGGGTGGGAATGGCGCTGCAGCTGGCGCGGAAAGTCTTCTCCTGCAAACAAACAGGGATCGCAAAAATGCGGAGGGGAAGCAACACGAATCCAAATTTTCTGCAACCAGTAGTGATATCACAAGCCATCTTCAGTGTCAGAGTGTTGAGAAGCGGTGTGACGGATCAACAAGTAAAATTCCTAAGATCGACCACGATGCGGACCTGTCCGCATTTGAGCCTCCCTTCTCTCGGTCCACTTCGCAGGAAGGGCAAATTTCCCGGCTGTCCTCCTCGTTTGAATTGGTGTACCTGGATGACCCCAAGGGGACTAACGCTGTCGTGAATGAACTGCCGCGACTCGAGACGGATCCGAACTTTTTGGTCGACGTGAATAACTTCTTGAACGCGTGCGCGCCCCCTGCAAAAGGAAGCAGCCTCGAGCAGCCGCGCCCCCCGGAGCCTTGCCGCACGGAGCAGATGAACTGCGGACGTGCAACAACAGCAGGAGAAAGGCCCCTAACTCACTCGAATCAGGGAGGTTATGCTGACGGGACTGCTTTTCCGAAGGAAACAGAAACGCGAGCGCCGCCATCTCCTTTAGAAGACGTGCCGCAGCCGAAGATTCTCCGCCACGTTCGGAAATCCCGCCGGGATGTTGAAGCGCCAGGCCGCTCCCCCAAAAGCGGCCAACATTGGATGGCTGACAATCCTGAACAAAATCTGCTACGCCCGCACCTAGCCCCAAGAAGAACAAAGGGTGACCCGGTTGAGGAGCTCGAGGCCAGCTGCTGTAGTCCTGGCTACGGCCTAAGTGAGGAGGATTACCGTTGCGCTGCTGAGGCCCGCGCGCTGCGAGAACGACTTGCCCTGCGAGTGGCGACGGGAGCAGCGCCAGACTTCGCGGAGGTCCTTCTCCCGGGCCCGCTCGAGCGCACCGTGCAGCGGCACCGCCGAGACGAGCACCTCATCCACATTGGACCACGAGACGAGCCTCCGGCCTGCTTTTCGGCCGCGAGCATGCATGATCCGATCGGAAACGCGGCGGCCGCGGTTGTGTACCCCTCGGTCCAGCAGCACGCAGCGGAGATTCCCGGCCTCAGTTTGAGCATGCAGGACTTTCTGCTCCTCCTCCAGGCGTATAACCTGGACGAAGCGCGCGTCGCGCTGAGTCCCGTGATGGAAACCACGGTCAGTGCGCTATTGTCCGAAGAAGACGCTCGCAAGTGCTTTCACTACGCTTTGGTCTTGAAATTGGTGCCGAAGCACGACGGGCTTGAGAATATGGTTTCTACGCCTGAGGAGCAACAGGATGACGAACGCGAAGATTTACAAAAGCCGGGTGCTCTTTCACCGGATTCTGGTCTGGACGGCTCATCACCGTCGGGCCCCAGAACTGCGCTGAAACGCAGTGACGGTAGTATTGATGATGTCGTGCAGATGCAACAAAATAAGCAGGATCCGAAAGGTGAAGGTGATCTTCAAGAAGCTCGGGATTCAACAATTGCAGAGCCGGCATCTTTATCTCCCGAGGACCCCGACAGCGAACGGCTCGTGCAATCCTCGCCTGCAATGTTGCGAAGCGCAAACCTACAAAAGAAAGGAGCACAAAGATCGACCGGCCCAGGAGGTTCTTCCGATGAAGTTGTGTCTTCCACCGGTAGAAGCGCAAGTCCGGTACTACTTACAGCCGTGGCAAGTAGTCAGGGTGATAGAGGCATGGGTGGCAGTGGCAGCGCTTCCCCCATGGGCCTCACTCTGAAGAAAAATCCCTACAGCTGCAACAACGTGACGGAGGCCATCAACGATTATGGCGTTGAGTGTGACCTGTTAGTGCACCGACTGGAGCTGGAGCGCGATTTCCTTGAGGATCGAGAGGAGCTGGAAAAAGCCTCGTGTCGGCCGCGGGCTGGCAGCAACGTCACTGCCACGATTCCCGAAGAGGAAGAACACGAAGATGAGGCAGAACAGTCGCAGTGGAGTCTGCGAGTGCAGCACCCCTCCGGAACGGACCTCTGCTCCTCGGCTCTGCGCCTTTTAGAAAATAATAGCGCAGATGTTGAAGAAAAAGAATGCGAACAAAGTGGTCAAAGGTGGCCACCTCGTCCGTGGTCTTCGTCCCAGCACGCGCTGCATTCCGAAAAATCAGATCAGATGCATAGAAGGCCGGCCACGGTGGACGGGAGTTCCGAGCAGCTGAAGCTGAAAAGGGAGAACACCGACGAGGAAAACAGCGACTGGGGTCTAGACGCTACGACCTGCAGTGGGCGGAGTCAGCGAACCACGTCCGCGTGTTCCTCTTTCGGATCTTCTCAGTCTGCGGAAACGTCATCTGTGAACGGAGGAAACGATGCGTTGAAACGAACAACATCCGGGCACGTCGGTCTCGAAGGAGAGTTCTCTCCACCTCTACCGCAGCGCGCACCAGCGGAATCTGAAGAGAACAGTTTTTTACGCGAGGGCGTTGACGCGGTGATACAAACCATAACACACGCGGATTCCGCGAGCGACTTGCGCGGGAATTTGAAGATGAAGTCCGCTAGTTATCCTTCCTCAGCTTCATTTCCGAGCAGTTCTAGCCGGACTCCGAAAAGTCGCGGTCCCGACCACTACGCGTTCGTGAGAATCGAGCGGCTTAGCACCGGAGAAATCTCGCTGAAGTATCACCTGCATCCGCTGGGTAATAGAGGGAAGAAAAAATTATCTAAAAGTAGTTCTGAACCGACGCGAGCCACCAGCACTTTCGATTTGCCATCAGATGATGTGCACGAAGATGAAAGCAGTGCTGCTAGTAGTAGCACACCTTCACCGGAACCACAGGAGATTGACAGAGAGTGGCAAGCTTACAGAGCACGGGAAACACAGGGTTTGCGTGCATTGGCGCAAGGATCTTCTGTTTCTTCTACTGAAGGAGCCGGTCATCTGCACGACAACCAGCGGAGTAGTACCGAAAAGATCCTCCTCGTTCCGGAGGAGCATGTGGCGCGCGTGTGGCGGGCTGGCCCCGAGCACAAGCAGCGCGGGGTGCCGATCGACGGTCTGAAGTGGATGGAAGAGGAGGCGCTTTTGGGAGGCTGGTACAAGGAAGCGCAGCAGCACCAAGCGAGTTGGCCGTCGCGGGGCGGGCAACACAAGAAGTACGGGAATCTGGACAGTTACGACGTGGGAACCAACAACTGCCAGCATTTGGTATTCCGGTTTTTCCGCGACGTCATCCACCTGCCGCAGTGCGGCGTGTACTACTCGAATACGCTCGAGACCCCGCTCGAACGCAGCCGGTCCGACAACTTTGATTCCCGCCGGCCGACGAAGATCGACCCCCTGTCTACCTCCGAACACCCCTTCGCCTGGGGTTTGCTCGGCGTCAAAGGTAAGTACGTACTTAAATAAAATACAAACATATCGAAGATCAAGATTTACGTTGGTTTTCACGAACATACCTGCTACGCCCGCCCACCCTACTCGAATGATACTGTCCACCGGTGTTTGTATGTAACTCCACGAGTGTTCAACAGCAATCTGAATCTTCAACGTGAATCTCCATCTGGTGGTCTCTCATTTATTGCCTTTTGATACTCTATACGTATACCTTCATCAGGTTTGAGCGACCTCTCCGACCAGAGCGATGCGCGCATGGCCTGCATCAGCAATTTTGAGGCGTTTCAAGAGGATTTGGCTACGGGCTACTACGCAAAAATCGACCCGCCTCTTTTTGGTCCCAGAACGGATCACAGCCACTTCTTCGACTGAAGAGTTCGGATAAGATACAGATGAGAATATTAATCCTACAGTTCAGGAACAGGATCATCATCATATTTGTTTCGACCCGTGCGGGCTTGAAGTGAAAGATGGCATGGTAAAAGTTCTTGCGCTGGTTCCAACTTCAGTGCTCGTTGTGGCACCTGAGTGACACAGTGGCGCGGACGACGTAATTTGTGCACAGCTTCCTGAAGATGCCAAGATTTTGAATCTACTTGCCAGCTTCACCGGCATTTTTGTTATTTGGTCTTCACTTTTTTTGCTGTGCACGACGCCGTTCGTCCAGTCCGGTTGTTTTCGAAGGCAGGCTGCCTACAGTTTTTATAATTACGTTATAGAAGAAAAAGTCGGATGTTGCCAAGGCCATGGCCAACACATACGCACGCGCACTTCATCTCAAAAAATGCAACTACAATAATGAATGTGAATCAATACAGCAATCGCGAGAAATGTACTCTTCGCACCAAGATCAAGAAAACATGCAAAGAAACGTAATGAATGTTTATTGAATTCATCATGTGTGTATCATGTATCTGTGTACCGTAGTACAGTAGAAATTGGCTACGAGAACGTTTTTGGTTCTGGAGAAGCAGAAGCTCCTTGTCCAGCCGTAGTAGAGATAGAGACCGAATTCTTCGTCTTCATCATCTTGTCTTTTCTGTGAAACGAAATTAAATTGTTGTCGAGCCAACGATGGAGTTTTCTGTTGAAACAAAAAAGTCGCCATCTCCTTCTTTCCTGCTTGTATAGTATAGTCGGAAATTGGCGATGTGTTTCACAAAACGATCACATCCATCTCGACCGCACTGGTCAATGTTTCAGTTTCTTCCTTCGTGTGTTCAGCGAAAATTCGTCTGGATTTCTTCATTTCGATGAAGGTAAAAAGGCTGAAGGTTCGCATTGTTGCACGACTTGATGTCGACGCTCAAATGAATCGTACCCCGTTATTTGTTCTGATGGCGTGCAGCGTGTGTTGATGTGCGTGGGTATCATGATGTCGAAAGTGATAGTGATTCCTGATGTTGCATGAGCAGCGAATTGGCGAGCAGGACAATCTACGTGTCGGAGATCTCGTGCCTGATATAACAGGATCAACCGAGCAAACGGATGCTGATCATGTCCTGTTCCACATTGCAGCTGCGTTCGCGTGAGACAACAGTAGCGTCGTGGTCATTTTGGTTCCCTAGGACACTCCTGAATTATTGATTTGATCTACATATGTATGAGCATGATGGCAATTCAGTAGCTAGCGCTAGTTTCGTAGTGGTACTTGCGTGAGAAGTAGCTGTCGTTTCTTTGCGAGGATGATACCACAAAATCCTCGCCTACATCGTGCGCATACACACAATCACGGATCTCTTCCACTAGTTGGGCTATTATTTCCTCCAATCGGTGAAATTCATGATAACTCCGGCGGAAGCGTACCACAAGAACTACTACGATGTGTTTTAGAGAGAGAAACGAAGTTTCCAACAAAAATATCGTACACAACTTCATAATCATACCGGTGTTTTGATGCGTAGTTGCTTTTGAAAATACGAGTAAACACAAATAGAAATAAGACGGAGAAACAATGTCGCCCCCGGAAGACGAGGATCTGGACGAACTGCCCCTGGTGGCAGAGCTGCGCAAGCGCCAGGAGCGATCGATCGAGTTAATCGACTCTCTGCGACGCGGAATTCTGAATCAGGGGGAGGACCAAGATGAACACGGCACCGACGAGAAGATGAATGTCGAAACTTCTGACCCTGTGGTCAATCATGTAGGAGCTGGTCGTGCTGACAGCAATCCGCGAAGTAGACCCCACGAGGCTACAGAAAACGGCGCACGAGTCGAAGAAATTTTGAATGTTACAGAGAGCTTTTCGACTTCGTCACGTGGCTTGGATCCTCTCAGGCAATCCGACACCCACACGTACACAGTCAGCTGCAACACGCCAACGCCCTGTAAAATTTCATCGGAGCATTCAGTTGTAGATCAGGATCTATATGCAGTTGCAGACGATGGGCGAAATGCTGTGACGCGGCACGGGGATGATGAAACAGGCGAGAGCACTATCCGCAAGAAGCCGTGCAGTGACAATCGGAATTATCCTATTGGAAATACGCCTGAGAAGACAGATCCGGAAAAACCCACAGTGCATGAGGAAGGAAAGCCGACAGACGAGGACGAAGTCGGAGATGAGCCCGATCCTCCTCACTGCGAAAGCGACGATCGTGAAGAAGATGACGACGCGGTGTTTATGGTGGATAATTTCGAGCCTAAAGGCGTCTTCGGTCAACGAGCTGGCGCCTGGTCCGTCTATAATGACATAGGAAACAAGAACCAAAGCTCGCTGGTCCGTCCAGTCGTCGGAAAAAAGTCTGAGAGCACGACGGGAGATCATTATCCTCGCACAGAGGTGGATGAAGAACAGGGCAGAAAAACTGGCAAGAATAGCGCCGACGGCGCCGTTGTTCTCACAGGGGAGGAAAACCAAAACGAAAACCTTAACGAAGATGCGCATTCCAATCCAGCAACCGGGTCATCGCCATCGGGACGGGGTAGGCCGTCGGTTCGAATCACTACGTGCCGCCAGCAGCCGGACCAGGAAGTGCTTGAAAACTCCAATGCTGATGCTGATGCCGGGGAGGAGGAGGAGGAGTATGCGAGTGAAAGAAGTCCCACCTTTATCGATGTAGAAGAACAACCAGAGCAAGACAGTCGCTATTCGCCTGGAGGGGGCGAGGAAGCGGTATCACTGGAATCGTCATTCAACGAACACGGGCCTTTCGTCGCAGCCGCAGAAGCAAACCAAGCACGGGAGGACCGACTTGACGAACAAGCGCAAATCGCTTCAAACAAGGCTACTTGTACTTCTGCAGCAGTTCATAGTTCTAAGAACTCGGAAAGCTGCGAAGATCAAAGCACGCCTCATTTTTTCCAGAGGAAGTGCAGTACTGAAGTACACGAGCTGCAACAAGTAGTCCTCCGGGAGGAAGCAGAAGAGCCGGATAGGAATAAAAAGAACACAATCTTCGTCGAGGATGTTCATCGAGATTCCGCGACTTCACATTTGGCTCATATGGTAGAACAAGCAAGCGATGATCTCCACGAGAAACAGACAACGAGTAGTGTGTCTGACGGTTTTGTGCAACGCCGATCGGATATCGACCAGGTACTGCGAAAGGAACACATACTTCTTGGCGGAATAAATCCTGGAGCTGGAGGAGGTGGTGCAGCTTTGTCCTCCCTACTCGCCCAGCAGCGGCCGTGGACGGACAGCGAGAAATCTCTGTTGGATTTGGTGCGGTCCTGCACTTCCAATAAACCGGTAGACAATAATGGTGCGACAAGCAACAGGCAAGGTGGATCCACGTCATTTGTTCGCGATGACGTTTCGGAGAAGAGCTCCCGGACCAGCTGCACCATGATGAGAGAACACAAGGAAACGCCGACAGCCGACCCAGCTACCGTTTTCCCCGGCGTGTCGGCGGAGCAGGAGTCGAGCCTCCTGGCCGAAACGAAATTCATCCCATGCAACAAGGACCAGCTGCTGAAAAATCAAGCCTGTACTGGTGGTTCTTCGGGTACGATGATTTCCGCGAACACTGCAACCTCGCGTGGCCTTGCTGGTGCTCTGAACTCCAGCAGTGCATCCTCCGCGGTATCAAATTCAAACTTGACTGTGACAACGACAGCAGCGGCGCCAAAAACGGTCGCAGCTCCCGCGCTGTCTTCCCGTTTGGCGGAGCTGGGACGGCGATTCGTGGCCCACCGCACCAACGCCCACGCGTCACCGTTGACCCGAACGAGGTCTCCGCGTTTAGCAAAAGCGGACGGCAGTTCGCAGCGGACCTTCTCGATCGCCGGCAGTATTGCTACATGCGGGGCGACGTCGCGAAAACCGCTATACACTCCGCAGCAGAATTTGGTTGCGAAGAAAATGGGGGTGCCTGTGGGGGGAAAGAAAGTGGGACTAGGAAATATGAAAGGCGTGACCGAACAACAACAAACATCAGCAGGGCGGTCGTTCTCTCCGCAACCGCGTGTGCAGACCCATCACACAGTCCTTGCTCCGAATTCATCAGTGCGTGCCCCTGGATCCCGGAGTGGCGCAACGAAAAAGGTACCACTATCCTCAGCTCCGAACAACGTGTCTGGAGGTGCAAAGCCGCTGAAGACCACGCCGCGCCCCGGTAGCCAGGGGCGCAAGGCAAATTTGCAGACCCCGACGACTGCCGCATCAACGAATTCAGGAACAACTGGCTCGATGAAGAACAGGAGAAAAGATGCTACACCATTGTCGAACGCAAGCGGTAAAACACTGGTGGAAGCGGCAGCACAAGTAGGTCGTAACGACCAAGCAGCATCAGCGCTGCAATTCGGGGGCACCGCAGCGATAGGTGGTCCTGCTCTGCGCTCGCGTGGGCAAGGTAAAGCACTGCGGCGCGCGTTCACAAGTCCGTCAGGCGAAATTGGTCAACTTCATCAAAACGAAAAGGAAAATTTTGGGCCGCTTGATGATGCCAGAAACAATGAGCAGTCGTGTCGGCGACTGATCAGAACCAAAGCAAGGCAGGATTTTGGTAGCGGAACGAAGATTCCGGTTCCGCTTCAGCGACAAGTGGTTTGTTCCGCAACTGACATACAGCAAGCTCGGGCGGTGCAACAGCAAATTCGTATTGACCTCGGAGATGAGCTCAAGTTACCGGCGCCTTCAAATGCTTCCTCTGGCTCCTGCTCTGGCGCTGCCAGTAACGCAGGATATAATTCTGGGACGAGCGGAAGAAGTCCTACAAGTGTATCGAAAGTTTCGCACTCTTCTGGTGGCATCAGCACTGCCAGTAGTGAAACTACAGGCCGAAACTCATGTTTCATTCAGGGCAGTGGCATCAAGCAGCCCGAGAAGCAAGGATCGCAACACGGTACTGGTTCATCTGCGACATCTTCAAGCACTAGGCCGAAACTGCTGATTACCCCCCGTGAACACACTGGTGATCGATTCACGTCTAGGATACCGACGCCTCGTACTGGGCGCAACCTGCAGGAGAGGAGGATCGCAGAAGATCAATCAAGTCGGTGCGGACGAGATGCTATCGCTAGCGTAAGTGAGGACACGATGTCACCGTATCCCTCATCTGCCTCTGCTTCGCCGCAGGCTGTGCAAACAGCGCAAGTCGTCGTCAGGCACAATTCGTCGCGCGAACGATCGGAAGCTGGTGTGGCCGCAAAAGCAAAGCCAGATTGGAACTTCAGCAGCCGTGTGGGAGCGTCGACGTGGGCAAGCGGCGGCACACCCACCAGTATTGGTGTGGGCGTGGACCACAAATTTTGCAAGCCCCAGCGCAGCCGGGGTTTCCAGGTGCTAATGTCCTCTGCGTACCCAATGGCGCGACCTATGTACACCGCTCGGCCGAGCGACCGCCTCCGCCGAATGGCCTGCGGACCGAAGTTGCATCACTTGTCGAGCCTGTCAGGCTCCCATAACACTGGACAGTATCCGTTTTCGGTATCGTCCACGGACAGAAGCCCGAAGAAAATGCAACTGCTTCGGGCCGCGAAAGCCGCGGGAAAACGTGCGCGCCGGGTTTCCACGAAGAAGCCACTCATGGTGCTGAAAAGGAAGAAGTATAATAACCTAGTGAGCTTTAAATTTTCGCCACAGCATGGCGGCGCGGCGAAACTTTCGTCCTACGAGCGCCACCTATACCAGCCGGAGCGGGGCGAATGCATTTTTTTGTCTCAGCCGTCGATGCTGGAAAATTCGACTGTACATGAGCAATATGAGCTTGCAGTGGAAGATGGCGCGGCGCAGCCGCGTGGAATAGGAGAATCCCGGAAAAGAAGTCATCAGAGGCGCGGCATCCAAAAGAGCCCAAAAGCAAAAGGAGTTCTTGCCCCTGGAACAAGCTCAGTGAGAACGCAAGACCCTTCGAGGACACGACACTTGACACAGAAGCGCGCTTATGATTTCGAAACTTCGCCTGTGAATCAGGCTCACGAGAAAGTTAACGAGCCAGTAGAAGTGATGAAAATCGACCTCGACACGACCCCTGCTACCGCTACGTGCGTTCTTACCATTCCAGCCATGGCTGGCCTTATCGCGGGTTTTGTGACCGTGGCTGCAGACGATCCGGAGGATCCTGTGCCAATCGTCGCTGCGTCGGTGCGTGCGACCAGGAATCCTGAGCAGACGCTGTACCGTCTGATTTTCCAAGCCTGTTCACTTCTACCCGAGCCGAGTTCCGGAATCATGCGCAAAACGGTCACGAAGTCAAATATCCCTCAGGCCCAGCTGCTCAGCAGATGCCTGCGTAGGCTTTTGGACAGGTAAGTACTAACTTACTTTCTGTTCGATAGACACACTTCTTGGGTCTGAAGAATGTGACGCAACACTTGGCTTTTGATTGTTTAGCACGGCGAGCTGACGTACTAGATCGTCCGTTCTGGTGTCCATAAGAGTCCATTGACATGACTGCTTCATACAAAATCCAAACAATTACAATGAATTAGGTTGATTGCCAACGGTACCCTTCGCACGGAGGCTCTCGACGGGTTACAAGCTCTTCTCGACACCGGAAGTGCTTGTGAAGGTACTTCTAACGGCACTGTTGAAGGGACTCTACCTACACAGAGCGAACAACAAGCCTCACGCTCACTATCCGGCAGTGCAAGCAAGGCCTGCAACATTGGGAACAAGGAGAAAGTAAGAGATCGCAGCGTCAACACCAACAGCACGAGCCGAACCGAAAGCAAACTGCATCAAAATGACCAATTTGGACGCGTTGGCAGCTGCACGGTCATCGACGGGGAGAAAATCAGCGCGATTCCGGAGGAGAGCGAGTCTGTCACCAGTGTAATGAACTGCTCGGAGGAGACCAACATCGTGGTGCACGACAATCCTCCGCGCCCTAGTGGGAATCTTGCCGATCATTCAGGTGAGGCAGCAGCTGCAGTGCAGGTGTCGTTATCCTGCGACGGAGAGCAAAGAGCAAGAGAACGGGTTCAGTTCCTAGAAGAAATAGAGGGGGACGACGAGGTACGGCTTGAGTTCTCTTCTTCGTCTGGCGAAAAGATGAGAGGAGTGAAGGGGTCCTCGAGCATTGTCAACCATCAGCCTACTAGAAGTCGTGCCAGTCTTACCGTTCCGCCGGACGTCGAGGCCGTTACTGAGAAGATTTCGGGACTGACGGCAACGAGCAGTGCGGCGCTTGACGAACTGCAGGTGGCTCACATTGCGTCTTCCTCCTGCTCATTGGTCGACGAGGAGCCAGACCAAGATCATGCTTCTGCGCGGGGAACTGCGTGTATGTCCTCTAGTGGCGGCGAAAACTCCGCAAGGGTCGGCGACAGCGGACTCGAGCGGGGAGCCGCAGTAGAGGAGATGAACGGTCATGATCACGACGATCAGTTTCCTTCTACCGCTGGGATGAATGTGAATGTCGACAGCAGTTGCGACTCGATTTCGTCGCTGGAACAGGATATTCCCGCCGCCACTCCTGTCGAACGCGCGGAGAGGAGCGAACAGAGCTCCTCCAATTTAGCCGAAAGCGGCCGTGCGTTTTCTTCTAGAAATAGCGATTCCCAGCTCGGGCTCGGTGGTTCTGCAGCATCTCCCGGGCAGGGGGGAAACGAGAAGAGCAGAGTAGATGCAGGTAGCTTGTCGCCGCATGTAGCCAATCGAACAACTGGTGATGATAACAATTGCGATCCATCAGAAGAAAGAGAACGTCGAGACGTTTCGTCAGGGAATTCGGATGAATCAGGACCCGGCTTCGAGGACCATCACGTTGCCGATGACGAGGGCGATTCCTCTTGCAGCAGTATCGAACAGCAGTACGACAGTGCGTGCCCCGATGCCACCGGCGACAGCGCAGTTGTGGCACACATGCTGGACCATGTAAACCTCGATGTGCGAGCGCGTTCCTCACAAGTGGTACAGGAGCTGCAGAACGTTTCCAAAGAAAATGAGGTGGACGGCGACGCAGCCGGTATTGCGGATGACGACGATGAGCTGGCGCAATGTAGTGCTGTAAGCGATCAGCAGTGCGTGTCAGACAAGTCTGGTGATGGAAGTGGAGTGAAGGTGGAGGACAAGTTTTTCGCGCACGACACGCAGAACAAAGGCGCTGAAAACAGCGCACATCATGGTCTGATTCTCGGACCAGTGCCACCTGAGGACGAGGGAAAGTTGAAGCCTTTCGCCCTAGTGTCGGTTTCCGCAACCGAAACCGCATCATCCGCTTCGCAAAACCGCCCGCGCGCACCGCGCGACGTCTGCACCCCCAGCGAGGTAGGATTCGAACACGTGGAGGCAGCACACCAGTCTGCGATGGTGCAGCAGGGTACTGGAAATTACAATCGCGTGGACGCCGAACGTCGTACCCGCTTGGCACCGCCGAGGATCTTTGCCTCATCGGCGGCAACTGCAAGTAGTAGTACAGATGAAAAAGGGCAACTCCAACCACAACCAGAAAGAGATGTGAATCCCGCTTGTGGTACAACTGGGAAAGCACAACTAAAGTCCAGCACTGCGCCAGCAGGTGTAATCGAAACAAGCTTATCGTCTCCTGACAAACTGCCTTTAGCTTGCGCCGCTTCCTCCAAGAAGTCGCCATTTCCCTTTGCGGGCTCACCGTCGCTCTCTTCGATTCGCGGCAGCCCAAATCAATTCGAGACACCGGCCCGCAACATTTCCTCATCGGGGCAGCAGACCACGCCAGACACTACAAGGACGCTTCCTCACGGAGCGCTCGTGCTGCGCAACACTGTACAGCATAAAACTCCCATGGGCGGCGGGTGCAGCTCTCCTGTTCGCAGAATCACAAACCGGAGCGCAAAAAATCGGCACACCGTCTCCTCCTCCGGTCCCCGTGACTCCCCCTCGTCCACTGGTGCCGTGATCGGTGGGGCATGTGCAACATCGACTCCGCAACGAGAGGCCCCAGACGGGGACCTGCGTCATTCAGGCCCCCCGACGCCTCTATTCGTCCACGATAAGCTTCCACTGCGGAAAATGACTGAACAAGCTCTATCGCCTCGTTTACAACAAGACGAAGCTTGTTCTGCGAGAGAGAAGAATCTGAATCTTTTCTGCACTGGTGCAGCCATCCGACGGGGACAGGTTTCGGCACCCGTTTCCTTTCCGATGATTCGAGAAGAAGATCGGGTGGAGAACGGACGAGGAATTAGGGCCTTCAGAAGTTGCGCATCGAGCTTTGCCGGTCCGAGCAGTCACGCGGTCGGTGCGCCAATTCACGGCGCACGCAGGGGCGCCTTCAATTCTCTTTACCTGCAGCCCCGGTCCATAACGCCGCCGCCCACTGTTGGCACCAGCTCACTGTTCACCTGGGCCCAGCAATATCGAAGCCGAAGTCTCAGCCGCCCGAAAGCGGTCGAGCTCAAGTCCGCCAAGGAATCCGAAAAACCATAGAGCGGCCGATTTGCGCTCTTTTCTACCGCGAGAGTTTTGCCGGGGGTTCATAGATTTTTTTGGTGTTAAGCTCATACCTCTCAACCGGAGCGCAGTCAAGCAATTCTGACCAAAAACCTGTCCAGCTCCGAAGTCCAATTTTGAATCAAACAAGCAGATGCAAGGAAACCGTTTTGGGTGGTGGATACAACTCTGTTTCTTGTGTACGCATTTGTTTGATGAGCCGGGAGATGAGCGTCTGCCGGTGCTGTTGGACCTTGCCGCGCGATGATGTATTTTTTCCCTTTTACTAGACCTAGAGTAGAAAGATGGTTGAATTCAGGTGGGAAAGCCAAAGCGTAAAATCATTCATCTGAGAGAAAGTGCAACACACAAGCGCAGATGGCAAAGCCCACGGATTCAACGAGAGACAAAAGTCGCAAAACAGAAAATTTTTAATGCGCGGAAGGGAACACATGCACAAACGTGATTCGAGAGGGAGAAGTGTCGACAAACGACTCGGATAGTAGTTGTAGACGTGTAATTGTGTCAGTTCTTTCGGTAAAAAGTGAGTTTCGGCTTTTTTGCACACGAGCAATAAGAACAGGAAACCATGCCGAGCCTTGTGCGCGAGGCGAGCGCGACGGATCCGGACGATCATACTACGACAAGCGAGATGGCGCCGCCTTTACCAGGCGAGACACCCGTGGTCGACCCGACGGCCCAAATCGCCCAGCTGGAGGAGCAAAACGCCTATCTCCGCCGGATGACGCAGCTGAAGACGCGGTCCCTGGTGTCCGCGCAGGAAGCTCTGGCGGAACGGAAAGAGAACGAGGAGCTGCTGCTCGAACAGGTGGAGGAACTGTCGAAGGAACTCCAAGATCTGAAGACCGACTTGGACAGCGCGAAGGCAGAAGCCCAGCGGCAAATCCGCAAGGCCAAGGACCACCGCACCGACAATCTCGAGGAGATTCGGCGGGAGAACCTGCGGCTCCGCACGGAACTGGCGAACTGCGAGAAGAAAGCGGTCGTGGCTAGCGGTCACCACCAGAGCGAGATGGCAGCCCTGGTGCAGAAGCACAAGATCGAAGTGTCCCACCTGCGGAACGAAATGGTGTCGCTACGGAAGAGCACGCGGGAAAAGCTCGACGCCCTCACCGAGCACGAAGACGACCGTCGGCTGTTGGCGCAGGTGCGAACCGAGCTGGAAAACGCGCAGCAGGAAAATACGCGGTTGTTGGCGCACCAGAGTCACGTGTTGCGCGATCAGGAACGCAAGTTGTTGGACGAGCACGACTGCGTGCTAAAAAGCAGTCAGAACGAGATCACCCTGTTGCGACAAAGGCTACAGGTACAGCTGGAGGTTGTGTGATTGTGTGAAGAAATTTTCCAGACAAGATAGATCGGTAGCGAAAGGATGCAACAAACCTATTTACGTAGAACCTCAAGAAACTGCGAATCGCAATCCGTAGTCAGATGTAGTTGCTAGCGTTCTAGTGATGTCAACTACACTCACATGTTGATCTTTCAAACTATCCAACACCTTTCTGTCCAATCCCCAGGAAGCCGAAGCCGAAGTTGGCTACCTCATGGACCAGCTCGCAGAAAAGGACGAACGGTTTACGGAACTCGGCGCCGACTGCGCTTCGCTGCAGGAACTGACAGAGCTGCTCCGGAGCATGCAGGCCAAGCAGGACGCGCTGGAAAGCGAGCAGCTGACGGAGGAGGAAAAAATATCCAACGCGTGTGAAGCCTTCGAGAACGTCGTCCGCGAGGCGTATCGGGAGAAATGGCGGATTTTGTCCGTATTTGAGCAATGATGTTTTAGCAAAATTAGGCGAGCATCGTGTCATTAACTTAATATCAAGATCAAGAAGAAATAAAAAATGCGAGGAATCTACGAGGATAGACAGCCAGAGCGCGCGTGGGCGTAAAATATCGAAAATTGAATTCAGGCCGACGTTGCGGCCACAATCACGGACTACGAGAAGCGTTTCGTTTTGCAGGAGGAGCACACGCAAGTGCTTGAGCTTGCGTTGGAAGACCTGCGCTTGCGGGAAAAGTACGTCATCTCGGAGCTCGAGAACAAGGCTTCTCAGGCAGACCAGCAGGCGCAAGAGCAGCAACGACGAAGCGCGGTTCGCTTTGAGCAGCAAGAGGACGGCGCGCGCCGCGTTACCATAACGGACGAGGTTGTGGTTCCTGATGCCGGAGGCTGTGGCGAGGAGAGGGCACTGCAGCTCCTCGAAGGGCGTAGCACAGTTGAGGTACCTTTGGTCGTGCAGGACGAAGTAAACGTAGCTGGCGCAAATCCTGCCCGGGTCCCGCTAACGTACGCCGAGCAAGAACAGTACGAGGGCGGCTACCTCGAGGAAAACTATGGTGTCGTCGAGTGGGCAGACCAAGACGTCGGGGCCGAGTTAGTGGACAACGCAAGTGAGCGGGAAAACGATGCTTACAACGACGAAGCCGCAGTAAACGATGCCGTGGCCCTGGCGAGGCAGAGTTTTTCCGCACTAGATGCTGGGTGTGCTCAAGGGGAGGAAGAGATGCCCCGCGTTTCCGCAGTTTCGGCAGTGACGCTGGTCGGCGAACACGAGCAGGAGTGGTTGCTTAGTAAAAACGACGCAGGAGTCGCACCGAGCCATGACGCGACCGCAGTTCGCCACAGTCAAGATTCATTCGCTGCGGACCACGCACGTCGCTCTGTTGAGGCGATTCCAGGCTCTACGCGAATCGCGCCTCCAGCACCACATCCTCAGCCAGTCGCAAACCAAGGCCTAGGATTGGAAGGAAGTGCGAATTTCGCATCTGCTCTACAAGTAGACGGGAAAAAGGTCCAACATCCCGCAGGCGCCTTCGTTTTTCCCGGATTCGAGTCGCTCGAACAGGCACAAGGCAGCACGAAGGCAACGGAACACCAAGTATCGCATCCGTCTTCGAAGGAGGGAATGGGCGGCGCGATAGCGGTAAGTAAGTGTGGTGCGAACGATTTTTTCTTGATGTTGACACGCGATAGCTCTAGTAGTGTTGCTAGTGCAGCAGCAGCTTGATGAGTCATCACCTCCAACTCTCGAAAACAACATACAGATGACAAATTTTTTGGCCACCTCCGATACGCCCGCGAGCTTCGTCTCGCAGCCCACCGCGGAGTCCGCTCAAACGAAGCGTCCAAGTGACCACTCAGAGCAGGTCGGGCCCGCCTTGTTGAGAGCTGCGGCCGTGGTAGCACACCAACAGAGCGCTGGCGCACTTCCGACGAGCAGTAAAAGCAGCATGGTGCATAAAAATCTTCCGCAGCTGACCAAGGCACTTATCTCCCCCACGATGCAGCACCGCGTTGTCCGATCTCCGGTACATGGGACGACGATTTTGCTGCAGCAGCACTCCGCCTCGGCGACCGGTTCTCCACAACAGCACGACCCCGGCGCCAAGATTGAACAGATTGGAGGCTCCTCGGCTAGCGGATTACGGTGGAAGCTGACGAATCTCCCGAGCGTGGATTTGAAAGTAACGCCGAACATGTTCACCGTCGGCTCCCCGGCCTCGAAATCCCCCGTCACGTCGCCGAAACGGGGGACGGTGCCGCTGGCAGCTGGAGGAATTAGTATCGCTCAACAACAGCACGTGTCGTATAGTAGTATCAAAAGGAAAACGAAAAACAAAAACGCGACCTTTAGCGTCGAGGAGGAAGAAGTTGCGTCCATTCCTGACGAAGATGCTGGAACTGCTGGATATGGCGCTACTCCGGGAAGGCCGGAGTTAGGTTTCCAGCCGCAGCGCACACTGCAGCCGGCTGCCAGCAGCGCGGTGGTGCCACCACCAGCAGAAGAACGAGGCAAAGCCTCTGTCAACGAGCACGTCTCGCCGGTGCAACGCAACGTCTTAATTTCCGCTGGCCAGCAGGCACACCAGATGCCACGAGCGAGTTCTGCCACTCCTGTTCCGACATCAAGTTCTAGTGCGAAGAAACGCGCATCGCAAGAGCAACAGCAGCAGCCGGTGCAGACACGGCACCATCGGCGACTCCACGTGGAATCTCCTGCGCACCTGAAGTTCATCACGTCCTCCCAGTGCGCATTATTGGAATCCGTTCCGGCCAACCTGCTCTCCCCTGGAAGCACGGTCCGCTCGCCGCAGGGACTCGGAGTGTCGCTGTCGCCGCATAATCGGAAGCGCCAGGTAGCAGTTGTGCCGCTCGCGGGAAACAGCCGTAGTGGTACAACTTCTGCGCAGCAAGCAGTAGACCACGAGGCAGCAGCTGCAGCAGCACCAAACAAGCCTGTTTTTGCTGGCCCACCGGGACTGGGACTGCCGCCGCCAGCACCTGGCACGGGGAAGTTGGCGAAGAAGGGCCTGGGGCAGTTGTTGAAGCCAGTGACGCTGTCACCAGTCCTCCAACCGCGATCCCCGGCTTTGACCGGTGTTTCCGCGAAGCAGGGGCAGCAAGTGGGTACTCCGCCAGGGGCTCCTGTTCCTGGGACGACTTCTAGTGTAGATAAAGCTGTGTCGAGTGTAGTTGTATCTGCTTCCAGTTCCACTTCGCAAAACGCAGCGATTCCAACCTCTGTTCCGCTGTTTTCCACGCTCGCGCAGCCGCCGCAGCACGTCATTAGCACTGATCCCAAGGTGTTGGCGGCCACGGGTGCAGCAAACGGCACTGACCAGACTGGAGCATCATCTTCCTCCGAGGTGGCAATGTGGACCAAAGTCGCCACGACAGCGCTCGATTGTGATTTGGACGCGATTAGAAACGCGAATCACGCTCTACGCCGTGGGAGCTAGTAGACGTATGTGCGTTGTTTTTACTTACTGCGCTTCGAGGACACGCCGTTGGCCTGGGCTGTGATTGGGTTGGAAGTGACGTTTTGAGCCATGCAGGCTGGGATACTGGAGGCCCGTGTCGACAGCATCAGCAAAAACCTATGCCTTGGACGGTCGTTAGCGTACAGAAGGGTGAATTTGCAGTGAATTTGTATTGCATGACTTGCATTTAAGTACTTAAAAGAGAAGTGCGCTAGGTATTAGACACACGAGCCCAAGCATCCCACATAGCGTGAAGGGCTGTTCGTCGCGTGGTGGCGCTTGCAGGACCGAAAGAAGTGGTCTTGCGGGGGCGAGCCTCAACGGGCTGTGTAGCGCGTATTTAGCGACCAGAGAAGGTGGTGGATCGGGTGGCTCTTACTCTTCTGCGCGTCTGCCTGAGAAGTTCCTCTCCGGAATTGTCGAAAGGGAGGGCGACGGGTGAACACAGGAGCACTAGTTCAACATGTATGCTCTCACGAGTTGTGGTTGGCTCGGCTTGGACTTGGATATCTGGGAGCAGCCTCGGGTGGAAGGGGAGGCACGATTCGGCCGCGGACGCTAGCTTGCTGCACCTGCTGTGCTCTGCTCACAACTCCCCAGGCGTGTTTTTGCCTCCGGAGCGAGGCCGTTTCGACGTGGCCCCCAGGGCAGGAATTCCCTTGGTGAATTTTGGGGCTTTTTGTTTTGGCGACACTTTTTTGAAGCCCCAAAACCCGAAGTTTCTCGTGCGTTAGCGAATTTTGAATAGGCACCTCGGGCCAAAATTCGCCCACGGTTTTTTCAAAATTCACCCCAAAATTCACCGGGCCCGCCTTTTCGACCGTGATAAGCAAACTTTAGCGCAGAAAAGTGCTCAAGGAAGTCAGCAAATAGGCCCTGGGAAGTGGGGCCGAGGGGGAAAGACAAGCGCCCTCTGCTGCCCTCAGCCCGGCTATATTCTGCCGAAAAGGTCGGGAGGGGGAGAGTTCACGCGCCTGCCGGATAGACGCGTCAAAGCTCTCGGCCTGGTCCTTTACCCTTGCCTCCGCGCCTTCTTGCCTAATTGCATTTGCTTCGCAGCACTTGCTTTTTGGCGTCTTTGCCGCGGCTGCTGCAGTACTCTTGTGCGAGCTCAGGGAGACGAATAGACATGGCCAAAGAACGGCACCCAGGCCATGTCTAGAAGCTGCCCGCCGCATAAGCCTTGACTTTTGCGGTGTCTGTGCAGAACCCACTTCCCAGAACAGGGCCAAGAGGGACAATGTCCCGGCGGACTCATCTGCAATTTGTCACGCAAAATTCACTAGAGATTCACCACGTCTCATGCTAACGCGTGTTAAAGCTCTAGGCAAAAACGTTACGTCTGGTGGCAGCGGATATTAGAAATGATTTGCTTGTCATTCTGAAAGCACGGCTGTGCTTGACACAACATCAAAAATTTGAGTTCGTCCGTTTGCTCTCCTGGGTACACAGACACGGTGTTCTGAAGCACCATTTTTGCGCGGTTGATGTCCGAATTTAATTTCTGAACTTATAGTTCGCCTAGCAGTCTTTTGCTGGGACGGAAAGGATCCTCGTCGGTCACCATCATGAACAAGAAAGACTCGACGATATTTCTGATTGCATTTTTTTTCTTCGTCGTTAGAGTATCTATACTCCCAGAGACAGAAAGGTAAGCACCACCATGCGGCGGTCCTCCCAACTCTGTGACGTGTCACATTTCCAGACGCACCGCATCAAAACGCGGCTCCCGACCTTCACAAAGCACAGTCTAGTCTGGAATCCCGCCGCGCGGCGTTGCTGTGTCAACGAGTGGCACACGAGGCAGACGGAAGGACGTGCTGGTCGAGAACAGGACTACGTAGGGTCTCAGAGTAGTTCTTCTGCTTATTCGGAGAACAACGACGCGTCGTTGGTACCACCAGCGGCAACGCCAGACACTTACAGCGGTGCCACAGGTTCTTTCGCAGAACAAGATGCACTCGGTGGTGGCGTGGAGGTACAGGCGACGGCACCACTTGTGTCACAACCTGGCCTTAGAATTTCTGTCTCGTCATCGAGCACATCATTTGCTTCCAGTTCCTCTTCGACGATTCGACTCACCGATCACCTCCAGAAGTTCACTTTTGGATCTCGCACGCAGGCACAAGCGTGGCTAGAAACCGGTCGGGTGACGAATGGAAACACGGGAGAAGTGATCTTGCGCGACTGTCGAATACTGTCTGAAGTCGGAATACGAGGGGCGAAAACTTCAGGATCTTCTGGACGAGAATTCCACCGAAAAACTTCCACGTCCAACCTTTTCGTCGACGGGCGTCCGCTGGAATTCGAGACTTACCGTTTCTTTCGTGGCCCGTTCTTGAACTTGCCGCGGTGTGGTGGTGATGAAGCTTTCTTCCGCGAGCACCAGAACACCGAACTTGGCAGGAAATGCAAGCGGTTGAAGGTGTTTGGCATGGATTTATTGCAGGCAGCGCCAAACAAACTGCATACGGGGCTGCTGGTGCTCACGAATGATCCTGGAACGAAGCGGGACATTTTGGAAGGAGGAGTCGAAATTTGTTTTGCTGGTAACTCGATGATGTCAGAAGTTGAAATCGAAAGAATCGAAAAGATATACAAGTGCCGGAGATTATCGGACGTCAGACTTGCAGTGTCAAACGAACACGATCACCAGCATAATTCGGCGACTGTAGCAGGGCGGCGTAATGACGAACATCTTTATCTGAAGCCGCAGCTGCTCACTCAAGAAGGGCGTTGCGCTCTTGCGTTTTCATCTTCTAGCACAGTGTGCAAGCAATCTACCTTGCGTGGTCACAATCGAACGAATTCTGCACTTCAACCTCATACCTTTGGACGCCTAAACTTCTTTCATCTTGAGCATGCACGGGCCTGGCTGCAAGACTATTTCTTTCTTTCCGCAGTGGTCTATCGACTGGGAAGGCGAAGCCTTGAAGAGATGACGCCCGGCGAGAGGAAGCGGACCTTTATTTGATTTGATTGGTTTGGAAATCAGGAAAGCTAGTGGCCGCAGGACCGAGCAATTTAAGAGAATGCAAATTAGACGCAATTAACCGAAGGACATGAACAAGAACGAAGCGGCACAGTGTGCTGCTTGATCGCATCACGCTTCGCCAAGCAAAAAATGATGCAGATCAATAAATGAAAACCAAAGAAGAAGTAGCCAGCCACAGCGAGCGGCACCACCGTTCAGCTCCAGCACGACCAGCAGACCATCATGATATAATCAAGTGATACTTGAGTAGCTGCGCCGCTGGCTTTGCTTTTGCTCTTGTTGTGGTCTTGAACCTGCGCGCCGATGTACACGTAATTTTGAACTATAGCAAAAACAGTAGCAATACTATCATATCACAATGATCTGAAGAAGTGATATTTCTATTTGTCGACTGCAGTGGAGCAGAATAGCTCTCTGCGGCCTTCTATTATTTTAGTCTGGAAGTGAGCGCCAATGAATGACGACATTGATTGACAACGAGGGATGTCGAGCGCGAGAGGAAAATACGTTTAGTGACATCTTGATCTTGGCGTCGCGAGTGATCGGACGGAGCGTCTTTGTAACAGGATTTTTGCTGTCCGAGGAGAGTTGTTCTACCTAATATTCATGTACCCCGTCAGGTTTATTTCTATGATTAAAATTGACTTCACTTTGGAAATTGATGTCTATGATTGACGGCTGATGTAGTTGACATTTGATGACAGGTAGATCAATCTCGACGGGGAGAAATGTTCGTGCATTGCGTGTTGTATTCGCTTGCGCGTTCGTCTTCACCTTGACTTTTATTCATTTCGATGTACGAACCGTAGCGAGCAAGAGTATCGATGTTCGAATGTGCTGAGACATTGTTGATTTCGCTCTGCGGAACTTCTTAAGCGGCACGTGCAACACTTACTCGTTCGCGGCCTTGTTCGGACGCGAGCACACAACTGAGATTGTTCGGCGCAATACTGTTATTGATTTGTTTTCAGCTCGTAAGTCTTGTGGAACGGCCGGCAGCTGCACACGAAGGTGTTCGAGTTCGTGTGAAAGTTTAAAGGGACCGTGGAGAACTTGCAGTCTCAACGTTTCCAAAAACCCTCAACCGACCGTAGGAGTGGGAGTAGGAGTATTACTTGACCAGGCTCTGCAGAGCCTTTTCTTTGGCGGGCGTAGTAGATTCTGCAAGTTTATCTACGACAATCTCTTTTCGGGATTTGGCTTTTTTCTTTTTGTCAACTGAAAATCAAAATGGTTAAGGTCCAGGATTACTTGTGTAAGTTCTTTTACGACCTCGGAGCAAAGGCCTGGGCCGCCAACGAAACCGGGGAGTTTGTCGACGGAAGCCATGATAGCAACTTCTGGACGATAAAACAGGACGGCGCTCTTGCATCCCTTAAAGGAGAAGGGGACCCGAGCAAGACTTGTTCCTACCACGAGGATCCGAGAGTTCCATGGGATGATCCGCAAGGGGCGCCTCATCAAAGAGCTTGCAACTTTGTCAAGGATGACATCATTAGGGAATGCAACAAGCGACTTGGTGGACTCATTCACGAATGGTATTTTATGCGGGGCGCACGTAACGACATGCACCAGGGGAGGTTGTTGAACCTCCTGCATCCGCTTCCTATGATTCAGTGAGCCTGACGAGTGCTACTGCCTCAGCGTCAACGACTTCTACTTACTTTCTAATCGTCTTGAAGTCTTAATATGTGTAGAAAGTATCATAAAAATAAATGATTGCATGCACTGAATTCGCGAAGATGTACATGAACAACAACACCTGTGCACTTATTTTGTCTGTGCGATTTTTCTTTTTTCATCACGCAAAAAATGAAAACAGCCACCACTTTGTATGCTGGCGGAAATTACGTTTTTGAGCGTGAGAAAATGAAAAAGCAGGTTTTCGCACTCTCACAAGCGGCTGCTTGATTCTGTCCACTAGGGTTTCAAAAAGAAATTGCACTAGGCCCGGTAACGCAAAACAAGTGGTGCTCTTTCGCGAAAAAATCTCTTGGCGATGAATTTCGGAGGTCAAAAAAACAAAGGGGCTTATCCACAGGCCCACCGCGTGAGCATTATATATATATTTTTGCCGACATCTGTTCAGCTTCAGATGTCGGCAAAAATAAAAATAATGCCTCCCCCTCGCGAAAGCGGCCATGCCATTCGGCAGTTCGTACTTTGGCGAGCTCTAATTCACTAGAGCAACGTAGTCGGTGAGCTCTAATTTACTAGAGCAAAGGCCCAACGACAACGTGGGAGCATGCCTAGCTAGCAGCCGCAACACCATCGACCGTGCGGCAGCGGGTTGTCCCGCTCCTTGCGGCCGCAAGCTTTTCTTTTACGACGGATGTCTTGTTGATTTTGTTCGCCTGAAACAACAGCTTAGAGCGTGGCCCGAAGCGGGCTGCAGTGTTGGACCGCGAACCCTGAGTCGCGCCTCAAAAGTGGCGTCCGCGAGGGCCGCGCTCTCATCCTCTAACCAGACAGCCAAGGGCTGCGTTGCATCCTTCGTGCGTGTGCGGTTTGCGCGCACCACTTCCTGTGCACTGCAGTCGTCACCACCCCGCCCTTTCATTGGTCGTTCCCGCGCACCACTTCCACTACCTTTCATTGGTCGTGCTGCTCCTGATTGATTGCAGTCGTATGCATGACAACCGAAACTACGACGGCAGGCGGTTAAGCCCCCCCCCCCCGCCCACGACTTTTCGCCGTAGTTCTCCAGGGCGCTTGTCGTTTTATATATTGTCGCTTGTCTTGTAGATACTTGTACTCGGCTGAACCTGCTGAAGGAATGCAGCGGGCGAGCATCTGAACTCTAAATAAAGAGGGGACAAAATATCGCTGTAGATTTTGATTATAATCTTGATGAACAGATTCATTCAGTTTCAGATTGATGTAGAGTGTTTGCAAAACAAGCCATAATCCCCCATCCACACATTGCGCTCGCGTGAAAAGCAAAACGGCAGCATTGTGTGCCACTCTTGGTAAACTCGGCTCGCCAAGAACTGCCATCGTTGTCAGAGCATGCCCATGCGCTATCGGTAGTTCGCCGTGCTTGGGCTGCGCCACTCGTGGAACGCGAAACTGCGCAGCTTTCGTAGACAGTAAGTAAAATAATTCATCTCATGACTTCAGACGCAAACTAAAGAAGGCAAGTTAGTAAATGTTGGCACTGGCGCTGATTATCAAGTCATAGCCGGAAATCTGTCTGGCAGTGCAGGTGCAGGAAGCACGGAGTTGGATTCTACCGCCAGAGACGCTGCATTGCCTATGGAGCACCAACGGGGTGAGGAGGAGAAAGAAAGCGGTGACGTTCTGTTGACATTTACCCCGCACAATGAACCAGTAAAAGCGGACGCTGCGGGTGCGGACATTTTTCTGATATGTTCAAACTATTCGCCGACAATATCCATAACCATATGCGTAGCTGTGCTGGATAGTTTGTAGTAATACAAAGTTCTTTTATATGTAAAAAGATGTCTCAGTGTGTGAAGCTGAAGACTCACTATCAATCAAAAAACGAATGATCCTTGGCAATGTATGTTGTTTCTTTTATTGATTTTGTAATCAATAATGCACCATATTCCCACCGAGACACTAAGTACTGTTTTTTCAGGTGATAGTTCCACATCCGTCGGCGCAGCGGCAGCTGGCGCGGAACAAGCAGACCATCTACCACTCGCCGCTCCGAATCCCGCCAACGCTTCCGCACCACAGTTTACTGCAGACGTTGCAGTAACTGTTATCAGACAGCGACCTGGGAGCATCTTCGGTGCAAAAGACGCCGGCAATCTGACAGTGAATAATGCTGCCACGGTTTCATTTGTCGCTGAGTATCAACAAGCGCAAAGGCCCCTACTTGCCCATTTGGATCAATCACCTGGTTCTAGTAGTGACCAAGAATTTGTTATGCTGCGCAGAAGGTTTGCGTTTGAGTTTGGATTTGATATATTACCTTGTGATCGTTGGTCTTGGCGCTGTTCCTCGCGCCAATGCCCCAGAAAATAAATACATGATGTTGAAGGAGAAGATAGCATGAAAACTTCACTAAGTTTTTCGTATAGCAATCGGGAATAATATAATTTTTAGATACAGTACTAACTTCTACTTGTTCATCTTCATGATGAGGGGATAAAGAAAATCGTCAATGTTACCTCACTGAGCAGGTCGTCAGCTACAGGGGCTACGGCTAGCATGATTAATTGTCGTTTATCTAGTTCACTTTCGAAAGTAGATTTTGACCGAGATCCAAATCGCAATAAGGAAAATTTGCCCAGGATGCCGAGGACGAGTCGCAGCAATTGCTCCTTAGCACCCCCGCGTCCTCCAATTTCACAAATACGCACATTCGCCCGGACCTGATTCTAGCGGAGCGGCCGGTAGAACAAGAAGAAGGAGCTGGGGACGCGAATCATATAGCTGTGGAGATAGAGAAGACCAGGCATAAAAGGTACTGCGGTGATTTACATGTAGTGAGGTGGCGACGCTTCTAGTCGGACATTTTTCTTGATTTGAATACAGCAGAATGATCTGTAAATAAATTCCTAAGCCAATAGCTCGAGCATTTTTCATGTACATAAATAAAAGCTACACCTAAATATTGGTTCCGAGCATTTAATTTTACGCCGGTCTGGCTTCTGGCTTTTCCGGCCTCGAATCGAGAGAGGGCTCCATCGAAAACCGCACACAAAAACGAAAAAGGTATCCGGCTGCACCCTTTCGAGGCGCCCGCCGCCTGCGGTTCTGGCCGATTGGGGTGCCCAAAGAAGCACCCACACAAATCGCACGCAAAAGAAAGACAGCAAAGCGGCTGCCGTGCGGTATGGCTGTAATTTTTGGCCAGTTTGGGCGACCTCCACAGCGGCCGGCTCTTCGCCGGCTAGCTAGGCCTTTCCTTACCCGCGAAGGCTATAATTCCCGTAAGAAAGTAAAACGAAAATAAAAACGCATGCCTTTCAAAGTCCTGAAGCTGGCCCGCATGGTTATGGTATGGGGGCGCTTTTCTACCCGTTCTGTGACCCCTTGGGCCGCGCCTAAGACGGGCCCGTGCTCTCGGGATTAGCATCCGGGAGCACGCCAGCAAAGCTCGCAAATTTTTTGGCCGTAAGAGAGCGGGCGGGCCCAAAGAAAGAGAGCGGAACGCAGCAAAAGCAGCGCCCATGCCGATTGCCGCCTCCGCGTAGTCAGGCTCCGGCCACTTTCCGGCGGTGTTCTCGGCGTCTGTGCTGAAGTCAAAAGAGAAGCAGCAAAGTTGAGCCTCCGCGCAGCAAGCATGCTATGCAGCCGGTATTATTTGGCCACCCACACTTTGGGTTGCTTTCTTACTCTTGGTCATGTTCGTTGCGCGCCGGCTCGTCGGCCCGACGGGGGCAGAAAACCAGAAACAAAACGCCAACCGCGTCAATACCTCGCTCGTCCCGCGCCAGCGGGAGGCTCTACTTGGCGCGTAGACTCTACGCGATCCCCGATCCCCAATCCCCCATCCCCCAAAAATAAACATCCCCAATCCTCTCTAAGAGAGGATTGGGGATGAGCCACGTGTGTCGACTTCTTGGCTGTGGAACAAGTCTGAAGGAAAGCGCGACCATTCCGCTACATCGAGAACGAAAGTAATAAATGCCAGAGCATGTTGTTGTAGTTGATGGGAAAAAGGGGAGTACGAGACGGCTCTCAATTTGATAAACACTAGCGAGGCTGTGGCTCGGACAGGCCGGGCCTGGCGAGGCCGGCCGGGCCTACTGCATTCTGCTGGCCGCCCCCCGCCACAGCTTCCTCCTGTTTAGTTTCCGCCGGCCGCTTCGAAGTCCGCCGAGGTTTTCGGGGTTTCTCCGTGTGCCGGCCCCTGCCCTAGCCCTTGTGGTCTGATGGCCGGGGTCAGCCGGGGACGGGCTCTTGAGAGTCCTGTGAAGATCAACGATGGCGATGACTCAGTTTTTGTTTTACAGCGCATGCGCATTAAAAGCCTTAGCCTTTCTCTGCGCAAGAAATTGCAGGCGTTGGGCCGCGCGACCCCCTCCGTTTTCTGGTCTCGTTTTACAACCAAAAACCGAACAGAGGCAGGAGCCATGTATCGGCCGGGGGGTTGGCGCGTGCTCCTTCCGTCGAAGCTCGGCCGGATGCAGTCGCCAGCTACTTATATATGAGGTGCCATTCAATATCAATCCGCACTGTGGCGGATACAGAATGGGGGGGCTTGTTGGTCGCGCTATACTAGCTTCGGGGCAGCGTTGTGCATAGGTGAGTGCGTGCATGTGTGGGGTCGAGGGACCCTCTGCGTCAGGCCTGAAAAACACGGTTGTTGGGAAAGCCGTGGCCGCGGGGCTGGCCGGTCCGCCTAGCACCGACCGAAGCACGCTGCTTCTGGGTGTGTGTTTCCGCGCCTCCCGAACGACGTCGACCCTTACGGGAGCGCGAGCTCTCTAAAGGGTTTCGAGGACGCACCCAATTCCGAATAGGTTTAGCCTGATCCCTTTGGTGTTCGCGCTTGAAGGAAGCAGCCGCGCCGCTCGCGTCATTAGTAACAAGTTGGCTAGCCGCCGTAAAATGTGTGTATTTGTCTTCTCCGGGCCCCTGGAGGAGGGAGGGGCGCGTAGCAGTTCGCGCACGGGCGCGCTGCCAGCATCGCCGGCATTGCAAGACCTGTCCGTGTCCGCGTCGATCCATAGACGCGACCGATTGATGGGGGCCGAAATGTGTTACCAAATGAAGCCAACATTGGTGCGCGATTATAAATCGATTAGCTTCTCCTGCTCAAGCAAATTGAAGTCGATGGAAGATGAATAAGAATACTAGTAGAATTTGTCTTATGATAATGGTCGAAGTGGTGGATTATTTGAATGTAGTGGAGATTGTTATTTTACATAAATACTCTATCTTATCCACAGCACGCCGCAAAAACAACTTCCTGCAACCGCGCAGAATTTCACCAACTCGGGAAGTCCCCTCCAGGTTCCCGTCCCGGGTGTGTTGGACAAAACTGCAAACAAGTTACTTGAGGACTTCAAGGCCTCTTCCTCTGGATCTGAGGCGGCCGTGCAGAAGAACGAAGAAGCAATAGCACAAGACAAGTTGACCGACTTCAATCCGAATCCACAGGAAGAAGGCAACAAGTACAAGGAATTCAGCAAAACGTCCAACGGGAATTGCTTGGACTACTTGACAAAGCGCGTTTTCGGTGCCGAAGCCCATCGAAAAACGAAAGCGGCGATCTTGCAAGCGAAGAAATCCTTTGACTTTGAAATCGATGTGAACTACTTTTTCAACTACAAGATTGATGCGGACTGGACCTTGAATAGAAGCGTTCCCATCCGCATCCCATCTTCATCTCCTGAGTCAGCAGGAAAAGGAGCAGGTGCTTCTGGTCAGCCAGTTTCCACTGCAGATGGACCGTCTCCAGCACCAGTGGCGTCTCCAACACCAGCGGAGGTGCCTGCAAACGGAGACGGCGCAACAACGGCACCGGCAGCGGTTCCGGTACCAGACGCAAGTGCCGGCTCCGCCGCGGTGGTGCATTTGACAACGGAAGGCCCTACACAGGGTAAAATGAGGCTCAAGCTGTATGCGAAGAAAAGCTTAATTCATGATGAGTACAAGGCAAAGTCGATGAAGACGAGAAACTTAGTTGACGGGACCGAGCCCGCGGAAACCGAAAAGTATACCAAAGAGAAAATTCAAGAACTTTTCTCCAAGTATCTCGTGGCGCCCGATTCGACTTTCGAACTTCACACACCACGTCCTCAAGAAACGTTTTCTGAAGACCCGAGGTCATTTCTGTCCTCTGCTTGAGCTTTTTATACTTCTTCTATAACCCATGCAAGCAACTGGAAGTGGAACTGCCTGATCACCCACCTGTCAATGGGGAGGCTTGCAGTATAGGAGCTATTGTATAATATTAATCTCACGATTATCCTTATCGGGTGTACGTATAGCAAATAATGCGTGGAGGTGGACCGTGTTGCCTGCTAGGTTACACCGAATTTCCCTGACTCCTTGTGAATGATGACAATTGAAGATACTTCTCAGTACTCGAATTTGAATTTCGTGTGTATTCATGCGGTGTTGATGACAAGTACAAGTTCGAGTTCTCTCCGATGCCCCCAGCTCTTGTTTTTGGTTCGTGGAAAAAACGGAGGATTGGCGTGCCACCGAGCGCATAACGGCCTGCGTTGGCAGTTCTGGGCCAGAAACTGCTTCCTAGGAGATAGACGATCTGTCGGTAGAAGGGTATTTGAGGCAGAGCAGAGTGGAAAAGTGTCCGTCACTTCAACGACAATGACAATGATCGGCGAAAGTGTGACCGACGGATGTTTATGTTACAGTCTTTTTGACTTGTTAGATCGCACGTCGCGAAGATAGCAGTGAAAACAATTCAGCACCATCGCGAGCTTAAGTCGAGCTTTGGTGTCACGGCTTCTGATCATGGCAGTGACCACTTATCCAGGACGAACGCAAATCAATGCGGCGAGTCGTACATGATTCGAGGAAACACTGCGTAAGGTAGCTGAGGCGACGAATCTAATACTAGCAATGTGAAGATGTGTGATTACGATATGCATAGGCATAGCCATAGGTTCGTTTTGTTTTCAGGTGCAGTAGAAGTCTTAGTGTTAGTGCCGTCCTACTACCACGCACTAGAATGCCATCTGTCGACCAGGGAGAGCGCTCCTGGTCCTCGTCTTCGGCGACAAGTTCGCCCGCACGCGTGGGCCGCGAGAAGTGCTCTAGTACCTCACTCTGTGTACCTTCGCCGGATGCGTCTCGACCTGGTCCTACCGTGGAGCCGGGCAGGAAGAGGACTGAAGATGAGCTCTTGCTCGAATTGGGACGCATGCATGGCGCTGCGGTATGACCAGCAACATATTTTTTGCATGTTGTAGTTGTTGTCTCTTGGTCAATCTTTTCTGCGGCCCTCTTGTTTGCTTGCGTTTTTCGCGTTGGTTTCCCGCCCTGAACATTTTAGAAGTAGGTCAATGATCGTTGCCTGGACCACATGGCCTGTTGCACGTGTACTTAATGTAAGTAACAACTGTGGGTAGAGGAAGAGGTAGCGTAGTTTTTTTAAAATATCACCTGAGTACCAGCTCAAGAAAAAGTCTTTTTAGGCAAACATACTCTTTTCAGTCTACCAACCCATCGCCATCAACCTCGGAGGACAACGAGCTGAAGACAATAGCAGATGTCGAAAAGGTTTGTGCGTCGACGGAAAATGTTGATGAAGATGAAATCGAAAGAGATATGAAAAGGGGACATGCTCACGCTCATCCAGGAGGTTCCCGCCCAAATCACGAACATTCTTCTCAACACCCGGCTCCACCCCCGCCGCACGACTATCAATACGAGTACGACGCCGAAGAGTACTACACCGAGGACGGGCTGAGCGTGAAGGCCTCACCCCCACGACCTCCAATCCGCGGCGGTCGTCCTACCCCGGTGATCACGTCGCGCAGCAAAGTGATTACCAGCCCGAGCAACGCCGAGGTTTGGTACAACACAGTTCGGGAGCGACAGGAAGCCGATTTGGCCAACGCGCTCCGTTCCAACGGCTGGCTGGTAGAGGAACTGAAGCGGAAAACCGACCTGCTAGACGCGGCTAGACAAGAGCAGGAAGCCGAAGCCCAGCGGTGGCGCAACGAGCGCGCCGAGCTGGAGCGCGACGCAGCGCAGAAGGTAGAGGCCTTAGAAGGCGTGCTGGAAGATTTGCGGGCCCAGTTCGCCAACACAAAATTACAACTTGAGCACCAGGCCGAGGCGAAACGTCGGGTGTGCGAGGCGCAGTGCGAGACCATGCGCGAGGAGGTGGCGGAGAAAACTGGCGATATGAAAAAGCAGGATGAGCAGATACAACATCTCCGACAGCAAATCTGCAATCTGTGCCGCAGTCTGCAGGACAACCGCGACGCGACGCAGAAAGCGCTTCTGTCAGCGAAGGACGCAGTCGTGAGTGCTAGCAAAAAAGCGCAAGATAACTACCGGGAATGGAAGAGCCAACAGAAAACGCAGTGGCCTTTGGACAAATTGTACTTCTCGCGACTGCAGGACGCGCTGCACACCATCGAGCTGAGGTGCACACGGTTGCTCGTCGATACGGAGAAAAGGTTCGGGTTTTTGCAAGAGGACGAAACTCGCTCTGCAGGAGGAGGTGGCCACGCTGCCGCAAAGAACGTGCGGTCTTCTGGTAGCAATGTTGTGAATGCAGGAAGGTGTGGGCCCACCGGTTCATCTTCATCAGCTAGTTCATCATCAGTCCGCCCAAGAAGTACAATAGCAGTACCACAGTCCACCGCAACTACCTCAGTTTCCCGCAGCAGCTTCACGCCGGGTCATCGGTCGTCGAGTTGTCAGTCGCCAGGTCGTGTCGCTGCTCCACAGAAAACGAGAACGATGGCAGCCGCACCGCAGCTGAACAAAGTCAAAAATAAGTGTTTGAATTTGTTTTTGGACGATTCGGTTTTGTCCGAAACGGCCGCGGAAACGTACCTGAACAAGATTGTGGAGAGGAGCAAACAAGAAGATTCGGAGGGGGTTGGTGGCGGTGGCCGTGGTGGGGTCGGGGGACGAGTGGTAAAGACAAGTTACAATCCGAATCGGTACAACACGTAGTGACGACCACACGATGCGTTTTGTATCTACTTTGAGGATAACCGAGGAACGCGACAAGAACACGCTTGTCCAAATTGGTTCTGGACTGGACGTGAGTCGTTTCCTTGTCGAGGGAGCGCACAGATTCAAAGAATACAATTAGAGCATACGAATAAGAAAAAAGACGTCTTTAGCGACGCCCTGCTCACCGGTGTCGACACGCTAGTAGTCAGGTTTCTTCGCGAAAATCCTCCCAAGTGAGTTTAAGTAAGGCAAGCAGTTGGTTTTGATAGTTTAGGACTGAGATCATGTCGCTGCCAAATAATAGAAGTTGCCGGAAATCAAATAAAAACGATGTCAAGATCGAAGTCATGTTCATGATGTGCAGCGCAGGTGTCGTCTATCGGCGGCACGAAGATCGTAGAAAAGTCAGCCAAGTGATTTTGAACAGTGAGGCACTCAGATCTGCGTTCAAATGTGCAACATGCAATCTAGATCCCAAATAGAATAAAACGGGCTTAATAATCGTCGCTCCGTCACGATCACGTGCCTTACCAGAGCACGGCGGTTCAGAATTTGCAAATAGTGGATCAGCAGATCGCGGCTCAGAATTCATGTGGTAGCTCTCGAACCATTACTGGAAAATTCAAATTGTTGACTACGACCAAACTACTTCTCTCGATTGACTTTCTTAGTTCGCAATTGAAGCTATGACCATCATCATTCTCACCACCCCAGCATAGAACATACCGGAAACGAATAGCGTTCTAACACACTAGCGTCTTCAATAGAGCCTATCCGTATTTTAACCTCCCGCACAGCGTTTCTCGCAAAGCCCAGAAGCAATCAAAATGAAGGTGAAGATGAAGAAGAAGGTTCTGGTGAAAAAGAAAAAAGGTTCGCTCAAGAAGCAGGCCGCTCCTGCTGCTCAAGAGACTGTCGCGCCTTCCAAGACTACTGCTACCAAGACTAGGCAGGTTGCGGACATTGCACCCGTCCACTTAATACAAGAAGAGAAACAAGTGGCAGCAGATGAAAATGGTGCAAGCGAAGATGCTGACATGGAAAGCGATGAGGAAGGTGCGGCATCTACTGGAGACAACGATGACATCGACGAAATGGATGCTGATGATGTCGTTCCGGTTGAGCAGAAAAACCAGCAGAAAGGCGGTTCTTCGTCCTCCACAGGCTCTTCTTCAAAAGTAGATTCTAATGAATCCGAAAACGCAAAGCAAGACATCGAAAACGCAACTTTTGCCTCGCTCGGCGTGTGTCCGGAACTTTGTCAGGCGGTCGAGGTTCTCGGATGGAAGCAGCCCACGGAAATCCAGCGTGTCAGTATTCCCCCGGCACTGGAGGGCAGGGACATTATCGCGCTGGCGGAAACGGGAAGTGGGAAGACCGGCGCGTTCGCACTGCCGATCGTGCAGGCATTGCTGGACAAACCACAGCGGTTTTTCTGTGTGGCGCTGAGTCCGACGCGAGAACTGTGCGTGCAAATCGGGGAACAGTTCAAGGCACTCGGTGCAGCGATCTCATTGCAGGTATGCGTGCTGTTGATGAAGATACAAAATGCGGCTGCTTTTTAATTTTCTGAATCATTCCGTACGGTTCTCGTTTTTCAGTAAATTATGCAAGAAACGAAAATGTTCATCCGATAAAAAATCGATTTTCAATATGACACCTTCATCAGGTTTGCGTAATTCTCGGTGGCGTCGACATGGTGACGCAAGCTCAGCAGCTGGCCCAGCGGCCGCATGTTGTGGTCGCGAGTCCGGGTCGGCTTGTGGACCACTTGGAGAACACAAAGGGGTTTCACCTCCGCACGCTCCAGTACTTGGTCATGGACGAGGCGGATCGGCTCTTGTCCGAAGATTTCGAAGAAGCGCTGGACAAGATTTCGCTGGTCGCCAACCCGAAGGAGCGGAAGACCTACCTTTTCTCCGCCACCATGACCAGCAAGGTGGCCAAGCTGCAGCGGGCGTGCCTGAAGAAGCCGGTCAAGTTGGAGGTCTCGTCAAAGTACGGCACGGCCAAGGGGTTGATTCAGAACTATCTTTTCCAGCCGCTGAAGTACAAAGCGGCGTGGTTTGTGGCGCTGGTGAACCACTTTAGCAACTACTCCATGATGGTGTTTTCCGACACTTGCAAGGAAACGCACCGCATGGCCTCCATTCTGCGGGAGCTCGGCTTCTCAGCTGTGGCCCTGCACGGACAGATGCCACAGGTTCAACGACTCGGGGCACTGAACCAATTCAAGAGCGGGCAAAAAAAGATCTTGGTATAATACTTAAACTTTTTTTTTGAATCTTGTTGCGCGAAATTAGAATTTATTGCATGGCACACTTTCTGAAGTTGAGTACTATCTCTGTCTTCCATGATCGTCCTGCTTGTGACAAATAAATCCAAAAAACATCACTTACCAGATCGCTACGGACGTTGCTTCCCGAGGTCTGGACATTCCGTCGGTGGATGTCGTCATAAACCTGGACATTCCGAAGAACAGCAAGGACTACGTGCACCGCGTTGGTCGAACAGCGCGCGCCGGGCGGGCGGGCCGCGCCATTACTTTCGTTACACAGTACGACGTCGAGGGCTTCCAGAAAATCGAAAACTCGTTGGGCAAAAAACTCCCGGAGTTGCAGGACGTCCGGGAGGAACAGGCTTTGGCTTTTCACGACCGAGTGCAGGCGGCCTGTCGCAAAGTCGACCTCGCGGAACGCGAAGAGCGTGAGGAGGGCGGGGGTAAGGGGAAAAAGAAAATGCTGCAGCATTATTCCTCCAAGAAGCACCGGGGAAAAAGGAAGTGAACTTGTTGTTTCCATCGAAAAGATGCTCCGCACTCTCTGGATCTTCTCTTGTTGCGACGCGACTTTCTGAAACACTGCATTTTAGAACGACAAAACTAACGAATTCAATTATAATGCGAAAATCCACTCGCACTCGCGGCACGGCGACACGCGGATCAGCCGGTTCTTGGTCGACACGTGCATCGATTCGTGCTGATGTTCAGTGGGCGACGGATTGTTCTCAATCCACAATAGTTGTCGTTGCTTTTATAGGTTTTCTGTTCATCATATGTTCTTTACTGCTTTCGAATGCGACAGCGAAACATCGATCGCGGTGATGATTTTTGCTTGGTACCTAGCCAATTTCTGATTTACAGCTAGAGTCGCTCTTTTGGATATTTGGTGTGTGTTAAGTGGAATCCCGTATTTGGTATTGGTCAGATATCTGTCTTTTTGATGATTTCGTACGGTTCTTGTTGATTGCGCTTGTAAATAATTGACGTTTTTGGCAAAACTGCAAGAAACGCGTTCAAGATGCCTCGGGAAACGGCTTCACGGTCACACAGACTGCGTGATCATGAAGATGTCTACTACGACGAGGAGAGCTTCTCGCGGAAAAGAGAACATCTGCTGAACAGGAACGCAAGCCACCACGGTCACACTATTGATTCCCGTGACAGAAGAAGAAAGAACTACGCGACCGAGGGAGAATTCTTGCAGGACGAACATGGAGACACCTATAACTACAGCACCAAGGAAAACTCCAGAGGCGGGCACCATCAAAGCCGAAGCGGGGGCAATAGGACAACAGCAAGAACGCGGCAAGACAGGGTTCAGGGCGAGTGCGACGCCAGTCTGCAGCGGATGTGTCAGTATCTGGAGCAATCCGACGAGATGAAAAACGCGATTTTGCATCGCATGGCAACCAGCTCCGAGAAAATGGAGCGGATCGCCCGCAACAACGAATACATCAACGCCGATATCGACCGGGGAGACGCGTTGTTGGACCAAATGTCCGGCAACAAGTGCAGCCAGGCGCTGGGCGACCTTGCGGACCGGCTGGATCCGAAGAGCGCCATGTGGAAGAGCATGGTTCCAGGTGGTGCCGGTTCCAGCGGGTTTCTCCCTCCATCTGTCAGCGGCTTGTTCGGAGACGGTGCGGCAAAGAATTGTTCCGATCGCAATCTCCCCTCGACGGGGTCAACTACACCGGAGAGGCCAGGTGGCGTTTCTGCATCGAGCAGCAACAGCAGCGGGAAAAAATCCAGAAAGGGCTTGGGGACGATCGAGGAACAAGCGGCTCATAGAGCAGGCGGTGCAAGCGGGGGTACAGCTGCGATAGACGTCGGCTCGGAAGAACAGCACGGATTAGACCGTGAAAAGTTCGTGTACGGAGACACGTTTAAGATCTACTCCGTCGTGCATCCCTCCCGAAGAACCGCAGGGACGAAGCACAAAGCAGCTGCCAAAGTAGAAGCAGATCATAACAAGACGAGTGATCAAGACGTCATCGATTGCGACTTTCAGACGACGCCCATTCTGCACCAGGGCTGGCTGCAGAAACGCGGCCGCTATTTCTGGAATGGAATGAAACCTCGGTACGCCGTGCTGGCCGGCCACACATTGGCCTACGCACCGAGCCCTGGCGATTTGATTCGGCGCCAATTTTCCGGAAAGATCGTACTCGAACCCGGGTCGGAAGTAAAGGCAACTACACCCTCATCGTCGGCCACTTCCAGTAAGGAAAAGAGTGGAGCTGGTACAAACGGAAACCAGGCCGCCGACGATATGGAGAAGCCTAGCACTTCAACCGCCTCGTCGACCACGTTCAGCATTACGGGGTGGGATTATTTCGAGTTTGAGCCCGACCTCGACCTGCAAGGGACAACATCGGTGACAGGTGCTACAACAGACGCCGCGACAGGCGAAAAGTCTTCCTCGTCAAGTGCAGCGGATAGTCGGTCGAAAAAGCGAATCAAGCCGAAGTGGCGAACTTGGTTGTTTGAGGCAGAGAATCCAGATTCTTGCCGCATTTGGATGCAATTGCTGTCTCGAGCCGCGTCAGGTCACTACAGCACGGCACTGGTGCCGGGAAAAGGTAAGTATTGTTTTCGTCCCCTCATTATCATTTTGACGTGCCGGCGCCGCGCGCCTTTCGAGGTTGATGTAAGCGCTGCGTCACGCCTTATTCTTCCACTCAGTTACTGACTCCTCGTCCAATGGCCATAATGAAAATGAAATTGCATTGCAGGCATGACCGCTGTTACGGAGGCGCGGCTGCAGAGAGCAGAACTTACCGATCGGGAGCGTCGTGCGCTGCTGCAGGGTTACGATGGCGCAACTGGGGCAAACCAGGGGGCAAGCACGAGCTCCTGCACACGCAAATCAAAGGAGGACAACAGGTGGGATCGTTTGGAAGCTCTCCTCGACGGGCTACACTGCGGTGCGCAGATCATCGGCCAGGAAGCGAGGAAGCAGTCCCACCTGATCAAAAACATGAATGCCAACTTATCACATTCCGATCGCAGGCTGGCCGACCAACAGGCCCGCATGAAGGACATTATGCGGAAATGATTATGTGAATGTGAAGCAAAGGCTGGAGGTCCTGGTGCTGTTGCAGTTGATCTCACGCAAGTGCTTGACGGGCGAACCGAAGAGGCTGCAATGGTCCAGGTTGGGTTTATGCTCACACTAGCACGTCGCAACTTTGTACTGAGTAATTGCAGTGTTTAATTTGAATGAGTCTTGGCGTTGCAGTGATGCTACGACTGCTAGGTCTACTTCTCCGAAGACGTGAGAATGAAAAACAATACAAAAAAAGAATGTGTGCGCGCGGAGATGAATTCTGAGCGGGATGCTCCGCAATTGCTTGGCAGGAAAAGATTTTGCTGTTCACTTCTAGTAAAAATCAATGTCAATGTGGTACCGGTGGATGTGCAAACTTTATGTCACCAAGGAAGCAGAACAAGAGAGGCGGTCTTTGCGACACAGAAACGACCACGAGTTCAGTCTGCTTCTGTTTGCGTGAAGGTCTTTACTACACAAGCACAGCTGCTGACTTTTGCGCAATCTCTTTACCAGTACTACTCTACAAAACTAGGCTACGGGAGGAACAAATTGTACATGTGCAATGATGAAATTTCAAAACAAATGTAATGCTTAAAAACTGGACCGGCACGCTCACACACTCATTAGAAATGAACATGATGGATTGAGCTCGGACAAAACGCACCCGAAACCCTTCTGCGGCGATCTGCAGCGACGTAGAACAACGGCAGTGACCAACAGAATACCGGGAGATCAATCCGTAATTGTTCGTGTCTTGTCTCCTTTCCTACTCCGCCGCAGACGTCACCACAGGGCCAAGCAGTCCGTAACTTCGCTGACGCGCAAGGCTCCATAGCATACCCGGCTTTACAACCTCAGCTCTTGCCCATGCTTCTAGACACGATCGGTGTAGATTACAAAGCCGCGCCATCTTCTTCTAGCTGCACCGGGGGAACTTCCTCAAGTTGTTCCCTTCCTAGGCTTGCAGACATTCTCGCAAACAAGGAAAAAGAAGCTCACTCTCCAGCTTGTCCTGGAGATATAATTTCCGTCCGAACCAAATTCCGCTGCGTCAAACCCGAGCAAGTGCTGGCGTAAAAATACCGCAAGAAGAACAGAATGACCGAGCCAACCCTGGTGGACTGCCCATCGGCAAGCTGGGAGAAGGTGGACAGCAGCATATTTCAAGTCCGGGGCGCGGAGTACCTTTCAGACAAGGTCAAAACAAACAGTCTCGAAAGCCTTTACGAGTGCTACCATGTGGCATTCGTTCGGGGAAAGCACGGAAAAATCGACAAGTCAGAGATATACTCCGCTCTCGTACAGCAGGGCAAAGTTAACCTGCGAATGAGCAAAACAGGTACATGCACATCAGCTGAGAAGAGCTTCGTCTTTCAATCATGGTGCTGCTATGTTTTTCTGTACGCGTCACCAAGTTCAGGGGCATCCTGATTTTTCTCACGCAGATACGCACATTGGTATAGACCCACGCATGCATGAGCAATTTCATTCAAAACCACAGAAGCATCAGTACCCGAGTACCTCGTTGTACACGGCCAGATGCCATGCGTGGGACCCAGCTTACTCGGAGGGAACAGCAAGGACGACTTTGGGTGCTCCCTCATAGCATGGTTCAAGCTGCGAGACGGTGTCGACCTCGACTGTCCCGCTTTGTCGCTCCTGCAACGAATGCTGGAGCATGGATCGAGTCAGCGAAATGGTATAAGTAGAGTTGGTGTTGTACTCATTTGGCTGCGCACGTTAATCATGCCAAGGGCATTCGCGTTGTCATAGATTTGATATTTTTGAAAACCAAAAATATCAGGCGTGTCCTTCAAGGCAATAGGATTTTGCGAAACGTGGGAGAATCTGGGTATTCCGGACGCTGCGAAAGGCTACAACGGCAAGCCATCACTCATCGCAGATTCACTACGCTTGTGCCACGAGTACATATCTATCGTTCTGAGCTCTTGGAGATAAATTGTGGAGCCGAAGCTGAAAGCTTTTTGTGCACTTTCATGTCCTGCCTTTGAGAAAATCGTGGACTAACCTACAAAACTCCCCTCTTTGAATGATACAGTAGAAAAGTTTATTGTTCTGCTGTGCGAATTTCACAGCAAGCCTATTAATCCTAAAAACAGAAACAACGTGGCGATACTAGAGTTTGACGTGCGAAAATGGTCCTACCTTGCGAGGAATTGCCTTCATTCCGCGATGACCAACAAGGAAAAGTCAAAGCTGAACCGAATTCGCATCGGCTACCTGATGGAGGGAAAGACGCCCGAGGAGCTGCCGGAGCAGCTCCTGGGATGTTTCGTGATATCGAACATGGTATCAAATGCAAAATCCTCGTACTCGTACTAATCGCAGATATGCATGACAAATCTGGTTCCCAAGGTAAATCAGCATGACAAATTCCATTTTCCATTCTGAGAAAATTTGTCATGCGATTTATACTAGTGCGATACTTTTGCAATGCATACATGGATGTGGACGAGTTTCCCTTCATAGACGCGGGCTCACCCGTATGGCGTTCTCAAGCGTTACACTCTCAACTGTTACGTGATTTGTCATGCAGAATGACCATGAGCCGCAAGACGATCAAGCTGCTTCGCATGACAAATTATCGAACGGCTAAACAGCATCTAGATCCGTGCCAAATTTGTAATGCAAGACTTGCAAGCTTTCCCCTTTTCCCATTGCTGTTTTCGCATTATATGGGTTTGGGTTGCGTTTGTGGTTTCGGTCGGTTTAGCATTACAAATCCATGTAACAGTTGCGAATGTAACAGTTGAGAACGCCACAACCCGAAAAGCTGGACAGCGGGCGTCGCGGCAGCGGGATTTTAAAGAGCCTGTTTGGTTGACTGGGTTTTCTTTATCGATATCGTTTGCGTTCCTGTTCGGAATTCAGTGGAAAGCTTGCAGCGTGCCGCTCGTTCTAATGAACTGCGTAAGGAATAATTTTAGATGCGAATCGCACGATCGCAAAATTCGCTGCTGCGGTCACAAATGTTGACACTTGTGTTGCTCACAGCCGTCGTGGTCCCAGGTTGCCGTTATAATTTGCAGCCGTTAGACCACTCCGAGTCACAGCCAAGCATATGACCGGTAGTGTGAATACGCCAAAGAACAATCCGAGATGACACGCTGCTGTCGGAGCCGGGGGCGTGGATGACGCGCTCCCTAGAAAAATGCGAACTTTTTCAAAAATTAGTGCCTGTGGCTTCCACCAGGCGCAGGGTAGGCCAGGGGTTGATTCTTTGTTCAACGAAAAACTTGTACCGGTGGGTGCCGTCCACGGGATTACCGAAGCTCAGTTCTTCTGTGGTTCGCTGAACACGGGCGTGGTCCTCAGATTTTCGTAGAAGTACCGAAGAGCAGCAGGAGCAGCTGCAGATGGCGCTCTTGTCGTGGTTTGTAGTTGATAATAGTAACTACAACTTGGTCGCGGCGACGGTCCCGTGTAGGCAAACAACATCACTCACTGGTTCAATTTATCTCGGAGCACGACCAAAATTTCCTAGAATATGCGTTGTACCTTCGAGTTTGATCTGAACAAGCCACGCCTTCGTTAACCTTTTATGAAACGAAAGAATGTCAGCCAGTCCGGATTCGGGGACCCGGGACGATGAGGCCCTTGCTTTCATCCACAAGCAGCACGACAATCTTTTCGCAGAATGGGTGTCGCTGGAGCTCCAGAGACCAGTTTCGGACATTTGGGCACTCAAGCCAGAGGACTTCTGCACACTGGTTGGTTGTGGGGGTGGAACAGATTTTGCACGACACACCGGCGAGCAGCAGAAGACGGACATCGGGCTATCCCTGTCCTTCGCAAAGGTGGCCGAATCCCATGGCAGGTCTGTCTGCGGAATGGATCTGCTCCGCGCGCTGGACAAGTATGAAAGCAGTTGTCCACAAGTCTTCATACCACCATCCGACGCCGCAACACAAGGCACGAATGAGGAAGATGTTGTAGCAACAGAAAGTGCTAGTTGTCCTCTTGCCTCGTCGACTACCGCACCGCCGGTGCAGATGAAAAGTGGTGATGCTACGACCGAAGAACCGGAGGCGGCTACACTGAAGCGGCCGCGCTTGTCGACAGCGGAATCCTGGGACAACGAACACGATCAGTCGCGAGAGGAAGACCACATGCTAGAAGCGAGACGCACAGTGCCGTCCGTCGTGATCCCGCAAACAGAACCATTTTTGCCACCGAGTCCTCTCGAAGATCGATTCATGTTCACGCGGCGCTGTTTGGGGCTGCTCGGTGAAACAAGTTCCCTGTCTCTGATCGCGAAAGATGAAAAAAATTCTCCCGAAGTGAAAATCGCACCTGCGCCAACGCCGGTCAGCCCTTCGCGCGCAGCTAATGGGACAATTACAAACGGCTGCAATAGCAGCACTGCTACAACACCAACTGCGGCGAGCGAAACTGACCTTCCTGCTTACTCAGGAACAGGATTGCAAACAGAAAAGCAGGCAGTATCCGCGTCATTTTGTTCTGTGCAGGAGAAAGAAAACCTGGATGTTCACAAAAAGACCGATGGTTCCTCGTCAAGCAAGAAGTGCGAAATTCCGTGGTATCTCCTTTACTGCGAGGAAGAACAGCCGCAGACCCCTGCAGTCGCTGAAGGCGTTCCCGTCATCTTGGAATCCCTCCTAAACAGCCCGACGGAATTGTCTCGTTGGCGATTGCGCCGCTTTTTCCACACCATAATTTTACAGACCTGCCGTGATCGCGGTTTTGCAGTCAGCTCAAGCGACGAAACTGCTCTGCAAGATGCGCAATGGGACAGATTTCATCTTTCTGTGAAAAGTGCAGACACGACGGAGGAGCAAAAGAAGAAAGACGAAAAGAGCTGCGGCTTTGATGAAACTGAAAATCTGCGGAAATACGTTTCGCTACTGGTAAAACAGCAGGGGAACGTAAAGGCTGGAGGCGTTGGAGATGACGTTGTTGATTCCGCCACCTTCTTCGGCCAAAGAAAGTCGTTTCATTTGGGTGCGAAGCCACGCAAGAGCTGCCTGCGAGCGCCATCGCGAGCCACACTGCGGCTCGATCCAAAAAGCATAGCGGTACCCGCCATGGCACGGGCTTCATTGGCGCAACAGAAAGGCGTGAAGTTTCTTCAGGTTTTCGCAGACGACCAGGCACAGCAAAAGGAGCAAACGACGAGTCCGGCCTCGGCCACCGCAGGAGAACTTTCCGAAAACCTCGCGATTGCCGACCAAAAGGCCGCGAAACTTTTCGATTGGATAAACGAGGTTTTGATGGTCAAGGAGGCAGAGCGGGCCAGTTTCGTCACGGCACAGATTCAGCTGAAAGCAGAAAGCACTGAGAATATTCTCGTCGGGGTCGAGCCGGGAATCGGGAAGGAGGAAGGGGAGATGAATCAGGCTGGCGAACAAGAGCCGACTCCGGCAAAAGCCAGCAGCAGCAGCAGTTGCGCCAGCGAGTTGCGAACGTCCACGTCTGTTGCAATCACTTCGCAAACAGCGAAAGAAGACACGCTGCATAGGCGCAAGAGCCATTTTTCCTCGCATTTCTCAGAATACACACACAGAGTTGGCAGCTTTACCGACCTGTTGAGCGGCGAAGTTTTGTGCGACCTGGTGTTGAAATTGCTGTTTTACACGCACGACCGGCCACAGTGGACAACTGCAGTACTTCTGGACTATTTTGATGCTGTACACGGTTATTCCGCAGAAAACAGATATACCCAGCTATCGACTTCTGGCACCCGCACCAGGACCAGCGGCACATCATCCTCATCATTTTTGGCCGCTCCTTCGTCAGTAAGGCGTGGCGAGGTCCAACACCTAGACAACATGCGTCGGTTTCTGACGATAGCGCGCGAAGTTTGCCGCGTGCCGTTGGAGCTGCTTTTCTCTCTACAGGATTTTCCGTCGCGGAGTGTCCACACCGCGGCTCTGAGCAAAGTTGCCAGGTGTCTCGAAGCTCTGCGCTATCTCACGATTCCGAAAAGTTGCAGCGTCATCAAGCCGGATCCACTCCCACTTCTCAAGGATGAGAACAAAGACGCTGGTGAACGTCTTCTCGTACAAGCCACTACAACGAGTCGAGTTCTTCCAGGATCCTCATCGGACGAAAGCGTGATCGCGAAACTTTTGTTTGACAGTGGGCACCGCCTCCATGGTGGGCTGTTGGGCCATCCGCAGAGCACCTGGCGAAGCGGAAAGGGCGATCGGATGATGCACCGGCGACTCAGCACCCAATTCACTGCGGCACACGGAAATCAACACGCTCACCTGTCATCGTCTCGCGACGAGCGAAGCAGTCAACTGAAGAAATCTGGATCGATCCTGGTCCGTGGTGGAAATTCATGCTCGTTCCCATCTACGCTTTCCCCGCGCAATAGTGCAGTTGCTAGTCTTACTGGCATCGTAGCCGGTGTTGGCTGCAGCAAGCTTGACGTTGGCGGTTTGCAGCATCAAGACAATAAATCTGATGTTGACCTCGCGCAGCCACCGCATCTCTTCGGTGCCGGCACACTGCTGCGCGGGGATACGAAGTCGTGGTTCCGGAGCGAGCGCACGCGCAGCGTGTTTGTCAGCGTGAATTCGGGAGTGTTGCGGTTGTTTGAGAAGCAGGAGGACTACCAGAAATGGTGTGCGTCAACCAATCGAATCGAGGAGTTTGTAGGTATTCAGACGCCAGAAGCGAGTGCTGCGTCGAAGAAGAGAAGCGGTGCGGAGGATGTGAAAAATGCTTCAACTGCGGAAAGAAATGCAGCTGCATTTTCCTCTACGTCCGGTGAATCCACCTCTTCAGCGTCCTCGTTTGAAAAGAAATTTGTTCGGAAACACCGCGACGCTTTGAAGCAGGTGTTCGAAAAACAGTGCACCGTCGACGACTTCTTGACCCTTGGGGACGATCACGAGCACCTCAATGAGCTGGCGCAGGAGGACAAGGTGGCCGACCTTGCTGCACTGGAAGATGAGGAAGCAGAACAGCATCACGAGGCCGTTGCAGCCCACCTTGAGGACGCTGCATCTGTGTCATCTCAAGGCAATGCGCGTGCCGAGGAAGGAAACACAAAAAACCCCGAACCTCGCCTGGAAGATGTCTGCACCTTTCCCCTCCTCGAGGAGATCTTTTTGGACCACACAGTCACGCTTGTAGTGGACGACGCCGCGCCGAACACGATCGCCCTCAGGATTGCGTTTCACGACACCGACATGCTGGGGTGTGGCGGCGGAACAAGTACAAGCGTGTACGCATCTGGTGGTGCATGTTCAGCAACAGAGATAGGCCAGCAGCAAAATCTAAACTGTGGTCAGCTTGTTTCGGCAAAAACCGCTCTAAACCAGCAGCCGGACAATGCGGAACCGAATCCGACCACAGGTGGGGACAACATCATTTCCACCTCGCCCGCAGACCAGATAAGCAGAGTCGCCAAGGTGAAGCAATTTGCGTCCAAGTGGCGCAAGCGCGGTCTCCTCGGAAAATTGTTTTCGCGACGGGACGACGCGGCGATGGACGAGAATGTTAATTCTGCACGGAAACACGAAGACTCAGTGAATGCACCCAACATCGACGACAGCACGGTCGTCGACGGAGGGGGCGGGCACACCCCTGGAGGTACGTCGGCCCCTGGGTCGTCGACGCCCCTCCATGGTCCCCCTCGCGAGTGGTCCACCTCCACCGCGCGTGGCATCAGCTTCTGCCGCCCTTTGCTGACGTCGTTCAATGATGTGCACGTTATTCGGAAGAGTCTCGGGTCGTTCGGAAAAACCGTGCGCGTTTCGCAGCGAAACAAGGCAGGGACCACACAGCGTGCTCTGTACCACCGCTCTTATCTGGAAGTGGTGATTGACCTGAGTAAGTTGCAACTGCTGTCGTGCGGCGTGTCGGCGAATTATATGGTGGGATCTTCTGGGCGAGACGGGGAAGCAGAAAATAATGTGAGAGCGGCCGAGGATAGTACAGCGGCATCAAGCAGCACTTCCATCTTGCAGCGTCTCCACGAGCACAAGCGATACTTCGAGGGGATTTTCCACGTTTTACCGCAGGACCGCGTTTACTCCGGAAGTTGTTTGCCCTTGCTTCCCCGGGTCGAGCTCACACCCTACGCGTACACCATGCCAACCGTCACCGTGCCACTGTTAGACCATCGGAATCCGCACGAAGACCGCGTTTTCCTGCAGGATCCGAGTGAGGACGAGGAGGAGGACGAGGACGAAGACATCGTGCACTTCGACAGCAACAATCTGCAGCAGCAGGAGCAGCAGGGTTTTCCGGGCGAAACGACCGGGAATAGGCAAGATCACCATGGAAATCAGCTGAGAGTGGATGGCGCTCCTGTTGGAGACAGAACGCCGCAGTCAGCAGGACGCGCAACTCCATTGGTGAAAACCAAGAGCAGTCCACCGGCCCCAACGCCGCGGCAGAAAGCCATGATGCAGGAAGCATACCAGCATTAGGCAGAGCATGAACACGCTCAAGTTCTACTATTGTGCGAAGTCGGGGTGCTGTAGATCAAATGACACATAGCACTCCATGCTAGTATTCTGGTTCTTCAGAAGTCACAGTCGGTCCGCCACAGAAATGTCGAAGTTTCCAACGATATCGGTCCGAAATTTTGCTCCTTTACGTGAAGATCGTCTAAAAATGTAAGTCTCGGACAAAGAAACAGAAAGTAGAGAAAGTAGTAGAGAAACTTTTGATCGTTTTGGAAAAGTGCTGAACCAGGCCCAGGCGGCCACTTCTGGAGGAAAAATGGAACCTTCTTTTAGCCTGCGGCTGCACGATCACAGTTCAATGAAACTGCGCGATGATTAAAACTGCAGAATCTGTTCCTTCGTGCTGGTGCTGGTGGGTGTGTTTTGAGGAGAATCAGTGCCGCAGTTTTCTCCAGTGAATTTGCGACAAAGATATAGACGATTTGACATCAAGGCTTAGGGTTTGACATTCCTAGTGTCCTCGCAGTTTTGATATCATCAAGCTTTCAATATAATATTAGATTTTGATATCAAGACCAAGAGCGTAATACTACTCTGTGTTAGTGAGACAAGGTCAGAGTAGGAACAAAGAAGAGAGATTGACTTTACGACTTCACCAGCTTCGCTTAGCTATCCAAACGCCGCAGAGATGACGCGCTCCGAGGCGTTCAATATTGACACGCTCGTGCTGAAATTTGAGTCGTGTGCGGATAAGCTGGAAAAGACCGGAGACGTCGACCTTATCCTCTTCGGGGACGGTTTGAAGGAAATGCGAAAGGTACCGAAGTAAAGCTTGGTGTAGTCCTCCTGTTGGCACTATACTGCTGCAGATTGTCATCTACTGTCACTGTCTTGTTCCTCTGAAGACTCTGTGTGATTTCTTCCACACGGACTGCTTGTCCTTTTTCTGCTTCCGGTGCAAATTGTCAAGTTGAAAGATGATCCCCCACAAAAGACGTGCCACGTAGTAATGTTGTAAAACAATAAATCTAAATCACAAAAGGTTTTCGACAACATGGGCGACACCTTTGCTTTTGCCTTCAAAGATTTGGACGATAAAATTGAAACACTGGCAATACATTCGGGAAAGTACCCCACAGCCGGTGGCATGCTGGATAACGAAGTAGCACGAGGGAGCAAGCCACCAAAAGACAGCGTAAGGATAAATTTGATGTCTTACTGCATAGAGTTGAAGTAGATTTTGATTTCGCTTTGGGTAGTAGGTATTCACCTCTTTGTCGTCTAGTACCTCTACCTGCAGCATACAGCTACAATAGCAAGGGAGATGACAAACCAATAAGAATACCGCCAAAACTTAAACTAACAGATTTTAGACGGCCAGGGTCCGGTGTCCCCAGCAAGAGCGATAAACCGAAGTACGCACGTGTGCATGTTCATAACGAAGATTCTAGAGGAGCTGGAAAAGGATAAGAGCGCAACCATGAAGACAGCCTGCAGCAATGCGTATGAACCGACCTTGTGCACCATCCACGGATGGTTTGTACGAAATTCCGTGCGGCTTGCGTTCAACATGCTGCCGGACCGCGTCATGTTTATGCACAACTGCAACATGACCGAGCAAGACCTTGCAGAGAAGGGACCAAGATTTGTCAAGGCATCCATGGTACTACGAGCGACATACTTAGTTTATTTAACGCTTTCGCGTTCGCGAACAGGAGATGCGTATACCAATTCAAATCGATATTTGGTTCATTTGTCCGTGTTAGTGTTATTTTCTCCGTCGATATCTTCACCACCTCAATGAATTGTAAATCTCGACGAATGCGAACACACAATATCAGCGCCTGACGCAGCACATGAAGAGTCACTTCGACAAGCGATCATTGAACTGGGTCTTTTAAGTCTGACGCGAATTCCCTCCACCCGGCGCGGCACGACATGGCATCTCGTTCTGGAGCACACATTTCATTCGAAATTTTGGCAATGTTACCCCTCGGTCTCGGCCTCCCAAGGAACCAAAGCAGACGCTAGGCACGCTGTACGGAGCAGCACCGCGCTGCAGCGCAGCCGCAGCTGGCTTGTGACTAGCTAGGCATACAAACGGTTTTTGTTGCGCGCTGACCGCACTATCCCCAAACAAGTCCCCCATCCTCCCCCGTCGTAAGAAGGTACTTTCTACTTTGCGCACGAAGATCTATCGTATCGAGGACGCTCCTCCTGCTGACGCATATAACAAGATTTTGCTGTGATTGCGGGGGAAGTACATGTTGCCCTCGAGATGACAATAAATTGTTCCCCCCACCACGACACACCATTTGTACTTCGCAAGGGACTACCCTCGATTAGTTCTAGACCCTGTAACAGCCGTTGGTTTATCGCACACTGAAAACTAAGCGACAGCTGTTGCGAGGATCTGGAGAAAACTTTTTGAAGTGTTGAACGCCTCGCGGAGATTGGCAAGACGAAGCGACAACTGTACTTATGGAGGCCGTCAAGCAAACTACACGATGACACTCTATTGAACGGAACCCTGCGAATCATTGTGATCGCGATGTTCATCTTATTCTAATTCTTTCAGCGAGTTTTGCAGGATCCTCTTTCATACATTTGTGTGGTGCATTGGGCTTGTGATGGGGAATGCGAAGGAACTACAGGAGGATCTACACGTTCAGATCAAGAAGACAAGTGTACAGACCGCATGGCTCTATTGGCGAAGTTTGTGACCTCCAGTCGTTTCTTGTCACTGAGGATCTCCATCTCGTCGATCTCGGATTGACAGATCAAGATCTTGAGACTTTTTTTTATCCGCATTCGCTTCGTCACGAGCCTACTGGCATCTTATTAGGCCTTAGAGATGTTCATCCGGCACCAAAACACAAACTGAAAATGTTCGTGTTCGTTAATATTTGCAACTTCCGAGGCTCGTCTTTCGTGCTTCTGTGGTCGCTCCTTTTGTCACTGACTGTGTCGAAAGCCGCTGTGAGCTATGATTTTGCGTTGCACTTTGTCGATCTGGATTTCGTAATCGCTGGCTTTCCCCAAAGCGGCACCTCCTCGCTGGTCTACTACTTGCGGCAGCACCCTGAGATCTTCGTCAGCGACGAATTCGAGGACAACATGTTTTGGCGCGCGAACTACACCGCCACCTCGTTTCACCGGTGGCGCAGAAAGTACTCCCACCGTGGCGAACCGAAGAAGAAGAGTCGGGCGACCAAAGTAGAGGTCGATGCAGATAATTTTGTGGCAGGAGCTGGTGCGGCGCACAAGTACGAGGCACTACAGCAGGCACGTCTACATCCAAGCTCCCAATTAGAAGGTGAAATAAATACAGAAGAGAAGGCGTTTTTATTCGCGGAGGAAGATCATGATGCGCCTGTGTCGAAGTCGCAAGAAGGCCCTGACACTACAACCCCACCAGTAGTTCGGCTGCTTGGTCTGAAGGACCCGTTGCTGGGGTTTACACCCGAAGCGATGAAGCTACTTGGGGAACGTGTGAAGCTCGGTTGCAAGATCATTTTTCTGATCCGAGACCCGCTGGAGATGCTGATTTCTTGGCTGCAGGGCGGTGCGTCTTGGCTGACCCCGTGGAACACACTACTCCACCTGGGCGCCGGCTACTTCCTGGAGCACCTGGCCATTGCGAAAGAGCTCTTCAAGAAGGGCCAGACGGTGTCCCTCGGCGCGCGAGATGCTCTGGAGGAGCAGACCCGGATTGAGCAAAATTTCCTTTTCGTTCCCACTCACCAGCTACTCAAAAACACCGACGACGTTCTTGGAAAAATCCTGCAGTTTCTCGGTTTGGACCCCGCCTTCAAGTTCGATACCAGGAAGAAGTTGCACGTCGGTTACTCGACGAGGGCAGTCCACCAGCCAGCGCGGTTCTCGGATGCTGCACAAGCGTCCAGAAAAAGAGCGACGGGACCGGATAAGGGCGAAAAGAACCCCAACGACCCTTCTGTGACATCTTGTACATCTTCCTCTTCGCCCGCCGCCCTGACGAAGCAACCGTTTTTCCTGCCGCACCAGCTTGACGTTTGCGGCTTGAACGTTCTTCCCTTTCTGCAAGCCGCTTTCGAGGGACAGCAGGAACAGCTGACGACGCTGCTTGCCGACCAAACGCGAAAAAATTCCATCAGCTTCGAAAGACCGTACTTTGCACCTGACTCGCACGGGATCCCAAAGCAGTGCTTGAATCATCAGAAAAGAATAACTGGACGTGGACCCAGTTCAAGTTTCGGAGTATCTTCACCTTCATCTCCTCGTCGGACGCAGTACGGCTTCCTTGCGTTCAATGCTGACAGGAGACCACGGCAGCAGACGCGACGGAGTAGAAAAAGACAGCGTTACATTCCCCTGCGGTACGCGCTGCCCCAGTGTCGGGCGCCGCTCGCGAATATCGCGATCGAACCTATGAAGCACATGGTGCTGCGGCCGTCCACCGATGAGCTTCGGGAGCATTCGCATTCGCATTACGACGTGGCACGACAAGCAGCTTCCCAGTTCATTTCCGTCCCGTTTCTGTACGGGAATGTGCCGCGAACGCGAAGACCCGACGTTTGCAACTCTTTAAAAGAGGTGCGCGAGTACATCCCCTCTTCAATCCTGGACCAGCTGGATTGCCATCTGCAACTCAGTGGTACTCGAGTTATGAAGGGTAGCACAACTAGCGCGATTTCTTTAGATGAACAACACGGCGCAGGTGTTGATCATGATGGAAGGAAGAAGCATGAGGCTTCTGACCTCTGCAGTAAGTGTTGCATTTTCTTCTCAGCCGAATGCTGGGACGATGAAAACGCGCCGAAACTCCCAAAATGCTGCATCCAGCGTCTGAGCATGTATCTTTCGGTCGTGTCATATCTCCTTCGGATGGAGATTTGTGGGCAAGATATGGGCTGTAGTGGCGTGCGGAAAAATTTCGTGACCATGGAAAATTTGAATTGATTTTTGTACGGTAGTTCCTGCCGCCCGGGCCCGGAGGTGTTTTTTACGCGGCAAGGATCTGCTCTGGGGCTGAGGTTTGGTTCTGCCTGTTCTGTGGTCGTGGTTTGTGTGGCCGGTGGTCGTGATCATTATCTTGTTCAGTCGTTATCTTGTTCGATAATTTTTCGTGTTCCAGGATATTGTGATTTGCATTTGATTGTTCCAATTTCGCAGTGTGCCGCACTCGCACAGCATTCTTTGCTCGCAAGATAGTAGGTAGGACCAACATCGTTTTCGTCGTTCTTCATGCCACGTCGTCGATATTCGTCCTGCTTTCGCATTCGTAGATTAGGAGGAGAAAGTAAATAATGGTGGTGGAAGGAGAAAAGAGGAAGAGAATTCTAATTCAATTGTCGAGAGAGTCAGAGTCGTCGTGAGTCGAATAAATTCATTCGAAACACCAGTAGGATCGCAGGGAGGAGTTGAGGACTTGAAGCATTCGCCTCGGCTCGATTTTGAAAGCCTGCCTCACTTCAAGTTCAAGGAATGCAAACGTTCTGTAGCGCCTGTAACAGAACTTTGGAAAACGAAACGATATCAATTAAGAGACCACAGATAAAAATTTCATTATCATTTCTCGTTATCGTTGCCACACACGCACACGCAGCCGAGCCCGTGGTTCGACCGCACGCGCCGAAGAGGAGCACCAGGCATTTTTGCGGTTTGGGCTACCAACAACTTTCACATTTTTGCTGCACGACCGAGGACCTGCACCAGCATCCATCGGCGCGACTTTTTTTTTTGAAATTCCGCATCAACGTCATCAGATCCTTCTCCTAGCGCCAGGGCCAGACCCGCCACAGCTGTGGGCTTTTCATCTGATCAGATCTTCACGACCAGGTGCGAGTCCTTCCACCATCTTTCGGCCGCTAGGCTGTTTCATCTTCTGGTTCCGGAAGCATCGCTGCGAGTCGAGAAGCAGTTGGATCAACAAGTTTGTCAGACATTGCAGCAAAGAGAAGAGCAGGTAAAATCGAAGTACCCAACGCCACTGACCTTATTCCGGACACAGAAATCAGAAAAAGTTGTGCTTGCTTCCCTGCAAGAACATTGCTACTCAAAACAACAACTACTTTTAGCCGAATAGTCGTCCGACATCCACAACACTAGAAGACGAGAAACGAAACCGGTACGGCGCCAGCTTGAGCAAACGCCTCTCGCCTGCGGCACGTATTCTTGTCATCGCGAAGTTCTGGGTTTTATCCATCTTCTTGAACAAAAAGACAACTACAAGAAGGGGGTAAAGTCGTGCAACTCGTCAATTTCATTTGAAGAATCCGGCTTTTAGCACTACGCGAATCAATTCCAGGAAGGCCGCAAGTACTCCAGTCAAAGGCTAAAGACGGTGGAGGTAGTACAGCAAGCCGTCTAGCAGAGGAAAAACCCTGAACCAGCACAGCTGCGGTGCAAAAAGCAACTCGCGCAGAAGTGCGTTCTCTCTTTGTGCCTCTGCTTATCGAGCTCCTTCTTCCGTGCACGGATTGCGGCAGCGGCAGGAGTTGTTCCCTGCAGAAGAGAATTACCCAAGCCGCGCCGAAAAGGTAGCCAGCAGCACATAGCGACGCATCCGTGCTACAGCTCCTTTGAAAATGACGAACCAACCGGTGCACCGCGATGCGGTGTATGACACTTCGATGTCCTCGCTGCTGACACCTGTATCACTCATTGAATACGGCTTGCGAAGAGAAGGTAAGTATTGGCTGCTTTTTTATGCCAATCGTTCTTTTTTTGATTGTGATACATAGCATGAGCACCGTGCAGCTGAAATCAACAACGTCGCAGGTCCAGCAGGTGGTCTATGCACCAAAATGAAAACCCTTTCTCTTTCGGATTAAAAACAGCATTTGGCGAGGGTATGCTGGCTATCACTGATGAAGGCGTGCTAACAGCCGGAGCCGCACAGAAGTACCCAGCGAGACAAAAGGCTTTTCTCGAATACAGGAGATCACTGCCATCGGTAATAAATCTTTTTTCAGACAATATTCCTACTTCCACACTTCTGCTTTCGCTGCGCGCTACTGCACTCTGTGATGATGTTGCGACCTCACGACACAAATATACTTACTGCTTTGACTTGAAGAACATTGTTCAATGAACAAAAATTTGAATTACACACCTCAGCTGCAAACTCGGCTAAGGCAGATCGCACCGCCACGAGAAATCGCAAACCCACCGCTGACACCCTCTGCGGCGCCCCTCTACCCACCGTCAAGATGGCAGGATGCACAGGTTTTGATGCTTTTCTGTATTGGATAGAGGCTTACTTTTGTCTGTCACCTATCAACGTTCGTCGTGATGATCTTTTCTTCCGTTGTGATTCGCAGGGCGTGTAATGAAAAATTCAGATACCTGGTAACGTTGGCGTCTCGCACAAAAGGAAGGGCTCAAACTACAGTCTCCACGGAAATCTGGGTACTGGGAATCCCTACTCCAGTTACGTCTTCAAAGCGGGGAACCGCGAGGACACAGTGTTTTCAGACACGTTGATAAACCGGGCGGAGAAGCGAGTCACGAACGTAAGGGATTTTTTGGAATAATTTTTCCTGAAATACTTTAAAACATGCACATTTTTGCTCAACATGATCATCTCCGTCTCGCCCGTTTTCTCAGAGTTAGCCGAACGGCCATGATAAGTTACTCATATGGTCTCCCACTCTAGGATTCAAATACGTAACAGGAAGAGCGCAAGATTCTGCGAGCGCAAATTGCGTACGCACTCCGGCGGGTAAAGCATTTGACGAGCCAGCAACGGGTGCGCCAGTACCAGGGCATTCTCGAAAAGTACTTCATTCAGCACTTCCATATGAATCGTGCGCTGAAAACCGAGTTTTTCGCTGCCGAATCCTTCGCAGAAACCCTTTGCAGAGAAATCGTGGATGAAGTGCTCGTATCAACGATTTTTCTTTCTTCTTCCTGTTGAGCATGATCTTGATCGGTATGCATAGCGATGCCCTCGTCCTCCGGTGGATTCATGATGAATCGCTGCTGAAAATGTGCATATGATGTCATTCGGAAAATGAGATGAAGTAAGTTATTTGCTCTTTCTACACGTCGTCTGATTTACTTCTGGACAATTTTCAGGTGAAGAAGACCGCACTGAAGGAGAAGCTGTTTGCCATGCGGAAAGCCAATAGTGTGCAATCTATCCCGGCGTTGGAAGAGCTTTTCAAGGAGCAACGAGGCTTGTCGGAAATCGAGAAGCGAATCCAAGAAATAAAAGACGCGGATCTGACGGACCCCGTAACAGACGCCGGGCAGTTGACAAGAGGTACAAAGATGAGCTGTCGTGGTTGTTTTTTTCGTTGCTGAACACGTTTTTTGCTTGCTTCGTGCAGCTCTTTTGCGTAAATTTATGCGAAAAGGCTCTCCTACACAAAACTTATACTCACATCAGGGCGCCTCGACTACTACCGCTGGGACTTCGACAACGCCATTAAGGCGGATCCACCAACCATGCAACCGAAGGAGGATTTCATCGATGGTTTTCAAGCGGGGAGGCAGGCTCTGATTGACGACATCGCCGCCCGCCTCCGGCCAGGCCGCGAGTCGCGCTCCAAGTCCATGTCCACTCGGCCGATAAAGTAGGGCTTGTGCTGTGCGGGAGGTTAATATCCTACTTTATCGCGACGGCGACATTAAGTTTACCAAATCCAAATCGAATCATTGCCAAAAACCTTAATAGTAGTACATTCACAATTATCACCCAATATCTTTGACGTTTAACAATCACAATTAACAGAAAGTCTTCACACAGGTCGATCATCTAATAGTTCTCGCTGAATCCCTCGGCAGATGAAGATGCCTGTGGCAGACTGACTGTCCTTTTGGACAGTTTTTACGTTTAGGATCACAGTCCGCCGTTTGTCGTATGTGTTTACGCAAGAGCGGCATTGTGAAGACCGTGAGCTCCTGTACACCTTGAAACAGAAGTAATGTCGATGATGTGCTCATGCGGTTTTCTAGAATTTGGAAAGAATGCACCTGCTAATCCTTCTAATCGTGTTCCGCTGTATAATATCGAAGAAGCAGCAAGGCAACCAGAAAGAAAATCAGAATAACACAGACGGACAGGACGAGGCTGCATAGGCGTGCAGTTCCGTGTCGTGTTCTTTTGGCATGCGGTCCACCTCAAAAGCCTCGTTGTATGAAATCAATGTTGACTGCTCGCAGCCACCATCGACGACAAGGTTTGTGCGGAGAGTGCAAAACAACAGTCGGACGAGATAAAGCAGTTTTACTGCTGTGCCCGAGTTCGTCAGTAGACGACATAGAGATACCAGCGATAGATCGACGAGCGTGCTGCATTTACGTATAGCAATGTCTCATGAGAGGCTCCTACGTCGCGCTTTTGGAGTTAGGACTCGCAGAGCATCTTTCGAGTATGACGAGAACTCGTCTGCGAAAATAGGTCTATCGTTTTGATGGCGCGACGAGCAGTACGCGCTCGGCTCATAAAGCCGGTCGATGTCGTCTGTACTATTTCGCAGTAAAACAATAACGCAAATGCAAATGCAAATCCGTGCCGTCACCAGCAGCCGATAGAACGCATTCACTTATGTCTGAATGCATGGAAAACCGAAAGACAATGCTCGTCCCATTGTCCCGTTCGACGAGACGAGGCAGTAGAGGCCCGCTTGACGAACCCGTAAGGTCGTGATAGGGATCCAGCACCTGCATCGCGTAGCGTCGAGGCCGCCGCCGAGCGCAAACAACTAAGTATGGGCGCACGTAGTAATTGGCGGAAAAGCAAAAGTCGTAGGCAAGGACCACGTCCTTTCGAGTCCGAGTCGTCCAATCATGCTGCGACTCGTTTGGGAGGCCTGCCCCTGCGCCTGCTATTCGTTGGGTCGTGCTTCACCCAGTTTCCGTTTTGGAAATACGCAAGCGCCACCAATGGTCCGCGTACCGTCTCCGAAAGCGCTGACCCGCTGCAAAAGGCCCATACACCTTCTTCCGAATCTTTCGCAGCACAGGATGAAGCGCCTCAAGTAGAAGTTGGCCGTTCTTCGTCTCCTAGTCGATTCGTCCGGCGGGAGAGTAAAATCCGTGAGATGATGAACAAGAAGCAGAACTACACCAGACCGAGCGCTAGTCATGCTGCTGCAGCACCGGACGCACAAGCACGCGGTCAAAAGATGCAGGACCGACCACTCGAAAATAAAGACATCGACAGTCTGCACAGAGTCGGCGAAAAATTTGCGGACCGCTCGGACGAAATAGCTGGTAAACAGTTCAACCTGTCGAGGAGGACATCGTTCTTGGATACCAGTGGCGAGGTGTTTTTGGGTGTAGACGAAAAAGAACATGATGCTGGAACGCGAGAAAGAAGCTGGATGGCGGGCACGCAAGAGTCGGGGACTGCCTCGGAATTATCAGTGACAGCGTCATGCGACCTCAGTGCTACGTTTGACGTAGTCGGCAGTAATAAACTTAGCCAGCAAGCCGGCATCGAAACCTCCACTTGCCCGAGTTGCGCAGCAGGGACGAGCTCCTCGCTATCCTTGGAAGAACAGCGTCAGCTGCAGCACACGAATAAGTCCTCGCTTTCCCTTCCAGCCGCCAAACCTGATGCCTGTGATGCACAAACGCGGTGGTGGAAGGTTCCGATTTGGAGTGCGTGGCAGAATTCCGGAAGTTGTGTGTCGAACTGCAATTGCGGCTACCAACTCCAATACCGTACCTGAACCCACAGCGTAAGCAGTTCCACGACAAAGTGTGACGCCGTGTGGTCGTCCGGGAGCGGCGCCGGATCGGGCATGCAGTGGATCTACGGAAAGAATTCGCCCCTGCGGGAAGAACGGAAGAAAAAATGCGATGCGAGCGACGTACCCGTACTCTGCACCTACAGGGATTGGGGCCAGTGGTCTGCCTGCAGCTCGACCACCTGTGCGGAGGGAACAAGACAGAGAACGCGGACCGTGTCCCAGCACCACAACGACTGCGCCCCTGAAAGCAGTCGGTGCGTTGGCGAAGACGACCCGTTGCGGAAGGAAACGGAGACCTGCATCGGGCAAACGGTGGAATACTGCGGTACCACGAGCACGACTACCACGACCACGACCACCTCGACGACCACCTCGGCAACGGTAGCAAACACAACGACGGAAGGTAATGAAACAGACGTAGGAGCGATAAACGCCAGCTCGAGGACGGAAGGCGGCGAAGAGGGTAATAATGCTGCGGGCTCCGGGAGCAATTTGATGATAGCCGGCGGAGTCGGAGGGGCAGTGGTCCTTGGTGTCATCGCTTATTCTCAATTCGGGGACGCAGCACAGGGGTTTGCGTTTTGAAGCGATTTGATAGAGGTGATGGCGCTGTTGATCACGATTCATGGTCGCGAAAGACCTCCCGAACAGGTGAAAATCGACGCATTTTAGACAAAGACGAGAACTATTTCTCTCAATAACTTCAGATAATTCCATTCCACAGTCGAACGCGAACTGAAACGAAAGAACCAACTTGAACTCATGTGAAGTGGAAAAGATAACGCAATAGCCGCGTTAGCGTTGTGCTTATCTATGTTCATTATGTCGCTAGTATTGCAATGTTCCAACATGAGTATGAAAATGAAAAAGCGCCAGACTGCCTTGCCATACATCAAACAAAGGGCGTGCAGTTTACAGTGCTTCGCATAGGACATGGAGAGATGAGCGTGCTTTTGAGAAGATTTTCGCTCGGTCGCTAGGTTTACCCTTTTGCGGATGCATGCTACAATTACGTCCACAAAAACATACCTGTTCGTTGAGAGAAGTCAGATAGAGTGATTTTGAGAGGAACCGCGAGTGGTTTCTTTGTCAGGATAGGAGTGATCATTTCCGATACGGAACAAGAACTCGCAGGCCACCTATTTTCTCTTCCCTTCGTTCCCATCATTACTGTACCCATTCGAGGACTTCGACTAATATACAATCATTCATAAAAAAATTTCTCATCTTCCAGTTCCACCTTTCTTTGCATGTGCTCTGCTTGCTAACTTGTCTTCATCTGACGGACGAAAACGAATCTACCTCGTCACTCAGATATATTTCTAGGTCTGAATTAGAAGAACGACGACTTTTTTTGCTGAGCGAAAGCAGTTCTTCTTCTTCTATTGGTGTTTTTTCTTGAAGAAAAAGGTATAGTACACCACCATAAACTGGTACCTACTGGCTGCGAATTTGAAGTTGAACATTAAGAGCATATCAATTTGAATTCCGGCCTCTTTGCCAGTGTTGCAAAAATATTTCCTAGTGACCAGTATGCAAAGCCGTTTTCGAGAAGATCTTCTAATTCTATCCCGTTGCGGCGGACCACAACTGCAGGCAGAACCCTTCGGCAACCGCTACCGGCTCGGAGCAAAAATTGCTTGAAGATATCGTGGCCACCAGCAAGAGAAGAGCGTGGTGAGCGACGAAAAAAATGGCGCCCCGCGCACGGCTAACATCGCTGGTGCTGACAGGCGTGTCCTGCTGGGACGCGCAAAATGACCCCACCCGGGAGTTTCCGAACGTCAATTTTGCACCGACGAACTCGCCGTCTTTGCTCCGAGAAAAGTATTTCACGTCCGGCGGATCGAGTTCATCTTCCGCTGGAGGTTCGCGGGCCAGCAATGCTGCGGGAGGTGGAAATAAGCAAGGAGATACAAATTCAAATAAACACAACCATCAAGATGCGAATCAAAGACGAGAGAGGCGAGCCGGTGCGCGCGACCACGAAAACAATAATTACAACAATCCCTTCAAGGACTGGAGGAATAAAAAGCCGATCACCGAACTCGAGTTATCGCCTGAGGACATCATCCAGCGGCGGGCGCTCCGACAGGCGGCGATCGAATTTTCCAATCGAAAAATGTTTGCCAAATACGGCCACGCCAGGAAGTACCTGAATCCGCGAATGGACGAACCGGGCCAGGATGAATATTTGAGTCCCGACGAAGTGGCGGCTCTCTCGTTGCAAGACTTCACGCACGCTCCAGGGGAAGCGCGGGCGACCGAGGAAAAACACCTGGGTGCCGCTGCGGCCGCGGCCCTGCAAGTTGATGGGCCGACCAACCACGATAGGTCAAGCGATCGGAAGTTGGGGATTCAAGAGCCGGGAGTCGTGAACCCGGACGGTGTGGAAGCAGGAGGAGGTGTAGCTTCTCCGGATGTAGTTGTTTCGGCGTCGTCTGCAAGCAGCTCAGTGGACCAGACCGAGGCTGTCTCCTCCTCCGGCACAGCGAGCAGCCGCGAAGAGGATACTAGTGCCTCTGCGCAGCAGCAGCAACGACAGAAACTTTTCGAGTCCGTGGTGCACAATGCACGGGCCTCAGAGCGAAAGCGCATGTTGCAGCACAAACCGGCGATGGTGAAGTCCGTCACTGACATAGCGAGACAGTACCTGAGTCAGATCGTAGAAACAGCGGCAACAGACGCATCGTCACCGAACGAAGCTGGTGAAACTCCATCGCGGCGGTCCTTAGGAGATCCTAGTAGTAAAACAGCCGGCATTAAGAATAGTGCTGTACCTCCCGTCGTACCAGGAGGACTAGCAACTTCCAGGCGCGGCTACTTGAATAGTCTTGTGGAGAAAACACTTTCCGTGCTAGAGAAGACACACGACGACCGCGAGGCTCACAAAGACCCCAAAACATCTTCCTCACCGGCGGCTTCAACATCAAACATAGCAGCAAGGCCAGGGGAGAGCGGCAGCGACTACGCGCGCAGACTGCAAGCAGAGGTCGACGGCGCTTTGAATACCGTCGTTTCCGAGGAGGAAAGGCAAACCGCCGAAACCGCAAGTCACGATACCGACTACAAGGAAATCGACCGTTCGGTGTTCTACAGCCAACTGGCCGAGGTAGAAGCGGTGCTTCGGCACCTAACGACCGGGACTTATCAAATGTAAAAATGTCTGGGTCTGGAAGATTGCGAGATTTGTCATGCAGATTTTCCATGACCCATGAGGTCTGGAATGCCGGGCCTAGCATGACAGAGTCTGTAAGGTCTCTGCCATGCCTATCCCGCATGAGAAACTACCTCCCAACTTGGTCGAAAGTGGACAGCTTTTGGCACTCATGCAACACAGATTTTTGCATTATTCGGATTTAGCATGACAAGTTTTAATCTTCCAGACCCAGACATTTTTACATTTGATAGGACCGGGAGCGCCACGACCGCGCCGCCTGGTGGAGCAGTAAACGCGTATCCTGTGCAAAAGTATCGTACTCGTACTAATTGCTTTTATGCATTGCAAATATTTTTCTTAAGGCAAATCCGCATTACAAATTCAATTTGTAATGCTGAGCTAATTTGTGTTGCAATTTATACTAGTACGATGCTTTTGCAGTTCATAACGCGACGTCCACGACAACGACCACAACCTTGGGATGCATCCGCAACTGTTGCGAGGACGTGAAAATATCCGTGCGCATCCTCGCGGACGAATACATGGATTTGGGGCTGGGAGTGGTATTTTTCTCTTTTCCTGCTGGGCTGGTCAGCTGCTTTTCTTTGAGAACACGACTTACCAGCACAGCACGAACACAAAGTTCTGCTTCGAAATTCAGGTCGTCCTTGAGGACATCGTCGAAGTGTCATTGTCGGAAATAACAGAAAAAAATTACCCTTTTTACTGACCAAAACAGAACCTGCGCCAGACCTGGTCTGACTTGAGCAAGACGGAGTGCCAGAAGGTGGACTGCCAGTGCGAGATGATTTCCGACTGGGTCGAAACACAGTGCATTTTTTACGTGTCGCAAATCATAACGTCCGGCACAGAAGTGCAAAACTACTGTACCGGTGCGGGTGGGACAAGGTCACTCTTCGAAAAAGCATACTGTCCTGCCGCTTGCTTGCCCGTAGATTGCAACGACCAGCAGGGCCAACAGTGCATGGGAACGTGCGGCGACTTTCTCGGTATAGGGAATTTTGGAATACTATTGGATTCTTCGCGAAAAAGCGAAAGAAGATGCGAGGTTGTTAATAGCATACTGGATGTGACTAGTCTCAGGTTGCTCTTCAATCTCCTTCTCTCTAAAACAAGTATAAAATCGCACTATCTACTACAGATTGCCGCTGCAGTAACCGTTTAGGAGGCTCTAAGCCGCCACGGTGTGAGGGGCTTACGGAAATCACGAAGGAACCGTGTTACGAGCCACCGGGAATCTGTGCCATGCACACGCCCTCCGTCGGGCAGTGCGCGCCTTACCACTTTTGTCCGAAGAATTTGTGCAACATTCTTAATGTGGTGTGTGTGCCAGACGATATGTGCCAGGGGGACGGCATTTGCATTCCTAGCACTGGACAATGCGTGTACCCCAACCTTGCAAAAGGGACGCCCTGCGAGGATAATATCTTCTACACCTACAACAAAACCTGCAACGGCATGGGGACATGTGTCGGTATAGTGAATTTACTTTTTTAGCTCTTCATCACCATCTACACCGGCCAAAGCCGAAAATCGATGTTGCTTACTGCATTTTGAACATTCTTGCATTGTTTTTGTTTTGATGCAAAAAACTAAAACAAGCTTTAGCTTACCACCAGCAGTACCCACGCCGGAAATTTCAACTTTTCAGGTTTGGTGAACATGTGCCAGCAGCACAACATACAATGTCGCTCGGGCGTCCCAGACTGCACCTTCCTTCCAGGGAACTGCCAGCCAGAAACAGGGCGGTGTGTCTACGATTTCAAGCCGGACGACACGGAGTGTGATGACGCGCGCCCGTACACAGTGGGCGACCAGTGTCAAAAAGGTGCTTACAAGTTGTTTTGGTTAGTACAACAAAAATCGCACGATAATTTTCCTGTTTTTTTTTCCGTCAGACGTAGATTGCGCATCTTCGTACCTACTATTTTCTTCAGGTCTGTGCGTTGGGACCATAGTGGATCTCTGTGCGAGCGTGGACTGTGCGCCGGTGCAGTGTCAAGACGAAGGGACCTGCCACGATACGTGTTTTGGTACCTGTGACAAGTCCACTGGTGCGTGCATCTATCCAAGAAAACCGAACGGGGTTCCATGCAACGACCGACAGCCCGACATTGCAGGCAGAAAGCCCGTTTGCATTGACGGTGTTTGCGTCGGAGACCCATATTTTGGCAACCCGCAGTACAGAACCGTAGGGGAGGGCCAATGCGTGGACAACCTTGGTATAACAGCTATTTTCTTCACTACAGATGAGGATTCTAGATCTAGTACATGATGCAGAGAATCTGATGACTTCATGTTTTTTCTATTTGAAAGAAAACGTAGACGAAACTGAACGGACGCATTTAAGTTTCTTTTCGTGAATAGAATTCTTATCCACCACCACTACTACAAAAACGTAGGTTTCCGCATGAACGCGCAGCAGGGAGACGTGGGGGAGGAAAAGGAGTGCAAGAGGCTGTGCACGATGGATAACCAGTGCAAGGGTTACAGCTTTGCCTTTCCTGTGTGTACGCTCTTCGGGACGGTACGGTCCACGACAGACATGCCTGGGTGGAACATGCTCGAGGGGGACCAGACCCCAGCGCTAGAGATCGAGCAAGTTCTGAAGCCCCGCCCCGGTGAACCGCAGTTCGTGTGTCGGAAAAAGGTAAAAGTACAAATTTGTGTTGTCGTGTTAGTCTCATGTCAGATTCAAATCTCTCAACGACTTTTGCTGGCTGAACTTCTGCCTTCGTGAACAAGTTGTTGATCCAACACATGACGAACAAAAACGATCCACAGGCTTTTGAGGGCGATCCCGAAAGTGTCGGATTTACGGCGCTGAGTATCCTGATAGGCTGGGGTGGCTTTTCGACGATTTTCAGCATAATACTCATTTTCTACTTCCGTGTGACGATATGGGAAGCCATGCTCGAGGGGAAGGACGCCTTCATGCGCAGAAAAGACGCCATGATGGAGAAATACCGTGCGGGTCGCCAAGTCGACCGTACTTTTTGTTCATGATTTTTTGATGAATAATTTTCAGTTGATCTTCTCATATGAAATAAAAAATTGAACGTGCTGCACTGTAATATCATCCGATGACAGACTCTACTCATGATGTACATGATAGACAAAGGCAAAGTAAGGATTGATTTCCTCCTAAACGCCAAACAGCATATTTCGGCGAGGAAGTTGAGTTAGAGATGGTGAAGGACCGGGACGCGCAGGGTGCCATACAGGACACGAACCCGCAGGGCGAGGTGGTTGAGAAGAAGGCCCGCGGACGCAAAATAGTCCAAGACGACGAGGGCAACGAGTACAGCGTCAGTGGGACCCCTTCCAGTGGCTCACAAGGGTCGGCAGGAGGGTCCGAGGAGGGGGACGAAGCACGGTCCCGGAGTCACGAAAGCGGCCAGTCAAGTGGCGGGGACCGACCGGACCCGGCCACGATCGGGAGCCCCTCCAAAGTGACACCCGAACCCGGGGAGGAAGGAGGGGAGGACCAGCCGTAACGGCGGTGGGTTTATCCACGACTCAGATTTTTTTCGAAACCACAGTTTCAAGAACCTTCAAGAAATGATCTGTTTTACTACTTAGTCAGAGAACTCAATTTGAAAGCTAAAGCATGGCTTTTGCTAGCAACGGAAATCCTAAGTTTGACTCAATTTGACACGAAATAGTTAAAAGCAGAATACAACGTCCCAGGGAGGATTTCCCTTACCTGGGCGAGTCCGCTCGTCGCGCTCAGATGCTCATCATTCTTTGGCTCTCTGCGCTTGATGAAAGGAAATTTTTACAGTAGACGCGGCGAGAGCTAGGAAAGACGAGTTCGGGCGGGCGAAATATGTTGTATGAAGAAATACGATGTTTTTGAAACTTCGTTTGACCTTTAATCCTTTTACGAATCAAAATCCAAATTATTGCATTTGCACCAGCCAGTGGTAGCTCGTCATCCCCTTGATGTAGATGCCATTGTGCATATTGTCACAACACTTGACAAATTTACCCCAGAATTATTGAAATGCCTTGTATTTGCATTGTGAAGTAATTCTAATTGGACAAAGATCCCTTCCAAGGAAAACGAAAACAAGCTACACCAGCAATCCACAACTTGGAGCAGGAGCTTTGTTCGCCCGCTCCAGGATTTTTTCTAATGCTGTCACGACAAACGATGTTCCTGATGTGAGTGCTGCTGATTTTGTGGACTTCTTGTGTTTCTTTCATGACCTACTAGTCGCGAAAAAAGAGAGATCCTGATGCAGTGAAGAGATCATGATTTCTTTTTCGTGTGTAAGTACTTATTAAATTCATCTGAGGTCTTCGGAGTGATGAGTGCAACAGCAGCTGTTAAAAAGTACCCTTGGAACAACGAACCACGACGCAGATCTGATCATCTGGAGAAGAACAACGGACCAGAACAAGGGATCCGGAGCATGGCAGCTTGGGAAGCTGGCTCGGAGATACTGAAACATCATGACATCGTCGAGCGCGGCGCCACGACGGGGACGTGCGATATTGTTCGAACCGTGCGTCGTGATTTCTGGTGAGCGACCGTGCCTCGGCACCGCGCGGCATCAGCATGGCCATGGGCATGATGACTACCTCGAAACCGCTCATGAGCAGGTCAATTTTTTCCGGAGAAGCCGCGCCAGCTCGCATTTGCTTCCGACGCCGGAAGAAGATACCATTTCATGTACTTCTCCCGACGGTCGTCGTCGTCCTCGTGATCGCTGCAGCGAATGTAGGTTGTTCTACGGTCGACGACGAGGCGGCCCTCGAGGGGCCGCCGAGCTCCCCCGGAGGTGAAATTCTTCGATCGCTGCAGAGCACGTCCTTGGACGCCGGAAACACAACGGCCGATGGCACGGTCACCGGGTGCACGCAGTCCTGCTGTGCGAACGTGCGGAAAGCAGTGGAGGTGCTTGCTTCGGAGTTTTCAGACCTTGGCGTGGATGCAGTACTGGTTTTGCTATACGATTGTCGGAACACGATCACATTTGACATGGACATTTTTCGTTTTGATTGAACATGCACCTAATTATCACAATGAATGTGGATCATGTCCTAGTAGATCTAGAACTAGCTCTGGGTTTGTGCTGTTGATTTCCGTTTCCCATATCGTCTCACATTTCAGCAACACACTATATATCGCAGGAAGCTCAGAAGGAATGGGCGCGGTTGGCCGAAGACCAGTGCCCGTTGCTGAATTGCGACTGCGAGGAAATGAGCGCGTACGTGGAGACGCGGTGCAACTTCCACGTAGGCGCGGAGGTGATGTCCGTGGACGAAGCAAGAAAGTACTGCGCGGACACGCGGGCGCTGTTCCGCGACGGGTACTGCCCGGGCGCCTGCCAGGTCACTCACCAGGAGTGCAACAGCGTTCCCGGCCAACGGTGCATGCGTCAGTGTGGCAACTGGCAGGACTGCAAGTGCAAGAACCGCCGGGGCACGACCTTTCCGGTCCAGTGCGATGGGGTGGTGGAGATCTCGCGCGAACACTGTGTGAACAATCCGCCGCCGCCGAGCTGCGGCGCGCACCATGTGGAGGCGAGCATTTGTGCGCGGTACCACTTCTGCCCGAAAAACCAGTGCCTGATCCGCAACGTGTTCTGTCAGGCCGACGACCTCTGCCAGGGGGAAGGCATCTGCATTCCCAGCACCGGAGGCTGCGTATTTCCGAACCTCCCGAAAGGTGTTTTTGGCTCGTTCTTTCATCAGTACGAGGCACAAGTGACGAGAGCATTCTTTGCTTTGCCGTTGCTCATGTCCTCAGAATGTCATTCGTCGTTTTCCATATGAACAATTTTGTTCCAAAGATTTCTTGTTCAAAATCAAATCCAAATGTGAGATCACACCATCAAGGTACGCCCTGTGACGATAGCCTTTTCTACACGCCTCGCGAGAGCGATAAGTGTGACGGGCTCGGGAAGTGCGTCGGCGTGCCGGACCTCTGCGAGCTGCACAATGTGAAATGCCTGGACGCGGATCCGGCCTGTGCGGTGCTGCCTGGTACCTGCAGCCCGGACAGCGGGAAATGCGTGTACCAGTTTCGGCAAGACAGCACGATTTGCGACGACAACCGGTTCTACACGGTCGGTGACCAGTGCAGAAGCGGGCTGTGCGAGGGGGTGATCGTGGACCTGTGCGCCAATGTGGAGTATTGAGAGGAAAAATCCCCCCTCCCCATATTGAAAAGGTATGTTTCCAAAAATTTGTGTTGCGGATTTGAGGTCACAAATCACATCTGTCTTGCAAGAAGACAAGGGCAGAAGCTTCCGCCCCATTATGGAAGCGGTTTGCCATGCTGTTGGGCCTAAAGGGGGGCCGTTTGCCATGCTGAACTACTAGACCCATACGCCCCTACCTAGCCTGGGGATCTGGCCGCAGTGCCTCTCTGCAATACAAAGCTGATTTGTGGCCACAAATCAGCATCACGAATTTCCGTTTTGATATGGGGACGGGGGATTTTTCATTTTGATATGGAGTGCGGAAAACCCGCCAACGACCCCTGCCGGGGGGACGGGCGGTGCCAGCCCGCGACGGGGCGGTGCGCCTTCCCGGAGCTGCCGGACGGTACGAGTTGCGGCCGCCACTCGCAGTGCATCGAGGGCTTGTGCATGGCCGACGAGTTTCGGGGCGCGCCCAAGTGGCTCACGGTCGGCCAGGGGCAGTGCGCGGACTCGTTGGGCAAGCGAATGGCCGCGTTGCAGCGCGATGTGGAAGACGAGTTCGCGTGTCAGGGGTTGTGCGGCGGGGACGTCTCGTGCAAGGGGTACAATTACGTGTTCGAGTCCTCCAGCTGTACGATGTATTCCTCGATCAGGACAGTCGCGCCCACCGGAGGCATCGCGTTCGGGTTTGCGGCGGTAGAAGAGTCTTATTGGGTTTCGTTATGCTGTATGGTTCTTGCTTCAATCTTGGTGCGTAGTTCTCGGTTTCGCGTGAAGTAGATCCTTTTTGCTTATGTCATCGCACAGAGTTATCAGAGATTTGCTCAAGAGCATGACACGGCCAACAACATCAACACAGGCCGACATTCCGCCCTCGCTGGAAATCAGCCACGTTCTGACCCCGCTTCCCGGCGAGGCGGGCAGCGTGTGCAAAAAGAAGGACCACAAGGGAGACCCGGCCGCAGCAGGAAGCCTCTGGCGGGAGTTCTTCGACTTCATGCAAGGTCCGGGGATCATTCTGCTCACGGCTTTAAGTCTCCTCGGCTACTTTTGGGTATCCGTGAAGGAGGCAAGTTTGGCATTCAAGCACAGTGCCGCCAAGGTGCTGTCGCCGGCCGGCCGGAAGGCGGCAGCTGCGCGCATGCAGGAAAGGATGCAGCGGCAATCGCGAAAGTTCGAAGAAATGGTAGAAAACTCCCCGACCCTTCGCACGGTTCGCGACAAGACGCTGCTGACCTTGTCACCAAAAAATGGTGTGCGTGGTAGTCCGAAAAAAAAGAGCCCGAAAAAGAAAAAGAAGAAGCAGGACCAGCACGGTAGAGGTATTAGGAAAAGAAAGAGCCGACTATACAAGGTAGATCCGGAAGAGGGAGTCGGAATAGAAGATGAACAACACCGACAAGAAGAAGAAGATTTTGAAACAACTACACAACATCAAGCCGACAGGCAGGTGTCAGACATTCTCCAAAAGAAGAGAGAGACCGCAGAGCAAAAGAGAAAAAAGCAGCCGCAATCTCGGGCGAGCACATTGCGGTTTGAATCAGAAGCGGAGGTGGCGGAATACGATTACGAGGACGGTTCGTCCGAAGGCGAAGAAACCGATTCATCATCGGACGCCGATGCAAATCTCGACGGCATCGAGTCGCTTGAAGATGCAGAGGGCGTTGGGCAGAGAAAATCCTTCTACAAGAAGGCCGTGACGAGGTTGTCGTCGATGTTTCAGTGGAGTTGGCGCACGACACGGCTCAGCTTTCAAGAGAGTACGACAAGTAGCTTCTTTCTCCGCCGGAATAACAACCGGGAGAAAGGCCCGTCGGATCATGAGGAGAAAGAGGATACCAGTGTGGAAGTGGTTACAACTGGAAGCAAGGCAGAACAAGAAGGCTCAGCATCCGAGCTGCAACATCAAGCTGATGATAGCAAAGCCGTACCGGCGGGGCGGCAATCGAAGTCCTCCATGCACCGACCGTCCGAAAAATCACAGTCGGGCAGGGTATCGCGCAGCGGAAGAAGTAGGAGCAATGCTGATGAAGAGCTTGACAAGAACGCAACAACAAACCGCAAGTCGAGGAAATCTGAGCAGCAAGGGAACGACCAAGCGCAAGCACCATCTGAAGGACCAGAACCTCTGCGACAGGAAGATGTAGTGCGGCATCACGAAAATAAGATGAAAATCGAGGATTTTGACGACGATCTCGACAAGGGCGGACGAGGAACTGGCAGTCCTGTAAAAAGGACGATCATCGAAGAAAGTTGAAGCGGCTAGTAAATTAAGTTTGGGAAGGAAGTAGTAATTATCGTCACACGTGTCTAGTAGTTGCTGTGCACCACGCGCAGTCATTGCAAAAATGTTCTGCTGCTGGTTTTTAATATTTAAATCGTACTAATTGTAGTAGAGTAAAAAAAGTGACAGTGACTGCTTATAGGGTAGAACATGCGCTGCAAGCGCATGCAGAACATGAATGCGAAGTTTCGATATGAGGTTGCTTCGAGTAGCAACGAACTGCAAAGGTATTTGGAACTACAACATGCCACCGGCCTCCTGCTGGCAAGGTTTTTTTTGGCATAAGGGTCGTGTGAGTGCTACTTTGGAATCTCAAAAACGATTGCTGAGAATCTTCAATTTTCCAGGACGGCGCAGGGAAAGAATGAGCTCTTCACTGCAACAAGTAAATTGTTGCGGTTGATGAAGAGACTAAGACCGTGAACCAGAAGCAACATGTTGAGGAGCTGCACACAATGACGCGGCGCGGGCGCCTTACCTGTACATGGTAGCGTGTTCCGAGTTCTCCTCCCAATTGCTTCGAGTCTCAAACTCGGCTAAGCTGCGCCGCTTCTTCGTTCCGCAGCTTCTGCCGTCGATACCCTTTAATTCCCATCGATGCGGAGATCAAAGTTACAGTTAGCATGGAAAAGTGCGTGCAGGTGGGAACAGATCGCAACGGGGCGCGTCATTGATTGAAGACCTTGAAAGTTCAAAAAACTAGGATCAAAAAAAGTAAAAAACGATCCCCTCTGTGTAGTAATTCTTGTTGCCGTCTCTCTGCTTCGCAACCCGAACCCGAATACGTCCAAGATGAGGTCTTACGCAGCTTCTGCCGCAGCCTCGACGGCTGCGGCTTCATCGTCTTCCTCCACTGCGGTGCGTAGAAGTACCACTTCTGCGGCTATGCAGTCCTCCAAAATTTCAGAGAACGGAACTTCCCAGGCCCTGTTTATTGAGTGCCTGAACAAAATCCGGGAGACCCGTTTGAACGTGGAAAACCACGCGACACAGAATCTGATGCGGCGCGCCAAGGAGGAGATTCGAAAGCTGACAAACGACGAAATTCATTTGGTTCGGAAGCAGTTTGAACGGTTAGAGCACGGGGACCACGTGCACGAACTGAAAAGCAGCACTGTGAAACCGGACACGACGGCAAGGGTGATGCAGCGCGACGGAGGCCAGTTGGCGGCGCGACTGCTGCCCGGAGGGGACCCCGCGAGTACCAAAGCAAGCGCTTCGACTTCGGTTGGGGCTGGCAGCACCTCTTCGGCGTTGAACGACCCAACAATCGCAACACCTCTTCGGCGTTCGTTCCAGGAGCACAACATCGACCCGTATTGGGACCCTTTTTTTGAGGTGCAGACCGAAAAAGAGCGGGTGAACGCTGAGTTTGTCGAGTATGCAAAGGTCGTGTCCGCCGCCGAGGCCCGAGAGAAGCGGCTGGAGATTCGGCGCGCGGTCCGGCGCGCAGTGGTGTTGAGATACGGCTCCCGGTACGACCCTCTCAAGTACCACGGCGGCGAACAACTGCCGCAGGACGTACCGAAGCCCCACCGACTGCACGAGCGCTTTTGGACCCCGAACGACCGGCAACAAAAAATCAACGCGGAGCGCGCCATCACGTGGCGCGACGTCGATTTGCTGCAACACCACCTGGCACCGAACGGCTGGATCCTTCCGCGACGCACCACCATGCTGTCCCGCAAGAACCAGCGGCGCATGACCAAGGCGGTAAACACAGCACGCGCCATGGCGTTACTGCCGTTCGACTGGCGGCCCTCGGATTTTGAGTCGATGCCACTGATGGATCCGCTGCAGTTTACGGTGGACCGATTGACGAACGAGGTGGCCAAGCCGCGGGCACGGGCGATGCTGGAGGTGATGCAGGAGAAGTATCCGGAGTTGAACTTTCGTGCGTACGACAAGTGGAAAACGGAGCTTTTTAGAGACGCTGCAAAGCAAGAAAAACGAAGTAGTAGGGCTGCATCAAAAGAGCCGTCGAGAACAGGAGCTGCAAGGGGACACAAGACAACCGGACGGGACGGGGATGGCGGGGAACAACAATCCGCGGAAAAAGGCGACGCAGCTTTTGAGGAATAAAATGCTGATGTTGAAGTAAACAATTACGAGCAAGACGATGATCGATTTAAAGGCAACGATGTATATCAACAATAAAATAGGTCCTGCTCAAAATTAAAATGTACGTCTACTACTAGCAGAACTATCTCCGCGAAGTAAGTAATTTTTTTGTCTGAAATGCTTCTTCCCGCGACGAGAATTCCAATTCACGGCGGAGACGGTGGCGGACTGCAAACGTGGCAATAAAAACTTCGGTACCGAAGAAATCACATTTGTTGAATTGACAAGGCCGTATTGAAGGTGTTCGCGTTCATTGTTGTGGCATGTACTTACGAGAAATAAGTGCGAAATAATCTCTCCTCTCTGTCATTTTTGCTATCGGTCGGAGCAAGCCTTGATCTGCCACTTTACTTTTTTTCCTAGTGCAATTTGAGTGTGTATTTTTAAAGCTAGGCAAAGCAACATGAAACAGTTCACAAAGAACCAAGCGAGCGCGAGACTTTCCCTGCGAGGGCGCAGCTGGCTCTGCTTCACGCTGTTTCTGCTGCGACAGCCACCCACATAATCTATCCTGGTATATAATTTCAAGCCTCGTGCAGGTGCACGAGCACGTGCGTATCTTCTCTACTTACGTACGGAAGCATCATGATGATACTCATACATGTGTATGTGTATGTGCTGGAACAAGCGAAGTATGGCTCTGCTCCGAGCACGTGCGTCTACCGTCACGACGATAACAGACTTTGCAGGAACAAATGTAGACATAGAGTGTGATTTGTTTTTGATTGGTCGTCGTCAGTGTGTAGAAAAACGTGTATCAAAATCATGTCAAGACCGAACATTTCCGCAGGAAGACATGAGCTGTCTGACTCCGAGTGTTTGAAGCCGCCGAACAGGTCGCCGCCTTAACAAATGCGTCCCATTTGGATGAGCACATGGCCATCGACCGACGTGGTTCGTCCGCTCCAATAGCATTGGCTTGGTGCCAACACCCGACACGTTAGCAGGCGTTGCGTTTCGCTTTCCACTCGGCGACGAAGCCCACACAGAACCACCTCTACTTCCACAGACGAGAAGATGCTGGTGCCCGTTACTGCGGAAAAATGCCTGCACGCCAATCTCCGCCTGTTGCGCAGGCTCGTGCAGGCGGCGGAGGTGTGGGCACTTCGCACGGGGCAGCGGTTCGGTTTTCAAACTGCGTCTTCTTCTGTTCTGGCAATTCTGGTCGTTCTGTACATTGCCATGTCGCGAAAAGCGAGGAGCGTTGCCATGTTTGACGTTTTTGTCCGCTTGCCGATTTTCCTGGTGCCCTTCGTCGCGTTGCGTCGCACGGTCCGGTTGTTGATGACCCGGCTGCAGCGCGAGATGTTTGCGGCGGAGGGGTTGGGCGAGCACATTTGGCTGAGTGGGGGAGACTCGTCGGTAGGCTTTGATCAGCACGTACCGACAAAAACAAGCAAACACGTGGACCCCTACGTGTCGGACCTTCTTCCCACCGCGGCGCTGATGATCGGGCGGCAGGGCACGCAGAAGCTGGATTTCTATGTCGCAGTGATCCGCGACTATTTGAAATCTGTTTTCCGCTTCAGCCAGGGTGTGGGGAAAAGCGCCTTGAAATACCTGGTCGGCGTGTGGCTCTCCGTGGAACTCGGGTTCTACATCTGGTTCTACTTCAAAAAACGCGGACTAAACAAGCGCGAGCACCAGTTTCCGCTCCACTCGTCCAATACGAAAACACGCCTGGAGCTGCTCATGTGGTGGTTGGACACGCTCGACCGTGCGGCCCTGGCGCGGCTCGAAGCGGCGTCACAGCACGAAGCGGAAACAGCACCGACGCTGACCTCGGAGCTACACGAAAACGACAGCATGCGATCGTCGTCTCTTCACGACCTCAGGGTACTGATTTATTTTGTGGCCTCGTTTCTTTCTGAATCAGTAACAGTATCAGAAAGATCACAGGATGTCTCGCCGTGTCATCTCACAATGAAAGAATAGAAAAGATTCATTAAGACTAAGTTAGTAGATGTACGAAGCTACAACATGTAAACGTACTCCAGGAGCACTCCGGTATTGGTGTGGTTTCCAGTGCCGAGGAGCTTGCGGATGCCCACGGCTCCAGCCCACGCCTTGTGCGCGCTGCGCCACCGCCGAAAGTGGCGAGCAGAGCTCGACTGCTTCTTGGGCAGCGGTTGAGCGTCTTCGACGAAGGTGACAACACAAACTCTTCCACTGTCGGCCGCTTTTCTAAACTGGCGCGGAGCTACAGTATGGCCGACGCGTTCGCTTCTGTCAATAACAGTGTTAATACGCCCACCGGCGCGAGTAACGCTACGACTAGACCGCTCAGCAAAAGCGGCAGCTTCACCAAGCACATGGTCCGGCGACAGGCAAGCTTGGACACTTCGGGCTCCGACGGCGGGCCCCCACTCGTCATTCCGGGTGGAGGGCGAAGTGGCCTTCAATCGACCAACTCGCGCAGCCACGGCCGAATCACACCCATCGCCGGAAGCCGGAGTCACGCAGTCGTGTTTCCTCCACAACTTACAACATCGAACGATCATGGCGCAGCAGTAGGGTCTACTTCATCATCTTCTAGGACGTTGCAGCGACGCAGCAAGGATTTTCTGCAACTCCGGCAAACTATGTCGTCGAAAGGAGTGCTGCTTCCTTCTGTTTGCAGCAAGGTTGATCTGCAGGCCTACACATGTATGATGGAACGGGAGTTCAAGTCACATTTCGATGAGTCACAGCTCGCCGGTATAGGAAGGCGCGGGGAGGACGACCTTGACCTGGATGACGACGTTCCCGCACTGGATTTGCCGCCTAGAGAGGCTCGCTCACGCGATGCGTCGAAGGAGTCAGCTGGGACGCGACAACAGGACGTAATCGAGAGGAGCCCGAATGCCCACAACAGAAAGCTCGGTGAACAAAGTGATACAGGGGGACCAATGTCGAAAAAAACCGCAGGGCCGATTGCGAGGCCAAGGAATAAGAACGGGGAGCTGGTGCACGAAAGAACTTCTGTGGCCTCGAACGCGTCTGCGTTAGGTACCGCACTCGAATTTGGTCCTCGAAGCAAGAATGAATTGACAAAGCAACTCACTCGCATGGCGTCGATGCTTCCGCGCGCGTCGCAGGTCAGCGTCATCGCGCCCGCCCGCCATGTCGTCTCCAAAAGCGTGTTGGCATGGCGAGACGTGCTGAAACTCTTCATCGTGCAGATCCGGCGGGCCTTGCCGTTTAGCTTGGCTATTAAGGTTGGAGACTTGTCTTCGGGAATAATTGGCGTGTTTAAGCCACTTCTAAATCTCCTGATTAACATGAACCCGCTGCTGAGCGACGACCTGGTTTCCGTGCTGACGGTCGACCTAGAGTTCGCAGCGAGCGGGTACGGCCAGGAAACGCAAGGGATGGAGGCAATTCTGCACGCGCTAGAGAAAGAAGACAACGTCATGCTGCTGCCGACCTCGTTGATGGACCTGCGACGTGCGGAGTTCGCGTCATGGTATAGCAAATCGTTATTTTCTTGAGCTCGACCACGAGGACGACGAGCGCAGCTGAAAGAAGACGTTAGAAAGTTTGACCATGCAGCCTAGAAACCAGTACAACTTAGCTTCGAAACTTAGTAAGTTGTACTCTTTAGCCATTTTATTTGCAACGGCAGCTGCACCTTATCATGCTTTGTCACTATCAGGTTCACCGACGACCTGGTTTCTAACTGGGCCGACATCTACCGCCCCGTCGACCTGCGCCTGGTGTCCCGAAAAGACGTGGAGGAGTGGGTTGCAACGCACTGGTTCGAAGCCCGCCTGCTCGCGGACATCATGCGCGCGTCGCCAGAAGAGTACAGCGAGCTGAAGGAGATGGCCAAATACGTCATCAACTGGGCCGAAGTGGGGCAAATTTTGTCCAAGAAAAAAGTGAAGGCCTGGTGGAACTGCTACCATGACGAACTGCCCGTGCTCTACCGTCCGGCGCTGGTCTACTTCACCACCACACTGGTGCTTCCCGGCGTGGAGAAGTACCTCTTTTCCCTCGATTTTCAGCCGGAACGGATCCATATCCTGTGCAAAAGTATCGTACTCGTACTAATTGCATTCATGCATTACAAATCTCTTTCTCAAGGTAAATCAGCATTAGAAATTGAATTTTTAATGCTGGGCTAATTTGTAATGCAATTTCTACTAGAACTAGTACGTGTACGACTACGATGCTTTTGCATTGCATAATCCAAGCGAAGAAAGCCGAGTTGTTAGTCTTGCAGAGAAGCCGGAGAAATGCCGAGAAGGAGAAGTCAGGCAGCAAGCGAAGTGCAGCGAAAAAGAACTTGAGCGCACTCGTCGCGGCGGAGGAGCTCGCGCAGAAGAGTCAGAGCATGCTGCCGGCGTTCGTCCAGTCACTAGTCGGGTTTGGCGGCTTTGAAGAGAAGTATCGCGGCACGATGCGATACTTCTACCGGCGCGCGACGAACCCAAAAGCGACCCCAAAGCGGACGAGCCGTGTAGCTTTTTCGTCCTCTACAGGCGGAAAGATGACCAAGATGAGAGAAGAAGATCCGGAAATCACGACGAGCAGCAGCCCGGAGAAGCCAAGCACGCACGACCAAGAATATAATCTGTTACACGGTGCTGGCGGAACATCAATGTCTTCAAGCGGAATGAGAACAACTAACTCCCGAGGCGTACAACTGGCTGGTCAGAGCAGCATGATGCCAAATAGCAGTAGCCGTACCACCCTGAATATCGGGACACGCGTGCCGTCGCAAGCGACGTTAGACTTGACGGGAAACCTGGCGACACCCTCGCAGCCCATGCGGTTTTCGCGGCAACACACGTCCGAAGACGGCCCGAGTTCTCTATTTGGCAATGAGAAGCAAGAAGAACAACAAACTTTCGTCGAGAACAACAATCGGCCTCTCCCCTTGGTCCTGTGCCACGGGTTGGGGGTCGGTTTGGTGGGGTATGGTACCATGGTGCGCGGTATGGTCGAGACCTTCGGGGAGGAATACGACTTGTTTGTGTTGTCAGAGCCCTGGGTGAGCATGCGGGTCTACGACGCAGTTCCCACGGGAAGGGAAGTCGCGCTCGCGATCATGCATGTGCTGGATTTCCACGGCTACCAATCCGCGCATTTTGTCGGTCACAGCTACGGCACGGCGATCTGCAGCTGGTGCGTGAAGCACGCGCCCAGCATGGTAAAGAAGTTGACGTTGCTGGATCCGGTGTGCTTCCAGACCCTGAAGACCGCCTTGGGCACGATGTCGGGCACGTTCCGCGAGCCCGGAAACATCGTGGACGCAGTGATTTCCTACGTCGCGTTTCGCGAGTTGTTCACTGTCTTCGCCATGTCGTGGATTCACTGGCAGGACACGGAGCTGTTCCCCGAAGTGTTGCCGCAGGGCCAAACGCTCGTGTTTTTACAAGAAAACGACAGCATCGTTCCGGTGCAAACCGTCCGCGGCTACCTCTCCGAGTACGAACCGTTGCTGAAAATCGTCTACAACCCGGGCACGTTTCACGCGTGCTTCCTGCTACCCCAGTTCAACTACCTCCTGCAAACGGTGCTGTGCGAGATCCTGAGTTTGCACGAGAAACCAGATCATGCTTTTGGGGGCGCTAGCGCCATGAACGACGCAGCTCTACTACCGGGGACGAGTAACAACGGAGGCGCTGGAGTAGAAATGCAAATGAATGCAAGTTCTTTGAACGATTTCCCCTTGACTTTGACCAGCGACTTGACGATCCGCAGTTCGGGGCAGGATTTGAGCGCGTTGTACCAGCAGCATGCCCCGGTGATACTAGAAGAGGACGACCACGTGGAGGAGGAGATCGCCCATCTCCTGAAAGTCGGGCACGAACACGAGGAAGCCATTGCCGATCTTAGTCGAGCGACAAGCAAGAACTACAGTGAAGACGACGAGCGCGAACGGGAACGGAGAACCAAAATATCCAGCCCCCGCAACGTAATCCTAATCAGTCCACCGCCGGGAACTACAAAGCCTACTCTCGATTCCGTACTAGTGCAACCTCCACCGGTGTCTACCCCAGGATCCGGCTTTGCCACGAACATCGTCCAACAAATGAGCTCGCCGACCGAGAGTGACAGCTACAGCAACAGCGCCGCCAGTGATTAGAAATCACTTGAATGATGTTGTGCGAGAAAGAGCATCTCCACCAGCCTAAAGTGGGGGACAGTACTCGCAGCACTGTCGCATGCTGCCTCCTGGGACTGCAACATGGGCCGCCACGACGACGCCGTCGCTCCCGTTTCGGTTTCGCATTGGAAAACTGATTGTTTCGCAAATTTTACCAATACTGTTCGTTCTTGTATCGAGCTACTCGCTCCATCTTTCTCCGCTACAAGGAAGTATGTTTGTCTTGTATAGATATCTGTACCCAGCAACAGCATCCACAACGCACAATTTGATAGTTTGACAAAATGTAGCTGTGTCATAAGCGGTCGCTAAGCCTAAATGTCCCTCCACCCTCACCACATAACCACCGGATTCGCCAGAACCTCTTCGACAAGTTTCCGTTTCAAGTTCCATTTTATCCGAATGCATACATTTGATGATGCGAGTTCGGCATCTTCTTCAACTATACAGGCTTTGCCCCAATTTGAGGATGCCTGACGCCCCAGAGTGTGACAGGTTTTTGAAAATTGACCGTGTTCGCAAGTACTTAGTTTGTGTTCGAGTGATGATGGTGTCTCCGCGGCATGTTGAAAAGAGTGAATTGGTGTTGTGGACGTCTTGAGAGAGCACGAGGGAACTACATTTGAATGAGCGTGTTCCATTGCAAAAAACCCAGCAAATAACGCAAAATGAGGTAGAAGATGAGACACGAGAGGACGTAAACAAAAAGCGGTGCTCCCTGTCACTTGTGTTTACAACTGAAGCAGGGATGATTCTCTAGGTTCCCAGTATTTCTGTTCAGCCAAAGAATCCGATCGAAGGTGAGAGCTGCGCTATCACAGTCAGATGGATTAGGTTTAGGACAACTGACTCTCCGAAGCAGGAGGTCTTGTTACTTGTTCGTCAATTTTTAGGATCAGTATTCCCGCCCGCGCGACGGACCAACGATGGATGAATTGGACGACGGGCCGACCTACGCCTTGACTGACCAGCAGCTCGAGTCTTTTCGAAATGTTTTCACGATGTATGCCGAACCGGTGGCCAGCGAGGAAGAGGAACCCAAGTGCAAGTGGGAGCACTTTCCCGCCATGTTTCGTGCGGTCAACCAAAATCCAACCTTGAAGGAACTGGATACTGTAATCGCGGAATTCAAGAAGGGCGAGACCTTCGACGTCGACTGCTTTTTGAGAATCATGGACTCCCCCTTCAATGCGGTATATTCAGTGCAAATTCATCAACATCAGCTAGACATAGAGATATATTGGACGTTTTGATTCTGCTGCTACTTTTTTGCCGCGGCCTGCTGCATGTTGATCACCGTTTCCATCCAACCCCTACAAATGCATTGAATCTACCACTAGTACACCTAGAATGATCTCCATTTCTGATATTTCTACATCAGGATCCATCCACTACTACTACTACATCAGGATCCTTCCAAGCCGGAGGTGTTAATCGAAGCATTCCGAAAGTTCGACCGGGACGGGGCGGGCATCTTGAAAGCTGCGGTGATGCGATACGCCCTGGGCTGCATCGGCGACGCACTGGAAATAGAATCGGTCGATGAATTCATGGACTACGCACACAGTGTAGCGGACAAGGAGAAAACCGGCGAAATCGATTACGAGCTGCTGGTGAAGAACCTCTTCGAGAAAGACCCGGGAATCACGGCTTGCTTGTGACAAGAGCACAACTTCTTATTACGTGTGAGCAGGCGATGAGTGTGCGTTCGCGTCAGTATCCGATGCTGGTAAAATTTCCTCTTCTACCCGGTTGCATTTGCCTTGCTGTGGTTACTCCAGTAACGGGCCCCCAAAACAGGAGCAGAAGAAACTTGAAAAAAACCTTAAAAAAGCTTGAGCATTTTTGATTTATAGCAATTCAAAAAGCAAAAACCAAGAGGGGCAGCCGGAGGAGAAAAAAAACGCACGGAACGGGCGCGATTTCCGGTCTCTGGAAATCGCAATCGCGCCGGCGATTTTGAAAAACTAAGCGAGGTGAACGGCTGGCGCAGATTCAAAATCAAAGGACTCGAACGGGAGGAATTTTTTTCATTTTATGGCGCGCCAAAATCCAAATCTGTGCTGCAGGAATAGCCATCCATAATTTTCGCGCGAAGGCGCGCCACTTTCAAAAGTTTACGAGTGCGACTCGGGGCAGATATTTTCCGCAGACATGGGGCAGCATTTCGCACGAACTTGACGGCCGCGGGGCGCGGTTCTTCTTCATTTGGGTGGGGGCCGCCTCGATGCATTCACTGCGCCGCGTGCGGGGGTGTTCAAAGTCCCTGCCTCGCACGGGCGCCGGCTGCCGGGGTGCCCGAGCTTGGCGGGCGGTGGGGTTCTGGCTCTTGCGAGGCCTTTTTGTAGTGCCGAAGCGGCCCCACTCGGAAGGCTTGCCGGCACAAAGGGCGGGCGCAGCGGGCCGTCCTTCCCGGGCCCCCCCGGAGGCCCTTTCATAATACACAAAGCCCCGCGGCCAGCGGGACTGCGCAAGCAGCTTCTGGCCCCCTAGGCTTGTACGCATAGGGGCGCCCACGCGCGTGGGCAGGCGGCCTCTTTGTTCCCCGCGCCGTGTTTGCGCGGGTGCGATCCGGCCCGGAAAATGAAGAAAATCAAAAGTGCCACACCATCGGCCGGAGGGTGTGATAGTATCACACCCTCCCATCAAAAGTATCAGATACTTTTTGCCGCGGTGCTGTCATGCATGCGAAAAAACACGCAGAACCCGCGTCGACCATGCCATTGGCTCTGGGGTGTGATACTTTTTGGCAGGATGAGTTCACGGAGGCCGAAAATGATGAAAGCGACGCCGGCCATACCGTGGGCTCTAGGTTGTGATACTTTTTGCCAGGCTGCTACGGCGTTCAAACTTGCAACCCGGCGAAAGTGTTGGCGAAAATGCGTCACCTCCGCCGAAGCATCTCGGCAACAGGCGAAAACAACTTGGATCTGCCGACGTTTTTGGGCCAAAATCTGAAGGGCTCCGTCCACCATACCACCGGGGCTAGCTTGCGATGGCTTCCAAGCACGCGACCCGGCTTGCAAGTCTTTTCCAAGTTTATTTCAAGTTTTTGCTGCGATTTCGGCCGCCCGCGGGCGTGCCCAGTTTTGGGCTACTTCCTGAGGCCTGTCCACGGGCTGACGGAGCCGATTTGCGAGTCGCAAAAGCGGCGGCGCCTTCCGAAGGCGCCGGCCGAACTTGGGAAGGGGGGTAAAGTCCTGACTTTTGCTGGTTTTCTTCGCCCATGGTGCCGCCGTGGTAAAAAGTATCACACCCTAGCGCCGCTTGCATGGCGAACGCAGGTTGCCGCGATGGCGAAAGGGAAAACCTTCGCCCGCGTGCCCGCCCTGCGAAAAAGTATCACGCCCCAGCGCCCATGGTATGGTCGGTCGGGCTTTCCGCCATGCCCCCCGGCTGCTTGCTAAGCACGCCGCGCCCGCTGGCGCCGCCAGCCTGGGCGCGGCCGGCCCCCTCGCTCGCCGGCCCCGGCGGCCCACGGCGTCCCTTCGTGATTTCTACCGGCGCGCCGCGGCCGCCCCCGGCCCATCGATCGGCAGGCTGCGCCGGCCATCCGCCAGGGGCGGGCACCGACGAGCCCGGCGCACGCGGGTGCGCCGGGCTATTCCCAACAAAGAAAGGGACGAACCAGCGCGCCACCCCTAGCGCCCACCGTCGTCCGCCCGGGCGGGCGCGCCCCCTCCGTGTGGCCTGCCGGCCTTTTTGGGGCATCTATCAGGCTCGGCGTTCTTTTCGGCATTGGCGGCGCGGAGCCAGCTTCTCGCCAGTGATCGGGCGGATTGATTAGTGGTGGGCGCGTTCTGCTTTCTCTAGGTATAACGAAAAAGCAGCGAAGGCGGCACCCAAAACAATCCGCGCCCGGTCTAAATCTCGACAATAGGCAGCTTTGGCTGGAGCGGCCAACTGTCCGGATTCGGATCGTGTTTTGATTTCAAAGCAAAGCGGTTTTGGTTCCTGGCATTAAACGCGAAAAACAATACGAAGAGGCACAGAAAGCGTCGCGCCGTGCCATAGCTTGTCCTCCTGTTGTTGGTTTCAAAGTTGGGCGCGTCACAGGTGCGCTCACAGAACAGCTCACTTTGAAGCCGTCGCGACCCTCTCGAATATGGGTCGCGCAAGTCTTTGGCAACTTGGTTGCAAGTTTCGATCTCCATAAAATTGGGGGTCCGTTCCACCAGTAATGTGGTAAGAGCCGACTGCTTATTTTCTTGTGAGCACTGCGGCTGCGGCTGCGCTGCACTAGTATTCTATCCGGGCTGCAAAGTTTCTTTTTGTTCAAGCTGATGCTGAACGAGAGAGTGAAGACGTGAAATTTAGAGAGTAAAGTGAATGGTGGGCCGCGAGATTATGCTCCGCCGCAGAGAAACAGAACCAGAAGCCGAAACGTGTATGGTTGACTCAACCGAAGAACAAAGTCATGATAAACAAGAAATAGTAAGTGCGCAGGTCCCTGTGTCGCCAAGCGCGCCCGGTTGCGCGCTCGTATGGTTTTTTTTTGTTGCGCAGGAGTAGGAGTACCATTCGCAGCTCGTTGTTCTTTTTTTTTCGACATTGTTGTATATGCTGACACACGCCATGCCGCTTTACCTTCACGCTTTCTCTTTCAATTTCAAACTGACGCAGAAGTAGATCATTGGTTCTTTTCACCTCACTTGAAGAGCAACGCAGTTACAACTACGCCGCATAGAGAGTAAGTGCCTAGGTTCTTTTTAAGTAAGTAGTTCTCCTTCTTCAACTTTATTTTTGAGTAATTTTCTGCAAACCAGTGTGAGCAGATATAGAGTGGAGAAAAATGGCGGTCGAAATAACCGAGACCGGTCGCGTTGTATCATCTGGGAGTTCTGTTTCTCTTTCGTCATGGTCTGCTTTTTTGCCTGGTTTGCGGAGCACCAGCGGTGAAGTTGGTTCTCCAAGTCGTGGAGCGGTGTCATCGTCTTTTCCACGCCCAAGACAACCGGCAGAAAACTACGAAAAAGCTAGAGTGGACGGCATGGAAACCTCGTTTATTGCATCGGCGTCTCGGAGGTGGATTTCTGGCAACGGAACAAGAATACGTTCGTCCGCGGCTTCGCAATCTTTACCGACGCGCATGGCGAGACGACTACGACACAGAAAGAATAAAGAACGAAGCAGGTGGCACAGCGATGTCGCCAAGCCTGCACCTAGTGAACTTAAGACTGTGCAACTGAAGTTTGTGGTCGATCCGGCAGCTGCTACTACCCGCAATGTGAACGAGCAGGAGCCCGAGCCTGACAAGGCCGTCTTCCCCATCGTAACAAGAGCGCGCTCTGCTCTAGCAAGACTTGCGGGCCATGCGGCCATCACTGGCAAAGAAATCGCACCTGTGCTGCGGACTTGTTCCACGCGCCAACGAAAGCGGTGCAAGAGAACGCAAAAGACTTCTACTTTCCCTTCGCTGAGGTCCTTTTGGATAACGACTGTGGTAACGGTTTCCGCGTTTTTGAGTGAAGACCCCTGTGGCTTGTTTGGCGACTCTGCCTTCGAAGACGCGGACGAGTTCTACGAGTGCGCCGCCCGCTTTCTCGTTTCGCACGAGGACACTCTACGAAAGACGCGGGACTACGGGCTGGCCGGTGGGTATAAGGCGACCATCCAGCGGCTGTGGTACCTAAGACGGGATGACCTCGCCGAAAAGATCTTCAATCAGGCCAAGGCGAAAAAAGGACTGACGTGGCCTTCGGTATGATGAATTCGATTTGATTATTGATTTATCAAGATGCGTGATGAATACTGCTGCGTGGTCGAGGCGCGGGCGCCCACAATTATGGCGAACCTGTATTAACATTTAGTGACATACAAAACTCCTCATGACACTTAGGTATACTGGACACCCACCGTATTTTTCGAAGAAGCCGACCAAGGCAGTACGGGACTCTACGATTGCGAACGCGCCTGGGACGGTGACAGTATCTCGAACTTCGCATGGCCGTCCGGCCCGTCGGGCAAGGGCGGCCGGGACGGAAAAGGCAAGGGAGTGCAGAAATCTTCGGCAACTGGAAAAGAGAAAAGCGTAGGAGCTTCTTTGGTTTCTTCCCACACGACGGCACTTCCTCGCACGCTGCCGCAATTGCTAAAGGAGAACTTTTCCGCACTGAAGAAAGAGTACATGTCCGTGCCCCGCTCGTTGTTTCAACCTGCCTTCTCGTATCTGGACCGCGACGGGTCTTGGGAGGTGCTTTGGGTCTACCGCAAGTCGCGCTGGGAGAACGAGGAGCTGTGTGCGCAGTACCTGCCGGGGTTGTGCGCGCTGCTGAAGCAGGTGCTTCCGTCGCCAGAAGCATCTGACTACCCTTCCGTCCGTTGCCGGTTCCTCGGTTTGAAAGGAAAGGAATGCGATAAAAAAGTCCGTAAGTCGGCGGATTCGAGCATGCAGAAACTGCTAAATTCGCGAGCCGAAGCGCTAGACAACACCGAGGAAGTTCTGTTTCTCCGCATGCAGGGCAGCGCGCGCACCTCGCCGCATTGCGGTCGCTCGAATTCGCAGGTCAACCTCCACTTGACGCTCGAAACGCCACAGAGTATATGACTTTGCTTCTTTTACGTTTGGAAACCTATCAAAGTTTTTAGCAAGTGATTCAGAAATAACCCAAGCCGTAGCCGTCAACACCGTCTGTATCTGTCTACGGACTAGGATAGTTTGAGCGCTTCAGAAGCAAAACCATGCTCAAGATAAACCCTTTTTCTATTTCTTTTTTGCAATCTCTATCTCTTCAGGCTCCAGTTCAAAAGCTTTGCTCACGGTGGGCGAGGAAAGCGTGGAGCAGGTAGCGGGAAGCATGTACTGTTTCAACGACGGAATGCGCCACATTGCGGAGTTTACTAATCCCGAGAAAACCGGCGTCCGGACCGTGTTGGTCATCCGGGTCACCAAATTTCAAGCGAAGTCCGCCGCCATCTCCGCCACAGAGTCCGTCCGACAAGCGACATTGCCTGCTTCCACGGACGTGAATACCAGGGCTGCTGGGTCTAGTTGGGTGGATGAAGCTTCAGGCCGCACCGACGAGTTGTAATTGTATTGTTCTTCGGCGGGGGCGGCATAACAGGACGAGGAGTTGCTTCGAACTATTTCTATTGGGGTACGTCGCAGTCTCCGGTTCTGCCGGTTCGTTCTGGGGGTCGTGACAGGAATCGGCATGTCGATCAACGGAACGAACAGAAAAAGTTGTATTACACCCGAATGAGACGCTCCTCCGTACCCCTGGTTGTTCTTTAGCGGGCGTTGTCGAGGGGCTCTCTTGCATACCAAATTTTTTATTTGAAGACAGCAGTTCTTAGTTACTCTCGCCCAGGTAGTTCTTTTTGACGCCATACTCATGAACCGCTTCGCCTCATGAAAACTTTTCATGGCAGCTAACTCAGTTCTTGATGTCCAAATCAATCGTACGGCCCGTTCTCAGATGAAGATGAAGTTCAGAATTGTTGGAGAAACGCAATTCTGAGATGAACTTCTCCGGCAAAGTGTAATGTTCGTGCCTTTGTTTGCCAATAGCAACGAATACGAATACGAAATCGTAAGACAGAAAGATCACGACGACCCTGCACCTCCAAATTTGACAGCACCAACACAAGAAGAAATTGCTAAAGAAAGTGAGTTCAGCCTCTTTGCCGATCCGTACACCCAAATGTTGAAGATCAGTATCATGATGATGCCTCCAGTCCTTATGGATCTGTTACTTCAACGATCTAGATGACCATTGCTCGGTAATTTCGAGCGCTTTATTGATTGCGATCAGAATTCGTGCAGCACTACTTCTGGAAAAATTCTTTTCCATGATGTCATTTTTGTCTCTCAGGTTCGTTGAGGCGGTACATAACAGATCTAGCTCTAGGAATTCATTTCTGTATCCGCTGGAGAATATTCACGACATCTTTTGGTCATCTACTGTACCTGTACCATCCGACAATAACAAAAAAAGTGAATCATTGTTCTATGAAAGAACCTCATCAAAAAAATGGTGATATACGACGACTTCTGTTCCGAGATAGTGTTTTGAAGTTGGATACGGTCGTATTTACCAAAGTCGAACCGCCCATTTAGTATTAGCACTCGCGAAAAATGGGCAATAAAAATAGGTTTCGACACCAGGGTGGGCAGCACCCTGCCCGGCACAACGGTGGTGGGTTCCATCGGAATGGAAACAGCAATTTCGTCCCGGGCAATAGTGTGATCAAATCGTTTGACAAGCAGCATAACTTCCCGAACAACAGCAACAAACCGCATGGAGGAGCAGGCTCAAACCCAACAATATCATCGTCTTCAACAAATAAATCGCGGTCGTCGCCTGCGCGAAAAGTCGGCTTGATAAACCCCCGATTTTTCTGCTTCTACAACAGTTTGCTGCAATGTCTGTACCACACCGACGATTTTAGAGAATACGTACTCTCGGACACCGCGAGCCGCGACCTCCGAAACGCGACAGAGCGAAATAGCTCGATTCCGCTCGATGCGAAGAAAAGTGGCTGTCCTCTCGGGGACCACAGGCGAAAACTGGTGCGCGTCCAGGAGGACCTTCGCAGCCTGTTTCACAGCATGAACAACTGTCCCAGGAACGCACTGAAACCCAGTGATCAGCTGGTATTTTTACTAATTTCACGCTCGAGAAGTTTCAGGATTTTGAAACACGGTATTGCTCTGAGTTCGCCTCGAATTTCTGACATGAGCATCACAAGGTCCACAAACCGCAGCTTTTGATGTTGCGTGATCCAACGCATTTTTGCAGTTTTCGAAAACCAAATTTCATCAGATTCAGAAGCTGTTCCAGGGGAGAAATCACCACCGCTTGATGCAGGACTCTCACGAACTGTTTAACCGAGTGATGGCGCGTTCACACGAAGAAGTCTGCCCGCAAGCGGACCGCCGCAGTGAGGTGGAGAAGCACAGTTTCGGGCCGTACACGGTTTTCGGAGGCTTTCTGCAGCAGAGCGTCGTGTGCCAGAAATGCCATACGGTACTTACGTCGCTTGGGATTGTAGTTAGATGCATCCCGAACGCAGATGCAGAAAATGTGAAGTCTCACTCCTATGGTCATGTCCTGCGTGTTGAATAATTGCGGCCAACTCGACATTGCAGCAGTGTTTTTCTTTTTCTCCAAAATAAGTACGACAACTTGATCAAAAAAAAACAGGCTTCCAAGCGCACTGATCCTGTGATGGAAATTTCTTTGAGCTTTCCCGTCGAGCAGAGGAACGGAGGTGGGCGGTCGTTTGGGAACAACAGGAATCGCATTCAGATGCAGCAGCAGCAGCAGCACGGTGGCGGAAGCCAGAAAGTCAGTGTGTACGACCTGTTGCAGCACTACTTCAGGAAGGAGCACCTGTGTGGAGAAAACAAGTAATTTGAATTCCGCATTTCTTGTTCCTAATACCATGCATGGAATTCGTCCTCGACCCGGAAAAAACCTATGTACATTAAGCTGAAACATCGCAACAATGGAACATCATCCTCTTTTTCAGGTATCTTTGTTCGCACTGCAAGAGCAAGCAGAACGCGACCAAATTCCAGCAAATCCACCAGATTCCGAAGCACATGGTTTTTCATTTGAAGCAATACGACGACTGCGGCCGCAAGGTGAACAAAAAGATCGAGTTGCCGCAAGTCATCAAAATGGGCAAATACACTACGGCACCCGATGAGGAGTGTGAGTACCAGCTTTACGCGACCCTACACCACAGCGGCGCGACGACCCAGGACGGCCACTACTACTCGTTCACGCGTGACGGGGCAGAGTGGTACTATCAAAACTAGTTTTACTAGGCGTGGTTCTACTATGTGAAATGCAGTTCTTCACCTACATGCCGTGGACGAGCATGTGATGTTTCATAGGAAAAGGTCATGGCAGAGTAAGCAAGGCTATTCCACCAAGCCCCAAGTACTCGACGCAACTTGATTCCCACTATCTCTATCTACCAAACTAACAGGACCTGCTTCGACGATTGCCGAGTGAGCCGGAGTTCGTATGAACAGGCGACGAAATACAACATTTCTCAGGGGCGGGGAATGTTTGGCGGTAATATCACCGGCCCGTACATGGCTTTTTACGAGTTAGTGAAAGGAAAACCGCGCAGCCTCCTGGAGGAGGAAATGTCGCAGAAGTGCAAGAAGGCGAATTTGGACAAGAAAATCAAACAGCGCGCCGCGCAGGCTGCTGGCGGCGTGGAGAGGGAAAAAGGGAGGTCCGCCTCCGTCACTGCTGGCGGTGCGGCTGGACCGGATGGTATTCAAGTTAAGGTCGAAATTAACGGTTTGAAATGTAAAAAAGAGAAGCCATCAGCAGTGTGCGGAAGCAAGGAGGAACCGCATGAACAGGATCTGCAGAAACAAAGCCCAGTTGTCGCTAGTACCCCCGCAGCTCAAGCGCAGCTCCCAGGCGACCAAACGTCCTCGGTCACAAAGCAAAGCAAAAAAGAGAGAAAGCTGATGTTGAAGAAGTTGAAAAGAGCTGCTCTTCTAGAAAAGGACCCGGCTGCGGCTGCCAACGATTCCCCTGAAGTTGAAACGACATCAAGTACGACTGCAAAACCGAATGAAGAAAAGAAGCGCGACGTCGCGACTGCTAGTTCCAATACTTCCGACACAGTTCTACCCCCTGCACTACAATCTCAACTACCTGGTGCTAAAGCGACTGCACCCGCCACCAGCGCGACGTCATCTACTTCCTCTGCTCTACCGGCGACTGTTCGACCATTGAACACTTCCAACTCCTCGTCTGGAAAAATTATGTTAGCAACACCTTGCCTGCTCCAAGGCGAAAAGAAAGAAACCTCCGCTAACGCCGCAACAGAAGCTAATAGTTCCGGCGCTGCACCAGCACCACCAACTTTGCAACAACTTGCCTCAGATCAGACGAACGAAACCAAAGTGAAGAACAAAGGTAGTCGTGCCACTTCTTCTAAGCACGACGTCGAGGCAAGTGCCACATCCTCCACGACCGCAGGAGGAGAACCGCTTTCCCGCTCTTGCTCTGCGACATCGGAAGCGGCGCAGCAGGTGAGCCACCCGAATGCAATTACCGGCATTGTCCGACCCGGCACAACAGCGGCCTCCTCCTCCAGTACAGGAGGATCTTCAACTGTGGGCAGCTCCACTCTGCAGCTGACTTCCAATTCTTCCTGTGGAGCGGATCAGATCGATGTGACTCCCTCGACCGCAGCTGGATCCCCGTCGTACGGCAACGGAGGCGCAGGGGAATCGTCGGTAGAAGAACCGAAGACGGAGCCCCCTGCGGCGGTCTCTGAGCCTCGCATCGAAGAGAAAATCGCTGTCGCTGGGAGCTGCGGCTCTTGTTCGTCATCGTCTGGTCTGTCTGGATCTACACCGTCTGAAGCGGGTGCGTCTGCAAAGAAGCGGAGACCACCGAGCTGCAGAGATGACAAAAGAGATGACGAAGTTGTTGAACGACCGAGTGCAACCGCAACGGCAACATCTGTTGCTGGTGGCGTGGAAGTAGAAGAGCCTCCAAGAAAGAAGAAAAAGAAAAGACAAGAAGCGAAGGAGGCTCGCGAGGCGACAAAAGATGAGCGAGAAGTTCTCCGAAAGCAGCTGCAGTTGTCAGACGCGAAGAAACTTGTCGTGCGTGATGAAGCAGCGCCTGTACAAATTTCTAGGGACCAGGCACCAGCAGCAGCCGCAGTTGTTTCGAGCAAAGCAGTCTCCGTGGGTGAAGAAATGTTGTCGATGCACCAGGACCACGCGAGGCAAGCTGCAGCTGAAGCATCGACTTCGTCAGCCGCAGCAACGACTGAAAAGAAAAAGAAAAAAAAGAAAAGAAGCAGAACGTCAGAAGTGAGTCAATCAAGGCTCCACCTGTGTGAAGAGGGAGAGGATCACGCTGCTGATGCTGTGGAGATGAAGAAATCCAGCGCTACATCAACATCCGCCACGTCAATAGAAGCTGAAGTGCATGATCAGAAGAGCGAGCTTGATACGGAGCCTGTCGAACCCGAAAAGAAGAGAAAGGTGAAGAAAAGCAAAAGACGGAGCACCTCAAGTGCCAGCTCTATGATGAAGGACAAGATTCCAGAGCCAGAGCAGATCGTCGATGGAAACCGCGACGTCAACTCTGCTCGACCGACTTCCGATAAAACCGGAGCTACTGAAAGAAAACCTGTCGACGGGAAAGATGGAGACAAGGTAAATTCTCAAACCGTGGTGGCTACATCGAGAAACGAAGACTCTAAGGGCGCAGCGTCAGCCCCGGTTCTCTCGGACATTACTCATTCCAGCGAACAAGGAACGAAAACCGATGCTCAGGGGCCATCGAGGAAAGCTGCAAAGAAACTTAAAAAAGGAGATGTTGACTACAGAAAACGAAAATCAGGGGATCACAATACCCAATATGGGCTCAATTCCGTGTCTGCTTGGTCGTCCGATGAAGAAGTAGAAAATGGCCCACAAAAGAAGCTGGTATCGAGTGCCAATTCCGATTTCCGAAAGATCCAACGGCAACTGCAGCCCAGCATTGTCCAGCGAGATGCGCATGATATCGAATACGATCAGGGTAAGCGCAAGCACAAAGCAAAGAATAAGATGCGACAAAATTTCCAGGGCCACCAGGAGGGCTTCAATAGTGCTGGGCTGTGGAAATTTGAGCAGCGAAAAAGCAATCGGCACTAAGCGAAAATTGCTTGAACAAATTGCCCGCCTTGCGAAATGTATGTTTTACTGCGACGACATAAATAAAGAAAAAGAAAAACTGCACAGAAGAAGCGAATTATATGCAAAGGACTGCAATAAAAATAAATCCAAATGATGAGGGTGTTCTGGAGGTTTCAAAGACAGAGTGGGCCGGCGGGGTCTCATTGTAAAAGAGGCCCCAACCGGTCGCGGAAGTGATGCGTTTTTGGCTTTAAAACAGTAAGTAGCGCCAACATCCAAGAACAAGTAGCATGTTTGTGCCCTTAAGCCCAGTGGATCATAATCATACCTCTTAGCATGGTGGACCCGATCTAAATCTGCGTCTACATCTATCAAAATATTGCTCAGCATCAATTTAGATAGTACTATGTGGCTTTGCTTTCTTTGGAAACGACGGGCGCGGGTCAATGCAATAAATTGCGTACAAATTTTTACGAGCGATCATAATTGCAGAAAATTATGCTGCAGCTGTGCAATCAATATCAAAATCATAACTTGAAATTATCTTGCTTTTCACCAAAACGAAATTCTTTCTTTTGCATGGATTTTTTGATCGTTCTTCTTACTTTTAGACGTAAAAAATGTTTAGCTGGTTCAAGAGAGATTTAATGTTAACCCGTGTCGTCTTCCTGCGCTTCAGTTTCAGAATTCTACACTCGTGCATGATTTTTTTTGTCCGCCCAAAAAACTCTCACCAGGCCCGCGACCACACAGGACTATCTCCCACCCTTCCTGTGTGCACTTGTACCTGTTTTGAAAGCAACTGGAAGCACAGCGAACGCATATGAGAAGCAATAAAAATTGACACTGATATGATAGTAGTGCTAGCAAGTCGACAGTGAAGAACAAGTACAAGTAGAACTAGAAGACAGCGGGAATTAAGTAATGCGAAGAGTACTTAGTAGTCCGAGCTTGCAGATGAATTATAACAAGTAAGAAGGTACTTTTTGATATCTCCTTCTCACCAAGATGGACGCGCAACGGGCTCTGCTTGATAGTTTGATGGGGGCGTCTCGTAACGACGCCAAAGCCTCGAAGGAACACTACACAGACCGGAATGTGTGCAAATTTTGGTTGATCGATTTCTGCCCGCACGAGTGCTTTCACACCAGCGTGACCGGTAAGGCAGCGGTGAACAGCCCTCTGGGCGAGTGTCCCAAGCAGCACAGCATGCATCTGAAAACCCAGTTTCAGGAGGACACAAAAGACGGAGAAAAGAACCGACGAGAGTACGAGAAGGATCTTCTAAAATACCTGGATCGCATGGTATCCGAGTGCGATGCGAAAGTGCAGCGCGAAAGGCGGCACTTGGAGAGCAAGGGCTCCCTCACCAAAATTCGGCGCCATGCGGGGCTCACACCCATGAACCAGGAGCAGCTTGTGGAACACAAAATTATCCAGCTAAAGCAGACCATCCAGGAGAAAATAAAAGCGGCAGAGTTGCTCGCGGAGGATGGTAAATTGAAAGAGTCTCAAGAAATTATGGCGGAGGTACGATTCACTTACTTTGACTTTCCTGTTGTAGCTGCGATGTTGGTGTTGGAAGAACAAGGATTAATAGATTTTGGCGACGCGGCGTATCGCATAGTCGTCAATGATGAAGAAAGTTTTCAGTAACAAACCTCGACACGTCGCATCGCGCCTTCTCGACGCACAGGTCGCTGCTACCTTTATTCCACTTCCTGCAAATCAACGTTCTCATTACTGTACAAACGAAATAGGACGATCATGGCGATGCGCCCCGCGGCTAGATTGAGCTTTGAGCAACAGCTTGCTACACCTTCCAGGGCCACAAGCAACATCGACACTCAACTGGAGAGATCGGTGTTAAACATTACTAGTTGGCATGCATGTTGTTGTGCTGTTTGAAATATTGCGCTTTTGAACATCGAGCGAACTCATAATTTCATGGATGCTGCACTGATGAAGAACGCTTCATCGATCCAAATGATGTATCCACAGCCCCGATGGCCCGGCACGTCTGCTCGACTTTCGATCCTTACTGGCGGAGGAAGCGAAGTCCAAAAAGAACAACGCATGCGTATCTTCATGCGTACCTACACGCGGAAAAATGTGAAATTATAGGCCGCGAACGGATAGAGCAGGGCAAGTTTTCTAGTCCTGCTCTCCGAACGAGCAAGGAAGCTAAAACCGATTTGATCGAAGTAGAACTACCACTTTCCACGCACTCACAGGTGGAGTCTTTGAAAGCGACTATGGTCCAGCAAGGCGCAGCGGCGAAGCCCGCCAGCCTCGGCGTCGAGGGACTGGATGACACGTTTCAAGAGGACGTGTGCGACGTCTGCGGCCTGACCATTGACTGGCGCTGTGCAATGGAAATCGAAAACCGCCGGAAAGGTAGTTACTATACTGTGGTTGTAGCGTTGCTGCATGTAGTAGTTGTAGAAGTTCGCGTTCCTCGATAAACCTCCGCCCGGTAATTGTACCAGCGCGCATTCAGAGCCAGCTGTATCTTGTAGGAGAAGAAGTGTCTGATTTTGTCGCGTGGTAGCCACGAAGATGCTTGCAGAAAAACCTACAAGAACAACCGACTATAGAAAATGACGTACCTGCGACTTCATCTTAACACAGGTATTCCACACCCACACACCTCCGGGACGTACCACCAAGGCTACGCTATGATGCGCAAGAAGCTTTTGGAATTGAAGGAGAAGTACGGAGAACCGGACCGGGACGAAATGGTGTTCAAGACGAACGGTCGGGATCGGGAGCGCGAACGCGACCGGCGGGGTGACCGCCGACGGGACCAGTCCCGCACCCGAGATCGCAGGGAACGCTCGCGCGACCGCGGGGGGAGGAACTATTCCGCCCGGGACGAGCGAGGGGGCGGAAGAGGGGACAGACGAGGTGGATACCGCGATCGGTATTGATGACGGTGTTGTATCATTTTCATCTTCTCCAGCTGCACAAGTGCTGCTCAGCTCCTGCTTTTTTGCTGCTGCTCCAAAAAGCAGAGAGAACTTCACGAGAGCTGAAGGAAAAGATGCTCCCCAACGACTGGAAGTGCTGGCATTTTGTGATGTAGACCCACCAAAGGCAATGCGACACAACGAACAATCAATAACCAAAGATAGAAAAAAAGTAAAGCTAAAGCAAGGAAATCTTGTTTGGAATTTGCAGGGGCTGGTCAAAATCCAGGTGGTTCTAAGCCTGTTCTCTGAAACCAGTTTAGCAGTAATCTGCGCGACACCTGCTTTCGATCTACATGTTTTTTTGATGCGCGTGCTTCAGCTTTTGGTTTTTGTTCGTTGTAGGAAATCGCGGGAAGAAGCCGGAGCTTCGCGGGTCCCTTCTTGAATGGTCTCAACAAAAACGTGGTCCCTTCTTTCATTGTCTGATCATGAAGACACAGCTCGCAGATATAATTTTTCCTTCCGTTCTGTCGCCTGCAAAATCGATTCTGCTTTGGATGCTGTGCGATTTCATTGTTCTGCGCACAACGAATAAAATATCCATGACACCTGGACAGTCTCCACGAAGATGATGTCGAATGCGTTTTCCGCGTTGCTCGTTTTCTTGACAGTTCTGCACTATCACTGCCATGTCGCGTTTGCGGGTTTTGAGCACGAGCAGGAGGACTTCTATCCCTGGCTGGTGCGCGTAACCAACACCGTCGGTTTCGAGGACCGGTTTTCGGAGGGCGGCGCCGAATGGTTTCCCTTGTACGATTGCGCGCATGCGCGCGACAAGGAGATGAACTCTGCCCTGATGAACAGCGTTCGCATAAACTGGCTCGACAACTACGCGCGGTCGCTGCCGGACGGCGCTTCCTGTCCAGAGGACTACTTCACAATTTCCTCTGTCGCAGACGGGGACGACGGTCAGGAAGAGGACGCAGTCACCCAGATGCGCCGGATACAGGCGAATGAGAACAGTGCCTACCAGCAGTGCGCGGGCATCTTTCTCGCACCGGCACAAATTCGCGTGCACCCGCCGGCGCAGAGTCTGCGGGGGATCTTTCAGAAGTTCGGCAACGCGTTAGCCAACCTGCATTGGAACTTGCGGCACTACTGCTACATTTTGAACTTTCTTTACCGGCATTTTGGAGCGGTGCAGGACTTCGTACGACTGGATGATCGCAGAATTCTGGAGCTGCGGGGAAAGGAGCGTGGTCCGACGCAGGCCTTGTCTTCCGAGCTTGCAGATGCCGTACGGAAAGAGGCTGATGAATCGTGTGAGGCGACGAGTGTCGTGTTGGGGGCTGACGAGAAAACCCTGAATTACTACCACTGTCGGACTTTGCCCGCGGCGGAAGCGAAAACGGTGCAGAAATTCGCGTTCCAACGAAGAGGTGACCACCTCCATGGGCAACGAACTGAGCGCGAAGATGGACAAAAAGCTTCCGGCATGGAGGAGCCGCGGTCGTCCAGCAGCGCCATCAGGTTCGCAACTACTGGTACTATCATAGTTTTGCACTTCACGTTCGCTTGCAGGTTTATAAATGTGAAGCTCTCCACTTATTTGCGCGGTCTCGTCAGAGTCTTCGATGTGTGGCTTTGGTTTTTCTTCGTGCAACAACTCCTTCCAGCACTAGCTGAGGCCGCCAAGCCCCGATTTGAAAAGTGCCAGCCCAAGTTGTGCCCTAGCGCTAACTTGTTCAGCTACAATTCGGGATCTACAACTTCCTGACACAGAAATCCTTCAGGCGCAGCTCCATGGCAGCGGAGATCACGGCGATTTTGAAGTATGCCGACTCTTCGGGCCATGTCACGGTATCTGCCGTGCGAGAATACCTGCGACAGGAGGTTTTCAACACTGGAATAAGCCCAAGCGTCCTTGTGCCGCCCCCCGAGGATCTGGAAAGTTACCCGGACAACCATGATTACACTAGTGTCAGTGAGCTTCGCGACGAAAATGGTAGGAACGTTGGCACTGGCGCCGAGAATAGTAAAAGTTTGTACCACACGACCACCCAGAGGATCATTCCCTCCCTGCTGGTGCAGGATGCGGAACTTCTGAATCTGATCGCGCGCTCGCTCCACCTTATCCTGACCAACGAGAACCTGCGACTGCCGGCGGAGATTTACCACGGTGAAGAAAAACCGCAAGCAACGGAGGAATCCTTTGCACGGCAGGCTAGGGACTTGGAAACCGCCGACCTGGCTTACCTCGGGTACCGGTCACGCGACACACTTCCGGCAAAAGCCTTCCGCCAGGATTCGCACGCACTGGCCGCGTTGATGAGCCAGTGGCAGGATCTGACGTACAGGTTCCTCGCCTCGCACCACGACCTAATGCAGCGCCGCCACACAGAAAGGAAAGACCGCGACCAGAAAGAAAACCAGCGCCTCATCGATACGATCAACTTGGGGAATGGCGGCAAAGCTGAAGGTGGAACGCGCGAAGAAGGCCGCCGCCGCGAGAAAATCACTACAATTTCTGCGGGTGCAGCGCTCTCAAACGAAGCAGGGGCTGCATCTGCTGCGCCAACAGAAGACGCGGTGCGAGAAGATGTGATCGCGTACGCATATCGTGTTCTGGTCTACCACTGCCGCATATTGCACCGAAAATTCGCCGAGACGAAGTACATTGGTAGCCTGTTTGGTAGTTACAACACAAACCGCTATTTCGCAGCCGTGCCGCGGCCAGCCGAAAAGGTAGCTGCGCTAATTCCTGGCTTCAACTTTACAAACCTGGCCTTGAAGTTATCGCACGACATCGCCTGGGCGCAGCGGGCTTTTAGGCAGCAAGTTGGAGAACTAGCAGAAGTTCTGGACAGTTTTCCGTACAATTTGTCCTCGCAGCAGGGCTACAATAGAGAGGACACAGGGAATAAACGAGCAGCGTTTTCACGAACAGCAAATGACGAGGATCCGAATAAGAAAGCAGGAGCGCAGCAAGGACTTCTACAAGCCAAATTTCCGCATTTATCCACACACTACGAATACCATGCGAGGTTGCTTCCAGAATTCGAAAAAAACACGAGAGTGGGCACAGATGACGAACAACTCAGCGCACTTTCCCATTGGATCGCACAGCACATTCTGTTTCCGCACCATCCACAGAGCTTCCGGGAATCCATCGCGGTGAGGATAAAGAACGTCGCTGAATTGCAGCAATCCGTTGCGAAGCGCGAACTCGGCTACGTAACGCGTGTGGCTGTGCCGGTCCTGAAGGCCCTGCGCGCACTCCTTTCAGAAATGTTCGAAGGCGCGGACTTTCCGAAATTTCGCAAACTACATTATTCGGAAATGAGCACGCCGAGGAAGGAGGACAAGAATCTACTCACCTACGATTCCCATTCCCTCCTACCCGTGTGGACAGACGGGCACTCCCCGCTGTTCCACGACTACCGCAGTGAGGTACAGGAACTGACGCCGGCAGTGCACCATGCGTACGACGAGATGCTGCCCCGGTTCGACGCGTACTACCGGCTGTTTGCGACCGCGATCGCCGCGGAAAACGCGGAGCGCATTCTGGAAAACGGCTATGACATCGATTTGGAGGTCCGACACGCACAAAAAGGTTTTGTCGTCACCTGCCAGCGGGAAGTCTACAAAGCGCTGGTGCGCGCCGCGCAGAACACGCAACTGCTGCATGAACCGACGCTGATGGCGCGGCGGCTGGTTCCCCGGGACGAAGCGTTCGTCCGCGAGAAACAGACCAAGCGGTGGGAGGACGCGGGGCAGCACCAGGTCCAGTGCTACCACGACCCCCACTTCGCGGCCGACGTGGCGGCGTTTCTCGGCCGCAACCACTCCGCCATGTCCAGGCGGATGCTGCAGGTGCCAGCAAAGGTCGTCGACTACGAATTCGTGTCCGACTTTCCGGCGCTCGTGAAGAAAACGACGTCAGTGAAGGAAGCAGTAACAGTAACAGAGGGAAGCTCATCATCATCTGCCAGGATTGGTGGAAAACGGCTGGAAACAGGCCGCATTGTTGGACCACCCACCAGCGGTTTCCTGGACTGGCTGCTCCCGAACAAGAGCTTTGCCGCGAACTCGCGGTTCCACGTCCTTCACTATCTGGTGCTCCAACTCACCGGAAACAGCAAAAACGGCGAATCAACCTCAACCACAGCTCCAGCTGCGCAAAACAAAAATACAGAAACCGACGACCACTCAACGCCAAAAGGACCAGCATCGCCGTTCTTTTTTGCCGAGATTGGGACCCGCAGCGGCGACACGCCCCGCTACCTGATGGAGCAGTTTGACTTCATTTTCAGTTTGATCGTGGACATTTTCTGGATTGACTCCACCGGCGCGGACATTTTTCAGCGTTTTCCGGGGCGCGCTAGCTTTATCAAGTCCGACAGTGCCTTGGTGTCTGACAAGCAAATTCGGCGCCAATTTTTCAACAAGATGCGGCTGTCGTCGAGAACTTCGACTACACCCAGTACTGTGGCAGCACAGAGCCGGCGCACTGGAGTTGTAGGGGGAGATGAAGCAGTAGCAGACTTTTCGGATCGCGATGACCAGATGGCTGCCGGAGCTTCTCTGCAGCCTCAGTTTGCAGCTTCAAGTTCTTCTACCACGGCAAGTAGGCGGAACGGCGCCCGTACGAAGAAGAAAAGGCACGACTATAACACAGATAGGTATAATCACGAGCAGGATCACCATCTCCACGGGATGGGGTCTGATTCAGAAAATAAAAATGACGACAATCGACGACGAGCTGCTGGAGAAAATAAAGATATAAATACTAACCACAGGAGTACGACATTATCAACACACTTCCTGTTCGACCTGATTTTTATCGACGGGGACCACAGTTATGAGGGCGTGCAAAGAGACCTGGCGGCTTGGTACCCGCGATTGCGGGCAGGGGGTGTACTCGCCGGGCACGACTTCGATATTCAGTGGTACGGCGTCGTATTGGCTGTACTGGAATTTGTACAAAAACAGAATCTGAAACTCTGGCTGGGTCCGGACGCCGTGTGGTGGGTGTACAAACCCTAGCATACTACAACAAGAAGAACATGAACAGGGCGCACTCACATTGATTACGGCAGCGTCCATAGCATAGCGGTGCAGGAGCCAGCATGGTTGGTTCGCTTCGCACAGACACCAACAAAAAAATGGGCAGCTTGTGTCCCGGCAGTGTCATGGGTGCGACTCAAGCACATGCCGCGAAGCTGTTCGGTCATAGTGTTAGTGGAGTGTGACGATTCGATGTACTTAAGTACGTACTTACATAAGCAACCAGGTTTGTCCAGTCACTGTAGCGACAATATGAATATTCCAGCACCAGGAGAGTTAGTATTTGAATAATGTTGTTGGAACTGGTGGCTGTGGCACCTTCGCGTTCGCTTACAAGGCCGTGCTTCACTTTCTTGATGGCGGAATATGTATATGAATCAGACAAATAGATGAAATAGATGATAGATAGTTGTTCTTGCACTGCAAAGTCAAAGTGTTACTCTTACCTTTACGAGAAAGAAATAAAGTACGTTACCAAGAATGGCGCCACCGACGCTCTCGTTCTACCGCTCCCTCGCGAAACTGGCGGTGCAGATTTTTGCAGATTTCTTGCCGGAAAATGTGCCCATGGATGCTGCATACGTGTACACGGAGACGCCGGATAACGAGCCGCCGGGCTTGCAGGGCGCAGCAAAATTGCTGCGAGAGCGGACCGAAATTCCGCTTCTGTTGCTCTACGGCGGGGAGCAGGAATGCGGCGGCACCCGCCCGGGCAACGTCACCGTGTTCCATGGGTTCACCGGGACGAGGCGAAATTTGTTGGCGGAAATAGCACGGGTGGAAGGCGAGAGCAGAGAAAACCAAAACGGCAAAAGCGGCCACACCAAGCTCGGCGTGGCTAGTAGCGTAACACAGAATCACTTGTCAAAGAGTGGCCCGACTTCAAGGCCGGAGGAAGAAAACGGCATACTATCGCGGACCTCGATTTTGCCCTGGCCTTTCAGGTGTGGCGCTGACAACATGACGCACACTCTGAATGAGGCACGAGAACTACTGACAAACATTCAGACATGGAACAGTTTACTGGGCGACCATCCGCGGCCTGGGCCATCATGCAGCGAGGTGCAAGAACGAGGAGAGCGGGACGATGGGAAGCAGGGTAAATGTTCCGTTGCCAGCACCACTCGCCCAGCAATATCTCGTAAAGAAACTGAGAAAGATTTCGCGTGGCGGAAGGGAAAACTCGTGGAGCTGCTGGAAAGAACCCGACATCGATCTAGTACTAGTACTGCGAGTAGAAGTTCTCCTCAGATATCTCGGGAAATCCGCAACTTGGTCATTATCGCACCGACAATCCACCTACTTCGGGCCTTTGTCACCACGGTGTCAGTGTTAATCGAGAAAAATATGACGGACAGCGTGAACGTCTTTGCCTACCCGGGCACGGCAACAGACTGGGAAGGCAGCGTGGTGCATTCACAGGGAATCACGACCGGCACACGCTCGGCGTTGCTGGACGGTGAGTTGGATCGCATTGCTCGCTACCACGAAAAAGGGGATTTGGTAGATCCGAACGCGGTGCTTGAATATCTACAAATGAGTAGGAGCCGCTTGTAGTCACTTGGCTGACAAAAAAGCGACTTCTGGGTGATCTCCCACCGTTTCTATAATTTCACTCGAATAAACAAGCAGTGCTTAGTTCTATGTTGCTTAGATTTCTGGTGACCCGGCAGGCACCGGTGCGAGTGTGCGTGCGTCAATGTGCTGCTGGTCTTTGTGTTCTAAACGGAGGTGGGGATTTTTTGACTTGGGGTCGTCGTTGATGGGTCACTCGTTCTCTTTCGCGCATTGATTCGCATACCAAAGGATCGCGGTACCTTTATTCAAAGCCGAAGCTGATGAAAATTAATCTCATTTTCAACATTTGCATGTGTCTATTCTCATTTTCAACTCGATTCGCTCTCGATTTCGAAAAACAATGGCTTCATCAAGAGAGATAGCGACACACTTTTTCCGACGAGGTTTCTATAATTTGGATGATAGTATAAACATACATAGAGATAGAGAGAATGGAGAGACGCAAGGGCCCTGGATTTCCAGGTTTTTCGTTTTCGTCATCGTCCCCCTCACAGGCGTGCGCTTTTCGCTATCGAAATCGAAAGAGTTTTCGCACTCATTGTATGTTCATCTTCGAGCTCGATCTTGCGCAATATTAATTTGCTTTAAGTAATGGCAACGACACGTGCACCCACGGCCACGGGCACGTCGACGTGCAGTAAGTAAAATCTTTTTACAACCGTCGCTCATCTATACTATCTGATGAACAAGAAGGAGGTGACCAAAAGAGCAAGGAAATAGTGAAAAAAGCTGTATATTTTATACCTTTAACTGTCTTGTTCAACCAAGTAAAGGTAAATCTCAACATGTAAGTTGATAAAGTGAAAATGTAAGTATACTCATCACTGCTAGTACTGCGGAGGTAAACGATGTTGCGGTCCTGCGTGACGTGGTGGCTTCTGCTGGTCGCCTCGTTTGCGGGACCTCGACGCCGGCGTGACTATGGAGTCGTGCGTCGATCTTCCACCCGAATGCTGCTGTTTGCGAGTGCGGGTGCGTCGTCACTCCTTCTTTCGGCAGTCTTCCCAGCGTTTCTTTTTCTTGCCGCAGTGGCGGTCGTTTACGAAGAGAAGCGAAAAACGGAAAAGCAGATTCTGCAGAACAGAAATGAATTCGGTTGGGACACCTCCTCGTTGGAGGAGCAGATTCAACATGCTGTCCATGAGATCCAGGAGTTGTTTCACCAAGATGATAACGATCTTCAACATGTAAACCCCGCTCTCTGGGCGTGGGAACATGACGGAACCGACCCTGGCGAGGCGCTGGACCACGAGCAGGGCATGACCTTTGACGACTACTGGGACGAGCGCGAAGAGAGTGCAGCTCACGCATTGGGCGACAAGTACTTATGAATAAAAGGAAATAGTTTATTGCAAGAGAGCAAGTTTATATCCTCTTTTTAGTTTTAGTTTTACCGGCGTTCTTTTGGTATGCAAGTGTAGAGGTTCGCCTTTTCGGTATGTTATTTAGCTTGTTTTGCTTTTTTTTCTGATCTTTGCGAACGATATTATGCTAACGCAGGTGGGACGAGATGGACGAGTCCGAGCAGCGCGCGTATATCTACGAAGACATCGACGCTGATGGCTACCATACCCAAAAAGATGTAGATGTACTCGAAGAGAACCGAGACACCTTCGAAGGGAAGTTAGAAGACCCGGAACAACACGTGCCCACTGGCCAGGAAGATGGCGGAGATACAAATGCAGCACATGATCATCAGGAGGCAACAGCAAATTCCGGTGCGGACTCAACAGCGGAGGGCAACGACCATCATCTTCACAGTCAGGAACAAGCAGCTGCAACCCCCGAAGCCGCACAGGACCACCACGCCCACGAAAGCGTACATGAGCATGAGCGAGAGCAGGGGGATGATGCAGAAGCTCATGAAGAAGATGGTGGGGACGATGGGCAGCGCGATCATCCAAATGAAGGTGGTGCCGAGTCCAACGACAAGGAGGAGGAAACTACAAAGATTGCTACCTCTACTTCTAGTCCTGCCGACCACCCGGCCACTAAACCGCCTGGCGACAGTGAGGGTGACGCTACTACAGCTATTCCAAGTCCAACTGAGACTGACCACGAGGAGGTTCAGGAACAAGGTCATGCTGAGAAAGGTGTTCCTGATGAGCGAGGACCTACACAGCAGGAACAGGCTCAAGTAGAACAGCAAGACGAAGACCGTGATGATCGTGATCAAGATGAAAGAGAAGACACTTCTTCATCTGGAAAGGCGACGACAGAGGGGCGTACTGCAGAGGAAGAAACTACTGAGAAGGTGGACGAGCACGCAGATGAAACTAAACAAGACGGCGAGGGCGGCCCCGAAAAGCAGGAGGATGGCAGCGCGACATCATCTTCAAAAGGCAAAGAAGAGGAAAAGGACGACGACGAGCCTCCGAATGCCGGCACGTTCTGGAACAACCTTCCCGAGTACATGAAAAAAAGACAGGAAGGTATCAAAATAGAGGAACTACGCGATCTGGCGAAAGACGACCCAGCTTTATGGAAGCCGTTCGATCCAGCTCCCGACGGTACCGTGCATGCTTTTTTCCTTCCGTCAACATGATTGGAGGAGGACGTGCAGGCGCACTGACTTCTTGCTCCCAACAAACCTAAGAATGTCGCGCACGCTATTATAGGGCCTAACTGAAAATCAGGTGGCGTTGCATGTAGTTCCTAAATACGAGATGCAAGAACAGGTGCTGTAGCGTTCTAGGGCCTGAACTGAAAATTTTTCTAACTCAACTATGTTGCGACCTCATGTTGGAGTCGAGACATTGAGGTGGAGCACTATGATTTTTAGCATGAAAGTCACGTAGCACTGCTTACAGCTTGGGCCCCTGTTAAATAAGCGGCCGCGTAAGCTCTTTGTAATTGGTGCGTATTTCGCGTCTCGGATAATTTCACGAACAGTGCAGTGCACACCCTGAAACTTTCCCCAGGGTCGCAATATTTGGCAGCTTTCGCGCCCGCCGGTCGCAAGAACAAAAGCGGGCCAGCGATCCATCGTGGGTTGGCGCAGCTTTTGTGGCAGCGCCTTTTCCGCGGATCAAACGGGCGCGCGAACGCGATCGCGTGGGCGACGCCTCTGGCACTCCGGGCCGGGTTGGGGAGGAGGTGGGAGGACGGCGGGCTAAGCCGCTCCGAGAACGCGTTCTCGAGCCGATTTGGCCGGGGGGCGCAGGCGTTCTCGAGCCGATTTGGTCGCTCGCGGATGGGCCAGAGGTCGGAGCGGCCGAAGTCGGCCCGGAGTGGCGGTTTGGTCGGGAAGCGATGGGGCCCGGCACGCCGGGCCGGGTTGGGGACGAGGCGGGAGGGCGGCGGGCCAGGTCGGATGGGCGGCTGGCTCTGGCACTTCGGGCCGGGTTGGAGAGGGCGACCAAATCGGCGTGAGGTCGCGTTCTCGAGCCGGTTTGGTGGGGCTGCTGACCAAATCGTCTCGAGATCGCGGTCTCGCGCCGATTTGGTCGCCCGCGGGTGGATGCCCCAGGACGGGTTGGGGAGGGCGACCAAATCGGCGCGAGACCGCGACTTGGTGAGGCTGCTGGCCAAATCGTCTCGAGATCGCGGTCTCGAACCGATTTGGTCCAACTTTGGTGAGGCTCCTGACCAAATCGGCCCGAGATCGCGGCCTCGAGCCGATTTGGTCGGCCGCGGTTGGACGGGCTGGAGAGGCCGATGACCAAATCGCCCCGAGATCGCGGTCTCGAGCCGATTTGGTCGGCCGCGGGTGGACGGGTTGGAGAGGCCGCTGACCAAATCGTCCCGAGATCGCGATCTCGGGCCGATTTGGTCGGCCGCGGATGGACGGGGTGGAGAGGCCGCTGACCAAATCGTCCCGAGATCGCGATCTCGGGCCGATTTGGTCGGCCGTTGTAGTCGAGACGTTGAGGTGGAGCACTATGATTTTTAGCATGAAAGTCACGTAGCGCTCGTCCACGAATTTCTACTCGAATGCCCGCGCAAGGGATCGATGGGACTAAACATGGGAATGCTATTAACTTTCCAAGTTATATTTACAGTAGAAAATGTTCAGTACATGGATGTAGACGTACAACTGCTAATGTGCTTTCTGCGTGATTCTTTCGATCCTATTCATGGAGCGTCACAAGTTGTGGCCTGCTTCATGATGTCAACACGTTTGAGATGCAATTTTCTCGTTATAATCTACGATATTATGGGCAATATCCTGCTCCCAAAAATCTAATTTTCAGGAACCTCTCCTCTTGACGTGGACCACGACGGATTCGTAACGCGCGATATCCTACAGAAAAGTTCACCTATATACCAGAGGAAAACCAAGACTGACAATTCTCCCTCATGCTATAAAAATCCAGAAAGTTGTAGGTCAGTTGGAACGACAGAAGCATGAATATGACAGAGGGGCCCAAAAAAATTTGTCACGCTGCACAGCCTCCTTTTTGTTTTACTGTAGTTTTTGTGCTGACAGAAAGCATTGTTACAATCCATTATTCAGGCAGCATTTTTAAATTTTCCGGTACGGTTGTGCTTTTCTGTAGGATACAGAAGGAACTGGAAAAGACCGACCTGACCGGACAGTGGATGAACGAGTACTTCGTAGACCACCCGAATAATGAAGATCACCAGCTCATTACTCTGAGTAAAAACGTCCCCACCAGCCCAGAATCGAGAACCAACAGAAATCGGAATTTCTTTGGTTGACAAATCAGCAAGGTCTGGCTGTTGCGCATGACAAGTTAGTTTGGAGTCTCGTAGCCTAATTAGGATAATCTAGCGCCGCACCGGCGACCCCGCCGCATCACAAAAAATCGATTCTCTTTTCCTCTTTTCCTGATTCTTGTAGCATGACAGATACCAGCAACCCAATTATACATACAAAATGGCTCGTGTGAGGCTGTAGCTGTACTCGGGCTGCGCATGAGATACATTTCAGGCATGCAGATTTGTATAGGAGATATCAATCTATGGCTATGATTGTGATTGATGTGCAGAAGGAGATTTTTTTCGGCAGGCGGATGCAGATTTGCTTTTGCATGCCAGATTGTTTTAGGGTGGGGACGTTTTTACACAGGATTCTTGTCCCGGATGAAGAGCAAAAGATGCTGCAGGAAAAGTTTGGTGCGGACTCCAATGGTGAGTTTTCTGACTCGCAGAAGAAGGATATTCCCTGAAAATTAACCACCCCCATCATGACAAAAGACGAATAAACAAATTTTGTTTATTGCAAGACAAATTTCACATTCATGTATGAGGATGGTTGATTTTCAGAGAATAGAGGACGTCGTGGACTACCTGATCACCCGCCATACCATAGTCGAGCCCATTATGGCAGTGCCAGGATCAAAATCGACAAAGCTGAAACCATTTGCAATTCACAAAATGGACTCCAGGTGGTGGACCCACAGCCACGATTTCTGTCTGCGCATGATGAGAAGTTTTCCCGGTGCTGGGAGCCAGTCTCGTATCATGCTGCATAGGGCAAAGAAGCTTGCTCGCCCTTCTGTCATGCTAGTCAGCGTCAGCCGCCCAAATATTATGATTTGCCCTTATTTCATCTTCGAAGCATACTACAATTGGCCTCCCGTGGTGCGTCCTCTGTAATATTAGAGTCAGTCCTTGCAGCCCTTGCGACGTCGTATTTTATGCGTGACGTGTTCAACATCTTTGTTGATATCAATATGGCGTTCTCAACTGTTACATTCTCAGCTGTTACATGATTTGTCATGCAAATTTACCACCAGGATCGCGTTGATTAAGCTGTTCCGCATGACAAATATCCGAAGGGCCAAACAGCATCTAAGTCTGTGCCAAATCTGTAATGCAAAAGGCGCAACTTTCCCCCTTTCACTTTCGCTGTTCTTGCATTACAAATTCATGTAACAGCTGAGAATGTAACGTTTGAGAACCCCATAATCAAGCCTGACGCTTCCATACCCACGGTTTACGACGACAAGAAGGAGCTGCTAACCGCCGACGGGTCCGAAATCGACCCGAAAAAGGTGTGGGACGTGTACGATAATCACGACCAGGACCACGATGGGCAGTTTGACGCCGGGCTTGCGGGAGAGTATCAGAAGGCGGCGGCAAAAATTTTGGGCGACGAAGGGAAGCTGCAGGACGGGTTGACTCCCGACGAGGTGCGCAGGTTGGCGGACGAAAATCCCACCGTCTTCGGAGATCTGGCGAACGGGGAAGCGGGCAAAGCGCTCCTTGCGGACGGAGGCGACCCGCCGAACACCATCACGCCGGACGAGTTCCAGAGCTACTATCAGAACGAGGGCGGCTGGGGCGAGGGCGATACCACAGACATAAACGAGAAGACACGGATCCTGGACAAGATCGACGATCTATGACAGTGCACAACTCCTCCTCCCCCTGGTTTGTCACGCAAACAGTGCTAAGAGGCACAGGTAGGATTCCAGCCTTTGCCTCTTGGCACTGTTTGCGTGACAAGTTCTGGTAGCCTAGATAGCACTACCATCCAGTAGACATTTGTCATGCCAAACCGGCACTGTTGCTGATCTGAACCAGCACCTGATGCTTGTATTGCCGTTCCTGCTAATATACAAATGAGGGGGAGGTGGAGTTGTGCACTGTCATACGATCCCGAGAAACGGTTCCAATTTGTGCAGTTTTTGAAGGAGGGACGGGAAACCTTCAAGCCAAATTTTGACGTCGTCCCACTGGAAACGAAGATTGACTTGTTTGACGCCGACGGTATCCCAGTGGAGAAAATGAAAGCTAGCACCAGGGGGGCACATTTATTGTATGTGCCTCCAAACTAAATACGGAAAAAACACAGAATGGCCAGGCAGCCTGGTCAACAATATGGCGCTGAGTCAGCTACGCAAAAGAGACAGATAGATATACTTTTTTTTCGATTGCGCATATCCGCTGGCCTGCTAGTTGTAGCCTTTTTCTCTGCGATAGACGAGAACCACGACGGGCACTGGAGTGAAACGGAATTGCGCGACCATCAGAACGCATTGCTCGCCGCAGCTCCTGGTTCATCAGAACAAGACTTCGACAACGAGGAGACTCTGAAAGCGGCAGTTGGGCGGTATGATGACCTCATGTTCAATATCCTGAGCAAAAACGTCCCCACTCCATAGTCAAGATGGGAAATTTGCTAGACACATCAGCCAACTTTGGGTGTTGCGCATGACAAGTTGTTTGGCCTCGTAAGGTAATCGCGTTCCTAGCAAGTTCAGCAGCGTCACAGATCTAGTATATAATGCTGACTGGAGCATGACGATGTTGGCAAGTTCCAAAACACGACTAGAAAATGCTTCTCATGCTGCATGGGGCTCAGCATGAGAAACATTTTCAGCATGCAGATTTGCATTTTTAATGCAAATCTGCATGCTGAAAATGTCTCCGCCCCATAATTGTAATACAAGTATGGGGTGGAGACGTTTTTTCTTGGGATATTCGAGTATGAACGAAAACCACTCGGCATGGTAACCAGCTGGAAGCACCACAATTCCGCGGTAGAAGGTGACGTGGGTTCGACTAATATCAACTTCAATGACGGCATTGACGAGAATATCCAAGGAAGAAAGTGTTACAGTCATACATTTGTAGCGAATTGTTCAGCATGACTAATTGTAATTTGCCTCGCATGACGGAGAAAACTAAAACTTGTAATGCAGAGCAGATCCTAAGGCAAAAGAAAACACAGACACCCACGAAACGAGACTCGCAAGCATTTTGCGCATGACAGAAATCGTCTGCCTTGAAGATGCTGGTCTTGCAACACAATAACTGTAACACTTTTTTCTTTTCATAAAGAAGGAGCTGGACATACTGAAAAGCAAGGGAACCCCGGAAGATCAGCAGTACTGGGCCATGATTGGGGGATACATTGAACGAGAGGGCGGGGGCATGGACCAGGACGGCCTCGACGATGATGATATGAACAAGCTCACGGCGGTATCGTAAGGAAAAATCCCCCCTCCCCATTTCGAGAAGGAAATTTGTGATGCTGATTTGTGACGACCACAAATCAGCTTTGTCTTGCGTACAAGGCAACCGGCACCCATGTGGCGCATTGTACAGCGAGCGTTTTCGCCTATGGCAGACTTGTTTGCCATGCTCAGCTGCTAGCCGGATGCGTACGCAAATGGGCTGAGAATATTTATCATGCCGGAAAGCTCTTGCTGCAATACAGAGCTCATTTGTGATGTACCTACAGGTACACAAATCCAGCAACACAAATTGTCTTTTGGGTATGGGGTGGGGCGTGGGGGCGTTTCTCCTGTTGATAGGCGGACATGGGGGAGAAACTGAAACACGCAAACGAAATACTGACCCCCGAGGAACACGAATACTTCAACGGGCTGCGGGACGCCGATGGGCAGCTCTCGCATGAGGAGATGATGATGATCCAAAACCAAGTGCTGAATAACGGAGACATGGACGCAGCGTACCGGCATAACAACTTCGATTTAGGGACCGTTTCCGCGTGGACCAGCGACCTCACCGTCGCAGAGAAAACAGAACTGATGAATGCAGACAAGGACTTTGACGGGGTCCTGAGTCCCAAGGAGATGGAAGGTACGGTATCCAAGAAAAAAACATTGTAGGTGTAACTTTTTTGCAGGAACAGCATTACAAATGTGTGTGGCATGACAGCAAAAACCTGTCATGCGCAGATAGTACGTGAATGTGAAAACGCACTTTAATGGACCCTACGATGCATGCCAAGCATGACAGACGCAAGCATCTTGCATGTTGAGCATCACAAGTTTACACGTAACAACGTTTTTTTCTATCTTGCATATACGGAGTACTTCGAGCATTACAAGCATCTTCATGAGCATGCGACCGCGCAAGGGGCGATCGACAATCTCAAGCATGGGCACCTCACGATGCTGGGCACGGGGATAAAAAACGGGTTGATTGTTTCCGCCGGCGCGAGTGGTGTCGGCCTCGCGGCAACTGCAGGGGGTTTTCTTCTTAACGGCCGCATGATCGGGCAGAAGAAAAACAGCGGTCAGATGCGCAAGAAGACTTCCAGCGACAATAATAAAGATCTGGGGCCGATCTTCCGCGACGAGAAAGTTGAAGATGTTGTTCCCGCCACGGCACAAGCCCAAGCCGTTGTTGATACGGAAGAAGCAGCCAGAAGTTCGGTCCGTCCCACCGACTCGTTCGCAGGAGGAGCTTATCCTGTGCAAAAGTATCGTGCTCGTAGTAAAAATAGCAATAATAAATCTCTTTCATCTCGAGGTAGAGAAATTTCATTTCTAATGCTGAACAAATTTGTATTATGCGACTCTCCGAACCCCGATTACAGTGGGGGGAAGAGTTAGCAGGCAGTGTCATCCCGGGCGTCCGTTCCACCGCAGACGTGAATGTGAGGGACCGTGCAAAGGAGGAATTGCACATTTGAGCAAGGACCTGGGGGTTGTATCTCCAACTGCAAACACGCAACCCAATGAGTTCAAATCCAGCGGGCGCATGCTAAACGAACACAAGAGGAAGAACGAAGTTTTGAGGACGACGAGAAAAGCAGAAGCCATAGCCATCCTTCTACGTCGTTATTAAGACTTTTATATGCCTTTTGTCAGTAATTTTTATAAAAAAAAAAAAAAATTTGTATTATGCGACTATTACTGGTGCGATGCTTTTGCATTTCATAGAGCTGCAGCTGGTACTACACGACCAAGTGTCGACAGCGCGACGACGACCACTGCTGCCGATACAACAAGTGCATCTACCTCACCGGATGCGGACGCGGCTCTGGCGGCCTTGACTCCGCAAGACGCCGCCGCGGCGACTTCTTCTGCGGAACATCGAGAGGCTGAGCTGGTGGAACAAGAGGACGAAAAGGAACAGCTGCAGCTGCAACCAGCACCAGTGAAAATCCCACCTCCCGCAGTGGGGGTTGCAGGAGAAGCACATGTGTTCAACACCACTGCTGACGAACCGGAACCAACGTCGATGATTCCAGATGAAGATGAAGCTGTGGCTGTAGTTTCTCCAGCGCGCGAACAATTGAAAGTCGATGATGAAGTTGTGCCTGCTAGTACAGCAGCTACATCAGCAGCAGGACAGGGACCAAACGTCGAGCAGTTGAAAATGGAGGCTTCGGCAACTGGTGTGACCCCGACCCAGGTGGAAGTTCCCAGCAACACAGGTGCAGCCCCGCCGACTGTGACCCTGACAACGCAGGTGCCCGGCGTGGCAGCAGCTGCAGCAGCGCCGCAAGATCTTCCTGTTGAAAGTGTGCGGGGGTCGATGGAGGACGAGGTTGCGGCGTTGCGCGAGAAAGAACACAGACAGCAGGAAGTGCAGCACGAGCTTGAAGTCGCCCGATCGATCTCAGGGGCCGGGGAAACCGAAACCTCCGAAAGAATGACGCGGCGCGAGGAAGAAGAAGCAATCGCTCCTGAAGATGTTCTGGTCGAGGATGAGCACATGGTACAAGAAAAGCCCGAAGCGGGGATGAAGGGCTTGTCGACGATGATAAGTGATGAAAAGGACAGCACCAGCACATCTCCACCCGAACAAGATGTTACCTTTGCAGCAGACATGACAGGTGGTCTGCCGCCTCCTGTCGCTGCTGCTGCTGCCGGAGAGTCGTCCGAGGAGCAGGAAATAAACCAGCTAGTGCAGCAACCGGAAGCCGGTACGACCCTGGCCAAAAGCTCACCATCGTCCATCTCGCCGTTATCGGGGGCCGACGAGGAAACGATTCCACACCGCGCAGCGGACACGACACCCGCATTCCAGCAAGCCGGGGAAGGGGCAACTTTGACAGAGCAAAGTACTTCTACTTCTTCTACTGGCAGTGCAGGCGAGGAGCAGCAGCAGCTTGAAGGTGGTCGAGTTGTTCCTGGTGGTCGTGTTGCTGCTCATGAACAATCTTCACAACCGCCTACGCCTTTCAGTGCGGAGCCCCTCGACGTGGCGTCAGACGTGAAACAACCGCAAACAACAGGCGCAGGAGGAGACTCAGGTGGACATGGAGAAACCGACGCAGATGCTGAAGAAACGCCAATGCCTTCCAGTCCCGAACACAATGATGAACCAGCTCCACCTGCTCCAGCTGCCGTGAACCACAGCAAACCGCGGCTCCGTGGGACACTGCAAGCCCAAGCACAACAGCAGATGGCCGAGTCCCCCGACGAGAGAAGTGCAAGTACATCTTCTTCGACAATGGATAGAACAGGAAGTGTTGATGATGTTAATGATCCAGAGCCTAAGCGTGCTGAAGCGCTGGACGGCGCAGGGCCACAGCAGTACCCAGGACTAGAGTACAGCCCTGAAGATCCCGCTAGCGCGCCACTGGAACATCGTGAGGTCGTGCCGACAGCACCTGCTGCCAGTGCAGCTTCTTTGCCCACCCCACGGCTGCGTGGGTCGCTCAACTCTGCTCCCAAGATGATGCCCGTGGAGGACCATCGCAGCAGTGAAACGGTCCAGGAAGGAGCTGCGCTGCAGCCAAGAGGCGAAATGAATCCCATCATACCAGGTGGACACTACGACGGGATCGGCGGGCGAACAGAAACTAGTACCGGCGAAACTGCACCGAGACCACAAGCACTCCCTCCGGATACACCACCTGAGCGAGGTTCCGGCTCCGATTTTGATTCATTTCCAGAACAAAAATCCTCATCGTCCGTGTCTCAGGACGGCGCCGCGCCGCGTCCGAACCCCGAGCAAAAGCTTGCAGCGATAACGAGCGCGAATGCCGCGGCAGCCGCGCAGATGGATCCCCGGGTTCGGGCTCAGATGCTCGCGATGGCACACGCCAGAGCCGGCGCTGCTGGTGCCGGTGCTGGACCGCAAATGGATCCGGCGCAGGCTTTTGCTTTGAGCATGCGTGGCGCTCCTCGAGCCGGCGCAAGTACTGCAGGAGACCTCACAGCCGGTGCACCAGGGATGATTCCACGCGGCAATAAATCGCCACTGGATGCGGACGATGCGAAACTACTTGCGTTGCAGCAGCAGCGCCAAGAACTCATGGTCAGAATGATGGCCGCAAAAGCTGCCGCTGCGCCAGCAAGAAGTGGTGCTGCGTCTTCGTCGAGTGCTGAGCCTGAGGCAGGAGAAGCCGCAGTAGAGCCAAGTAGTTTCTTGCAAGCGTCGTTTTCGCACGATAGCACCGTTGTGGAACAAACAACAACAAACCCGCCAGGCGAGGACAGCATCCTCACGAAAGCAGCCCGCGTTGACGAGAACCGTTTTTCTAACACTATCACTATCATGACCAACGAGACGAACTACACGACGCAGACACTGCACGGGAAATCGGGAGCCTCAAAATCATCCGCATCGAGTGAACAAGCTAAAGTCGCGCCGCGCACGAACGGTGTCCCTTCTACCAGCATTTGGACGGATCACAAAGAAACAAGCAGGCTCGTGGAGGGCCGCGCGGCTGACTCACAGCACGCAGGGCGGGGGACCGCGATGAAAGATCTTCGTCCACCGCCGACGTCCTACCAAGATCCGTGGCTGCAGCAGTGGCGGAAGTTGCGCGACTTCAAAACCCAGCTGGCGGAACACGAGAGTGGCGTTGTGGTTCTGTTTTTTCTCTTGTGCGGCTTCCTCGGAACCGTCGTGGGAGCGATTTTGGTGTTCACCCGAGGAGGGTGCCCGGGCGGGTGCAAGGGTAGACGGAACAACACTCTAAACAAGGACTCTGTTTTTGCTGATGGACGTGATACCGATGATGGGGAAGAAGATGGACCGGCAACAGTGGGAGCAGCAGCGTCTTCAGCTCTTTCAACCTCCAGAACATTCATCTCCGGCGCTAGCATCTCGTCCTCAGCTTGCTACGACTCGACTCGTTGCGCCCGCCATGATTTCATTGCCGGGAGCCACGACAGGAGCATCGCGCCCAGCAGAGACATCGCGCCACGAAATGCTCGTATTGCCAGTGCGTTAGATGACCAGCAAGGCCCAAGTAGAACTAGAAGTAGTACAACTCCTTTCGCCTCGCTGCGATACAGCGAGCTAGATCTTCGGGTCGTTGGTTCCGCGTCAACGTACGGAACCCAGCTGCGTACCAGCGACACCAGCTTAGGAGCGACGGCATCTTCATCCTCCTCCACCGACCGGAATAAAACGTTTACAGCAGTTCTTCAGGATGCCTTTTCCTCCGCGAAGCTGTGGCGACAGCGGGCGAGTACGACCGTTTCTGATGCTGTTTCTATTCGCAAACTGTCCCTCTTCCGCCGGGATGAAGACTTCGACGGGGGACTTGAAACTGATCTTACTACTTCCTCGTCGGAGGAAGAAGAAGAAGACCTTCGCACGGAAGCAATGGAAAGACCGTCCGACAGCCCACACCGCAGCATGTTCATGCAAGGTAGCGCTTCAAGCGCAGCACCAGCATCACAGGCGTTTAGCGACCGCCAACATCAAGAAGGCGCTGTGGTTGACGACGAATGAAGAGAGACCGAATTATCTGTGAAGACTTTGTTTGGTCATTTCTAAATTTTCTACTACATAAGATCTAGAGGTTGAGAGAGTTAGTAGATGTAGAAGAACCGTCGAAGAAGATGAAAAGCAAAAGTACTGCAGCACAATGAATACCTTGCGCTTGCTAGTGCTGTAGCTGTTGTAGCTCATCCTGTGATGAAGAAGCATGATACTGATACACAACAAGCCAAGAAGGCGATGCTTGGTCACGAGGACCAAAGTGAAAAAATCTCAAATTCAATATTACGAAACGAATTCGGTCGCGGAGGTGCTCGAGGACCAAATTATACCAAATGGCATTTAGATTTAGTTCCAGTACCGAAAAAAGTTTTATCTTTTTTGATCATTTAACAACGTTTCAATATCAGAAGTTTCAATTTCCTAGAATGTAACAACGCGAATTAAACCGCTGGCACAGTGAAGCGGCTAAATACAAAGCAAATTTTACTAGAACTACCAAAGGACAAACGTACGATGCTTAGATGCCGATAAGGACACCTAAGATTGAGAATTCCAAATACCCAAAAAGAGCTTCTTTGCAACCCGCAATGATTTGTTTCACTCTGTATCCGCGCAAGCTGCTTGGGCTTTATTTATCGAATGCTAATATACCAATCCGAAATTGAAAACGATATACAATTACAAGCTGTATAAAATGAATATTCTGACGATGCCAGTCCTAAAATTTTTCGTTTCTTGACGCCGACGATTTTGAGTAGAGCGACCCTGGCTGTTGGCACGACGATGTTGGTGCCTTCTCCTGTAGCTGGGAGCAAGGAGAAGACTCCGAACAAAGAAAATCAAGAGTGACTCTGGGAGCATTGCGGTGGCCAGTTGTATTAGCGAGGAGCTGGGATTGGCCCAATCCGGACGAGATTTATTGTACAATATGCCATTGCCAACAGCTCCATCTTGATTACCGTCAACGAACAAATTAATAAACGAAATTAATGTTTTCCTTTGTTTCGTGACTTCGACATTCGACTCAGACTCTGAAATTGACTTGAGTAACTGTACACCACAAGAATGAAGATAGGGACCAAAGGACGAAGCAGGAATGTAAGCCAGATACTTAAAGTCTCCTGTACATAGATAGATGAAAATTTGCAACCTCTTACTCTTTACCGGGCGCAAGGTCTTCATCGACCCAGGGTATGGGGCCACGGTGCGCCGATGATCCGAAAATCAACTGCCGCGGCGAGACCCATTCGTTATTCTTCTGTTCCAGCAGTGGTCAGTGCTACTGGTAAGGTCACGACGCTTTGCGCGAGGATGCCTGTCGCGCCTATTTTGCCACTCCACCGCACATCAATTACGTAGTATGTACGTGTCGCAGCTCTGGTGTTCCTACACCAGAAAAACACAAGATCATAAAGCAAAATTTTGCAGAAGTAGCTTAACTTGAATTTGAAATAATTAGCTCACTTGATGTGGTTGGTGTGAAAATGAAATGAAATCGTGGATCAAAATTTATCGCACAACATCGAGATCAAGCGATTATAGAGTATGTCAATGCCATTCGATTAGAACGATTTTTGCCAATCGAGAATGATGGAGTAGTTGTGGATAGTCCTCGGATGTTGATGTGGACGACGAGATAGAGAGGACAGATAGTGATGTGCATCAGATGCCGCGGACCCAGGATGGGCAGTAGCCATTTTCTCACGTCGAGTTTCCCGCACTACTATGCATGTGTCTTCGAAGCAAGAAGAAAATGAACTGTTTTCCTTCACATCATCCCCCACAGGACCTTGATATTGTGCACAGAACAGTTAAAACGGAGTTTCCTGATGAACATGAATAAGATCATTGAATTTTCTTTCTAGACAGTGGCAATGTCAATATGATCACACACGCATACTAGTGTTACCTCGTTATACGTGTGGGGGCGACGCCGGCGCTGCGCATATTTCACATACTTTTCGTTTTTTCGTCAGCAACTACATGGATTCAGCAGGCTTTTGTTCCTCGTGTGTTTTGAAAATCAACATGAGATCAAAGCTTCTCAAGTCCCCATGTAGCGCGCTCCCGCTTGCAGTTTGAGTTTGACATTTACCTTGCCGCAGCTTTTAGTTGAAGCAAATTGAGGGCGCATCATCTACACTGTTGTAGATTCTATCGGAGAATATCAATCAACATCAAGCTACTTTAAAATGAGTGGTGGACCGGTCGCAGTGCTTGAGAAAGCATGTGGTCTCCCGGGACCACAGCAAGCACGGTCGTATCGGAGCCGGTCGCGGGAACGGGGCGACGTCCAGGCTGCTCCCTCAGGGACTTCTGCCAAGAGACCTGCCATAAACGAAAATGATGAAGAAAATGGTGACGGACCAACACCGAAAATTGCGCGGCTCATAGTACCTTTGCCTCCCCGGTCGAACCAGACTCCCCACGTTGGCTCGTCGTCGGCCGCCTCAAGTAGTGCGAACAACAACCACAAGCGGCAGGAGGATCATTCCTCGGGGGTTGTGCCAACAACTACCGTGCCTCTTCCAGTGTTGGTACACCCGACCATATCCAGCTCCTCCAGCTCATCGGCAACTACTGCTCAATACGCCAACGACAACAATGCTGGGCGCCAGGATATCAATTTTACATCTCAAAACAAAAATTGGCCTGGAACTACTGCGGGATCATATAATCAGGGCAATAACTTTAACAACACCGCCAATTATGGGAATGGCAATAATAAGAAGGGATGGGTAGCGGACTGGCTCGAATACAGCAAGTTTGGCGACCCCGTGATAGACAAGTTCATACCCTTGAAGACCCCTTGCGACCCGCAGTTTGATAGCTGTATTCCCCAAGTCGAGCGTTTCTACTGCGCGGATTTCCTCGAGATGCAGCGGCAACGAGGGCATGAGTTGTCGCTCATCGTAAACCTGGCGTTCACAAAGAAGTATTTACAACTTTTTGCGCTTTCTACTCTAGTACTTACTCGCGTAGTTTCTGTTGTGGATTGTTTGGTCTCTTCTTGGACAGCGCCACTGGGCCGTTTTTAGCGGATAGTCTCTTACCACGGAACAAAAATAGAAACAAATACTAGGACGTGCGGTTTGCATTAAGTATTCATCTCTAGTTCCACTACTCTCCACATCAGGTACTACTATTGGGACGCGGCCAAGATGGCGGACCTGGGTTTCGGCGACACCGAGTGGTGGCACTGCCCGATCGAAGGGCGCAAAGTCCCCCCAATCCGCGTCGTGAGCCAGGTGCTCGAGAAGTTGCATCGGTATGTGACACAATACCCCGACAAGAAGATCGCGATCCACTGCACGCATGGCGTGAACCGGACGGCGTTCTTCGTGATCGCGTACCTCCTCCGGTACGGGCACTTCGAGACCATCGAGGAGGCGCAGCAACATTTCGAGACGCAGCGAGGCGAAAAGATGAAGCGCGACTATCTGCTGGACGGCTTGCATGAAATGCGGAGCCAAATACTACCCAGAAGAGGCAGCAGCAGCGCCGACCACGACCACAAGGGGCGCGGACTAGCAGCTGCCCCCTTGGTGATGTCTAATACTAATACAGGGACGAACGAGCGCGGCAGGTGGCCTGAGAAGCGCGAGCACGAACGCCGCAGGGGTGGTAGCAATCACGCCGGAAATCATAATCATTTTCATGCCCGGAACAATTTATACACAGACGAGCGGGACCGAGAGAGAGACCACCGCAGGCACAACTACGGTGGTCGGAATGAAATGTCGGGCTCCAATGTTTACAACAATCCGAGCCAGCACCACAGAGCTGCTTCGAGCTACGCCGGAAGTAGGTGGCGCGGGGCTTCCAGAAGTAACGGCTACAACAATGTTGCTGGTGTTGAGCAGCAGAACTATCAGCATGGCTCTTCCAACTACAACAGGAACTACAACAATCATGGCGCCGATAATTCCAGCGCCTCGTCCCTTATGCGCATGGATCGTTATCGCCGATAGGTGTGTACTGAGACAACAATTGCGCACGAAAACTGCGGAGCTGCATCATATGCCTTACTGATATCATAGTATTCTGAGGTTTATCTTTATTTTTATCAAAACGGTCGTTTGTGTCTGTGTCTGTCACAGTTACTGTTTCCGTTTCGTACGCATTAGCGCTGCACGCCCGCGCCCCGGCTGATGCACATGGAAATCATGCGTCATCAAGAAGACATTTGGTTTTGGGCAGCAATGATCAAGTGCAGTAGACCAACATCTCGCGGGACGTCAGAATCATGAAGTAAAGGACAGAATGTGATAAAAGTATGTGCATATGTTGAAGATTCTGCTTCAACGACTGAGAGCGACGCATTTAGACCTCCTTTTCCCTGCTATAGTCATGCGAGTTTAATGCAAAATAAAATCGCTTTTCTCCCCTTTATTTATCCGCTGTGTGACTTTCGTTCGTCATCGTCATCGAACTGCTTCGCCACCAGCTCTACTAGGTGACAGTCTTGTAAAATGCCCTCGCTTTTGCAACAGCATTCCTTTGCGAGTTTCTCTGACCCACCCCACCCCAGGACTTGCAACATTGCGCACGCCTTGTTCGTGCAAAAGCGAACCCCACGACACGAAGTTCCATTATCGCGAATCAAGGCAAGAAGAAAATCCTAGCACGCGGCTCTGCGTAGAAAGCCATAAGTGGCCGGTTTCTATTGAAACGATTTGTCTCAGTAGCGTGAATTCGTTCGACTCCGCCCCATCATGTGTTCGAGGCTTATTTTGTGAACTTACTCAGGATGAAGATCGTCTGTCCATCTGGAAAAATCTAGTTGAAAAGATTTATGTATATGTTGTGCGACAACCTCTACGCTACCTACAATCAACCATGCGTAGCTCATTCGTGCCTCTTCAGCACGACCACGATCCCCATACATACGTTTTTTAGCAGAGGGAGTCGAAATTTTGATTTTCGTTCAACCACTTCAAAATGAACACATCGAATGACTCACTTCGTCCGATTTGACATTTTGAATTGACGCTCAGGTTCGACAAATATGGAGCTACGTATTTCGTACACCATCACCAACATAAAAAAAAATTCGCAGCTCGTGCATGCTAAAGCTGCGGGTGTAGCTTTTGCTTTTGGTCCTCCTCGTGGTGCATGTATCTATAATCATGATCTAGGCGATCATTATTTCGCTCTCCCTGAACAGTGACTCCCATTTCTCGAAGGTTGAGCACCCTATCTTTGTCCCCCGTTACTTTAACTTTCGTAAGATCTCTGAATAAAATATATCAATATCTCGTTTGCCTTTGCCTTTGCCACCTCTGAGGTGAGTAGCTAGAAGTCACAGTTCGTTTTTTATTTTCGTCTACAAAGCCCTAGCCCACCTGCTTATGCTTCTGACGTTGCACTCTTCCCAAGCTTGATTCTCACACAGATACTCAGTTCGATTTCTGGTTCTGTTGCCTGCGATACGCAAACACATGCACTTCTATTGTTGAAAAGATGAGCTGCTACATGTTGAAGTTTCTTTGCGGTTTGGAATGAGTGGCTCCGGTCAAAATCGATAATTGACCAAGAAACTGACTTTTTGTTGCGATTAGATTGCGACGACAACGACGCAGCTGGCGTGCTACAACGAACTACAACGGAGAAGATCCTTCATTACGGCCCGGTGGAAACGTCAATAACGCGACCTCAGAGACGCGAGCCTCGCTGAAGTCTCATCAGTGCAGCTATCAAGCACATCATTTACTGTGCGAACGGTTTGAATTCCATCTTCTTTCCGTTCCCGAACGACGATCGGATCGATGAGGGTGCTTTCGCTACTTTTTTTCCTGCGCCTCTGCGCTGTAGTGAGCTCGGCTCTGGCGACTGACCTTTCCAATCCGGTGATGGAGATCCAGAGCGGCAACTTTGACTCGCACATGAAGAGCGGGTATCGCTACTTTATCAAATTTTTCGCCCCCTGGTGCACCTACTGCAAAAGACTAAAATCCACCTGGGAGACTCTGGCGACCACGGTGGGCGGGAACGACGCCTTGGAAACCAGGATTGCAGAAGTCGACTGCACAAAGTACGCCGACATATGTACGAAAGTGGGTGTCAAGGTAAGTACTTGTTGACCTAAGTACATCAGAGTGTTTATTGTCGTGTTTTTGTTCTGCCGAATACGCTTGTACTAGCGGAAACATGAAAATCAAAGTCAGTAAAAATTGCAGATGCAAATACAAGTCCCGCCGGGGTAGTTACTTTGAGTAGAGCGGGGTCACAAATTCAATCCTTAGGTCCGCACCGGACTTACGGACCACCCGGCCGGGTGGTCCTTAGGTCCGGTGCCCCAAAAGTTACTTTACGTAACTCGATCAGCTGCAGCAGCTGTGTCCCACTCTGACGGCAGAATTTTAATTTTTAGACGATGCTCTGCATGTTATTCATTTTCTGCATGAAGGGGCGGCTCTATGCCATAGGCTGTTCTGACGCAGCGCAGGAAGTTTCTTTATATGCACTAGGAAGGAGCTCCTATTTGATTTTGATTTTTGAAGCTATTTCGAAGGCTTCGCTTTTGATTTTGCGTTGCAGTTTATGCATTTACAGGGGTGGGGCCGCCTCTTCGTTCGCGACACGGTGATGACGATGACGACCTCGACATGTTGGTTGGTGCGGTTTTTGCAAGCGGTTTTTGCAAGCGGTTCGGATGTTGCGACTTTGCAACTTTGCGTTGCGACTTGCCCAGACTCGCAACCCGGCGCGCAGGCGGCAGTTGCGAAGCATCCCACCGAGTTACGTAAAGTAACTTTTGGGGCACCGGACCTAAGGACCACCCGGCCGGGTGGTCCGTAAGTCCGGTGCGGACCTAAGGATTGAATTTGTGACCCCGCTCGCTATTTCTACCTTGATTTCTTCGCTTTACAACTTTTCCAAAACACTTTACCAGGGGTATCCTACATTGATGTACGCCGATGGAAAATCCAGTGAATTGTACAAGTATTCGGGAGGGATGACGCTGGAAACGTTTACGGAAATGATCGAGCAGCAGTTGGAATCAAATTCCGTCACATCCGGCGACAACTTTACCCTGACGAAGCAAGGCAGCAGCAGCGCGCAGCCTCGGGGTCGGTCCTCCTCGAAGGCAAAAACTACAACAAGCTCATCCTCCTCGAGTGGCAGGTCAGATCGGGACAGTGGCACTGCTGGAAAAAATGCAGCCGCTGGTGGCCGAAAAACGAAAAGCAACGACGATCCGATATCACTGGACGACCTGGCGGAGGCAGTCGGCATCTTTGGTGAGAGCTTCATTGGCTTCATCACGGACGTGGAAAGTCTGTGGATGAACCGCGTCGTTGTGCCCATCCGGGAGAGCGAAATGATGTAAGCTTGTACTCGACTTGTATTTTCGTTGTTGGAACTACGTAGCAGTCGGGAATATGCAATTTTGGTGTACAACTGGACCACAAACAGTGAAACACAAACCATAATTAACACCTACGGCGCACCACACTGTAATTGATAAAACAGCAGGAACTTCATCGCGGGAAACATCGAGCTCGACGACGAGGCCCATTGGAAGATGATCCAGAAGCTCTACCTCGGCGGGTTCGTCACCATTGCTGTGGTACTGGGGAGCTTGTTCTATTTCCTACCGAAGTGCTTTGCTGTGTGATCATCCGACGGGACGAACGAAAAAACAACGATAATCAGCGGACCTGTCGACCTCACTCGGTAGTACGTCCTCCTTTCCAAAGTCACACTTTGAGTCTGCTTACTCAGAAGCGCTACCGTAAAAAGTGCTGCAGTCCCCCCCCAGATGATGTTGACCTCACAAGAACCACCTCAAGCTCCTCCTTGTAGTAAATGGCCCCCGACCACCAGCACCAGCATGTTGTCTGCTTGCAACACGCAAAAGTAAAAGCATAAAGTTAAAGCTAGTAAATCGGCTTCGGCTGCATGTAGCGCATACGAAAACGACACTATGCAAGAACCTGGCGTTCGTTTGATCTCTCCTTCCGCTGCGGTCTTTTTGTGTTCGAGTTGAGAATTATTGGAATCAATTTATGGAAATGTGACGAGGAGACCGTGCATCTTCAAAGGGTTTCGACGAGAGCAGGAAAAATGGAGTTACTTTTTGCTTCTCATGCTCCGTTATTTGTCAAGTTCTCTTCGGCCTATTGACCAGGTCACCAATCTGGAAGATTTCATTCCCGCTGGTATTGCAGATCCTTCTACAAGGACGGATCTGGTTCTGTTGACTTTTTCTCGCTGTCAATACGGTAATCTGAGATCTAACATCAATCGATTCATCATTTGTTGCTGGACAAAAATTAAGTAGGTCTGTGTATTATCTTGTATGTTTGTAGGTACAGGTAGAGGTAGTTGTGAAGAGGAACTCCGTAATATTCCTCGATCGGTTCCTTCGGCCTTGTCGTGCTATATTCGAGGGTGTCCAAAATCGTTTGTCTTTGTTTCGCGAAAGAATCTGCCTCAGTCTTCAACATTCTTGAACAAGCGCCAAAAATGAGTTGGGGGGCGCAGCAGCGAGCCATCTGGCGGCATTGTTAAAAGGCATCGCTCCTCTCCTGTTGGTGTTGCTCGTCGCTCGATAACGAGTAGGACTACACGAACCGCAACCGGAATCGTCTTCGTGCTGCGACGTTTTTCGGGTCGTCAGCCGCCGTTGGAAACGAAAGATGGTGATCCCCATGCCAGCAGGAATGGGCGCCGCCATGAGCGGCGATCCACCCGAACAGGTGCAGGGTCACCTGCAGAAGATAAAGTACTGCTACTGTGTAAACGACTGTTCGAGCGCTTTGTACTTTACACTTATATTTCTTCAATGTGAAAAAGAAAATTGCTTATTGCTTCGGCTTCCGTATCCGTGCTACTGTTGAACTTGAATGGTGTGCGTGGTGCATAAATTTCAATCCGATTCTATGCTTAATGTTCAGCAACATGACATGAAACAGGTGGACCGTCGTTGCCGTCTTCCTTGGCAGCATAGGCAAGTTGGTACAGGGTGGCCTTCCATTCAACGAAATATTTTATGTCATAAGTGGCATATTTCTGATGAAAGATGACAAAATAACGGGACGGGCCTACACCTGCCTCCTCTCAACGCCGCTCGGAGCCTGCGCAGGTTTGCTTTTTGATTTTAGGCTGCATGATTGTTTTCTGGGCACTAGCGTGCTTATTTGAGGCACATAGGCATGCAAAAAGAAGTAGATAAGAAGTTCTGCTACTTCTCCTGCTACTATTCACAGGATGAATTGAACTACCATAAAGGAAATCGAAATTTTCAAAAAGAAAAAGTGATGGCATCACACGAGGATACGTCATTACTTAAATTGAAATCGTACCCAGGTCCTTCAGGCGGCGGCTTGACATATGGGGTTCTCAAACGTTACATTCTCAACTGTTACATGAATTTGTCATGCTGGCCTACCATCAAGATTCACACGAGAAAGCTGCTTCGCATGACAAATTTGCGAAGGGCTAAACAGAGCCTAAATCTGTGCAGAACTTGTAATGCTAGAGGTGCAACCTCGCCCCTTTCACTTTTGCAATTCTTGCATCACAGATTCATGTAACAGTTGAGAATGTAACAGTTGAGAACGCCATATGACATGTCTTACCCCTGTGATGTTTCTAGGTGGGATAAATGTCCTCTTCGGCCTTTTCAGTCCCTACCTCCTGGAGCCATTCAATCTCATATGTATTGCCTGTTTTTGTTGCTCATTTCTTTTTCTGCACATAGAGAATCTTCTTCATGTACGGCTTAAGAACTTTGTATTTGGTGCTTCCTCTTGTTGCTTCGGTCGTCGCGAATGCTTGAGAGCACCGAAACAGAAACCGAACCGCAAACACCAGGTATGCTGTCCCAGGGAGTCGGGTGTTTTTTCGCCTACAAAACCTGGTCGTACCTGCGAGGCGAAGCAGGTCCAACGGGCGCGTTGCCCGGCGGCCTCCAAGGACACACGACCTACAACCCACCAGGACCAGCGACGCTCAGCACCACCGGGGGAGCGAGGGACGGCGCTCCGACCACCCCACAAACCGGGTTTGTCGCTTTCCAGGGGGAGGGAAACAAACTCGGCGGTCAGTGATGAATGGAACTGGTGAAAGGATCCACTTTATCTGAGAAGTTGAAGTCAAGCCGAACCCAAAAGAAGCGCTTCTTTAACTGGTTCCCGTTCCCCGCTGCTTATCTCGCACATAATACAACCATGTTGCACATGCATTAGCCATCACACCTACAACCGTCGTGGTTGTCTAGTATTTTCCTGCATCTTCTGACGCAGGTCGGCGCGGAAAGGTTGTTTGAGGAGCTGTCCTTTAGCACCACCTGGCGAACCGCTCTAGCACCCGTGTTCGTGTTTTCACTCTCCAATGCGTCGCCATAGGCACTCGCACTAAGCCTACCGTCGTGGAACGCGTGTCTGGTATTCTTCGATGAAGATTTTTAACACTGCTCGTTAGAGTCAGAATGTCTTGTTTTGTTGCTGTAGACCACTCGTCACGAGGAACTTGACAGCGCAATGCAAAGTTGGAATTTTTTTATGGACAAAATTATGAATTGACATTCAAATCAAAATCAAGTACTACCATACAAGAAAGTCTCACTGGCACAACATACATGGAGCCACTTGATGTACTTGCACAACCTCAAGCTCAACCAAAATCGTATTTCTGATTCTGTACTACATTCGATTGATGTAAGAAAACTAACAGTGGCAATTTACCTCCTGGCCTGCTGTTTGTACGATGCATGGGTTCTTGTCGCGCTTGCGTTCGTGATTAGTTTTCATCTACTTAACTGGTGAGACATACGCACAAGAAAACATGAGCCGATTGCTTTGACTACGTTGATTGTCTTCTTCCTTTCGTGCTGCAGCAGCTGCTAGCCTGCAAAGGGGGCGGCGAATTAATCGTGAGCCGAAGACGAAGGGGATATTACCTCCGCTCCATTTGCCCTTCTTCGACGGCGATTTCAACGATGAGAGGCCGGAAGCTGCATCGCATGACAGAAAAGGCGACAGGAAGTAGAACTGCGAGGCCTCAGATAGCGCCGTGACAGTAGACATTTATTCCGATAGCTGCTGCCGCTAGTGCCGAAAAGAGACGCCGGTGCCTGGTCCTACTTTCTGCACTGTCTATTTCATCCAAAACTGGCCGCCGGGGAGGAGGAGAACAAGAACAGAGAATAAGCTAGCTGTACTCTTTATTATACTCGCGGCGACGGGCACCAGGAGCACGAAAACAGTATCATGGCGGGCGTTATCGCCAACCAGCCCGTCGTGCTGGACAATGGGTCCGGCGTGATGAAGGCCGGGGTGGCGGGGGACGAGCAGCCGAAGTGCGTTTTTTCCAACTACGTCGGCAGGCCAAAACACGAGCGCGTGATGGCCGGCGCGGCTGAGGGAGAGGTTTTTATCGGGGAGTCGGCGGAGCACTTGCGTGGGCTATTGACCTGTAATTATCCCGTCGAGCACGGGATCGTCAACGATTGGCTGGAAATGGAGCAGATATGGCATCACGTGTATAACGAGATGAAAATTGCGTCCGAGGAGCACCCGGTCCTGCTTACCGAAGCGCCCCTGAACCCCCACAAGAATCGCGAAAAAGCGGCCGAGATCTTTTTCGAGTCCTTCAACTCCCCCGCACTGTTCGTGAGTGCTCAGGCCATTCTGTCGCTCTACGCCAGCGGGCGGACCACGGGCGTGGTGCTTGATTCGGGGGATGGGGTCACGCACGTGGTCCCCGTCTACGAAGGCTTTGCGCTCGGGCACGCCATTCAGCGGATGGACGTTGCCGGTCGAGATGTCACCAACAACCTGATGCTGCAGCTTCGGAGGCACGGACACATATTTCACACCTCCGCGGAACGAGAAATCGTATTGGAAATGAGTTCATTCCATGAGGACAGCAATTCAGCTTTGACATGATTTGCTTGCACACACTGGAAGTACTGGAAAAGGTGGATTAAGAACTTCGCCTAATAGAGTTGTTTTGTTCATTGATTATGATTGACGTTGATCCTACTACATCATCAACTCTGCTAATCTCACGGCAGGTGCGCGAGATGAAGGAACGAATATGTTACGTGGCTTTCAATCCGGCCAAGGAAGAGACTTCCCCGGAGAATCAACCGACGAATTACAAGCTCCCGGATGGTCAGACGATCAACCTGGCTGCGGAACGATTCCGCGCCCCGGAGCTGCTGTTCCAGCCAAATTTGATCGGGTTGGAGTACCCAGGCGTTCACGAGCAGCTGTTCACGGCGATAAGTACTGCGATCGACAACATAATTTTCTCTCCTGCTTCTCGAAACAAAAAGTCTGTTTATCCATCTCTTATGACTGCAACTTAACACGTACACGGTGCCGGGATTCGTCTCTTTTTGATGCTTGCATCTTATTCGACTGTCTGAGACACAAACAACATCCATCCTGCAACATCAGGTCGCGCGGATCTAGATTTGAGGAAAACGCTGTACTCGCAAATCGTGCTTTCCGGTGGCAGTACCATGTTTGCAGGGTACGGGGACCGGCTTCTCAACGAAATGCGCAAGCTCGTGCCGAAAGACTGTATTAGTGACCTCTTGATGAGTATGGTTCTGCTACTTGTTACTACGAAAATGATTGCTTTTGTTCTCGGCAGGTGGACATGTAACTTTTCAAAAGAGTTGGTGTTGGCGTTCTGCCTTTTGGTTTTGGTGCAGGATCCGAGCACATCGGGGAGCAAAGTTAAAAAGAAAGCCCTACACTACATCAACGTATTTTCAGGTAAAATCAGAATATCGGCCCCGCCAAACCGGCAGATGTCTACGTGGACAGGAGGCAGTATTCTGGCAAGTCTAGCGACGTTTAAAAGCATGTGGGTCAGTCGCGAGGAATACGATGAAGAGGGACCTGGCATTATGCAAAGAAAAACTTTCTAAATTTGCAAGCGTTTTTTCAGCTTCGCGCTCTTTTGGATGTGATTGTGCTGAAGGAATGAGACGGCGAAACACCAACGCGAAAAAATTCGAAGAAAAAAAAACAAAAGTAATATACAGAGACACACTGGCACTGGGTCTGGCAGCTGTGTCATCTCATACAGTCGCCGCCCTACAACCGCACACAGTGCAGCTTGGCACATGCGCAGAGACCGCCTGATTCCCACTTTCCCCTCAACTTGCATGTTGTCAGAAGAAAAAAAAACAAGGAAATGCATCTTCAGCATCATCTTTGCACTTACTACAGTTGGAATTGAACTCTGAATGTCGAAGATCTATTTAGCAGATCCTGGATCAACATGATCAGAGTTGTAAAAGTTACAGTTACTTCCCCTACCTTTTTGCAGATCCGTTTTCGCGGTCACACAGTTGCAAAAATAATCAAGAGAACCGATCTCATACCATGCGTTCTATTTCTGAAAGAACGCGCTTGGTTCCTTTTTCGTGTCCTCACATTTCTTTATTCATCGAAACTCGCTCAACATACGTGCAGTCTCATCCATACAGTCTCACACAGCGAAACGGAAACGAAGAACAAGAAGGAAAAATAGTTTTTTATCAAAATTTGTGTCACTCCAAGAGAAGAAGCGCTCACTGGATTTATCGACCCTACATTTTCTAGACTATCAGCTTCACCGCCACCTTCTACTGAAGTATTCCTGGGTAATTACTTAAGTTAGTAACTACCCAATCAACCATGGCGCTCCTGGAAGAATTCGCGGAGGCGAAGGTATCGGTGCTTACGAACGACGGCAAGTACTTTGTGGGCCTGCTATCCGGCTTCGACCAGGCGACGAACGTGATTCTGACACAGTGCAACGAACGGGTCTACCACGCTGACGACGCTGCCGAGGAGATTTATGGAAGCGTCAGGTTTGAAATCGACAAAGTTGAAATGATTTGTCATGCATAAAATGTAGAGCACTGATGGCCTGTATTGGGGAGCAGGCAAATGATACCGATTGCAAGCCTGTTTAGGGGTATGCAATGCGCTGCCAGTGTAGCATCACAAGAGCAGTCTCCTTTGCCAAAACAGCATGACAGACTGGATTTTGGCGCTCCTAAAATTTGTCATGCGCCGCTTGGAAACTGAGGCTCCAACTGGTATCGATTTTATGCATCACAAATTTTTCGATTTTGTCGATTTCGATTCTGACACATCCATAAGATTTTCCTCGGTCTCTACGTGATCCGCGGGGACACCATTGCGGTGATTAGCGAACTAGACGAGGGTATGGACGACCAAATCGACCTGAAAACCATACGAGCCAGTCCCATGAAACCCGTGGTGCACTGAGCGAAGACATAGAAATCACGCGACGCGAGTCGTTAGTACGATTAAGCTGCCACTGCTCGTCTCGTTGCGTACAATCATAATCAACACTTTAGCTCACTTCCTTCGCGCACGCTAGCATCGGAACGAATCACAACCGGAAAAGAAAGAATGTCGACGTCACCGATGTCGGCAGCAAGATTATCTACGAGGTCCTTCTAGTGTTCGACGTAGTTGTTTACGATAGCAACTTTAAGAAAATCCGACACGAAGTGACGAGGAACAGTCACGCGTTTTATGGCTGTTTCGCACCTGCAAGTAGATCAAAAATGCAGATTGTTGGAGAGAAACTGTCCCGAGGAGCAACTTTTGTGAGCCAAAAATGGCAGGAGCTAGTACTTTTTCATCCGCGTCTAACGTGTCTCAGTGTCTTTGTGAGGCGTGCGCGCTGGGCGATCTGGACCGCGTTCAATCGCTTCTCGCCGACATCAAAGCTACAAGTGCTGATGAAGCAGCGCTCCTTCGCAGTCCGTCAGTGATCCGCTTGAAGCCAGAACTGGACCGAAAACTCGGGTCGCATGCAGTTTGGACAGAGCAGGAAGACGAAGAGCCGGAGTCCAGTTCTATTAAACCTGTTCTGGGCTCAGTCTTCACTCCGGGATTTGACACGTATCTGTTACGCTCTAAGGAAACTGCGAACGCGAGCGGCATGACCGGGCCCTGCAAATCTTGCTCGGTTTTGCAATATGCGGCCTTCTCGGGGAGCGTAAAACTCGTAAAATTTCTTGTTGAAGAGAAAAAACTCCCACGAGATCTGAAGGGTGAATTTTCGTGGTCTCCCGCGAGCATCGCCTATTGCCGACGGTTCAAAGAAGTAGCGGAGTTCTTGCAAAAAAAATTTCCAGAACAAAGTTCGTCAATCGCTTTTTTTTTGAGTGGCTGGTGTATGTTCCTAGTTAGTTCTCCTGAGCGCAAGGTTAATTCAAGCCACTGTCACGACGGCCTACTACAACCTGAGTGGTAGCGTAGTAGAGAGTTGGTCGTGTAGTTGGAGTTGGTGCAGAAAAAAAGGAAAGCAAAAAGGGCTGAGTGACAGGGACAAAGGACGCACAAGAACCGAAGGCTTCCTCTAATTTGATACTGCAAAACCTGAAAACCGCTACGATTAGCGTTGCCGAGGAGTGGTAGCTACTCGAGTAGAAGTCAGTACACATGATCATCGACGAGGACGATATGCACATGCGTAGCTGCAATGGAAAGACGAGAAGGATGAAATAGTATGTAAAACGCCAAACTAGGCAACAGTGGAAGCATCGACAGTACTACCAGACGCAATCCCGGCTCCGCTACTGCCATGGCGTCATTTGCCCCGCAGCAGCTTCCGGTGACTGCCCTCACGGACATGGATCTCAACCACTCCGCTGTTTTTGGAGCAGTCCTCCAGGAAGGTCACTCCCCCGAGACCGCCACGCGTGTTGCCGGCGAGAGGATAGCGCAGCAGCGGTTGTTGCAGTGGGAGAGGGTGGAGTTGCCAAAGACGCTGACGCTTCACATTCCCGCCAAGCAAGAAGTCAAATCACCGTGGAGGAAACCGAACTATTTACCTCCAGCTGCTGTTCCGCCTGCCGGAAGTGCTAGTTCTTTGCGCACAACAACCACATTTACGCAACATTCAAGAGCTAGAGCTGGTGCACCCACTAGTTTCATGGCAGCTGGTTCTCCAAGTGCTACACCTGCACGACCTGTTCTAGAGACAACCGCTGCGCACGCGCAGGCTCGTTCACCTCCGAGCAAGTTTCAGCCGTGGTCAACTACAGCGACTGAAACAAACCCACAGGCCATGACGTATGTTCGGCCGTTCCAGGAAGTTGGCTTGGGCTGCTGCGATGCCGACGACACGCGGCATCTTCATCAATCGACACTTCCCGCCGTTTCTGAATCCAGATTATCCGGTCAGAGAAACGAAAACGAAATCGGCTTCGAGTTCGCGGGTGCGCGTGCTGCCAGTGGAGAACGGCCAAAGGATCTACTCCATCATGCAGACGCCGCACCGACGGAAGCCGCCACGGAGGAGATCGAGAGAAGCAGTTCTTCGACGAGCCACGAGGATGGCGACGAGGTCGAAGAAGAAATTTTGCGTTTGCGAGCGGAGTTGCAAAGTGCGCAGGAAGATTTGGCCGAGGTAAGTATCTAAACAGTGGAGGCGAGGAACATCAACTCGCTTTATCTTGTTCGCTTGGTTGTTGCGTATTGTTTGTTGCTGCACGACTAGCGCATCTTTACTAGCTAGATCATGTTTTCTCAATACAAAACAGGACGAAGAGGCACTGCGCGTGATGCTCCAAATGATTGACGAAACCGTGGAGAAAAGGGAGGCGATTGTCGCTGGCACGGCAGAGGCTATCAAGCGACTCAATGAAGAACAACGGCGACAGAAGCGGAAGCGGGAAAAGAAGCAGATTTCCAGCGTCCCAGCCGAATTAGTGGACGATGCGGGCATCGATGCGCTGGCGCCGACTTTCTCTACCGCCAGCGGTCGCCGAGGCACCGGTATGGCAAGCATTCCTGAAGACATATTTAAGGAGGACGAGGAACAGGCAGAGGACGCGGGATCTTCAAATTCATGAGCAGTAGCAGCAATACAAATTTTTCGCAGAATCTGTGCTGGAAACTAACAAGATCGGCATGACGATTGCAACAGGCGTTTTCCACTTGCCTGTGCAAATCCCCATGCATAATTCTTCCATCCTCTGTAGTACCAGTACGCTAGAGAATAAACATTTTCCTGCTCTACAATGTACGTGGGCACTTTTTCTTTTGCGCTTGCACTCTCTCACTGCACCGTTTCTTGCTTACGAGAGGTCGATTGGTTTTATAGAATGTAGTATTCGCCAGGGACGAGACGATGGTGACTTGTCCGCCACTTGATATCGTCCAAGGTGCATGTCGCTTGATGGTACTGAGAGCGCTCATGTGTCGTTGCAATGTCGCACGGGCACAACGAGTGCAGGTCTCTTTTTCACGATCTTCGTCATTTTTCGATAGAACTAGAAGGCACGAGTTGATGAGAAGTCGATCATTTGCAATCGGAGCGCAATCAGCAGTCTTACGTTACAGAGGGGCGAGGGAAGGACATCGCACAGTGTCACCGAATCAATGCGGTACGCTTGGAAAAAAGTACGTACATTAAGTTAGTAGAAAGATCGGCAGTTCAGAGTTCCAAGAACACGTCAACGAGGCATGTAACATGAACGTCACAGTCCTTCCTCTCGATTAAGAACCATGCCCGGCTACCCGTTTCCTCCTCAGCCAATGGGCGAGTCTTGGCCGTCGCGCGGCCTCGGGCTGGAAGCAGCTCCGGAGCTACCCAGCTCGGCGCGCCCGCGGGGCGCGTTGCAGCGGAAGTGGGCCGCACGGGCGCGGACGGAAAACTTGAACATCATGCTAACGGACGAGGAAAGAGCGTTACTGGCGCAAAACCGGCGTGCCAACCACGCCTTCGTGCGGCCCCACAGTGCGGTGCAGGAAATGCTGGCCTACGCGACCGTGCCGTACAACGAGCAGTACTACACGTCTTCCCCCAGACGGCGGCGGAGAAGCCTCCCACTTGGCCGTCCTAACGGATCTACTGGACGCGCGTACCACGCCAAGCGCTTTGGAGCACCAGTGTCGCCAAAAAGAGTCGTTGTATCGCCGGAAGTTTACTACGGTGTCTTGTCTCCCTCGCCTTCACGGCGGTCGCTCGGCGGAGGTGTAGGACAAGCACAGTACGTCGTTGCAGGACCGGAACGATTACGATATGAAATGGAAGTACCACCGCGGCCGGCACAACAGCCGGTCGTGCCAAGCAGAAGCGTACAATTTCGACCGCCACCCCGAGTCCTTCGAAATGCAACTGCTCAGACGCATGTCGTCGCGACAAACAGTAGAAGTAGAGCCTCCACCTCTGAGAACGCAAGTGCAAAGCTCGTGGGGCAGCGCGCCGACGCCGAGCACAGCTACGCAGCGAGGTACTCGCAGAGCAGGAAAAGCAAAAAGAGCAGCGCATCCTCTGCGTCCTCCGCGTCGTCTTCCGTGATCTCAAAGCAGCGCAGCAGCAAGACGAGCGCGCGCGACAGCGAGCGAAGCGGTCCAGAAGTACAGGTGGTGCCTGGAGGTCGGGGTTCAAGAGCTAGCCGCTCCTCGTTGGCGGGCAAGAAATCGAAGGCAAAACCAGGGACAACAGTAGCTGCGAGTAACAAGCGGAAAAAAGCTTCCATTCTCGAGCTGGAAGATTACCTAATCAGAGTGGAAAATCGGGAACAAGAGCAGAAGCGAAAAGATCAAGGGCAGGAAGGACAGGAAGTGGCTGCGGTCGAATCTTCGAGAGCGTCAACACAGAAACAAAAAGACAAGGTGAAGGCGCTTGAAAAAAAGTCTACAATGGAGGAAGCAATCGTGGATGCTGCAGCTCCCCCTGCACCCGTTGCAACCGGCCAAACCGCGACAGCTGTAAAAGCGCCTGCGCAAACGCAAGCGGATGTTGAAAGCGAAGAAGAGTCATCTTCTGATGATCTTGGCACGGAACTCCAAGTTGGTGGGTCTGGACAACCACCAGCCACTGCAGCTGCAGCAACGTCTGGAGCAACTTCGAAACAAAAAACGACAGTCGTTGCTAAAAAGGAACCTGAAGATCATGGGAATGAAGACTCGTCGTCACTTGGAGAACTCGGTGCGCCACCTGCGCCTGCGCTTTCTCGGGAAGCAGCCGCCAAGGCTCATCAAGTAGCGCCTGTCAAGAAGACCGCTGCGGTGAATAAGGCGCCAGAGGACGACACCAGCGAGTCTGAAGAAGAGGAGACAAGTAGCGAGGAAGAGGATCATCTTGAACTGGGGATCTCCGGAGGCCCAGGAGCTCCTGCGTCGACGATGCAAGTGAAAAATAAAGGTCCAGAACAACACCGGGAGCAGCAGAAAAACAAAAACGCGCGTGTCGCGAGCACACGGAACCAAGGAGAAGAGGAGAAGGAGAGTGCAAGAGCATCGGCGGCCGAAGCTGTTCCTCCTGCACAACCAGGCTCCAGTGCAACCAGTAGGTCTGCAGAAAAGGAAGCAAACCGACCAAAAACGACGAATCTACGGGACCTGCTGAACTCTGCCGACCGACCAAAGACGACGACAGCACCAGAAGGGAAGACAAGATCGCAACTACCGAGAAACAAATCAAAAGGAGCAAAGGCCGTGTATGTGGTACCGCCCGCAGAAGAAATAGAGGTGGTTTACCTCTCTCCGAGATCGGCGGGGCGGGGTTTATTTACCGGGACTAAAGGGACCAACAAGCAGTTTTTACCTAAGTCGAGGAAATCGTCGGGGAAGTTAAAGAAGCGAAGGAAAGCAGAAATTCAAGCGGAGGAAGATGCGCCGTCCTCTCCGAGCAGCGCAAAGGGAAGACCAAAAACTGTCAATGTTGACGCCATCGTTCCAGCGCACATGAGATACGCACAGACTTTCGAGGTGGTGTTCGCGAACTATCTCACGACCAGCGTCCCGCTGCGCGAGTTTTTGGTGGACAATGTGCAGCAAGTGAAGGTACAGCTCGAATGCACAAAAATGTCGATTTTTACCGAAATTCGTGTGAAAAATCTGTGCTCTATTCTGCATGGTGTGATAGGTCCTGGACAGTTTTTTTGGGACTTTGTTTACCTCCGTTTTGTGCCTGAAAAACACAGCAAGCCACTGAGATTGTATTTTTGCGGGACTTTTCACTGCAGGAGTGCTCGTAGATTTTTGCAAAAAAACTGTGCTCTATTCTGCACGGTGTGATAGGTCCTGGACAGGTTTTTGTGCCTTTTTTGACCTCCGTTCTGTGCCTGAAAAACACAGCAAGCCACCGAGATTGTATTTTTGCGGGACTTTTCACTGCAGGAGTGCTCGTAGACTTTTGCAAAAAAACTGTGCTCTATTCTGCACGGTGTGATAGGTCCTGGACAGGTTTTTGTGCCTTTTTTGACCTCCGTTCTGTGCCTGAAAAACACAGCAAGCCACCGAGATTGTATTTTTGCGGGACTTTTCACTGCAGGAGTGCTCGTAGACTTTTGCAAAAAAACTGTGCTCTATTCTGCACGGTGTGATAGGTCCTGGACAGGTTTTTGTGCCTTTTTTGACCTCCGTTCTGTGCCTGAAAAACACAGCAAGCCACCGAGATTGTATTTTTGCGGGACTTTTCACTGCAGGAGTGCTCGTAGACTTTTGCAAAAAAACTGTGCTCTATTCTGCACGGTGTGATAGGTCCTGGACAGGTTTTTGTGCCTTTTTTGACCTCCGTTCTGTGCCTGAAAAACACAGCAAGCCACCGAGATTGTATTTTTGCGGGACTTTTCACTGCAGGAGTGCTCGTAGACTTTTGCAAAAAAACTGTGCTCTATTCTGCACGGTGTGATAGGTCCTGGACAGGTTTTTGTGCCTTTTTTGACCTCCGTTCTGTGCCTGAAAAACACAGCAAGCCACCGAGATTGTATTTTTGCGGGACTTTTCACTGCAGGAGTGCTCGTAGACTTTTGCAAAAAAACTGTGCTCTATTCTGCACGGTGTGATAGGTCCTGGACAGGTTTTTGTGCCTTTTTTGACCTCCGTTCTGTGCCTGAAAAACACAGCAAGCCACCGAGATTGTATTTTTGCGGGACTTTTCACTGCAGGAGTGCTCGTAGACTTTTGCAAAAAAACTGTGCTCTATTCTGCACGGTGTGATAGGTCCTGGACAGGTTTTTGTGCCTTTTTTGACCTCCGTTCTGTGCCTGAAAAACACAGCAAGCCACCGAGATTGTATTTTTGCGGGACTTTTCACTGCAGGAGTGCTCGTAGACTTTTGCAAAAAAACTGTGCTCTATTCTGCACGGTGTGATAGGTCCTGGACAGGTTTTTGTGCCTTTTTTGACCTCCGTTCTGTGCCTGAAAAACACAGCAAGCCACCGAGATTGTATTTTTGCGGGACTTTTCACTGCAGGAGTGCTCGTAGACTTTTGCAAAAAAACTGTGCTCTATTCTGCACGGTGTGATAGGTCCTGGACAGGTTTTTGTGCCTTTTTTGACCTCCGTTCTGTGCCTGAAAAACACAGCAAGCCACCGAGATTGTATTTGTGCGGGACTTTTCACTGCAGGAGTGCTGGCCGACTTTTGCAAAAAAAGTGTGCTCTATTCTGCACGGTGTGATAGGTCCTGGACTGTTTTTTGTGTCTTTTTTGACCTCCGTTCTGTGCCTGAAAAACACAGCAAGCCATCGAGATTGTATTTGTGCGGGACTTTTCACTGCAGGAGTGCTCGGAGACTTTTGCAAAAGAAGTGTGCTCTATTCTGCGCGGTGTGATAGGTCCTGGACAGGTTTTTGTGCCTTTTTTGACCTCCGTTCTGTGCCTGAAAAACATAGCAAGCCACCGAGATTGTATTTATGCGGGACTTTTCACTGCAGGAGTGCTCGTAAACTTTTTCGAAAAATCTGTGCTCTATTCCGCATGGTGTGACAGGTCCTGGAGATTCTTCGGCTGTATGTTTTCCTTTGCGCTTGTTAGCTAACAGTAACAGACATTCTCCTTCTTTATCCTTGAAGAAAAACAAAAAAAAATCACCCCGACCCAGGTATCCGCCCTGACCTTCGAAGCAATCGAGCTGGCGCCAGCTCTTCTACGCTGGAAAAGAACTACGGCTCGGACGAAAAAAGACCAGCTTACCGTTTGCGATCTCACGTACCTTCTGGCGTTCTGCGTCACACAGCGGAAGCAGACGCTGCTGCGCGATGCACGTGCAGCCGGCGAGTTTGTGTTCGACGTGATGCTGGAATTACGCGATGCGGTAGCTGCGTCATCGGAAAAATCACCAAACCGGCTGCCCGAGCCGGAGGAGCTACTGGTCATGGCGGAAGACGCGTTTTCCCTGCTTTTGAAATACACAAAATTGGAGAAGGGCTCCCTAAAATTGTGGCAGCGTCGCACAGACTCCATGCTCCTAAGCGGGTCTACGTCACCAGCAGATCATGGTGCGCCCGAGGCACTGGTGCATGTACAAGACCACTCCGCGTCTGCGGCAACAAGTAACGCTAAAAACGCGAAAAACGGAACGCATGTCGCCGTTGACAGCAATAGCTTGCAGGACGAGATTTCATCGCTGCGAGCCCGCACAGAAAATGCCGCTCCAGTGGAGACCGTCGTAAACCAGACCGCATTTCTTGCCAGAAATTCGGTCACGACCGCAGACGCGTCTGAGTCACGGGCGATCCCTAAGAACGCTGCGGCTACCAGGGCGGAAACGAGCGAAATTCGTCCTGCGGGTCGACTCGTGCTTAATACCGCACCTTCTCCGAAAAATGGTTCAGAGCGAAGAGATGAAGCACCGAATGTTGCCGCTGTTCATCCCGAAGAAGCGCCTGAGGAGCTGCTTTTCGCAGACGAGCAGTCGCTTCCTTCCGCCTCTCCGCCAGCGATCTCGCCACAAGATCAGTTGCTGAGTGTCTTGCACAAGAAGGACCTGATGACTGCCCGTGGAATCGATGTCACCGAAGTGATGCGACTTGAGAAGGAATATCCACAAAAAAATGACCATCCCCATCCAAGTTGTCATGCAAAACATATATCATGAAGTCCAAGTCCTGTGTTTGTCATGCGTAAAACGGATGGGGATGGTTGTTTTTTCCTGGATAAGGAAATGCCGGCCGCGGGCCGGCGCACTGGCGTGCGAAACCCCGCCCTCCCGACCGTGAAGGAGCACAACCTGGCGCAGCGAAAACAGCGTTTGTTCGGTGTGAAGCAGCCGCCAGTACTAGAAGGGAAAAATAACGCATCTACTTCATCAACATCAAGAGATCATTCTGGAGCAAGGCCAAGGGCGAGGCTTGTCGCAGATGCGGAAGATGAACCGCCGTCCTACCTGGACGAAATTTCCGTCCGTCGGGGTCGAGGTGCGTGTGGCCCGCCGGGCGGAATGAGCTACTCAGCGTACGGAAAATACATCTGCGGGGGTGAGATGGAAGCGCGCATGGTTGCGATGGAACAAGACGCACTGAAAAGGACCAAGGCAGTCGCAAGAAGAAATGCCACAAGACCAAACGCAAATGCAACCAATTTGATGTCCCCGGAACTAGCCACGACGTTTACCTTATGAGCGCGAATAGCCCGAAATAAAGGCACAAGAAGTTTAATAGCTTGACGAAGTAGAAGTCCTCGTCCTGGCTTCAGTTTTCTCTGCTCTCAATGTCAACTGTGAGTGTAGATATTCGACCGTGCTCTTGTTCTACCTCGATGATCTTCTTGGGAGCATATGACAAATCGAGAGAAGCAGGCTCTTCATCTGCCGTCAGAGACAGAGAATTAGGGCAATGCTAGTAACACATCCATCACCAAGAGAATAGCGGTTGCTCCTCCTTCATCTGGCTTGGCTCTGGATCTGGGGAAGGGGGCAAGCAGAGTGTGAGAGGTGAGTGAGACAGAGGGGCCTGCAGCGCAGCAAGCGTGGAGCACGTTTTGCTATGATCTCCAAACTTCATTCTTGCACTACTAGTGGCCATTTTCACTGCACACCACCTTACTTCCCTGCAACAAGAAAGAAGATGGCCTCTCCTGTCATTGAACCGCAGCCACCTCCGCCGAAGGTTGCCATTATCGGCGCGGGCGTAGCGGGTATTTCCGCAGCGCGCGTTTTTCTGCACCACCCCGCGAAGCCCGCTGTTGTCGTGTTCGAAGCGGGCGGCGACGTGGGCGGCGTGTGGACGTACAACTACAGTGGTTTCGGGTTGCAAGTCCCCTCGCGCCTGTACGAATTTCCGGACATGCGGAACCCCTACGTTGCCGATCACGAGTACCCGGACGGCCCGACGGTGCAGAAGTACATTGCAGACTACGCCGAGAAATTTGATGTGACAAAGCGAATTGAATTTAACACCGTGGTCGTGAAGTTGGAACCGGGGGGCGAGGGGGAATGTGGATGGTTGGTCACCACAAAGAATAACACCACCACGACGTGCGGGACTACTAGCTCGGGAAATGTAGATGAAGAAGGAGCAACCACGACTACGACTTTCTTCGACTACGTGCTTTGCTGCAGCGGAATTTACAACCAACGCAACAAGGTGATTCCAAGTTATCCGATCGTTTCGGTTTCCGAGAGTAAGAACACTGGAATAAAAATGTCGACCGAAATAAAAATCGAACCTTCTTGTTCCACTTCCACCTGCGATAACACGACCATCCCATCCATCGTGCACTCCGTGGACTTCACTGACAGTACAATCGCGACCGGAAAAAACGTCCTCGTCGTCGGCTACGGCAAATCCGCATTTGACTGTGCCCAAGCGGCTTCCCGCGCGGGGGCGCTCTCCACGTCGCTCGTGTTTCGACAGGCACACTGGCCCGTCCCGCGGAACATTTTAGGTTTCCTGCCCTTCGAATACGCGACGTTCTCCCGGATCGGAAGTGGGCTCCTACGACCGAGGTATCCCTGTTCTGCTGCCGCGGGACCCTCCTCATCCTTGTTCGGCAAGAAGTCTCTCGGCGGGATTTCCTTGGGTCTCCTTCCCTCCTCCAGCACTCCAAAAGTTTTGGGCAACATCTTCCGAAATTTCGGATCTCTTTTGACGCAATGCTGGCACCGCTTTTGCGAAAGCCTGTACAAAACTGTGCACGACAGCAAGATCGGCACATGGCTGCTCATGAACGTGTGGAACAAGGTGATTGCGAATGTGTTCGCGTTGCAGATGCGGTTTTTCAACACTGGCAGTCTCCTGCGCCCGCGCAGGTCCTTCACCGACGATTTCTGGTCCGGTCACGGCGTGCTACCGCGGCCGGATTTTTTCACCGACATTCACAACGGCGCCATCAAACCCATCCGCGGCGAGATCAAGGGCCTGAAGCCGGGGAAGGAGGTCCTGGTCGCGGAATTACATGACGAGTTGACACACGATGAAGACGTGAGCTACACCACAATCCCCTGCGACTTGATCATTCTCGGTACCGGTTTTCACCAGGATTGGAGCTTTTTTCCAACCGAATTCCAAAAAACCGTTGATCACGATGGTCTGTGGCTGTACCGCAACATGATTCACCCCGATTTTCCCAATCTCGGCTTTGTCGGCAGCAACGTGACCACGTTCACTAACATCACCAACCCCGGGATCCAGGCCCGCTGGCTAGCGGAAATGTGGTTCACCGAAGCGCGGAGTCGGGACTTGCTGAAAGAGGGAACAACAACAGTCGGAGCACTAGCGGGCGAAGAAAATGGTCACCAGAACACTATCGTGAACCTGAAAGTCACAACGAATCCGACGCAGGCCCTGCCCGACCGCGAAGTGATGCGCGACGCCATTGAGCAGACGAAAGCCTGGAAACGCGCTTCCATGCCGTACGCCGGGAAGGCGCGGGCGTACATGATTCAGACCCACCACATCCACTACTTTGACGAACTTTTGACCGATTTGGGCATCAGCACCTACCGGAAAGGGAATATTTTCAAGGAGATGTTTGAGCCGTACCGGCCGCGCGACTACGGCGACGTGGTGTCCGGGGAGTACTTTGAGAAGCTGGAACCGGTGATGCTGTTGGAAACAACTGTTGCCGCAGCTGGAGAGGAAGTTGCGGCAGTAAAACAGGCTGAGGTCGTGGTCCGTGTTGCAGAAATGCTAACTGAGCAGGTGAATAAGCACCAGAGCGAGTTGGTCGAAGCAGAGAAGATCCCGTTGCATAAATCGAAATCATCTTGTGCGGACGATTTTTCCAGAAAGTGCAGTTTGACGTCGACCGCTGCAAGCAGATCCACGGCGGTCCTCAGTATTTTCAGTGCTGACGGGGATCTTTTGGAAGAGGGAACCGCGGATGCGGAGCCCATTGCCTCGCGAACTACGGAGTCCTACGCGGACACAACCTGTGCCGGGGCGTGAACCGGGAATCGGTCAAGTGTGCAATAGCCGTTTTTGGAGTTTTGTTTGTTTCATGATGAAAAGAATGACGGCGACGGCAGTAGAAGTAGTGATTTTTTCGGCAATTTCGTGCTGATATAATTCAGCAACTGACGCGGTACGCGAAATTTTTTTTGAATACGCTATTTACCTGCTTCGGGTTCGAACACGCAAAGCTGAAAATTAATACTAACCATCAATAGAAGATACAACTAAAGACAATTGATGACCATGAACAACAAAGACGAAGACGCTATCTTGTTTCCCTCGATGCCGTTGCCGTTCTCGGTTTGATGTCTTTGTGTTGAATTCCGAAACCTTTCTCCCCGACAATAATTCATCTCCTTCGCCTCCGGTCTGGTAGACGCGATGCTTTCTCCTGTGTTCGTTTTTCTTGAGGCCGACCTGCTGTGAAAGTTTTTTTCGACCTTAATATTCCGATCATCCGCCACTGCGATGGCACCCAAACTTTTTTTGACAATGCGCATGTTGTTTTTGTGAGAGAGGCAAGCATGTTGATTGATGTTTTTTTCGCTGTTTAGTTCATTTCCGACGAATTGTGGGCTTTTTTGTGTTGCCCTTGAAAGGAGTTGGAAGATGGTGCGTCGGTCTCTTTTTTTTGAAGTTGAAAGAATTTCAACTTCCACTCCAGGATCCGTTCCGCATCTTTTTTTTTTGGTCCAAATAAGACACAGTAGATCATGATCCCCACCTCCACCTTGTTGCATACGCATTTCTAAGTAACTTTTTCGTGTGTCTTCGTCTCTTCCCGCCATCTCACCTACAATATACGAATATCATTTTTCACAGCTAGAGGTGGTCGTTGTTTTCTTTTCTGCGTTGTTTCCTCTGTAGTTTTCGCTCGAATATTGCAGTCCTCGGGGTCATCAACATGGCGCTCCTGGCGTCAGGTAGTACAGGTGTGGAGCTGCAGATCTTGCGGTACCTCATCCAACAGGTCGGGGGAAACGGAGTGGAAACCCAGCGTTTGAGCCAGCTGTTGGACGAGAAGCAGAGGCAGGATGAGACGGAGCAACGTACTTACAGTCATCTTTGAGTGATCTGTACTGGCGTGCATTGACGAATTCAAATTGGAAATAGAATTGAAAAGTCTCTCCTGAATGTGAACGGTTACTTAATTGCAGCCAAGTTCGCCTGGAAACAAAAACTGTGAATCGATGGTGGCGTTGTAGTTGTGAGTACTTACATAGATCTCACACGTGCAAAACGCACAGGTAAAAGCGCTCTGCTTGAGCAACGAGTCCAACTGCTCGAGCAGCAACTCCGACAGCAGGGTCAGCAACAAGGCAACGGCCTCCACTCTCCGTCATCCATGAGCCAGGCCGGTCAACAGGCGACCAACGACCTGATGAAGGGGTTTAGCAACGCCGGTCTGGAGATCCTCAAGATGGGCACCCACCAGCAGACCGCCGCAATCGCGGAGCAGATGGCCGAAAATATGGCCAGCAAGTACGCCCACGTCGAGATCCAGCAGCTCCGGGCGGAACTGGAGAAGGCAAAACTGCAGGCGGAAAGCGACAACAAGCAGCATTCGACGCTGCTGGCCGCGTGCGAGCGGGACCTGCACGACTTCTCCTCCGCGCTGGAGGCCGTGAACGTGGAGCTGGACGAGCAGAAAACGCGGTCCGAATTCCTCGTCAACTCCCGGATTAAGTCCCTCGAGGACCGCGTTGCGGAGCAGCTGGCCGAACTCCAGTCCGCGTTTGGGCGGCACGAGGACTGGATGAACCAGGAAGTCGTTCCTTCCGTGAACGCGTTGGACCACCGGCTATCGAAGACAAAGGACAACAATGAGGAGGAGAAGAACACGCTGCAGAAAGAGCTCAGCGAGCTGCAGGAGTCCACGGCGGAGCGCACCGGGGAGGTGGACAGTCGGATTGGGAAGCTGGAGGAGCAGCTCTTCGGACTGAAACTCGAGGTGCTGAATGCGATGAACAGCAGCAGGGACATCCTGAAGGACTTCGAGGAGCAGGAGGTGCAGAAGACGAAAACCGAGCAGCTGCGGGAAAAGGACGTGCGCATCTTGGCGAACGACTTGACCAAGTTGAAAAGCACGCTGCTGCTGGCCGAAGAGGGCGTGGAGGACGATCCGAGGAAACGCTTGTCATTCTTCACCAAGGAGCTCATGCGCGAGGACGAGAGTGGGGAGGTGGATAACAATTCAAACTCGATGTTGCCATTTCATCAGCAAGATAAGGTCAACCAAAAGCATGGGAGCCAACAGCCAGGAGGTGACAACTTCATGGGCCGCGGCCAGGCAGGGTAAGTTCAAGCTGTCCTCGAAGTAGGTCTGTATAACAAAAGTGGCTGCCACCTTTTTGTTTTTTTCATCTCTCTATGTTGTTTTCACACTCATACCTAGGAATCTCGTTGTCGTTGTTTTTCAGTTCCTTTCCTCTTTCTTTCGTACTACCCTCGATAGTAGAACAAAACAACATCAGGTTCTCTACCTCCTCCAGCCCCAACAAGCAGAAGCAATTTAATTTCCAGCCGGATTTCCTTGAAGCTCTTATTGCGCAGTTGGTGGCCCGCACGAACCTGGAGCACCGCTTTTCCACCGTCGAAGATACCGTCGAGAAGAAGAACACGAAATTTGACCTGCAGCTCACTAGCCTGCACACCGGGTTCGACGAGTACCGCCGGGAGGTGCAAACAACCAAAGAGCAGCTGGTGAACTTGGCGGAACACTTCAAGGCAGCGTTTGCGCATCCCATGTTCAGCTTTGGGCAGAACAAGACGACAACAGCTGCATCTTCTGGCTCTACATCTAGCGGTGATTTCGCGAGCAAAAACTGGAACCCATTGGCGGATCCGCGACAGACTAACATGCCAAGTTTGGCATTGCCGGGGATTCGCTCACCGACGGAACTGGGCTCTTCGTCACTGCCCATGACAAGCCTGGACATGATTAGTAACGGGGACAACGTCAAGCCAACAAACTCGTCGCAAGTTGTGCGGGCTGGTGCGGACGGCGCTGGCACGCTTGCATCGCCACCGAGATCTCCCAGGGGGAATCAGGTAAAATAGCAGATGCTTGTTCGCGATCAGCTTGGACGACCGGATATTGGACTAGTACGTAGGTTTGTTTTGACACTTCTGCTTTTTCACGGACGCCGACAGCTAAAAAAATAAAGTAAAATCTTGATCTTCAGGTTACCGATACCAGCGGGACGGGGAAAAAAGTCGAAGTCAGCGGCCTGTTCAACTCCTTCGAAGGCTACTTCACCGAAAAGATTTCGCACCACGTGATTCACTCGTTTTCCGACAAAATTGCCCAGCTTCAACTGCTTATTGAGGAGCGCGCGCCGAGCAGAAAGCTTGAGGACCTGTCCCAAACGACGGAGCACTTGGCGGAAGGCGTTTTCAAGCTCGCGCAGGTGACTGGTGTGATCCCGCCGAAAACTAGTACACCAGCAAGCGAGCCATCGTCTGCAGCCGTTGGAGTTCAGAGAGAGGAGCACCAACAAAACCAATCCACCTACAGCCACTTACAGGAGTTCGATTCCTGGAAGGAAAGATCGCGGCTCCTTCCGCTCCGGATAGAGAAGGTGTGGCGAGCCCGGTGTGCGAACAAATGCCGCAACGTGCTGGACATGGTCGCCAAGAAGGCGGATTTGGGGCTACTGAAACTCTTACAGCAGTCGGTCCACGATCTGGAGCTGCAGATGCTGTCTTCGCGAAACCAACTTACCGCGTATCGCATGACTACTGTGCCGCCCATGACGATGTTTCCGGGCAAGAATTTTTCTTGCAACAGCAATTCGCAACAAGAAGCAGGGCAATTTCGCGGTCACTCGCAGCACCAGCAGGCTGGGACGAGTGGAAGTGGTTTGCGATTGTTGATGCGGGAGGAGGAACCATACCATGAAAGCAAGTTGCAGAACGGAACCGCCGCAGTCTCCTCGAACTCCAGGCAGTTTGAACACAGGAGCTATGACGAGCGCGAGGCCGGGTTTGAATCTGTGTATGGGAATGCTTCGCGACAGCAGCACTCACTTCGTACTTCGTTTTATTCTTGTTCTACTTCTAGCTATTATTTGAGTATGCGAAATACAAATATCAAGTGGGCATGCACTTCATCCACTGCTAGTGATCTGCAGAACAAAAGAATGTTTTGAAAAAATGCAAATCAACAACAGCCCCATCCCGTCCGAGAAGTGCACATGGTGTGACGACGGTGAGTGCCGGTAGAGCGCGGGACACTTCTCCGCCAAACAGCAGCCGGAACGTAGAGCAGCAACGACAGGCGGCCCGAGGTGTCGTCGAAAGCGCGTCGTCGCACTACAACAACTCGCAACACCACGAGAACGCCGTTGAAAGCTCCACTTCAGGTTCGCACTTGCGATTCGGCACGCAGCAGCAAAAAGTGCCAGCGGCTGATCCGCTGGGCTCCACCATGAAGGGCCTGTTAGAAGGCCCGCCGCCCAGCCATCTCTCCACGTTTGGAAGTACGCCGCGACGAAACTACGCAAATGAGCAGCAGACGAACAAAGTACAAAATCACCAACGCATGCTTGTCAGCTCGCCGCATTTCGGGAACTTTGCCGGCTCGACGGGTGGAGCTACGGCCTCGAATCACACTAATGTTGCCGCGTCCTCAGTTGTACCGCAGGCTGACTTCCTGTCCTACAGCGAGCAGGATCAGGACCCCTGCGTTCCGAGTGTCAAAGTGAACCAGATGCACCCACAGCGTCCGCAGCCGACGCATCCCGGACGGGTTCTGAAAATGCGCGAGGAGCATTACTAGAAATTTGGGACGATTTTTCATGACACCCGGTTCATTTCTTCAATTTGAATTTCTCTGACGAGCAGTTCCTTGCGTTTCGACTCAACGTGTTGATGTACTTAGAAGCATCGCTGTTTCGTTCTACTTTTCCGTATCACAACTACATCACAAGTGGAAATGTTTCCGAGTGACTTTCTCCATGTTGCACTTGCAGTTGAATTCTTTTCATCTCAAACAATCGGATTTTGAAAAATTTAAATAGCCGAGTTTCCAAAAAGGTTTAAGGTCAAACAGTCCGAAAGGTTCATCTCTTGCCGAAGAGGACAAAGAAAATGAAGCCGATAGTATACGTTCTTGTATGATCATACCGATAGCGATACGACATGCAATACACTTCTTCAATGCCATATCAAGAGCATTTCTTTACAAAATCTACATGTGGGAAGACATAGCACGACACAAGGAACATGAAATACTCCTAAGTCTAGACAAATACACAAGTAAGGATGTTTCTTTGATTCGAAACCGCTTGCCAAATGGTAGCGACACGTTTTGGAAGATGTCACTGTATCAAATGAGGCATCGTTGTCGTTGAAGAGTCTGTCAAGGGCTTCATCTTTATCCACATTCGCATTGCTTTGTTCCCCTGTTTTTGCTCGGTACCTGTTTTTGTACATCTAGCCACGAGAGAATTTTCATTTTTCGTTTCTCGTTCCCGTTTAAAGGCATCTCATAAAAAATGTGCCTTATGTTCTTGCAGAGGTGCTGTGCGTGTGCTTGTTGTGACGTAGGCAGCTGAAGATCTTTGGTCTTTTACTTTTTCGCCTCTCGTTTTTTCGCTTCTCGTTTTATTTCGTTTTGTATACGATGTTCAACTTTCCTCGTCACGTTGGGATAATTCCCATGGCACAAAGGCTCGACGCCGGTCGTCCTGAGTCGAGGCCCACGCCCTCGTCCTCGTCGTCTTCGTCGTCGGCACCGAGATGCGATGAAAACCGTGCAGAAAAACGGCCCCACACTTTCCGCTTCGCCGTCCGTGGATCTTCACCTAGATGTACGACGACGGACAAGACGAGCGCATTCCTTTTCACGACAAGAGCCATCAATTACCTGTGGTGGAAAAATCGTAACCTCGTCCGCGCAGAGGAGCTTCTGCAGCTGAAGCACGACGGTAGCCTCAGCAAACCTCCCGGTGTAGACAATAAACCGCAGATAAAGCGTAAGTCCAGCGGAGACCACCGCACCAGTGGCAATCTTCGGAGACGCGCGACCCGAGGCGGCACCGGGCCATACAGTTTCACGGAGAACGAAGGGCGTTTGCACGTCGCCACCGTGGCCGCAAATAGTCCGTCGGAAGACACGTACTCGTTGGAGGAACGAGACGGCGTAACGCTCGCCTCCGTCCTGGATGGCCACGGAGGCCCACAGGTCGCGCATTTCGCCTCGGAGAATCTCATAAAACTGTTTTTCCGCAACGTCACCGGCGGAAACAAGGGGAAAACGAGTTCCTCCTGGTTCGGCGGTACTAGCAGTAACGCGGCACAACTCCCGGGCACGAAAGTTGCCAAAACGGTTGACGACGTCGCGCAGAGCCTAGTGGATGCGTATCGCGAAGTCGACGAAATGTGCTGGGACCGGTGCCAACCTTGCTGCGAGCTCGGCTTCCTCAACGTGGCGCGAGTGGGCTCCTGCGCCGTCTCCGCTGTGGTATGGAAGGATCCGGCAGCGGCGAATAAACCGACCGGAGGCTCCTCGAGTGCTGCAACTTCACCGCGGAGGAGCGTGGTTGTCGCAAACGTGGGCGACTGTCGCTGCATGCTAGGGCGGACAAGCAGGAAAGGGAGAAATAACACCACAGACGCGGCTTTGTCAACAACTTCCCCGAAGTTGCGGTTTGTTCCGTCGTCCCGTCTGAACAAGGATTACAATCGCTTAATGTCGGACATGACTACCAGACCTCCGAACGGGGCTACGTCCGGAACTACAGCTAGCGCTTCCGCTCCACCTTCGCCCGCCAGTCCAACAACTGACGCCCCTGCCACCACCAGCAGTGCGGGCGGGGTTCTGGAGGGTGTCACACTGACCACACTGCACAACGTGAACGACCCGTTGTGCCGCGCCATCATGCGGCGCGACTTCCCCGAGGACCCGGATATCGTGCAGTGCATCCAGGGCTGGCAGGACCAGGTGACCGGGAATTTTTCGAGGTTGCGTCCCTTGGACAATTTCAACATGGCGCAGCTCCGCCCGAGAATGTTCAACAACGAGCAAACCGACACGGATTCCGCGGACGATCATGACCCCGGGGTGCAGACCCAGAGCATCGGCGCGGCGCTGGGCGCCTCCGCGTTCGGGGCGTCGGGGGCCAACAGCCGGTGGCAGCCGGCGGAATTCAGCTGCTACGTCAAGGGGTGCTTGCAGCCCACGCGGAGTTTCGGCGATTTCTACCTGAAGCGCCGCAGCGCGACCTTTGACCCGGTCACGCGGTTGCCGTTGGTGCACAGCCCGAGGCACCTGCCCTACATTAGTGCGGAGCCCGACGTGCGAATTTATGAAGGTGTGGTTGGACGATGATCAAACTCAAAGCTACAACTTGAAGTTTGCTCTTGGTCTAGTTTTTGCAATTCTTATTTTTTAGATTTTATCGCTAATCATCATCATCAAAGCCGTTGCCGTGCTCATGTTTGTAGCCTTGTTGGTGCACCACTTGGAAATGCGCATCGACTCCTTTCTCGAATTCGACCGCATGTGCAACACGACTGGGACAAGAACGCATCACGAAAAAACGTCTTTTTCGCCAGGTCTCACTTCAGACGACAAGTTTCTGGTTTTGGCATCCGATGGGCTGTGGGATTTCTTGACGGAGGAAGAAGTATTGGACACCCTGGAGCCCTACTTCCTCCCTGATTCCAGTGGAGCCGTACAACTCAAGCCAAAGCGTGCGGACAAGAACAGCAGCCGATCCGAAGAGGAGAAAGACGCTTCCTCGGACGACAACAGCGAAGATACGGCCGCCAATAAAGATGTGAACTTCGCCCAGTTACTTCTGGATCGGCTTCTCGAGCGGATCTCCCGAGAAAACAGTCTCGGCTCCCCTTCCCAGCTGCGCCAGGTTCCGCCAAACGCGCGGAGGAAAATGTTTGATGACACAACCGTAGTGGTGATTGTCCTCTAGAAGATGAAAAAATAAGCGGCTGCCTACAACTTGAACTTGTGAATGAGAGCATGTGGAGGTCGAGGTAGCGATTGGGCTAAAGTTGTTAAAGTTACGATGTACAAAGTCTATGTCTATCTTCCACCTGGAAGTCTTCGTAGATGACATGTTGGACAGTGTCGTGGAGCTGATGTTCGGGTGCACCGAACTCCCAAGTTTTCCTGTCGTCTTGCCTTGTCGAAGGTCTCCTTCGTTTTCGCAACAAGACATAGCAGATTTGGTTTTGTTCTATCGTATCGGTATCCTCGCTAATAGTACAAGGACATCAAGATCGTCGCGCAAAGTCGTCATTGGTACTATCGAGAATTCGTCAATAAACCAATCGTTGAACAAATCTTCGTCCCCGCAACGTCTTCCCGGTCAGTGACACGACTGACATGTTCGATTGAATTTTTATCATGCATTCATTGCGCCAAAAAATTTAGAGTTTTACTACTTTCAGTTTCGTTTGAAATTCCGTACAACAGATTCATCCACGATGAAATACAGCACTAGCAACACCATTATGAGTGGCTCTTCGCCGTCAGCTCCCTCGTCGTCCTCCATGAACTGCTCCTTTCTGAGTATTGGAATGGACAATTTCCTCGGCCAGGACGGCCATTCGCTGGGACGCAAGGTGCTCGGCAAGCGGTTTCGGTTCGAGAAGGCGGGGATCGGAAATTTTCTCCAGTTTGCAAGGGAAAAGCGGGTGACAAAAATCGAGGACTACTTGCGCATATCTAGGAAAGAACACCCATCCCCAACATCTTCCATGTTTTGCATGGCAAGCACTGCAACTTATGCCTGTACTGCATATACAAATTGCAATACATAGGATGGAGATGGGTGTTTGTTTTCCTGAATAGCGCAGGATGAACGACGACGAGCTGTACGTGTGCGACGCGCGGGACGACAAAACGCTTTTTCAGCACGGGAAGTGCGCCTACTTGGGCGATGTGAACGAGATTACGAAGCGTGCGTTTTTGCATATGAAAGCCTCAGAATGGAAATCCTCAAAGTGGAAATAATTTGCGATGCATGAAATGCGACGCAAAAAACCCTGTATTGCAGAGGACGCAATGGAGGCCGACTATAGTCCTGCTAGGGTTGAAGAATTTGGGTGCTGCTTAGCACGAGAGAACGGCACCCCTTTGCCTTAACCTGCATGACAGACATGCTTTAAGTGCCCGGGAAATTTGTCATGCGCCGAATACAATGCCATTCCGTAGTAGCACAGTGTGTTTATGTCATGCGCCGACTACAAATGGCTGTTCAACTGGAGTCGTTTTTTTGCATTACAAATTATTTTCACTTTGAGGATTTCCAACCTGAGGCTTTCATATTGCAACAACCGTCGGCGGCGAAATATTCCTTCACGACCGCGGCGCAGCGGTGGGACGCGAGTCGCGACATCTGGACGGCGAAAAACGCGCCCTACGTTGCGATCCCCAGCATCTCGGTGGACTCCATCGACCTGGCGCGCATACGCAATGTGCCGACCAAGTTGATGACCACCGAATATGGGCAAGCGGAGGGCTACTACCCTCTCGGAATGCCGCCGGACCACGGGCACTTTGTGCCGCCGGTGGACTCAGCGAACGGGCTTGAAGACTTCGAAGCGGAAAGCGGGGACGCGCCGATGGCTGCAACGACCGCGGCCGTTGGCGGGATGCAGAAGTTTCTGTGAAACAAATTGCCGGTCGTGGTGCAGCTGCACAAAGGCGAGCACAGACAAGAGACCACGAAAGAAGGAACGCTAAAGCGTTTATGGCGGAAAATGAAATGCGAGTGCGCCGTGGTCGTCCTCGTGGTTGTTTCGAACGTCATTCAGAATCAGTAGATCAGCACCAGCAACAAAGCTACTTAGCACGAGCTTATAGCAATGTTTACACGGCACGGGCACAACATACTTCTGACAGATGTCGTTGCTGTTGTTCTTCCCTGTCACCGTAGGATTATCGACTTCTCAATATAACAAGCACCAGTCGTGATGTCGGTGTTCTTTCTTATTGTTATGGTGCCAGAATTGTGGCATTGAAGCAGCAGGAGCGCCTCGCGTTCAATCACAATCCTTACGAATTTCATTTGAGGTAAGTAGACGTGAGCTCTACAACAACTCCAGTTGCTCTTCCTCTATCTTTGGCTATCTCGAAAAAGATGGATATCCTCGGAATTCTAGTTCTTCTCATGTTTCTCGTGGTCACGTTGGCGTTCATAGGGTGCTGTCTCGTTTGCGGCTGTTGCTGTTTCAGCAACGACGCCGCCATTCCTCTGACTATCCTCCGGCATCGCGCAGCAGGAGGAAGCACAGACAAACCAACAAGAACAATAAACCACCCAGACGGGGGCACCACGGACGGTCAAGAGGTGAAGCTTTCCGGCGCGGCAGCCAGAGTATTGAAGGAGCTGGACCTTATTCCAGCTGGCATCGAGGTGGAGCCACGGCGAAAAAATAGCAAAGGGAGAAAGCAGTCTGGAAGTAGCAGTCATTCGGGTCGTGGTGCACGAGGAAATAAAGCAAAGGATTTTGGCGCTTCGTCGTTGAGCAAAGGTGAGGAGAGCGACGAGGAACTGGACCAAATTTCTGTCGATGCAGTTCGCCCCGACAAGATCGTGTTCGAGGAAGCACCCCCAACGCGCAAGCCAAGACCACCAGGCGACTTGACTGTGTGGGCCGAAGAGTCTGCACCGCAACTGGCTTCGAACCAGAAAATGATGCGAGGTGGAGTCGTCGTTTCTATCTGAAATTGAAGAAAAATATGATCTGAAGAAAGTACCCGAAAATGTGTAACTACGATCGACCCAATCCCATCCAAACAAGCATGGAAAGCAAGCTTAGATGCCACATTTTGAAGTTCACCCGCGCTTCGATCAACAACTGTTTTTGGGGACTTGACGCAGAGCAAGCCCAAGCAATTATTGTTTCGAGGATCAATTCAAGAACTTCTATGTATTGCGGAAGACGAGCAGCAGTGTACTTAAGATGATAAGAACGCTCTAACCGCGGCTTTCCGTCGCAGTGGCAGTGATCATCTCAATGGATCTGATACGTATAAAGCAAAGAGTGCCGGGCGTGCGCTCAGGCGCACGAGATCATCATTACTACTCAAACAATACTGATTTACTACCTCCTTGAATGACCTGATTCTTTGCCGTTATCAATTTTTGAAACGCTTTGCTTTGAAATCGGAGCGCAGAACCACCAACAGGAGCGGACTCACGTGAAAGGCGCTTTCATCTGTAGCTTTTTTGTCTTTCGAGATACTTCAAGTTAAATCTATCGAGAAAGCGAAGAGAAAGTAGAGTTTTTTTGCTCGTGGGGCTTTTACAATCACCTATTTGTAGTTCTTCGCTTTTGCTGATAAAGGAAAGCCAAGCTGGACAGCACCAGAAAGCATGTTGCTCCCAAGAGCTGCCTTGATGAAAAAAATGTTGTCCGTAGCTTTCCTGATCGGTGGCACGCCAGGTACTCTTTTTAGCAACGTAAGTGCCGTACGCGTGCTACGCAGCAACACCGCACACGACGAGTCCAGTTCCCTTGTCCAGTGCGGGACCAAATGCTGCTTGTGCGGTGTCGCAGTCGGTTGCATGGCATGCTGCACACTGCCTAGCTCTGCCACCGTTGCCACTTCGGAGCCCGCTCTTGCACTAGGGAGTATTTCAAAGCTGGTCGGAGCAGGGGCGACCGCGTGTGCGAATGTAGTGACCGCCGCGGGTAACACAGCCGCTTGGGCGATTGAGCACCCCGGAGCTGTGTGCTGCTGCATTGCTGCGCCCATAGCCGCAGTGACGTGCTGCATGAAGCCGGGGGATAAGATGGCCGTGGATGTCGATGCGGGTGGGCTGGGTCGTCTGCAGGCGTGTACTTCGATCTGCGGCTACTCAGGACAACGCACCACACTCTTCCGCCGTCAGAAGCAAAACTCAGGAAGCCCAATGCTGCTCGACGGAAGTGATAAGTGAGAGACCGCCAACACGCCCGTTGCGATCGCGCTCGTCTATCTATCAGGAACGTCATTGATTGCATAGGAAAAGGAATTGAGGATGTTCGTCGATGCTGTGAGTGTCGATACTTATTTGATTAGAATGACTCTGACACGTCGTGAGCGTGACACTGAGAGTCAGATTTCACGATGCACACACACATCCATGTTTTTTATACTGCTTTCACTCTTGTCTGGCCTAATATTTGCTGTAAGCCACGGAAGCGTGAAGATCAAGAACAAGAAAGTGAAGACTGCTCCACCATCAAGGTTATCAATCTAACAGGACTTTTAGTTTCCATAATTTTGCAACAGAGAAGATGATGCAGAGAACCGAAATATTTTTCAACTCTGATTCTCAAATGCTCGTGGTAGGAGAAGCTGGGCACCTTCAACCACAATGAATCATCTGACGAAGAATTTTTCGCATTATGATGATGCCCGTACGCGTGCCAGTGATCGACGTTTTTTTTCTGGGTGCACATATTTTTCGTACACATCATGTTGAATAGGTTGTATTTTGTACATGATTCCATAGCTTTCTTTTCTGACGGTACACGCAGAGAACAAGAATCAAGAATCACATCAAAGATATAAATCAAAAGACAAGAAAAGAAGCGAGCATGACAATCGACTCGCCTAGTGTGCCATCGGGGCGTCAATGCCAGATGTCATTTCATATCTCATTCTCATGTGTGCTGTTCGCGTGGTTTCAAATAAAGCAAAAAATATCTGTCCGAGGACCTGTCTGTGTCCTTATGGGTACTATCGAAGACAGGACGCAGATCATCCGCTCCCCCACATTCAAACAATGAATCGTACCATTGCATCTTCCGCTTCCAAAGTCAAAGTGAATCTGTCTGCTCAAAACCACCTGTGTACAAAACAAAAGATGCACCGCTTGCGCTTGTCGTGACATTCTCTTTCTCATGTTCTTCTAGTGGTATTCGTATTGGAAGACCGCGTTGTCGCAACACCCGAAATGCAGCATGCCTGTGAGATGGTCCAGGCATTGCTGAAGACGCAGCAGGCTATTGCGCGCACACCCTATAACGAGTTGTGTGTGCAGATCTTGAACGTTTTGCAAAAGCAGGGGCTCATTCGCGGTTTCACTGCAGAGGGCAATCGATTGAACATCCTGCTGAAGCACTACCAGGGCGGCCCGGTGATACGAAACGTTCGCGTGGTGAGTAAACCTAGTCGAGATATTTGGGTGCATCCGCACGAGTTGAAATCCCACACGAGTTTCAACACCGGGCTCTGGCTGATACAAACGCCCTACGGAATCTTGTCCCACAGAGATTGCCTCGAGATGGGGATTGGTGGAAAGGTGATATTTGCCTTCAATAATGGCTTTCAGCACTGGTGTTAGAAGCCAGAGGTGGTTAAGTAGCAAGCTGTGCAGCTGAATAAAGATAATGATATTACCCTCGTAGTGGTACTCCATCGCGACCGTGGGAGGTACCATGATCACCACGTCGATCTCAGCGTCTTCAGGGCAGTGTTGCTGCTTGATGGGGTCTAAACATCCAAAACTGTTCCTCAAGCGAGTAAGTTACTATTTTGCCTGGTGTGCTGCCACCCTTGTAACCTTGAGCTTAACCCCCAGGCTATCGCTCTTGAGTGTTGCTATTTTGGCCTCTGAGTGAACGTCATTGTTGCTGTTCATGCAAGCATGGGAGCTGCTGATCAAGATCATTTCATGTGGTCTGGGCAATAGTAATTCTAATTGCAACATGACGCAAACAAGCACAGGAGAGAAACAAGCTGAAGATAACACAAGCGCCACTACACCAGAACCTGAATCTGCAGTGTGAGCCTTGATGAGCTTGACACAGCTGCGACTGCTGCAGCGTAAAGATGTGACTCGTCCTCGTCCACCAACAACACCCTGCACAGAGACCACACAGCAGGCAAAGGTAAACCAGTAGCAGCGCCAGCGCCGGTAACACCATGAGTGCAGCAGCGGCGAGTGGACAGGTATGCAGCACCGTCCCGGAGATCCGGGTGCTAGGTATGGGCATCGGATTTTTCCTGTACCTGCTGTTGGTTCTGTTCACAATATCCGTGCTTGTCACCCACCACGACAAGTTCCGAATCGGGAAGCAACTTGGTTTGGCGCATCTGATCTTCCTCCTCCTCATCATTCTGCTACCAAAAAAGTCCACCGAAAAGGAGGAGTGCGGACCACGAACAGATTCGCAGGGTCTGCTGACGTTGGTAATGACGCTGATGCAGGCTGTTTTCTCGTGCTTGGCGATGCTGGGTGTGCATTTACAACTGTGGGGTAAACCCGTTTTGACCGTCTCGAAGGAAGACCGCGCCACCGGGCACACCAGCGCAGACGGTGTCTTTTTCTGAGCAGGAAGATTGAGGTGCTCTCAGAAATTGGACTTGATGTTGATCATGGTAAGGGATACCGCCACCGGTTGTTTGAAACGCCCTCGCGCATTCTTAGAATACGTTCTACGATAGTAGTGCAGCTCCTGGCTGCGCTTGCATCATTGATGGATGCAATCGGTCAGTCTTCATTTGAGGAACAACATCATGCAGCAAACCAGCCATCCCCATTGCTATGACTGTCGGAGGATAGGTACGCCACAATCGCATCGTGCGCTGTCGCTAATATCGTGTTGAGGTCTACTCTGTGTCATTCTTTAAGATGACCCAAAAACGAAGTGGAAGTAGGAAGTGGGAATGATGATCTATCTGTTTCTGCTGCCGAGCTGTGTTTTGGGACTGTGAAAGCACTTTCTTTTTTTTGTGGCTCCTGATTTCCATTTCGATTTATGTTTATGTGTTTTTACCTTCGATCTTTTCCTCCTAGTAATTAAGTCACAGTCCGCTCTCATGGGATCAACCGAGCTTGTCAACGGGGGCACGAGGACCTGTCGCATTTTTTAAAGATCTTGTACGTTGTTCCTTCTTGCGCAATTTCAATCATCACAGAGAGAATGTTGAACGCCCGAGCACCATCGCACTCCCACTCTTCAACGGGAGCCGGAGCCTGGTCACTCCGCTTTGGCCAAAGGCAGGGACTGTTAATGAGACTGCTGGCCGCCTCCCTTTTCTACTACAACGAAGTAGCCACGAAGGTGGTTTTTGCCGAGGTCCACCGTATGCAGATTGCGGAGGACTGGATCAATCCAGACTTACATTTTCGCCACCTCTACGGGGTGTCGAAGGACTACGATGCGGAGATTGAAAAGTTGGACTGCCAAAGCCTGAAATCCATGATTTTGACGAACCACGAACTGCTGGAGATCCACAGCAACGCCGTGAACGCGGACGGTAGCTTCAACGTCGTTTTGCTCGACAACGATCAGGTCAGTGGCTGGGTAGACGTGGAACCGCTTTTGGAAGGATGTAGTGCCTTGCAGAAGTTGTACCAGCTGGCCACTGTAGGAACGAAAGTGTGTAGAAGAAGTAGAAGAACCAGGAGGAGTACAAATCCTGACCACTCTGTAGCCGCAGCGCGAAGAACTGAGATGTGGTCTTCACAACCGCTGCAGATCCTGCAACGAGAGCTGAGCTGTGCGACATTTCAACGTACTAGCAGCTCCTCGAAGAGTACTAGCCAAACTGGTACTCCTTTCGACGATGTGGTATCTCTCGTTGAAAGCCAGTTGCGTAAAGACCCAGCTGCATTTGCTCTAGAAGCGGAGCCTGGAGATATTCTCCCCGAGGTCGAAGCGCGGTCCGTTTACCGAGGAAAAAGCTCCCTGGACGTTAAGCGGGAATCCCTAACCCACGCGCTGGAGCTTTTGCAAGCTTTCAGAACCGATCCAGGAGCAGCGAAATGGACACTGGGTCCGCGGTTTCACAGAAGGTTCGGTAGAGTTTTGAGAAAAGTCGGCCAGGAAGTAGCTACAGACGACGTTGAAGAGGACCACGAAAAAAGCCCTGAAGGGCTAGATCCGTCTCTCTCTTGGTACCTCCTTCGGAACTTCGCCATCCAGGCCCTGGCCCTGTATCTCGACCGGGTGACGCAGCACGTGACCTTAAAGTCGTTGCCCTTTTTCAATCTGGGCGCCGATCTGAATCTCGGATTTCTCTTCCACAAAGTGAACATGAAGTACGAGCACGGCGTGTTTGGCTTTCGCTTCGACGTCATTTTCTGGCTCGCGGAGCAGCAATTGCTGCGGAAACTTGAAGCCGCTGCGGCACAGAACAAAGATACAACAGCTGATGGCGCGTCAGCGCAGTTTGATGCGGAGAAAGCACGAAGGCAACTGTACTCCAGCGCAACAGACGAAAGTCATTTTCTGGGAGGTGCTTCAACAAGTGACCAACTGCGAAGACCGAAACTCCGCATTGCCGAGGTTGGAGTAGAGAAAGGCGAGACGGTGCGTTACGTGTTGCAGAAGCTCGGGAAATGGATCGAGTACTACGCTGTCATCGACCCGTACTACATGGAAGGGAAGCCAACTTTGGACGATGTGCTGGAGTACTACAGCCAAAATGTCACGGAGGTGTGTGAAAGCCACAACCTGCTTCACAACAACTCCGCCTGCGTAACGCATAGAGTGAACTCCTTGGACTTCAGGATCGACGAAAAACACCGACTGGAATCTTTCGAACAAGATGATGACCTGTTTGACGTGATTTTCCTGGACGCCGACCACAGCTACCACTCGGTGACGCAGGACGTAGGTTTCTACGCCAATTTGGTACGGAAAGGGGGAGTGTTAGCTGGGCACGACTTCTCGAAAGACCACCTACAGGTGGTGCTCGCCGTTCTGGTGCACTTCGCACAGTTGGAGGAACCCGTAACGCTACACATAGGAATGGAAACTGTCTGGTTTGTGTATCGGGAAACATGGTGACAAGGAGAGTTGTCCTTTGCTTGTTTAATCATCACGCTCATCTATCTCATGGTCGTAGCCGCGCGCACCAGATCCAGAGAACTGCAACTGACTACATCGTGGACTAAGATTTCCACTTGATGCTGCTCCTGTTACCCTGAGACATGAGTTATGGTGTGACTGGCGATCGTGCTTCTTCGGTTTCTTTTTTTTGTGACTGAAGAACGTGAAAAAAGTCAGATCCAGATGAATCATGAACGGAAAGAAGGTCTAAGTAAGTTGCACACCACTCTCCGAGACCGAGAGGTCAGGCCACAGCCACATTTTCTGTGGCCGGATTGGCTTTGTCATGATTGTGGTCAAAGAACATTTTTGATAAGTACGATCTGAAGTTCTGCCACACCAGGTACTGCGCACGCGTACTGACATCGACCAATCTGGTTCCCTGCAAGTAGACCCCTCAGCGCGTTTAGGCACTCACATCTGGTGGCTTGATTGCGCACTCCGCGATCCAAGTAAAAGATATGGGCTTTCTGGATGAGGACTTTTCGCAGGAAGCGGTGTGGCATGCGCGTCATGGTACTAACGCTCATTGCGGCCCCGATATCGGCGAGCCGGTACAAGGTGGTGTGGAGAGTTTTAGCTACGAGGGAAGCGAAGAAAGAGGCAGGCTGCCTCCATCTTCGTTCCAACATCACCAAGGGACCATCGACTGTGGTCCTCGCTACACCCGGGATGGCCTCCTGGCAAACCTGCAGTCCCTGCGCGCAAAATTTCCCGTGGATGCGGAGTTTCATCCACTTGAGACGCAGGGGAAGAAGCATGCTCCTTCGAGCACATCACCTTCGGCGTCGTCCAGCAGCTTCTTCTGGGACCGCTCTTTATCCGCCAAAACGGAAGCCCAGCTGGAAAAGATCCAGTTGGCTTTCCCTCCAGAATCTGCCGCGTTGAAGGATCCGACGATGGAGAATGTGGACCTCGTGCTGCATCAGTTCTTGCCCGACGCATCGAAGCATTTGCTGCAATCCAAGCAACAGAGACTGAGAAGCAAACCAGGTTTCGATCGCACGGGGGATCAGATTCCCAAAATTCTGTACCAACTGGCGCGATGTTGTGCGAAGATCAATACTTTTTTCCTGCGTTTGCAAAAGAAGGTGGTAGAAGTGTGCACAACGAGGCTCGAAGAAGAAGGCGCTTCACCTGTCGTGACCATCGACAAGCTAGCTTCCCGGGTGTTACGAGACCTCGAGCACGAGCTTGGACGTTTCCGCACGACCGGGAACGCCGGGGAGGACCCAAACGCAAACGCGAGCGCTTCTGTTTTATCGTCAGAAAGCATCGGGACAGCAGATGAACCTGTGAAAGAAAAAGAATCAAACCACGTAGCAGCCGCCCAAGCAAAGGCTGCAGCGCATAACTGGAACTACGAGCTAGCCGGAACGAGTTTCGACTCTTGGTCGTTTCTGTTGACGACTATGAATCCACAAAGTTTTCCCGGGGGACTACAGCAGGTATCTCGATTTCCTTTGCACACTTTTATGTTGGTCTTGTTGCGCCGAAGCAAGGCCGCGCAAGTCATAGTTTACCATAAAAAGCTCATCCGCTAAACTCACATTCTAGTGCCCAGAGAGATCATCACGAGAACCATTCACCTCTTGAAGAACCACTCTTCTCAGATTGTCCGCGCCATGGTGATTTACGTGACTGGGAGCGCGTCAAATTTTCCCACCGAAGAGAAAAGGAAAGTCCGTTCCTCACCGGACGAAAAGGTCTTTTCTGTTCGCATGGGCGCGATGGGTAGTAGCGAGCTGCTGATGCATTGGACCCGGTTGATTTACGTGAGCGCCATGGAGGTCATGCCGGAACTCGCTCGCGTCGTCGCGTTTTCCTCAGTCGTGGAGGATGATGGGACTGATGCTTCTGCTTGCGCGCCAGACCACATCAAGAAGAACCCGTCGCAGGCGAAGAGGCGTTTATCCACAGTCGACTTGTCCATTGCTCTTGCCAAGAAAGTTTCGTTTTCTCGCCCCGACGGCTTTCCACCGAGTTCCGACGATGAAGGAAATAAACCGAGAACGGACTTTGGAAATAAAGCCATACCAAAAACGGACAGCGAATCTACTTCAGCACGCAACGTTGGCGCAGAAGGCGACTCAGCAGCCTTTTCACTTCTAAAGCGATCCGCTGGTGCTTGGAAACCGTCTGGAAAGTGGCGACAAAAAGAGAAAGAAGGCAACAGCAGGGAAGACAGCCAGGCCGCGGTGCGTGCCAGCGACGTCAGGGACGAGACTGTAAAAATGCGCAGTTGTGGCACGACGTCCACGTCTAGCCCGTCAGCCATCAGTGCCTCGTTTGACGCGACCGCTTCTCCCGTGTCAACATCTGAAACACCTGCGTCGCGCCGAATTTCCGAGGCGGCCACCCAGCTTGACGAAAATGCACTTTCCTTTTTCGAGCAGTTACACACCGACACCACGATGAAAGCGTCCTTCGGCCCGGCAACTGATACCGTCACTCCCTCGACGAGGACGGTGGCAGCGCCGGGGTCAAAACAGATTCGTCCCCCACCCGGCTTCGAAGCTGCTGAAGGCGGACTGAGTTCTAAGGAGTATGTCAAAAGAACTTCATCTTCGCTGTGTCGCTCGCCGATTAGCACAACCACCACAACTGCAGAACCAGGTGGTCCTCGTGAAAAGTTTTCACTGTCCTCCTCTCCCGCAGACAGGTCAACGATCGCGCCTTCTTCACCGGCACCGTCATCGGTTTTGTTCTCGTCCCCGGATAGTTGTAACAACACTAGCTGCCCAAGTATTATCAGCTACACTTCTTCCACTTCGTCGACTGCATCTCGTGTTCTACTTGGCCCGGTTCCGGTCTCTTCCTTCCTTGCGGACGAAGACGATCTGCCTAGCGAGTTTGAGCTCGTGCCGGTTCTCGAGAAGAATTGCCAGGCCGCGGGGGAAGGACCCGACGAGGCCGCAAGCAAAGCCGTGCAGCACAATTCTAAGAACGGAGCCTGCTCAAAGTTGTCAAGTGACGAATTATCTGCACGAACAGAAGATGAAAACAACTCCGGCTGTTTCGTGCAGAAGGTCCTCCAGTTTCTCCGTGCCACGATGACGTTTGATGTGGAGAGGTGCGGCGCGCTTTGGCAGGAACTGGAAACTTTATCCGCGAACGATTGGCACATTCAGAACGATTGGTGCATCAGCTTCCAGTGGACCGAGAAGAGGAAATGGCAGGGCGGAGACCTGGCCTGCTTCTTCGTGGCGGTGTTGGCGCAGGTGGTTTCCGACACGGATATCAAATGTAAAAGTGTCTGGGTCCGGAAGAGTGCATGTTTGTCATGCTTGTCTGGCATGACTCTCAAATCTGTCACGCACGTTACCCAAGAGCATTTTTCTGTCATGCAGAAACGCAGTTTGTCATGCATTATGCATAATAGGCAACACCTAGAAGCTCAGAAACCTGTCATGCTGCGCCAGCACTTCTGGCCTCCTCATGATACGCCACCCAGCACCACAAGTGTCCAGACCCAGACATTTTTGCATTTGATAACGGAGACCTTCGAGCGACACGTCGACCTGGCGGCACAGGGCCGGTTGATGCACAAAAGCAACAACACGTGGTGCAACGAATACACCAGCGTGGGAGCAGCTACAACGCACTCAGACATGTTGACCAGCACTGCTAGTACGTCGTCGAGTCGCACCGGTGGTTTTGGTGGTGGTCGAGGAAGCTACAACTACACCAATCTGCCCCCTGAGAGCGCCGGGGTGAGCGGAACGAAGGCCAGCAAGGTAGTTCGGTTCGTGAAAGAGGTTTTAACCAAGTGCAAGAAGCAGCACAAGAAATTCCTCACGCACGTGAATCTGGAGATGCTGCTCAGCTGTGACCGCGATTTATCCGCTTACTACGGGCTCGGACAAAAATCTCCTGCCTCAACGCCGTCGAATAAAGCCGAGCGGGCAAAAATAGATGCCAGCGTCCATGACCACGACCAAACAAGGCACAGACGCGGCGGCCCGAGTGTGCTCGAAATCGGTTCGGGAAACTTCTCTTTCGCGGATTCCTTTACGCAGAGTGCGAAATTTCGGGGACGGTATCTCGAGGCCTTGTTTCCTTTTTCTCTCATAATGTTTCCGGTGTTTATTTTCATTGGAGGCAAACAAGGCATCTGCCCGGGGAAAAACGCAAAGCACAAGACGCTCGTGCGTCGATACAGCCATGTCTTTGTCTTTCCTATCTGATATCGCCCCACACATTTCATCAGGTACTTTGCAAGTTCGAAAGAGGATCGAGAAACACTGCTCGCGAAGTACGGCGAGCAGGCCATTCGTGCTGCGGAGAATTGCAGTGACCGGTTTTCGTTGCTTTTTAACATCGACGTGAGCTGCCCCGAGGCCACGGCACGCACGTTGCTCCGCACGCAGCCAGAGGGCTTTCAGGCGGTGCTGTTCATCAATCCGCATGCGGGGGATGAACGGGAAAAGAACACACGACTGCTGGAGCAGTTTTTTGAGGTGCAAAATTACCTTCTTTTGTTCTCTAGAAGCGTGTTTAGAATAAAGAATGACAAAAGTAGTACAGTCTCTTTTGGAAAAGCGGTGTAGATGCCTCGATGGAGCAGTCGTGCTCCACCTCCACTCTCGACGTCCGAAAATTCTTGCGCGACAGGTTTGCTCTCGGGTCCTTGACCCGCGCGACGAAAGGGCGAGTGCACAGATTACCCTCGCGAAGCCGGACGTGCACTACCAACAGTGGAACGTGAGCGCGGTCGCGGCGCGGGCCGGCTTCAAGCGGGTGGATAGCAAGCCGTTCTTCGTGTCCCTTTTCCCCGCGTACCAGCCTGTGTATGGGGACAAGCGCGACGAACGAAACCACCAGCGCCGGATTCAGCACGGGGCCAGAATCTACTTCACCTGCAACCCCATCACCTACATTTTTCAGCGAACTTTAGTCACCAGAAGTACTGCAGGAGTTAGTGCGTCTAGTGCGAATCTTGCAACATCATGTACTCGACTGGATGACGCAGGAGATGAAAGGACCTGTAGTTGTGCGGGGGATAAACACGCAGGAGGGCGGGCTGCTCCTGCTACAACTACTACAGGACTGCCGGAGACCATGGGCGGTACTATCGCTGGACTCAGTGGCAAAGGCACTCCTGCTCGAGGTGAGTACGAGCATCATGATCTGGAATACGGCGACGATGAGGAGGCTGCACCGGTTTGGAAGCGGAGGACTTCCAATCCTCGAGGTGCGAATCGGTCCAGCAGGTGGACCACCGGAAACCCAGGACAATGGAGCCGCGGATCCACAGGCAGCGGAGGCACCGGACGCAATAATTTTCGAAGTTACCAGTAATGACAGAAAGAAGGAGGGCTTGGTACTGGTAGCGCCACTGATGCTAATCCGGGAGAGTGTGTCACAAAGCAGGTATGTCGATTTTTTAGTCAGGTTATGAAGATGAACACAGACTAGCAAAAGTGGGTCTACATCCCCACAAATTTTCAAACTGCAGTTCTTGTAGAAACTGAAACTGAAATTTTATGATATCAATCAAATGGGCGTGAAACTCGCTTTTCATCCTTTTTCGCTGGATTTTGCACGGTCGCTTCGGAGAACTTCATCAACCCGAAATAGGCATTTCGCATAGGTTACTTACGTTGCGCCCACGTTTCTGTATTCTTGTTTTGCAACGGGCGCAAATCGCATAGATTTTCTTTGATATTATACAGTTCTTCTTGAAAGATAGCGCACGGATTCTTCTTGTTTGTTTCTGGATAACGCCGGAAGTTCAGCTTTCACTCGCAGCGTAGTCGACGAAATAAGTCATATTCAACTTCTTGCAAAACCAAAAAGACAACCATTCGTAACCCGCTCTCTCATTGAACGAATGTCCTGCTTCTTTAGATTTTTTTAAAATAGAGATTGCCACTCTACTACTTGATTGTCGATATTTGTAGTCGCGCCCAGGCCAACATAAAGTCAAAGATAAGCAAAATCAACAACAACAACCGCGAAACATCCTCCAAAATCTATCTTCTAGTTCTCCAGCAGGAACCACACATCGCAGTCACAGACACGCGCGTTTCGACGGGACTATGAGTTCGCGATCTTTTGCCCGCGATACAGGCGCTGGGGGTTTCTCTTCGAGAAAAGGAAAGTCGATGTGATGTCATACTTCGTTTCGATGGTAGTTTTCTTGTCGTGACATACTTCGTTTCTGATCGCTCGACTTCGCTCATTTCTTCTCGTCCTCGCTTTTTTTTTGCGATCTAAGACAGTGTCAGTGGCCTAATTTGTAGTTTGGGAATGAACTCCTGGGTTCCTGGTCGTGATGAAGGCGATCGATGTTTGAACATTGATGTTGTTCTGAGTGACGAGTAGCGCTGTTGGAGATCATGCAGTATTCGTCTTGATTTTATCTGAAGCTCCTCTCGACCTCGCTCTCGTGGTGATGTTGCCGGTCGATTGGCTTGTAATATTATTTGCACTGAACTTCTTAGTAATAGAGTCCAACTCGTTCTCGTGGTGCTCGTCAACTTGATTTCAATTGTGATCGTGTGTCCTCTCGTGCAAGCCAGGAGTGTGGATTCATTTACTAACGACGTTTGTCGGCTTGTCCTAGTCCTTGTGCCACAAGTTGTGGTCGTTTCGTCGGACTCCACGCAGAATACAGGCTAATATGCCCGAACCTCTTCTATGTGTGTTTCGTGTCTCCATCTCGTCGACGTGCTCAACACAGTAACATCATCTGCAAGTCGTGCAGCGGTTCCACCTCGGAGACTCGACGTGAACCTGAACTCATAAGACTGATATAAGTTGGAGTTGGTGCGGTGCGCGAAACATTTACATACACCAGCAACAGATAATGCGTCGATACACCACAGCCGAGGTCACTCCGTGTGTGTTCCAAGAGAACTGCGACAAGCAGTTTTCTGTGAAAGATCCGGTGGATGAGTGCCGCATTTTTGCGGGCGTTGTTTCCTACCTCTTGCGTCTCATCAAGCGAGGCAGGCTTGACGCCGACGATCTCGCCCAGAATGCCAGCCGCGATAACTTTGTTGTCCCCGAGCTACAACAACATCATGCTCAGTCTCCCAGCATCGGCGTGAGCATCAGCACCGCAAGCACCAGCACGCCGTCTTCGCTCATGGGAGGTGTTTCTGGTGGTACAACTACTGAGAACAGGCTTTTTTCTTGTACCTCGAGTACTAGCGGTTCGGGCTCGGAACGCGAACGCCAGCAGCAAAACAACAAACGGGGCAGGGGTGCACCAAGCACCAGCAACCAGGACACGTTCGGAGGACGGTACGCGCTGCAGGGTCGTACTTTTGAAGGTCAGTTTTCCGCGCAGCTGCAGTCAATGGAGCAAACCGCAACCGCTGCCACAGAGGACTCGCAAAAGAGGGAATGGCTTCTCCACACCACGCAAAGCTGCTGCTTCTCCATGACCAGCATTGTCGCAGGGGTAAGTTGCAGGCTTACTGTGTAGCTTAAGTTCTTCATTAGATGGCCCAAGTAAGCATCAAATCTGAAATCATACTGGTCTTTATAGGCACTTGAATTACCATAATCGACCTTTAAACTGCCCCTGTCGACGACGGATTTTCACAATAGCGGGGGAGCACAAGAATTATTATCCTCAACAGCTTATCTACCTCACGCGCTTGCTGGAGGAGAAGCGATTGGCTTTCGGCGAAAAGAGCTGGCAGGCGATCTGGTGCTGCATCATGATTCTGTCAGAAAAATATTGGGAAGACAATTACATTCACCCAGGACATGTGCTCAACACGTTCGGCTTCGGATCTGGTATCTTTCCATTGAGTTAGGTTTTTGGCGACTCCGATGAGCAGATCGTGCTTGTTCATAGTATGCCTTGTCATGTTGGTTGTTCCTTCTGCTTTTGGTCTTAATTCTCGCTCTTCGCAAGTACAGGCCGTGAAATAAATGCTGCGTTCGTTTTCCAGGTAAGCGAATGATGCTACGGATGCAGATGTGGCTGCTCGGCGCACTTCGGTGGAGCCTTACTGTGCCCGAACCGGATTACGAGCGGATGCTGCACAAACTACGCGAGGAGGGAACCAGCTTCATACAATCCCGCAACGCGGGCGAGCCACCGTCGAATCTTTCGGTACTCGTCGAGCGGCCGCTTCCAAAATCCGCCGGCATCGATGCGCAGAAGTTGCGCGAGCCGCCACCCGACATGCCCTTGCCGCAACAACCGCATGTCGCTACACGCATGCAGCTTCACGCACAGCAGCAACTGCTGCAATACCACCTGCCAGCAGTCGGGGCAGGCATGGTGCACGGTGGGGGAACGTCGGGATTTGCCGGAGGAGGTCCTAAGGCACACAATCAACACGGAGGGCAAAGTACTATTCGGCGTCAGTCTAAATTGAGTTGACCTAGAACTTTTTTCTACCACTTATATCGCTCCGTTTTGTAACTAATTTCAATTTGGTGGTCTACTCTCGTGTCGGAGTCGGAGTACAATAAAGACGAAGAGGATTCTTAATCATCTGGCATTGCAATGTATCATGATCAAGTTTTCGAATTTTTGGTTTTCCTGTGACACGTTTTATCGGGCGGCCGTGTCGTGAGTTTTTTCTGTATGTAATTTCGATTTCATGATCCAAAAAAAAAAAAAAACGACAGATTCGCTTCAGAGTGTGGCAGGTCAACCACAGGGTGTTGGTGCTGGTTTCGGGCACAACGGCAACCAGAGCCACAGCCACTTTGCGATATTCAACAAGCGACTCTACCCTGAACAGCAGCCCCCGCGGGCACCGTACTTTGTCTCTAACCAGTCACAGGAGCAAGCACAGCAGCATTTGCAGCATTCAGGATACGGACAAAAAGGGGCGAATGCAAACGGTACGCAGCATAATATTGGCTTTATTTTCAGTGTGTTGCTCGCCTTCGTTTTTCTTTCTTATTCTTACATGCAAATGCGACTTTTAAGTTTAACGATACACACGTCCAATTTTGCAGGCGCACCCGGCGGAGGTGGAGGGTCGGGTGTTGGTAACTTCACCAATACTTCGCATCCGTACTTTCGCGACCAGTCGCAAATGCAATTGCACCCTCACACCGGGCAGTCACAAGGGACCCTGCAGCAGCAACATCAGACCTTTCCTCTGAACACGCAGAACTACCCACCAAATGATCAGCACATGCACTTTTCATCACATTCGTCGTTTCCAAGCCAGCAAGGCCACGGTCATTACAATTTGATGAGCAATTACCCCAACAATGCGCTGAGCAACGGGCTGCACCACGCACCATTTCCTTTTCTACCGCACGGCGCGGTAAACAACCTCTCTGCCGCGACAGCAGCACAGCATAGCCTCTACAACGAATACATGAACCCGCATATAGCAGGCGCACTCAATAGCGCGCACAGCAGCGGCGCCGCTGCGCAGAGCCACATGCATCAAGCTGCCTACGACCCGAACGCACAGTCGTTCTACCCCGGTGGAGTAGGCAGCCACGCAAATAATAAAATGTATTACGGTGCTGGGGGAGTTGGGAGCAACCCAGCAGGAACGATAATGAATACAAACGGTGGTGCTGGAACTGGGGCAGGTTTCAACGTGGCGCTGTTCAATCACGCGAATAATCGGGGCCGGTACCTTTTTGTGCTTTCTCTTTGTTTTGTCTGTTGGACTAAGACTTCGATTTCGAATCTATTATGGCAATGCAGACACCACGAAAGGCAATTTGGTGCATACATCAACAAAACAGGGCCTTCAAACCACGTAGCCGGCCTACTACTTCGCACAGTTACTTCGAGCACAATGGCTAATAGTTGGCCGACGGGTGCACTGAACAGGCGCAAAACTTGCATTTCCACTTCCGAGACCGAGCTGCTGTGGCTGCCAGACCAACGACAGAATGCTACAGAAACAAAGGTTATTTGAGCTTTATCAAGCAAAATAAAGGCGACTCCTCGTATATGTTGCGTCATCACGTCTTAGTCTTTGCTTCTGAAGTGCTTCTCTACCAAAATGTAAAAAATGAACTTCGTCCCTCCATGTAATACTGATATGAATATGTAGAGTCAATCAGTTAGTGTCCATCTAGGTGGCACCCATATCAAATAAGCGTCTGATCCGATGCATGCATTCACAGGCATGATTTTGGTCAGGCAGCGTTTGTAATTTTTCTCGAGGAACACTACCAGCTCCTTGTGCTTCTAGTGGCGCTTCTTGACGTATCCAGTGCAAAAATTTTCTTTGTATCACAGTTTTCACCAAGGCATGTACAATGAACTCTCCTCTTCAACAGTCATCATGTATCTACTATTTTTTAGGTTGTATAAAAATGAACTTCTGCGTCGCTTCATCTCTGTTTCTCGTTGTAATTTTCGGAAAGCGACAAAATCAACGTACACGAACTGTAGTCTTGTAGCTGCAAACTATCGAAACTTTTCATGTATAGGAGCGGCACAACCTCCCCTCGCTTTGTAACTATCTCTCACTCTCATCCAGAAAGCTTCTATCCCTCCACTGGAAAAGAGCACTGTAAAATTTTTCTGTCCGTCGTGATCTTCATTTCTATCCTATTTGACAAGGCACTTCAGCATCAAATGCGGCAACACAAAGAGTGGGGCCACCTTCTAGTCTCTGGGTTGATGCTGGCGTTCTCATACATTTGTTCGCCGTCTCCTGTAGAGGAGATTGATGTACATGTGCTGTGTCCTGTAGAGGCGATTGATGATTCATGAATCTTGTACATGTGCCGTGGACTCCTCGGTGTGATACGGAACCCGAACCGGGATGAGGTCGATGAAATTCGGTGGCTTCATAAATCGGTGAGCCACATCGAAAATTCGTGGTCGTGCATGATTTTGACAGCAGCAGAATGAACGTTGCAGATCGGTTTAAATTGTACTACGCAAGAAAAAAAAGCTACGTAAAGTGCATCGGTTATCGTCCACTAATGTTGAGAACGTCATCTCCAACATCGTGCGCAAGAGCAGAAGTGGCCATCGCCCAAGAACAAGATAAAACGAAATTAATAAGTAGTCGTCGCGCTGTGGAATTTTGACATGTTTACACAAAAACTTGAACTTCTTGTACTACTCGTACTCGTACGTCTAAGTCGTTCATACGATTTTGAAAGTCAACGACTTTTGCGTCATCAGAGGACAGTTGTAGCACTAAAAACTAAATAGAAATCTTCAATACATCAGCAGGGTTGCTATTGTTGCGTTTTATCCACGCCTCTAATTTCACACCGATACCCATTTCTACTACTATACGCATACAAACACTCTTCTACATTTTTACCTCGTTTTTATCGCGCTCAAAGATTGCATCCCCCTTGCAGAAGCAATTTGTACTAGTCCCAGTTAGAAGCAGTTGCTTCGATCACTCGACGGACAGAAAATGAGTAGAAGTAGTCTGGCTTCTAACTCTCCTACAAACGCTACTGCCTCGTCGGAGCCCAACATTTTGAAGAGCATCAACCTTGCCTCATCGTCAACCATCGCCTCCCAATCGGACCAAAACATGGCAGACGCCGCGGGTAAGAGCACGCCGCGCTCCACCGTGGCCGCGAGTCTGGATAGTTTACAGAAACTCGCTGTTCAGCCCCTGACGCCCACGATTCGCGATAGCCTCTCTCGACTGATTCAGACCCTGAAGGGCATCCAGCAGCAGGTGCGGTCAGAGCAGGTACCGCGGGAGAAGCTTCGGGACCTGTACGACGAGGCGTGTTCGCAGGCGGGCACCTTGCGGTTCGAGATTGCTTCCTCCTACAAAGACAGCCCGGAACTACGCGATCTGTTACTGCAGCAGGTGCAGCAGTGCCACGATTTACTGAAGAGCATGTACAAGGCCCTGTGTGATCGACTCTCAATTCAAGTGGCACTGGAGAGCCTCAGGGATTTGAAAAGTGCCTGTGTCTCCGTCACCATCGCGTGCCGAGATTCCTTGTTGCAGCTTTGCGAACGGGTAATCGACCTGCTCGGATGCATGTTGCGGCAAGTGCCAGGTAAGTCTAGCCTAGAAACAAGGGTTCTTGTATAGCTTCTAGGCGTGAGCAGGGTGAGCGAGACCGGAGGTTGATCATTCATGTGGATGATGTGTGCATGCGTAGGGTACTACTTACTAGTTTGTCGTCTCCTGTACTGGGTGGTTTTATCAGTCGAGCATTTTAGCATTTCATGCTGACCAGCCCGAAGCAAGCTGAAAAAATTGAAATGATTTCGTCCGCGAAGGCAAGCTTTACAATGAACAATCCTCTTCATCTCCTTCTCAGGTTACACGGTTTTGAAGCAGCTGTACGACAATGCGCAAGACGCGCTTTATTCCCTGAAGAAGCTTCTGCTCGGGGAAACCGGCCTCGCCGAGGGGTTGAAGAAGCGGTTACTTTCCCGAATCGAGCTGGCTTCCGAATACCTCAACGCCGTCAAGGACCGACTGATCAAGTCGCAGTCCCTGTCGCTCGCCCTGGACACCCTGGAAGACATCGAGAAGAACGTCGAGTCGCTGTTTCTCGTCGGTCGGGAAAGAGTCGAGGTGATCTACAAGGACTCCACGTCCTCGTTACTCTCCGGGTACAAGCACGGGCACAACCGCGGACAGAGTCTGGTGCAGGAATCCACGCAGCGGGTGCAGGTGGAGTTCCAGCGGCAGAAGGACCTGTTCGTCCACGATGCGTTGTCCGCGACGCGCGCACGGATCAAGGACTTCCAACAGGAGATGCTGATCGTGAACGACCTGAACCTGGAGAAACTCCAGGAGAAGTACGAGGACTGCTTTTTTGGCCTCCAGGAGATGTCACAGGCGGAGTTCCTGGATTTCCCCGACGCGTTGCTGCCCGAGCAGGTGGCGCTGCTGCGGAAAAAGATCGCCATGGTGGGGGAATATTTGCAGGAAACGGTTTCCCGGAACCACTTGTCCTCCACGTTTTTTACGACTTCGGCGAGGTACTTGCAGTCTGTGTTGTCTCTGAAAAAAGCCTTGTCGAAACTGCAAGAATGCGGGAGCTCGGTGGCCAGCATGGTGCCGTTCTCCTCGCAAATCTCCACATTGTACAGCAAGGGGCTGGCCTTGTTGAAGAAGATTCTCCTCTTCGAGCAAATCAAGGGCTTGCTCCCCGTCACCTTCGTGTCCAACATGTTCCGCAAGGCGTTCGAGGTGGTCAACAATTTGCGGGTCACGATCCAAAGCGCGATGTTGGCCGCCGGAGGTAAGGTGCTCCACGGCATGATGGACGTGAAGGACTTTGTGTTGGAACGGGTCTCGCAAGTGTGCTCGATTTTGTACTCGGCGCAGCAGCAGGCGTTCACTGCCGTGTACAACATGTCACTCGACGCAGCCATCACCGCGGACAGAATGTAAGGGACTACTTTCGCTTTAGTTTGTTGTATTGTAGGAGCACAATAAATTCACACACGACCACTGAATCGATAAAATAGATAGTGCCGGTTTTCTTCCAATTCTACCTAATTGAGTTTGTTGACGGGTTGAAGGGTGTGCCGCTTTTGTTCATTCTGGGGGGGGGGGGTGTCGTTTGTTTGTCCCAAGACCAAGAGCGAATGATCAACTAACATCACCAAAAAACTCAACTCACAGATTCGGTGTGATGAAACTAGCGGAGATTCTGTTTCGCCGCGCGAAGGTCGCGGACAAGTATGCCCTCGGAATGGGGACCGCCATCGTCGGAAAGGGCCTCGCGCTCGATAGGTGCATAACGGGCGGAAAAGCCAAGAACCTCGTTGTCAACGCATTGGAAGACTACGAGCTGCGTGGCGGGCGAGCCTTGCAATTTATTTCAGACGAGACAACAAGCGGAAACGATTTAAATGAAGGTGAGGAGACTTCTGACAAAGGCGAAGGTAGAGAAACGAATAAGAATAAACTGCCGAATCTTCTAGTGTGAAAGTAAAAATACAAATAGCTGGTTATCTCGCGCTAAAAAAATTATACAGTGGTCATTTTCATAATTTCTACGCTCTTTGACGTTTTGGTTTTGCAATGTTCCTCGCTTTTTATTTTTCCATTACACGCAGCTGCTGCTGCTGGTGATGAATCTGTAGCAGACGAAGCACCGACTTACTTTACTTCATTCATTTTCCATCCTACCCACTGTCTACAGTAATCAATGTGCATCCATTTTCCCGTGTCTTGAATCGACCCGCGAGTTCGTATCGTGCTCGCGGTGCAGCTACTCGAGAACATCTAAGTAGCAGACTTGTAGTTCTTTACAAGAAAACGTGTGTGAAGTAAATGTTAAAGTTTTCGTTTACTCGTCGAGCACCATCGTATTTCTGAGGTTGCGCAGTGTCAGTCATCACTAACCCTTCCGGGCTCCCCGGCCCTTTTCAATGAAGAAAGTATAGCTTTTTCTGCGAAAGGATACCTGAGCTGTTTGATGTTTTTTTCTTGTTGTTGAACGGAATTTGTGCCTAATCTATAATCTAAGTGCCTTAGCTTAGACTCGATACCGAGAATTTCGGACGACGCAAAACAAGACTTTTCGTAGTAGTCACTACTACAGTTCGCTTCATTTTCCTTGACACAGTTTCTGCCAGTAATGGCTTTTTTATCGAACGCTTTTAGTTTTATTTTCCACCTTCAAGCATAGCCTCATAACAAGTCCGAAAAAACCTAGCCTCATAACAGCTGCGCCCCTAAGGTATAGATCAACTGTTCGTCATAGAGGATCGGCGTTCAGCTGCTCTCGGGCTGGAGGAGGGAGTAGCACGCAGCAGTCCGCTAAAGGGCACACTGCCAACATCATCATCATAGCCACTAACGCCAGCGCTGTACTGCTCTGTGTATCACTTTCGCGAGCGTTTGCGACAGGCGAGTCGCCCATATTTTCTTCGCGAATATGACTCAAGTGGTTCTGATATTGGTGTGTATTTGTGCCACCTATTCACGCATCAACTTCAACACGCCATCGTTTGTATGTACGCACGTTTAATACGCAGCTAAAGCTTATCGCTTGCAGCTATTAATTAGGAGGTAGTAACCATTGGATTTTTATTCAACACTCTACATCAATCTGAGTTTGCTGTAACCGCGGCACCAGATATGTTGCCCGGCAGATAACCACGCACCACCAACGCGCACCACCATGTTGAATTTTTCTATAGCAAGCAAAGTCAGGACATGACAGACGTCGTCCATAAGAACGAACTGATGAAACAGCAAAAAAGGAGCGACACCAGCATCATTGTTCCATCACGTGGTAGTTTGACAGATCGAATCAATGATGACAGAATCAGTGAGCATTATTTTTATTCGTATAAAATGATGAAAACGTCGCCGTCGGTGTGCGTACGACATGATCCCCCGATGACAAAATCGTCCATCAAGATCATGAACAAATTGAAATTCAAGCGAAATCATATCATATTCTTCTTTTCTAAGTGAAAGTGGTTACATCTGGATCCCATCATGCGGCGGCGAATTTCGAAGTAGTTCCTTTGCAAAGGAGAAAGAGAAGCGTTTTAGCATTAAACCTCCTGACCACGTACTGGTATTGGTATTGGGCAAACAAGTCCTACGCCTGTTAGCGAGTCAGCCCGTGCGCGTTATTGTGGATTCTTTCTGATCCTGTATAGTTTGGATCTCCCCAGAGTTCAGAACTACGAACGACTTGCTGCTCTGAAGACGAGAAGCAACGCAAGCAGCCGCGTGACGGTAAAAAAATCCAGACCGACTTCGATCTATCCAGCTCTACCGAAGACCTCCCTTATTTGCGCGTCAGACGCAAGCTGACAGCAGTTTACGTCGGCGAACAGGTGGAAGAAACGCCATCTTGTATAAGGCTCGAAGATCCCGCACGATTTTTGTCTCCTGTGGTGGTCCACCCTGTTGGTTCACTTTCGCCGACGGAAGTCCGACACGATATTTCGTACGGGAAATGCAACCGATGAAGTACGTAGAAGCGAGAAGTACTAACACTTACGAATACGAATCCCCCGATTTTTGACCGAAAATAAACGCGTCGGCAGGTCCAAGTTCGATATATCGCAGAACGCTCGCGAAGGTTCCGATACCGATTCCGATTATTCGCTACAGCTGTCCTTGTTTGGGTTTATCGCTCCTTTGCAACCGCTTGTACGAAGAAGTCGAAGTTTGAACTCTGTACCGTTTACGTTTTGTTCCGGATACTCAAGTCACGAAACACAACACCTCCACGAAAATGGGTGGTCGCAGAGGATCTTCCGCTTCCCGCAAGTCTCGCTCGCCGTCTCCGGCGCCGCGCAAGGACAAGGACCGCTCCCGCTCCCGTTCCCCGCTCGATCGCCGTCCTGCCAAGTCCCGCTCCCGTTCCCGTGGCGCGACGGTATAATGTGGTGCTTCTCGATGTCATCTCTGATGTCCTTACACTTAGTGTTGCTTTTTGCGCCTCTTCTTTGATGTACGAAGGGCAAGGGTACAAAGTAGAAATAAACGATTTAATTTCGAGATAAAGAAAGTGAAACGCAAACAAAAAAAAAACGCACTTCACAAAAATGAAATACAGAAAGGGGATGAACCGCGGAGAAAGGGCGGCTTATGGATTGCAAAAATGTCTGGGTCTGGAAGATTGCAACTTGTCATGGTAAATCTGAAGCATGCAAAAATCTGTGTTGCATGAGTGGCAAAAGCTGTCCACTTTTGACCAAGTTGGAAGGGAGTTTCTCATGCCGGACCGGCATGGCGGAGACCTCGCAGAGTCTGCCATGCTAAGTCCCGCATTCCAGACCTCATGGGTCATAGAAAATCTGCATGACAAAATCTACACTTTTCCAGACCCAGACACTTTTACATTTGATACGGCTACTACAAGTACAACTTCGATGAGAAGGAGGCCACCAGGACACTTTTCCTTGCCAATATCCTGAGTAAAAACGTCCCCACACCAGAGTCAGGATGGGGATTTTGCAACACAAACCTAGGAGTTTAGTGAGTCACGCATGACAAATTGCAGGCTGTATTGTAGTGCAGTTTAGCAAGGGAAGTCGCATTACAAATCCCTCTGCTCATCCTGTTCACAGCATCACAAATTCCAAAACACGACTGGAAATGGCTCTCATGGGGATGCGCGTTACAAGTCTTCCTGTCTTTGCAAATCTGCATTACAACTCTGGCGTGGGGACGTTTTTACTCAGGATAGCCAACATCGCCGACTCAGCGAACGAATTCGACGTCCAGGACTTGTTCAGCAAGACGCTCGGCTTCGATGTCAACGAGGTATCATCTATAAGGAACGATGCGCATTACCATTATAAATTCCTGTTGCAGCTTCATGATGTTGATCTTGATGTATGACAAACAATTACTGCGAGTGCGACGAACCTCATGATAATGAACCTCCTGAGTCCTGCACAGCGCAGACACTGGGTGATTTTCTTCGCACGAGTTACTCAATTGTTCTTTAAATTTATGTTCCTTCTTGATTTCTACTTTGTCTTTCTCTTTCTTATCAGGTCTCGCTCCCGCGATCGCCGTCGGCCCGGACTCACCGTGGTTACGGGTTCGTGCACCTGAAAGATGACCGGGATGTGGACGATTGCGTGAAAAAGGCCAACGGATACGAATTGCGCGGAAAGCCGCTCAAGGTCGAGGAGAAGCAGGTATTAGAAATATTTCCGTAAAAAGTTCTAGGGTCGTTAGCAGAAACACCAGAATGGGAATCAAGAAACCGAAGGAAAAAGCGACGCCCGTGCCACGGTCTTCGTCTTATGGTCATGCCCTATTGAAGTAGAAAGAGAAACAGGGAATGAATCAATCGCATATCAACAAAAAAACACAGTCCCGACCGCCGCGCTCGAAAGGATTCAAGAAGGGTGATGACTACGGGAGGGGTACCTATCGCTATTGCTATTTTTTCTTTCATACAACGCCACACGCAGGCTTTACTTTTTTAAATCGCTAGTATCGAAGAAGCTCTTTGTTCATTTTACCCTGAAGACTGCGACCTCAATTCTCTATTTTTCGGTAATCAACATCAAAAGGCCGCCGTGATAGCCGCGGGCGTGGAGGTACTACGTTGAAAATTTCAAGAATAAGAAAACGAGCAAAATTTGGTGTCTAGAATTCAAAACGGTAAGGCGTCGGGCGCCCTGTATTTTGTTTTTGTTTTGGATAGCGCGCGGCAGGTCGCGAGGCATACTACTTCAAAACCATCAGAAGCAGAGGACGCGACACGCTGAATGTGTTATCGCGGCCGCCTACTTCTCGATAAAAAAAAACGAGAGGCCTGGCATGGAGCCGGCTCACGAAGACGGGCCGAGGGCTACCAACCTCACGCACCAAACTTACTAGTTAGCTAGGTGTGGCCGTTGCTGGAACATTCATAACCGGGGCCCAATGGGCTCGGGCCGTTACGTGGTCCGAATAGGCGAGCTGCAGCAACGCCTCCACAGGCAAGCGAGAAGCGGCCCGAAGCTACTGAAATATTAAAGCCAGCTTCTGCAAGGGTGCCCGAGTAAAGACATCGCCAGGGGACTCGATACAGGTACTCTTTTTCTGCATTGCGCCCGTGATTCACGCAAAATTTTGCTATTCCCACTGGATAAAATTCCAAGAATGAACAGGGTCGACCCCTTCCGAGAGCCCTAGTTTTGGGCCATTCCTGAAACGGGCTTTTGCCCTATTCCCACTTGATAAAATTCCAAGAATGAAAAAGTAGGCCCCTCCGGCGACCCCTGACGCGGGGGGTCGCCCAGAGGACTTTTTTGACCGTTTTGTGCTCCAAAAACGCACTTTTTGACGTTCGCCCACTTCGGAAATCGATTTTGGAGCCACGCGGCGCCCCAATTCTGGACGCCCAAAATGCAGCCCGTCGGGGAGGGCAGTCCCGCCCTGCTAAGGGTCCGGATTGGGCGCGCAAATTGGGCGCACTACTTGCGGCGCCGAAAAATATGCTCCGACACTTGGCCAACTCTGGCAAAGACGTCGCGTATCTGTAAAGCGCCCCACTTTCATCCTCCGGCCAGCTGCTTGCCGGCGTCAAGAAGAGCCGCTTTGCCGGGCTGCGGGGGCTCTGCCGGTTCCTCTCCAAGTACAAGTGGCGCCCCGTGGCGATGGTTGGCGAAATGATGTCCCGGCCGGATGCAACCCGGCCGAGCCCAAGGGCGCCGCGTGCTGCTTCTGCGCTGCCGGTCGAGCCGCCGGCGTCGTGTTTCGCCGATCTTGGAACCCCTCCCGGCCGCCCTAAAGACTCTAAAGGCCGAATTTTGCTCGTTTTCTTATTCTTGAAATTTTCCACTCAGTAGGAGGCCACCGTGGGGACAAGGGATATGGCCGCGATGACCGTTACGGGAGCAGCAAAGGTGGTCGCCGGAACAGTCGTCCGCGTCGCGACAGCCGCCGCCGGTACTAGATGGTGAAGATATATACGGGAAACTAGTGTTCGTGTTGCGTCAACATCGCAATAGTGAAACGACACATACACGACTATTAAGAATGTAAGTGCTGCCACCAGAATTATTATACCTATACGAATACCACGAAGCCGTTTTTTCATCCCAATTGAAAGGTCACAACAGCCTCTCTACCTCTACTGAACTGGAACATTCTTGATGCGCTTTTTTTTGTGTTGAATGAGTAAGATCACATTCAACAGCTCAAACTTCATCTTTCAACATCATCAGGCTGCTTGTCACCTGCGTCTTCTCTATGATGACGAGGTGGAAGGGCCTAGGAACAAATCACAGATACTGATAAACTTCAATCAAACACAGTGCCTCCCTATAAGTACGAAACAGGAAATGCAATGTAGTACTCTTCAATCGTCTCTACTCAAGAACACGACTTCTCGTCTTGCGTATTATTATTATTTATTAGAAACTGTGTATCGTGTCCGTGTGCATCTCGTATGCACCAAATGAATTTCAGTTTCACCCGATACACTGAAGAGGAACAAGAAAGAGGAATTACAGCCAGCAGATCGAGATCAAAACGAACAAATACGAGAGAAAGTATGTATGTCTTTCTTGTTGAATGAACACACCTGTGGTTGTGACTTTCAGCATTTATAGAAATTCATGTCAGAAGATGAAGACGTGGCTACGGCAGGTTCCGGCGCGCCTGTCGTCGTTCCAGGAGAATATCACCCTGTTACTGTTTTTCCCGAATGGGAATGCGGAGCCTTGTTCCTGGCTCCTTGTTCCTGTTCCTGGCTCCTACGAATCAGTGCCGGGGTTCTCATCCGTCGTTGGTTCCTGTAGATGACCACGACTCACTCCATTTATTTCATTTGCTCTTCTATTCTATTGTCGGTGTCTTTTCTGGAATAAGAGGGACTGTTGAGTGTGGGGCCATCTTGGAATGGGTAGGGATTTCGACGAAAAAGTTGCAGACAAATGCGAACGAGTTGCAAGCCGCGACCAAAGAAACAAAGCACTTCTTCTTCACGTGTTTAGCATTAGCTTCATACAATGTCGTCGGTCGCACTTCGCGCGTCAACCTCCTCCGCGGCACAGCTCTCGCGTGGCGCTGTGCTTCCTGAGTCCTACCGGTATAGGATACCCGTTCGCGAACTGGCAATAACTTCACCACACGCACACGACAGGACTATCGATGAAGATAATCAACAAAGCGCGACTTCTATATCGAGATCGAACTCTATTCAAGGTGTACTAGATGATCCGCGGTTGCCGTGCTGGGAGGGTCTAAACCGTCAGCCATCTGCGCACGTCCGTGCGTTAGCGGAAGAATTGCTTCGACTGCCAGAGGAGGAACTGAAACAACTACACAAAGAGTGCCGCAAGCGGCTAAGCGTAACCCCGGCCACCAAAATTCCGGGCCTTTCTGCGCGATCGCCCTTTCCTCACCCCCAGACATTTTTTCGCGGCGAGAATGGCATGCGCACTTTACCGGTTCCAAGTCAAATTTTTGCACCCGGACTGTTTTTACCCTCGCTCAGCGTGTTTTTCGGCGGGCGTGAGCGTTGGGGTGTCAAAACAAAAAGCCCAGAGAGTACTTCTACATCGAAAACTTCGAGCTCTGTCCAGTGAAAGAAGATGAATCTCTCCAATGTATTATGCCCTCAAAGACAAGATGCCGTCTTTTTATCTTTTCGATTCCTGACAGATGTATTTGATGAATGAACTTGTTGTTGTGTTCTGCTGATGAAATCGTGAAGCGCAAGCTACTAACTCACATCGCCTCGAATTCGCGTCCGCACTCGTGACCTTGTTTCAACCGAGTTTCTCGTTCGGTCGGGTTTTTCGTGTCGCCGTATTCTACTTATCAAAAAAAAAGTGCTGCTCGTCGCCTGGAATCTTGCGGCTACAATCATCTACATGGGAAACTACTTACTTTACATCATGCGTTGACTACATCGGTTCTCGTGTCAGATCGAAGCATACAGTCGTCAACGAACATATTCAGGGGCAGGGACGACGGAAAATCAAAACGGGGTACTAGTCGGGTGATAAAGTAGAGGGCGTGTAAGAGTGGCAGGCTTAGCTTGGTTCACTTTCGCCTCTCCATTCGTACAAGAGCATGCAGACTGTGTCAAATTATACTTAAGTAGAGCGATGAAGAGTAGTACAATTACGACGTACATCAAGTCGTGACGCACTGTGCCTGCGCCACCGTTTCAATCATCTTTGTATAAATGAAAATGAGGAAGAATTTTTGGATTTTGGATAAGAGTGGGGTAACAATTGATTCAACTAAGTCGGAGTTTGCCGCGGGCGGAAACTTCCTCCTTCAGGAAATCGAAGAGCCGAGAACCCCGACCCGGGGTCCTGCCGTTACAGCACGCGAAAACCTTATGAGAAAATGCACTTTTGTAAACGGATTTTTGCACTTTTGGTGTGTTTTTTTTCGGGTGGGCATGAGCATCCCGAAAAAACATGGCAAGAGCTACTTTTTATGCATGACAGTTGCTGTTTATGCATGACAGATTATCCCTTTCTGCAATAAAAAAAGCAAACTTTTCTTCCTTTCCTGCAAAAGCAAAAAAAAGCAAAAGTCCGCACTTTTCATTTGGAAAAAGTGCAACCTTCTTCAGCTTCGCCTTCACATTCCCAGCTCGGGGGGGTTGCGCGTTCGCACGCAAAAGCCCGCACTTTCAAAAGTGCAATCTTTTTCAGCTTCATTCCCAGCTCGGCTCGGTGGGGTTGTGCGAATTCCCGGCTCGGGGGGTTGCGCGAATTCCCAGCTCCGGGGGTTTCGCGTTCGTTGCGCGTCTGGCGAACGCGCAACCCCCCCGAGCTGGGGATTCGCGCAACCCCCCCGAGCCGAGTGTGAATGCGAAGCTGAAAAAGGTTGCACTTTTTCCAGATGAAAAAAGTACTCAAATGAAAAATGCGGACTTTCGCTTTTTTTTGCTTTTGCAGGAAATGAAGGAAAATTAGTTTTTTTCAATTGCAGAAAGGGCTAATCTCTCATGCATAAACAGAAACTGTCATGCAGAAAAAACAGCATTTGCCATTTTTTTTCGGAATGCTCCCCTGAAAAAAAAAACACGCCAAAAGCGCAAAAATCCGCTTACAAAAGTGCACTTTCTCATACGGTTTTCAGATGCTGGAACGGCAGGACCCCGGGTCGGGGTTCTCGGCTCTTCGATTTCCTGAAGGAGGAAGTTTCCCGCGACAAAGTCCGACTTAGTCGTCCGTGCGGCCGGACGGACGACTAAGTCGGCGATCCGACTTAGTTGAGTCAATTGTTACCCCACTCTAATGTAGCGGGAAATTATGCTCGATGAAGCTTGGACGGAATCATCACCATCAGGGTAACATCACGAACCAGCGCAACCACATGCCAGAAACCGCCGGTCGCAGTCGTCGAGGCACGCCTCGTATTTGTTTCGGCGTTTCAGTCGGTGGTCGCGTGATTTCAGTCTGTAGTTCCGTCCTGGCGAAGATGTCGATGTGGCATTGTTTGTTTTTCTTCTTCCTCCGGCAAAACAACTACCTGTCTCAAACACTCGTACACGCAAAGATCCGCACGCATCGTGCGCTCTGCCTGAAGCGCGTGGAAAAAATTGCGCTCGACCGAGAGGCCAGTGAGAAGTATTTTGATTTCCTGGTTCGCAACAACATGTCCGACGCCCGAGCGGACCGCCCGCGCGGTTTAAAGGACTACTTCAAGTACTACAATACTTCCGAGGTATCCACAGAAAAAAAACCATCCCCATCCATTTTTCGCATGACAAGCACAGGATTTTATGCGTGTTTTGCATGACAAACAGGAAGATGGGTGTTTTTTCCTGGATGCGAGGACTTGGTATCGTACACCGCCACGCCGCCGAGTCTTGCGCCCATGCTGACCTGCGTTGATTTGGAAGACGCCGTGCTGTTTAACCAGGAAATGGCAACGGCGTGTTCACCCGCAACCTGTAGCCTGTTCGACGCGGCCTTGAAGTTTGTGCCGCCGAAAAGCCTGCTGCACTCCGCGGACGGAACCGATTTGACGCAAAGAAAAGTAATATCGGAAGCGGACAAGGTGGAGCAACAGGTCTTGGACAACTGTAAGGGGGAGGACACGCGGCAGACTCTACGGAAGACCAGCAGTCCATACGCGTTCGTGTCCGTCGACGAAATACTGCGCGGGGGCTTTTGCGGCAAGAACGTAGATGATGGCTCAGTCGAGGGAAAGGAAGCAACAACTTCGCCGGACTGGGCCACCAGTATCGTCACCGCCGTGCTGAATTTGGGGAGCCGCGAGAACAACAGCGAGGAGGATTACAAGTCGTTCCACTTGCATGGCCCCAAAAAGCTGCACACCTACAAGACGAATGAAGAGCCCTTGCCATCTACGGCTACAGGACGAGGAACCTCGTCGACGTCGTCTCTCTTATCGGCAAAAGTCACCGAAAGCGGTGAAATACATGTAAATGCCGCGGGCTCGGAATCTCGATTGGGCCAAGGAACATCCACAAACGATTTTTTGCAGGTGTTTGCTGAAGAAGCCGATGAACCAACTGGACACGACGGAGACCATGATGCTGACGCGTTCTTTTCTCCTACTGCATCTTTTTTCTCAACTTCTGCGGAAGTCCTTGACAAGGACGAGGACTACACGCATGGTTCATTCTTGGAGCATCGTAGTTCCAGAAGCGCGGAGCGAAAGCAGGAAACCGAAACCAGCAGAGAAAAAGTAACAAAATGGTCCAAAAGAAGAGCTTCATCTACTTCGTCAAGAACATCGTCAGCGTTCACACAGAAGATGAAAAAGCACCGCAAGTCGTTCTTCATGGATTGGCTTCGTGGTACGAAAAAGCCGCCCCCGCCGCATTGCGACCTCGAGGGCTTCGTGCAAGCGTTTCGGAGCGCCTTGTGCCAGGACGTCCACAGAGGGCGTGTTGGTCCACCGACGGACGACGCTTCGTTGGTCTCGATCCTCGAGCACCGGGCGCCGCCCACCATCCAGCTCGTTCTAAAGACGGACGTTCTGTACTTCCTAGGCGTGGCGGACTTGACACAGGAGAAGCTACAGCACGGAAAGGAGGACGGCTCGCGGATTTACTACAACCAGCCGCAGCCCGGCCTCGTTTTCAACGAGATTCAGAATCCGCACACAGTTTTTCAACACGTCTTCAACCAATGCCCCGTACGTAGTGGTGGCGCAACAGTGCTGGCGCATGTCAACCCTGCGACGAATAATTATGCAGGGGCGCCGTCAGTGCTGTCAACCTCAACATCAACGGTCACCGTTCCCGTGCCTTACCTCCTCTTGGCGCGTTCGCTGTTTCTAATGGGGAACCCGCGGGGTTCTGTTGGTGATCTATGGAGCTCGCTGGTGAACAGCTCCCCTCATTCGGCGAGAGAGGCAGAGCTGATGCGAGCGTACGAAACGAAGACAGCGAATCTCTGGCAAGGAAGATTTCTGCACGCGGTGGGGCAGCGCGAAGCCAGTGATGGTTCCCTGTTATCCACAGTCACCGGGGACTTTCTCAAGAAGGTCGAACAGTATGTGTGGAAGAAAGAATTCCTAGACTCGAAGCGAGGGGCAAAAGCAGAAGGAGCTGCTGCACTGAAAACTACATCTACTCCGCAGGAAGAGGAAGACCACAAGCAGCTACAAGATTGGGCCCGTTCCCACCCTTTGAGACTGCTGGAGTATCTGCACTACCGGCGAGTGTACCGATTCCGCCTTTCGTTCTCGTTTTCCGGCGTCGGTCTCGTTATGGGCAACAAAATGGTCTCCGAGAAAGAGTCAGCGACCATGCGGGAGATCGAGGTGGATGGGATTTACATTTTTCATCCCGACGTCCTGCTGGAAGTACTCTCTGACGAGGACGACGGGGACGAAGAAGTTATCTCAGTCATCGAGTTTGACCACGGCCACAACCGGCACTTTCGTTCTGCACCCTTTCTGCACAAGGAGTCCCGCAAGATGCGGCCTTGGACGGGAGATTGGTCGAGTTGGTCCCAGGAGGTTGGCGAGTTTTCGGCCAGCATCCACAAAGTCTTCATGACGCTGCAATACTGGATCGAACTTGCCGGCGCCAAGCCCTACATGCTCGGGCAGTGGAACTGCTTCCAGATGGCACACTTGCTCGTCTACATGTTATTCTTGCCCTTGCACGAAGTCAACACGGATTTCCACAGTGACTCGGCTTTCCAAGAAATCCAGCAGCGACTCATTTCAACACAAGCGGCTCAAAGCGAACAAGGACAGGGGGCAGGAGCAGGAGAAACTGGACAAGCAACAGAGGGTGACGCAAGCGCAACTGATGTAGTCTCCTCAGCGGATCATACCATTACCAGCGGCGCAGCTGCTCCTGCGGGTGCAGTGGATTCTTCGAACGAGGGTGGAAATGATGCGGAAGGGCAAGATGTACCGAAAACCGAACTGCTTTCTTCCACCGCGTTCGTGGAAATGAAGACGAAGACTCGTCCGGGAGCGCGACTCTTCCACGTGCCTCAGCTGCGCAGCTCCGGAAAAAATGATCTGGATACCTGCACTCTAGCCGATCGCAACCGACTCTGGCGGGCGTTCCTCGGTGAGATCGGTGAACCGCACGACGAGAGTTCCCTTGGGCGCACTGCAGCCGCAATGAAAACCATCTCCGCCTGCGGTCGCATCGACGAAGGGTCCTCGCAAGGTGAAGACCGCGCCAGTCTGATGTCAGCCCAAGTGATTCTTCCTGCAGAATCACTCACGCTCAAGAGGGAGACCGACGTGGTGGAGAATTATCAACTGCAATTTCCGAATCACTACGCGTCGGGTCCGTCCTTTGAGGTGGAGTATCCGTTGCAAATGTTCGCGAATATATCCACAGAAAAAAACCCATCCACATCCATTAATCCACTATTTGTCATGCAAAAAATGGATGTGGATGGGTTTTTTTCTGTGGATAGAATATGACCATCGACTACAGCGTGTTTCGCGTTTTTTCGACCGAGGCCCTGCTTCCCGCCGCGTGGAGCGCGAGACTGCAGCTGGTCCAGTTGCCCTTTTTAAGCCGCTTCGATTCGCTGGGAGACCTGCTCGAGATGGCTGCCAACCGAAACGGGAAACGATTCGAACAGTGGAAGCTTTCCGCCTTGAGGTACCTGGCTCCCGCGGTGACGGACAAACTATCGCATTGGTTCGGCGATAAGCACGGGCATTCTGTGTTCGCCATCGGGCTCAATCGGGAACAGGCGAGGAAAGGCATCACTGAGTACATGGAGAGCGACACGCTGGCAAGCATCATCAAAGATTTAAAAGCAGAGTATCAAGACCTGCTCCTCTTTCTTCAAGCTTACAAAACGAAAACATGATCTAAAAAACTGGTGACACGAAGAAGCAGTAGAAATGACAGCGCGAAAAAGTAAAAGTTGTATATCCGAAGCGGATGTAAGATGAAACGAAGTGTATGCAAACGAATTTCAATGAAAGAAACTAGACGAGGATGTAGAGCACTTGTGTTGGTTGTCGTGCTTGGCACAACTTCTGGCACAGGAGCTTAGTCTCTGTCCTTTTTCTGTAGCCGAGGAGGAATTCATATTCAAAAAATTAAAATTGATATGGAGTGCCTTTACAGCATCTCATACTCATTTCCCTAGTAAACGAAAATATTGCATCAATTGTCTCGTCTCTGTACTATGTATTCTGACTTTTGCAAAACCACCCCGGCGACCGATGTTATCGTCCAACGGGGTCGTGGAAAACTCTTGTACGATTGGGATTGAACAAATTAAAGCGAAGCGAGGAAATAGAAAGTGTAAATGTTGGAAAACAAGTGAAAACCAAAACTGAATCGTCAACCTACTATGTCAATCTCAAAGGAGCATGTCCCTGAACATGATAATGTGACACACGACTGACTCTAATTTGGTTGTGCTGTGTGTGTGTTCCAACTCCAAACCAAGTCTAAGCAAAACGTATGAAAAAAGCATGAAGATTAAAACATAGCTCCCGGATCCGGAAACTCATACCCTGCACCTGCTGATGCTTGTCGACGTGCTTCCGAGCCTAAGCAACCGCGAGCAGGAGGCGCTCGCCCAGCGCATCCGGTCACAGAATCAATTCGTGTGGCCTTGGGACGACATCGAAAGCGTTGATGGTGACGAGGAAGAAGAAAGGTCCAATAAAGGCACGACCGAAGCAGCAACATCGTCGGTTCTGGTCGCGCCTCAACTCCTCCGAAGCTCCAGGCCGGTACTCCACGCGGTCCTGGACGTGTGTGTCAAGAGGTTCAGAAAGGCCTTCAGAGACCAGTTTCTGCTCAGGGATTTCTCTTGCGCCGGGCGGAGAAAAAACTCGCCGGGGATTCCGAAAAGTACGAGAACAATTCAAATTTTTCTTCCTCATTCTGACTTTTTCTTCAGGATCAACTTACATACTTGCTTTACGATTGGTTACGTTTTTTTGCATCACCTCATTTTCTTCACCGAAGATGAACTTGAAGCCTTTGGTTTCGCATTGATGCCATTTTTAGCTGCTGCACTATCGAAGTAAAAAAAAGAAACGAACAACAACAAGATCAAGAACAACTGTCCAAGCCGTGCCGGTTCCGCGGCAACTACTCCGCCTATTATTCGCCCCCGGTCGATTTCAGTTATTTCCTGCAAAACCGCAACTCCTGGCTGGGCAGCACCAGACAAGCACTCTCGGGATTGACCTACGAGGTCGATCGGTCGGACTTCCGCCCAGCCTGGACGGTGGAGCGGGAGATTTTGCGGACCAACTCTTCCGTCGACGGTGTTTCCTGGGCGCAGATCGAGGAGCCCTTCTGGTTCTCGCACGGGCAGCGGGTGCAGCTGCTACCGGAGTCCTGCGGAACAGCGGGGGAGGATCTAAAGCTCTTCTCCCGGGACGTTGCGGATGATGACGAGATTTTCTTCAAATTGGCCAGTGCCGCGGACGAAGGCGATGAAGTAGAAGGTGAAGGCAGCTCCGAGCAGCAGGTGGGGAGGTGTCCTCGAGCAAACAAAGACGTCGACAATGTCGAGGACACGACTGACGGGGATTGGTATCAAGACAGTTCTTCCGACGATGAAGTAGAAGATGATGACGATGCTGGCGAAGGAGCGATACATGAACGCCCCCACTCTCGCGTCGGAAGAGAGTCTCCGATCCGCCTGCCAATCTTTGTCTTCGGCCAGAATCGACCGCTGCTTTGTTGGGCCTCTCGACGCTTGCAGGACAGCCACGCCGTTGTCTTCTGTTGCGTAAACCGACGTCCGCTGGACCTGCGGTTTGCCTCGACGCGGCTGCGAGACGATACTGCGATTGTTCGGAGAGCTGTATCGATCGACCCGGTAGCGCTGCAGTTCGCGTCGGACCGGCTACGGGACTCGGAGGTAGGTTTGGATTTTCGCACCTACTTACTCGAGTGTACGCGTACCTATCGATGTTGCTCTGCCAGGTTTCATCATAGCCATCGTCTCCATGTAAACGATAAAATCAAGATTTTTTTCAGTGACACCAGTGGCAGTGTCCTCGATCGTGCTAGCGGTAGTTAGACTTTGAAAAACTCAAAAACGTCTAGGATATCCTACTCGCCTGCCGTTGCGATCCCTACCGATCCGGAGGGACCTGTTCAAACATGCGGAATACGGACGAGGACCGGAAAATTGCGGGGGCGCCCTACTACCACCACTGGTTCCGATTTGCATCCGAGCGACTGCGCAACGACGTCTCCTTCGTCCAGCGCTTCGTCGAGACCTTGATCGCAAGCCGGGGTGGCCAAGGAAATTTGTTTCATGAAATGCTTCAGCATGGGGGAGAGGACGTGCGGGACTGCGAAGCCATCGTTGTGCAGCTGATCCTCGGCAACCGCAGCCTACATGTCGGGGGCGCGAAAAAGAGAAAAAAAAGCGAGCGCAGTGAGAGCCGAGTAACTCGGGGCATGGGGTACTCCAACGACTACATCAGCTCCCGCTATTGTCTGAAATTCGCGTCCGAGCGGGTCCGGTCCCTGGAGCACCTGTGGCTGCTTTGCCTGGGCCCGCCACCGCTACCACGGGGAAAGACCATGGAGCAGCTGGCAGTTGAATTCGAGGCGAACAAAAAGGTGATCTCCTACTCTTCACACCCTCTGGTTCCCACGTGGAAGCTGCTGCCTGGGATCGCGGCCGAGCTGCTGACTTGGGCGCCCGACAGTATTCGTGACTCTGACGCTGTCATGGCGTTGGCGCTCGACTCCGACTGCTACTGTGTTCGCTTTGCATCGCCGCGGCTTCAACACGACGAAGCCTGGGTCCGCCACCACGTTCTATCACACAACCGCAACCGCGGAAACTCCCACAGCCGTGTTGACCACGAACACCTAAGGAATCCATCCACAAAAGAACCGATTGCAACGGTGGCCGAGCTTTTCAAAGGCATAGGAAGAAATGGGGTTGTTCCAGTGGTGGGCAATGACTGTTCGTCAGCATCTGGCTCGCGGAAAAGCAACGGGGGCTACGCCGCCAAGGACGCCAGTGGCTGGGAAACGCACGTGCGTCGTCAGGGCGTGCCTCCTTTCGCATACCTGTCGCCTCGACTTCGCGACAATGAGGAAATTTTGGAATTAGCCTGCGGCTTTTTTCCGGAATCTTTTCTCTACGCAAGCGAGAGATTGCGGGAATCCTCCGTAAAGGCTGCTTGCACTGCGATCTGGGCGATTGGGCCGGTGTCCGACAGTTGGAAAAAAATTGAGAAAATTTTCGATTTTCATATCAACCCTGTTTGGCGCAAAGACGGCGCAGGGATGGAGCGGGAGGAGGTCCGATGTGCCCCGTTCTTGGCGCAATTGCACGAAAACCTGCGAGACAGCCCCACAGTTAATACCGCAGCCTGCGTCAAAGACGCCAGGGCCCTGCGCTTCGCGTCAGACCGCATTCGTAGTGGGGAAGGTGAGGACGCCGTGCAAGTTTTGCACACTGCGCTAAAGCAAAACGTGTGGGACGCGCTCGAATGCGTGGGCGACACAGCGCTCAAGGAGAATCGAGGCAATGTTCTCGGCTGCGCCGGATACTGGAACTTCGTCGCCGCGATGGGGAAGATGCGGCGAATCTATTCACCAAAGTCAAAGTCCTTCAACAATATTGCTCCGATGGAGGATCTTCAGGATGACGAAGTAGAAGAGCAGAGTTCTTTGACACAACAACTCCTGCAGCACGTCGCACGATACCGCGCCGACAAGATGTCGAGTGAAGGAGAAGATTTTTGCGCCAAGGAAGAGAAGGAAGAGGAACCGGGGGAGGTCGACAAGGACGGTGAGGCTGCTTCTGTACTAGACGAAGTTTCGAACTGCCTGAATCCTGATGACGTTGACGGCATCCACTGTCTCTGCCCAGCGCACTTGCGGAGGATAGGAGTCTGGGACGCATAGACAAAGAAACATAAGCTGTTGTTCATCTACGTCTTAGTTTTTGGCTTTACCATTACCAACGACCCTCCAGCGAGCACGAATAGATAAATGCACGATCATCATGTTGCTGTATGATAGATGACAATCAAGGTGAAGTTGAGGTAGATGCGCCTTGATGTCGTACGTAAGTAAGTAGCTTCTTCGACCGAAACTAAAAAGAGTCACATTGGATTGCGCAGGTTTCCCACGGCTGCGGTTCACTGTCTTGCTGCTACTTACGGTTACGCACCTGAGTGTGCGAGTTTCAGTTTCCGGAGGCTTTTAGAACCGTGTTCGATGTGGGCGGTTCTTCACGGACTTTTTTTACGACGAATGTGTAATTAGCGAGAGCCACGTCAGGCTGTGCTGGCTGTAGTTGAGACGAGTTCTAGTACTTCTTCTGCCCTGCACAGCATAGAAAGAGCAGCAGATGAAGCAACACTATCACTAAAAAAATTCCTTGTCAATGTCTAGTATGTCGATGCGTACCTAGCTGCTTTCTACTAGAGCTTGGCGCGGATTCGAACTTCATCCCGGTCCGCTTCTGTTTCGGTTTTATGTAAGTCACTTCGTTGTTCTGGCGAAGAACATTACGCCCCTCGTCATTTATGACCCCAATCCTCGTGAACAACATGGCGTCCTCGTCCTCTTACGCAACCGTGACCATCAATCTGCTGGCCACCGGTCGGCAGATTGAGATGCAAGCCTGGCCGGTGACGGAGACCGTCGCGGATCTGAAGCGGAACATTGAGCGGCAGTGCGCCATTGACCAGCGGCAGATGCGGGTGATGTGCAACGGGCGCAACCTGACGGAGGACTTCGCGACCCTGGCGTCCGTCGGGGTGGTCGACGGAAGTCAACTGGTTGTTGTGATGCGGCTGAACATGTACAACGAGGTGGCGGGGCAGACGAAAATCCACGGCGTCTCGAAGGACAACTACGGCAACGCGGTCGGGACCAACTTTGACCTGGCGAAGGACGGTGCGTTCGCGGGCGCCACGATCGCCGTTTTGCACTTGTACACGTTCGGCGGCTTTGACTTTTCGTACCCGCAGAAGGCTTTGGAGTTGAAGGGGCTCAAGATCAAGCGGTGGACGGAGCTCCCGCAGCCGTTTGAATTGGAGCGGCAAATCCAGGATTGCTGCCAATTGTGGCTGATCAGCAGCATCGAGGGACGGTTGGAAGAGTCGCACATGAGTGTCATCAAGGATTTCTGGCACCGAGGAAACGGCGTGTACATCTGGGGGGAAAACAAGCCCTGCTACGAAGACGCGAACCGGCTGGGGAAGTATTTGTATCAAATGGAAAAATGTCTGGGTCTGGAAGAATGCAACTTGTCATGCTAAATCTGAAGCATGCAAAAATCTGTGTTGCATGATTACCAAAAGCCATCCAGTTTTGGCCAAGTCGGGAGGGAGTTTCTCATGCAGGATAGGCATGAGAGAGAGTGCACAGAATCTGTCATGTTAGGCTCTGCATTACAGACCTCATGAGTCATGTAAAATCTGCATGACAAGTCTGGCAGTCGATTTGAGGTAGTTGTTACGTGTGGTTGGTCTTTCGGTTCTGCCTGAGTATTTCCTTTTCAGTCAAATATTTAGTCTTCTGAACTTCGACTTCTTATCCTTATTTCTCGCCTATTTATTGGATGAAGCTAAACAGCGCCTCTGACTTATTAATGTTTTTGGCGTATGTGACTCATCCATATATCAATGTGAAGGTCTTGTCGCAGGAGTCAGCATTTTTGTTGCTGTGCTCCTGGTTTTGGCTTTCTATATGTTTAGCGAGTTGGAATTGTTGGCTAAGGTTGGCGTAATTTGGCAAAGTGGGATATGTTGGCGTGAAGTGTGTTGGAATCGTGGCCGGGAGATGATGGTGATGGCACTTCGGTGTCCGCCTGACCTACCTTCCCTGCGTGACAGCCATCTGCGGCTGTTTACAAAGGGGGAGGCAAAGTGTGCCGCACTTCTGTTTAGCATGACAAGTCTGGCATTCTTCCAGACCCAGACATTTTTACATTTGATAACTTGATAGGGGCGACCATGTCCGGAAACGTACCGGGAGGGAAGGTAGCAAGTTTGTAAAAGCTGCGCTGAAGCGGCATCATAGGATATGAATATGTGTATGTCAACATGTACATGGAAAATAAAAATACCAACTGCATTCGCATTCCGACTGCTCTATTCAACAGCATTTCGATGTTCAGGTCGTGCGCGAGCGTCCCCTGGGTTCTAACAGCGGCAGTGGGTTCGTGCAGCACTTGATCACTACCGGTCTCGAAACGCTCTTTGAGGGCGTCACCGTTGCCACGATTCACCAGGACCGGAATTTTCACCGCCAGCGCATGATGCCTTTGGTCTACGGTTCCGACATGATTCCGGATGACAAGAACCCCGGTGGACAAAAACCAAATTTGGTCACCGCCGTCTACGAGCAGGACGGGCGGCGGCTGATCATCGACACGGGGTTTACCCGGCTGTACGTCAACTGGGACTCGGCCGGTACCGGACGGTACGTCAGCAACGCGGCCGCGTGGCTGGCGAATTTCGAGCGGTTTCAGCAGATGGACGTACCCCTGGGCATGCTAGACGGGGGGCAGTTGCGGATGAACCGGGAGGAGGTGACGGAACTGCAGGAAGCGTTTATGCTGTTTGACAAGTCCCAGACCGGGTACATCGACATCAAAGATTTGGAGTCCGTGCTCCTCTCCCTCGGGCAAATCGCGACGGCGGAGGAAGTCCGGGACTTGATCTCGGTCGTGACCATCGGGAACCCCGACGCGGCGCGGTTGAATTTTCAGGAATTCCTCGGCGTGATGAACAGCGCGATCGAAGACAAAAACGCGGAACAGGAGATCTACGAAGCCTTCAAGATGTTTGACATGGACCGCACGAGAAACATCAACGCGATGGAGCTGAAGAAAGTGATGGACAGTCTGGGCACGCAGGTGAGCCACGCGGACGTGGAGGAGATGGTGGTGGAGGCGGACCTGAACCACCAGCGGCGGATCAATTACGAGGAGTTTTACAAGATCATGATGGGGAACCAGATCGGGAAGAAGAACGTGAGCAAGGAGGAGCGCGACCGGCAGGAGAAGCTCGCGGAGCGGCGGCACGGCCGCGGGCCTGCGGCCACGATGGCGCACTTGCGCGCGGCGCAGCGGTGGGACGCGTTGCGCACGCAGGTCATGAAGGCGGTGCGGCGACACCGGGTGGATAATCAGGAGCAGGTCACGCAGGACAACGCGGAGCTGCTGGATAAACACCGCATCCGACACTTGATTGGCTTGGCACTCACGACGGTTGTGACCACCATCTGCATCGTCGTTCCACTGGTTCTGCAGGGGGCTTTTGAGTCTCAGATGGACGAGGCGCACAACCTCCGTGCGCTCACCCACCACGGCAACGCGGTGCTGTACTATGACGAAGCAATGTCTATGGCAGCACGGATGACGGCCCTCACCGCCGCCCAGGAAATGCTCGACCCGGTGAACATGGTGCCGGACAGCGCGAACGCCACGAAGAAGTACAATTTGTGCCATTTTGCGCCCCCGGCCGGCACGGAGTACCCGTATTTCTGCTGCGCCCGGTGGGTCAACCGCTACAACAGCTTCGGCCCGCAAATGGACGCCGCGATTGCGAACATCCAGAACCTCGCCCGGAGCATCGCGACCGACTACGATTTACTGGTCGCGGCGTCGAACAGCAAACTGATCGCCCGGGAAACCATCGCGCTCAACATGTGTGGGGGTACTGGCACGTTCGGCAACGCCGGGACCGGCATCCGCACGGCGGGGAACGGTCTGCTTTCCGTCCAGCCGGAATTGCTCTGGGGCTACGCACCCGGGGGCGTTGATTCCCCCGGTCGCGGGCTGTTGAACGGCATTGACGCGCTTTTCGACGAGGGCCACTTCGTCAAAACGAGTAATAGTGTAGAGGTGATGGACAGTTTGGTTGGCGGCAAGTTGCTCACCCGAACTTTCCAGGCGGACGAGATCGTTGCAAACTCCGCGACTTCGCTAACCCTGAAGCTAGCCGGCGTCGACCAAGTCAGATTAGCGTTAAAAGCCCCGCAAGCGACCAGCACGAATCAGCGCGTGTACATTGATCAGGTGTTTCCGGACACGGCTGCGCAGCGCGACGGGATCATCGAGGGAATGAACGATCCTTTGTACGGGGATTTCCGCCCCTTTCTCGTGGAACTGACCAACACGGCGACCAGCCAGAGCTACACCGGCACGGCGGGCAGCACCGGGTTCCACATGTGGCCGCGAACGGCGGTAATTAGCGGTTTCCCCGGGTCGGGACAGGTGATCACGGTCCGGATCGCCGACCCGGTGACGCTGACAACGTACGATACCGAGAAGGTGAAGCTGCTGTCCGGCGTGAACAAGTTGGAGGAACTGATCAAGGAAAAAGTGGAAGACTTCGATCGCGACCACTGGACCACGGCCATGCGGAACGGCGTGGTTTTGGTGATTTGTGCCTTAATCCAAGGGTTCGCGGTCTTCTTGCTGATCTTGCAGGAGAAAAAGGCGGTTTTGGTTGAGTTCCAGCACTTCAAATCCGCAGACGAATGCCAGGATCTGAAGCAGCGGGACTGGTTGACAAGCGAAGCCTTGCCTATTCTCCGGTCGACGATCGTAGAGGACATCTCGAGCTCCTGGACCAACAGGGACCAGACGACCCACAGCCCAAAGAGTAACAGAGGGGAGACAAACGCAAATAACCCCAATTCGAAGATGCACATTGTGATAGGGGAGAGCAACACTCAACAAGGCAAGCAGCAAGCCCAGCAGCCGGCGCCGTTAACGCGGACGGAGAGCCAGAAAATGCGCATGACCGCGATCTGGACGAACAAATTTAAAAAGATCGCACGATTGAAAAAGCTGCAGGAGCACATGTGCGAGCTGAACCGGGTGGAGGCGTTGCTCGCACCGTATAAGAAATACCGATTCCCGCTGATGATTGCCGCCGAGGTGATCTGTTTGCTCTGTATTCTTGTCCCCTCCCTGTTCGAAATCTACAACAACGAGTCGATCCGCGCCACGGCGGAGCTGCGGAATCTGCAGGGCGCCGCAGACCTGGTGGTGTACTACGACGAGGCGCTCACCATGTCCGCGCGCATGGCGGTGTTGCGCGGCGACGTCGGGGGCTGGTCGCGCCGCTACAACAGCTTTGTGGGGCCGATGGACGGGCTTCTGGGCTCGCCGCCGGGTGCGACCCCCGTGTTCAAGGGCAGGCTGGAGACCATTGAGGACGTTTTGCTCGACAAATTCAACACGGACCACGACGAGGAACCGGGGATCGGAAACATTTGGGACCAGTACAACACGCAAGTTGTCACGGCCAACGCAGAACTCGTGGAGCTCGAGGGCGCGGCGCTCTCCATTGCGGCCCTCAAGGACAGCCCCGCTGGAAGCACGAATTTGGCGAGGTAGAGTTAGACTTTTTGTGCTAAGAATAATAAGTGGAAGACAGTCTACTGTCCTTGTCGAACAACATGTTGGCTGTTCTTGCTCTAGTCATCATCATCAAAGTAGTGAATGTGAGTCAATCTTGATGCAGTGCGTTACACTTACATACTACCTTCCAAGTAACCGTTTCCTATCAGCTACAACGCGGGCAAGTCGAACCTGTTTGGCACAACGTATCAGACGTATAAGGACACTCTGAAGAAGGCAATTCTGACGGAGACGCTGGTCCCGAAAATCAACAAACTGGTGGAGTACCAAGAACGCTCTGACGAGGACAGGAAAGATCTGAACACCGGCATCATCACCACCGTGGCTGTGGTACTGGCTCTCATCCTTGCCGTTCTCGGCTACTACGAGCGTCAATCGATTGCGCTGGACAAAATTTTTCTCACCGCGTATCGCAACGTGCTAAAATACGAGTCGCGGGATTGGCTCACCAACGACGCACTGCTGACCTTGCGGACCAACATCATTTCCGACGTGCGCCGGGCGACGTTGCGGCGATTCGACGAAGCTGACGACTCGCAGAAGCCCTTTATTGAGGTGCTGGATAAGCCAAAAGATCTGAACATTGCCGACGTGCCGGTGACGCCCAGCACCATGCGGTTTATGGAAAATGCTTGATTGAAGATCAACCGGGAGGAGGAGCGAGAGCACCGGCTTAAGCATATCATCGCTAATACGTGCATCTGTTTGAATGATGCGTTTCTGAGTTTCCCGTTTCTTACGTTTCGAAATTCCGCTAGTAGATGGTATGACACATAAATCATCAACCAACGATAAGAACCTTGATCCACTCCAAAGATCCAAAGCACACCTAAACGGGCACGATCGTCACTAATTCAATTCTACTAGAGTAAGATGACTACTGAACCTGAAACAGGCTAAGACGGGCACGAACGTCACGGCAAGAATAGTGAAGGTTCCCGAGTGCCCCAGTTTTGCCTGGGCACGCAGTACCATCGACCTTTACTCTTCCAATGAACCCCAGGGCCCTTGATGCCAGTCAAGGCACACACACAAATAATCTCTCATGCATATTTGTACCACCTCAACTAGGTGTTGTTTTTACTCGTAGTGGGTTCGACCTCGTCGTTGGTTAGTTCGCATCTTCACAGAGTTATGAGCCCAAATTACCACTAAGATTTACTTCTGATTGCGAACATTTAAAATTACACTTTGCACCTAATTATCAGCATTACAAATTTAGAATCATAAATACCCCAACGACAAACCATGGGCGAGCTGACTGCAGCGCAGAAGCAAAACAAGAAGGAGAAGGCTGCGAAGGAAAAGGCTGCGAAGGAGAAAGCAGCAGCAGCAGCAACTTCTGGCGAGCCTGAGGGCGAACAGCAAACAGCCGGTGATGACGGAACCATCACGCCGAACCCGGGCAAGAAGAAAAAGAAGAAAAAGCAAAACACTTCTTCTACCGCCGACACCACTCTGACGCCGCAAACTGCGCCTAGCGTTGTGGCGAAGTTGTCGCAGATGGGAAAACTGCTGGACGACTTGAAAGACGACAAGGGCGGCACTGTCGTTGCTGACCTCCGGAAGCAGCTCGAGGACGTCGCGAAGGAAGAACAACAGCGCGACGCGGATGCGAAGAAGCAGCTGCAGAAACCAGCCACGAAGACCAGTACGAAAAAGAAGAAACAGAAGAAACCGAAGCGGAAGGATTCCGATTCCGACATTCTGTCTTCTTCGGATTCCAGTGGTGGCAGCTGCGACGAAAACTCTTCTTCCGATTCCACAAGCGGTTCTGCGAGTTCCGAGGAGGACGAGAAACCGAAAAAGCGAAAGAAATCGTCGAACGAAAAAGACGAGAAGAAGATGGTCTTGTCGCAACTCCCGCTCTATCAAGATGACTCGTTACCGTTCACCGAGTACTTGTCGCTCGCGCAGGAGAAGTACAAGCCGAGCCGTATCCTGAAAGGGATTGAATCAAAAATCCAGCATACTACTACCCTGCGACAGTACTTAGCGGCGAAGAAGCGGAGGACAGTCCGCAAGGCGCATAACAGTTCGAAGCGCCTCCGGCGCATCATCAAGATCTTCCGGAACGAACTGCAAGACCCCGATGCAGGTATGGAGAAACTGGAAGATTGCAAGCAGGACCAGAACCAAAACCCACAGGAGTGGTATAAGAAGTTCTGCGAAGCTCTTGCTGAATTGCCTGAGGACAAACTGCCGTTCTCGGAAGTCGTCCGCTACGCCGAACGGAACGCGCAAAAGAACGTCAGGGGCATCATCGTCCAGGACAAACCGAGAAACGCGACGCAGCTGGCGGCTGCGATTGGCAAAGCGGAGAAGCTTTTCGGGAAGAAGAAGAAATCTGATGTCGCCTTCCCTGCCTTCCACGACCCGAAGGGCGGCCGCAAGCACAAAGGCGGTCGCCATGGCAAGAAGGGTGGTGGCAAAGGCGGTAAGAAGGGCGGCAAGGGTGGTAAGCCCCGGAAGCCGTACAACCCGGACGCCTGGTGCGATTACTGCAACCGCGCCGGCCACTGGGAATCGGAGTGCCGTACCAAGCAGAATAACGACGGCGGCAAATCTGGGGCACCGGGGAAGCAGTACAACTCGTATGCAGCATCCGGCGACCACAACAGCGGTGGACACCACCAACAGCATGGTGGATACCACCAGCAGCAGCAGCAGCAGGGGAACTACAACCAGTACGGTGCCCAGCACCAACAACAACAAAATCCGTACCCCCCGCAGCAACTGCAACAACAGATGGTCCACCAACCGGCGAACCCGAACTACAACCAGCAGGGCGGATTTTTCTGTGCCGTGGCTGTCGAAATCTCCTGCCCCGACCACCCCCACAGTGCGTTTGCGACTCCCGCGACAGCAAACACGGTGGAGATGTTCTTGATGCTGGATTCTTGTGCGAGCAAGCACATGGCGGGACCGGTGCGGGTTCTGCATGAACTCGTGAAAGCGCCGGCAATGTCGTTTAGCACGGCAAACGGACCGACCACCAGTACTACCACGGGTTCTATCTGGTTGGAAACCTCACCGCCGATCAAGCTCCAGAACGTTGCCCACGTCCCTAGCCTCGGCAGCAGGGTGTTGCTGAGTTATCCGCTTTTGCGCAGAGCCGGTATCCCGATGTCCTTGGACAAGATGCAGTTCTTATCCTACGCGATCCAGCTCGTGGAAGGATGCACCCAGATCAAGCTCCCGGTGCGTATCAACCACAAGGAACCGATCCAGACGGCGTTTGTAACCTGCAGCGAGGAACTCATGCAGGACTTGTGGCGCGCCACCCATGATTACTTTAATTCTTTGATTGGTTTCGATAGCTCTTTGCGTCTTCAGTTTTTCGAAATCGATTGCAAAAATCTCAGCACAAACGAGATAATCGCAGAAGTCGTTCACAACCGTCAAAAACGACTTGCACTACTGGCGCCCATCATCAATGACGAGATCAAAGAAAAACTTCGTATTTTGTCAGCGTATCTCGATGAAAAAGTAGTAGTGCTTGATGGCCCGAGTCACCACCAGCATCGGACATTTGAAATCAAAGACGACGATGTCAGGTGGCTTGCATCTTGTGCCTACTCTTTTCCCGCGCCAGAGGTTCCACCAGAGGACCAATCGCATGAGCCTGAGCCTGCTGCATCTTCGGGCCCCACGTCTTCACACGCGCAACAAGAAGATCGTGGCCAGGATGCAACCCGCAGCGCCTCAAGCGATTCTGAAAATGCCGACCGCTCTGAGCTACCTACTTCGGATCATCTTGGCTCTGAGCAGCCCAAGGCCAAAAAGAAGAAAAAGGCCAAGAACAAAAAGCGCAAAAAGGCCGACCAGGACCAGGACCAACCAAAGCGAACGCGCCCGGCGAAGAAGTTCAGGCGAACAGATTCGACCGAGGCCCCGGCTTTCGAGCAAATTAGTTATGAAAAGATATGCCAGCTTGGCGCTTGCCTTTTTATGCCTACTTTCCAAAAGTTGTGGGAAATTGTCCGAACGCTTGACAACTCCCAGCGCTCCAGAAGTATGGTTATTCACTTCTGCAAGCACAACTTGACGCGCCTTAAGACCCATGCCTTTCCCCACCATAAAGTCGGAGGAGTTGAAGCCAATTCTTTGTCCGACTGGTGCGCCTTAGATACGTTTTTTCCGTTAGGTAAGGAGTTTAGCGTGCTACATGGGATCAACATCCATTCCCGCGCCAGCACCACCACAACTTTCAAACGAGCAGTCAAGATGCAGGACACTGCTGATTTTTTAGAGTACTTGAAAACTGTTGGCATGATGGGCAAGAACATTCTTTGCGACCAAGGCAAGGAGTTTGACAACATAAAAGTGCGCGAATGGTGCCAGCTGTATGGCATTCAGCTTTTCCTGACGCCTAAGGCTTCTTGGGTGAATGGAACTTGCGAGCGCCGCCATCGTCTTTTGCGTGCTGTTTTGCATCGTCTTTATTACGTTTATGGCCAAAAGAGTTCTATCATCCCGCGCCTGGTACAACAAGCAACAAACGCGGTTAACATGACGCCCACCGCTGCGCTTGACGGGCTTGCGCCTGCGCAGGTGCAGTGGGTCATAAATCCGATTAAGCTCGAGCCTAATTTTGTAGAAGATTTGACAGAGCAGCAAGCAGTTTTAGTCAACGAGCAAAGTCCTGAGTCCGATTACAAAATCCGTTGTAGGGCCCGTGCTCTGGTCGAAGAGCTGAAGCACGACAGACAGCTTGTAGATGAGACGCGGAAGCTGAGGGAACTTCAGCGCAATTTTTATCATGAATCCGACGAGTGCAAAGTTGGAGAATTGGTAGAAATTTTCGACAAGGACAAAGAAGCATGGTTAGGTCCCTGCACCTTAATCCATCGCCAAGTGAACAACAACTCAGTCACTTTCGTTGTGGATCATGATGGCAGGTATCGCCGTTCGCATGCGTCTCACGTACGTAGGCACCTGACGGCCACTGCTATGACTTTTCCACCCATGTTACTCAAAAGCCTCTACAAAACGCACAACGTCCCTGATAGCCATCCGGACACGCCCCAGGGCGAATTTCTCGACGAAGAGACAACCATCAAAATAGTTCCGGATGGTAATGCGAAGGTCGCACCAAAAACCCTCGATGCAGCTGACAGCATCAAAGCCGACCCAAAATCGAGCACCGATGCCCCCGCCGCATCAAGTAGCAGCGCAAGCTCGTCATCTCGTGAACCTGACACGCTCCCGCCGCCTGGCAACGGTGGCCCGGCTGTCTCACTTGATGTTGCACCCATCGAACTAGAGAAAAAGTTCCGTCTTACCAAGGACTACTATCAGGGCGTTTTCGACAAACTCAAATCTGAAGAGGTGCAGCGCGTACGCCAGTTGATCGCGACAACTGAAACAGCGCCGGTGCGTGGCGCTTGGATAAAACGCAACGAACAACGTGAGAAAACGCTACTCACAGTGCGCGCGTTAATCGATGCTCAGCCCGAGTATTCGCATTTGAAAGAAGCACAAAAGCACAAAGTCGCTTCTGACATCGCAGAACGATGCCGACAGCTCAACATCAACGACATTAACGACAATACGCTTGCAGCCATGCTTGCGCCCCTCATTTGTGCTGACTGGGAGCCTGGTGAAGTTTGCTACAAAGCTATCGCTGTCCCTGATCACAAGTCTGGTTTTGACACTACAGAGCCCGCTTGGAAAGAAGCCATTTCTAAAGAAGTCAAAGCACATTCTCACGTATTCAGGCCTGCTACACCTGAAGAAGTCGAACGGTTCAAACGCAGCGGCAGCAGAGCAGTACCCTGCAAAATGTTGCTTAGTGTAAAGCGCTGCGGCAAACGTAAGGCCCGGATCGTATGCTTAGGCTTTCTGGACAAAATGTCTGGGAACCAGAAGTATGCTACTGTGCCTGATTTAAGTATTTTGCGTATGTTGCTTTGTATGAAAGTTCAGTCACCTAGGATGTTTGCATTCCCTTCCGACGCTACTTCAGCCTTTTTGCAAGCAAAGTACCCAGTTCCGGTCGTGATCGATCTCGATCAGCGATTGCAAAACGAGCTAGGCTACCGCCTTGGTGTGGTAGAATACGCCATGAATGGCCTGCGCCTTAGTTCCCGCGCCTGGGAAGACCACCGCGATGCCGTTCTTGTCAAACAAGAATGGAAGCGCAACCCCATCGAGGCCACTCTCTGGACTCGTGCCGGTGTTTTGTTGTTAGTATTTGTAGATAATTTTTGGTTTTTCGGTGACAAGGAAGAAGTTTTGAAGTACCACGAAGAACTTAAGCCCGCGCTAAAGTTACAACCCGAAGAGGTTCGCGACGAAGGTACGCACCTCGTCTACGATGTCCTTGGCATCGAAGCCCGCGAAAACAAAAAGACCGGCGACATGGTCTTGAACCAAGACAAATACGTGCAGAAAATTCTTGATCGCTTTGGCGGTGACACAGGTCGCAACACTTCCACGCCAATGGATGCGCCTCCTGATGTCTCTGCGCCTGAAGTGCCTGAATTAGTCAAAACCAAGCAAGAACTAACTGGCTCCTTACAGTATTTGTGTCAAACCAGGATGGACATAGTCGTAGCTTTAAAGATGTGCGCCCGCGTGAAAGCTACTCCCGAGTGCATTTTGGCACTCAAGCGCATCGTGCGCTACTTACGGACCCGCCGAGGTCTCCGATACAAAAACCGAAGTGAAAAGTTTGGAGATCGTCTTATCCTCACCGCGTGGAGCGACTCCGACTGGGCTAGTTTCGGAGATAGAAAGTCTAATTCCGGCGTAGTGATCTGTCTGAACGGAAATGCCATCGCATGGCGTTGCGCAAGTCAAAACAGCGTTAGTTCTAGCGTTTCTGAAGCTGAGCTCTATGGCATGAGCGAAGCCGCGAAAATGGTTTTACGTTTTCACTATTGTCTTGAATCTTTGCGCCCGTTTTGGAAAAAGTTCTTTGCATCACACAGCCTTTTACTGCCTATTCAACTTGGATGTGACAACTCCAGCGCAATTTCGTATACTGAAAACCAAAACGGCACCAAAAGCGCTTTGAAACATATCGACATCCGTGGCATGCAGATGCGCGATTTGCAAGAGAAACAACTTATCAAGTGCGTTTATCACTCGACCAAGATTAACAAGTCAAACGGTTTGACTAAGACTTGTCCTCCTATCGAGTTTCGTGCATTTCTCGAACTAAACGACATAATCGAGTTGGATTAACCGAAAACGTTCCGAGTATGAAAAACACCACAGACCGCCAGCAACCCTAACTGGACACCAACGAACGAACGAACGAACGCGAAGAAATTCGGCGCAAGGGGGACTGCTGATGACTATCGAAGAGAGTTTTATTATGCACCAAATTTATTCGCTTCCATTTACGCCTGCATTCATTTTTCGCAAGTCTCGCAAAGACTATAAACAAAGAACCTGCAATACAGATTTTATTTTTTGACTTTGGATTTGGAGTGAGGGGGACTATGACACATAAATCATCAACCAACGATAAGAACCTTGATCCACTCCAAAGATCCAAAGCACACCTAAACGGGCACGATCGTCACTAATTCAATTCTACTAGAGTAAGATGACTACTGAACCTGAAACAGGCTAAGACGGGCACGAACGTCACGGCAAGAATAGTGAAGGTTCCCGAGTGCCCCAGTTTTGCCTGGGCACGCAGTACCATCGACCTTTACTCTTCCAATGAACCCCAGGGCCCTTGATGCCAGTCAAGGCACACACACAAATAATCTCTCATGCATATTTGTACCACCTCAACTAGGTGTTGTTTTTACTCGTAGTGGGTTCGACCTCGTCGTTGGTTAGTTCGCATCTTCACAGATGGCGAACTAGTAGTGTAATAGATGGAGGTGCGAGTAGAGCTGTCTTCTGTGTATGATATCCAAAATCAAAAACGAATGACGCCATCGAGCTGCGAATTTTGCAAGACTGCTGCAGGTGCAGCTGCACGTGGCAGCACGCTTGTTCCTCGCCTGTGGCGTTCATGGACCTATTTTCTCTTGGAAGCTAGCTTTGCCGCATCGGATGACTATTGTTCGTCCGCCCAATGGTCTCTGCATTAGCATTTCCACATGCTGAGAAATATTATAAAGGACTCAGCAGTAGTTCATTTTAATTTAGGAGAGAACGACGAGTCGAGCGACTTTGAGAATAGACAAGAGAAACAGCAGTAGTAGCTTCTGAAAGTGCTGCGGCCTGTCCCTGTGACTTACGGCTCCTTATGCAACTACACTAAAGTTCAAGTTCTATCATGTTGACTACTAGCTGGTCCTCGACCTCGAGCCAACGACCGGCGAAGGTCTATCACGACTACTACTACTACTAGCTGGCTAGATCTACAAAAAAATCTTGAAAAGTCTTCTGCGCGCGGCCTTCTATCTTGTATCACGAACAAGATCTTCAAACTCTCTCGTTACAACAATGCGAGCGTTGTTGTCTCGGAGGCGCGAGCCTCAGTTTGCGGATGGTCGGCACCGCAGTTCAAACGCCGACGGAGCTGAGAACAGCGTACCTAGTGAAACCACTTCAAAATCCGCCTCTGGTATTGCAAGCAGCCCAAGTGGCCAGCAGCAGGACGACGAGGTCGAGGACGATGATGAAAGTGAAGACAGCAGCAAACAGGAGCAATCACATTCTCAATCGCAATCGTCGTATTCCCAGTCCCAGAAGTCGCAAAAATCCGGACAAGAAAAAGGCAACGCAGGTAAAGAAGAAGACGATGGTGTCGTGGTTGATCTATTGGGCGGCTCAAACTCGAATCCAATAAATGCTCTGGACCAAGCGTTCGGCGAAGATTCCTCTGCATCATCCTCTTCGTCTGCCAGCAAAAGTAACAGCAAGCAGAGCAGCGGCCATATACCACGGAGCGGCGGCGGCGGCAGCAGTGGCAGCAGCAGTCGTATGACGTCGAAGGACCGCAACCCAGATGACGAAGTAGAAGAGTCGTCCTCCCGTAAACATGCTGCTTCAAAGGGTAATGGAAGTGCAAGTGCCTTGGATCTTGAGAATGATTCGATGTCCGTTCCGTCGAGCAGTAAGGGACGCAGCGGTCTTGCGTCCCCTAGAGATGCTCCGGAGGGCGAGTGCATCCCTGGTCTGTTCAGAAGCAAGGCAAAAGAGGAAACAGCCGATGAGCAAGTGGCCAAGAACGCGGATATGAAGCCCGATGCTACCGCTTCAGTCACCAATACTAGACAGCAGTTTGTGCAGAGTGGCGGCGCAAAGAGTCCTTTCGATCCAGTCACGGGACCGTCTCTGACGGTAACAGACGGAGCTACGGCTGGGCTGCAACAAGCGCAGCTACAACCTGTTCAAGGGACTGGTGGCGCTTCGTCTTCCTCCGCAGCTGCGCCTCGGAGAAGCCAAAAAAGCGTTACCTTAAGCGCGAACGATGCGGAAGATGGTGCCGGCGGCACGACAAGCGGGAATAGGAGAAGGAGCAGCTTGTACCGGCAAGCGACTCCAGCAGTGCGGAAATCGCAGCAGGCAGGAGCTGGTGCGGGATTTTCCTCAGGAGTTGTTGCGCAACGTGTACTGCAGAATGACGATGACAGTGGACACGGTGACCAGCAGGAGGAGACATCAGACCCGACAACTCTCCGGACCAGCGCTCTGTACGATCGATCCCCCGCAGCTGACCAAACTCTAGCATCTAGCCGCGCGCGCTTCGTTGCGCGCATAGTTTTCAAAAAGAACCTGCAGCTGCTTTTCAATTACCTGCTTGCGTGGCGCGGCCTGACACTGCGGATGAGCCGGCGACGCCCGGGCTTGCAACCCCGAGTGGACCACACCGGGGCTGTGCAGACCCGCAGACCGCGAGGCACACCACCGGTCTCCTCGTTTTCACGACCGCCGACCCAGGACACGAGCAAGCCCGAGCGTATGCGGGTGCACTTCTCGCACGTGCTGGAGAACATTGGCCGGCTGCTGTACCAAATGCTGCTGGAGCGGCGCGTGAGCGACATGTTTCACTTTTGGCGTGCGGAAACGGCGCAGCGGCGCTTTCTGCAGGCTCGCGTCACGGCGGAGGAGGCGACGGCCAAATTTCAAGCGGCGGTTCGCAAGCTCGCCGCGGTCGAAACGGAGCTGAAGGCCACCCGGGGCTCGATGCCGCAACTGTGCGCCGAGCTGCAGGAAAGGGTCGCGCTTCTGGAGTGGAATTACGTCGGCGAAGTGAACTCGTTGTGCGAGAAGCACGCCGCGAACTTGAACGCGGTAAAGCGAGAACAGGAGGAAATGCTTCGCACAAAAAAGCAAGCCGTGACCACTTTGCACACGATGGAACAAGAGAAGCAGCTCTTGGAGAGCGAAGTTCGGGAACTGCGCCGCGGTGCGGGCATATTCAATCCCGGCGGGGGGCTTTCTACGCGGGCATTTTCATCGTCGTCCGGTCTCAATAAAAACAACAAAGGCAGCGCGTCTGGTGCTGGCGCGCCGGACAGCCCACTTTGCCCGTTCACACAGGACACGTGCCCCGATGGGAATGCCTGTCCGGTGCACCATTCGCAAATGCTCCGAGTAGTGCGCAACGGCGGAGTCGGAACGTTGCGCGACATGCAGGCTGGAGGCTCGAGTTCCTCGAGTAGTCCATTGGACACGACGTTGCTGCCCCCGGGGAATAGAATGGCACGGGAAAACTCCTTGACGCGCCGGGCGGAAGTGCTCGCTTTCCGCGATGGCACTCGGGCGATAGAGGAAGAAATGCAGGAAGAGAAGGTAGTTTTTTTCGTCACGTTCGTACAACTACCTTGTTTGGACTTCTTGGTAAGAACAAGCTCGTATGTATTGGCTGTTTCGACTTTTTCCGTGCTCATCTCAAGCATATTTTCTACCGGTACGCCGGAAGAAAAATATACCTTCCAACCCACGAATGACAAAATAAAAGAACAAAACCGAAACAGCCTCCAAAGTCCCCGGCGCAGCAGCGGCTCGAGACGCTCGGCGATGTTCCGGGCTCGCCGCGCCGCGTCCGCGACGACATACGCGAGAAAATCTTGGTGCGACACGAGGGCGCTCGCGAGGAATACGTCGCAGGTGTAAAGCAGCGAATGAAGGAGCACGACCCAAACGTGGACGACTACGACGTTGATGCACTACCGGTCAGTGCACCGAGAAGCGCAGTTCATTCTCCGTCTTCAAAAACGCGGAATGTCCGGCCGAGCACATTCGAGCTGGATGGTAAATCGCACTTTTCTCCAACGGGTAGAGGTAGAAATAATCGGAGACGGTACCACGTGGAAGAGGACGTTTTCCGTGGCCTGCTGCAACAGCAGCAGGAGGAGCAGCGGCAGGTTCGCTTAGCAAGTGAGCGCGAAGACGGCGACGCCAGGTCCTCACGAAACGCCAGCGGCGACCTCTTGGAAGTTGCGATCGGCGACATGCATCGTGCTTTGCGGGACGGACAGAAGGTCATGCGCTCGAATCCGTCAAGTCCAGGCATCTCCACCTCTCAACATGTGCAGCAGCAGCAAAACTTGTACCAGAAAGGCAGTAGGGGTCCGTCACCGAACAGTCAACAACAACACAACAAGCTCTCCCTTTCTTCGATGCGGGCTGTGGAGGGAAATTTTCCGGGGGGCGCGATGCAGGAAGTCTACGCAAGGAAAGTAAATCGAAAGCTGGACGCCTTCGGGGAAACGGGGTTCTTGGCGGCTTCCGACATCGAGAATCAGGTGGACACACAAACCGTCTACCAGGTGAACTGGCAAGAATCCCGCGAGGGGTCGCCCGCACGAGAATTAGACGGAGTTGGTGCACCTGTTGAAAACGGCGAGGATGTAGGCGGGGAGAATGACCAGATCATGATGTCTCAGCGTGCCGCGCAGCTCACCAACTCCGGGGTGTCGCGCTCGAGAGCCTCGAGCGGCGGCCTGGAGCTGTCCTCTGCGGGAGCCTCCTCTGCGCGAAACAGTCGAACGCAAATTTCCCTGAAGAGCCACGCGCATCAGCTGCAAAATCGGAGGCTGCTGGAGGAGCAGCGGAAGATGGAACAGCAGCAGATGCAGCGCAGACCACCGTCCCCGTCACCACCACAGATGACAGGAGATCCTGGACGAGGCCCAGTTGGGACAACTGCAGCAGGATCCTCAAGAGGTAGACAGTACGAACAAAACCGTCCTCCTGGGACTACGAACACGCAACCCGCCCCTCTTGTCGACAGCGACGTACGTGCCGAAATTCTGGCCAAGGCTCGCGAAGCGCGGAAGAAGAATTTCGCGCAACAGCAGTCCCGCATCGACAGTAAGGAGCCAGCGTCTCCAACTGGTGTGGACCGGAAAACCAAGCCGATGCTGTTTTACCCTCACGTTTCTGGAGGGGGTGACGTCCTCGTTGGTAGCAAAACTACTGCTGGTGGCGGTGATCTCTCACTGCAAGATCACCCGCCTCAAGTTTTACCTCAACAGGCCCCCGTGGTCAAAAAAACACATACAAATCCGCACTCATTGAAGGAACATCAGCAACTGTTGCTGGAGATCGAAGAGTCGCCGAATAACGGCACGAACGGCGTCGCTGCCGAACTCCCAGGAGCAGCTGCAAGTGCAGCTTCCCAGCCCATCGAGGACATGTTTGTGAACGAAGACGGGGAGAAGTTGTTTCAAATCGAACACAAACCGGATGAGGACGTGTGGGACTTCAGTGGCGTCCGGAAATACCTCCGCGACACCGACCGCTTCGTTGAGGAGTATTCCCACTTATTTCCCGGGCTGACGGAAAATGTGAACGCTCTGGAGCACCGGAAGCTCGTCGGAGCACGCGCTGCGTCAAAGACGTCGGGCGGCGCTGGAGGAGCGGGTGGAGGTCCTGGAGCGCAACAGAATCAGGGCAGGTAAGGTTAAGAGTGAAGTAGAAAACAAGGCGATAAAAGTTGTATGCGCAAATTTGTAGTTTTGATGATGTTGACGATGTTGATGAAGACGACGAAGCTGTAGGCACAGGACCGATAACCCCAGCGCTTCATCCTTCCCCGACGACCACGACGATGGAAATCACATTCAGGTCGGCTTCTGCCGTGGGACCGAGCAAGGGCTTTACCGCAATCGCGCCTCAAGCCGGAGCACCGTCCTCACGAGGCGGAATGCGCATACCCATAGCAATACCACCCGAATTCGACTTCTGAGCGTGCACCTGAAGGGGCTGAAAGAAAGGGGATCGCTGCGTTATCAGCCTACTCTCATCTGCAACTCGCAAACCAAAGAAACTTCTTTGATACTGGTTAAGTTTGAGACGCGGCGAGGGCGACATCGCAGCCGTGCTCGTGCATGAGATTGCTGCACATTTGTTGTTCATTCGTGCAGCTTTCCACGGTGGAACGGCAACAGCGATGTGCTGAAAAACAAGAGGAAAAGAAGAAGATCTAGCACTATTTTTTCTCCCTGAGCCTAAGTGCACTTGCGCGATACTGCGACGCCGACATGCAAGGAAAGATCTGGATTTTTTCTCATCCCTTTTTATTCTGGTTTTTCTTCTTTTGCAGTCTCTCACGATCATTGATCACGCTTATGCGACGCTCTTTTTTCGATAGCGCACCGGCCCCACTGAGGACACGACTGTCACTACGATTTTTTCCAAGCAGCAACAACCATGTGCCTCCGACTAGATCTTTAAGTAAGTAAGTAGACGTAGAAAAGACGACAAATCACAGTGACAGACAGAGAGTTTAGTTCTGATTTTTTGATTTTCTTTTTCTCAGCCTGGAAAGAAATTGAAATAACAAGTGAGTGTAGTCGTCCAAGCTCAATTTCATTTCTTGAGCACGGTATCTCGTACGTTTTGGTTTTTTATTACGTTTGTGTTAGGAGTCTCCGTGCGTAGGCTAAGCTACGAAGAACGCTCAACCAAAATGGCGGACAAGGTGTTGGGAATGCTCTCAAGGACGGGCATGGCGGCCGCCTCCGTTGCGGCAATACCTGCCTTCTGCTTGTACAATGTGGACGGAGGAGAAAGGGCAGTTATGTTCAACCGATTTTCGGTAAGAATTATGTAGTTCTCGCCTGGTGTTGCATCAAATTAAGATTAACAAGTGTCCTGAACAAAGACGAACGTTGTAAGTAGAAGTGCGGCGGTTGTTCATCTGCTTCGCATTCAAAATTAGACGCGTGTTGATTTTTATGAAGATTTGTAGTTCTGCACCAAATAAAATTTTAAATTTTTCTACAGGGTGTATCAGCAGTAACGTCAGGGGAGGGCACGCACTTTAAAGTGCCATGGCTGATGTCCCCTTACATCTACGACATCCGTGTCAGACCAAAACTCATCCAGACAACGACAGGTACTGGACTCTTTTTTTCGATCCGCCGTGTTGTATTCCTATTTGCACTACGGTGACGGTGATAGAAAAAGTTCTCAATCTCAAGATAATTGTCTTATTCTTCACCACAAGCGATTGAAAAGCTGCCTGCGGTGACCTCCGATGGTTGAATATCACGACAGGTACAAAGGATTTACAAACCGTCACCATCCACTGTAGGCTTCTGTTCAAGCCTGACGTAGAAGCTCTCCCGGCACTCCACAAACGGCTAGGGAGCGAATACGACGAGCGAGTACTGCCGTCAATCGGGAACGAAGTGCTCAAGGCCGTTGTGGCACAGTACTTTTCTTACATTTTGATCCTGTCTCTGTTTTTCGTGTCCTGTCTGAACTGAAATATGCAGATTTTGGATTCAAAAGAACAAGCGCTCGCTCAGTTCTACTCTGAGCTTTCCGGCAGCACAAAACAGGTACAACGCCGAGCAGCTGCTCACACAGCGAGAGCGCGTCAGTCAGGAGGTCCGGGATGCCATTGTGCAAAGGGCAAAGCAGTTTCACATCCTGCTCGAGGATGTATCCATTATCCACCTGAAATACGGAAACGAGTTCGCGCGCGCTATTGAGGAGAAGCAAGTGGCCGAACAGGAGGCTGAAAGACAAAAGTTCATCGTGCAAATGGCAGGTAAGGCTAAGGACTTTTATTAACCACGCGGAGCAGTGACATTCATTTTGTTACTGATTTGCGTGTTTCTCGAGGCAGGCTCTGGCAGTTTCAGTTTGTCAATGAGCGACTTCGATGAAGTTCGAGGATTCTCCCAACTAATTACAGAGCAAGAGAGGCAGGCGACAGTGATTCGGTCGGAAGGAGAAGCAGAAGCAGCGACAATGATATCAGAAGCGCTGAAGGAACACGGTAGAAATGAGAAGATGAATTACTGGAATATTTTTGTTGCTTGATGTTTTCTAATGGGAGGGATACGTGTTTGACTTTGAAAGTGGAAGCGAATTCTTGATGAAATCTAAATCGTGTGTCAAAACAGGAACCGGATTGATCGACATGAAGAGGATAGACGCTAGTAAGGAAATCGCGGAGGTGTTGTCCAAATCGGCGAACATAATGTACATGCCCGGGGGCCAGAACATGCTTCTCAACATGAGTGCTGGACGATAATGATGAACATTATTCGACTTCTGCAGCTGCTGTACTACCTCTACCTACGAGGGCATCGGCTTGTAGTTCGGCGCACAAAACTAAATGAACATAAATCAATGACTCCTTTTGTGTTGAATGTCAGTGACATTGACAATGACTGGTTGGTGCATGTCTTCTGTCATTATGTAAATGTGTGTTTGTCCATCTCAGGTCTGTCGTGAACAGAACCAGTTTTCACAACTAGCGACATTTTCATCCAAGAGTCTAACAGTTCCGAGAGCGCTGTGGCGTTTCACGGAGAAAATAAACACCGAGTTCTTATGTCTTATCGCAGCTGACTTAGACCACGACTGCTGCTGTTCTTCTTCTGATCTCCGAAAGGAGCACATCGAAAGACATTAAGATTAACAAACAAGGCTTCTTTATCTTTGCCCGCGGCGCTCGCATCAGCTATGATTTTGCGGCGGTCCACGCACCAGCCTGCGCGGTGCGTTGGATCGGCTCCCAATCCCATGGCCATGTTGTTCAAGAATGCATTGTTAGCAAACTAGTAAACGAGATGGCTGTACCTGCAGTCGCGGTTGTGGTCGTGCATGAAAAAACTAGTGCGCACCTCCTCCTCCCCGCAAAGAGACCAGAGCGCATTTCTTCCTCGTCGTAATACCTGTTTTTTTGTTTTGTCCCCTCGTTGTCCTTCTCGGTTGCCGTTGATGTAAGTAGTTGCGTCTGTTACTGGCATCGTGCCATCCACACACTCTGCTTCTAGGATCTGTTCTGGCTGCTCCTCATCAAGGGCGCAGGACTGGAGACCGCAATGAAAGAGATCCAAATACCTGTAAGAAGCAAGAGCGATATGTTATGCGTTTGAACATGCGCAGGAGCTCGGCGATCAAATCTAGATCATGGGAAAAACATCCTCATTCATTGCCGTGTGGTATCTATTTTTTTACTCGAATGAGACCGTAGCATCAGCATCACAAGATGTTCCCTCCAATCGATACTCATTTTGTTTAAGTACATCCCTCGCTATTGGAGGTTGACGTCGTTTCCGGAGGTTAGAGTCCCACTCAACCATTGATGTGCTACAGCGACCTTTTCTTTATAATCTGTTTTTGCAGTAGTTTATCGTGAGAAGTTCTTGTATCTATGTATCGATACGAACCTGTATCTGAGTTCATTAAGCCAAATTAGAAACGTCACAGCAACGATGTTGTTCCTTATGTATCAGGCCCACGGTTATCGTCATGTCACCGTATTTTTTGCGTGATGAAGTGCAAGTTTAAGTTTTTAGTTTAGCAATTTAGAAAATAGTCATAGGGTCTCTTACTCTTCAAATAACGACGAGAAGTCGTTGCTTAGTGTTAGTTTAGTCTTTTTACGTACTCTCCAGGCGGGGCGTCGTCTCGCCCCGTTGGTTTTAGGTTTCTCGAGCTCGACCGAAATTGAAAAGCTGTAAATGCAAACAACAAACGCCGAGAAGGAACACGAACTATGAGGATCACCTCCAGACTGGCGTTTTCATTCATTTAGCCCTGTCATCTTGCTTCATCTCATCATCGTCGTGATGATGCACGGGGAAATAGATCTTCAAGCCACCACCATGCAAAATTGTCGTCCGCTTTCGGCGGAGGACTTTGCTCCCTTGTGGCACAACAAATCGGAGAACTTCTGGATTGCACACGTCAAGAAGTTGATCGAAGATTTTGGCGTAACGGCGGTTGAGCAATTCAAACATTTTGTTGCCACTGACTTGCAGGCCGGCATTTCCACCACGAAAAGCTGTGCCTCTGCTGCTCGTCCGGACGATGTTGCTGCATCTTCAAGCACGACTACATTGCACGAGGGCCCTTTGAGGACAGCTGCTGCAATAGCACCGCCCCCGTCCCGCTCGGATCTTCAGGCTTGTGGGGGCGCAACATCGTCCAGTAAAGCTTCTCCCGATGTTGAGCAACCTGGGGCGGGGAGAACCTTGACCAAAAATGATGGTGGTCCGTCTACTGTCTCCAAGACCCACGCAGCGCCTCCGTTGGAGCAGTCGACGAAATGCTCCTCTTCTTCGGCGTCGCGGAATGTCACACCGACTGATGCGGTGCCTGCCAGCACGAATGGATCGCCCTTGACTCCAAGCAAGACGAGCGGAGGTGGGCAGAATGCTACTACGAGCAGTTCTTCTACAACAACTTCAAGACCCTACAACCTTTTTCAGCAGGATCACACAATGGATGGCGGCGGGGCAGCGTCGAATCATCTCAAAGACGGCGCAACATCATCTACTTCACAGATGATGAAAGACAACTCTTCCGGCGAGATGAATTCTATGAATCAGTCACTGATAACGACAAGTGCGACGTCAACATCTTCCTCCTCCAGCAGATTGGCAGCGCAACAACACCAGATGAACACCAGCAAGCCAGTCTCGCTCGTCGTGGGGTCAACATCGTCACAGCTCGGTGGTTGTGTCAACAACAATTCTCCCCCGTCTGTAAATGACCTCAACCAGGGAAACCGGCTGCTGCACCTTTGCGTGCTTAGAAATTACACCTCTTTGCTTCACAAGCTCGTCATGGACTTTGACTTTGACGTCGACATCACACGCGACAGCGACCGCAACACGGGCATGCATCTCGCTCTGTTTGAAACCAGGAAGAAAGAAGTAGTCGAAAAGTTGGACTTCCTCGGTGCTGATCTGGAAAGGAAGAACGCGTATGGGGTAGACTGTGAAAAAGCGTTCCAATCGTTCAACGAGTCCAAGGACAACATAATCTTCCTCGACCTGGAGCTCACAAAAGGTATCAACTACTCCGAAGTCCTCGATCTAGACGTAGCGAGTACGTAGTACGTCGCTTATTTGCCACCTTTTATGCAATGGCAGGAGAACAATGCAATGCTTTTTGCCTTGCTGTATTTTTGCCGTGAAGTCGTGATCTTGGTCCCTATTCCTCCCTTCCCCTGGCAGGAGTTCTTGTGGCGATCGCAAGTTCCCGCAGCCTTGTGCTTGTACTTGTACTTCCTTGTGCTTGAACTTGTTGCAACGCAAAAATTGAAATGCTATAGGTTTCTACGAGCGGGAGGAGGAGGAGGGGATTCCTCGGAAGATTATGGAGCTCGCCTGCGTGATCACGGACAAGAATTTGAAGGAGCTCGGGCGCGGTTCCTGGGTGATTGGCGGTTTCTCGAAGGAGTTTCTCCTTACGCTCCCCTATTTCCACCAGAAAAATTTCCGCGACAGCGAACCGGGTGGCCCCTTCGAGCCGTTGCAGGAAGAGAGAACCGGGTACACTTTCTACGGCAACGACCTCTTTAAGGACATGGTAAACCGGGAGAAGGCGGTGTCACTGCTCCAAGCGGAAACGGAGTGTCTGGCGTTGATCCAAAGTTTCTGTCCCGAGGGCGCCTGCCCGCTGAGCGGCAACAGCATCCAGTGCGACCGGGAAGTGCTGTGCGACGAGACGCCCTTGATCTACCAGTGGCTGTCCCATCGGATCATCGACGTGTCATCCTTTCTCGGTATAGCCGAGCGCTGGATGCCCCACAAAATCGAGATGTGGCGCGCGCACCAGAGGCAGGTATACAGGAGCTAATAACCCTAAACAGCTATATAAACTGTGTAGGTTTAGCGACCACATCAAAGAGCTCGAGACTTTCTTTGTTCTGAGCCTCTACTAAGTTGTATTCTCTTTCTTCTTGCCGCACGAATTCAGACGAGGACGCCATTATGCATTGACGTTTTTGTTCTCGATGAACACTCTATCTGACGTCGTTTTCACAGGTATCCAACTACAACCACCGCGCCCTCGATGACACTTTGAGCAGTATCCAGAGTTTGGCGTGGATTCGCGAAAATCTTCTGCTCCCGGCGGACGACGGACTCGCGGAATGGGAAGCGCAAAAGGAGTGGGAAAGGGAACAGTGGGAGGAGGAAGGTATGGTTGGTACACTAAGTGAGCTCTGTTTCAGTTTCTTGGGTAGTTGGGTTAATAGGGGTTCTCTTTCTTGCATGTTTTCAAACCTCCACGTAGATGAGCGAAATAAATGATAACGTAACTATTACAAACAGACGAAGAAGCCGAGGCGGAGGACGACGAGGGCTACACGCAGCGAATCCTGTCCGCGACAAACAGCCCAATACGGTTCCAGGCAGGAAACAGCAGTGCCTCAAACTACTACAACCCGGGAGGTAAAGCGGGTAGCTCCTACGGCGACCACGGCAAGAGTTCCAGCGGAAAAAAGGGTCAACAACATCATGGTGGCCCCGCAACTTGGTCAGGAGCAAGCAGCGGTACCTTTCATGGAAACTATGGCTCTAGTTCAAGCAAAGGTTCTTCAGCTGCGCCAGGTGGGAGCTACAACCAGCATTCGTTCTGGAGCAGCAAAGGCGGTGGCGGTGGTCAGAAAAGCTACGGGTCGTCGAAAGGAAGTTCGTGGAAGGGGTCAAAATCAAACTCGAATTCTCCCGTAAAGCGTCCCATACACGACAACCGCAACCGGTCGGCGAGTTTCGGGAATAACACAAGTTCATGGAACAACAACACTGAGCCCTGGTACGAGGACTATTTGTCGGACTGGAAGAATGACACTACACCCGGCAGTGGTGCTGCGCAGAACCAGCAACATTTTCGCACCTGGCCTCTCTCAGGTCCGAGTAGCGGTTCCTCAGGCAAGAATTCTGCAGGAGCTGCACCACCTTGGTCGCCAAATTGGACGGCTCCTGGTCGTGGCATGCAACAGAATCTTCAACACACGTCCGCATCCACCTCGAACAACAACTCTCCGATGCGCGGCGGCCGCCCACCACAAAATTTTCAGTACAGCGGCAATTGGGGACAGAAGAACAATGGCGGATCGCCACGAAGTAAAGGCAAGCCGAAAAGCGGAGGCGGCGGAGGCAAGATGTAGCAAACGATCGACCTGAGTAGGTTTCTGAACTGAAAACGATTGCTGCACCCGGTAAACCAGTGCTCCTGCCGGATGAAAACGAGGAAAACCAATGCAACGACAGGCCCGCCTAGAAGGTGCTTCTGGTGTGTCACGACCGGCAGCGTCGGCTCGAAGAACTGATTGATGAATCGATTTCAACACTGATCAAGTATCTACTTGTCGTCCTTCTAATATCTCGCGTCAATACAACCAAGAGTTGTACAGTATTCCAGGAGGCCCTAAGTGAATTGTAAGTGTAAGTAACGACATCACAATGTTCATGTTGACAATGTAAAGTTTATCTCGATGGCAGCAGCGGTGAGCCGTCTCAGTAAGTTCAGGATCTTGTGAACATATCAAGTGTGGTCGACGACACACATTTTCTCTTTCGACGAAGTTTGCGAAACGACAAAACATGATTGAGGTAGAATGAGAAATTGACAATGGCGCTTCCCCGGGCGCCACTCGAACCGTCACCCATTTTCCGTTGCGACACAGTCAGCACGCGAGCGGTTGACAACGCTCGGCGAGGGCAAAGCAATGTGGCTGCTAGTCCTAGTTCTTTATCTTTCAAGAAAGCGACAAAATATCTAAAATGAAAATCGAAATTTCAAAAAAAGAAAAATTCAATGGCGCCGACCATCGAGCAAGTACCAGATGATAGCTCATATATAAGCCTGGCCGCCGGGGGGAAGGGAGCACCACCAGTGCCTTTGTTAAGTACTCGCAATTTCGAAGCTGGTAGATTACTGACGCATGCTGTTCGTCATCTAAGTGACCACGGCCATCATCTAGTAGTAATAGAAGAGCAAGTTCTCGACGTCTATGCAGCGTCCGCGTCGAACTACAAATTATAAAGTATAACGGAAACGCAAACGCTTACCAAAGAGAGAATGTCTTCCAAGCTGTAGCTCATGATACTCGTACAGGGAACTTGTACTCGTGAGTGCAATATATATTTGGATCTCCTGGCGCCTCAGCAGCAGCTAGTTAGAGGTCGTGAACGAGCAACTGACAAGGGATGAGAGTAATGACAGACTTGGTACCTGGAACGTCGACGTGGTCGGGCTGTTACTAAGAGATGTTGACGAGGATAGACACGAGAACAAACCATTTTGTACCTATTGTCGTTCGGGTCTAGGTCTACTCGTCTGGGTCGTCGCCATAACGTCAGATGAGTGAAAGGGGCACGTTTTTTGTTCGTGCCGTTCATTGTGAATGTTCGCAGTTCTGGACCTGCTCCACTCGACACCACGTCCGTTTCTTTTCCGAATAATTGAAACTAGAACAACGCTCCGACCGAACCATTACGGGTAGCTGTAGACCTGTGAGTTTCTACTTTACAGCATCGTTTCCCAGTTGCAGTTGCTGCACACAGAACTACAAAAGATCATGCTGACGGTGCGGGATTTCCCGTCGCTGTCCAGCGGGATGCCGTGGCGAATTTACTGCATCTTGATGCTCACCTACGCGGTGGTGTTGTGCCTACAAAAAGCGGTTGCTCCGGTAGTCGGTGTTGGCAATTTGCGTGGGCCGTCTGAGAAGGACGTCTCCGCGGAAACCCCGTCGATCAACCGTCCCCTCCCCGCAGCGACAAGAACGTACGAAGAGAAGGACGAGCAGGATGATATTCATCTCATCTACTTCGATCTTAAAATGGAACTCTTGCTGGCGCAGAAGGGCAGCGATCCAGCGACGTTGCACAAAGAACTGGCGGGGTCTGGTTTCTTCAATACGCCGCAGGTGCCCCTGATGGTGTACATGTTGTTGAACGCGAAGAGCGGCGAGAGTTACGAGCTGCGCCCGGAAATGACCCTGATGGCGTACGAGACGGGCCTGCTCCAGGAATTTCTCCACCGCGACGCGGACCAGAATGGGCGACTGGACAAGGACGAGTGTCCGTTTCTTGCATCCACAGCAGGACTACTGTCACGACCGTCAAACCCAGACGGCGATGATGTCACCACCTTCGCGGCAACGTGCAGACAACATCACACGGCCTCGGGGTTCCTGCAAATCAACATCGATCGAGCGGGGGAGACGGAGTTGAGTAGCACTGCCACTGCGGGGACGAGCGGCGGGGGCGGGACGAGTCGTGACACAGTCCTCGAATCCGGTAAGTTCTACGAGAAGGCGCCAGCGTCTCTTATGGAGGAGCGATCATATTGGCGGTCGTGGTTGCCGTCGTGCTGTGGTGGCGACACGGCGGCGGCCGCCCGAGACCAAGCTGCCAGAGACCGGGCCCGAGACCTGCGGAGCGAATTGGGGTTGAGACCTAACGGAGAAAGGATGACTGACAGCGAAAGGGAGAAGGCGCAGGAAACTGCAGCCGCGGCCGGCAGGCGATATGACGGCCGGAGGCAGTCGCCGCGCATCAGTGACAAGGAGGCAAACATGTACACATCTACAGGATATAATTTCGGAGACCAAGACGAACCTGAACCCGAATCGGAGTCACCGGCATCAACGTATGCAGCAGACACAAGGAGGACCGATGTACTTAAATGAAAGAACACCGCTGAGGCTGACAGATTTTTTTTTTTGGATGCTAACAGGTGGATGGCTCTGTCAATCCATTAAACCACACGCAAAGTGGTTCTGGACGAGTTGACGACTGCAATTAGTGGCGAACTCCGCCTCCGTTGAGTATCGGCATCGCAACAACATAAAATTTGAATTTCGTAAAATAATTGCTCAACACCACACTCTCACTCAACACAGGAGCTCCCATTTTGGTTGAATGAGCACAAATCGTATTGGGAAGAGCACCAGGAGGAGGCTACACTTGCCCAGCGGCTTGCAACCAGAACGGGCCAGCCAACACAAGCTCGACGAAGCAGAGAAAAAAGTAACTAAAAACAAGGTGATATCAAACCGGAATCAGCTTGAACAGAAACAGTTTTTGTTGATATCTTCATGAGTGCTGAAATTTCGTCGTCAACATCGATCAGTATCTATGAAAGACAAAAGCTAGTAGACAAAACCTCAGCGTCGCTGAAGCTTTGTCTACCTCTACTGCGGAACAGCCAACCTGCATAAGCCCTCACCCTACAATCAAGGGGCAACAATAACATTTAACGAGTGTTCTTGATGTTTTCGACGTAATTTGGAACTGATAACATCACTTGGATACATATTGATTTATACATAGTTTTTTTCCAGCGGTAGGACGACCCGAGGAAATTTTCTTTTTCGCTTTCAGTTTCAGCCAGGCGCCATCTCAACGAACAGACATCAAGATTTCCTTCTCGTCCACGTCGCAGTCGACCCTGATCCTCGACAAAGCTGTATGATCTTTTTTACCTTCATCACCAGGACCTCCTACATAAAGCTGCTTAAAATTTGAATTTCGTCTGCAACGGACATGATTGTTACTCTTTTTTCACGTCTTACTCTTATGTTCGGAATAGGATTTATAATAAGCATATATAAAGATACATGTTGATCTACACGCAAAAATTTAGCACATTCTTAGTGTCTGTCCTGTGATGTTCGTTCTTCGAGTTGCCGATAACGCTGTATGCTTTTACTCTTTCAGTGGTTTCTCCCTGAACAAATCAATCCCAAAAGATGATTGGCGTCCTTCTTGGCATTTCGGAGTTGGACGACCCGCGGAAGCGGGCCGAGCAGATCCTCCGCTTCGACAAAACCCGGCTGAAAAAGCAGATTCTGCAGACAAAAACCGTCATCGTCCACATGGACCTGGACTGTTTCTACGTCGCTGTTGAACGGCGTTTGAATCCCATGCTCCGCGGCAAGCCGGTGGGCCTGTGTCAGTGGTCCCAGCAGCACGCGAGCTTTCACAACTTGCACTACACGCAGGACCGCCTGATTGACACATTCGGGGCAAGTACCGGAGGTGGTCCTAAAGGCGGGGGGAAAGGAGGCCCGGGTGGACACAACGCGGGGATCATTGCTCTGTCGTATGAAGCCAAGGCGGCCGGTGTGAAGCGCGGCATGTTCCTGCAGGATGCGCTCCGGGTTTGCCCGGATATGCTTTTTGTCGGGATTCCGACCAAATTTGGCAAAGCGGACACCAGCTTCTACAAGGACGCCGGCAGCGAGGTGATGGGCGTGCTCGGGGAGTACGGGGGGACGGAACGAGTTTCCATTGACGAAGCGTATTTGGACGTCACAGCAAGATCCGCCGAGGGCTTCGACGAGTGGGTGAAGCGGACGTCGGGGGACATTTTGGCCAGCGACGCGGCGGATAGGGCGGAGGCAAATGCAACTGAAATTGTTGGGGAGCCGGTTGAGGCCAGCAAAGTGAAAGATGAAGCTCGTCTTGAATTGGGTGCTGGTACTACTAGTACAACTGGTGCATCAACAGCATCGCGTTCCTCTTGGCACTCTAGACGCGACCACATAGCTGCGCTGCGAGAGGAGCTGCGGCGCGACTTTGAGGCGTTCTGCGAGCTGTGTCTAACGGAAGATCGACTTGCGGTGCACGGCGTTCCGTTTTTCTCCGACTTGAAATACAGCAAGGAGGCGCGCCAGGCCGCGCCAGGGCTTCTGCTGCTAAAAGATAACAAGATTGGGGATTTACACAAGGCTGGTGCTGCAGGTGGGCGACAAATTGGCGCATCTTTGGCGGCGACCGCTGCATCAAGCACGAACACGAAGGAAGAGCAATGCGAAGTCAAGGTATCTACAACTACATTCGAGGCAGCTGATCTGAAAGCTGCCAGCCCGCGTTTGAAAAAAGTCAAGATAGATGCGGAAAAAGTAGTGCCCGACGTCAAGAAACAAGCTGCAGACGACAGCGACGATGACCTAATCATGTTCGACGAGCAGGGCAAGCGTGTGGACATCGAATCTATGACAGCAGTTGGTAAAATAAAGTCGTCCGGAGTTCCACCGCCATCCAACCCGAAACTTGCGAAAACTGAAGCGCAAACGGATACGACTCACAAGAACGCGAGTAGATCTAATGGTGCGCCGAAACCGGCGCAGCAAAAGAGTTCGCCGCTCCCCGCAGATCAGGACCAAGCTTTTTTCGAGGAGCTTTTCGAGTTCTACAAACTGGTGAACAGCATGCGCATCTGCTTCGAGATTCAGGAGCGGGTGAAGAAACAACTCCAGCTGTCCTGCTCGCTGGGCGTCGCCAATACCAAGTGCGTGTCGAAGATTGCGAGCGGCAAGCACAAGCCCTACAAGCTCTCCCTCGTGTTCCCCCTCGGTACGCCGGAGTTCCTGAACCCCCTGCCGATCAAAGATCTTCGCGGGTACGGCCAGAAGTTGGGCAAGGAGATCTGCCAGAAGCTCAGCGTCGCGACCGTCGGGGAGGTGTTCGCTAAGAAGATGCGAGTGCTGGACGAGAAGCTGACCCACAAGGTCGCGCAGGAGCTGGGCGACGCCTGTCACGGGATCGACGATAACCCGGTCTGCGCACGGCTGCTGTCGAAGATCGTGGGGACGAGCAAGCGGTGGCACACGCCACAGTACCTATGAAATGCAAATATGTCCTCTGGGTCTGGAAGATTCTTACTTTTTTCATGCATGTCTGACATGACTCGAGAATCTGTGATGCATGGGCAGGAAAGGACTCTCCTTTCTGTCATGCAAAAACGCAGTTTCTCATGCGGAATACGCAACACATAGCAACTCAAAAATTTGTCATGCTGGGCTGCGTATTGCAGTCCGGCTATCATCCACTTTTTGCATCAGATGTTTCCAGACCCAGACATTTTTGTATTTGATAGTACCTGGTGGACAGCAACTTACGAGGCTGGATGGACACACTGCTGGCGGATTTCGTGGAAAAGGTCGCGAAGGAGAAAACAAACCACAAGCGCAAGCCCCTGCAGGCCGTGGTTTCCTGGAAGAACGTGGCCGGGAACGACGTATCGAAGACGATTGCCGTCGAAAAGCTGACGAAAGAGTTTCTGTTGTCTGATCTGCTGAAGGGCAGGGACCCGATTCTCAACCTCGGGTTCACGGCGCAGCGCTGGGTCTGTCTCGAAACCGGGGAAGCGTTTAAAGAGGAAGGAGGCCCTGCTGGAGGCCCGTCGGCGCACGACGAAAGTCTCTTTGTCGAGCGCAAGTGCCCAAGAATTGGCAGTCTTTTGAACAACCACGGTTTCAAGACTCGCACAACGAGCTGTTGAGTCAAGTGATCAGGACGAATGTTTGAGAACAGCCGTTGAGCTACAGATGAAGCTCTTTATTTTGTCCATTCCTTTGTCCCATTTCAAAGACGAGACACGATCATCCCCGTGGAGTGCAAGCTCACGATCAACGCAAGATGCGCCATCAAGTTGAGTTTTAAAACACAAGGAGCATTAAGTGACCGCCGCTCGCAAGGAAGGGCGAGGGTTGTAGGTGACGAAGGGACGCTGTGTCTCCTCCTCAGCTTGTTCTGGGAGAAGTGGTAGATCCAACAGGTTGTAGCTGTGTTATTTTGACGTAAGCGGCTGGTGCTCCGGGGCACACGGTGTGCCCGCACCCCCAGAGAATAACGAAACTCGTGTTGTTGATTGTAAAGATCACCGCGGCGAAGAAGTGTGTTTTGATCATGCCTTTTCCCTCTGGCTCTCACTCACACTGAGATGAGTATGGTTTTGGTTCATCCTGTTATCAGAATCACATCTTCAATGGCGCTCAATTTTGATGGTGGATTTTTCCCCAACGCGTGAATGCCATACCAACAAATGATCGAAAAAATTGTTGGTGCAGGAATGCTGGTGCTATTATACTTCTAGTTCCATTATATCTGAATGGATGCTTTTTATTATTTTCTAGCTACACGTATAAGAAATAGAAAATTCACCCTTGTAGTTTTGACAACTAGGTCTGGACGAAGAATTGAGACAAAATCCTAAGCACGTCCAGAAGTAAAACGCCGTTGTTTTTATTGTTCCACACTTGCGCAATTGTTTTCATTGTTCCAGCACGCTGCTGTTAAATCGCAACTGTTTCCATTGTTCCACCACCACTACCACCACCAGAATGTCATCAAACCCCCCTGATGAACATGCTCCGCGCTCCACGGACGGGGCAAACGCTTCGCCCGTAGGTAGAAGTAGTCGTGCGCCGGATGATGTCGCACAACACTCGTTGCCAACTTTGCTAGAAAAAGAGGAGCCAGCCGCGGCGAAAGGATCTGCGACCGGTATGGCCGCGCAGAGGAAGATTTCCGGCACTTTGGAAATCGCACTAGAAGGTAACGACTGCAACCACTTCTCGGCGGCTACCATTACGGGCGGTTGGTTGGAGGCGACCGATGGTACTCGTTTTGCTCTTTCGCCCGGTGGGAAAATTTCGTCTGTGATCGTGCCGTCTGAAAACGACAAGACGACTCGTGTAGTCGGTCTGGCCACGAGCCAGAAGGAAAAAGAGAACGAACCCGAGCCCACCCCACCAGAGATCATAGCGAGTGTGAACGAGAACAAACTCCTCCTGGGCGACGAAAACAAGAACTTCTACCCGGACGAGGATGAGGACAAGAAGAAGGATCACGAGAAAAAGAACAGCCGGGAGTTGGAGGGCCTGTTATTCGAAGACTTCGACGGGCTGAGCTCAATCGGGAAGAATTCCCCCGGAGATTGTGAGTTGGAGCTGGATGGGGCGCCAGAATTCGAGGAAAGCGAAAAGGTGGAAGAGAACAACAAGGTCAAGGAAATGCATACAGTGCGCGACGAGGCGAAGACGAAGCAGATGAACGACCGGCACCAGAAGACCCCGGCCGCGGAGGTTGGAGCACAGGGAGCGGCCGAGTTGCTACCCTTCCCGAAGAAGCGCGATTTTTTCGCCGGCGAACTGTTAGGGCAGCGCCTGCCCGACCCGACGTTCGCGGCGATCGACTTCCACGCAAATCCGCCATCTCCGCCGGACACGCGCGAGCGGAGCTGCTTCGATCAGAAGGCCGAAGACGAAAGAGAGGACATCTTCCGGGCGGTCTGCAACGCGGTCGAGCGGCGCAACGGAATGGGTATGGACCCACGGCAGGGCCTCGGCCCACTGCGCGAGCGGTCAGCGAGCGCAGTGATCACGGGGCGCGATGCGTACACACGGACGGAGTGGGATATCCTTTGCCAAGATGCCGCGCGCTCTTCTTCTTGTTCTTTTCTTTCGAAGCGCAGTCAGGTGGTCACGATGGAAAAACAAAAAGCGCAACGATCGAGCCGCAAGAAATGAAGTGCAAAACTTGCAACGCTCGCTGTTAGAAACCACAAAAATAAACTGCGTGGCCAAATCTGAAACGAAAACAAAGAATCACTTTTGAAGAACGAGCAGAAGTGCGCGCGGGTGTTTTTGCACCTCATACAGAAAGATGGACTGCTTTACGAATGGCTGGAGGATTATCCACAAAAAAAAAGCCATCCCCATCCAAACTGTAGACTATGTTGCTTTTTGTGCATGTTTCGCGCCACTACTAGTGGTGCGAAACATGCACAGAGTCCAGGAACTTGCCATGCAAAAAACTCTTTGATGGGCATGGCTCTTTTCTTCTGGATAAGTGTCAGAAAAAAAAGCCGAAGGGCGGCTATTCCCGCCCGAGAGTCCCAAAGTGCTTCAGTCCGTTCATAAGCAAGTTCGGCGATGAGTACGTATCTAGTGCAAAGGTATCGCACTCGTAGCAATTGCAGTTTGTTATGAACAACGACAAGCGTTTTTTGTTTTTCTAAGGTCAATCAGCACAACAAGTACAAATTTGAAATTTCATTTTTCATGCAGAGAAAAAAACTGTCATGCAATTCATAAAACTCGCGCGATGCTTTTGCAATTCATAGAACTTCGACTTGGATGACTCGGAGGATTTATTGCACCTACAGTCCGAGAACGACTCAGAGCATTCGCAGCTGGATTTGGCCGACAAGAACAGGTATTGTGTTAAATTTCGCATGCAGAAGCTGTTGTAGTTGAAGATAGAAACTAAGCGCAAACTAACCGTCGATGTGTATTGACAATCATGCTTGAGGGACATCCTCAACACTTATACAGGTGTATCAAAACCTGCTCAATATGGTCGCGTGGTGAAGCGGAAAGTGATACTTTAGCACACAATACCTCCGGGGGCATCATGGCAGGTGGTGCGAGTGTCCATGCGGAAATGAAGAAGGCTCGTGTACCGGGATCCGAGTTTGCCTTTTCGTCCAAGGACATCTTCACTGACCAGCAAAATGGAAATACAACCACGGAGACAAAAGCTAAAATATCGCCCTCTTCCCTGCGCCACAACATTCTGCCGAGCGTTGAGGTTGACACGGGTGATCTTGAGATGGAGGACAAGTTTTCTACCAACTCGACGCGCGGCCACCGAAATAACCCGATCAACGCTGCCTCATCTTCATCTACCTCCACTTCTACTGCGGTAAATTTCCTGAACAAAAAAGCAACGCCAGCTGCTGGTGCGGATTCCGACCCTTCTTCTTCCGTGGACGACAGTTGGCTCGACGAGAATGGGGAGAAGATGTCTGTGGCGGCGTACTGGTACAAACGAAGTTCGAAGAAGGTGGCAGCCCGCGCACAGGCAAAATTGGCGCAAAAGAAATCGGGTAGCGGCGAGGACAATGAGAAGAGCGAGCTGGTGGAGGATCAGAAAGTCGAGGAGGACAGCGAGTGCGAGGAAGAGGAGGAAAACGACGGTGGAAGCAAGATCGAGAACTGCTCTGGCGAGGAGAAAGGCGAGGATCAAGACTCTGATTTATAGATGGGCTCCTGGAAAATTTTATGCAAAAATACTTTCACTTCTCCCTCAACGTCGACACCGTCGAAAAAGGCATGGACATCATACGGAAGCCTTTGCTTTTGCAAATTAAAGGAAACGCATGAGCAATCGAAGATACGACAGCAGCGACATCGGTAACCTAAATACAAATAGGAAGAGGCATGCTCTGGACACAAAATTACTTGTATTTTTACAGCATTGTCATGAGCGTGATGGTGATGCTTCCAGCGAGCTGTAGGTTGCACTGAAAAAAAAGGGTTGAAACAGTAGATGGAGATGCAGAAATAGTCTGCATTGATGCAAGTCGCGCGTCGATGGGTGTCCGCGTGCTCGAGCGAGAAAAAGTTTTTCCATTCGATCTGCTCTTTTTAGGGTTTCGGAATTTTCAAGAGAGCCCGGGAACCGGACGACGAGGACATCAACGCATACAACCTAAACCTATTCGAGTGCTTCACTAATAAACCAACTGGGATTTCTTACAGATGAGAACCATTGATGTGCTTACGTTTAGCGTGAAGATGAACAAATGAAATCACACCGCCATCCAATGTGAACATAGATGAAGAGAAGGCTACGACGGTTCTCATAATATGGGTTTTCGGTTGGCGGGTTCATCAACTTTATAAGAAATAGAAATAAAAACATGCGAGGATGCTAGTACTTGGCGAAATAATATTAATAGGAAATTGTCGGAATTGAAACTCCTGCATTTGCTACACTGCTGACTCAAGGTTGCGCAAATAGAAATACGCAGCAAGAAGTGATGTAGTTTCTAATCGATTTACGACGAGTGGTTTATTGTTCCTTTTTCTTCGATGAAAGCGAGCGACATGATTTTATTCGACGGTGCTAACCAAGTCGAAAATATAAAGTGCGGCAGTAGATCATAACAACGCAAATTTAGGCACTTAATTTTTGGAAATAAGATAGAGACTACGACTACAGTTGTTGAGCAAGTTTCTTTTCTAGACGGCCTAGGACTTCGACTTCATCTGTGTGGAAGCGGACTTCATATTGCGGAGTCTTCCACCAGTCTCAGCTGGAAAAAATTGCTACATTACAAGGTACAGTCCGGGTGTGTGAGTATGTGTATGAAAATATGCGAAACTCATTTTTTTAATTATTTTTTTAGCGACTCATAGGATTGCGGCTGCGGTGAACACGTGACGTTGTCACAAATTTCAAACATTTGCATCGAACGAACGTGTTGTGGCCTTTTGATGGGAGGCCATGCTCTACCTCTTTTTTTGTTCCTTTCATCACTAGGCTTCGGCGTGATCTAGCTGCACATATGGCTGTGGCTCATGTTTTGATTTATTTTGGCAGCACTACCGAAACGAAATCGCAAAGGAAAGACGGGAGATGCTCACTCCGTCTGCACATCACGATTTACTCTTTCTAAACGTGGTTTTTTTCAGCTTGTTGGAGTTGTTCTTGTCTCCTCCTCCTGGAACTGAAGAAAGGATTATTTCACTAATAGGTAGTGTCCTACTTGATGAAGATGTTGTCTAACAGACACACACGACATTTCAAATGAAGTAAGGCAATTGAACTTTGCTGGGGGTACTACTATATGAAAAAGCTTCGGCTTGTTGATCATGAAACGCAAAGAATTACAAGAACGAAGAACGGAGACTGGTGTAGGAGGTGCTGACTCTCGAGCCTAGAGAGACTACGACAGGCTTTCGAACCACCAGGGAGGAACCTGCTCGGACATGCCTAGTCCTAGCAGCCAAAGAAATGGCAATGCGTGATGTTCTTCAACGGCTCGTTGACTCGTCAAACGCTCACACCAAGGAGCCGCCCGTGTAGTAAGTTAGTGCACTTGTTGGAAAAATTGCAGCACGACCACGACGACAAGAAGTGCTCAACAGCTAAGTTGTAGCTACCTGGCTGTACCTGGACTGCACCAGCGCCAATTTCTGGCGCGACTGGAAGAGAAGAATGGTGAGAGCAAAATGGCAATGGGTAGGGAGCTGCACCACAAAAGTGCTGCAAGCCGCTAAAGTAAGTTCTTGTCAGTGATAAAAGAGTAGTAAGGAGTTGGAGCCGCGAGTGTAGGTGTACTAAGACTGACCCTAGCACTAGCAGACTACGCATAAAACATTTTTCAAATCTTCAGTCGTTTTCTTTCGGAGGGACAATCACAAACTGGATCGTTTATCCGGTTCTGCTTCTGTCATCGAGATGAAGAAAAACAATAACGCGTGACAATGTAGTTCCTTCGACGAGATCGCTCATCGTTGTCCTGCTTCTTCGAAGGCGAAGTCCGAAGGTGAAGCAGCGTTGCAGTGTGTTGTGCGGCAGCAAGAACTCCAACTGCGACATTCGTTCTTGTTGAGCAGAATTCATCTACATCTCCAGTAGTTGGAGACACGCTTGCCACGCACTAATATCGACGCAAGACCACAACACAACTTCTTCGTGGGTGCATTTACTACTTATTTTCTCCGGCTCTGACCAGGTCTGACTTCTTGTGCCGGCTTCATCATGCCACCGTCTCTTCCCCGTCCTGGTCGTCTTGAGGAGCAGAACGACTTTGCTGGAGATCCGCACTGCTCCACCACAAAAATTATCGTTCCAGTGAATTTCACGGGCACTACAACGTCCGTGCTGGGAACGGTAGGCGAAACGACCGGAGAAGAAGTAGTTGCGACCACACCGCAAGATGATGAACCTCGCGTTTTCACAATCAAGACCGGTTCTCTGAAGACACTTGGTGGCGGTTCCATAAGTGTGGTCGGCGGAACGATAAATGTGACGAATATTCCTACGGCTCCTGCGAGCCTGGTCCCGGCGAGCGTTGATACGGCGAAAGACGCGGGTGCAGAAAAGGTGATCCCGAGTGCGGCTATGGGGGAGTTGGCCGCGACGGCCGCGAGCGAAAATCGCGAAACGCTTGAGAGGCTGAATCTTAACAAGGTCTGTTCCAAGGCACCAGAGGTACAAGTGGATACAATTATTTCACAGGATTTCGTGTGAGGAGTCAGTGTCTTGCTCTTGACTCTAGGTGATGGACTGTCGATTCTTGATGCTGGGCTGTCAACGACGATGCCGTGCTTTTCACGACACTCCTGAACGCTGGTGAGTGCCAGTTTTTCGTATTCATTGAATCAATCTCATTGTAGTATGTAAGGTAGCTTGTTCCACCGAAGAACGTGACCATGAACACATGCAAACTCAGGAGCTCCTGTTGGTCCCGGACAAGGAACCTGCTAATATGGCTACCAGTTTAATCTCGCCGAAGCAGGCCCGCAAGGAGGACGCAAAGGCTGCACTGAAAGAAATAGAAAGTGAAGATGACCAAGAACCAGGGCAGCACCTGTACCAGACGAGGGAAGAACGAAAGGGTGAACTCTTGTTGCTCGTGGACGATACCGACGCAAACACTTTCACTTCGTCTTTGAATGCAGCATCGACGTCGCACCACCAGCTCCGAGTACAAGATCAAGGCGAGAAAGTAGAGGGCGAGCCAGTAGAAGAAGCACCATCTCCATCGTCTGCCGCCGTCGACCTCGATGTGAGCGTGAGCATGTCCGCGAAGAACGAGCTGTACAATTTTTTGAAAACCTGTGCAGCCGATAGGAAACCTGACATCTCCGACGGCGATATTCATGCCGCATCTTCATCTACTGCAAAATCTAGAAACGAAAGCGCTGCCGGCCCGGCCGAGCAGCACGCCACCGGCGCCGCAGTGGAAAGCGACAGAATGGAAACTAACGCACTTGATGCAGAGGATGAGGCAGAAAATGAAGACGATCCTGAGCTGTATCACACAAAAAAATGTCTAGCGTGCAAGCATATTATTAATATTATCTTCAGTGTGCATTATTTACAATGCAAAAATAAAGGTAAGCTTAAACACACAGTCTCCGTCACAGAGTCCATGCATAGCTGAAACAGGCTGCTACGGCGAGCGAGCTCCTGGAGACAACGAGATCTCTTTGTCTACTTATTCTTCACCGCTCATCTATGCAAGTTAAAAAGCCCAAAGCTTAAACTGCACGAGCGCTTTTCTGTGTGATAATGTCCTGAAACAGTTGCAAGAGATGGACGCACTTCTCCCGGACAATATTTTCGACGAGAATGGAGACGAGGACGACGCGGAAGCAGCTGCGCATTATGTATACGCATTTTACGGTTTACGCACTGCAAAAACGTCGAGGTCTGGAAGAGTGGTCCGGAAATTTGTCATGCATTTTGATTTTTTGACCACTAAAACGGGCGGTGTTTCTCCAGACCTTGGTGGTGACCGGTTGAGACACCGATCGCCAGCTACTTACAAGCAGCAACATAGATAGTTCGTTAAACAGTCACTCGCTCGCCTGAAGAAGCGAACACACGATTGATTTTTTGGACAACGCAATCTTCTGGGCTCTGTTTGAAATTTATGCGGAGGGGGCTATCATGACTGACAAGTTGTACGTTTGCACGTGTCAAGAATGGGCCCCCGGAACAATTACTGGCTTGCCGGGCAGTCAATTTAACTTTACGCATCATATTAAGTTTGCAGCACGTTTCCAGACCCAGGCATGTTGGCAATGCATACGCGGCGGCCGCATTCTTGGATCCTTCCTCGCCGGTCGATCTCAAGGCTGGTGCACATATTCCGGTAGAAGAGGGGATGGACGATGAACACGATATCAAGAAATTGAACGACGCTGATGGTGATGTCCAGCATGAAGTAGAAAGCGATGTGCTAGGTGCGATGGAGCGGACGGAAACGGAGACCATGGGAAAGCAAGCTGAACAAGATGAAGGGACAAGCAAAACCAATGCCAAACGCCCGCGATCCCGATCGCGATCCAAACAAAACGAAAACCAAAAAGGAGGTAAGCCCATGGCCATGTGAATGCGGCTCAACTTTTTTTCAACGTGAATGTTTCTAGTTGCTCTTGCGACGTAGACTTTATGAGTGCGCATGTAAATGTTGGTGTTGGGTACCTAAATAGATGTACTAACACCGCTGTTGTTTATTTTGCGACAGATGAGGACGGTAAGCTTCACCTTTTCCTTTCTAAACCAAAAACCAACAATACCAAACCAATAATTATCTTGCACTGATGAAGGAGAAATAAAATCTCCAGATGAAGTTCCTGTGACTGACTCTTTGCTTCTGCTCACCGCTCGCGAGAACGAAGACGTGGACACCTTCATGACGGAAGATGTTGACGCAGATGCACACCAACATGAGCCTGCGACAAAGAGCCAGAAAAAGGCTGTGGAGGAGGTGGACAAGGTCAAGGATAGGGAGTTCGAACGTAGTCACGAGAGCAACAGAGCTTCCTTCTACCCCTTGCTGCGCGCGACCTTTTTCAGAGGACCCAGACTGCGTCTGGAGCGGATCGAGGCAAGGACGCATCTCGTGAACTACACGGCGGCGGGAAAGTACAAGACGTCGGAATGGCTCGGGCAGAAGATCAAGGACGAGCTTCGCTTTACCTGCGCGGAGCTCAGCGCCGAAAAGCAGTTAACGGCGGGCGTCCCGCAGTTTTTTGTCACCGGGGAAATGGCTTTGATCGACAAGATCGTAGAAGAAGCAAACGAGCAAATCTTCCAAAAGGCAGTGGCCGCATTGGAAGTGATACCCAGTGCAAAAGCATCGCACTCGTTCAAGAGGTCGCTGTGGTCCTATCGTATAGTTACTAATTGCGGCGAACTTCCTTGGAAATTAATGAGTAAGAGAGCACAAGTTTGCGTGTTGACGTCACAGATTGCGAAATAAGTAGTAGCTGGTGACAAGTTAGCATGAGCAGGCATCGGGCATGCGTACGATTGACTATCTTCAATTCCTACGAGTGCGATGGATAGTTTTGCACTGGATAAAACGTCACAAGCAAGAACATCACAGCTGCAGGATTGCCGGAAGAAAAGCAACAGGAGGAACTGGCAAGTTTCTTCTCTGCGATACCGATCACCAAAGCACCAAATAAGAGCAAAGGGAACTCTCACTCTGCAAACTACGATTTCGAGTACGGCACCTACCTGATCGCGGCTTTCCAGCAGGATCGTCGCGATCACGAATCGGGAAGTACTGCGGTCGGAGATTCATCACAGGAGGTCGAGTTTCTTTCGGACAACTTCCAATCTGCATTCGACGGCGGTCGCCTGGCCGCAAAGATAAACGCAGCTGAAATATGCGATGTAAAAGCCCGTGCCGGTGCCCCCCTTCACCATGGATTTGCATATGTTTCATCTAACAATAACAAACTCGTTCTAAATTTGCGAATGTGCAACGTATCAATCACTTGCTTCCCGTGTAGTTATCGTGCTCGTGGTTGATGGCCTTGGTCACATGGTAAAGGAAATGTGATTGTGGCTCCCGCCGAGGCAGGTTTTCATTGCACACGAATCTGCGAAGAACGATGCTGGAGAAAAAATAACCAACCCGGTGAATAAACAGAACAGCATACCAAAAAAAATTCTGCGCGTTCCCACTCCCATGAAGAAGATGAAGATACAAGGCAAGTCCAGTGCTAGTTCTTCTTCGACGTGTAACACTAGCAGGAACAGCTCCTCGTCGTCGGCGACGTCTAAGAAAGCCGACAAGATGAAGAAAAGCAAAACCAATCAAGCCAAGGCTTCATCCGCAGCTAGCAAGAAAACTGCCGCTGTCTTTGGACTGAAGAGCAACGACGCCGATTTGAGTGAGAAAGTGACGAACACCACGGCCACCGCCGTATCTGGGCAGGGCTCGTCGTCCTTGTTGATCAACAAGAATCCGACTTCTACTGACACCAACGCCACTACCCTGAAAGGACTAGAAGTTTCTGGACATGAGAAGAACACATCGACATCCGAAGGTGCAGCTGGTGTCCTCGCAGGAGAACAGGGAGGACAAGAGCGTGAAGGACTGGCTGCTGGTCAAGGTAAACCAGAAGCTTTGAGGTTTTACCCCTCGATCCCAATGAAAATCATTAAGGCCAAAATGGGGCGCGGACGGCCGAAGAAGACTGATATTGCTGGCGCAGCTGCAACATCTTCTACTAGTTCTAGCTCCAAGACAACACTAAAGCCGGCTTCCAAGTCTTCATCGTCCTCAGCAAATAACTCCAAGAGCGCGCCGATGGGTGTGCAGCAGGGAGGGGAGGTGGAAATAAAATCAGGAGGCGCTACGTCTTCTTCTGGCTCCGGCTCCGGGTCCAGCAGCAGGAAGGTTGTCACGTCTAGTACGGTTTTCGAGGATCAACAAAAATCCGGTTCCTCGTGGTCTTCAAGTGCTGCGTCCTCCTCCTTCGACGCGAGAGTGGCCAAGGTTGCTGCAGCATCTTCCACCGGTTGTACCGGTAAACATTACAACTCGAATAAGGACAGTTGTTCCACCAGTTGGATGAAGAAGTAGAACACTTCTTCATCCAACTGGTGGTCGAAGGCTTTTTTCTTGCTTCTCGCATTTATGTAAAAAAAACTAAGTCATTTGAATCTCATTGATTCCAATGCTTTCTGCAAAGAAATCGAGCAGGCTATTCTTCCTGCGTACATATCATAGTTGCAGATGATGAATAGAGGGCAGTTTCTTTTTTTATATTTTTTGGTCAGCTGCAAGAGCGGCTAACCTCAACAAGTGCAGACCATGCCCATGCACAGCTGGTTGTGCAATTTTTCATATTACAGTGAAAAGTGCCCCCACCCCTCAAATTGCAAAAATTTGTGATGCGAAGTTTCCAAATGAAACCTTTTTGTCATGCATGAAAGGAGTATAAATCTTTCTGATGCAGAGTCTAGGCGTGTATCGCATCGCTTGCATGACAAGCGCCGCTCTTGCTGGGGTCTTTTGCAATACAAATTTTCGCTATTCACGATTGGAAATCTGTGATGCTGATAGGTGCAAGAGGGCGAATGTTTCATTTGGAAAGGTTTGCAATACAAATGCTTTCAAGTTCGGGGGTGGGGGCATTTTTCATTCTGATATTTCCAGATTTTTCACTAGAAGAAATTAATGAATCAAGGGGCGCAAAAGTCGCTCACGGAAAGAAATCAATACTGTTAGGCTTAGAATCGTAATGCCCAGGGTAAAATAATGGAATTCAAGTGTGTTTATGTTTTAGTTTTTTTTCCAAGAAAAAATACTCAGCAGCAGCAACAATATAGCATGGCCATACGAACACGAACATCAAAGAAACAGCAGTCACTCATATTTTTTTTTGATGGATGTTGGTGTTGCATGGATAGTGGCACAGTATGTCAAAATTGAAACTCACACTCAAATTATATTTTTTTTTGCCGCAGAAGATTGCGACTACATTTAACATGTTGCTGCAGAGTCGGAGGCTTTTGAAAGATACTACATGTTGACTTTGTCACACACACGCATGATTGCGAAACGACAAGCGATCGAAAAGACGAGAAACCCAAATTTGTACTTCATTCTCAAACTCAACATTCAACAACGTCAACGCTGTGAACAATCACAAAGAAAAACGCGGGAAGTTGGTGTGTATCGTCGTCATCGTCCTGCAGCATTCTTTGTTCACGCTTTCGGATTTAACCTCAAAAAGAAAAAGTTTCATCGCACCCTAAGCCCTAAACCTTGACGACAGTGCTCGCTCAGGATCGATGAAGCAGAACCAAAGCGAAGATCAACTCTTTTGATTCAGGCTTGTCGACCATTGAGTAAATTTAAGGTGTCGAAAGTCTCTCTCTTTTGCGCTGATCTTGATCACCATGCGTAATACAACCTGAATTTATCTGTTGAGTGCGGAGTTGAGAGGATATGAATATTTTGTTTGAGGTGATTGCCGATGCCGGTCAGGGTCAGCTATATTCTTCCATTGTAGCCAGATGAACGTGATTACTAGGCATTTCCCTCTGAGAGCAGTAGTAGTGCAAGTGCGTATACTTCGTAAGCAACTAGATAGCCGGCATTGGTATTGATATTGTTCCTTTCGCATATGAAATAATTCACCGCGTCCTAATTCAGTCGCATATGAAATAAATTCAAAAACATAAAAGTAGTTCGACTACGATTAGCCAGAAAAAAATCGACTTCAGTACCACTACCATGCCCATGACTCGCTAACCCCGCCCTCATATTTTTCTTATGACACAAGTGGGCACCAGCTCCTCGCTCGCTTTGCCCACGAAAAAAAGCCAGAGTAACCTCCTGTTCGACGCCACGGCCGGCACGACGAGTGGCGCGCCAGCGCCTGCAAGAGGAAGCAACAAAAATAAAGTAGCCCTCCAAAGCTACACAACGAAACAAGACTCCGGAGCAGGCGGACCTCCTCCCCCCGCGGCTCGCATTCTAGATTACAAGGTCGACGAAGTAGAGCTCCGCGACGTTTTTATCTCGCACATTGCCCACTCTTTCCAAATGGAGGACGAGGAGGAAGAGGTGACGCCACTGACCAAGGAGGAAATCCTCTCCGATGGTCTCTACGGGCGGTGGGTTATGCGTCGCTTCACCGACGGAAACTGTTTCGAGGGTCGGGTCTGCTCGATCGACATCACGAACACGGGGAAAAAGTACTACTGCGTCCAGTACCGCGACGGGGATCTGGAGCATTTGGAGAGACACGAAGTGCTTCAGTATTTGAATGAGGAGAAAGAAATTCCCGAGAAACCGAAACCCAAGCAGGCGTCGACGAAACCCAAGCAGGCGGCACCAGTAGCTGCAGCTGCAGGAGGAGCTTCATCTAAAACTACTACAGCGATGAAACCTACCAAAAGCGGGGGCGGAGCGGCAAAGAAAGCAGCCGACGATCTGGATCTGGAGCTCGATATTGAGGACGAGGACCCGATCGAGGATGAAGAAGATGATCTTCTTGCGGATGACAATCCGCCACCTGCTGCTGCACCTCCTGCGGAAACAAGGAAACGACTCAACAAGACGACGAACGACCACGAAGTAGGCAACATAAACATTGCGCAATCAATGAAGAAACAGCCAGCACATCAGCCAGCTTCTGTGCCAGATGCAAATGCGAAGCCAGCAGGACCAAAATCCTCTCCCGCCGCGAAGCCGAAAGCCGGGCGTGGTGGTAACAAAAAGTCCGCGTCCGCCAAACCGTCTCCCGCGGCAAAACCGAAAGCTTCTCCAACTGCTAAACCGAAGGCTTCTCCCGCGGCAAAACCGAAAGCAGCTCCGGCAGCGAAGGCGAAGTCATCGAAGGCAGCTGGCGAAGGTGTGGCGAAAGCTAAGCCGAAGGCGAAGTCCGCAGCTGCCAGCATGAAGAAAAACGGTGCCGCCGCGGCACCTGCGCCCAAAGCAAAGGCAAAGGCCAAAGCGACCGCAATGAAAGCGACAAAAAAAAGTAAGTAAAAAAGTGAAGCAAGTACCACGTATAGTAGAAGAATGACAATGACGCTTATTTTCTCTGACTAGAAGATCATCTTGATCTTTTGTTTTCGAAAGAGGACTGTAAAGTCACTGCGGAACAAGCGTTGGATTGAGCATTCACGTGCTGTAGCCGGTGGCGCATGGCCACACTTCTCCAGCTGCTGGTCTATTTCGCCTCGTTATCGCTGTCGCATAGTGATAGATGCGGATACCGACGACCCTTGTTCGAACTATCTCTCACAACTCTTGATGTAGATCCGCAGCGCCACCGCATTAGGTACGAGCTGTCGCTTTCTGCTGGTGCAGTATTTACCTGTTACATACATGATCTTGATCAACTTCTGCTCAGCAAAAGCTTGCGTTTTTTGGAACTGACACAGCGTCGCCATCCGATCTTTTGTGTGAAAAAAACGATCATAATCATGATCAGATTCTTTCAGGCTCACAAAGGAAAGAACTCATGCTTATCCTCGCATTTATATGGGATGATGTCCTCGACCTGGTCCGGTCACTGCTGTGTTGGATCCTCTCGATCTCGTAAAGAACTATTCCGGGTCCGCTCCGGAAACGGAAATGAATTGAAGACGAAATGAGTAGAGCTAGAGGCTTTATTGACGTAAAGTTCCACCGTGCTGGTGAAGCTGATAGATTCATTGCACCCGCCTGTTGGTGGAGATCTTTTTGTATGTTGTGCCGATGAAGAATACTTAGCGTCAGCGTCTTTCGACGACCCTGCTCGATGTCGATTCTCCAACATAATTTCAGCGACAAAGATGACTCGTAGACTCTTGACCAACACGATGAACATATTTCGTTTTTAGTTAGAATCTGTTTCACTCAAGAACATCGAAGAAAGTGACCACGACTTCGTGCAGGAGTATATACGTATAAGCTGTTTTCCGCCACTGAAATAGAACTATACATCTACTAGCGACCTAGCCACAAAAGAGAAAATGTTGTTCTACCAGTGGTTCCAGACGCTGGCTCAGAAAAAGGCGGACGTGACAGTGGAGTTGAAGAACGACCTGCAAATACAGGGCCAGATCTATCCTATGTAAAAACGTCCCCACCCCAGAGTTGTCATGCGAATCAGCATGGTAAAAATGCTTCTCATGCGAAGCCCCATGAGAGGCATTTTGTAGTCCTATTTCGCAATTTGTCATGCTCCAATCGGCATGACGTGCTAGATCTGTAATGCTGCTGAACTAGCTAATAAACAGGATTACATTATGAGGCCAAACTTGTCATGCAGAACTCCCAAAACTTGGGGATTTGTGTTGCAGACTTCCCATCTTGACCATGGTGTGCTGGGAATGTTTTTACATATCATAAGATCGTAGCGGTGGACCAGTTTTTGAACATCCGTTTGAACTATGAACTGCAAATATGTTTGGGTCTGGAAGATTGCAACTTGTCATGGTAAATCTGAAGCATGCAAAAATCTGTGTTGCATGAGTGCCAAAAGCTGTCCAGCACTTCGACCAAGTTCGAACGGAGTTTCTCATGCAGAATAGGCATGGCAGAGACCTCGCAGAGTCTGTCATGCTAAGTCCCGCATTCCAGACTTCATGGGTCATGGAAAATCCGCATGACAAGTCTACACTCTTCCAGGAGACCCAGACATTTTTGCACTTGATAGGAACCAGGTCACCTGCAGCGACCCCGACAAGTTTCCGTACCTGCTCAGCTTGAAGAACTGCTTCATCCGCGGGTCAACGTTGCGGTACGTCCATCTGAAGAAGGACGACGTCGACGAACAGCAACTCCAGGAAGCAACTATGAAGGAAGCCACGGAGAAAAAAATGGAACTTCAGGCAGAAATGCAAAAGGCTCTGCGGCAGTGAAGCTTTTCATCCCATGATGTGGTGCGTGCAGTCAAAAGGACGAGGGCAAGAAGATGATGTCTACGTCAGGACGTAGGACGAGATGATGCGTGCTTATGTCATTACGCAGAAGGAAACAATGTCGACAGTACCTGTCTGTTTGTCCTTGCCAAGCAACAACCACAAAGTGAATGTGTACCAATCGAGGAGTCGCGTCGCGCTTTTTTTGAAATAGTTGAATGAAGTGACACAACCCACATCGTGCCTTGTGGTCCAAGACCAAGCATAAACGCACCCGGATTCGCGACGTCTCGGCTTTGATTCACTCAGAGTTAGTGCGCCGTGTTCGTGTTCCGCGTTAGAGTCAATTTCAAGTTGACCACACAGGGACAGGGATTCGCTCCATACAACACAGGCTTCGCACAGGATGAGTTCCATTTCTCGTTCGCTTCTCCTTCTGTGTACCGACGTCGAGGACTTGAAACGAGAGAAGAACCTCACCAAAAGCAATAATAGCCCGTCTCTGCCATTTTTCTTGATGCATCAACACCAATACTTTGTTTCGCCGTGCGTTGCACAAGAGCTTTGATGTAGTTCGACTAGTCGCTGAGCTAAAAGTTCGTACATTGGGCGGATTGTTTTGACTCTTTTTTTTTCCTCCGGGTAATCACTTTTCATACTTAATACGTCTCATTTTCTTACTTTGAACAAGAACTTTTATGTTGTTTCCTTTCAAGGAGCTTACTTACAAGCAATTCCCTCGACAGCGAGCCGAAAACCAATACCAAAACCGTGAAAGAATAAAGAAGGTCAAAGTAGACAGAGTTGGTTATACGACGTAAAACTAAAAGGTCAAGACGCTTTTGTTTGTTGTATCCCAAAAAAAATTCGGTTCCGAGTGTCAACCTTGTTCTGTGTTCAACTCTGCTCTTCGACTAAACAAAGATGGTTCAACATCTGCTAGATGAAACGAAATCAAGTGGCTCCGGCGACGCTGCTGCGCCAGCAGCTCCAATTCCTGTGGAAAAGCAGTCCAACGACGAAAACGATGGCGAGGCCAAGCAGAAGGAGCACGGCACAGGCGGAGGAGGCAATGAAAATCTCGGAAGAGATGGAGACCAAGACTCTTCAAAGGAAAGCCCGAACGGAGACAAGAGCGGAACAGAGGAGCGGGCGAGGACAAACTCGAACATACTAGACAACATCGACGTCGACGCAAACCGTGATGTCGTGCTGAACTCTTTCTCTTCAACAAGCCACTGTCATGGCCATGGGGACAACTTACCCCCAACTTCAGCGGTCAACTCTCCTGAGCTTGCTGCGCCAGATGAGCAGCTAGAGAAGGATGAAGTAAATGAAGAGGCTGCACCAACAGGAAGAGTTACACTCGACAGCACAAAGAAAAAGAATACAGCCGTGAAATCGCCGCTCGGCAGTGCCGCATCAAGGACGAGTGGTGTTTTCACGGCAGATGATCTATTGGACGTAGCGGAGGGCAGCCTGAAAAGGATCCGGCTCCCCGAGCCCTTCGAAACGGAACCGGGACAGGATGCGTACGACGAAATTTTCGACGCGCTACGGTGGGAGGCCTTGGACTTAGAAGACTTGACCAAACAGGACGCTGGACCGAACAACAAGACGAAAACAGATATCAAAAGCGGCGCGTCATCATCAAGCTCGTCAAGCTCGAGCTCTTCATCATCAAACGCAAATAATTCCGCACAAAAATCGAAGACGACCCTCCAAAACAAGCCGCACTTGGGTGAGGTCTTGCGCACCGCAACGCTTGTGGGTTACGAAACTAAGACATGGAAGAAAATGAACGACTTTTTCAAGATGGTGGAGGAGGGAAGCAAGGATTTGACGAAGGAAATCACCGGAAACTCGAAGAACATGAGCACCGGGAATCGCTACCCGTGGTCGCGGTCCGCCTGGCGGCACGAAGTCCTGGTCGAAAAACTCAACTTCAAGGAGTACAGAACTGCGGTCGTTTTGTACGACTCCGACACCATGACCATCAAATCCTGCTTCCTGCCGCACCTTCCGAATGACCGCGCAGATTGGATGTTCTCGTCGTCGACCACGACGTCCACGACCCATTCATCGTCGTTTGCGTTTCCCAGCACATCGAAGATGATGTTGAACAGCACCACAAGCTCATCTTCATCTTCTTCTTCTTTGCTCGCCAGCGCCGAACCGTTTTCCTACGGGCGCGGGATATCCGTACCGAACTCGGACAAACCCGGGGGTTACCATATCAAAGTGAAAAAAGTCCCACCCCATATCGGAAACGGAAGATGCGCGAATTTGTGATGCTGTATTTGAGTACACAAATCAACTTGTATTGCTAGAAGGCCAAGCGACAAAGCTGCGGCCTAAATTGCAGGCAATCTGTCATGCTGTTTCCCACTTCCAGTTGCCTCCTGTCATCCTGGAGCTGCGAGGCTTTCCCACGCTAGACAGCACTACAGTCCGCATCTCTTGCCTTCTAGCATCACAAAGCTGTTTTGTGACCACAAATCTGCATCACAGATATCCGCTTTGATATGGGGAGGGGGCATTTTTCATTGTAATATACCAGATCATTGATCAGGCTTTAGGGATGAGTGGCTGGATTGGCGGACGGGCGACGAAAGCTTCTTGCGGGGGAATGCACATGTTCGGCTCGCACGTGGTGCCACCTTACTCGCCAGAAATGAACCCTGGGACGTTGCAAAGGTATGGGTCCCGGAAAACGAAGCCGGGCAACGACGAGCAGGACGAGGCTGGTATAATAAAAAAGTTTGTTTGCTTTTTGTGACTGTTCTTGTGGTAAACCTAAACGGAAATAAGTAGGGAAAGAAATGGTAATGGTCGCTCAGGTATCGATCCTAGATCCGGCGATTTCTACACAGAGGACTTTGCATTGGCAGTACCGAAACGCGACGTAGTTGACCGCGTCGTTGTACTGAACCCATTTATCCTGATCCACCTCATTCAGATCGATATTAAGGAATGTCAATGTTTCTAAGTGTCATCGATTAAATTAGTTTCTGAGTGATTTAGATTTTCTGTATCCCAAAAAGGTCCTCGCGCTGACGATGAAGAAAACAAGATGCCCGGAAGAGAACATGGAAGCAACAAGGTAAGCGAGAAAGAAATCGCCGGAACCACGAAGACCGCTTCCTCAGGACAACAAGTAGAAGCGCAAAGTCAAAAGGGCTACTGGCTTCCGAAAATCCAGGCCGTGGACGATATTGTGTTTGATTTTGCCCGCCACTACGCGCACGCCGAGCGGCTAGTAGTTCCCGCGGCCGCGCACAGTCGGCAGCGCATCATGGAGGCGCTGGACCCTGCGTCAGAGTGGGGGATCATTCCTGGGCAGCCCCATTCGGTTTGCAACGGTGCGCACATCTGCAGCAAGTCGCTGCAGTACGTCGTGATGGTCCACGCGGATTCCACAACCGACGGCACGCTGGAAGCCATCTACTTTTATAGGCCAAAAAAAAAGGCGCGAAGCGGTCTCTACGGCGAGTTCCCGACCGGCCACAAGTGGATGTTTCTGGCGGGTGCCGTCTTCGACATGTCCATGGCCCGGGGGTCGGGGAGCTTCGTCTACGTGCACTGCTCGAGACCGGACCCAGTCTACCATGGGACGCTGCCAACGTTTACCAGGGTGGCCGAAGAGCAGGAAAACACCGCGCACGATGGTACAGCTACTGCTTTACTTCATCCGTAGCTGTGTTTCTTTTTCCATTTTGATGCTGTTCCACTAAAAATCTTCTTCATCAATCATGATTCTGCTGGGCGGTCCGACGTCTTCTCTTCGCTCCTCCGAAGAAGTGCAAATATGTTCGTTGAGTTGTGCATGCTGGATAAGGATATGGATTTAATATCAGGTATGGGATCTGCCTTTCTCGTGCAGGATAATGTGGCCAGGTTTCTCGCGGACGAGGGGAATCGCGGGGCCGGAATGATCGCGAATATCAAGGCGGAAAGCGCCAGGCCTATGATTGTCCGGCCGGGGTTCAAGGCCGTCCGTGGCTTCGGGGGGTCGCGAGAACAAACACGGACTCGGGCGCTGCTCAAGCGGTGCCAGGAGCTTGCGGGTCGCAAACCGCAAATGCAGCGCGAACAGGGAAACATCAAGGAGGCGCTCGCTAACTCTACCACTACCTCCACCACCATTTTCGGAAAAAAGAAAAAAAAGAAAGATAAAGATGAGACGAAGGACAGCAAAAAGGCTATCAAGGCGCTTCTGCAAAGGCACAAGACCGGTCAAGCCGACAAAATAAAGCGAGACAGTCTGTTGCGAAAAAGCAAAAACATTCTTGCGGCGAAGGGCAAAAAGACGTTGAAGTTCAAGTCCAAGAAAGCGCGACAGCTGGCACAAAAAAAGAAGAGCATGGAGTTTAAAAACGCTCGCAAAGCGTTGATAAACGCGGGCGCATACGAATACAAGGTGGGCACGCTAGCACAAGTACTTCTGGCACAGTTGGAGGCCGGGGAGATGAAAGAGAAGGTCGCGCAGCCACAAATTAACCAGGAGGGCGAGGAGGTGAAGGGGAAGGTCATTGCTGCGGGTCAAGCCCACAGCAACCTTGTTACACTGAACGAGATGATGGAAGGCGGCGATGAGAGTATGAAGAAAGCCTCCTCATCTAGCAGCTCATCTAGTTCTTCCTCTAGTGCAACTGTAACTACTGGCGGCGCTGTTCTTGCACCTCCCGCACCAGATGAAGATGTTGCAAATATGGAAGCCGCAAGCCAGAACACTCTGTCTAAAACAACGCTCATCACTTCTACGGCACAAGCTGAAGCTGTACCACATCAACAAAGCCAGAAGAACGACAAAGCCGAAGCTTCGTCTTCGACATCGTCAGCGACCACATCAGTAGTAGAACAGTCAGAACCAGAAGCGCAGGAGAAACTACCAGACACCCCTGCTAGCGTAGAAATCAGCCTAGCCAGTTTGCGGACTGTGAATCTTGAACATAACGTGATGGCGGAACCCGGCCCGACCGGAAGCTTTGAAATTCGTTTGGAGGACTTTGCGACTTGCGAGAAAACCGGGCAGCCGTTGTTCGCCTTCAACAAAATCATGGAGCTTTTGCAAGCCAATCTCGACGCCCGTGTGCAGAAGCGCGGCCACTACAACGCGATCCAGCGGACTGCCGGCATCTTGCGCAAAGCGCATATCGAAAAGCAGTTTTCTTGTGCCAAAATTCAATCTGGAACCGTTCAGCCGCTGCGCGTCGACCGCGTCTCCGGGGCGGTCATTGTGGGCCACGAGGCAGTTGCGAAGTTGGCGCGGACAAAAAACAAAAGCGTGACAGAGTTTCTGAACGAGAGGCAGTACAAGCAGCACAGGAGAGAGACGCGCGAACTCGCCCGGCTGCTGCAACGACTCAGAAAGCAGCCTGGAGAAAATAGCGCCGGAGAAACAAGCTCAGAGGAGAGCAAGGTAGAAGACGACGACGACGTTGACGTCAACAACGACAAAAAAGATCAAGAGCGAGATGATGAAGATGATAATAACGCGTCTGCCGGAGCCGAAAGTCGTCGTGCAAGGCAACTTGTCAAAGAGCGGAAAAAGGAAGCTGCAGGTGCAGGAGCGCCGAAGAAATACAAGAAAAAGAAGAAGAACAAGAAGAGGACTCCTTCGAGGTCACGTACGCCGCGCCGCCGCCGAGCCTCGAACTACGACGATGACAATATCCGGCTAGAAGTCATCACGAATGCGAAAGGCCGCTTTTTTGTGTACGAAGTACGGGGGCGGGACGGGGACGAGCGCGAGCGGATTGCGCTGCGCAGGGGCAACCTATCGCGAGAAAAAACTGTTTCACTGTGAACTTGTGATGCATAGAACGGAACGCAAATGAAATGTGTTTGTCTTGCTACACATGCAAGACATTGGATTTTTAGCTGTGCTTTCCCTTTAGGAAGCACGCATGCCAAGTTTTCTTTGTCATGTGTAACAAACTTGTGATGCAAAACTTGCAAAATCATCACAGTGAAACAGTTTTTTCGTGGGATACAACCTGACGGACGAGGGCGCTCCGCCCGCGTCGGGCGAGGCGCTGCGACAGTGGAAGATAGCGGAATGCAAACGGCTACAGGAGCGCAGAAAGCAGGGCATCGTCGAGACTCCGCCGAAGAGGTTGGGGCGGCATGAGAATCCGCAGGAAAGGGATCAGGAAAAACTGGCGCGGCCACCGGTCCAAAGGGTGTACTGGAACGAGGACCGATTCTACGTGTACGACGAGAAATTCGTTGAAAAAACGCCGGTTGCCAGCGGAAAGAAAAAGAAGAAGGACAAGAAGGAACGATCTTCAAGCGTCCGCATCGAGCGTACGCTCGTTCGAAAGGGCAAGGAAGGCGATTCCGACGCTCCTCCGAGGCCCTCGCCGCGCGGCAAAGAAGTGGCGAAGAACCCGGTCGGCGATCAAGAAAAGGCACAAGAAGAAGACCCGAAACAGGCTGTTGAAGATGGTGTAGTTGAAGAAGAAGATGCCGATACTAGTGCCAAAGATCCCCTCAAAAAAAACCAGAAAGCGCGGCAGCAAAATCAAAAGGACGATTTGCATCTGCCGGATGATGGCGAGCAGCCAGAAGTTGAGGGAAAGGCAAAACCTTTGCGGCTGGTCTTCAAAAAGCTTCCGCCGAGGAAGAAGAAAGAGAATGCAGAAACGGATGCAGCTGCCAAGAAAAACAACGACGCTCCTGCACCTGCTTCAGCATCTTCTTCTATCGAAGAACAAGTAGAAGACGCTGTGGCCGCTGGACCACGAAAGGAGATCTCGGAGTCTGATCCGAAACCGAATTGCAGCCCCGCAGCAGATCTGTCTTCCAGTGTAAAAGACGACGACAAGCATCAACAAGACCGTCCTGCCATACATGATGCGGCGAAAAAGCGACACAAGCCCGCCGAGGAGGTTGCAGTGGTCGAGTCGCAGCTGGAAAAGACACAGCAGAAAATGAAGGAAAAGCTGAAAAAGCGAAAGCTTGAGCAAGCTGCAAAACCAAAAGACGATACCGCTTCTGCGTCCTGAAGTGTGGAGCGGCCCAGCAGAACTCGATAAGTATGTAAAAGTTGCGAGAAGTCGACGGTCCTTGCATTCGCATCAGACTCAACCACTTTACTAAAGTGGCACTTTAGAAGATTTGAAAATTAGCATCAATCCAGATGAAGATGAAGATCACCGTCTTGCTCTTGGCGGCGTCTTTGACCAACGCCAACGACCCCAACTGATTTTTATACCAAAGTAGGTGACGTCATCCACTTCTTGGATGCCAAAAATCAAAACTACTATTTCACTGTCCGCGACTCGGGGTCCTGTATGTATTGCGCTATAGCCGCAGCTGGCTGTGACATCGGTCAGTTTCACTTTGTTATATCATCTATCGGTACCCCTACCACGTTGCACCTTTCTTCACTGTCCCTGTGTAGTATTACCTCCAGAGTACTAGTTTATCACCTTGTTTGGGACAAAGACGATGGAATTATGATTATCGTTATCCAATCAAAAGTTCGACTTCGATCGTGAAGATTTTTCCTATCGTGTGGACCTCATCTTAAGGATAATAAATAAACGACAAAAAGCAGGTGAAGAAAGCGGAATTATTTTTATTTAGAAGATATGCAGGCACGATCCATCAGGTATTCTCGCCAACGTGGCAACACGCATTGTTTGATGCTCTATGTGTCTTTTTGTTGCCGTAGCGTTCCGCACCGTCCCGAGATGTCGGTGATGATCTTCTGCAACACGATAATATGCGTTGGTGGCATAGTTGCTTTACTTCTTGCCACCGCTTATTCATTGATACATATTTATTCGTGATGCGTTGTGGACCCCGTCCTTGTGGTGCCATCGCTCTTTGTAGCCATCATGTCGATGATCTCCGACCGTCTCCATAATCTTGAGCGTTGTAAAACTAACTTGAGGCTTTATTTGGTTGCTCCAACGTGATTAAAAAAAGGTTGGGATTTACTCCATGCTCCCTTCCCGTTGTGCTGGTCGAAGATAAGAAAAATGTTCTTGGTACCGACGTTTTTCGGGCTGTGTAGACTTGCATTGCTTGTCACTCGGGCGTCTACGAGGGTCATTGCACATGCTGAACAACAAGCACTTCCGCGCGCTACGCCAGCAACGTCGGTGACTACAGAGCCTGAGCATGAGCCGGACTGCTCTGCGTTTGTGCTCACCATTCCCGGTGGTGGCGTAGTCGACGCGGAGCCAGCCCCCTGGACGAAGGCGCGCCTGGATGCGGCGGCAGATTACTTCAATCGGACGTGCAAGAACGGAGACACTACCAGTAGTACGGAAGAACAAGGTGTTGAAGCTACGTCCAAAGTAGTGCGAAGAAATCAAAAATGCTTCTTCGCGCCCTTGTCCGCCGGAACGCCGCACTTGCCCATGCCCATCGACCCGACCACTGGAAAGACCCTGACCGAAAGCGGTGCGGCGGCGAAGTATCTCGTGAAGAAACACAATGTGTCGCCGGACCGCATCCTCGAGGAGGGGGCAAGTTTGGACACGATCGGAAACGCATACTTTCTCCGGGTCATCCACCTCGAGATGCTTCTGAAAACGCATAAATTGGTAACCGTTGTGGTCTTCACCTCCGAATTCCACATGCCCAGAACAAAAGCGATCTTCGAGCATGTGCTGAAACTCCCGTGGACAAGTTCTTCTATACCCGCTGGCGCCATGACAACTGCTGGTGTTGAAACTGTAGCTGCGAGGACTTGTGCCGAAGACGAAGATGCATCCAAAGATGGCGACTCCTCGCATCAAGGAACTACCGATCATAATGGAATCAGCCTCGAGGAGAACAAAAACACGAATAAGAAATGCCTTGTCGCAGCAGATGGCACTAGTGCCCCACCAGCAGTATCCACCGGTAGTACATCAACATCATGCGTCGTAAACAATCCGGACAGCAACTTGCCCAGTTTCCAAACCGAATTTGTGGCTACGGAAAATCGCGGGCTGACAGAAGATCAGGCAAAACTGCGAAAAGAGCGTGAAGTGCAAAGCCTGGAAACATGGCGCTCTCGGACGCAACCAAAGCTGAATTCGGTGGTAGATTTGCACTCTTTCGTGTTTCAAGACCACGGAGCCTACGCGGCGAAACGCTTCGCGGTCGAAGAACATATCGGCGCTCCCGTCGATCTTGATGAGGTCAGGCGAACTTATCGATGAGGACATTTTTGTTTCGAGCGTATGTGTACAAAGATTGTTGAACAGCAGAAAAAGAAGATTGATTCCAGCGCACACTGAAATTTAGCAGACAGATATCAGCTCAAAGCATCGAGACTTTTGACGTTTTATCCTCGTCAAGTTCATACAAACATCAAGCAAGCTTGTATGAAGTTAAAGTTCTACGTACTATTCTTTCACCAGTTGTGATCTTGATCTCGAAGACGAAATCAGCGATGTTCTGCAATAAAGCTGAAGCTTCACAACGCCGTCAGCTTGGTCGGCCTCCTGCTCGTTGACCTGTTGCACCTGAGTCACGAAGATCTTCGGTAAGACATAGGTAATTGCTCAGTCGATTCGTTCCTTGGGGTGTTGCTGCATTCTTGACATTGTCTCCCGCCGTGCCGTCACGCTGATGCAGCAAGGCGGACTTCTTGCGTCTGTCGTGCCTGCTTCCAGGTTTTCTCACTCGTGCTGGTCTTTGTTGTTTATCTTCGTTTGCCGCAGTCTACTTTGCGTAGGCCTAGACTGCCGAGATTTTTGTGCTACTCGGTCTAACCAAGACTAAGAAACAAACACCTCAAGCAAGGAAGTTTGAAGCGGCTTATGATGATACAGAGTCGAGCTCGAGAATGCCCAAGAAAGGATCCATCTTCCGCACCTAAACTACGTATAGGCTTTTGTATCTAGTAGCCAATAAAGTCCAGAGAACGGAACAAAGAGCATTGAACACTTTGGTCGATACACAAATCTCCATTTTTCATCGTGATTTCTCCACGACATCCACATCCAGAAGGCCGCGACCGCGACTATTTTACAACTTTTGAAGTGAGCTGCGGTTATTCCTGATAGTGATAGATTCCTTCACCACGACCACCTTCATATTAACACTTTCTCTGTATTCGCAAAGAACTTCACTTTCATTTCCAGCATGTATGGACTGTAGTTCTGCGGATATCTACCTCCAATGTGTCATGATCTGAAGTGCAAAGTAGAGAAAGGCGAAAAATGACTCCACCACGTCCGTGTTGAAAGAAAAAGCAAGCATTTCGCATCTCACTACGTCCTGGGTCTGGAGGAACGTGCACGACGCATCACAAGCAAGATGCTGGCATCTTCCGGCGGAGTTTTCACCCCAGCCACAAGGAGCGACGTGCTACTCACGGACGATGTCTTTCTACGATCACCGTACGCACCCTTGGCCCAGGTCTACTACAAAAATGGAGAACAGGGAGCTGCGCTCGAGTACTTCTATTTGGTTTTTGTTTCAGAAACAAGAATGGGAAGCAAAACGACCAAAACGAAAATCACTCTTCTATCAAAAATCTGAAACAAAGTGAACCACTGTATTGTATCAAAACTCAGCTCCACCACTATCTCGAGTTCCGAGGAGGATCCGGGTGGTATTGATGCCGTCCGCATGCTTGACTACGGCGAATTTTTTGGCCGCGAGCTTGCCGGTGGCGCGACGACGCTGGCCAGATGTCGCAGAAGTGTGAAGAAATTCGAGTGGATGCTCTGCCTCGATATCGTTCACGGCCCTCCAGCGCAGTCGAAAACTAGTTCATCCAACCCCAGCGGAAGTGTCAAACCGGTGTTGAAAAGAGGTGCCTTTTTCTCTACTTCCACTAGCGGCACTAATTCCGGCCCGGGGTCGCCTGCGCTGACGCGAAATCTTTGGTTGGATAAGTTGCGTGCCCTGCGGCTAGAATACGCGGAAATCAAGGAACAGTACAAAATCGATTTGGCCGCGACTGTGAAGAGAGCGCAGAAAAATCCGACGAAATTCAACCCCCTGTCCAAAGCAGAAGACAATCCCTGGGAACAGGTCACGGAAGATGAGGAGCTCATGCAGGAGATCGCAAAAGACGTCGAGCGCACATACAGCGACAAAGAACTCTTTACACGAAAAGACGTGCGGGGCATACTGCAGCAGGTAACAAAGAAGTATGGCATTGAAATTTGTTTTGATTTTGAACTACTTGAAACTTCAAGCTTGCACACAAGCTCAAGCTTCGGACTCTCTTCAGTAATTCGAACGAAGCGAGAATTGATGGTGGCCCGCGCCCTCGGTGGGAACGAAATAAAAATGCTCATGACGATGAACAACTTCAAGATACAAATAATCTCTCCACGACCGTCGATTTCAAAACTCATAGGTCCTGTACAACTGGTGCAAGCAGTTCAACCCGTCGAAGAAGGCGGCGGAAAGCTACCGCCAGGGAATGAACGAGTTGTGCGCCATTGCCTACCAGGTGACCCACGACTCACTGACGAACCCAAGTTCCAGCATGGAGTTTCTGCGCGAATTCGGCAACCCCGAGGCCCGCGAGGCCGACTGCTTTCTGCTCTTTCGGGCGCTGATGGGCCACGGCTTCACGCCGCTTTTTGCAGTGCAGGCGCCGATTTACACCACGAAGGCGTCGCCACGCGGGGCAGACATACCCGGAGCTGCACCAGGTGGGTTGTTGGATGACTCGAGCAACAAGCCGGTCGTCGAGGTGCAGAACCCGCAGACGGTCATTCTCGACAAGTGCAACCACATCATGGAGGTGTTGCTCAAAAAAGTAGAGCCGGAGCTGCACCGGTTGCTCGTCGATACCTACGCCGTGCCGGCGCAGGTGTTCCTGTTGCGGTGGGTGAGGCTCCTGTTCTGTCGCGAGTTCTCCGTCGAGTCCACGCTGGATTTGTGGGCGGAAATGTTCCAGGACGCCTTTTTGAACGAAGAACCGACGGAGTTCACGCTCGGGAGCTACTTTGCCGTCGCCATGCTCCGGTACGTCAAGGCAGAGTTACTTGCGTCCGACGAGAGCGCATGCTTGTCCCGATTGATGAAATATCCGCCGGTATTAAATATTTTGTTTGTTTGTACTTACGACGGTATCAAACATTTTGTTTGTACGTACTAGTCCTAGTCCCAGGTGGTCCGCGTCCGCGAGTGTCTACTCTGGTCATTTCCAATATCGTATTCATTTTCATTCGTGAATGTGAATCATGATAGTGATACATGATACCATCCGCATCAAAATCACTTTCCACCGTTTGTCAGGTTGAAATCGAGCCGTTGCTGAAAATGGCGAAGCAAGTCCGGTTTCAGGTGGAACCCGACAAGAAGTTTAGCGTCGGTCTGGAAAAGCCCAAGCCGGTGTCACATCAGCCCGAGTATGTTCCCTTGCCGGGCACGACCGTGGTGATGCCCGCGTCCAGTCCGCCCCTACAGCCGACGGCTCCTGCTGGTTCTGCGGCTTTGAACTTGAACCCGCCCCCGTTGATGAATCTGACGACCGCGACCACCGCAACTTCCCCAGCGTCAACCCTCAATAGCGCCTCCATGATGAGCACGAACACCAATAAGTCCCCCCTGTTCGCGACGCCCGGTGCTGGTAGTTCGAATCCCCTGGCGCCGGGGGGAACAAGTGGTGGATTGTCCCAGCATCCGCTCGCAGCCGCGTCGGCGACCGTCCCGGTGCACAGCGTCAGTGGGCCGCTGTTCCCAACCGGAGGATCTGCTGCCTCTGGCGCTGCGCCGCGGCCTTTGTTTCCTGGCGGAGCTGCCTCTGCGCCCGCCCAGGCCGTAATGAGTGGCGCAAACGCCAACGCGTACGCGAACTATAATCCGCAAAATCTACTCCCGATCACGGGCAACTCACAAGCGACGAGCAGCACCAGTGTAAACTGGGAGGAACAGTACGGTTTGCTTAAGGAAAAGGCGCGGGTCAAGGTGAACGAACTGAACGAGAAAATCGCCGCACTGACCCAGAGCGTTGACCAGCAGACTCGCACGATGTACGACGCGCAGCGAGAACGCGTGGAGGCACTGCGGACAGCCGAAGATTTGCGCCTGACGAAGGAACAACACACGCAGCAAATCAACCATCTGCGGACGCAAATTAACAAGCTGCAGAACAAAAACCTGTTCGAAAAAACGAAAAAAACCAACGCGCTCTTTGGTGAAGAAGACGAGGACATACAGCAAGCAACGCATTTGGGCGAGGACGGGAAGGGAGCAGAATCACAGGTAATGACAATGAGTTACCCAAAGTTACAACTTACTTTGTTACTCGTGCACCAGCTGTGCTAATATCATGATTTTCTTGCTTAAGCTTGATCTCGACCGGTTCTTCTTGGTTTCGATCACCCGATCATTTGGAATCACATGCTTGCCACGACCACACGTCACAGGCCGACAATTTCGAAGTTGAAGTGCTGCCGTGGCGAAAGCGCGTGGATGGTTTGCTTGAGGAAAAACGGAAACTCGAGGATGAGCGAGACCAGTTGCAGCTCGAGACAAAGCAGATGATCGCGGGCGTAGAGAACTTAAAAAGCCAGGCGAAAGCGCGAGTCCAGGAGCTGCAGCAGCAGTTGCAGCAGGCCCAGCAAGCTGCAGGCAGCTCTTCAACAACGGCAACGACCCCCGTTTCGGACGCCGCGAAAAGCACTGCTGCAGCGTCTTCAGAGCTGGCGCAACTTGCGGAACTCAAGACGCAACACGCAGCGGAGCTCGAAGACCTAAAGCAGAAGGCACGGGCAAAGATGCAAGAGATGCAGACCGCGTTCGAGCAGGCGAAAGCAGAACTAGCGAGAAAAGGCGGACAAGATGCGAGTTGTACTACAAGTACGCCAAGTGCAGATGTTGACCCCGGTCGAACGACGCTAACTCGGGAACAGGCGGACGCGGAAATCGCGAAGGCGCGCCAAGAGGTCGAAGCCCGGTTTGCAGAGAAATTCGCAAAAGTTGCAAACAAAGACGCCGCTGCATCGGAGAACGGACCTGAAGACGCTGCTGCAAGTAAGACCACGCCGACGACCGAGGCTGCAGCTGACAAAAAAGACGATGGAGGAGCCGCGCCAGCTGGAGATAGTACGAAAACTGACACTATGAAAGGCACAGCAAGCAAAGAATCGGAGGAATCTCCTAAAGGTGTTGGTGAAGCCTCACCGAAAAAGGGAGAAGATCCTCCACAGACGACCGCTTCACCTTCGGCTACAGAGGAAAAAATCGCGGCGCTGCAAAGCGAGTTGACGGCTGCAGAGAAGAAACTCCAACAGCAACTCGAGGAGGCGCAGACGGCCCAGGCGATTTTGAAGACGCAGGCAGTCGCGAAAATGAACGAAATGAAGACCGCGTACGACACGGCGCTGAGCGCCGAGCGTGTGAAGGTTGCCGAGTTGCAACAGCAAATAGAAACCCTGAACCAAAGCGTCTCGCAGTTGCAAACGCGGGCCCAGCAGCTCGAGGTGAAGCTGGGCGGCGCGAAGCAGTCCTTGGTCGCTGAAACCCAGAAAAACGCTGCCGCCCGAGAACAGGATCACCAGGCCGCTGTGCAGGCACGCGCAGCGATCGAAGCTGATTTGCAGGCAAAACAGGCCGAAGTTGCGAGGTTGCAACAGAGAGTGAAAGAGCAAGAGGACGCGACGGAGGTGGCAGCGCACAACTTTCGGGTAGAAGCCGAGGAAACGCAGCGCCAAATGCAGGTTCTCAAGGACCAGAAGGAGGCCGAACTGGCCCACGTCAAGCAAGTCGCCCGCGAACGCATCGAGGCGCTCCAGCAACAGCTGGACCACGGGGGTGCGGGGGCACCTGGGGCCCCTGCACCGAACGGCACCGGTTCAGGTACTTACTACGCGCTTCAAAAATACTTAGTTTTTTGCTCTATATTTTGTAGTTTCCACGTGGATGAAACACTGTGGTCTACTTACTACTGCTTGTACCTGCTCGTGCATGACCTCGTGGCGCTTGTGAATTATCTTAAGTGCCGAAACTAAATCTTTTAGGTGACGTGGAGGCGGTCCGGCAAGAATACGAGGGCATTCTCGCAGACTTCAGGGAACAAGCCAAAACGAAGTTCGCCGAGCTTAACGCGGACAAGGAGGCGCTCCAGGCCTCCATTGACAGCTTACAGGCCAGCGTCGAGGTATTGCAATATTACTGCTTGCAGACTTTTTCGAAAAGCAAAATCTAAATCTAAGTCTTGCATTGCAAATTCTTATCTGTTGCATCCTGATCGCACTCCAATAAAGAAACTGAAAGCAGTAAGAAGAAGAACTTGAACTCTATCTCAAGCCTATAAACGAATGCTCCTTGTTCAGGCAAAGAGCGGTGAAATTACCGCCTTGCAGCAGAGCTTGTCGGAAAAGGAGGCTTCCCTGCAGCGCGCGATGGCGCAGACCGGGGACGGCGCGAGCAGCTCAGCGAGCGCGGAGTTCGAGGTTGTCGGGAATCCCAATCCACCAAGCGTGGAACCGACTGCGGAAGCAGCTCGTCCCGCACCCCCACCCGCTGCGGGCAGCAAAACAAATTCCAAGAATGCGGACATGTCCCACGACGAAATTGACAAGCTGTTCGACGATATGGAGGACATGATGTAGTCGTGCAAATTGAAATTAATTAACCATGAAATTGAATTATATCGAAAGTGTAAGTGAAATTGAAAATGTACATGACTTAACTTCAAGGCAACTCTCCGTCTCCCAGCTCTGGGTCTGGTGCACTCCTTGTGTTTCACTCTCGTAGTCAGATGCGGAAGCCAAACCGGAAGGAAGCACAAATGGCATTTTCGCTTTGATGCCACATAAGTGGTTTCCGGTGTGGGATCAGTATCGATAAGCCCACGACGCTGGTGGTAGAAGACCCCGTTGGGTTGCACGTCTGACGCAAATTAGCTATTGACGACAAGCCCTGTGATGTACCTGTTGTATCACAAACATCCTTCTTGTACATTGATCTTGATGCTTGGCCATCGCTTCAACGAATGAACGTGAAGGCTCACTTTGAACTCGGAGCTTACTGAGACTTTCTGTCCCCAAGAAAAAAAATGTTTTCCCCAGCGACAACAACTACGCAGCAATTTTTCAAGAAGCAAATCAAGTATATTACCTGTCTCCTCCTTGAGCCTCAGCGAATGGCGATCTTTCGCCCGGCTCGTGCAGACACAGGGACCGAAAGAAATTTCATGCCCTGCTAGGTAAGCGCATTCCATTCGCCCTGCCGACTGACTGTTCGGAGAAAGAGATCTGCAAATCAAACCTGAGTCACACGATTTAGGACGGTTCTGGCGGTTTTTCGACAGACGATCTGCATCTTCTGGACATGAAGCCATATTCATTCAGCGATCACATTCAGGCCACACAAAATCGATGCAAAAATGCGGCAACACTGATCGAAGGGTCGTTTCAGATCTCCTGGTTCTTTATTCTTGCCCGCAAAATGGAGCTGTTCATCTGTTGTGGATTTTCCTGAGGTTGTGACTTCGCCTTCTCTATAAAGGAATTTTCCCTAATGAAAGAACATGAAGATGAAGAACCAAATTTCATTCCAGCGACATTTTTCAACGACTTGGACTTCCCTATGGAGATATCGATCTAGTTTGATTTCGTCCTACTTTTTTTTCTTTTGGCGACGCATCTAGTCTTGAAAAAACTGTACATACTTACCTATAAGAAACTCGACATCACGACTAAATCTAAAACACCATGGCCGACGACGACGACCACCTCCCGCCCGTTCTTCCGGAAGACGACCCGGACAACCATCTTCCCCCGGTTCTCCCCGAACATGTTGACAACGATGCGGCAGTGGGCGAAACATCGCAGGACCACCAGGAGCACCACGATATCGCACAGCTCCAGTCGAAAGCCTCGGACGACGAAGCTGCTGGTGCCAGCACTAGACATGGCAGAAACAAAAACCAAACCAGCCCCGATGACGAGGACCGAAAGCCGCGCCGCCTGCCCGTGACGGAAAAGATGCTCACCCAGTCGAAATCGCTACAGGCCTTCGCGAAAAAGCTCCCAATCTTCGAGTGGAAAGAGCAGATCATGCAGCACTTACGGCAGCACGATTTTTTGATCGTCGTTGCAGAAACCGGTAGCGGGAAAACCACCCAGATTCCGCAGTACATCTACGACAGCAAGGAGTTCGGCAACCGTTTCTGCATCACGCAGCCCCGGCGGGTCGCGGCCATCTCGGTGGCGAAGCGGGTGGCGGAGGAGCGCGCGGTGCACTTGGGCACGGAAGTCGGCTACACGATTCGGTTCGACGACACCACGACCGAAGGGGAGACCAAACTGCGCTACATGACCGACGGGTGCCTGCTCCGGGAGTTCATGAGCAAGGATTCCGAACGAGGCGCCGGCGGGACCTTGTCCAACTACGACGTGGTGATCCTGGATGAAGCGCACGAGCGCACGCTCGCAACCGACGTGTTGTTCGCGTTCGTCAAGCGTGCGTGCCTGATCCGGCAGAAGCAAACAAACCGGCGGAACCTGAAAGTGATCGTCATGTCGGCGACATTAGATCGCGATCAATTTAGCAAGTACTTCATGAACGCGCCGGTGTTGCGGTGCGCCGGTCGGAGTTTCCCGATCGAGGTGTATTACGACCAGCCGGTGGCGCAGAACAAGCGTGTCGAGGCCGCGGTGAACTGCGCACTCAACTTGCACCTGCGGGAGAAGCGCGGCCACGTGCTCACGTTTTTGACCGGGATGGAGGAGTGCGAGCAGGCGTGCACGCTGGCGCTGTCGAAGTTGCAGCAGTTGAGAAACGCCAATGTGGTAGACAACGTCGGCGACAACGGCCCAAAAGGCGGCGACGACGACCACATTCTGCACCGAAAGAGCACAGACAAAAATGGAGCATCAAATACTGACAAACCGAAGAAGCAGGCGAAGCAGGACATCGCGGACTGCTTGATTCTGCCGCTCTACGGGTCGTTATCGACGGAGGACCAGCGCAAGGTGTTCGCCGAGGTGGACGCACGACAGATAAGGAAACTGATCTTCTCCACCAACATTGCGGAAACGTCGTTGACAGTCGACGGCATCGGATTCGTCGTCGATACGGGCGTTGTGAAGCAGAAAGAATTCAACCCCAAGACGGGGATGGAGCAGCTGGTGGTGTGCAACGTGAGCCGCGTGCAGGCCATCCAGCGTGCGGGCCGCGCGGGGCGGACGCAGAAGGGCAAGTGCTACCGTCTGTACACCGAGGAGCACTTCCGGAACCGGTTCCAGGAGGCCACCACGCCCGAGATTCTGCGGTCCAACCTCAGCTCCGTGTGTCTGCAGATGAAGGCCATGCGAATTAAAGACATTCTCCACTTCGACTTCATGGAGCCCCCGTCCCGGTACCACATCCTGCAGGCGCTGAAGCAGCTGTTCTACTTGGGGGCCGTGGACGAGGATGGCAACGTGACGGAGGAGGGTTTGGAGATGGCGGAGTACCCGCTGGAACCCACCTTCGCACGCTGCCTGCTTGCCGCGGAGCAGCTGAAGTGCGCGACGGACATGCTGACCCTGGTCGCATTGCTCTCCGCGGAGTCGGTCTGGTACCGCCCGGCGCGGCACGACGAGGAGAAGTTTCGCAAGGCCGCGATCGCGCACAGCAACCTGTGCGACGTGCAGGCGGGGGACCACTGGTCGTTGGTGGACATCTACAAAAAGTTCGAGCAGCAGGGCGGCCACATGTCCAAGGAGTGGTGCATGGAGAACTGCCTCCACTACCGCTCGCTGCGTTCCGCGAGCGACATCCGCGGCCAGCTGGAGACGCAGATGCAAAGCAAGAAGAAGTCCTACACCAGCACCATGGCCCACGATCTGCCGTCCTCGGTGGCGATGCCCATCGTGAAAACCATGCGAAAAAGCACCGACGGAAATAACGAAGGCAATGCAGGAGACACGACCGCAGGAGCATCCGACGCAAGAGGAGATTATCGCCGCGAAGGTCCGGTTGCGGGGCAGCCCAAGAAGTCCTCGAATTTGATCAACTACTCAGCGATAGCGGCATCGACGACATCCACGTCCGTTCGCGTGCGGCGCGCGCTCTGCGAGGGGTTCTTCATGCAGAGCGCGAAGCTGATGAGCTCGCACACGGGGTGGCTCACGGTCTGCGATAACATGGCGGTCCGCCCCGAGTCCGGATCGGCAATCGACGAGGAAAACCTCCCGGAATGGCTGGTATACACGGAAATGGCCGGAACCTCCACAGGCTCCACCGGTGTCGTCCGCAACGTCTCCCCGATTGAGCGTGAATGGATCAAGCACTTACTACCCCGCCTCGAAAAGGTCGACCTGTCCCGGCTGGTGGGCGAGAAGAAGCCCGAGCCTGTCGCAAACAGGCAGGCTCTACTCGCAGCATCCAAGCCACCAGAGGAAACGCGGGACGAAAAAGCGCAGAGCGCGAAGGAACGCTACCTGGCGAGAAAGAGACAAGAGCAGGCGGGAGGCGGTACGGCTGGCAATAGTACTGGAGGAAGACCCGGCGATGCAAAATCGAGGAGAACCGATCACCGAGGCAGAAGATGAGAATGGACATGTTACTGCGTAAGAGAGAAATAGTAGCTGTTGGTGTTGTTGTAGCACCATCTCGTCCATCCAGCTGTCTCACTGTTACTGTCATTTTTTTTAACCAGCTGCAGCTGAGGCTGACGTTGACGAACCACAAATATCTCTTCCAGAGGCGAAACGAGAGGCAACGCCGCTCTGAAAGTAGCAAATAAGAGGAACGTAAGTCTACGGTATCTCCTGGTCCAGAACCAGATTCCGTTTCTGATCATGCGATTCAGGTTTTCGTTTTTCCTTTGTCTCACTCTACGTTCGGTGTCGTGCGGTGGATTTTTTTTGAAAACACGGCGACGGCGACTAAGAGGAAGTGTCGAGGTGAGGGAATAATTGCGACTTACTCTAAGAGCTGCGATGGAACGGGAGTGCGTCCTCAGGTTATTGTTATCAGTGACTATGCCCTGCTACAGCTAACTGAAGTCCATGTTTTAGACATGTGGCTCTGCGTCTACTCGTGCCGCGTGCGGTAGCTGTAAAAACACACTGGCTGTCTGTTAAACAAACAGGGACAGGTGTCTGCTCCATGTCAATCTCATTGGTATCGTTGCAACAGCCTTGTTAGGTCGATAGATTTTGGTGAAGATGGTTGTGGCTGTCATGATGGTGCCCTGACATTGACGTTGTTGGTCTCGTGCCGCCGTTGCCATCCGGAAAACAGATTGCGATGACGTCGACAGCCCCGCGACCCTTCCAGCCCCCCTCTCGGCAATTGGTCTCTCCGTTTGCGCGAAAGTGGGAACATCTGGGCTTTTTCGGAAACGTGTATTTCTTACTGCTGGATGCTACCTTTGCCCAGACCATCGTCTTCACCATCACCGCCTACGCATTCGTCTGCGTTTTTCTCATTGCCCTGACACTACCCTTTGTCGACGATTTTGTCACCGCAAATGGCACGAGTGCTCCGGACGTCGTACTCGCCGCTACAGGAGATGAAGGGGATCCTGCTAGTTCTACTCAAAATGGTGCATCAAGCGGCGACGTGGACTTTGGCGTCCGGCTTACGGTGGCGCTGCGGGTGGTGGTCACGCATTTGGTCACCATGGGGCCCAGCGAGTTTGTGCCCGCCCCCTCGCTCGACTGGCTGTTTTTGTTCGCCACACTGCAGCAGTTCGCGGGTATCTTTTGCAACGTGTTTTTGATCGCGATTGTGCTGCGCAAAGTGGAACTTCCGACACCGGCGCTAATCTTCAGCCCCGTGGCACTGATCACCAAACGCGACGGCCAACTTGTTTTCCTGATCCGAGTGGGGAACTTGCGGTGCAACGTGATCCAACGCCCGGAGGTGGAGCTGCAGCTGTTCACCAGCGCGCTCACGCAAGAAGGCGAGTCCCGCATCCGGAGCCAAGTGATGGAGGCCAAAACCATGCCTCTGATGTACTCCCAGTGCGTGGTAGAGCACGTCGTGGACGAAAGCTCGCCACTTTTTCCCTTTTTGCTCCAATACAGTGACGGGGAATTCCAAAACTTGTCCAAAAACGAGCTCTGCGTGTGCGTGCTGTTCCGGGGGTTCGATTTGACGTACTACGAGGACGTGTGGAGCAACTACAAGTACACGCCGGCGGATATCGTGCTCGCCCGGGCCGGTGACATGATCTGGGACGACATGATCCAGGCCCCGGATCATGCTGCCGCTGTTCCGGGTAGTATCACTGGTGGCGCCGTTCTTTCAGCGTCGTTTTCCTCTGTGTCGATATTTGCAAAGAAGTTTGTGACTCCAGTTCTGTCGACATTCTTGTGCAGAGGTGGAGCTTCTGCTAGCAAGGGACATCAAATGCACCAGAATAGGCCAACGATTGACTTCGCCCGAATTGGCAGCATTGTCCCCGCTGCAAGGAAAAAAAAACAAAAACGGCGCTCCTGTTCATCTTCCCGGCCACGGCGCTTCCGGCAGCTTGATTGCGCTCTTGAAGGGGGCCCCGATGCAGACCACACACCGTCAGAGGATGAGGACGACGATGAGGCGTCACGCGCAGACGATCCCAATGGGATTCAGCTCAGCACGTATTTCACGTGTGCAGAAAGCAAGCGTGTACACAGCCTTGTTGCGGAACGGGGTACCAGGAAAAAAGAATTCCCGCCGCTATTTGCACTGTATCTCGAGCAGCGCGAAAGATATTTCGCAGCAATGAGACGGCCCGACAGAGTTCCGAAGGTTCAGAAACCTACTCTCGCAGCGGACCAGCTGCTCCCGGACCAACTCATCACCGAACCAAGCCAGTATCCGGACCTCACAGACGGCAGCTTGGTGTACATCTTTTCCGGCGGAAAACCGGGGCGGCTGGACTTAACACGACAGCAGACGAAAACAAATTCTTGCGCAGGAGCGTTCTCAACTTGTAGTTCATCTACGGCTGGGCAAGGCCATCTTCTCCCAAAACTGTGTGTGGCTGCGCAGGTTCTGGAGGTGTTGCTACGCACAGCCGACATTTCGTACCAGACGATCGTGGTAAACTTTTTCGAAAAACCTGCCTGGTTCGAGGGAGAGCAGGAAATTCCAACGGAGTACCTGCCCAAAAGCCAGCGCCACCTCGGTCCGCTGAAATTCCCGCCCCTCGGTTTGACGCCGATGCTTTACTTCGAGGGACGGCTCCGGGGGGAATTCGCGGATATAGTGCGGTACTTGCTGCACCGCTTCGCCGACAAGTTCACGGATCCCGCTCGTTTCGCGATTCCACCCGTGTCCCACGACCCACTCGGCCTCCGAGGGCTCCTACTGCCAAACCAGCGCGACGCCTACTTAACCCTCCAGGATTTCGCGGATGCCAGCCGTTTGCCAGAACCCGCGCCGCCCCCGCCTCCAGAAGTCTTCAAATTGGAACTTCTCAAGTACCACGATCTTCCGGTGGAGCGCAAAGATGAAGACAAAAACTACGACGAGCAGCAGCAGGAGCTGGAATCTGCTCCGCACAGCACGCTCGCAATCCCGGTGCTGGACTTCGAGCAGGCGGTGTACATTTACACAAAACTCCAGTACTTCTTCGTACTCTACATCATGAACCTGGGTCCACTGCAGCAGGCGCACCTGCGGGAAAAGCGCAGCGCGGCCGCGGGCGCCGCGGAAAGGACGGTGACGGATCACACGCTAGAAAAGGCTGAGCTCGAGGATCCGACGCTGAAAGGCCTAGCTGCACAGCTCCGGCAGACGTTTCAAGACTTCGAAACTGCCTACGAAAGCCGCCGGAGCGAGAGCGGAAACGGAGAAGATGAAGGTGCTGTTGCTGACCCGATTTTTCTGTATGGTGACACCCCCAGCGTGATCGAGACGGTGGCTTTGACGATGATTGCCCGGTACCGGGACTACATGCGCTACGCATTCTCGTCGCCCGCCACTTGGAAAGCCGTCTGGAACGAAAACGAATTCCCCTTGCTCACTAAAGCCTGCGAAGCGGCAAACTTGATGGCAGCAGCGCAGCCACACGGGGCCGCTTTCGTCAACATCGGAAGCTATGCCGCCCTCTTCCTGCAGCAGTTCTGCGCCAAAATGGGCCTACCTGAAACTGACCAGAGAGCGGATGTGTGTGCGGTGGAAGGGATTTTTTCAGAGTACTACAAAATCCTGAATGACGTTTTCGGCGTCATGGTTTTGGAAACCACGGAGTCCGAAGGAGAGCTCCATTGCAAGCAAGTGCAGGGTACGAACGCCGACGCGACCACCTCTCAACAGACCTGCGTGGACAACTTCTTACCGCCCGCTAAGTGCCAGAGCCGTCTTTTCGAATTAGGTTCGCTGTTTGAGGAAATGTTCGCTTGCGAGTGCGGCGGCGACCTGGAAAAATTCGAAGTTCTGCTTCGTGGTTTATACGCGCGTTGTAGGGCTCCTCCTCCAGTAACAGGAAGTCATTCGCGTTCACTCCCACTGCAAGGAGCACCTCCGCCCGTTGTTCTGCCAGCGTGTTCTAACAAGTACACTATCGCAGCAGGAACCGGTCCTCCAGGCGAACGCGGCACGATGGAACAACGACGTACAATAGGGCCTGCAACAAATGAAACATACCCTCGTGTGAAATTGCTGCAAAAAGCTGGCACCGAACACTTCCACCTTCCACATGCAGTCGTTGAAGGAGCATCTTCTCCACTACACGAGTCAGTCCACCTAGCACCGCCCGGAACTGCATCTGCTGCTATGCCTACTTGTGCAGCCGCCTCTCGGCGAAGCAATAATTCCATAACCGACCACGCATCGTATCCATTTTCGGACATTCGCAACGCCACAGGTGTAGTTGATCCGGATCAGAAAACTTTGTCAGCATCCTCGTCCCGGTTATCACCACCTCCAAAACTAGCGGGGGCCCGATCAGGCCGCAACAGCCTTCGGTTTTTCGCATCCCCCCTGCAGCGCCGCAATTCAACATCGACCATAAATTCTTGTTTCTAAGTCAAAGTAAATATGACAAAAGAGTGCCGCAGTTGGATAGAGTTGGACTCGCTCGGATCAAAACAAAATGACTATGATTTTCGTTTCGTTCATTTCCTGCATGCAACAGCGTAATCAATTTTCTATGAGTTTCGCCATCCTTTCAGAAGTTGTTACAGAATCAGGTAACCAGGCAGTCCAATGGATGCCAATGCATTTTCGTTCGAAGCAGTTTGGCGTCTTTGTTCTCGGATCACGATCATCGGTACTATCCAATAACTTCTACTTGTGACTTGTCTTGCCTCACTTTCATAGTCAATCTCAATCAATCCTGAGCACCAGTGTGAGGAGCCAATGGTATTCGGTTTCTTCTTCCACTAATGTCTATGTCCCCGACGAATAAGCGGCGCATACTCATGTCTATGTATATTCCATTGTGACTCGTCGATTTGCACACATCGGTCAGAAGAATTCGTGTGAGGCCAAGAAAGCCTTCCGAAACACGATCAATCTGCTTGCCTCGTGCGGTCACACAAAATCCAGATCAAAAGCCGTGGACGAGACACAAATAATAAACGAAGAAATCAAAAATACAGATCGGCATTCATTTGTCATGGCCGTGCAGTGCGCCGGATGATATCCATAGCGCACTACCCCATCCTAGATTTTATGCTATTCCACCTGCAGCTTCTGATGTTTTTTCTCTTAGGAGGGTACTTACATTACACTACAAGTTTCAAGTTCGTCGACATCACAGCACCGAAATACAGCTAGGGGGAGGCCGCTTTCGCTACAAGTGGTTCGGAACAATGCGGACTATGAACGCACTCTGAAGAAGAGTGTCTACGGTGATTTTGTTCTTGATTTGATTTATTTGAAAGCTTATCTCGCTCTTTTTGTTTACGAAGGAAACAAAAACAAATGTAAGTGCCCGGTCTTAGTGCCTCGCTCTCTTCATCTTCATCGAATTTCTCCTCGAAACTTTATTTTACCTCCATCGATCGCAATCGCTTCACTTCGTGTATTTAGCCTTACACTTTCACATTTTGACTTTGCGAACCAAGTTCACGTTGTATTTAGCTCAGCGAAAGCGAAACCGATGACGGGCCACAGACTTCGGCCACGGTCTGCGCCTTCGATTTTCCGCGTTTGACGCATGACGAGCGCCAGTGTCCGCGGAAAACGAACCACACGATTAATCGGCCCGGTTCTCCAGTACGCTTGTTAGGTACCACCTTCGTGGCTGAAGATAATGGCTTCGTCCTCCAGCACAGCTCCCCCCAGAAGAAGTAGGTTCGACGCGAGTAAAAACGCCAACAAGACCGCCTCGCCATCTTCCCCCACCGACGAGCAATGTCGGCTCGCTGCGGACTATTCCCGATACTTCGAGGCTTTCAAAACCGCGGTCCCGACCCAAACCGCAAAACTCACCCTGGACAACCAAGCGACCCAAACCTGGGAGTATTACCGCCTCGGTGGCGAAGAGGATTTGAGTTTGAACCTGGACCCGGTGGTCTTTCTGCCGCCAGAATCCGCATCCTGCGACGTGTTTTTTCTGCAAATCGACGCGCTGGCTGCCAAGGGGTACAAGTGCATTTCCTGCCAGCACCCGCCCATCTGGACGATTGAAGAATTTGTCGCCGGGTTTGGTTTGTTTCTGGACCACATCCAGGCCCGTCGCTGCCACCTGTTTGGAGCTGGCCTCGGCGGATTCCTAGCACAGACCTACGCCGCCAGCTGTCCCAGACGCGTGGCCAGTTTGCTGCTATGTACAGAGGATTCTCTCCTTTGATTCTTTTTCTTGCGAAGTGCCTCTCCGACGGTGATATTTTAATGCGGGGGCAGTTTTGTTATTGTTTCGTCTTGAGCCGTTTGCTATTGTTTCGTCTTATAAAATTGAGCCGTTTGTTATTGTTTCGTCTCAATCGATCTCATCGTGTCAGATAAGTATGAAAAAACGTTCTATCTATGAAATCGATGATCGCATTTGCGACGAGAAACCAAAAATACGAAAATAACCACAGGCAACACGTTTTGCGAGACCCCATACTCCGGCGTCGGTATGGGTGCCGGAATGGTGATCGGCATGTTGCCAAGCGCGACGCTGCGGAGCATTGTCTTGAAGAACCACATCTCCGCACTAGTCCACGAAGAGGACGAGAGCAGCACGCGCGAAGACCCACATCTCGGGCCACTCATAAGGAAACGAAACTATCATCGCCGGATGGTGAAAGAAGTCGAGGCGTGGGTGGAGGGTATAGTTTTTCTTCCTCTAGACTATGTGTCTTTGCTTTGCAGTGAATGTGAGAAAAGTTGCGGCTGCGTTAAAAGTAGGATCTACATCTACTTCTTGTCGTGCGAGGACTTACCATACTAAGAGCAAGATCAACATCAGACGTCAAAATAGAAATTTTTATTTTTATCTATAATTCTTTCCACCATCGATCTCCCAGGTAATCTGACCCATTTAAGCCCGGAACTGCTGCAGAGCAAGGTAACTCTTGCTTATGCTGCAAGCACCCTACCGGAAGTGAAGATGTCAGACTACCGCGTGCTGATAATCGAGTGCTTGGACCTCAAGGACCTGAACGAGCAGGCTGCCCAAGGCAGCGCGCAGCTGAAGGCACGGCATCCCTATGCGAAGCTGGCCGACCAGAAGACTGGCGGCTCCTACCCGTTTCTGTGCGCCCCCATGGAAACAACCATCTTCCTAGAAGTACACCTGCGCAACTGCGACTATTTCCCGCAATTCGACTCACCGGGACCGAAGGTGCGCTTGTTTTCGCGTTAATAAATAATTTCACCTAATATTCAGTGTCAGATCCAGATGGTCTTGCACATGAGCATGACATTGACAATCAGCTTCGCCATAGTTGTTACAGCCCCTCTGGCTACAAAACAACACTAACAGACACCACACAATGAATTTTCTTGGCAATGAATTGACTAACCGTAACCACCTGCAGGTGAAACGCGCGCCAGACGATCTCGTGAGCGGCGCCGAGGTCTTTGTGCCGGATATGCCTGGAGGCGGCCCGCTGGCAATGTCACCTGCAGAGGTGGAGGCACCCGCCACACCACCCTCAATATCCAAGATCGAGAGCTCCATGTTGGAAAGCGTTCCAGAAAACGAGAGAAGACATCGCTGATCTATACATAACTGTTGACATAACTTTAGCTCTATGTTGTTGTTGACCACGGTTGCGTACATTACGGTTGCCTTCTCCTCTGTCCCGTCCAAGAAGAAGGCAACCACGACGACACATATCTAATTTCACGCGACACAATGCTCCCACGATCATGGATGATACATCATCTCGCGACAACACGACACGAAGGAAAAAGAAATAAAAAACAAACCAACGAGACTACGAGCGCCCTAGCTGAGGTTTAATCATATGAAAAATACCCAAAATATCTTCCGACTCTGATTAGTGTTTCAATTTTTCTTCTCCCGTCCTTTCGAGATGAGAGCCATCTTGTGCGCTTTGCTTTACTTCGGTCATGAGAGGAGTTTTTTCTTGGAGTAAGTTCTAGGAATCAAAAATGAGTCGATCTTGCTTATCCCTGATCAGCGAGCGTGCTGCGTCTCTCCAGCTGAAATCAGCGGCCCTCAACGTGGCAACGAAGTGGTGTCACGGGCGAGAAACTCGAGCACACATGTGTATACCGACAAGACGACGCAGCGCGAGCCGCAGTGTCATCCGTAGATAACGGCGGCCGTAGGATAAGTTCGAACAGACATGAAAATCATGTGGAGAGAAAGTGGTGCTGAAAGTCACAGCCAACCTCGGTGCGAGGCGAACAAATGTAAGTAGGATGCTCGAGCAGAGCGCTGTATCGGAGTCATGAAATGAAAAACAAACAGTGCACAAGCAAAAGCGTGTGAGTATGAAAATCAAATGTAACGCTCAGAATCATCATCACAAAACTCAGACTGAAAAGTGACATCTTCTAACTTCAAATCGGCAATGACACCAAATTTCTCATGGCTGCACATGTGCAGCAGATCCGGAAGGATTTTATCGACTATGTCTTGCGAGAACTCTTTCACAGATGTGAAGAGATCGGGATGGAGTTTCAAAGTATGTTGTAAGAATTTTTCTCTGGTTCCAATGTCGGCAATGTTGCAGTCGGTCGGAACTCGGTCTGCCCAGGGGCACATGCAATGCATGGATGAAGTGCACCAGAAAAACAGCGCCACTTGCGCCATGTGCGGCTTCGGGGAGTTCATGCTCAGAGTGGCGCACTTGGCTGACTCGTTGTCGATGGAAATGCGGAAAAACTTGTTCGCAAGTTGCTTTTCGAACTCGAACAAGGCCATGACGGTAGCGCACAGCTCCAAAAAAGAAATCGGGTGGCGGCGAAGTTTTTCTGGGATCTGCGACTCGTGAACTTTGCACCACCGCATGACTCGCTGCTTTCCGATAACCAAGACCGCGCAAAGGCGGCCAACTTTATGGTTAAAATTGGCATCGGTGTAGACCATGACGTTGTCAGCAGCCGGATCTTCAAATGCGGTTTTTTTCCTCATTTCCTTGTCGAGGATGGCCTTGATATTGCCGAGGCAAGTAGCCAACTTCGGGTCGATGTGCGGCCCGTATTTTCGGTTTTCCGTGTTTATGAAGTTGGACAGCGGTTTCATGGTCGGGTTGTATCTTCGCTCCACGAGCGACCCGAGGCAAAATAGAACTTTGCCATGAAGTTCAGCAGCTTGATCCAACGACATCTCCTGTGCGGCCAAGGCGGAATCGATCATTCCTTTGATCGCCTGCTTGCGCGACAAGGCGATGAAGAGCTCCGGAGTATCGCCCGCCAAGTCGAACATGAGTCCTAGGACTTCAGCAAGTTGCTCAAGTTTGATCTTGTTGGGGTGGATACTAACGCTAATAACTTTGAATAAATGAAGTACACACTCGCGTCCTTTTCGTCCGAGTTCGTACGGAATCGGTGCTGGGAAGTCGTCGACGTAGACTTGGCACATGATGCCAATGTAGTAGATAATAAAACTTTTTAGTGCGTCACTAATTCTGACCCAGTCAACTACAGAGTGCACATTTCCAAAAATTAAAGTATAGGCCTCGTTGAAGACCCATTCTAAAATGTCAGGATCGAAGTGCACAAAGCGATTAAATTTTCTGTGCTTCATCATCACTGCTATCACGTTGTAGGCTTTGTGGACGTCAATGACCAACATGAGCAGCTTCTGTAACTCGCCGCCTGCGGCTACGCGTCTTCTTTTCGGATGATCTGCACTGCTTTTGTACCCTGATTGGTCGCATTGCTTGTGGAAGTCCTGCGCGGGCTTCAAAAGAGAAGCAGGGATGGGAGTGCCGTTTTTGACGAAGTTGTCGAAGGCTTTTTCGAATTCAAGCTCCAGCGACCGTCCACGACGAATTACTCTTTTCGGCATGGCGATAATGTTGAGATCGCGGAGAGAACTGTCGTGGAGGATGGTGGCAGCGGCTAATACTTTTCCAGCGTCTGTCATCGGGACAGAACGCTCCAGCTTGCTCCGCTTGTTTTGTGGTACTGCAGGATCTATCATCCTAATCTTGTTTTTCTGCTCTATGGCGAAGCGGCGGAGTACGTGTTTCCACCCGGCCCGTTTCGCCTGCTCGTACGAAAGTCGTGGACCAATTCGCGCATGACGTAATAATGGTTCTACAGCGCGTTCTGCTTCCGTTTGCTGATGAATTTCGCGAATATGCTCCTTGCTCCAATATTCCGGTGGAGAAGTGCCAGGACAAAAATTGTCAATGTTGGTAGGGAGCGGAGATTCGTCGACAGCTGGTCTTTTCCGGTAATGCGGGGGCCAGCACGGTGGAGCGCGGCAATCGTACATGCATTTCCCGCCCTTGATGAGGACTTCGTCTGCTGTGCTATCTTCGTGTTTTGATTTGGAAAGTGCAAGATGAAAGAAGCCTATGTTGTATTTGCCGTGAAAGTCCAAGATCTCCTGCTTCATCTTCGCTTTTAGACTGGTGTCTAAATCAACAGCAGCTGCAACGTCGCGGTCTATCGCGGCTATCGGATCACCGTCACGCAACTTCGACAAATCCGCGCTCAAGAGCTCCTCGTCCAATGGCGTGAAAGGAGACTTTTTCCTTACGTCGATGCTGATCCGCTGTCGCATAAGCTTGATCCTTTCCTCGTACTTTCTCTCTTCCGCAGAGAAAGTGGATGACGAGGAAGAGGAAGCCATGATGGGCTAAGCGCAGACTACAATGCTAAAGGCTATCTCTCTGCGTGCGTCGATGATATGCAGCAGGAGGGCTCAAGATAGGCATAATTCTCACGAGTCAGCAAGTAAGTATAATCAAAAGGAAAAACTACTTCCCCGGCCCTGCCCGACCCCAGATCTTCCCACCGAAGAGACCGAGCGAGGAGATCGAGCGCAGCACAATCACGACCGAAATGAGTCTTGCTGACTTTTCAAATGGAAATAGCGAGCAAACCGACCAGGTTTGCTAAGTTCGCGGATGTGCAAGTGCGGCAACATGTGCACACCGAGCGTGAGAATTCCGCAGCAGACAAAAATGATCTGCGAGCACGGCACTGAGTCTTGCTGTTCGGAAATGCGAGTAGCAAGAGGCGCTTGTAAGTCCAAGCCGAGTATGATTTTCCCGTGTAAGACAAGCACCATGCTTGAATAAAATGTGGATAGTTTGTCTATGGCTGCTTTGATAGTCGGCTCTGCGTCTGCGCAGCTACATGGAAGAGTAGAGCTTTGATGTTATCATCTTTCTTTTAACAATGTAACTTGTGGAGCATATTTTTCCACTTTTATGCTAAACAAGCGCATCGCGACTTTCTGAAAATATGACATCTAAAAATTTTTTGACAGACTCACGACTGGAAGATGAAAATAAAATATTTCAAAACTTTTTCTTGTACGACAGAAGCGGATAAAGATGAGACGCGTTTTCATTATATTTGAGTAGCGTTTTTGCAGTCTTACTTTTGTGATTTTTTCAGACTTAAAAATTGTCGTGCGAAACATATGATTTTCATTTCTGTAGAAACACTGTGCGTCATCGCTTCAACTCGTCGTATTTGGCATGGTCCTCGGACAATCGCGACTCCGAAAAACTTGCTCGAGGCCTTCGGAAGTAAACTTGATTGTAGTGGCGAGGACGAAACCTGAGTGAGTATTTTCTTTAGCCCGGCATACCGGAGTTTGATGATGCATGAGTAACAGCATAGCGCATGGGAAACCAAGTGTCGTTTCTTTTTTAAAGATATGGAGAAAACTTTTCATGAGCAAGCAATGCTAAGTACTGAGCATCCGGATCTTGTAGAAGGACAAGTTGATGACTGTGATCACCGCTAAATTGCAGCACGAAGAGTGTTGCTGGTGATGCTGGAAACAAACTGGACCTGAGTGAGGAGATGGGAAATGATGCGCAAGTGATCGTCATGAAAGTTGTCAGAAGGAATTTCTTTTTGACCATGATGATGTGCGCAAGTGAAAATGCTACAAAGTGTGTAGGCAGCACATGATGGTGAAGATACCTGCAGCAAGTCGAAATTACTCGGACTCGCTGGACGAAGAAGAGCTGCTGGAAGACTCCTCCTTCCTCGTCTTCTTCGCCATCTTCTTGCGATCGCCCTTGGAATCCTTGTTGTCATCATCCTTCTTCCTCTTGGACTTGTCTTTTTTCTTCTGCTTCTTCTCACCGCCCTTGTAGTCGCCCTTATCGTTGATCCAAGAAAAATAATCGGTTTTCTTCAACAACGACTTCGCCATGTGGCTGCTGCGCACTGCGTCATAGTCTTTGCGACTGAGTTCGCTACGCTTGTAGGGATGCAAACCGTTGGAGCAGTAAGTCTTCCCCTTCTCCTTGTACTCCGAGTTGGAGCACGGAGTCATCTTGCAAAAATGCCAGCAAATCTTGGCGAACTCTTTTTTTACCGGATTTCGGCTGCTTCTTCATCGGCTTGCGACCACCGGCATCATCACTGCTGTCGGAATCGACGGAACGGCAGCGCTTGGACGCGTTGGAGTCACCCATGAGCGCGCGAAAGGACGGCTTCTGGTTCAAATTGTAGGTCGTGTGCACCTGCGCCATGAGCTGACTGTACAAAAATCGCATGCTGTTGGGGTTGTTCGCGCCGAGGGTCAGAAACACATTGACGCGATCCTGGTAGATGGTGGGGGCACCATTCACAATGGTGTCAGCAGCGTGGCATTCCGCCACTAACAGTGCTTCAAAAAATTTTTCATGCACAATCACCAACCAGGCATCGCCATCAATTTTCTCCGGACGCTCCGCCGCTTTCTCGTCGATGAACAAGCACAACTGCCCGGCTTCGATGGGGTTCAAAACTGCGCTCTCGCGACCGTTGACGGCCAAGTTGTGCAAGCACGTCTTCGGGCGGATGGGCTCCTTCTTACCGGACTGGTTCAAGATGGCGTGGGACTTGAGCTGGTACTTCACCTGCAAATTCTCCAGGGTGTGGACCGCGCGGTCCCTGATGGTGTTACTCACCAGGCGGAAACTTTCCACCATCAGCCTCTCGGACCGCGGAATAAAATCGGCGTTGCCATGTGCCGCCACCTCGGCTTCCAACAACGGCTCCTGATTGTGTTGGTTCGGGAAGGCCGGATTACCGGGGGCTACCATCTGGATGATGGGAACGCCAGCACCACCTGCGCCAGGGGCTGCCGCAGCAGGAGCAGGAGCTGGGCCCGGAGCTGGACCCGGAGCGGGCGCCGGGGCGGGACCCGGAGCTGGACCCGGCGCGGGACCCGGAGCAGGACCCGGCGCGGGCGCGGGTCCCGGAGCAGGAGCTGGTCCTGGGGCAGGAGCAGGTCCGGGGGCGGGGGCAGGACCCGCAACTGGGACACCACCGCCTCCGGCACCACCACCGGCAGCAACTGGATTGTTACCAGACATGACCGCAGCTTTTTCTTCTCTTGGAAAGTCGTAGAAGGAGTTTTTTGCAATCGCTCTTCTAAAATGTAGAATGTGTTTGCAATTTTTTGTGCGAGTAAAAATGGCACAAAGACAAACATAAATAAGTGGATACACAAAAAAGGAGCGCGGGATCTCGGACGACGGGCAGCAAAAGAAAGCTTTTGGAGAAATGGCGAAGTGACTCTCCTCTCGAAATCGTGTGGCTGCTAATTTAGCTGCTCACAAGAGAAAACGCTGTGTAAGAACACAACGAACGCTGCAACGAAAAACGGACGTGATAGACGTAGAAAAGTAGAGACAGAAAAATGTGTCTGTCAACCATGTCGTATAGGCTCCTTCGAATATTTTGGTTTTTTTGGAAGTGAGCGGACTGACTTCTGTCGGAAGAGAGTCTTTCTTTACGGGATAAAATCGAAGTCCTGGAGTTTTAGCTTTCTAAAGTCGTTTCCTCTTTGATAATACGTTTGCATCTCATCAGATTTCCACCTGAGACGAGCACCAATTCTGGCGTAAGGATTTTTCGTTTTCATAAGGTGGCGTAAACAGCCTACCCTCATATTGTGGGTTCTATTTGTCCCGTAGTATGCTACAAAGTCGCGCTGGAAATCTTCTTTCCACGAGTCCGCCGAATCCGCGAGCAATGGCAGCGTAGCGTGCGGACACAGATCTTTCAGCTCCGGGTGGTCGCAGAAGCATTTTGCAAACGCCTTTTTTATATAATTACTTTTGAGGATATATTTATTCATGTCCAGACAGAAAACTTCTGACGCCGGGCAGAAACTAAAGTCCCCCGTGAGTGGCACGTAGTAGCTCCTCGTATCCTTGGTCAGAAGTGCTTGCTCCTCGATGAGATTGTCATCTTCCGGGTCGGAATCCTCGCCAAGTTCGTAAATCTTCTTCTGCTGCGCGGCCGGTCGTGCACTTGAGCTCGAGGAAGATGATGACGAAGAGGAGGAACCAAATAGGTTCAAGCTGTCCCCACAACCGAATGAGATCTTGTTCATAAGCGTGTTGCGGCGTAGTCCAAATAGAAATCCGATGCTCGTTGCGGCACCCAAAAGCGGACTCGTGTTGAAAGTTTCGAGAATCTCGTCTAACATAATCGCCGGAGCTTGGGTGTGGGAGAAGTAGCCTTGTCTTTTTAACCTGTTCACAGTTTGATGTAAATAAGTTTTGTCGGCTGAAGAAAGTGCAGATCCTCCTTCTACGCACTCAAGTCGTGCTATGACGCTGAAGAGGTAATCGTCAGCCGTAAGGTGCAAGGACTTGTTCTCGCCGGTGCTGTTCACGAGGGCGGTGAGGAAGTTGATGGCATGCGATCGAGTCATTGGCCATGGCTTTCCAAGCCATCTGTAATGCACGCCGAGTTGAGCACATACTTGAAAGTAGAGACGGAGTCTACTATCCTCGGTCTGTTTTCCAGGACGTGCTTCGATTTCAGCTCGTCTCTTTTCAAATTCTGGCTTATTTGCTATTAATGCAAAAGCTTGCATTTTCTTCTTAGATTCAACTACATCAGTTCTTGCGCTTTTGTAAGCTCGCATAGTCGCTGGGTTTCCCGCAATCTCTTTGAAGAAACCGGGCGGGGGCTTCCAGTCTTCCGTCAAAACTAAGGCCTTCTTGCCGAGGTAGTCTGATGCTGGTAAAAGTTTCCCGTCGTCATCGAAGATGTAACTTTTCTTCTTCGAGCTGGAGTCAGCTGATGCTGGCGATGAAGTTGGGTCAACATGATGCACGGGTACTGCTGGATCAGCTACGACTGGTTCTGCGAAGAAGTTCTTCTGAAGTCGCTCCATGTCCGCTTCTTGAAACTTCGCGGATAGTGCGTCAGCGGCTTTTGCCTTCTTGAGTTGGCGGCTGAACTCGGAACCGCTCATAAAACCGCTCCTCCTTAAAGATGTCAGTCTTCCTCCGACTGTAGATTGCGCGCGAACGTCCGCTGCTCTTTCGGCAGCTTTCGCGGAAATCTTCGCGTTCATCTCCGCTTCGAAATCAAAACCGTCCATCTTCCGCTGAAGGGAACTGGGAATCAAACCGCAGGAGAAGGGTGGGAGAAAACAGAAGTGTGCAGCAACTCGCGCTAAGTCAGCACGCTGCGGGAGTTTCCGAATGTCTGTGCCCAATCTCTTAGGATCTCTCGAAGAAAAACTCGTCGCCGTGGTTCTTTGCATTTGCTTTTTCTTCTCCCGTCCTTTCGAGATGAGAGCCATCTTGTACGTTTTGCTTTACTTCGGTCATGAGAGGAGTTTTTTCTTGGAGTAAGTTCTAGGAATCAAAAATAAGTCGATCCTGCTTATCCCTGATCAGCGAGCGTGCTGCGTCTCTCCAGCTGAAATCAGCGGCCCTCAACGTGGCAACGAAGTGATGTCACGGGCGAGAAACTCTCGTCTCGTGCAAGTGCGCTCATCTCTCGAGGCGATGACCTGTGTATACCTCCCACCAGGTCGTGACTAGACGTAAAGTCTGAGGGCTATGCTCGACAGACTAGTCAAAGTATACACCAACAGGTCAACGACCACGAGAAAACAAAGAACGAGGTAGGGAACACCAAGTAGTGCTGTGAGAAGTGTCGCAAGCAAATGTATAGCCTGCTGTACAATAATGTGACAATTCACGTGCTCAGAGGGAGGCGATGCAAAACACCTTCATTCAAATAGAAAACAGAAGTGTGCAGCAACTCGCGCTAAGTCAGCACGCTGCGGGAGTTTCCGAATGTCTGTGCCCAATCTCTTAGGATCTCTCGAAGAAAAACTCGTCGCCGTGGTTCTTTGCATTTACTTTCACCCATCAAAATCAAAGAAAAAGAAACTCGGATCGTCTTCTCTTTCTTTCTGGTCATAATATCTGGGTATGGTAGGTTCAAACTTGTCATAGATCCGATCTGGGATTTTCGTTCTTCATTCTCATCATGTTATTATCTCTAGAAAAATGATTCAGATTGAATTGGTGTCGGAACATCATCATCCATTCTGATTTCATTCATTTTGATTTGTTTCATGAATCTCTTCGAAGAAAATCATTCTTCTTGGTGTGTGTTTTTTATAATATTGAAAAATGATTCCAGAATTTTCTGTCTCGGAATCATTGAAATATTTTATTTAAAATCATATGTGGGAATGGAATTTTGGGTTCCAGGATCTGGATTAATAATGGAAGAAAAATATCTTTGAAAATTTTCTCAGGATAGAGATGTGTGTGAAAAAATTTTGAAAAATTAATATTCGAAAATAATTCTGAAAAATTTTTCATGAACCCCCTCCCTCCGAATATTAAAAATATATTAAATTTTCAAAAATGACATTCATCTCATTCATATTTAGATTTTTTATTTTCTCCCGATATGATAAGATTACTTGAAATTTTCGAAAAATGAATGAAAAATCTGATTTCCATCATATTCCAAGAATATTGAAATTAAGAAATTTTCATTTTGAAAATATCCGGAATGAATCCCATTCCAGAATCGATCCAGATTCCAGAGATGATGAAAGACAATTTCGGACCGGACAACAACGACAATTTGAGTCATACCCAGACATGAGAAGAAAGAAAGAAAGAAATCGATCCAGATCCTGGAATCTATCCGATCTGAATAATTTTTTTATATATCATTCCTATTCGACCCATGATGATATTGAATTCGAAATCCCACATTTATATACATTGAAAATTTGGAATTAGAAGAATCAGAATTTGAATGAAATGAGGACTCATAATTGATCTGAATTCAGAGTTGGATAATAGGATTCTCGAATGTCAGATTGTATTTTCATTCATCTATCACCGAATTATCGATCACATTCCGAAGAGATTCTCTTCCTTAAGGATCGATAGATTTCCATCTTCCTCTTCGGTGAGGAAAATAGGGGCAATGCGCATGCTCTCACAATCGCAAATCGAAATCAATGGATGCCAGCGCGTCCAAACAAAGTGCGATATTAAATGTTCCTCTGATTTCAATCATTATGTTCATTTGTTTGGTTTTGTTTCTCATCCTCTTCTTCCAGTTGCGCTAAAAAAGAGCATTCGCTAGATGTCGTGTGGGTGTGTGGGTCTGGGTGAATATCATTTTTTTTTCGTCATATGTCGGCTAAGTTTAGTTCCTGATCCTGTTCGGAAGCGGAACAAAGAAGTCTTCTTTTTTTAAGTGGCAAATAGTTGTAATTGAGTCGATGCAGCAGCCTCTTCTTGAATCGTACAAAACCAAGTTCCTCACCCGTCAAGGGACAGAATGATCCTTCGGACAGAAAGTCAATGCCAACGGTCGCACTGCCGCAATTACTGTTCGAGGTACTGTGATGTGGTCCAGGCCCTCTTCTTCCTTCCACATCCAAAAAGAAGGGACCCTTGCGTTTCTGGAATTGCAAGTCCGAAACTCCCGCGGCTTGGAGAAATTGCGTTATGTTGTCCGTTTCGCCTCCATTTTCATAGTCAAGTGAAGAGGATGTGGATGATCTATCTTTGGAAAATTCCGTTCTGGTGTGTGTCATCTTCCTCGTCTTGTTTTCCAGTTGCCGCTGTCGTGTTTTGTGCTGTCTCGAGACGGGCGAGTCATCATCATCTTCATCCATTTCGATTTCCTCAAAAGTGTCCTCGTCGTCTTTTACAGCATCGAATTCTGACTCGCCCGCCATTTCAATTTCTTCTCCAGTTTCGTCCACAGAATTTTTGTAATTGTTCCGCAACTGACAAGCAGCGCCGGCGTACTTTTCGAGGAGTACTTATGGAACTGTCAGGATCGAAATCAACAAAATCGAAAAATTTGCAATGCATAAAATGTAGGGCATGTGTGGCCTGTGTTGGGGCGCCGGCAAATGAGACCGATTGCAAGCCTCTTTAGGGGAAGAATTCCTGCTGCCAGAGTAGCATGACAGGAGCAGCCTTCTTTGCCCAAACAGCGTGAGAGACTGGATTTGGGTGCTCCCGAAATTTGTCATGCATACCCGACTGCGCCACTTCAAAAACCTTTGCACCGTCGCCGCAAGCAGCTTCGGACGCAGGAGATCCGAAATTTGTCATGCGCCACTTGGAAATTGAGGCTCCAACTGGTGTCGATTTTATGCATCACAAATTTTTCGACTTTGTCAATTTCGATTCTGACACCTCCATAGTACTAGGACTGCCCGCGGCATCTGCCGCATCTGGTCTCCGTGCTCCAGCGTGAGCGCAAACAAAGTGCGGGCGAGCTGAGAGCTGGGCCGACTCCGCGCAAGCTTTTCATCTGCGGTCTGCGCAATGTAAGTGAGCAGGGCTTCCCGAAGGAACTGCGTGCTCAAAATCTTCTCCGCGCCAAACATGCTCGTCAGTGTCATCGCATCCAGCAGATTCAGCAACTGTCTGCTTGTGAATCCAAACAGGAGGGTAGCTCTTTCTGCCTGGTTCGCTTTGCCTTTCGTCGTCCGTCTGAGTTCTGTGTGGTCGGCCTCGGCGGTTGTCTTTACTGACGAGGACCGTGGACTAGTACTTGTAGTGTCGCTGGCATGTTGTGGACGTAGATTTGCAGTGGATGCAGACGATGTAAGTGTGCCCGAAAGCAGGTGGGGTACGAGCTCGTCGTAAAACAACGACCGCAGCTGCGTCTTGGCAGGACGAGGCGGGTAATCCCGCCCTCCTGGAAGACCATATCCATAGCGCTGCTCCGCATGCTCTTTCACTCCTGGTTCGACCTGCTCCTGCCTATACGTGAAGCCAAAGTCTCCCTGGCATCTGTTGAGCACTTTTTCGCGCACCCATTCCCGAAGCTCGCCTGTTTGCGTTTGCACATTCAGAACACCTCGCCCAAGCGGGCGATCGCGCTGAAAAGTTGCAGAAGCTTGCTTGTCATGATCCCCTATCTGCAAGATGTCGGAGGATGTGCTGGTGGGTGAGCCGTAGCCATGGAATGGCATCGCCTTGGTGACTGATTTATGTGAAGAAGGATAATCATACTGAAGGGGTATATGCCCAACCCGTGCACAAGCCGCAGCGAAAACACTCAAATGCAGCGGCGAGTGGTGGTCTAGTCGCGCTAAAATGCTTGCTCCAAGGCGATCCCAGACGTATTCGGTAGAAAAGCAGGCCCATAACAGAAAAAAGAGTACTTATTTATGTAGTGCGTTTTTTGGCGCGACAGATCGAGCATTTATTCGTGACACAATTTTACTATTTTTCTGGTACTACAGTTGTGCTTTTCTCGAGGATATCACGTCCTGTCCGCGGAGACCCATCCGCCCAAACGCGTACGCCAAGAGGATGACAGACTTGTCACCCATTTTCGTGCGCTGTCGGAATTTCTTTTTCCAACACGGCTGTTGTCCCTTCGATATTCCATCTGCATCGTCCTGCAGGGACAAATCGGGACCAGAAAAATCGTGGAAGGGGTGCGGGATGCTTTTCTGCACGCGCTCCATGGCAAAACGCATCAGATACACGTGCCGGATTCGCAGTTTAGCGAAACTGTACAACACTAGCGCCAGCGACTGGTCGGACAGTTTCCGTTCCCGCTTGATGCACAGAACAGCGAGGGTTTGCACCAACGAACGATGAAAGTGCTCGAACTTGGCGAGCGTGACCGCCAAGCTCGCGATGTGACGGTCCGTGACCCAATAGGCGGGTTTCCAATTCTCGTTCAGCCGCTTGCGCTGGAGTTTCAGGCGTGCCGCTTCCAGGCGCGCCTCGGTTTTCACGACGGATTCTTTCGGCTTGTTTTTTCTATTTCTTGGTCGGGAAAAAGAAGAGGAAGAAGATGTGTCGCGGGGAGTTCCTCGAACTGTGCAAGTACTAGAAGAAGCATCTTTATTTTGCAGAGGCTCTGGGGTGGGAGGAAGACTATCTTCAACATTGCGATCCGCAGGAGCAAAAAGTTCCTCTACTCCAGCACTGAGTGCATGTGCAACTCCAACTACATCATCGGCTTCATGCGGCCGTATCACGTTGTTCTCACCACCCGCCGCAATTTTCAAGGACGTACCTGGCAAGGACATCATCTCCTGTTCGGCGCCTTCGGTCGGAGTGTCTTCTCCTTGGCCCTTCGTCTTTGTCAAAAGCTCAGCTTCGTCTTTCTTTATTTTCGTCCGCCTACGTCTTCGTCCAGCACGAAGAGAAATCGGATTTCGTTTCTTGGGCCGCAGCATAGTTTTGTCCAGGTAATTTAGCGTCGGCGCCAAGATTTGCCTCGGGTAAAAGCCAAACAGCGCCATTTCGTGCAGGAAGATGATCATGGACTGCGGTGCCATGAGGTGCATCTTCTCGGAATACACCTGGCAGACCAGCCGCAGGGTCCGTGCCCACATGAAGTCTTCGCTTTTCCGGCGGTCGCAGCACTTCAGCCGCCTTTTGCGGAGCAGGTAGACAATCCAGCACAAATCGTACTCGTTCCAGCTGCACGCCGAGCGCTGCATGTGGCGGAACATGCGGTAGAAGAACTTTTCCTTCACTCGCGCGTTGCACTTCGCCATGCAGTACAACACCTATGAGAGAGCACAACTTCTCCTCCCCCACCCCCTCATTTGTATTGCATGAACAGCAATACAAACGCCAGCCCTTCTGGAGCCTGTGCATGACTATGACAAGTTCACCGGTAGAAGGTAGTACTGTTTGGCCTTCCGAAATTTGTCATGCAAACAGTGCCACAGGGCAGCAAATGGATTTGCGGTTTTGCATGACAATTGAGGGGGAGGGAGAGTTGTCGTTGTGCACTTTCATAACACCAGGCAAATCTGGGAGTGGGACAAGCTGGAGGTCCGGGTGCTCGGCAGCTGCAACACCGATTTCGACCCCACTTGGTGGCGGATCTGCTGTTTGCCGAAAACGGCCTTCTCCACCGCGCGCGCAACGACATTCCAAGCCGTGTTGCTGCGGTACTGCAAGCGCTGAAAGCTGGTTGCCGTGGACACCAGTTGCGCGGGGGACATCTTCTCCAAACTTTCCACCACCTCCTCCCGCAACTTCTGAAACCGCCGGTCCAGCTGGACCTCCCGCCCGTGCGCCGACATCGTGGACGAGGAGTAAAGCAGGTCCGCGGACGAATTTTGTACTCCGGCCACTTCGGAAGGAGAAGAACTAGAGGCGGTTCCATAGTTGTTCTCAAGGCCAGGAGAGCTTGATGTTGTCCTTGTTTCCGGCAGCATGATCCTTCGTCGCCTTTTTGCGTTGTGCAGCGCGACCGAGAGTTCCTGCAAAAGGTACACCTTCGTGGACACTTTTTCGTTGCTGGTGGTCCCGGTCGCGGCTCCCATCTGCTTCAGGACGTGCTGCAGCTTTTGCTCCGTGGTGCGGTCCTGAACCGGCGCGCGCTCCTCAAAGCACAAGGCGCCTCCAAAGTCGGAGGATTTGTACACTTGGGACGGGAAATCTTCAAAACCGGCAACATCTTCATCGGTGCTACTCTGTTGAGTGGTGACAGAAGCGGTTCTACTATCGCTGAAATGAGAACTAGCATGCTCGTCCACTATCAGTTTTATTCCGTCGTCATCATCTTGAACCTCATGTTCGCAAGGCACTTCGGAATTTTTGCCTCGGCGGGCGAAAGCGGCATCGCTTGTCGTGGTCATTCTGTGCGAGCCGGTAGTCACAGTCGGTCGCGTTCTACTCCTGCCGGTGCACCAGCTATCCTCGGTACTCCTGGCAGCTGAAAGCTTCCCTGAAATTGCGAAGCTGTTTCTACCAGAAAAAACAGCTTCCGCTTCGTGGTTTTCACCTTCGTCGAAAGCTTCGCTGTCGCTGTGTCGTTCACCAACATGCTCATTCCCCCTGCTGTTGAGAAAATCCGACAGGGTTGATAGTGAAGCTGAGTGCGGGTTTTCATGTTGACCACTCCGTTCCACAGCCGAAAGCGCCGCATCGCTGTCCGCGGCGAGAGCCGCTGGTTGTGAGGAAGAAGTACTAAACGTCCTTCTTCCTGCAGCACCACGGAGTGTTGAATTCGAAGTGTCATGCCCGCAACAGCTCCTGGAGGTTCCAGATGAAGAAGTAGCGCCGGAAGGAACTCCGTGAGATTGTGCCTGTTTGGCAAAACCGAGAGTCCAATGATGGTGGCTCAAAAGGGTCTGCGTCAAGGCTCTTGCTCCCGCGGGCGCCAGTACAGTTGAAGAGGAACTGGGTGTGGTCGTAACCAGCACCGACCGCGAAGTAGAACTTGAACTAGCACATGCAGCACGCTGCATCGTGTTTTGAAAATTTTCAGGAAGAAACGGAAACCCAACTTATTGCCTTCTTCGATACTACTAAGCAATCGATGAAAACTGACAACAGATGAAAGGGGAACGCCAAATGAGTTGCACGACAGTCACCGCGTTTTTTTTTTCGAGAACACCAAAAGCAAAGCTATCCGAAAGAACATGAACATGCAGGAGCGAGAAAAAGTAAAAGACACGACAGGGAAACGAGATCGAGAAGTAGTAGAACTAGAAGTGGATCGGGATGAAAATAAAGAGAACCGGATTGTAATGATCGGAACAAGTGAACAAGACAGATGATCTCAGTGAGACCACACCAAATTTTGATCTTTTCAAGTGCGTGGATCTTCATTTTGCATGTCAAAAGCTGCGGAGCGGGTGTTTCAGCGTCTCGAACATGTTTCGAAAATCCTGCAGCGTCCACATGATGTTACTGGCGGGCAGATGGAACTTCTCTGATGTTTTTGCTTCCATCATGACGTCAATCTAGTTTGAAGCTGCGCGATTGCGGTTTTCCGCCGAAAACTAGTATAGTATGATGATGTTGCTCAAAGCATGTAGTCCCCGAATGCACCGTCGGAAGGGGCCGCGCTAGACTTCGATGCCATTGTAAAGCCTGCGTTCTTGCTCTCACTGCGGGTTTCGGATTTTTTGATTTTCGGTGGAGGGGCCCTAGGGTTTTTCGATTTCGACACAACTCGAGTTGCACCTACAGGGCCAGCAGTGACCTCGATGTCGTCGGACATCAGCATCGCGCCCCGCAGGGCTGACACTCCACTCTTGTCCGACCGGTTTTCCCTCCTACTGGTGTGACCAAAAAGCGTGTCGGCCGCAGATGCAGTACCGGGTCCTCCTGCGCGTGCGCCGCCTTTGGAGGACGCATAGTTGTTAACAACGCCCCCACGAGGACCTTTGCCTTTCGCACGGCTACCGTCCATTACCCGTAACCGATCCGGTGCAGCAGGGTGCTTCTTTGACATTCGTGCGCCCCACATCCACTCCTGCGTACTGTAGGTCAAAAACAACTCCTCGACGGTTGCGGCCTGCGGGAAGCCCGTCACGTAGGAAAGCTGCGGCACCAAATGCGTGCGGTCCGGCTGCTCCGCGGAGAACGTCGCAGCTTGAAATTTCCGGATATGGAAGCGTCAGCTTGGAAATCGTCGAAATGGAAATGAGTGATCCTGATCTACAGTGAAGAAGCAGAAAGTCGAAGATGCGTCTTACTGTTCTTGAGCGCAAAGACGTACGCTCCTGTCATGCATTTCTGCCGTCATTTCCTTGACCTAGACCTCCACCTTAATCAAGCCGGCAGTCGGTCTCTCATCTCTCTTGCAGTCCTTGCAAAACAAGAAAAATGTGCCTTCTACTCGAACTCGATTTTACGCAGGTACAAATCAATTAAGTAATCATTTCCACTTTGCAAATTTCAAACCGGTCACTGCCATACTGGAACGACAGCACATAATTGTTCGTGTACACCACACCGCCCTGCGTCCCGCAGCAGCATCCAAGAATTTTCTCCACGACTCCCGGACCTCCACGACGGGACGTTGTATTTTTGTTGTTCGTGGTGTTCCCAGTAGACCCAAACGTACGACCACTTCCTGGTCCCATCTTTGCCGTTGAGAGTGCCTCTGACCAGAGTTCGTGGTGGATAGCGACCGGCACGCCAATGCCCCTGCGCAGTGGGCGCGCGATGTCGGCGGCCACCAAAGCCTGGCCCCAAATCCCCAGCTCGTTCTCGCTGCTGACTGCGAGCGCGTGCGTCGGAGATACCGAAAGGTGCCGAACGGGCGGGAAAATACTCGCAGAATCCTTGTTCGCGAGCATTGTTCTTGTGTCGTCCGTGATTGTCGCCGCGTGAAACCCGTTCGCTTTCAGTATTTGCGTCGGCCTCGCCGCCGCGCGCACGTGGAACCCGAGGCCGAGCTGGCCTAGGGTTGCCGAGCCCCAGGTGTAGACGTCCCCGTACACGGAGAGCAGCATACCGAACGCACCGGCGAGAAAGATGCGGTGCATTTCGGGAAGATGCGCGCCACGGAAGAACCGAGGTTTGCAGGCGAGCTCGAGGTTCATTTTTTCTGGCAATGCTGTGGGCTCCGGCGGTGCGCCGCCAAGAACACAAGCAACGCCGTCACCGAAGACGAAGCCACTTCCGTCTCTGTGTGCGGCGATGGAAATGCAGCGGCTGCTGGAGGCGGAGGCAATGTCCAGCGGAATGGGCTCCTTCACGGTGGACTTGGTTGCAACGCCGAGCTGGCCGTGGGAGTTACTGCCCCAAGTGAAGACCGCACCCGTGTCCAGCCGTACGACGCAGTGGTCGGTGCCACAACACACCTCAACCGGGGATCCACCGCGCAAAGAACCGATAAACCGCAGCGGATCCCAATCAATAGATTTCGGGCCGAATTGCAGGACCATCGACGTCGGCCCTTCGTCCAGGGTCGTCGGGCTGGGGTTTGAGTTAGGGTTCTTGCTGCTATCATTTTTCGATTGCGGCGCGACAGTGACGAAACTTCTCTCTTTATGTGAAGAAGTATTTTGTTGAACCCCATCGGCTTTATTTCGTGGCTTGTCCCTGATGTAGTCGCACAGAAGCAGCGAACGTCTATCCCCCAGCGCTATCGCTTGTGGTAGAATGAGATTGCTTTCTGACGAAAAGTGCACTTTGTCCAGTCCGCTGCGCAAGCCAGCGAGCCGACTGCTCTCTTTGCCCTGAAATCCGAGCGCCAGCACCTTGCCGATCAGAATGCCGCCCGCATTTTTGCTCTCGTCCATGGGGGCGGCCAGCGGGCCGGGGACAAAATCTTTCGTTTCGTCAGCCGTACCGTCTGCGGGGAACGTAAACGCGCTGCCTTCCTCTGCCATCCGCTCCGTTTGCTTTAGCCACCACTTGCGCCAGTGGCGCTGCACGACACTGGTACTGGACCCCGTTTTTTTGAACCACCGGCGCCAAATCAGCATGCGCAGCAGGCACTGCAGCACGAACGCCGCTGCGCGCAGCCGCATGTACCCTTTGCGCGCAAGATAGGAACGAAACGCGGCCTGGATCTTCGCCGCGCGCCGATCGTAAAAAAAATGTTTCCGGATCTTCGATCTCTTCTCCTCTAGTGCCACCAATTCCGTGGCAAACGCTTGGCGAGCGCGGTGCCCACGGTACAGGGCCTGAATCTTCGTTGCGAACGGCGCCGCGCGCGCCCAGAATGTCTTCACTCGGAGAAGCAGTAGTCGCATGCCGGGAACGAGTGCTTGGTAGCGTCGCCGATCGCGGTACCCACGCCAGTACCTCTGAATGACAAAGGCGCAGCCGGAGTACTGCTGGATGATGCTCACCACATACAGCGCCCGGGCAGCCAAAAACTGCTTCGCCTTCGCCTGCACCGTGCGCGCTGCGAACATGTACAGGACCTGAAAGCGGACGCGGTCCGCCTGCCGCATGGCGAACAACCGCCTCACGTGGGTCTGGATTTTCAGCGTCGCCGCGGCTTTCTTCTGGTGGAAGGTGACGAGGTTGTAACTCCTCCGCACTTTAAACCCCCTAAAATTTGCCTGCAGCCGCGTCGCGCAGCGCTCGAGCCACCAGTCGCGAATGCGGAGGCGGAGAAGGAGGCAGCTGCCGACCAGGAGGTTTTTTGCTTCTTCGGATTTCCTTCTCCCGTGTCGCACGCACCAGGCGCGCGTGAGCGCCTGAATTTTTCTCGCCAAGCTTCTTTGCTGTTTCACGTACTCCTTGGCCTGCTTGCCGCGAACGTAGGACTTGATGTAGGCAATTTTCGGGAGCAGCGCGTCCAGAAGCGCCGCCTTTCTCCGGTCCAACTCGTAACGCCCGGACTTCTTCAAGAAGACAAATCTCGGTTGGTCCCGCGCGCCGCGCGCTTCGTTCACCGTCGCCTGGGAGTTTTGTGATAGAGTCAGTTTACTAATTTTGCGTGTTGATCTTGCTGCAAAAAAAAACGAATGCAAATACGTAGAAAAAGTCACGTGCATGCGCAAGTCCATCTGCACTTGCTGCACTTCATGTTCATCACAGTCACAGATAGAGATGCACGAATGAGTCCTCACAGTCTTCGTCTTACTATGATGAATCTTCTTTGAAATACCCTTTCCTTGGAGAAGTGGATTTCGGAGAGGGCGAGCCCGGCCTGCAGCGCGACTTCGAGACAGAGCTGCTGCGGAGGCAGCAGGTTCGCCACGTCAGCAATGTTTTCTCCGAGGAGTTGGTAGCGCTCCACAAAGGTCGTCAGCGCGAGTTTCTCGGTGTACAAATTCCGCAGCTGCTGTGCCTGCGCGAGAATCTGGTGCGCGGCTAGGTCGTCGAGAATGTACTTTCCGGGACGCAGACAGTACAGAACGTGCACTTGTTGTTTATCCCGAAAATTTTTCCGGCACGTTCCCAGAAATTCGTCGCAGCGTTTTCGCACCCTGCTGCTGTGCAGCACTTTGTCCAAATTTTCCGGATTCACCTTCAGGTGTTCGTCGAAGTCCGTGTGCGAGAAAATTTTCTGCACCAGCCGACCCGCCTTCGTCTTCAGATCTGCTTGCCTCAGGTACAGCAGCAGGGGAGCTGGCATCTTCCGACTGTTGTCGCTGACCGCATGTGGATTTTCCTGTGTGTTTTCCAGTAAGTTCGCATCGCGGTACTTCACTAGTCCCCGCCCCATGTGCCGCACGGTGAAGTAGTCGCGGCCACTGCCGAGAGGACCGAGTGGACCTCGGGAACTGATTCCCGTCGTCGCCCATGTCCTTGCGCTGGAGGCGGGAGAGAGGTCTTGATTGCTAGAGCGATAATTCTGATGTTCATTATCCCTCCGCGTCCGCGAAGACGACGGCTCTCCTGGGCGGCCGGAGCCGGATGCATCGCCTGCGCCGCCAACGACAACAGTAGCAGCAGATGAAGCGCAGTTTTCTAAACTCGCTAATATGCCGGTATGTGGGTGTTCGAAGACCTCCCGCACCGTCCGGGTGCCATTCTCGTAGCTGACGACGTCGCTGGCATGCAAGGCTTCCGCGAAAAGCCCTTTCGTTTCCTCCACTGGTCCCTCCAAGTGCTGCGGTAAAAACCAGTTTTGCAGCTTATCGCAGGCGTAGTTCTGCATCAGCTTCTCCACATCCGCGGGCTCGTACGCACTTGCGGGTTGCGGCCGATCGCCGGAGGTTGTTAAACCGATGGGGACTCCCGCGAGATTCGTGTCTTTTCCCGAGGACAGTGGATCGTAGAGGGAGACCGTGTGTCGCGCCACCGCTTTCCCCGGGTCCGGTTTAAGCTTTTTGTTGACGGCGGCAACCAACTGCGACAAGAGTCCCTCGTACAGGTGCATGGCGAACACAGCGAGGTTGTGCGCGACTTTCTCCGTCGCCAGCGGCTCCTGGAGCGGCAAGTCCTCGAAGCTAGTAGCGGGCGTGATGCGGAAGTTTTTTGGCGGGCGATAAATCAAGCCGCGGCCCAGGTGCTGCACGTCGAGCTCCAGCAGCTCGACTACTTTCAAGATCTCCTCCGACAGCTGGCACGCCTGGTGTTTACTGGTCGAGGCTCCGGGAGAGCTCATCGCGCTGGGCCCCTTTGGGGAAGCGACGCGGGTCCGGATCCCGCGGATGAGATCGACGGAGCTCAGGACGGCGAGAAAGGTCTCCGCATCTATGCCAATCTTCTGCAGGGCCGCGGGGACTGTCAGCTTCTCGGAATCTGGCAGCACGGGTGGAAAGCCGCCACGGAGGTAAAACGCGGTTGACGGCTTGTTCTCTTCTCGTTCTTTCGTGTCTCCTTTGTTTTTCATTTTCTCCTTTTCTTTCTCGCTGCTGCGATGCCTTCTCTTATCGTACCAATTGTGCCGGCCCTCGACCTGGAACTCCTCGTCTAACAGCCGAAAGATCGCAAAGGAAGGCCGTCGGGCGTAGAACTGCGCTGGGGAGAGCGCACCCATCTGGCCTACGCTGAGACTGCATCCGACGGCGACGGCTTTTTTACCCGACGCTGGGAACTGAAACGTGAGTTGGAGATCGAGCCTGGATTCGAAATCGTGCGTGATCCCGGGTTGGCTCGTCATGCACTGCACTAGCGAAAGCAGCTCATGCAGCGACGGAATCGATCCCGCCTGGGACTCGAAGGACTGGTCCGTAGTGAGGTATCGGGACAAAAAGTGCATCCACGTGCTCTTCCCCGCCTTGTTCGCTCCCTGAAGGACGATGAGCGAATCTTTATTCGGAGCTGCTTGTTCTTCACTAGTGTTCTTCACTACTTTGTTCGGCACCGAAGAAGAAGACGAACCACCACCACCACTCGCCCCAACCCGAGATGAAGATGACGCCGACGACGACGATGTCGCTTCTCTCCAACAGGTGTCGACCAGACAAAAAGGGTGCGGCTCCACGTCGGCAACTACCGCACTCTCGTCCTGCAGCTGCCTGCGGACCAGATTCGCCTCCGCCTCCAGGTCGACGTTCAGCACGTCTTCGAGAGCAAACGGTCCCCGGGCAAGCAGGGACTGTCCGCCCACCAGCCAGGTGAAGTCGCGGTTGAACCCAGCGTGGAGAGCGAGCGTGGCGAGATTCACTTCCTCTTCGTGCTTGACGAAGTTTTCCAGCACTCCCGTTACCTTCTGCGGATTGTACGTGCGATCGAACTCCTCCGTCCAGCGGAGGAAAACGCACGCGCGCGCGATCCACTGCAAGCGCTTATCCGAAAAGGAAGAGCTGCTGCCGGTGGAGTTCGTCTCGTCGATTTTGTCATACCGAACCAGCACCCGGTCGCCGTCCACGTCACGCACCGTCGCGGCAGCAAGCACGTCGTCGTTGCGGTACACCCACACACGCCGCCCGCGTAAGTCGCAACGAGCCTCCGAAACCAGGTCCATTCGTAGCAGATTTCGGTGGGCTTGTTAACTACCACCGATCGAGAACACAAGCAAACGCCAGGACCGGGTGCAAGCGTCCAGCGGACGAGCACGAGGACTACCACAAAAATAGTATTACGACATAGAGTGCCATCACATCTTGTTCTTCGTGCTTGTTAGGGAGAGGCCAGTTGCAAGAGGGCTACTTATTCATTAAGAGGAGCAGCTTCATGATGAAGTTTCTTGCAGATCATGTAGTTCGATGATCATAGCCGTATCATGATCTACTTACGTTGCTTCTTTCCCTAAACCGAAGTGGCCCGCGCTTTCCCCATCGCCATTCCAAAGGCTAACGCGACCGGTGAGCGTACAAAATTCAGAATACCCGAGAGCCCGAGGATGGGATTGCGATGCTGCTTTCAGAAGGAAACGACAGCGCTGTCCGACGTCTCCGTCGAAATTTTGATTTTTCTGGTGTGATGGTGTTCTAGACTGTGAAGTTGCGACGCTTTTTTTACATTCATTGTTGTTTCAGGCTCTTGAGCAGCTTCCGCTGACCTCAGAGGTTGTTCATTTCTGTATCTGTTCTGTTTTATTCGGTACATTTGGGAAAAAGACTGACGAGTAGCAAAAGTCCTGCAGCAGCAACAAATATCCGCTCATTGAAGTTCATTTGTTTCTGAATCTGCACCGCCTCGATGTGCACGACCATGGCAGTGGGACTCGGAAGGATTTTTGATGCATGCTGCAGGTTGAAGTTTCTATATCCTTTGTGAAGTCTGATTCTTCAGTTTCTTTGTTACAAAACAAAGGTGGGACCAAATATTGGGACATGGGGGAAATAGCAGATGACCCACCGCAGGATGGCCTCCTGCACCTCGCTGCGAAAATTCACCGCGGTCGTGGTCGCACCCGGAGGAGCGGAGCTCCCTCTGGCGAACGTGAGCGTTGTCCACAAAGCGATGTTTTGGTCATGGCCGTCGGCCGAGAAAGCAAAGTCCGGCTCCGCGAGGCAGCGACAGTGTTTCCCCACATGCACACTGCGCAATTGGTCAAAATTCCATCTCCGGCCGTCGAGGAAGAGAAACGACGTTCGGCCAGTATTATCGCGGTCGCTGGTGACGATGGAAAATCGGAGACTGTTTGTTAGTTTGTGTTTATGGTCGAGTACTAGAGGTTCTGTTCATACTTGAACGTGCAGGCGAGCGCAAACCCAAACGTAATGGGATTTTTGGCTGAGTTTCAGACAGAAGCAGGAATAGATCGTTTTTTTTTTCATTTCTACCGCGCAATAACATGAGCTTACCCTGTCGCGACCCTCCTGGTCTTTTCGTCCCAGTATGTGACCGAGAATGCGTGCGCTAGTGTCTGCTCGACGAGAGCCATCGACCATTTTCTGTCGCGCAGCTCAGAAGGCGAGATCGTCGGCGGAGTCAGCGGGCTAACCGGCAAAAGCGCAGATGCGGGCGTGAGTCCGGACAGCGGAGATCGCCGGTAGTGCGGCTGGTTCGCTCCCGGGGTGACGGCAACTACTCTTTCCGCAGCGGGAGTTGTTTCGTGTGTGGATCCAGTCGAAGAAGAGGACAGATTAGACTTAGAGACGTCAGCTGCATAATCTGCAGTAGCACCACGACCAGAAGCAGATAGCATGCTGTGGTCTCCGAACACCGCCGAAGTAGATGATACCGCTGTTGTGTTAGTGTTTTTCCTTTCCGTGAATATGTCCTTCGAGGATTCCTTTGATGTAGTTGATTTGGAGTTTGCATATTGCGAAGGCGTTGCAAGAGAGTTCTGCAGGTTGAGCGAGGTCTGGTAAGGACTTCTGGATTTGTGCTTTCGGATGAAGCCTCTCGCGTCCAGGAATTCGGTGCAGCTGCCGTTGCTCCTCTCGTCGATGTTGTCAAGGTGTGCGATATTTCTGTGATCCCCCGTAGTCGGAGTCGGTGTCAGCACCGGCCGTGCTGGTGTTTTGTTCGGCGCTGTGGCGGCCGATTTGCTCAGCTGGCTGTATCCGAGTTGCGAGCGCGACCGCGAAGGGTCCACTTCATCTTGCGGCGTGTCGGGGAGATTCATGTCCTCCAAGAATCCGACATCAAACTCGATAGAATTCGACGGCGCATCCTCAAACTCAGTTCTATTTTCAACACGACCATATCCATAGCCGTAATCGTAAGCTTCTTGCTCTTCTCCTTGTCCCCTCGCTCTGCGGTCGAGATCCTCCGGATCCACAGGCGGAAAGCATGCGGATGCGGTGCCTCCATTTCCTGTGGTCGATGACGAATCCCTGCCGCTTGTGCAGTGCATCAGCTCGTCTATTCCTAGCGAGGGTGTTAGCTCGTGTAGCTCGTCTTCATACTGGTCCAGGATGGGCTGCCCGAAGCTGGCGCCCTGAAAGCTGCTTGTCGAGGCCCTGCCGCGGTTTTCAGGAAACGTCAAGACGCCGGCGTCACTGGAGGACGAGCAAGCCGCTGAAGAACCTGAAACCGGATGCTGGTCATTTTGAAAGTACGGGGTGACACGCCGGTTTGCGTGGTTCTCCACGTCGAGATTTTTTGGCAGCGGTGTGGATATCCGTTTTGGTTTTGCGTAGTGCAGGTATCGGGAAAGATTGCAGCTGCCCGACCGGTCACGAGACGCCGCCGGGGGCGGCGTCGTAGCCGAAGATGCTGAGGACGCACTAGATTCCGCGTAGTAGAGCAAGGGGGGCCCGGATCCACCGTGCTGCAATTGTCCACCTTCGGGGTCTTTGCTTTTCTGGTATCGCTGCACAACGTGCTGGTAGACGTGTTGCAAGTCCTGGTCCTCCTGCGTAGTCGAAGTCTCTTCGCTGTTTTCGGCCGTACTGGTGCCAAATTTCGCTGGTTTGGGGAAGAGATCCGGAGACCTGGTGGCCGCACTACGGCGCTGTCGCTGCGTGTCCGAGGGTCTGGAGGAGTTTTGATCTTGCGGAAAGAACGCCGCTACGCCAGAGCCTGTTGAGAAGCAACATTTCATGTTTTTCGTCCGTTGTGGAAGCAACCCTATTTTTTCAACATGGGTCAACGACGTCCATGCGTTGCAAAGACCTTCACATTCTGCAAACTAGTTACGAGCATGAACGAGGGCTACGGCTATGTGAACATACCAGCGCGTTCCGGTTCCGCGTCTGCGGCTTCCTCCTGCAAACCGAGGTGGTGGAGTAACCGATCGCTCTGACGCTGTGGTGGGCTCACGCTGCGAAAGGTTGCGTCACTTGCCGCTTCGGGATCGACACTCGGTCGCGGTTCCAAGACTGTTCTCGATGGCGGCTCGCGGTAAGGGACGCGAAAGCCTGTTTGCGCAACTGCTGTTTGTAAAGGGGGAGCCTGCTGCGGTGCACGATTAGGGTCCTTCCGACTGCGATCTTCTTGTTCGCGCCAGCCCCCCCTGTTTCTCTTCTCGTTCGTTCTGGACGATAATGAATTACTCTCTATCTCTGGCTGCAACAAAATGACGGGGAATTTCGGTCGGATGCCGGCGCGTGCTGCCGCTGATTGGCGCTTCTTTTGGTCCCATGGTGCGAAGAACGGCTGCACTACGTTGTCGGCACTATCACTAGAGGAACTAGACCTGCTCTTGTTCTCTTCCGAACTGTACTCGTCCGACGTTTGTCTCGTCCTGCTTCTCGTACTGTTCCCGGGGCGTGAAGCCGTGGTGCCGCGCTTTTTCTTCTCCAAGACTGGTAGGGGCGACATGCTCATGATTTGTTCCAGGGACGGAGTTCCGGGGGAGGCCTGAAAAGCCACATGCACAGAACCGTCCGCGCCGTGCTCAGGAACAAGCAGGTCATCTTGCTTTTCATGTCGAGCAGGCGTGTCATGTATTTTCTTAGAAGCCGCAAGGCCCTGCGCATCGAAATCAGTGACGTGTTCCAACCTGCGCCGCAAATCCTCTTCCATGAAACGGAACACACACAGCAGGTACTCCGCCAATTCCTTTTCAGACAGCTGCCCGCCGGTCTCCCCATCATCTCCCCCTGTAGGCGATCCCGGTGCAAGCGATCTGACCGACACGACACCTCCGGTTTCGCCCGTGCTAGTAGAATAATTGTTCCTAGAACGACGAGTGTCCGCAACATTACCATCAGGAGAACGATAGTGTGTTCGATCCTTCACAAAATCGCGAAAGACGCAGCTGATTTCCGGTATCGCGTCCTTGATCGCGTAGCTGTCGATGTAGTGCTGCGTTGCCTGCTGCACGAGCGGCGCGGAAATTTCTCGCTCGACGAGAATTTGGCTTGTGTATTTTTGCCATACCTTCCTTGTTTCCTTTTCCAAAAGTTCTGCATGTCGCAAAAACTGCATCAACCGCCGGTGCAGTTCCCGCAGTTTCTGAAACCGCAGCTGCCTTTTCTTGAACTCCGGGTCATTTTCGTGAAACTCTTCGGCACCGCCCCGCGCAAGACAGAAGTCGTTGAAGCTCTTCCCGCCGAAGCCCTTAGACTCTTGCTGACCCATAATGTGCTTGTGGAGCGATGTTAAGTAGATTCAATGCAGGAGGTTGATGAAAAACGCAGAATGTCGCTTGGTCTTGCCGCTCTACTCTGGAGGCGGCCGCGGCCGTGGGTCAAACTAACAAAAGCAATGCCGACAATGTGCGTTCGAGTTCGTAGAACGACGGAATGAGATAGAGATACGGAGGTGGCTCGATCTTTTCCTCTATACTTGTATCATGTACACACTGCTCGTTGTATGCTCGCTCAACGCTCTTTCTGGAAAAGAACTTCATCTTCCCTCCGCTCAGTTTTTACTACGACGAGACGCGAACGAGCCCGAGGAAGATGTCACAAACACAATTGTCAACTCATGCGAATAGATCCGGGTCATCCGCTCATCACGGGCACAACCAACAGCGATCAAGTGCAAGACCAAGACGCCGGCTACGACCTACAGGAGCTACAGCAAGCATTTGTTCTGGATGCACTTCGTCACGACGACGCCGGTGCCAAGCTCAAGGTGGTAGTACCCCAAATGTACTTGTGCGTTGAGTTGTCGTTCTTAGGTACATTCATTCAAGTTGTCGTTCACGAGCATGGCTGCAACGGACTGTTGTCTCCGTGCCGTTCAAGATCATTTTCTTTTTCATTCTCATTGATTGGAGATATCACACCATAATCTTTTACTGCCATGCATTGCGTGTAAACCTTTAGCAGACATACGTATGCGCGCAACTTTTTTACCCCGGCGGGCGGTGCTTGTCAATTTTCATTTTCTTTGAAACGCAAAACTTAACGTGATCTTCGTCATCAATGCAGATCAAATCAACCAAAAAACTACTGTTTATGTCGTAAAACGAGAAGCAGAAGGCTTGCCTTGAGGGCAAAAATCTAAAAACACACACACGGCCACAGCAAATCACGCGAACGGCACCGCAGCGGTGTGATCGCAATTTGGGTACAAGGGCGAGTAACGGCTGCGATGCTGGTCGATTCTGGTCTCCAGGTCCCGAACTCGGCTGTACACCAAACCCTGCTGTCGGTGCTGGTTTCGCTGATCCAGCTTGAAATTTCGGTGTGTACTTTTTGACGACGCGGAAGTAGTGGATGCAGTGCTGTCCTGGGAGAGTGTGCGATGCAGGAAGTCACTCGCAGCTGCATTGGACATGCTGGTTGTACTACCCCAGCTGGCATCTTGATCGTCATCGCATTGCGTGCTTGCGTTGTCAGTTTCAGAGCACGATACCGAATCGGCGTCTCGTGCAGCTTCAGTAGGCATCAGATCGCGCCCCCTTGGAGCATCCTTCTGATCACGCTGCACGAAGTAGTACGGGGCACAGTGTTGCTGCTGCTGTAAGGGCAAAGATTCAATCTTCATCATATCTTGCGAAGGATCTTGTTCAGCCTGTTCTTCACAATCATGGCCGTATGGTTCACCTGGAAAGACCCTGGACAGCATGGTAGCTTCGACAGAGCAGAGGTGCGAATGAAGGGAAACGCAACTATGCGATTCCGTAGCGCTCCTGTCGAAAAGTGCAGTACTGGTGTGTACGTTCCCTGGTGCAGCTTGTAGTTCATCTACATCAGAACCCTCATCGTACTCGGACTGTGCGGATTGGGCGTACACTGCGTACTCGTAGTCTTCGGGGCTGAGCAGCGGTGACTCGTCCAGGGCACCTCCGCGTAACGTGGGGCAGCTATGCGATGGCTGCAGGAAGAGCGGCGCGACTGGTCCCGTCGCCGAGTCGTGGTTGTAAGAAAATGAGCCAGTAAGATAATCATGCTGCTCGGCTGGGTCGTGGGAGGATGAGGCGTCCAGGCGAAGGGGAAGGCGAAGACGAAGACGAGCGGTGGAACTTGTTTTTTGAAAGCCTTCAGACTGCACCTCCTCCTCAGCCACCGGCGGTTGCGAGGAACTAGAAGCAGCTGTTGCAGCAGAAGCATCAGAACTTGATGTGGCTGGAGTTGAAACAGAAACAGTACCGCCAGAACCCTGGCTTGCTTCTTGATGTTTCAACAAGTGCGCACCGAAGATCCACCGGGGCCGCGCCCACGAGGACAGAAACGGCGACAAAGATGTCGATGGTGCCGGTCCTTGACCACTTTCGCTTTTTATATCTGCTTCGCTGGCATAAAAAGCCTGGTACTTTCCGTTTGTATGACGCCCGTCGAAGCTCCACTTTTGCTGAGGAACACAAGAAGACTTTAGTCCGCTGCGCGGGTACGCTGTTGTTCCAGAGTCAGCTTTCGTTCGTGCGAGCAGTCCGGTAGAAGACGCGTAGGCGGGGGAAAACAAGCGAGAGCGCGGCCCCACTCCTCTCGCGCGCAATTGGGATGCTAGTGTGTAGTGGCAGTTGGGATGTGTTTTACTTGAAGACAAAGACCCCGTCCTTGGCGGAAGTTGTACATGAGATCGGTCATTTTCGCATGATTTTACTGCTGCTGCGTAATCGACGGCGGCCTCACTCTGCTCCGGGATAGAATTCAAGGGTGAGCCACCGGGCAAGGCGCCACTTGGAATGCGAGTCCGCTTCCTAGCTGGCGTTGGGTAGTTATGAAAAACGCGCTTCTTGACGCCCAAGCCGAGCACCTCTTTTGCAAAGGTAACCAGCCGTAGCAGAATCAGTTTGAAAAGCGCATATTGCCAGACGGGACTGGAGTAACGCATCTTGGCTCCTTTCCACTCGTCTTTCTGCAGAGTAAAATGATTGGACCGAGAAAAACCAAAAAAAAAAGAAAAACTTCAACTAGATCAAAAGCGCGAAGAACAAGATGTTACAGGACGTACACACAAGCGCGACACCGACCAGCATCGAGTGACGCAAAAGGAAAAGCTGTGTAGGGAAACGTAGCCGGACTTCTTATGAGTTAAAGTTATGACGCGGAACACAGAGGATCTTGTAAAACAAAAACGTCGTCCAGTTCCAGGCGCATCTACGGAGAACAAGGGAGAGAAACAGTACCAGGGCGAGTCTAGCTTCAAGCTTAAGTCTCTGAGGTGCATGGCATGTTCCATTTCAGCGCCTGGGTATTCACAAATCCTGCGAGGCATTTGTTGCAAAGGCACGTGCCAGAAGATGGGGCACACTCATTGGACCGCTGGAGTTTTCCATGAGTGCCAGCCACGCAGGGCTAGACGCACTGAGAACCTCGGTTGCCGAAGAATTTACGGCACTCGAGCTCGCCGCGGCTTTGCTTCCACCGGATGAAGAGCTACTGGCCGACCGGATCACCAGCTGACCCAGGTTCGGCGCAAAGCTGGAGCTGATGTGCCACACGTTGTCACTCCTCATGCGCAGGCGCCAACCGAGGAATTCCTCAACCCCAACACGGTAGCGCTCGGTCTGCACTTGGAGTGCATTTTTCAGCTTTTCCGTTCGCTGTCGGTCGGCCTCGCGTTCCGCCTCGAGTTGCGCGACGCGGTTTTCGAGCTCACGTAGACGAGCGGATTCTGCTGTTCCGGGCAAGCTGGACGTTGTCCCTCCATTCTGGCTTCCTTTCCCTGCACCCGGCATGGTACTGGCAGCAGCAGCAGCAAAGCGTCCTCCCATATGATCCGTCTCTTGGGGCTGGTTTGCGTTTGCATCTTCCTCGGTGCGTTGTCGCTTCTTGCAAGTAGACATGCCGCCTCCCGAGAAGGCCGAAGATGAAGATGATGAGTTCTTGAAACCAGCATTTCCTATACCACCGGGCGCGACATCGATGCTGGCGTCCTCCCGACCGAGTCCTTCTCCTCGTGCGGGTGGAGCGTCTCCACTTCCCACCTGCCTCCCAGGACGACCGGAGCCACTTGTTCTTTGTCTTTCGCCGGGGGGCGCGGAGGTTCGGTTTGGAGAATGATCCTTATTTTTTGTGTCGTCCTCTACGACCGGGTGCACCAGGTCTACTGCCACTGCGGGTCGTGCGGCTGCAGCAAGCACCTCTTCTCGCGCTTTCCCCGCTTCCACAAACTCCTCCACGTGGTCATGCAAAATTTTCTGATACGTTGGATTCCACCGAAAGCGCAAAACCTTCGTAGTTTCCGAGTTGACCCCCCCGGCTCCGATCCGCCCCTCCAAGAGAGCCACCTCATCGATCTTTTGGTCCAACGCACGGGTCAGGTTTGTGCAGTTGCTACAGGTGGTGTGTCGGGGTGGATTATTTGCCATTGATAGACCTCCTTGCTGCTGTAGTACCTGCTCATTGGTTCCCTCACGATAGGGATTATTGTGCTCGCCGATCGTTGCCATGATAATGATGTTGAGTTCGATGTGTCAGTGCAGTCTTTTTGGATGCAGAAAAAAGCTTGAACTTGTGTCGTTCTCTAGTAGTGCATGCCACGTATTATTTTTTTGAGTGTTGCTAATGCTATTTTTTTTTCTTTTCCAGCTTTTCTAATTTCTTGCGCGCTTCCGAACTGAATACAGGTCGGCATCACCACCTTGTCGAACGAGCGAGGCAACCCAAAACGATAAGAAACGTAAAGCGTGCGATGTCGATGGCGAACTGGGGATATACATGCAATGTCTTCAGGCCTATGTCCACCCATGTCATAGTCGTCTTAGACAAGAAAGCGAAATAACCACGACAAACAACACAAAAATGGATCAATAAGAACAGAGTTGGCTATAGTCGGAGGCCACCTCCACTGATTTAATTGTCGTAGATCTAGATACATCAACACGTCTGCTTCTTTAGGTGAGCGAGTAACTCAAAATCATCTATCATCATTCACGTTGCAAAATCTGACCAACGTTCCTTGTCCTTCCCTGCGAAATTCAAATTTGACTTTTACCTTATGTTAGACGCGTGAGAATCAAGATTATTCGTAGCTTGTGATTTCCATGTACATGTTCAAAGGTGAGTTTCGACAGTTTTGTGAGAATTACTCAACATCAAAATAAGATTACCCTGTCGAGTCATGATGTATGAGTATGTAGCCTTTAGTCCGCTTGTTCTTCTTCTTCTTTTTCTTCATTTTCCTTTTCTTCAGCTACCCGCCATCCGTCGCGCGGCCCGTAAATCGCCAGCGCTTGCTCCAAATCTATCCAGAGCTCAGTTACGTAGCGCGCGTGCAGAAGTTTGCATGTGTCCCCCCAAGCAGACTGCAAAAAAGGAACTGGTCCTTGTATCAGTCCGAAGGCTTCCGGGATTTCCTCGAGCTGTTTCACTGCAGTCGGGATTTTCATGTCGCACAAAGCGTTCAACCTCTCCAGCTCCTGGGCAGTCGGCACCGGGAAATACTTCGTCACCATCTGCAGTCGCGGTTGCACAACACCGTGAAAGCACTCCCCAGCGCCGGTGCCACGCTTCGTATTCCACGGAAATTCATCTGGTCGCACGACTGTGTTAGTTTCCGGGTCTATCAAAGTCATCGCTTCGGCCGCTAGCTCAAAGACGTCGCGCGGGCGGCTGCGCCTGCTGGTCCTCGGTCTGCCTTCCGGATGATCATGGACCAGGCGAGCTACCGGAATGTCGGTTCTGTTGCGGTTTTGCCGCATACATACCGATGGAGGTAGTCCATAGCGGCACACCTGCTCGTCCACGAGAAGCCTTAGCTCTGCTTGCTCAGTGACCTCAACCACCTTCCGCAAGGTGGTAACGCGGGCAATCGCGATTTTAAGGCGAAGCCATTCTATCTCACTAGTACGGGATCCGTAGCTCCTGGAGCTTGGGGAGGCGACTCCGTCGATGTCCTCTTCATCTTCTGTTTCTGCACTCGTATCGCTTTCGTATTCAATAAACTCGTTGTCTTCATCCTCTCCAGATGAACTCGAGAGATTTGCCCACTGCTCGAAAGGTAGCCGCGCTATTTCGTCACCACTGAGAGGTGAGAGAATGATCAGGTCGGGTCGATCTGGAGCAGCTGTAGTGGTTCGGGGGTCCTCCCGTTGAGCGGACGATGAGGCCGTGGGTGAGGCATTTTCTGACACCCAACGTGAAGCCGCCTGCAGAACTTCGCCGGATCGGAGGTTGGCACCAGCAGGCTCCTGAGCTGCGTCCTGATCGCCATTCTGCAGCAACGTCGCGGAAATTGAAAACTGAACCTTCAGCTTCACAGCATAAGGACCACAAAAAAACTTGGTTTGGAATAAAAAAACGAGGCACAGGAAATGGTGTGCCCTGGTTCTCAAACCGAACCCATGCGTAAACTTAAGCCTCATAATGGGCGACAACCACTTCTAGTACTTCACACTCAAAAATGCCTCTGTCTGTGACTACAACTTTCGATTTTATGGCTTTGTAGTTCCCCATACTTCGGTCTTAGGGACGTCCTCGTCCATGATCATGATCGATCCTGCTGTTATAAGTACCTCAAAGTGGCGACATGAAGATTTGCGTTCCGTGTAAAGAGGAGTACTGCACAACAAACACTTAAAACAGATAAAGAGAACCAATGAAAAACGCTGATTGAAACTGAAGATGGTCAAGATCGTCTTCTGCAACGGAAGATTAGAATCACACCATAACCGCAAACAGGTAGACCATGTCGATGACTATGACCTTCGGAGTTTGTACTGCGTTTATTCATCTCATTGATCTACCATCATGGATCTACATCTACCAACATCGTCATAGAACTTTCGACATCAAAACGCCTACGAACTGACACTGGCCGCGAGCTTCGGAACAAATTCTTGTGAAGTGCCGGAACGCGAGCCCCATCATCTAGTAGCCGGCGCCAACTTGAAGTTGTGATTTGCGGACGAGAATTAGAACCAGAATCTGTTCCTCGCGTACTTATCATGAGTCAGCAGATCAACGTATATCTGGGTCCGAGTCTCAGTCTCTCAATCCTTCTGTATGACTAAGTGGGAATCGATGGTGTGTGCGCTAGGATCCAATCCAAACTCAATCGTCGAACCTAGTAGTTGTACTTGTAGTACTACTTACCCATCGTGCTGTATAAAAAAATTCACCTGGACTACACACAGAGAGTAAGAGGCTTCCGCGGTGATTTTCAATTTGTACAAAATCCGGGTTTACTAGCCTGCACCTACCCCTACTCCTTCTTTCCCTCGTCCCGGTAGAACTTGGCTAAGTAGTTGTTTTATGCATTGCAAAAGTATCGCACTAGTATAAATCGCAATACAAATTTTTTCAGAAAAAAAATGGAATTTGTAATGCTGATTTCGCTAAGACACAAGATTTGCCATGCGTGATTGCAATTAGTACGAGTACGATACTTTTGCATTGCATATGTTTTCTCTGGCGACCATGTCTTTGCACTTGTAGTCCAGTACCAGTTCTCGCAGTAGCGTTCGAATCGCGATCGATACGTCTTCTTTGTCCCCAACCAAACTATCAAATGCAAAAATGTCTGGGTCTGGAAAGTTGCCGGGTTTGTCATGCACATTTGCATGACCCAGGACGTCTGTAATGCATGGCCTAGCATCGCAGATTTTTAGAGGGCTTCCTGGACCTGATGTCTATTCCGCATGACAAGTGCCCTCCTCGCGTAGCACAAACTAGACTCCTCTTGCTGATCATGCAATACAGATTTTTTTAGAGTCCAAAGTTAGCATCACAAGCTCCAACCTTCCAGACCCAGACATTTTTACATTTGATACAACCCGGACGCTCGCAGTAGCTCTGCCAACACGTCGAAATCCGGCCCCCGATACGCGGCGCAAACCGCCGCAAGTGCGGCGGTTTCGTTCCCAACTAAAGAGCACGCCCAGACCGACGCAAACCGCTCGTGCACGACATCGCTGGTCGCGAATGAGGTAATATGCTCAGCGTTCTGTTTAGACGCTTTTGACGATGTTACTGCCGCTGCCAAAAAAACCTCCTTACTCGTAGTTACATCTGCACTAACAGAATCGCTACCACCGCAACCGAAAAGTTCGGTGAGCTGATTCAGCGTCCGCTTGAATGTGGATTCGCGCTCGTCCACCGAAGGCGAAGCAGAAGCAGCGTTCTCGGCTGAGGCCGCGGCCTTCTTCGCTTTTTTCCTGGGGGTGCTGCTAGAACAAGATCCTTCACCATCTGGCTCGAACAGTTCCTCCAGCAACGTATTGTTACTACCCACCACTTCCAGGTCGTCCAGCTCATTCGCGTCCCGTTGCCGCTTGTTCTGTTGGCTGTAGTTCAACATCAAAGCAGCACTGCCCGTTTTCGCGAGAAGCAGACTCTTCGGAGGCGCAACTGCGCGGTCTACCCCCTTCATCCGCGACCACGGTTCACCACTTTCATCAAACTGCTCCACCTGCTCTGTAAAAAAATCGGAATTCGCGGCCTGTTCCATCTTCTTCGCTGCTCCTTTGTAATCCTGGTACGCCGCGCCCTCCTTCGCCAACCGTGCCCCATAGGCCTTTTTGCAGAGGTCGAGAAACTGCGCTTTCTTTTTCTCGGCTGCCGCACGGACTTTCGCTACTTCCGCGTTGTGCGCCTCCACCACGCCGGGCGCCAGGCCCGGCAGGGGCTCAATCGGGTCCGGGAGCGGCACCACGTAGTTCGGGTCTTTTGGTTTTTTCATGTAGCCGCCCGCGTTCACGTGCGTCTTGCCGATGAACTTGAGGCGAAACAGGCACTCCACGCAGGTGTATCCCGTCGTGCCACACACCTCGTTCCGCACGCGCGCGCAAAAAGTTTCGAAATCCGGCGGGTTGTTCAATTCCTGGGCTATGGATCCCGATGTTTTCTTTTGGTTTTGCTTTCCCGACAAAATCACCGCCCGCAACGCCTCGCTCGTCAGCCTCTTGACGCTGCGTTTGTTCGTGACGGTGTCCGTCGAAGTGTACAGCTCGAGCAGCGTTTTTCCCGTGGGCTTGGTCTCGCCCGTGAGCTTGTTCGTTTTCGGCACCTGCATTCTTACGTCGAACTCGGTCTTGAAGTCCTCTAGCGTGGATGGAAATGTGAAGGGCTCCGCGGTCTTGCTGTGTTTTTCAAATCGGTTCACGTGCCGGCCCGAGGAGGCCGATTTCGGGAAGTGGTGTGGCGGTTTCAGCAACCAACAGATCGCGCAGAACTTCGAGGGCCGCATCACCATCACGGTCTTCAGCTCTTTGCGCGGGATCGGCTGGAGAATGTAGTTGCTCACGATATCCCCAGAAAAAAACCCATGCCATCTTCCCACCCATCCATTTTTTGCATGAGATGAGACAATGTCTTCACTCGATTTGAAGATTGTTGTTTTGCAATGGCATCAAATTGAATGGGGATCATGGGTGTTTTTCCTGGATACGCGATGTCCGCATCGTATTGCTTCTTCCGCGCGTCGTAATCCTTCCACAGCTCCTGGATATACGGCTCGCACATTTTGTTGAAGAACCGGACCAACTGGCGGCGCAGATTCGCGCGGAAGCAGCTCGCGTCCAGTCCCGTTTTCGGAAACACCGTGGCGAGCACCAGAAGCAGGTACCAGTCGCGCTTGTCTTCCGGCAGTTCCGGCCGGGTGGGCACGTTTTTGCACACGCTCCACGCGTTCCCCAAGGGCTTGTCGCCCGCTTGGGTGATGCCGATCGCGGTCAGCACCAAACTGCGCAGCATGCTCGGGACCGAGTCGAACCGATTCGCGGGGGTGAGGGAAGCGACGTTCCGCAGGCGGTCGTGCAGGACCAGGGACAAGTCGAGCAAAATTTTCACCAGCACCCACTGCGCATTCTGAATCGTCAGCTCCCCACCGCCGCCGGTTTGCGTCGTCACGACGCGTTGCAGGGAGCTGGAGTTCTGGATCACCTTCGCGACCGCCATGCGCCACATCTGGACGTCGGGCTTGGCCGTCTCTTCGTCCCACGGGATGTAGGTTTGCTTCCTCATAAAAATCTCCTCGGCCTCACCGCCCTCCTGGACCGCGTAGCGCGCGAAAATGGGAATCGGAATCACCGGCGCCGTGTTCTGCACGGGGCGGTAGCACAGGGTCGTCTTTGCGTGTTTCTCCCCACCGCCTTGCTGCTCGTTCAGGGCGATGTTCGCGGTGGCTTCCGGGATGGCAGCGATGTCGGAATACACATCTGCCTCGAACGTCAACATGCGGTTACTCACCCCACAAATGGCTGGAGAGATCGAGGTCGTAGGGGAAGCCGCCGCGGAGGTTGCTGCACCGGTAAAGGCACCGGAGCTAGTACCTTGGGTTTGGTTCTTTTGTCGCTGTAGTGGCTCCTGCTCAGAGCCAGCCGGGGAGATCGTCTTCATCTTGTTCTCCCTCTGTGCAATACGGTTTTCAACCGCTCGCAACAGCTTTGCGTCGGGTTTGGTGCGTAGAAAATCCTGGTTAGGGCCGCAGATCGCGAGCACTTGGTGCTCGAACGTCGTCTTGCTGTCCAAGGTATCGATGACCGCGTGCAAAATCGTTTGGCACACCTCTGGCTGGCTGTAGTAGTCGAAGAAGTCGTCTCTACTCATGTTCTTCAGCGTCGACAGGTTCGTCTTCGTAGTATCCGCCTTCTGCTGCGCGCGCGCACCGCGCTTGTTCTTGGCGGCCAGCTCGACGCATCCTACAGAAAAGCACACCCATAGATACCAGAAAAGGATGAGAATTTGTGTTGATGTTGCGGCTGCGGGTTTTAGTTTCACTGTATTAGTAGATTTGCGAGGTACTCAGCATGTGCATGATGAACTTTTTTCGTACCTACATCGCGAATTGCCAAAACCACGGTCACGACATGAATTTTTATCAATATGGGTGTGTAAACTTGTTTTCTGCAGGATACCACGATCATTGCGTAGGTCGCGTTGTTCTTTCGCTTGCTGCTCAGGTCGAAAAATCGCGCCAGGTACACACACTTCCGCTTGATTTTCGCGCTCATCTGCTTCAGTTGCTGCGCAACGCGAACGGCCTCAAGGTCCCCGTTCTGCCAGGCGCGCGTCAAAGCGCTGATCGCAGGCGACGCTCGGTCGGTGTTCTCTTTCTGGGCGGTGGAGGCGGACTCGGTGGAAGGCACTGTTCGGATCGACATGGGCACATCTCCCTCAGCGGACGACGTTGCGGAAAGCAATGGCGCTGCGGCGCTGTCGCCACCACCTGAACTAGCAAGGGGTGTTTCATCTTCGGTTGTAAGAACGAGGGTTGCGTGCAGGGACAAAATCTCCGGCACGATCTGTTCGTTCCAGAGCGAGGCGAGCGATTTTCGGCATGATGATACTTGGCCTTCAAACGCAACCCACTCCAGGTGGCTCAAAAGACTTTTCAAATGCGGGCCCACAGTGCCCTCGAGCCGCTTGCCCAGTTCCTGCTCGAACGCGTTGTGCTTCCTCAACAGCAGTGCTTGCTCGCGCTGCTTCCGCAGCGTCGCAAGTTCTACTTCCCGCGGCGCAGAATGATCTTCAACTGGTTGTGGTTCATCCGTGGAGGGGGCCCCCGCAGATGTTGAAGTAGTTCCATTATTCGCAGTTCCTAGCTGGAGCTCCCCAATTCCCGCTGCCATGTCGTTGATCCGATTTTCTTCGTGGAACGCAGCTGTCAATTCCGCGAGTTTCGGCTTCATCTCCGTTTCCAAGCCCTGCAGGAGAAGCGGTTTGAACAAAGATTTGTCAACGAAGGCAGCCAGCTCGGAGAACGGAACGTAATCACCCGGAGGAATGAGAATCTTGCCCACGCAATCTACAAAGGGTCCGGCGGTGCTAGTCACAGAAGTACTCGCAGATCCGCGGGATGGTGGCGCAAAAGCAGCGGACGATGTCCTAGTCGTTCCACAGAAGTCCCCCTCGTCCGAGAGAAGACCTCGAAAGGCCCAATCCCGCACATTTGAAAGCATCTTGGCCACTGTGATGTTGGTGCCGGTTGTGCCAGTGCCGTTTATATTATCTTCGTTCACGACCTCCGGTGATGTTGCGAACAATAGCTCTCCCGTTCCCAAGCCTATTTCTTCGCGCACACTCATTTTGGCCTGCCCGTCCGGTCGGCCGACAATGTGCAAGCGGTCCACCACGAACTCCACGGGCGCAAACGCCGGTGAGGTCGGGTCCGCGTCTCCGAAAATTTTCGTCGAAAATTGCTGCATTCGGGTGTCCGCATCTGCGGACGCGCACTGCCCGAGCGTCAGATGCGGATGGAAGTAGTCGGCGGTTCCTCTTTCCCCTGTTCGCGGTTGATCCGCGACGATTTTATCGGCACCGCAGTCCATCAGCGCTTGCTCGATTGCGTCTATCAGTTGGCTGAAAGAGCCTTGACTGCTGCAGCTCGGTGTGCCTTCCATCGGGTCGTCGAAGTCGGTGGTGTTCTCCTCGCCGCCTTTTGAGAGAGAGGACGACGTGGACTGCACCACGTACTCCGGCACTAAATGTAGCGTTGCAGAGCCCTTTTGGCTGAACTTGCCGACCCGAGAAAACCGAATCTTGAACGGTGAAAGTTTTTTGCATGCAGCCTGCAGGCTTTTCAGAAGCGGGGACTCTTTCATCCCGTCTGTCGCGTCGTTTGCTTCGAACCCTTTTACAAAGGGGAACAAAAGGTTGACGTGCGGCATCCACTTGTGATAGGCCTTATCGTGGTCGCGACGGACGGCTTCGACCTTTGCATAGAAACTTGCCAGCTGGGGCTGCGCACCGGGCGGAATCAGGCACACGGCGGAGTGCCGCGACATCTCTTGCAGTTTCAAATTGGCTACAACCTTATTTTTCGATTGACTAGCTTTTGCTTTGTTGCTCAGGACCGAGCTCCCCTCCTTGCTATTTTTCCCTGATGCCGCCGGTCCGAAGTAGGTCACGCCCTCGGGCACGTGTTGGAAGACCTCGTCGATCAGCGTCGACCCGCAGCAGCTCGGCCCCTTGCGCAAGACCCGCACCGCCGTCACCTGCGTCTCGTCGGCTTTGTTCACCACCACGGCCAGCACAACACACTTCTGTCCGAGGAGGAAGAATGGGTTCATGTCAATTTGCCCGATTGCCGCCTCGGCCGCGGCCTGGACATCGCCATTGGTCAGCTTCAAGTCTGCCCGGGTGTAGATCACGCAGAGGCAGTCCTCGAAAGCCCGCTTGGGTCCGTCCACGAAACTCATTGCTTCGTAGGGAATGCGGTTCGCGTCGTCGATTAGGAGCAAAGTAGGATTTTTCGTCGGGGACCATTTCGTAAGCGGCCCTTCCTCAATCTCCCCCATCATCAGCAAAACAGGTTGCTTCGAGTGCTTTGCGGCAGTCAACTGGCCGAGGAACGCTTTAGTAGTAGTATTCGAACTAGCACCAGCAGAGGACGGCATTTTTCGAAACCCGTTGGCAAACTCGATAAAAATGGACACCTCCGTTAGTGATTTTTTTCCTTTGGCACTACCGGTGGAGGAGGTCTTCTGTTGTTCACCACCATGCTCTTCCGGATCGAAGAGTTGCGCCAGCGTCTTTGCAGCACCAACGGAGTTCGAAACCACAACCGGGCCAGGAACGTGCGCGAATGGATCTATTTTTACGTCCGCGTTCTGTTGATCTACTTTTCCCGTTGAGGTGGATATCCTGCTCCCAGCCGCCGGCGCTCCCTGCCTGTCCTGAGCTGTACCACTGGACGAGGCTCCTCCTGTGGCCGAATCACCATCGGCTTCTCCCGCTGCAGCTGCCCTACGTTCGATTTCGCGCAGGGACGGCGCGGTGGCGAAATACGCTTCTGCCGTCTCGAAGTAGTGTTTGTAGCATGCTGCGGACACCGGCGCAGACTTGTCGAGGCCGCGCGGGCAGTAGCCCTCCTGTGCAGTGTGAAGGTAAAATCTAAGTTTGTGGGTCCACTGTTCCTCATCCTGGCTTTCCCCCTCGTCAGACGCAGCTGGTTCTTCTTTATTTTCATCGGCCGCGTCAATTTCATTTTCTTTCTCTGCGAACCGAGACTTGAGTCCGCTCAGAGACATCTTCAGCTTCTTTTTCTTCCGCATTTTTCCTTCAAACAGTAGCTGCCCGAGAGAAGTAGAGCCTCCGCCTGTGTTCCGCACAACCTGGAAACTTATCGCGCCATACGTGATACTTTCCCCAATCCGGTCGTTCATGGGTGCCGGGCAGTAATAGCAGGTGTTCAACCCGTCGGAATCGACGTGCATCAGCATCACGATCGGGCGGTCACGACTCCACGCCTTCAGCTTTGTGCTCTGGTAGCCGGAAAAGAGCACGCAGCCGATTCCTTGTGACTCTTCCTCGGCACCGCAAGGGGGAAAAGGCAGACATTCCGGGCGGAACTCGAATTCGTGCACGAGCATCGGACACGTGGTCCCGCCCGGAACGTTCTCGCTGCCCAACTGGTCCCCACTCCCGAGAGCCAAGCTGCCGCTGAACCGCGTCCTCGAATAGGTTAGGTTCAAGCGCTTCTCGGAGCCAGCGAGACTCAAGTCGTAGTAGGTCGGCTTCTGCCGCGAATACACGACGAGGAACACTTATCAAAAGAAAAAAGCTCGTCACGATCACTCATGGGCATGTTTGCAATACAAAATTGTCTGTCATGCGTAAAAATGCATCACAGCCACACTTCATAAGGGATTTCCCTAGTGTTTCTGCAATACAAGGCGAAGCTGTGATGCTAAAAAAATTTGTAATGCAAAACCTGCAACTTAGCGACTGTGACAAACTTTTTTCTCCCCATAACACTTTCCCGTCCTTCAACACAAAATCTTCGCCGGGGTTCATGTATGGCGTTCTCAACTGTTACAACATTCACAACTGTTACATGAAATTTGTCACGCAAGAACAGCAACAGTGAAAGTGGCAATATTCTTGCAGCTTTCGCATCACAGATTTTCCACAGATCATCATGCTGGTTAGCCCTTCGAAAATTTGTCATGCTAAGCACCTTGATCAAGTGGAGCGAGGCGGGTGGGAATTGTGCATCACAAATCCGTGTAACAGTTGAGAATGTAACAGTTGAGAACGCCATATCATGGGGCGGAGCATTGGGGTTTCCAGATCCACGGGAGGCTGGCAAGTCTTCAGCAAGGACTTCCCACTTTGCAAAACACCCGGTTTGGTTAAGTACTTCAGCGCCCGCTGGACCTTGTCATAGGCAGATTGCGTGTCGAAATTCAGGTCCGCAACCTGCTCAGCGAATTCCAGCCGCTGGGCGTACGTCTGGTAGCCGCAGTCGTGGAGAAGTGCAATGTTGCCGGACTTCGACGTGCGCTCCTTCTGAAAAACAATTTCCCCAAAGGGTAGTGGTTGCGGACCGGTGCTGATGGCGTTATTCGCCTCTCCATTGCCATGTCTACTGTTGCTGTTCGTGGTCCCTTCTTGATGGCCTTGGTGTTGTGTCTGTCCAGGCGAGACGACACGAAAAATGAACACGTTCGAGCGGTATTTTTCTGCGATCTTTGTACTTGCCTCACCAGCGCTCAAGCCGCCAGCAACCGCAGCTTGCGCCTCCTCGTCGTGATCCGTGTTGCTGAGGTCGAGAACGCAGAAGAGAACCGCGGTCCCTTTTTTTCCCAGGTTATGCAAGTCGTTCCCACTGCTCCTACAAGTCATTGTTGTACCAGGCGAAGATATAGAAGCAGACGTATTTATTTTCAAGCCTAGCACTTTCGAAGCGAAATACTCTTGAGTACAGAATACTAATTCCGCGTCGCGATTCCACGTATCGGTTCTGGCCGCCTCAATGGCCGATTTCAAAGTTGTGCTTCTTTTACCGTTCAGGGACTGGAGCCAAGAGGAGGGCACGCGCCCCCGCTCACTCGATTCCTGGGCACCCATCTTCTTACTTTGGGTGACGTAAGCGTGAGTTTTTGTTTTACATAGGGCGCTGTGACAAAATTACTGCTCCCCTGCTTCAAATTCAACACAACCAGTCTCAATAAAACATAACAAAATAATACTCAGGTAGTTCAGGATCGATTTCTTTGTAGTTAGTAGGGCGTATGTATGAAATTCAAAACTAGCGCTTAATAGCGCGTATGTATCATGTGACCTGCATAAACTAACACAAAAAAATATAAAGTAAAAATCACATCATCAACAACGACAAAAAAATCAAAGCAGCTGCAAGCTTCGGCTTACTAACTTCATTGTAAAGTGAGCATATGTCAATGAAAATACTTGGCAGAAACCGAAATACAGAACCACAACCAGATTGATTGCGTGCGGCTTCCACGACCGAACTTTGGAAGAACCTTGATTCCGTTTTCTATTCTATTCCTTTTCAAGCCTGTCAAGAAGAAGACCTTCCTGGTGCTCGTGGTGTTTTCCTATTCCGAGTAACGCTCGTCCACTTGGGTTGGCGTATTCGTATACAGCGACACAACAACACTACACTTTGCTCCACAAAGACATTCATCCACCGATCGCTAATATTTTTTTGCTGCAAGAACCGACCACCTACGATCATGCTGAGCTGATTAAAGAAATGCCGGTATATATTAACTGCCAATAAAACCATGTTGCCGAAGCCGGAGGAAATGTTGAAAGGTAGAGGTTTCATCAATCGCACATCTTCCTCGAAAGGACACAGTATATCAACGTAGCCGATAGACTGCGAGTACGAAGCAAATCAATGTGTGTAACTCTGCAAATCGCCACAAAAATGATGTAGGTTTGATATTCTCATCTGACTTTCGTCCCTTCCGCGCGGCCTTTAGCGCCGGCCTGGACCGGCAAGAAGTCTGCCCAACTTCATGATCATCTTCATGCACACACATGATGGTTGCGTTATTCATCTTTTTAAATAGTACCAATAATAGCCGCCTCAGCGGGGGTAGTGAGGTCATGGCGGTTTTTTTGTCTTCACGCCAAAAACACAAGCGACTTCTCTGCCCACCATGCCATCGCGATTAATGTTATGCACGATGGCACGGCGGTCGCTAAAAATGACGATCCAGAACTGGCCTCCATTTGGTTTCGAATCGAAAAACCTTCCCCGCATGCTGTGGCCCCGTCAGGCCCCACCCCAGGGTCGGCCCCATCGGCCCCCAAATCGGGCCCATAGCATGCGGATTCGCTTTTTGCTTTTGGCGGACTTTGCTTTTTTTGGTTTTTTTTGTTAAAATGCCGCATCTTCTGGCCTTACGTCCGCCTCTGAAGTGGCTGACTTTGGTGGCGTCTTTTGGGCGGCCCAAATGTGGGCCAAAATGGGGCCCATACCATGCGGCTTCGCTATTTTTTTCGGAGAGCTGCTTTTTGGGCGCCCCTTTTGGGGCGCCCGAAACCGCCAGAAACCAAGGCGGCGGGCGCCTCAGAAGGGCGCCCATTTTGCCGGCTCCCCTGCGTCGTTTTATCAAATGCGAATCGATAGTTTTAGACCGGGCTTGTTTGACGGCAAAGCCCCGGCCGCTTGATAATTGAAAATTTTTTATGCCCAAAAACACTTCCGCCCGCTTGAAAAGTGCCGGCCGTTTTGCGCACTGCCTGTCAAAAAAGCCGCTAGATTAGAACGCTCGCGACCTCACTACTTGTTGGTCATGGAAATCGATCCCGCACACACGTAACACGATCGCCCCAAATGAAGCCTGTTCCATGATGAAAATGGCTGAAGGTTCTGACTCAAATCGACCCCGTGACATGCTGTTTCGTTCGGATTTTACCTAGACCAGCCGTCCTTGGTAAAATCTTGAGCAAGGACCACGGTCCTGAGTAAAATCGTCAGCCAGGCTCTGTAGCTGGTGACGTGATCCTTCTCTCAAGTGATCCCAAGTAGCTCTCCAGATTGTCCGCGCTTTGGGCAGGTCTCCCGACCTATACCAAGCCCGGGTCAACACTTTATCTGGGACCCCGTCCCCTGATCAAAACTTTATCTGGGACCCCGTCCCCTGATCAAAACTTTATCCGGGTCCGCCGTCCTTGATAAAATCTTTACCAAGGCCCGAGGTCCTGAATAAACTAGCTACCTACGAAGCGGATCTAGACCCTGGAATGTGTTGAATCTGGTGAGACTGATGCAAGAATCTTGATGAATTTGGATGATTTGAGCTACAGGATGTAACGCAGCAAGAGACTTGCGTCACTTGCTTGCTTGCTTGCAATTGAGAGAACTCATTGGAAAGCTGTTGATAACGAGCTCAGTGCAGCAAACGTGCAAACGTGTGTAAGTGTGTGCGAGTGTTCTCAAGTCCACTAACACTACATATGAAGTGATATGCACTAGCCAAGCATAAAACTTAAACGTGGTAAGGCTGAGCATACATAATGACTCACTGTCCTCCGCGCTGTTCTGCTTTTGGAATCAAAACTGCGCTCTCGCGCGGGTGCGTGTGCGGCACTTCCAAAGCTGAAGACCATCACGATCAAAATTTTGACTGAAGTAGGAGTAGCTCTGGCTCTACATAATTTTCAGTTCTTTACCTTTTACTGATAGATCACACAAATGATCAGGCTATGGCTGCGCTGTTTAGTTGACAGACCAGAAAATGAAAGGTAAGAGTCCCAGACCCAGTGCGTTGTTTGATAAAATGATAATGATGGTCGCCGTGACCTACAAAAATAAATCAGGCGAAGAGCCTGCTGAGCAAGTTCTTTACAGGTGAAGAGGAATCTTCCACACGTTCTCGATGACCGGAAACGCACTTCCCTCACCCGGACCGCCTTCAGAATTGTACGCGAACATGATCTGGTGAAGCAAAATTTCGTTCCATTTGTCTTTCCAGCGTTTTGCTTTGGCCGGATCCATTCGTCGTTCCTGAAGTTGCAACGCCACATGCAGGGTGAAGTCCCGCTCTAGTTCGGTAGCATCATTGAGCTTCATGTGCGAGGTCGTAATTCTCTCGGCCAAACCTTCTCGAACAGCGGCATCTAACTCGTAAGTCGCAAACTTCAGCACGCGGCGAGCCGACTCCGAATCCTCTGCCCCGTGATCAGCAACAGGCTGCGTGTTAGTTTCAAAAAAAGCTACGAACTCGCCGAACAGCTGCGCGATATCGGCCCCACTGAGGTCCCGACGCAACGTTAGTGGCTTGCACTTTTGCTGCTCTAGGGCTACTTCTCCCGAGGCACTTCCCGAAGTATTCCCCGCGCCCGTGTTTGCAGTCGTCACGGACGCACGTCGGAGCCCCATGGAATCAAAAAGAAAATAACTCACGCTCCCCTCGGTGTCACGTTCTGCCCCGATGGTGAAGGAGTGCGAGAAGACGTCTAAACACACCTCGTGCAAAGGGTCACAGTACAAGTTTTCACGGTGCGAAGATTTTGCGGCGGGAGCCAGAAACTTTACCTGCACCGCAAAAGCGGATAGAACTCTAGCTCCAGAAGGCCACTCTTCTTGTTTCGCCCGTGAAGAAGGCCGCGATGAAGTAGACCCTGCAATTTGAAGGGGTTTTTCACCTCGGTCCGGTACGATTTCCGATTCCACCAGCTTTGCATTTGCTATCCTCCGGGTCGTGCGCTCTCGCAGCAGTAGGAGTTCTGACACAAAGTCAGGAACCGCTACTGGCTGCAGCACTGTGTCCGTGAACGACCTCCCCCCCGTCAGAACCCAGGAGGCCAGGGCTGCGCCGACGTTGGCGGAAAACCGAAAATTGTGGCTGATGTCGGCGATAAACGAGTCGTAGCGAACAGCTGCCTCGTTAACCACCAGTTCCTCCAGTTTCTCTGGGTCGATTCGCATTTCTGCAAGCGAAGCGTCCGGCTTGAGCATGACGTTTTGATGCAGTCTGGCTTCTCCGTTTGTGACCTCCACCAGAGCCCCTGCACTGGGCACAGTTCCGTGGGCGACAGTGACTACAGGTGCAGGAACCGCTGGAGCGGGACCGCCCCCACGCTTGTTACCTTCTTGAGCACCCCACACAGTACTAGCGTTCTCCGTTTCAGTTGTTGTTGAAATGGACTTCACCAATGCCAGGTCGTACCAGGTCATTTCGGCCTCGTTCCGCTCTGCTCCCTCCTGCGAATACGTCAACTCTTCAATGTCGGTGTAGAACCCGAAATTGCTTGCTAGAAAGTAAAACGCGTAGTCGGGCCGAGGGAAAATTGTCTGCTCCTTCGCGGCTTTTTCCCCGCCAGCAAACGCCTCCGTCGTCTGGTATTTGAACAGCTTCTCTGAGTACACGTTTTCGGTTATCAGCTCCGCGCGGAGATATGCATTGCAAACATGTCTGGATCTGGAGGAATGCGTATGCCTATGCGCCGGCCAACACCAGGTCACAAAAAATAAACCTGTCTGTGACTATGCAAAAGCTCCTGTTCACTTTTTGTTAAGATCACAAAGAATAAGAAAGAACGACCATCAATGTATAGCATCGATTTCCAAGAGCAGCACTCCTGAACTAGTCTACCAGTGGGGCATTGATATGATTGTCAGAGGACAGCTGCACGACAAAAACGTGCATTGTCGATGTCGTTGTCCCTTTGACCACGGCGACATATTTGCGTTTGTGTTTGATAGGAGAAATGCACTTGCGATGGTCGGCGTGGAAGTACTTGGCGCGACCACCTGCTGGCTTAGCGCAGACCCTTTTTTGAACAGACACTCTGTCCACAGCTTGTAGACCTGCTCGCGCCATTGCGTTTCGGAAATCACTTTTCTATTTGTATTTTCATCCAGACCGACATTATCTACGTATTCTACGTCATGTCTGGGATGAAACGGCCTTCCATGCGACTCAAACCACCAAGGGAAGGACCGCAAAAGGGTGCGAAAGGGGTTCTGCGTTACGGGGCCAGCTGTTGCTGTGGTCTGACTTTTCTGCTGTAGCTGCTCTAACCGCAAATCGTTTTGAACGACGGATCGGAAAAACCGCAGGATGTTGGCTTTCGGAAAGACAGCTTGCCAGAACCTATAGAAAAAATCCTTCGGATAGTAGGCAGCCATTTGCAGTCCGGCGAGACCGCGCGTAGGTGTGCTGGTAGAGGCTCCGCCTGCCCGTCGTGAAGACGCCAAAAGCGGCTGCACGGCTTCCGCTGCCCGGGCCCCCAGAAACGTTTTCCGTGCCTCCGCAGTCCTCTCTGGAAATTCCACTAGCCTGCCGCTTCGCAAGTCGTACCAGTAAGGGAGCGCCGGTACCTCGTAGTCATTAGAGTAAAACGGGCCATTGTCGTTCGCGAACTTCTTCGGGTAGCAATGGCCGCCACAAAAATGTGTCTCAACCTCGGCTGCCACTCCGATGGGCACGCGAGGAAAGGAGCATGAAGAGATGCCAGTTGTTGACAACGGTGGTGCTATTGACAGCGTCGAGGAGTCATCTTCCATGTTCGTCGTGTAGGGTCTGCTGACTGCGTCTCTCGCAAAATGATCCACCACGTGGTGCGAATATAGGTCCACATGCCCCTCGTCAAGAGCGTCTTCTACTTCTCTTCCGCTTGTGGTCCTCGTTCCACAGTTGTCTTGTGCACTTCCCAAATACCCAAACTGTCTGATTGCACTTTTGTACACGTTGCCACTTTTCTCGTCGGTTTTCACGAATGGGTGATCCAAAGCGCGTGCAAGCGGGGATCTAGGCAGTAGGGGTCCTCCAAAACCAAAAAAACTTCCTTGACCCTCCGGTCCCGTGCCGGCAAGCCCGACCAGACACACGATAGACATCGTTGCGGTGGTGCATAGAGCACACCTGCTCACTCGCTCGCAAATCGGCCAACGATCTGGATCTGATGATGTTGTAGTGCCACTTCTACTGCCCCTGCCGGCCGGTTGTACGGGAACCAGCAATCTGCCCAGCTGAAGCTGTCGGTGACTTCGCCTGTCTTGACCTTGAGCCATGTTGCCGCTGCCAGTGTACGTGTAGCGGTTCATCTCGTCGTGTATTTCGGGCTCTGAAGTAGAGGCTGGGGCATACCATCCCTTGTCGTGGTCATCTTGCGCCGCTCCCGTCGCCACAGGAGACGTCAACTTCGTTGCGTTGACGAATAAAGCGCCACCTGTGCAACCACTGTAGAGGTGATCGCAGCATAGCACGGCTGCTCCCAGAATACCCACTTTTGCAAAATGATGTGGCCCTCCGCGCCGTTCCCGTGATGTGCAATGTGCTTCTTGCCGTCTTCGTACCCGCTCCCTACGGGCCGTACGGGAGTGGCACTATAACGGACACCATCTTCCTTCATTTTTGTAGACGGTCAGCTGCTGCCGAGTTTCTTTTAAAATCAATTGGAAGTAGCGCAGCCGAAATGTACAAATACACTTGACTTGCAAGAGAAAAAAACAATTCAGAGGAGCATGGCGTCTGCCACAACAAACTGTGACGGAACGCCCAAAAACTTTTCTTCGAACCTATTGACAGAAACACGACGTGGAATCAAGACTGGAGATCATGGCATTGACTGTTTCAATGCCATATTGTCGCTTGTCACGAGCTGTCATTGAGATGAGTGGTCACTTCCCCTCGCATTGAGCGTGTGGGTTTCAAGATCACATGATCCTTAATCATACCATGATCGACGCCTGTAATTGTACCTCTCCTGCGATATCGAATCAATAAATGAGATCTTGATGTTGATCTTCCTCCACTTTATGTTCCTTTCAGTGTCCTCTAGAAGCTGAAGCACCCAAGAACTAAGTACTTGATATGACCACACGATAAACATAAAGACCACATCCGACTGATTTACTTGTTCTATCGACATGCACATGCTCGCACTAGCAACAGCAAGCACCAGAGCTCTTGCTTCAAATAGATTCGTAGAAGATCAGGCGTTGGTAGTTGCTTAAGATCGGTTTACTCGCTAGGACCGAAAGCGAAACCAGAACGAAGGTGGATGACAATAAAAGTCCTCCAATCGCGATTCCGACCAGCAGGAGTAGTGTAGCTGTTTCTCTTCCTTAATAGCGGGAAGGCTGCAGCGCTTCATTTTGACAGTCGCATGTTGATCAACATCAAGCTGCACAGGCAACTCAGTACAGCAGGCAAATATGTCCCAAAAAAAACAGTCCAGCGTCGACATCAATGTAGTTTTCTGATGCTGTTGAAGCCCATTCTGCTCCGTTTCCTTCTCCTTTCGCTTCATCAAGTACAAGAACTCAAACTTTTTACATAGCACTAGGCTGTCGCTGTTGCGCTTTTTCGAAATAAAAAACACCAAGGAGGAGTAGCGTTCGTTGTCGTTCTTCTCGCGAGAACTCAGATCAACTGCAACAAAAGCATCAACCACAGCTACGACTGCTATTTCAAAAAATCGTGAGGTTTCAGTTCCCAAATCGTCATCATCTTCATCTCGCTGGCCTGCTACAAAATTGTGAGCCCGTTGTCCAATTCGCGAAAATGGCGGAAGGCAGAGAGACAGAACCGCTGGAGGTGGTCGAGATCGATACTGCTGCAGGTCTCCTTGACGCTGTGCATGGCCCACTGCGGAATCCCCAGGTCGATGGCCCGCATGCCCAGGTTGCTGCTCACCATGGGTCCGATGGTGGACCCGCAGGGACAGTCGTTGCGGACCACGAAATCTTGAACTGCAATGTTGTCTTTCGCAGCCACCGCCCGGAGCAACGCGGATGTCGTGGAGGTGGTGGCGTACCGCTGGTTGGCGTTGTGTTTGATCACGATACCCTGGTGCAGAACCGGGCGGTGCTCGGACTGGTGTTTCGCGGCGTAATTTGGGTGGTAGGCGTGGGCTGCGTCGATCGAGAACAGAATGCTCCGGGAAACCGTCGCAAGCCAGGCGCTCTGGTACGGGATGCAGGAAGAACCTGGCTGGCCCGCGCGCGGGGGAAATTGCACCGTCATAGCGTCGTTGTTTTTCAAAATCCCTGTAGTTTTCGGCGAGCCGGGCTTAGCGGAAGTGGTCGTGGAATCCAAAACCTCGCCGAGAATTTGCTGCAACCACTGCTGCAGACAGCCACTGTCCGCTCCCGCAGTGCTCTCGCTGCCGACTTCTTCGTGGTCGAAGGCGCAAGCCACCGCGATATCCGAATAAGTCGCGGCTTCCGGGGACTGCGCGAACCGAACCAGCGCGTCGTACTGCGCCCAGACGGAGATCAGGTTGTCGATCCGGCCAGAAAAAATAAAGTCCTCGCGAGCTCCGATCAAGCGGCTCGGCTCCGCGTCGAAGAGGCAGAGGTCCAGGTCCACAATCTTCGCTTCCGCGTTGCTCACCCCCATTTCCTCGTGCAGCAGCGTGAGCAGTTCTTCGCTGTGTTGCTTTGCCCCCTGCATGGGTGCGGCCGCCGGCGCCGCCGCTCCGGGTACGGGTTCGCACAGGACCAAGCCGGAGGTAGGGACAGCGGACGTCATGCACAGCACCGGCTGCAAATTTGTCTCGGTGTTGATACTGAAAGCCTTGCGCTCATCGGCCGTCTGCAGGTGGATGGCCAGATTGGGGACCAGCAAGACTGGGCGATCGATCCGAACGAGTTTTTCTTCCAGTTGCGCGGGGGTTTTGTTGCGGGACAGAACGACTTTGCCGGCCAGCCCGAGCGGGCGGTCGAACCAGGTATGCCACAGGCCGCCGCCGTAAGTCTGCACCCCGACCTGCACGTGCTCCTTCGTACCCGTTACTTTCGTGTTCGGACGCAACCGCAGACACGGCGAGTCCGTGTGCGCCCCACAGATGACGAAGCCGCCGCCCTTCGCCGCTGGCTTGGTCGTGGGATCCGCGGTGTGAAACTGGCCACCGACCACAAAGGCGCAGACCGTGGTGCCGAGCTTGGTGAGAAAGTACTTACCGCCCTTTTGGAGCCGCCAGGGCAGATTCGCTTCCGATAACTCCTCGAAATTTGCCTGGAGCAGCATCTTCTTCACGGCCGCGACGGCGTGGTACGGCGACCCTGTCTCGTTGACGAAGGGTAAGAATTGCCGGGCGGCATTGGTTGCCACGCTGGTCATCTTCGACGAGGCCGGTGATGCCATTTTTTTTTCTCAAGTAGACGCACAAAAATACCACTAGTCGCTGACGGTAGGGGTCGTAGGGTCAAAGTAAGATTTACATGTAAGAACGTCGTAACTACCCGATTTCGATCCGCGTGTAAAAGAATCTATCTCTAAATCTCGGTGTCCCCCATGTAAGTCGCAGAAGAAAAGAATGCAACGCAACAGGGAAATTTAAGGTCGCTGTTCTACAGTGAAAATTCAATTATTCTCCATCCGATCACGATGGACAGACTGCGGAAGTCCTTTTGTTTTGCTGTCGTTTTTGTAGTTTCTTTTGCTTTGCAGCTAAAGCGATGATTCTTCAGAACTCACTTGTTAGCTCATGTCGTTATTGTTCCCATTGTCGGTCACTACACGAGATGGTCCTGGAATATAAACTCAAACGGAAAGGCTACCTGGCAAATTTGTGTTTATTCTCGAAGCCTCATCCTCATTGCGATTCGGATTCGTGTCGTCAGAAAATTTTTGTACCGTTGTCTTGTAGGAGTGAACAGCACCATTATCATGTTTCGTGGTTGTTGAATCTTGTCTGTTCCCCTTCTTGTATTCGACACAGCAACAAAGAGGCAGGTTCGTCCGCAAGGACGAAAATTCCTTTGCTATTGATTCTAGTGCGTAAGCTTGTGTGCCCACAACTAAGAAAGTTAATGTCCTCTTCTTGCTGTTTTATTCTGTAGCTGCTTTGTTGCTTTTGCTTTTCGCATGTCAAGAACGTCGGAAGTACAAGTATCTATATGATGGGTCCATCGCAGGCAGCGGTACATAATTTGCATTTATTTTCAATGGTGTGTCAAATCCAGGCCACTTGCACTTGATGCTGATTTCTGCGCTTGGAGTTCCGTCGACAGTGGAGCCTCGTCTGCTGTTTCCGAATAAAAGGCACTAGTGGCATTCATCCAGGTTTCTCCTTCACCGTCTTCCTGGTCATCATGGTCTTCTCGTGCCACTTCTGCATTGAATTGTTTTTTGTGGTACCGCGGTATGTAAAATGGATTTTTAGTTTGCTCCGGATGAAAGTGGTCCAAAATTCCCAAACCGCCGAAAAAGGATATCGGAGATGCGGCCAGACAGGCCATGAAGCAAAGAGTAGACCTCTTCCTCTCTCCGACGACGTTTCGGCAGCAGGGCAGCCTTCTAGCAAGTAAATCGCTGCGATCGTCGAGGAGAAACTCCTGCTGCTGCTGTTGGCGTAACATGTCATGTATGCGCGGTAAGCCCAGGCTGTCGTTATGCGGGAAAGGTGTAGTACCATAACTATCATACATGAACGCAGTAGTGTCTTCGTTGCTGGGCGGGGGTGCCGCGGCTCCTGCTGAACTCGGCGGCACGAAGTAGGTAGCAGCACCACTTGTTGGAGCTGCCTGAGCACCACGCTCGTCAGTGCTACTTCTGACGCATAAGAAGCTGCCAGTGCACCCTGCGTCGTCAGCTACAGGCCCGCTTGACACCCTAACGGCACCTATGCCTATCTTCAGCGCTGCGACGTTCACGACATGCGAATGGAATAGACAGGACGCGACGAGCGTAACCACCGCACGACACGAAAAAATCGTAAATATCATTTTGTAGTTGAACAAGTAGTCGGGCTGCAGTCGTTATCGTTCAGGAAAGGAAAAGGTTGGTTGCCAGATCATAATCAATACGCCAACGGTATGAAGACTATGACAACATTCAATTAACGTAGTTCCTTCTTCCTGCTTCGATTCAACAGTTGCGATCGCTGTACTAATGTCTAGGGACGTGGTTTATTTTTCGTGTGTGTGATCATTCGCCGTTGAAGTTGTACCCGTGCCCTTCCATGCAGCATTATTCTACTATTATTGATCGCACGCTAGTACAGACAAAAGATGAATCCTGCTTTCACGTCGACCTGGATGTGCGACAAAGTCAAACCGAAAGTTAAAAAGCAACAAGAAAAATCAAATCAAAAATGATAACGCTGCGCGGTATGGATTTTTTGATCCGCGATCGTTGTACTCTTTGTCTTTCTTCATCTTGTTGCCAACGTGGACGAAACTAGAGACCCTTCGGATCGCAGTTTTCTCTCTGTTACAACTGTTGTGGTTACTCAGATCCACCCGCCCTGGCATCCTGTGGCTATCGCAGATGGCGCACTTTGAGCCTGAAGAACTTAGAACATCGAAGTTGTTGGTGCGTCCAAAGAAAACCTCGGCAAAAAGCCACTCAGACTCAAGAATACTTAAGTAGTACTTACGGACTCTGACACCCGTCGCCTTTGCGGCAACTGAGTGAATTTTGCATTTTATTCCAGGGGAGAAGATATTCATTCGATTTCAGTGTCTATTCCAATTACGCGTGCGCTAGCCCAACGGAGACGAACAGAAAATGCTCGATGAAGAAAGCAATGTTCTTGAGTAGCACCAGGTTTATCCAAGGGCAGCTACAAAGAAGTCGAAATGAGTGGCCCTCGAATAAATGACAATGTCGTATCGTACTTCTGCACTCCGACTGTCACTGTGCCGACCTCCATCCGTCACCTAAAATGCATTCATGTCCATACCGTCCTCCACGGAGCAAGTAAATGAACCATCATGACCACACTACTGAGAGACAGGAGGAAAGCCGTCGAGAACTCTTCTGCACGTCTCCTCCCCCCGGTCGCTCCTGATGCATCTATCGCTAGCGTCACACCCGACTCGCCGTTTCCGAGAGAAGGGCCCGCGTTTCCCGGTAGAATATTGCTTCCCGAAGAGGATCCAGTGCCGGAATCTGACGACCCACTCGATGTGGGAGGGGTGTAAGTCATCGGCGTGATGCTTCCCTCCGACACCGTGGCGACCGCAAAGTCCGTCCCTAAATCGGAAACCAGCTGCGTTTGCAAGTTCTGCTGCAAGGCTGTCAACCCGGTGCTGGGAAGCGTCTGCAAAGTGGACGCCAGCGCCGATGCGTCGGAAGTACTCTGTGCGCGCACCTCGTAAATAGCTTCCAGCTGTCTCTGGTTCTGCGTCTGCAGGTTTCGTATACTTGATTTTATCGACGGGCTGCCTTGTTGCTCTTGGTGTGATATTCGTTCTGCTTTTCCGGTTCTTGATGCAGTGTGTGACTGTCCAACATTTCGTGCACCATAATCATCTCCTGCAGGCTTTACGGATATTTCCCTTTCGGTTGTTCTTACACCATGCTGAGTGTAGTCATCCTTATCTAGTACGGCATCATTGCTAACTTGGGTCTCAATCTCTTCCAGATTTCTCACCGTGTAATGTTGCTGTGAGCCTACGACCCCTGTTAGCACAGCAGGGGACATCGATTCTGCCAGTGCTTTCGGTCGCGGCTCCGGCTTCGTCTTCCTTATGTCCAACCGGTCCGGAGCCGGGTACCGCTTCCGACTTTTCCTGTTCTTCTCGCGATCGACAGGGAGCTTCTGGGCGTTTCGCATCCCTTTGAAGACAACGGAGAACATTTCTTGCTGCTTCAGAGCCCGCGTGGTACTACCAGTCCACCTTAACATTCGATGGCCCTCGGTTGGATCGGCGATGCCCGCGATTTGGTGCTGGCCGGGAAAGACGCTGGAGGATTCTAACGCTGGCTCCACCGAATCGACGATCTCGTCGTCCCGGAGCATTTTCGACGTCGCCGCGCCAGTTTGCACAAACCGCACGATCAGCACGGTGATTTGCAGCGGAGACACGTTCAACGTCGCCGCCAGGGCCGTCGCGATACTCGGGCCGATCTGGGTGGTCAGCGCGCTGCTCACCGTCGACACGTCGTTCTGCATACTGATGATCAACGAGCCCGAGACCGACGGACACTGCAGGTCCGCGGTGTTGGTGCCGCCCCCGGCGGCGACGTTGGCCGCGGTCGGGTTGGCGCTCGACACCGTCGCGCACCCGCCCCAGGGTTTCGGCGTGGTGGTGCTGGAAGTTGAGGACAGCGTGGTGGTGATCCGGGTGTTGTTCTTGATGCTCTCGGCCAGGTTCATCTGCGCCTCTATGTCCGCCTTGGTCACGATGGTGGTACCCGCCAGCGCGACGGGCGAGCAGTAGTCCTGCCACTTGGGACATAAACCGCAGGCCATGTAGCAGGACTGGTACTGCGCGTTCGTCCAGCCGAGCTGCACCGCGTCGACCGCGCACTTCTGGTCGCAGAGCTTGCATTCCGGCGGCACGCACATCCCCGGTCCTTGCAGCGGCTGACAGAAGTCCGCGTAGTGGGCGCCGCAGGACTCGGGGCACGAGGGGTACGGGACGGCGTCGATCGCGTATCTGGTTCTGCAGGCCGTCGGTACATTCGCCGGGTCGTACTGCGTGGTCGTCACGGTGGTTGTGGTCTGGCCTCCTGACAGCGTGGGTGCCGCTGTGGTGCTGCAGGTCAGACACGGCAACGCCGGCGGTTTGGCCGTGGTCGTCGCCGAGGGGTCGTAGTTCGGGTCAAAGTGAGGCGTCGTGGAAACCGGCGTGTTGCCGCAAAACGACCCGGCGGGACAGGTTTCGCAGCTGGCCCAGCAGGTCTGAGTTATCCAGTGCAAAAGTATCGCACTGGCACTCTTCTCTTACAAATACTGGTCTTGCATGACATATCGTAATCTAATCGAGTTCTTTAGCTTTACCTGAATCTGCATGACCAATTGATTCCATTCTTCTTTTTGGAAAAATAATTGCGATATATACTAGTACGATAGTTTTGCAAAATGCATATGGATGTCGAAGTACGGGTTGGCCTGGAATTGCGAAACGCAGTTCGTGTCGCATTCGTAGCACCCCGGGTCCACGCACATACCCGGGCCGGCGTTGGTCGAGCAGAAGCGCGCGTAGTACTTGTTGCACGAGGCTGGACAGTAGGCCGGGGTGTAGCCCCAGGTGTAAACGGTTTCGCAAGCCTTATCCTGCACCACCGAACTGCAGATGACGCAGTAGTCTTTACACTTTTGCTGTCGGCAGTCCGCGGTGCTGCAGTTGTGCGAGTCCATGCACTGCTTGCACGTCGAACTCACACACATCCCGCTGTTTGTCGCGCAGTAGTTCGGAAAGAAGTGCTGGCATATCAAATGCAAATATGTCTGAGTCTGGAAGGGCGTAAACTTGTCATGGATGTTTTCCATGACCCATGAGGTCTGGAATGCGGGGCCTACCATGACAGACTCTGTGCGGTCTCTGCCATGCCCATCCTGCATGAGAAGCTTCCTCCCAACTTGGTCGAAAGTGGACAGCTTTTGGGACTTATGCAACACAGAGCTTTGCATGATTGAGATTTAGCATGACAAGTTGGAATCTTCCAGACCCAGACATATTTCCACTTGATATGGCAATAGGTCGGGCAATTTGCGGCGGAACTTTGTCGCTGCAGGCAAATCTCCGTGGACCGCCCGTAGAAGGCCGCGACCGGGAAACGCGTTTCCTTTTCCACCTGCGAGAGCGCAAGTTCGTTCTCGTGCAGCCCGCCGTACAGGTGTGCGGACTTCACGCGGTTGCACACCTCGGAAAAGGAGTTGCACTCGACCAGCTGCGTGTTCGCGATGTTGGCAGACAGGTCGTTTGTATTGGGAACGAAGTTCTTGTTCGCGTCACACCGCGCGATCCGCACTTCCTGCCGACTGCCACTTTCGTATCGGCCGTACACGTCGTAGTAGTCCGTGCCGCAGACCACGCGGTAGCAAGACGCGGCGATCCGGTTGTTCGCGAACAGCGACACTTGCGTACTGGTGATGGTGCCGAGAGTATCACAGGAAAAAAGTGTTACAGTTACACATTTGATGCAATTACAGCATCACAAAGTTGGTCCGCATAGCAAAGAAAACTTGTGATGCGCAGACTCTAAGGGAAAACACCTATGAAATGGGGCTGGGAAGCATTTCCTGCATGACAGAGGTTGTCTGTCTTGCTGGTCTTGCATCTGAGTGTGTAACTGTAACACTTTTTTCTCACGATAGAGAGTGTTGAAGCACTTGCTGTCCGAAGTCCCGGCGTTGAACATCAGATTCTGCAGATACGCGTTGGTCAACGCACAGTCCCCGGTATTCGCTGAGTACGCGTACCGACGCGGGCAGTGGTCCAGCATGCCAAAGCTCCCGCCTTTCTGCGCGTTGTTCGCCCAGTATTGAAACTCGGTCGGCAGCGTTTGCCCCGTGCCGCTGTCCTCCAAGGCGCAAAAGCCGAGCTGGCGCCCCCGTCTATGCGGAGCGCAGCCCGTGTCGGTGGGCACCGTGCAATAGAAGTTCCGATCCACCGCTACAGCGGAATCTGACACGCACTCGTCGGTCACGAAAGCGCAACCGCGTTTGTAGCCCCAGTGCAGGTTTTCAATCGCGATGGTCGCGCGACTGTAGTCCGCCTGGTACCACCCCGTGTCTTCCGCGAAGGCCAGGGAAATCGTGGAAACGAACGTCGCGTCGTCCGGATTCCCGGTTGCCGCAAACATCTCGTTGCTGTGTATCCGCTGCTCCCAGTGGTTCCCGTAGGCAGAGCAGCGACTGGTTGGCGTGTTCTCCAGTGGCATGCCGGTGAGAGAGGGGCAGTTGAAATATTCCCTCGCTTTCTCCACCACCTTCGGGGTGCGGATCTCGTACTGGCAGTGCGGGTGGTCGGTCAGGCAGTTCTGGAAATTCGCCCCGTTGTACTGTTGCTGCAATGCCTTGGAGCCGTAGGGGCACGTGCACTGGTTTAGCTTGAAATTCCCGTGCTCAACAATACCGAGAACTTGGCCCGCGGAACCGTCCTCATGCAGGCCGGGGTACCTGCGTGAAGTACTTGACAAAAATCTTCATGTTTCAGCTGTGGTTACCACAAAGCGTCGTTAACAAAAAAATTTTCCACCTTCTGAGCGAAAAAGACCGACTTTCATCCAGTCCTATTTTCGAAGTTTGCACCTTGCTAGCTACTTAGTACGTCTAGTAGAAGAGAACAATGATGTTGAAGCGCCGGATTCCATATAAAGTACCCCATATAAAGTACCATCGTCTCCCCGTGTTGTAGGGTAGGTTCCACCTTCCGTAGCAGTCGAACGCATAGTAGCTTCGGTCTTGCAGCTTCAGCGTGCCGTCGTCGTTCACGAAGTTTGGCCAAAGCAACTCGAAAAAAAACAGCACGTGCCCGATCTCGTGCACGACGTTGGCATAATTGAAGTGCAAGTTTCGCTCGACGTTCAAGTCGCCGTAGCCGCTGTTCGTGCACAGAGTGACCGACCCGGCGATCGGCCGCCCGCACTGGTCGACGTAGCAGGAGGCGGCCGCGGCGAGCGTGTTCCCCGTACAGAGATACTCGTCGTCAATGTCGATGAAGAGGTACAAATCGATGTTGTCGACGAGGAAGTTCCTCGGCGTCGAACTCGCATCCAACGTGCTGGTCTCGTACCCGCAGGCGCGGAAAGCGCTATCGCGGTCCAAAGGGGTGCTTTGCGAGTACCGACGGGTCTTCAGCGCGCGCGACCAGAACGCGAGCGAGTTTTTCATAAGCGTGGTCTCCAGGTGGTTGGTCCAGCTTGCGGGAGCGTTGCCGCGGCCGTAGGAGACGATTTCGTACCTGAAGATGCATCAGGAAAAGACATAAAAAGCAAAAGGCATGAAGCAAAGCTACGTGCTTCATGAAACAAAAAACAAAAACTGCTTCAATTGTCATTGTTTCAACGTCAACTATATCGTTATCTTACCCTATCCTTATCGGCCCCCAGCTCGAGCCAGTATGTAGCTGAGGACAGGTAGGCGCTGTCGTCGACGCGAGAGATCTGCCATGGTAGTGCACAGGCAACGGCTCCTCCATGACGCGCGGTGCTGTCGCAGTTACGAGTGTAACAGAACGTTCCAGACACAACACGCCGCACCAGAAAAAAATGCAAGCAATCAATAACCGTTCCAAGCGTTGCGGGAACGTGGCCAAGACGAAAGACTCCATCTTGCTTGCACGAAGGCGGTTCAATCTTCACCAAGCTCAAGATTTGCAATAATTTTCTTTGAAAATGAACTTACACTGTATAGAAGGAAGATGAAATAAAGAATGCCGCGCTCTTGTTTCTACCTGTATATAACTGCTGGGTGCTGATGCTCATGCTCTGTACACGAACTACAAAAACATTCTTTCAGGGAGCTTCTGTGCAACAAATTCTTGGGAAAAGACTATGCGAAACTAAAAAATTGAAAAAGAAATTAAATCCATATCCATCTTGTCATGAGGAAAGCGAGGATAATGCGTTTTTGTGAGGCACTAAAACACGAAACGACGAAAAGAGTACCACCTGTGCGGCCATAAAAATGTGCAATGCCGGGGGAGATCGAAAAGATAATAAGAATTAAACGGGGTCGGGGTAATATTCGTATCAATGGGAATTTTGCATGGGAGATGAGTGGCTGCCAAGGTACATGGACAGGGACTCGCATGTTGAGGAACCATCAGAAACTAGCAAACAATGCGAAGATCGATCGTGCTGTCGTGCTTCGCAATCGCATTCGCACTGCTGGTGCGAGATAATTCAGTGACAGAAAAAACTAACCGACTTTTCAGAACAACTTTCAATGCTTATTTACTTCTCCATTTGCAAGGCCGTTCCCAATGTGGTCTCATCTTCACCGACAGAGACACATTTGATTGAATCAGAACCTGGTAAGAATCAATTAATATGATGCTGATCGGAACACTGTTGAAAGATCAAATCATCACATCGTCTCAGTCTCACCTCCAGAAAAGGCAATTGTCCCAATACAGCCAAAACTTTTGCGTACATTATTTCGAAGCTTTACATTTCATCGACAAAACGACGATGATGTCGATACAATCTTACAGTGCAAGAGCGAACGGGACAAAAAACCAAAACGAGCTGTGAAGCATGCATTGATTATGTTACACGATAAAAGTAGTTTCATCGCCATATCAATGCGGGTCCGCGTAGTTGTTCGCACGTGCACTGCATGTTGCCTTCATCTTCTACACGTTGTCTGATGCTTTATTCTACCGATGTCAGCGAGGGTCATTTTTGGCGGGTTAAAACTTCGTTCTAAAATAGAGGCGCTACTTGAGTTTTACATAGCGTCGAGAGGGGGGAAAACTTTAGATGAGCTCTTGTTGGGCTTGGCCTTGGGATACGCTTACTACTATTCCGCGATAACTAAGGTGTAGTTACCAAAAAGTGCGGGAGCAGCGTCTCTGACGAATGACGACGTGTCTGTCAGGTTCGGCATACGCATATTTAAATATACTCGGGTCAAAATGTAAATGGCGCTGAAAAGGAAAACTCAAATGTAAGGATCGTCTTCTCGGAAAATGGGAACTCCGAGATGAACTAGAAACCTGTAAAAAAAACTCAGATTTTTTAAAATGCTGTTCCAGGGTGTGAAGATTAACATCACGTGCTTGTTATTTCAAAAGTATTCCATTCGTACTCCAGTTCATTTTTGTCTGCGTGGAGGTCGTTGCAGTGCTAGTGAATTTTCATCGGTACAATCTATCGGTCGAGGACGGGAAGAAGTCGTAGTGCGTCGATGCGGCCGACGCAAGTTGTACTAAATCGCCGCCCATACACCTCTCCTGCACGATATTTTTCCGCTTGGCAGCACTCACCACTTTTTCCCACCCTTTCCGTCGTTTGCCATGCTTTGGCGCATGGCAAACCAGTCATCGCTCTCCTCCCGACGACCTCCGCCGCCCTTTCCGCCGCCGAAGCCACCCGACTTACCGAAGCTGTCAAAGCGGTCGCGGCCGCGGCCCCGGTCGTCATCGTATTTGCCTTTTCCCTTATCGCGGTCATCATACTTTCCACCTTTGCCGTAGGATCCCGGACCACCTTCCTTGCTGTGGCTCCTCTGTCGGACTGCAAACCCGCCCTTGTCCTTGCCATAGTCCTTGCCTCGGCCTTTGCTGCCCTGAAGCTTGATTTGGCGGCCGCCACCACGGTAGTCGCGCTGTCCACGCGGACTGCCGCTCCTGCGAGTTTCGGAGGAACAAATAGATACTAAGTACGTCATCAACATCACAGCGACGCAACAATAGCAGAAGACAGAGAGTCTTCCAAAAAATCGAAATTCGAAATTCCGAATTCGATCGTTTGTTAGGCACAAAAAATAAACTCAAAAACAGAAAAACGAATAGTGTTAGCGAAGTTAGAAATAGAACTCGTCGAATAATTTTCTAAAATCTATATCATACCTCTTTCCACCCATTCCAGAGCCGTTCTTCCACTTATTTCGGTTTTTGGATCTTCTTGCCTCCTCTGCTAACCAATCCGGGATATCGTGCCAGTGGTGTTCCGCCCCCTTATTGTCGGCGGTTTCTCGTGCGTCGTCGAGGATCTGGCACAGTTCTGGTGCGAGGTCAGCGTCGCTTGACTGAGTAGTTTTTTCAAATTTCAATTTGGCACCACATTCACGAAGACAATGCAGGAGCTTGCTTCCTTGGCTCCACTCATTTCAAGTACTTACTGGGACAGAAAAAAAGAAAAACACACACGAGATTTCAGTTCTCCACAAGCACAGGAAGATGATCAGGAGAAAAAGCTAAACCTAAAGCAGCAGGAGCTTCAGGAAATTTCATATCATAACTCTAACATCATTTACCCTGCATTCACTCGTGTTGAAGAAAGACACTGCAACGCCCCGGTTTCCCGCTCGGCCCGTTCGCCCAATACGGTGCACGTAGTCGTCGATTTGTGATGGCAAATCAAAGTTGATGACCTTGGTGACCTTTGGGATATCCAAGCCTCGTGCCGCAACCTCAGTGGCTACGAGTACCGGCATCTTACCAGACTTAAAGTTCTGCAGTGCTCGCTCTCGCTCTGCTTGGGTTAAGTCACCTGGTGATTGCATTTTTCACAAATTAAGTGCCGTAAAAGACCCTGAGGGTCGTGTTCAAGGTCAATTAAACAAAGATCGAGCGCGGACACGATTATGTTTTTGCTAGAACAATCTTCCATAGTACCATGAATTTCGGTGCAGCCCATGTTTCCTCGTCTATACAGTTCTGTTGCGAGCCAAGCGGCGGTGCGCTTCATGCCGACGAAGATTAGCACTTTTTCCTTCTCCCCCAGTTCCATCGCTTCCAGTTCGTCATACAATGGTCTCAGCTTGTTTCCCGTGTCCCGCCCGCGCTCCGCGCGGATGGGCACGAAACGCTGCTCCACGGTGTCGGCGGCCGCACCCACCTTTTTGAGATGAAGCAGAAACTCATCGTCATCAATTCACTGAAGTTTCTCGCTCATGAAAAAAAGTCGGTAATGAATGAGGACGGTGACGATGACAAAAATGTGTACCGTTCTGCAACAAGAACGAAGCTAACATAGACAGATGGCACATCAAGTCACATTCGATCAAAAGATGCATGCCAAAGGTAACAAGTCGAGGCCTCATAGCAGTACCCTTCCGACACTGATCCAGATGTAATCGCGCTTCAAGAAACTTCCCGCCAACTGCTGGATTTCCCGCGGAAAAGTGGCGGAAAACATCAACGTTTGTCGGTTAATATGCAGTGCAAAAGTATCGTACTGCATTACAGATTTTGGCAAGAAGGAAAGTGAAATTTGTAATGCTGTTTTGCCCTAGAAAAAAGATTTGTCATGCATATTTGCAATTAGTACGAGTACGATACTTTTGCACAGGATAGTTAAATTTGTCGGGCATGTCCCGCATCTCGACGATCTGTCGGATTTGCGGCTCGAAACCCATATCCAACATGCGGTCGGCCTCGTCTAACGTGAGGAATTGGATGTACTCCATAGAAACCAAGCCCCTGTCAATGAAGTCGATGAGCCGCCCCGGCGTCGCGACCAAGACGTCCGTCCCGCGAGATAAATCCTTTAATTGCAACTTTGCGTCGGCGCCACCGTAGCATTGCGAAACCTGTTTCATAGATGAACAGAGAAGATTTTACTGATAAGAGCCTTTCGGAGTGTTTGTGTCAGCAGTGCGGCTGTCAACGAGATGAAGTAAATTACGTTGCACTAGTAGTCAGTGTGCTTGACCACCATAATTTCCGAGTCAATCAGTGCATGATGCACAGAATCACAAAGTCACAGCAGCCGTGAAATAACAGAAACTTCCTCACCTTGAAGCAACTCTTGTGAAACAGTTTCCGGGCTTCATCGTAAATTTGGGTACAGAGTTCTCGTGTCGGTGCGAGGACAAGGGATAATGGCGTTGCTGGACCCTCCCATGTTTCGCGTCTGTACTCACACCCGTCCTTTTCGCGCATCGACATTGCTTTGGGGATCAGAAAAGCGGCCGTTTTACCTTTTGATTTGTGGTTTTCTTTTGGAACAAAATACGTCTTCCAATTCTTCTCCGTTTGGGTACATATACCATGCTCGTAGTTTTTCCCCGAGTGAGGACGTGCAACACTACGTACACATACACGCAGTGACTACTCAATAATGAAGATCAAACTGCAGTTTAGCTCCACGTATCCTTCGACTTCTTCTTACCTGAGCCTGTCTGTGCGCACACCATCATATCGAAGTGCTTCAGACCCGTTGGAATAGCGTACTTCTGCACGGGAGTTGGTTTTGTGTAGTGACATCTCCAGATGTTGTCAGCGAGCCATCCGCTCAATTGGAACTCGTGAGTTACCTGTGGGTTGCAATGATGATTGTGCCTGGTGGGTCTATTAGGGTTTAGGGACTTGAGCGTGAGCAGGGTGGAGCAGGAGCTGGAGCCGAAACGGCGAGAATAAAATCTTCCATGAAACCCCGCAACGAACACGCAGTAGTTCTGTCGACAAAAAAAGGCCAACTCAAACCTGATCGTAAGTTTCGCAAATTGGGATATCGTCGACACCCTTTCCGTTGATGTCCACCGTAATCTCATTGTAATGGTCGAAGTCAATTCCTGCCGCCATGCCGGCCTTTTCTTCAAACAATTCCTTTTCCTCATTCTCCAAAGTTTTCCAACCTGAAATCGCATAGTCCGTATCAAAAGTAAGTAATTATGCACTTCGACGACGACGACGGTGTGAGAGTTTGACTCATGTTGCTGGAGGTTGCTTGTTCTTCACGACCACCCAAAAAAAGTGTTTCATAATTTGGAGCGAATTTTTCGCTGTACTAGCGGTCCCTGATGCAAATAAAACTACCAGTAGGAGGAGGAGCATGCTCTACTTTTACTTTTAGCTGATCCACATACTGCAACCAATCTACGCCTACGCGGTTCTAAGAGTAGAAGTACCCTTCCTTGGCGGCCCGCCCCTTTCTCGGTCGTACTTCTTATTCGACTTCTGCAAGTCCCAAAAGTAGTCAATTTCGCGATTGGTTTTTGATTCCACATCTCGTCGTTGCTGATCCTGTCTCTTCTGTTTCAGCCAGTGGCGATCATCATTGCGGCCTCCGCCCATTTTTGCCACTGCGCTTTCCGGTCAGTACTGCCAGAAAACCAAAACGTGTCCAACAACTCCGAGTGAGTGATGTTTGTTATTGTTGGTACGATAGTTGTAAAATAAGCCGGGTCTGAAAATTAATTGACCGGAAAAAAAAAAAAAACTTGTGCGGCGAAGGAGGAAGTTTTTTAATGTCGTGCTTGTACTTCTCGTAGTTGTAAGTGTACGGTATGCTTTGCAGCCATTGGAAACGAATGGACTACGTTTTAGTCTTCGAAAGAAGACTGCTACTAGTACTTCGTCAAAATATGTCAAAACTATCCTCCGAAGTATCTGTCAAGATCGTGTCACCAATGTTACAATGTAGAGATCTTCGCTCTTCCAAGGACAAAGTGGAGATCCGATGCCGATCACAGAAGATAAAGTTGTCAAAAATGTAGTTTTTACACCATAGGCATAGAATTTGCGTTTTTTCTTTTCCCCAGCGCATTTGCGTCTTCTTCTTCTAGTAGTTGAAATGAGAACGCGATCGCTTTTTGAAAATGACGTCCTTTTTGCGTTGGATGATCCTTCACGCCGTTGATCTCTTGTGTAATATGCTCCCGAGGATACAATAGTTTAGAAGAGAAAAAGGTGGCTGAGAACTTACTATGAGCTGCCGCAAATGAGTGTGATTCTCTTTGACCATTCTTCGACGAGTCGTGATAGTTGCAACTTCTCTGCTTTGAAAGAAAGTTCCACCGCGGAGGACTGGGATTGAACCCTGTCGCTGTTATGCAGGACCAGGAACTGGAACCAGCATACGAATAAATGCATGCTTTCCTGTCGGATGCGATTTCCATGGTCGGGAAGATGATACTAGCCGAGCGATTTGATGACTTACCAAAAACCTTGGCTGCCAACGACGAGATCATGTTACAGTAGGAGGACGAGGAACCACAACGCAGACTTGGAGAAGAGAAAAAACATTACTGTGACTCGCAACCGAACAGAACTGTGATGTACGTGCTGGCGCACAAGTGAACGCATCCTGATCATGGAGATCGACGTAGATAGTCGCTGTTTACGTTCGGCCCTGTTTCTACTACAAGATCCCTAACACCACAAACATTGCTAGCGACGAGAGGAGCTGCTGAATGTGCTTGTTCATGTTCTTGCCATGTTCTTGAGGCTCTACTTACTCTACTTAGAGTTCAAGTCCTAGTACCTCACAACGAAAATTTCGAATCCCTTATTTGTTCAGCACTCAGGGCAAGGTCTCCCACGTAGTACAAGTCTTCTAGCTCCTCATCCGATAGCCCCATTAGTTCTGTCTCGTGACACAAATGCTGCGACGACGGCCAGGCGCGCTCGCGCCCCCGGGGACTGAGCATGTTTTCAAATGCAAATGTGTCTGGGTCTGGAGGAAACTTGTAATGCTGCCTTGGGACTAGTGAATGCTTTGTAATGCCCAGCCAAGCATGAGAAATGTCTGCGCTTCGTTGTGTTGCGTTTTTCGCATGACAGCCTGCGTTATTGCATGACAGACAAAAGGGCCTCTTCTTGGACACGCATCACAAACTTTTTGGTCATCCCAGACAAGCATGACAAGTCTCGCAATCCACCAGACCCAGACATTTTTGCATTTGATACACGTACTCCTCGCACAACCGAAAAAGGTCGTCCACGTGCTCGAAGTCTTTCGCGTATTCCTCCTGCACAATGACAACGGAAAGCCAGCCAAAGTACACGAGTTTGTACCCAAAAGCATTTCCCAGCAGTTGCAGCCCCCGTGCGGACGCGGAGTAGGCCTTGTGGTGGCCATGTTCCCTTTCGTACACTTCCGAGTGTTTTTGTTGGGCATTTGTCACCGCGGTTCTCGTATCCAGGAAAAAACACCCATCCCCATCCATATTTTGCATGACAAACACGGCAACTGATGCATGTTTTGCATGACAAATTGGATGTGGATGGGTGTTTTTTCCTGGATATCTCGTCGGCCTCTCGTACTTGGGGATCAGGCTGAGACCGATCGGGTATCAAAAGGAAAAATCCCCCCTCCCCCTGTCGAAATGCAAATCTGTGATGCGGGATTTGTCTACACAAATCGGCTTTGTCTTGCAGTAGAGGACTGCAGGCAGATACAGAGCCTGAGTAGGGGCGTTTTGGTGTAGGCGCCTCGCAAGGCGGGCACTTCCTCTGTAGGCCATCCAGCATTACAAATTGCCTGCAGAACGCAGCGGGGTTTTTCGATTTGCATTCTTGCAATGCAAAGACGATTTGTGGTCACAAACCAGCATCACAAATTTAAATTTTCACAACTGTCCCGTGTTGGTACTTATGGGGAGGGGGGATTTTTCCTCACAATATCGGAACTCGGTAGCGGTCAGGATAGAAGTAGCCGTTACTGGTTTGGATCAGCAGTACCCGGGGTTGAAACCATTTCGCCAGGAGTAACCTTCGAAGCACGTGCCAGTCGTAGCCGTCGATGTGTAAGGAGAACAGCTCAAACTTTGTCGGGACGGATTTTGACTTCAAAAGGTCCAAAATGTTCTCCGGCGTCACCTTGGCTGCGCTGTAGTCAATGCGGCTCAGGGATCCTATCATGTCAATCATCCGCCCGTCCCAGTTTTCAAACGCCTGCAAATAGCGCGTCTGGTAGTCGCCGGCCAGGCGGCCGATGCCAATATCGACGAAAAATTTCGCGTAGGGTGAGGGAGAAGCTGAAGTGGAGCGGGACAAGGCATTTATTTTCTCGCAATTGAAAATGGAAGGATAGAAGTGTGGTTGCGGCTGAGCAGGGGAGTGATTTGGTCCAGCGCCTTGGCCTGACTTGATGTTACTCATCCGACCCGTCCTTTTTTCCTCGTCCTTCTCTTGTTGCAAATAGATAGTCCGGTAGACATTGACCAACACAGAGTCGAGCGCGTCCAGACTGTATCGACAGTCCGGCAGCGGAATGGATATCATTTGCAAAAACGTCCCCACCCCAGAGTCAAGATGGGGATTTTGCAACACAAACCTGAAAGTTTTGGGAGCCACGCATGACATCAAGTGGCAGGCTGTAGTGTAATGCAGTTTAGCAAGGGACGCCGCAGAAAAAATCCATCTCCTTATCCTGTTTACAGCATTACAACTTCCAAAACACGATAGGAAATGCTTCTCATGGGGATGCGCATTACAAATGCTCTTGTGCTTGCAGATCTGCATGACAACTCTGGGGTGGGGATGTTTTTGCACAGGATAATGGAGTAGGCGTCGTCCGCCCACAGGTCGATTTCCAATTTGGATGTAGTCGTGCCCTTGTGTCGTGTCCTCTCGGGACTTACTTTCGAAGACCCTTGCAGTGCCGACGCGAGATGCCCGTCAGGAGTAGAGCAATTTGCCTCTGTTGCAAGCAATTTCTGTGCGGTTTCCACACTGCGGATGCGGTTCTGTAGGCACGACGCGTAGGACTTGAAAACGAAGCGGTTTAGACTCGTTTCGCGTGCGATCGCGCGTTTCAGCGCCTCCTTTCCGAGTAAGTGGACGAAGTGAAACTTCTTGCCGAACAAGTGCAGCGCCCTCACACCGAGGGCGAGGTACACGAGCAACGCGTCCAACTGGCTAAACAGAGATCGCCGTTTCTCGAACACATTCGTGATCGCGGTCAGAACTTTTTCGACCAGGAGCGCAGCTCCTGAAGCAGGAAGATGAAGACCTCCGTTCGACGGTGTTGATGTGGCAGGGATTGGGACACCAACGGGAAGAAACAGGTCAAGCGAAAGTTGTGCAACCGACAGAATCCACTGTAGATAGGAATTTCTTGCAACCCACAGAAAGCGCCGGTGTCTGTGGTGCCCGTCGGCAGCCTCAATGGTGTGCGTCGGCGCCTCTCCCCGCTTCCCCAGGAGGCGCCGCACGGCCGCTGGCGGCTCGACTAGAGGAAATGTGTGCGACCAGGTAGTCACTTCGACGTCCTTGTTCTCCTCGTGTGCCGCAGATAATTCAATATTGCCGATGTTGTCGTCCATTCCGCAATGCAGTCGTGTGTTCAGGTCTGTCGTGTATTTCATCGAGTGCGGGTCTCCTGGTGCGGATAGAATCGACGACTCCGCCTTCCGCAGCGCGCCGCCGTCTCGGTTGTGGTAAGGAAGGACCAAGCTGCCGGGAAAATCGCAGATGTGGCGCACGCCGTTCAGCCCGTGCTCCGTCACATTCTGCATACGCTCGATGAGAAAATGCTTCTCCGACGGGCCGCGGGCGAGGAACTCTAACCTGGATGCACGTCACGAAACTGTTGTGGGCGTCCACAACTTTTGGAAAAACAAAAAGTGAGAATGACCATCACGGATAAAACAACTAAACTACATTATAAGAATCGCTCTAAATCTAAGTGGAAAATCAAAATCAGTGCAAAAGATGGACAAAGAGCTACAATTGTGTTTCGAAGCAGCCGAACCTAAACAAGTGTATGAAGTCTCAGTGATGTTGTTCTTGTTGAAAGAAGCAAATTATACCGTATTTCAATACCGAAGTATTTGGTCCCGAACGTGAACTGTCATGGCATTTAGGCGGGTGTAGTAGAGACTCAGGCCACGATTCAGAGCCGTGGGGATTTCCGGCGTCACGGAAAGTTGTCTTTCTTTCGACCTTTGCCAACTTCGATTGCCGAGCGAAAAGCGCCACAAATCCCACAAACTACTGGCGAATCCGAATCTCCCTTGGCCGTAAAGCTTCTTCAACTTTTCTTCGACGAGCAAGTGGGCCTCCTCCGTCTCTGTGTGGTCCAAAAATCCAAACGTTTTCCAAATCACTGCGATGTCTGCGGGCTCTAAAAAAGTTCGTTTCACTTCGTCAATCAGCAAAAGCCCAAGGAGAAAGCGGAAAAGCGGCTCAACCAGGAAGAGCTGATGGCTTACTTCTCCATCTGTTCGCTTTCCTTTCACTTTTTCCCAGGTATTCCTCGTGGTCGTGGCGGAGAAACCGGACAAAGTTGAGGACTCTTGGTCTTTATCTGCGTTCACAGCTGTCACGTCACGCAAACACAAGCGACGGACCATCAGCTCGTGGTGCACGTCTTCTGGCTCGGTGTTAGGCCTAGAAGAAACCTCATCGAAAAAATCGAGCGTCTCCGAAATCACGAAGCTCTTGACCAGAAAAATCAGCGAACGCAGGTCGGAAACTCGTACGCTACTGAAGTTGATATTATTACCGCGTGAAGCTGTTTCGGTAGTTTCCGTAGCCGTACCCGTACTGCTTGGTGCGGTGTTCGCGAATTCGATAGCGGACGACATTATATTCCCACCAGATGATAACATTTCGTCGTCGTCTACCTTCGACGCTAAAGGACCGGTCCGCCCCTGCTGCAATGCCACTATTTCTTGGTCGGGAACAAAACTATCAGCGGCAAACGCCGAATTGCGGCGCTGGTTCTCCTGCGTCCGAACCGTTCTCTTCGGAGAGCGTTTGCGGCCACCCCAGTGACTGTGACGGGCGCACTGACTCTCTCGACACGGGGTGTCATAGGCGTCTTGTTTTCCGCGGTCGCCCTCGTGGTCCGTCGAACTGGGACGGGGGACCACAAGCGGCCCTGATTTTGATTGTGAGGACTGCGTGCTGCTTCTGGTGTTTCCATCCCTATCCCCAAACTCCCAATCCCGAATGGCTGTGAACAATGCTCCTTCTGTGCCAATGTCGTGCTCATCAATCGCGTTCAGCAGTTCCTCGCTCAGGCGGGCACTGCGTAGCTTCCGACAAAACGAGTCCTGCCCAGAAGAGTTGTTCCGCCGGCCGTGTGTTGTTGATACTCCTGCACCGGGTGCAGAGGCGACAGCGTCCACAACAGAAGTTGATGTCGGGCTAGCTGCAGCTTCTGTGCCTGCGTTTATTCGTATTTCCCCTTTGCTCATCTTCAAGAGCTTGCGCAATTCCTGCACTTTGGCAGCTGCGCGTGTCGACGCAAAGAGTTGTACCGTCGAGAAATTGTCCACCTCCTTGTTCAGATCGTCCCCCGCCCTGATTTCGGCTTCGGCAAGCGTCTTTGCGAATGTCCGCGCGTCTTCCAGCTCTTGCGGATCGAGCAAATGCGCAACGCTTTGGATTGCCCGCAAAACCTCCGTCTGGTGCTCCGGCGCGTACCCCAGCACGGACAGAGTTCCGATCACAAAAGCGACAACCAAGATCGCGACGCACACGTACTGATGGAACGCCAGTGCGCGGCTGCGTCCTCGTGTGCAGCACACACACCGTTCCACTTTCCGACAGGTATCAAATGCAAAAGTGTCTGGGTCTGGAAGAGTGCAACTTGTTATGCTCAATCTGACGCAAGCAAGAATCTGTGTTGCATGATTACCAAAAGTCGTCCAGTTAGTTTTGACCAAGTCGGGAGGGAATTTCTCGTGCAGGATAGTCATGAGAGAGATCGCACAGAATCTGTCATGCTAGGTCCTGCATTCCAGGCCTCATGGGTCATGGAAAAGCTGCATGACAAATCGCGCACTCTTCCAGACCCAGACATTTTTGCATTTGATAACAGGCCTTTCGGCACCACCGCATCTTCCTGCTGTCAGGACTGTACCAGGGCACCTGCGTATCATAAAGAAAAACTCCCCCTCCCCATATTGAAAACGCATCCGTCTGAAAATTTGTGATGCACATTTGTGACCTCAAATCTTGTCTGTCTTGCAAGAAGGCAAGTCCAGAGAGCCCCCTGCATTTTGCAGGCGGTTTGTGATGCTGTTGGGCTTAGGGCATACACGCTTGTCATGCTAGGCGCCTACGTCAAAACCTCTCGACCGAGGCTTGACATATGCCTGCAGTCCTCTACTGCAAGACAAATCTGATTCGTGTACGGAAATCCAGCATCAGAAACTTCGTTTCGATATGGGGAGGGAGAATTTTTCCTTTTGATACTGCGGCTCCGCCCGGGCCTCTTCCAACCGCCGTCGCTCGCGGTCCTGCTGCAGAGCCTGCTGCTGGTCTTCGGGAACGGACCCTGGTCCTGGTTCGGGAGGTACAACCCCGAACGGAACCGGGTTGGGCGGCATTCTGATGTAGGTCTTCTCCGCAGAGGAGGCTGCAGATTGTTGTAATACCGGAGAAGCAGATCGCTTGCGCGGGAACGGAACTCCAGTCAGCCCGCCTCCAGATGGTGCCTGAGGCCGCAACAGCTCCTGCCTTTGGTCGCGGGCGGAGGGGCTCTGGTTTAGACTCAGCATGAAGCAAGTGTGTTCAACAAAGGAAAGGACGACGCTCTGTATTTTTCTCGTAGCGAAATTCGGTTTGCGTCAATATCCACGCGTCGTGTGAAGGCGGTTCTGCTCGAGGAATGAAGATGACGTAGAGACAGCCTATTCAGGTTACAGCTCCAGCTTCTTCGAGATGAAGCTCTTTCAAGTCAGCGCCGTTCGCAATAAAGGCAACGAAGGCAACAAGGAACGCGACGTAGAGCCACAGAGCACAACAACACGAGGCAACATTGTGGAAGGTGAAAAACGCAGGAATCGTGATCTGAAAGGCCATGCTTGTTTTTAGTATGGAATGAAGTAGAAAGGGTAGCTGATTACACAGGACGAGAGGCTTTTTCACGACCGTTGTGGTTGTGGATGTTGTTGTAAATGGCAATATTAAACTTATAGGGCCGCCGACCTAGAGATAAAGTCCGTCGCGTGCTGCATAGGCAGCGCGGAAAGCAGGATATCCGTCGTCCATAAAGTGCTCTTTGCCTTTGTTTCGGTGGAGTCAAATTTATGAATTAACCCCTGCTACTAGTATCTCGAAATCAAATGCATTTTTCATGATTGAACCTAAGCTGTCCACGAATAGTGCACAGCACGAAAACGAAGGAAAAAATGGCTATGGCAGTGTTTTCACTATAACTACGAACAGGTGGACCAGAACACGAAGACCTTGCACTTTTTTCTTCTTGTCGCTAGTATTGCTATATGTGCTTGTCTTCTTGTGAATATGATGTACTTATTCACGAATGCGTCGCATTCTCTTGGTATCATCTATCGCTTCTTTTTGTACTTCTTGTTGGGGTTCGCTTTTATGATTTTTTCATCGGTCTTCACGAGGACTTCCTGGGGTTGCTTCAGGCACGCAGCAATGCGCAATGGGAGGAACGGCTGCTACCACAATCTCCGCCAACTACATATAGAGATGAGAGTGGCTGGAGGCATGATTCACTTCCACCTGTCTTTCAGAGTTTTGTACCTGACAAGCCTCTGGGTGACGACCCACGCCACGAAAGTTATGCCTCCGGACGTGTACAAAACCGTGAAGTCGAAAGCCTCTCCGAGTATGTCGTAGGCGTTGCTTGGTCTTACCGGGGCGAAGAACAGATCGAGGCCGTAGGCGAAGGAAAAGCTAGTGGATTCGAGGGAGGTGGGGGAGGAGGCGAATTTCGTCGTTCGCACGGGAACGTAGTAAGAAAGCACGTCGGTCGGCTGCACCACGAGGAGCGGCATGTAGGGGATCATCACGTCGTCCTTCGTCACTTGCAGGTTCTTCGGGAGGCTCTGGGTGCGTGCTTTGTCCTCGGTGCCTGTGGATTGGTGTGCGACGATTCGAGGATTTCATGTTTAAATTCAGACAGAAGTAGACCACGAAGAGCACAAAAGTGAAAAAGGGAAGGAGTGAGCTCATGTGCATCTGCTAGGATTTTTGGCAAGATCTCCAAATGATCACGCACGACCACGAGCTAAAGACAGTATAAAACATCTCCCTCACCATCGGGTAGTTTCAGTGGCCTTCTTGGGTTAAGCCACTGGTCCTTGTTCAGCTTGACGACTTGCTCCGAGTTCGCCAGACTGAACAGCACCGCTTTCTGTGTGATTCCCTTGGCTGTGGTGGTGATCCCGAGCCCCTGCACGCGGTGCGGAAAAATGAAAGTTTGGTGGATCGCCACGGGTGTATCGAGGTGGAAAGCGCTGCGCGGGGGCGGTTCCGCGCCGAACAACAGTTTCCAAGCCCCTTGGTCCTCCTGGTTCTCGTATAGGTCCACCACGTAGATCTCGTACCTGTCGATTGATGTTTGTTGTGTCAGGATCGTCGTGATCGTAAAGAACAGCCTATTTGCTGAAAAAAAAGCAGCCACAACTCCCTGTCCTGAACATGAACATGATGCAACTACAGCACTGCGCATAAATTTTAAAAAGTATGTCGCGCCGATAGCAGAAACATTCAACATCCCGCTCACCTAGAATTCGCTTGGCTCCAGTAATGCAACAGTGCCCAGTTTTCCGCAGTGAGGAAATTTATCGGGCCCGTTCCGCTTGGAATTCTGCCCTGATGTAAAATTTGTCCGCTGACGGCATTCAGAAGGTACAGCGTCAACCCGCTGCCGTCGTTTTTCTCGGTTACCACCGTCACCATATTTGGATCCAAGAAGCGAAACATTACGCTTGCGTCCCCCCTGACGTGGACCGGGACGACGTGCTGGTTCGATTTCAGCAGGCTCTCCTGGTGCCCAAGCACGGTTTCACTCAGGTCGCCAAAATCCAAATTCCACGTCTCCTGCTTCTCCAGAGAGTCGGATTGCAGTGCGTAGCCGCTCATCTTGTTCTCCACCATATCGTACCCGTACAGACCCGTGGGGAGAGCCTGATTATATAGAAAAGATGAAACTTTGGGTGTAAGGACAGAAGTAGACAGTGATGCGTTTACGTTGCTTTAGAGTCAATGAATAAATACTATCGAGCATCATGTTTGCACGCACATCATTCAGCACGGAGCAAATCACTACCTGTGGCTCGGCCGCCTTAGTGTCTAGCTGGGTGAACACGGCCTTCGTGGCTGCGGTGGAGGTGTACATCACTCCAGTGTCGGTGATCTGCGTCAGTTTTTCCGGCACGCCGGGCAGCTGCACTTTTTTCGTCACTTTTCCCGTCCGTGGTGCGAGGAGGAACAGCACTCCACCGAGCTCCGCAACAAGCTTCTCGGTGCTGTCAGGATCGGCGGAGGGCAGCATCGCCAAACGACCCGTCGACGCGGGGGCTGTGCTTTCATCAGCAGTGAGGTAACGAGACCAGACCTAGAAGTTTCATTCATAGTCACGACATTGAAGAACTATTTCGAGGAGTGCACGAACCCTCAAGCTCTTGTGGCTGTGAGTGCTAGCAATGGCAAGAATGCAGCAAAAACATTTGTCATTGAACGGAAGAAAATTCAATCATCACTGCCATTTCGACGAAGCGATAAAACACATCACATACCAGCGCGCCCGTCGGTGCGTCTATGGCGTACACCTTGCGCGCCTCTGCGGAGAGCCCAAAGATCAGCTGGTTGCCGTCATAGGTCCGCAGCGTTTCCGCCGACTTTGGTACGGTCACCGTGGCGCCCATCACGATCGTGGGGTCGAATTTCAGCTTCGGTAGCTGCGGCTGCGCGGCAGCGGCCTCCTTGGCCTGCTTCATCGCGAGCGGCGGGACGAGAATGCCGATGATTACCTGCGAGATGTTCTCCAGCGTCTGGGCAAAGGCCGTCAGTTTCTGCGTCAGGATCTCTGCAATGGCTTCTGGGCTGAACTTCGGGGCGGTCGTCGCCTGTTTCGGACTGCTGCTTTTTTTGTTTGCTGTCGAAATCAGGGCGTCCGAGCCAATTCCGACGTTCCAAAACCTGGCGTCGACCAAGCTCCCCAGCCCCTCCTCTCGTGTCCACACATCCTTCCCGTCTTTCTCGACCACGCGAAGCTGGTGGCCCTGCTCGGCGTATACGAGCAACTTGCCGGACTTTTCCGCGAGGTAGGAAGGAGGAGCGTCGAGCGCGATTGCGACGCCGTAGGAATCTGTTTTCTTCTGCGCGAGCACGTCCCAAGATTGGATGGCGAGCAGACCTGGTGGTGCAGTGGAAAAATGTGGAAATCATAATTGAAGGTTCGAGAGAAGTGATCCTGCCTCATGATGTTATTCTCAAGTGTTGGAACTGGACGTAGATTCCGATTTCGATACAAATACAACGCAGTCTACGGGCGTCAGTCCTATACCTCTGTTATCCGGTGACTGCTCTGCGATCATGGTTTTCCTTTCATCGGTTTCGCTCGACGGTGCCCGCTGGACGGGGACAAGGGTGCTTCCCTTTGCGGTATGCAGTGTGACAACCTTGTTTTCACCGGTAAGACATGCCAGGCTGGACTGCCGGTTTTTATCTGCCGCCTTCGTGGACGCGATGAAGCAGTTCGTGTCCGGAAGAGGAACGAGAGCTTTGCCCGCCAGGGTCTTTTGATCACCGGAAAGCGCAACAGCCTCCCCCGTGATGCTGCTGTAAGCGGAGACGGAAGAAGAATCGAGCAACAAGGAGTAATCTGCCAGTCGCACCACGCTCTCCTTTGCACTGCCCACATTGACTTCGCGAAAGGAAGGCCTGAGGGAGTTTTTTTTTTCAAATTGCCCAGCCTTTTCGTCGCAAAACCCTCCATGTTCTTGTTCTTGAGTGAGTATCACAAGTGGAAAACCAAAGTAGAGATAGCGAAGGGTCAGCAGCAGCAGCACGCAAAAAACGTCTGATACTTCTTTTCCGGAGACTGCGCAGTGCTGCGTATGAGTAGCCCTTTTGTGTCGATGACGGACAGTGTCTCGGTGATTTCGAACTTTCCTGATAGTGCCGCTACAGTCTCGGTCCAAAGGGGCTCGCCCTTGGAAGCACTCAAAGCGGAAAGGGCACTGGCGCCGCTTTGCGCTGAATGCGCGACCACCACCTGGTTGCCGTCAACGACCGCGAGTTTGCCCGTGGCGCCGTCACTAGAAATGCGCTTTTCCCAGACAAGCTCTCCACTTGCGGTGGCCTCGAAGCAGCTTACGGTCAAAACACCTGAGAAGTGTAAACAAAAGCTGTATTAATACAATCGTGCTGGATTCGCATAAGCGACGATCTGACTCTTTCTCTTCCAGGGAACGCGGTCGCGGAGCATCCATGCCATTACTCGCTCGGCGCAAAGACTTTTTGCTTCAGATTATTCCTTTACACTTACCTTCTGCGGCCGCGGTGGGCTCAGTCGCAAGGATAAAGGCCTTTGCCTTGTCGTCATCTAGGGTAGCATCCAGAATGGTTCTGTTTTCCAACACCTTGCGCCATCCGAGCTTGCCCGTGCTCCATGACACCAGCGCTATCACGTTGGGCCGCGAGACGGTGAGGACAGCTTTTTTTGTGTGCAAAAACTTAAAGGGACCCCCGATATTGTGTCTGGCCCAATCCCATCGGCCAATTTCGTCCAGAAAGAGCGCGCTGGCGAGCTGGAGTGTGAGGGCCACTGAAAAAGCGGAAAATATCCTCCATCGGGTTGGCGCTCGTCGGCTGCAGAACGCAAGCCAAGAAGACATCTTGTGGTAGCCCTAGCCGAATTATTCGGCTGGATAATTGCTGTCAACTTTACCCTGCTTACCTTGCTCAATGCACCAGCTTCAAGAGGGGCCTGGCCTCGAACAACAACAAGGTGATTAAAATTACATGCTGAAAAGACAGACTCACTTGTTTCAAAAAACCGCTAGTGTCGTCGTCGACGTGTACAACGATTCATTGTGTCGCTAAAAATTCAGATGTCGCTGTCGCTGAAATACACTTGCTCGCAATGGATCCTTCTTTCGCTCAATATTGATCAGCTTGTCATACTGACAGTTGAAAAAAAAGCCTAAGAATAGCAGAAGATCTTGAACTGCGAGATGACATTGTGATGTGTGTGGCAAAACGTAAAAAGATGATCCATATGCCAAGAACTTTTTCGTATGTGCTTCTGCAGCTAGATGGATCTTTTTGTTTAACGACCACAGACTTACATTTCGTTTTCTGCATCGGCGAAAAGAATGAACGTCATTGCAATGAGAGGATGTGGTCCAAGTCCTCTTTCTGATTCTCCTGTTGCGTTTTCTCAACATCGATAGTAGATTCAGTTCTGCTATTACTAGCTGAAATCTCCTGCTCCAGTTGTAGCTCGGTTTTTCTCTTATCTATCTTCGATAAAATCTCCCTGTGCGAGTGCAAGGACCTCGAAAGAAGTCTGAAGCACTAGCTTTGAGAAAAAGTGTAACGCTAACGCCGATGGGTCCAGCACTAAATCAAATCTTCATCAGACGCCAAGCGTGTTTCCCTTTCCCTGGAATGGCATGAAGCTCTGGGTTACCGGTGAAGGGGCGGTGGGCAACGTTCCATACAGTTGTGAAGTGTATGAGCCACCTGTGAGGTAGTTTTTCCAAATTTTCGTTGATTATCGATCCATTTCGATGATGCTATCCATCCTCATGCATTTGCATCCAAAAGTAAGAAGTGAAGCTGGAGACGAAGACGAACGCACGCAAGAAAAAAAGATATACCACCTCCGCCCCTCCCGCTATTGCGATCATCGCCCCCTGAGGACGCATTTTGGTCGTTGTAGATCTGGTAGACCATGATGCTGACCGTGAGCATGCTGAGCATCCCGCCGATCAGGACCGCAGACACGAAGTTGCCCTCGAACCCGTTACTGGCGCCGAAGATGTGGATTCCCGGGGGCAGATGGACGATGCGGTCGATGAACTGCACGACTTCCAGGATGCCGTTGATGAAGCAAATGATGCCCCACGACATCAAGCATTGCATGTCCACACTGCTTTCCCGGAGGCAAAAGTACCCACAAAACGCGATCAAGCCGGTCATGAAGCCGTGCATTATCTCCAGCAGCATGAACATCTGGACGGCGGAAGAGAGCGCCATCAGAGTAGCAAGCACAAAGAACGTATTTCGAAACGCCAGCGCCTTTTGCGTCGGGTAGGGGCTAACCCCCACACTGGGCAGGGGAATCACCATCTTGTTGTACCAATCGCTCTACTTAGCGGACGCAAAGAGAGGACAATCACATTTGCTCTTTCTATTCTTTCACGTTCAAAAAACCCGAGGTCTACCAATCCGAAAAGGAAAAATGAAGCACATCAAGTGAGAAATAATACAGATTCAGGTTCATCCCCTTCCCACAGAAAGGAAAACTACTCCGGATGGTAATCTATGATATCTTGCTCTTGCAGCTGGAAGGCTTTTTAGATTTAGCTTTCACTTTCTCTCGCCCTCAGCGCACGACAACTAGAACTTTCAATAGTTGTTATTTTGAAATTTGCCGACAAGCAGAACACGAACGAGTCGATTAATCGAGGTCGAAAAAACGCTCGAAGTTTCATCATCGCGACTTGTTGATGATGGCTCAATGTACCACTAGGAACGTGCGCAATCGAGTGAATTCTCATCCATCTACATGCATTTTTTATTTTTTTCCTGTATCTAAATCTATGTATTGGAATAAAGGACGTCGATGCCGAAAAGAAGTCAAGTGATCTTTTTCCCCTCACCCTTTTGCGTTTTTCGCGACCTGCTTCTGCACGCTGTCTACGTTGAAATTTTTCAACTTTTTTTCATCCTCCGAGCTGCTGGATGAATCGCTGGAACTACTTGACCCTTGCGCAATCGACGCTTTCTTCGTGGACGTAGGCGAACTTACCGGGGAGGCTGCCCGACTGCCGGATATTATGGACGACTTTTTCGCCGAAGCTGCGTCCTCTTCACTGCTTTCGTCTCCGCCTGACAGCATGTTTCTCAATTCGTCCTCAGACTGCTCTTCCTCTTTTTTCTTTTTGAGCAAATTCGGATCGACCCAGTTGTCCAGCCCCATCATACTCGCGAAGGCGTTGCTGGTTTCGGCGGTCGGCTTTTCCTTTTTCTTCAAGTACCAGGAAGAAAAGTCCCCCAGTTCCTGCTCCAACTTTAGCAGTTTCTTCTCCTGCCCGTGGTTCACGTTCAGCAGCGAGAAGAAAATCACGGGCGGGTACTCTTCGAATCTTTCGGTTATCAAGTCGAAAAACTCCTTCATCAGCTCCTGCTCCACCTCTTCGTTCTCCGCCACATCCTTCGCCAGTGTCATGATCCGCTCCGGTAATTTTGGCTTGGTCATCGCGTTGTTCCACTCTTTCGAGACGAAACACTGCCACGGCTTTTCCAACTCCGCCATCTCGGCGGCGAGTTTGCGCAGGAAAGCGTCTACTTTTTTCTGTAATTCCCACAGCCTATCCTTACGGTCCTGTTCGTCCTCTTCGAGGACGCGGGGCATGACGGACAGCAGCGTTTCGAACACCAGCCAGAGCAATTCGTCCAGATAGGGGTCGATCACGTATTCCTGCACTTTCAGCTGCATCCGCAGCTGTTCGACGGTCAAGAGCTGCTGGAACTGCGACTCCATCTTGATGCTGTCCTTCCCCTTCTGTCCGTGCGGCTTTTCGAGATACACATCCACCTGTTCTGTTTCGACAAAGACCGCGGGGAAGTCCTCGGCCAGCCGCTCGCAAATGATCTCCTTCGTGCGTTTCAAGGACAAGCGGCCGCTCCGGACCACGTCGTCAAAGTCGATCAGGATGGGCGGCGGAGGCTCGAGGCCGAGCAGACCCTTCTTGTGGATCTCGAGCGCGATTCCGGACCGCATCGCCCACTCGTCCGGCCGGCCTTTCTTGTCTTCGTCGTCGTCGCCTTTCTTCCGATTTTCCTCATCCGAAGACTCCAACCCCGTGGGCCTCTTTCCTTCCAGTTCCGGAAAACTGACCTCAAACAGCCGGGCCTTCATACGTGCCTGCCGCTCCTCCTTCGTCAGCGGTACCCGCTGTTTCGCCTTCGCCTTACCTTTCGCTTTTGGCGGCATCCTTTACAAAACCATAAGGAGAGAAAAGGTTGGAAACGAGGCGGAGCAGGCCGGAATCAGAATACTGGGTCTGGGTAAGGTAAGGCTAAGGGTAACTCAAAAAATAAAAAGGTTACGACCATCAACAGAGCTCGAAACACTGGGGGATACCTAGATGTTCCTGCAGCGATGAAGTATGTGTGGGTGCGCTGCGTTGATCGACAGGAAAAGCAAACTCATTGAAATTTGTGCCATATATCAGTACCTAGCTTACCATAGAGGACGAAAGGGAAGTACTTTAAAGCTTGCACGATTTTGCACGATGGTTGGAATCAGTACGATGTATTGTGGGTATCCCTGTAGACTTCGAAGTTCGCGGATTGCGCGCGCGCACGCGCACGGAACACCACGGACCGATGAAGGTGCAACATTGCAAAATTCTCTACTGTGGGAACACAACTATTCTTTCAAACCTGCGCTCGAGCTGCTTGGGCATATGTTCTTGCTGATAGTCAAAATGGGAAAATCCAGAAGCTTCGTGCTTGTCTGCTCCATCGACGCCGATCAGAGTATGGTCTTGAGAAACAGCACAGCCTTATGTGGTTGTATGTTCGGGAGAGCGTGAACGAGGTTCATTCGATATACCTGTGCTGATGAAACTATGAATTATGACCTCCTCCAAAAAGACGAACTAGCCAAAGCATCGTAAATCATACCGTGGGTAAGAAAGAGATACCAGAATCACATTCGTCGACAGAGTCACTGCTACTGCATACAATAACGAAGAGCACTATCATGTACACTAGTCACGAGCAGTGTAGTACAACTGAAATATTTGAAAAAAAGAAAACTCTTGGGAATAGTGAGAGCAAAAAAGATCTTTGGGTGTGTTATTCGTGCTAATATGCTGCATTTGGTATATAGTAGAGCCGGGAAAACCAGGGCGAGGCTATATGTATCTGTGAATACCGCAGTAGCAGTACTAGTACTAGGTAGATCACAGCACTTTATAGTCCCGCTTGACTCCCTGCTTCCAGTCCTGCGTGGGTAGTTTTACCGACAGGTAGACGTCCTTTTCCTTCCTTGTCTCTACGTTGTCGAACTCGAAGTCTCCCCAGAAGCGGAAAAAGCCTTCTCGCTTCTCGTTGTCAAACACCATTGCACACAGTGTTGCGGAGTAGTCCTCTTGGAAGGTTGGGTCGTTCAAGTGCTCTTGCAGGGTCAAACTGGGAATGGGCCGCAGCAGTGGCGGCTCGCCGAATAGATGGAAGAGGTCAGAGACGAGCACGCCATTTGCGGCTGGTCTCTGTTTTCGTGTCCTCGCGAGAAAGTCCGTGCTGTGCTTCACGCGCCACTTGGAGTTCGACGGTTTCTGTAGTTGTTTTTTTTTCAAACAAAATCACACACCAAATGAGCAGCGCTCTAGCCGTCGTGGTCGCACTAGCTACTCTTCACAAGGATCATGACACCGCGGGGGTCCGTGACAGCAACTACTAAACGAACCAAGAACTACCGGGAAAGTAGATTTTATTCAACGACAACGACAAGCATGAGTGGGGTAACAATTGATTCAACTAAGTCGGATCGCCGACTTAGTCGTCCGTCCGGCCGCACGGACGACTAAGTCGGACTTTGTCGCGGGAAACTTCCTCCTTCAGGAAATCGAAGAGCCGAGAACCCCGACCCGGGGTCCTGCCGTTCCAGCATCTGAAAACCGTATGAGAAAGTGCACTTTTGTAAGCGGATTTTTGCGCTTTTGGCGTGTTTTTTTTTTCAGGGGAGCATTCCGAAAAAAAATGGCAAATGCTGTTTTTTCTGCATGACAGTTTCTGTTTATGCATGAGAGATTAGCCCTTTCTGCAATTGAAAAAAACTAATTTTCCTTCATTTCCTGCAAAAGCAAAAAAAAGCGAAAGTCCGCATTTTTCATTTGAGTACTTTTTTCATCTGGAAAAAGTGCAACCTTTTTCAGCTTCGCATTCACACTCGGCTCGGGGGGGTTGCGCGAATCCCCAGCTCGGGGGGGTTGCGCGTTCGCCAGACGCGCAACGAACGCGAAACCCCCGGAGCTGGGAATTCGCGCAACCCCCCGAGCCGGGAATTCGCACAACCCCACCGAGCCGAGCTGGGAATGAAGCTGAAAAAGATTGCACTTTTGAAAGTGCGGGCTTTTGCTTGCGAACGCGCAACCCCCCCCGAGCTGGGAATGTGAAGGCGAAGCTGAAGAAGGTTGCACTTTTTCCAAATGAAAAGTGCGGACTTTTGCTTTTTTTTGCTTTTGCAGGAAAGGAAGAAAAGTTTGCTTTTTTTATTGCAGAAAGGGATAATCTGTCATGCATAAACAGCAACTGTCATGCATAAAAAGTAGCTCTTGCCATTTTTTTTCGGGATGCTCATGCCCACCCGAAAAAAAACACACCAAAAGTGCAAAAATCCGTTTACAAAAGTGCATTTTCTCATAAGGTTTTCGCGTGCTGTAACGGCAGGACCCCGGGTCGGGGTTCTCGGCTCTTCGATTTCCTGAAGGAGGAAGTTTCCGCCCGCGGCAAACTCCGACTTAGTCGTCCGTGCGGCCGGACGGACGACTAAGTCGGCGATCCGACTTAGTTGAATCAATTGTTACCCCACTCCAATGAAAAATTAATCCTACCATGAGTGTCATGTCCTTTCCCACGGGCGGCGGCCCGATGGTTTCCGGATTGTACTGCAGGTGGTTTCCGTGCACGATGGTTCCCCCCTGCACCGGGTGTGCCTCCTCCACCACGAAGGTGGAATTGGACACTTCCGCGGAGTAGATGTACCCCGGGTCCGAGATGGTAAAGCAGTTCGGAATCCCGATTAGATCCTGGATGTACACGGCGTGCAGATACGCCAGTGCGTGCTTCGCCGAGGGCAGCAGCAGCATCTCCCGGATCAGCGTGTTGGTCACCACCGCCTCGCAGCCGGAAACCTGGCCGCGCTCCCCGTTGTCGATGTACTGCCAGAGCACGGACACGCCGTAGGCGTTGAGCCCCATGTAGGCGCCCTGCCCGGGGTGGGTGTAGATCATGGACGCGCAGGGCTCCAGGAACAGGCCCTGGTGGAAGGACAGCTCCTTCGAAGTGAACAGAATGTTCATCTTGCGCATCTCCTGCATGAAGTTGTCCAGGTTCGCGGACAACATGGGGATCAGGAAGTCCGTCACGCGCTTTTTGCACCACGTCTCCAGCCGGTTCTGGTCGTCGATACTCATCTTGTTCAGCGCCGGCGTCTGCCCGTTTCCGGACTCCTCGGACCCGATGGAATTCCGGGCGTGCTCCGCGGCGGACTCCGTGCCGGACTCCAGTTCGGATTCGAGGGACCGGTTCGAGGACAGAATCACCACGTCGTGCTTCCCGTCGTCGAAAAACGCAGGAGACTCATCGTTCGTTTGTCCACTGATCACACGGTGGTTGGGGTGCATGCCGCCGTACAGCGTGGCGATTCCCGTGCAGCCCACGTCGAAGTCGTTGCGCTCGTATGACCCGTACCTGACCGCGTCGGTGCGGCGGCCCGCCTGTGAGAAAGTCAATTGCTCGATAGAGAGGCGAATCAAAACAAACTTGGAAACTAGAATTTCGGTTGAGAAGCAAACACAGATAGGAATTTGCCATGCTCAAGTGAACGATATGTTGAGCAGTAAACTGTACTCGAGATTTCACTATGAGTCTGCCAGTTTCGATACAAAAAAAAAGTTGTCTCACCGAGCTAACGATGGTTCCGACGGTCGCGTTGCGCTCGATTACTAGTAGGTCGTCCTGCTCGCCCTCTGCGTTCTCCGGATGACTTGCTAGAGGCGGCCGGCCACCATCCAAGGAGGCTTTTGAGGACGTCGTCTTCCCAGCAAGCAGCACGGAGCCCCCTCCACCATAACTGTCGATCCCGGAAGGCAGCGATCGCCTCATGGTAGCCGTCATCCGGCTGTCTTTCGACACGGAGGGTGGCAGGTTGGCTACGGCGGACCCGACATCATGATCAACTTCGGTGGACGCCAGCCGCGAGATGTCGCTGTCGTGCATGTGGCGACCCCCCGCGGTGCGGCCCCCCGGCACGCCGCCGTAGTACTCGGTGCTGGCGAACCGCGAAAAGTGGCTGTCGTCGTCCCGTGCGTGCACTTTCCCATGCCGCCCGTCCGGCTGTTGTTGTCCGGCAAGTTGTAAATGGTGGTCTCCGGCTCCGACGGAAGAAGCGTACCGCGAGAAGTCGCTGTGCTGCCCCGCATGGTACCGGGCGCCGTGTCGCGCGTCTGGCGCGTCGGTCACGTCACTGGCGTACCGCGAGATGTCGCTGTGTTGTCCGCGGGCGTACTTCGCGCCAGCGCGCCCCTCGGGAAGGTTGTGGTCGTACACAAGGCTACTGCTGCCGGACGCAAGACGCTCGATGTCGCTCACCTTCGAGTGCTGGATCTTCTGCCCCTGCCGGCCGGCGGGAAGAACGTTCTTGGGCTTATTTTTGTTTTTCAAGTGGTCCTCCAGATGATCGTCGCTCAGGCTCGTGTCGCTGCTCGCGTTCGGCCCATACTGGTCTACGGAGCTGGAGGAGGCACTGTCGTCCCCTTGATTCATTTCCGAAGACTGAGACTGCGCCGTATGCTCGTCCGTGTCCACTTCTTGTTGCGTCGCCGAGTTGTGGTCCGAAGTTTTCTTGTTTGCCTTCTTCTTCACGGGCTGCCTCTCACTGCTCTGCTCGGACGACTCCTCGTCTGAGGATTCGGTTAACGCGGAATCCTGTTCGGAAAGGAGAGCGTTTTCCGCGATGGGCAAGGCCCTCATCTGGGTCCAGCTGTCTTCGTGCGTTTGGGAGTTGCGCACGATTGCGTTGTCGTGCTCCCCCTTCATGGACTGCAAGTACACCTCGAACTTTTCCGTGTGCTTTACGAAATCGGAGCTGGACCGGGCGTGCAGTTCCGACATCAGCAGCTCGTAGTCCACCGCGATATCAAGTGTAAAAATGTCTGGGTCGGGAAGAATGCCTGTTTGTCATGCTTGTCTGGCATGACTCTTAAATCTGTCACGCACGTTACCCAAGAGCTCCATTTTTCTGTGATGCAGGTCATGCGGAATTGGCAACACCTAGAAGCTCAGAAACTTGTCATGCGGAGCCAGCAATTGCGGCCTCCTCATGATACGCCACACAGCATCACAAGTTTCCAGACCCAGACATTTTTACTTTTGATACGCGAGGCGCATCAGCATCTTGAGAAAGGGCGGTTCCTCAACCCCCCCGCCCCGACTGCGCTCCCACTGGGCCTGGCAGCCGGCCACCATGCCCTCGAGCTCGACGTAGGAGGTCGGCGCAAAGTCTTCCATGCTGTCCACGGCCTTCTCCGCCATCAGATCCCACTCCTGGATCACGGCGGGACGCATGGAAGCCTTGTACACTTCTACCTTGGCCTGGTACAACCGCAACAGGTCCTCCAGCATGGCCTCCCCGATCCGGAAACCACGCTCGTAGGGGGAAGTTGAGGACACGCGGACCACACGGCCCCGGCCAACACGTTCGGTCGACTCCGTGGCGCCCATAATGTATTCTTACGTTACCGAACAAGATCCAAAAAGGATACCTTTACTTCGAAGTCCGTGTGCCGTCCTTGCGTAACAAGCTATCAAGGTGAAGTAGGAGGGCCGTTGTGGCGCTGCAGGAAACAAGAGGGAAAGGTTGTCATTTCGGGCTTAGATAAATGCAAGGTTCTAAGCTTTCTTGGTACTCAGTTCAATTAATCTCTAAAGGGGGGGTAATTTAAAATTACAACCGCAAAGTCTGACGGTTTGAAAGACGGAAAGAGCTTTGTCGTGCTAGAAAGTCATTTACGGTTCGTTTCTTTATAAAGTCTTCTAAGAACGAGCAACGGAATCAGACGCCAATCTGCTTGTACGAAAACGCTGAGAAGTACTTCTACCGACGAAGTCCGTGACTCACAGAGGGGTACGACAGACGTCTCAATCAGTGGGACGAGGTGCACCGATGAAAAGTTGAAGCTTTTTTTGAACGAACGAAAGCATGCTGTGGCTTGGAACGACTACGAGTTAACGTAGTTAACGTTGCAGCAGAAGCATAAAGAGACAGAACCGAGGGAGTCAGAGCAAATGTATGACGCTCGACGCAACCGACTGCTTTACGTACTTATTTTGCAATGATGTTTTGTTAGGCAAGCCGAAACCGACAAAGAGTGAATCGAAAAAGAACCACTAACACCGACAAAACCAACATAGAGACCAAGAGAGCTTCGTATCCAGCTGGAATGATGATTTCCATTGGCAGTGGCTGCGGTGAAGTCGCTATTTGTATTTGCTTCAGTGCGTACAAAAAAATGGAGATGCAAACTACCTCTGATCGTCTCCAAAGAAAGCTGACCGAACGTTGAACGAGAGTGTTCTTTTCATATCGAAACTTCCTTCAGCGGAAGCGGAACCGCTGGAAATTATGGGGTCATCCTGCTCTTCGTCTCTGCTTCTGCCCTCTCCACCCGAATGCCCTTTGCCCGTGGTATCCCCAAACAGAAAACCCTCTCCAAACCCGAAGTTCTTTCGTGTTTTTTTGGCCACGACAGCAGGCTGGGTATCGGGGAAAGGAAAAGTTTCTACTTTGTCCTTCGTCGCGTCTGAGAAGCCAAATAGAGCAGCATCTTGACCTGTTGTTGTTTTCTGTTGCTCTCCCCAGCCTGGCTTTGGCTTCGGTGGCTCCTTTTTCAGGATACTGCCTCGCCGGCTCAACTTCGGCTTTGGCGGTGGGCTCTCCTGCTCGCCCTTCTTCTTTTTTACCACCAGTTCAGCTGCTCGCGTTTTCACAGCTACCGTATGCTTTCCCTCTGTCTCTTTCTCAGGCGAGGAACTGGAACTGCAAGTGGTTGAGGAATCGTCTGCCAGCGGAAATCGGACCAGACCAAGCAGCGGAACGTTGCGCAAAACAAAACCACTGTAGTCCTCGTCGTCGCTCGAGTTGTAATGATCTTGGCCACAAGGGATCGGCAGCAGTGAATCTGACTCCTCTTCCCCGAAAAACAGGCGTCGATATTCAGGAGGGCACGTGTCTTCGCTAATTTCCAACATACTAACTGCGAATCCGTCTGCGTCAAGAACAATGGGCGGTTTGGTTTTTTCTATTGCTTTGTTATCTGGCAAAGCTGCTCCAGAGAAGCGCGGCCCCTGCGCTCCGTTATAGCTTCGGGATGAAGCAGCCACCAAAAGTAGAGCAGGCAGCTGCTCTCGTATAAGCAATGTGAGGTCATCGTTGTGGTCATCGTTTGTAGTGTGATTTCCCGCAGTGCCGAACGTTACATTCTCTTTAACAATCGCACTAAAATCACCTGTTGTACCCACCGAGCTCGCGGATTTAATATTGGCGTGCTGCAGGCCTCGCCCCGCATCTGAAGCTCTTGCTTCCACCACTTTCGTTCGCGGGACTCCACTGCTCGGCTTGGAAATTCGGTCCTCCGCGCTCGACAGGCGCTCAGCGGCGCGCTCGAGAATCGTATCAACAGCGTCGTCATTCAACTCAGCGGACTGAGGTTCCCTATCGTTTGACCCGTTCATCTTCGCGTCACTGATGCCAGAAGCTGTACTGGCCTCAACTATGCAGAGCGCCACTCGGGGCACCCATGGGCGTTTAATCAAATGCGCTGTGACTTCCGCCGCTGTTCTAGGTGGCGTATTCTGCTGTGCCTCAGACCCGCCCTCAACATCGTCCACATCCAAGTGCAATGTTGTGTACGCAGAACCTCCAGGGCCGAACGTTTCCCGCGAGAGCTGCATTGACGCCAAAAAAACGCCCTTGTAGGCTTGGGTATGCGCGTTGGTCCAAGGAAATGATACTGCATCGGGATTGCGCCACTCATGCAAGACAAAATCTGTACTTTCGCCCCTTGTGCTGGTGTCGAGGCACAACACCGCTGTGATCCGAGCACTGTAGTTCTTGTTCGCCATCTTGATGTTTTATGTTTCGTCTTTCATCTGTGTTTCTAGCATACTGATACTTACCTCAAGAAGCGCTGTTTGTTGTTGAGTTGCAACCTGCTCGGCGGGCATTTTTGTGAGATTAATTTGGTTTCTTTACGCACTAGAAAGAAGGGAGACAAATAGAATCCACACAAAAACGCGAATCCGAGGGCGTCGAAAAAACACATGATACACTGCCGTGCCGTCCGCATCGGCCGCCTACGTGCAGGCAGGCGCAGGCCTCCAATTGTGATACTCCTCGTGTACCTCCTCAATTGGCCACGATGGCTTTTCAAGTAGTTCTGCTTAGACTTACATCTTACAAGGGTTCATTTGACGTGCATTTGCTTTTCGTTGCTAATTATTATGGCACATTACGAGATGAGGATGACCTCGTCTTCTACGTATGATTTTCACTTTTCTGAATCATCCAAGGGTTTGTGTTGATCACGACTACGTAACTCAATCAAGATGATATACTCGTCCCAATAAAGCGATGATATCGAAGGCGTATCAGGCTAATGTGATGTACATAATTCGGAAGGTTTTTATCGAGTTATACATTGTTCTAGCATTGATTTAATTTTGGACGAAACGTTCACTGAGAAGAAGGTCAACATTGTACAAAATTTTCTGTACCCAAATTCTGAAATTGAAGCTAATGATGAAAAGTTAAAGATTCTTTGTTTTTCACTACCAAGATAATCGACGGAACCTATCTAGGCGGTGACCCGGCGCCGGAAAGCCAGCTTGAATTTCCGTCTCCGAACAGGAACGTCGGGTCTGCGGTGCCTCGTATCGGCGAAACCATGTTACCTTTTTTGGTTAAGGCACAAGAGGACGCAATTTTTCAGAAATTGTCGAGCCTTCGCTCTTTGAAGCATTATTTACCAGCGAAGATGTTGCTACTGCGATTACCGTCTGACCAGCACCAGCACCAGCAAAAGAAAAAGAATCGAATTCGAATACAAATTTCTTTTGATGCATGACAAGAACTGCGTTATACCTGGTCCTGACCGGTCAAACAGCCTGGACCCGACGTTCTGCGTTGGAGAATTCGTTTGCAGAAGCCTCCGAACCTGCGTCTGGTCCGTGCTCAGCTTTTCCTCACCTAGGATCCGCTGCCGCTTCTCCGAATCCACCTGGGCCATGATTTCCTCCTTCAGCATCTGCATACGGGCAAACACGTTTTCGACATCCAGCATGCGCACGTTTGCTTCCGAGGACAAACCGCTCTGCAGACGCCTTATGTCCTCGGCCACGCGCCGGTTTTTGTCCGTCTGGCTATCTTCCGCGCGCTGCTGCTCCGAAGAGAGCAAGTCACAACCCTGCTGGACTCGTCGCTCCATTTCGCCGGAGATGGCCTTGATTTTTTTTGGCGAATCTATCATGACTTGACTTTAATTCAGTGTGCCACTCCCTTCTGACGAGCGCAAACACTTCCTTTCACACAAGAAAAGGCCAAGGGAAGCCGGCTACGACCCCTTTGCTTGCCTATTTATGCATAGATACCTGTGTCGTCTTTTCGCACCAGTCCCGCAGATCCGATATCTCGACTTTGCGCTTATCGTTGTCCTTTACTCGTTCCACGTTGTGCTGCGCCACGGTGCCCTCGATTTTCTGATTGGTAAGCTGCTGCACCTGAAGCTCGTTCCACACTTCGTCGAAGCGGGCCATCAGGTCGCCCTTCTGTTGTCCGACGATTTTCTCCAAGTCTTGCGTCCTGCTGGTCGAGTGTTTGTCTATCTCCGCCATACCCGCCTTCACGTCGTACAGAGCTGCGGTAAGCTGCTCGTTCTCCGCGTTGCGGCGATTTGCCTGTATGTAGGATGTTAGTGTAGCCAGATGCCTTGTTTACCCTTTTTCGCAAGCAGAGACATCGCAAGTTGATCATCGTCGTACTACCAGCAGAACGGAGCAACCCGAAAAACCTTGCGAGCGATGTGACGCAAAAAATCTTCTGAAAAATAAATACCTCCACCAAGACTTTCTGTGTGACTTCGTTGACAGAATCCGCTAACTGCTTCTCTTTAATGAATTCCAAATTTGCTTGGTGGCGAAAACTGCTGAGCTCATGAAAGGCTTCGTCCACTTTTGTCTGCACGTCGCCCATCGTCATGCCCAAAGCGGAGCACTCCTGGTTTCTGGCCCGCTGCTCGGCATCGAGCTTCTTCCCGAGCTCGTCGGTTCGCTGCTCGAAGCCCTTATTGGTGTAGTCTATCGCGTCCCGCACTTGCGCCAGCAAGTGGTCCCGCGTAGTCTCCTCCTCGTGCACCTTTTGCAGTATGGTCGTCCGCACCTGCGCGACGTCGGCGGAGGCGTTGCTAAAGCCCTCCTTTGTGCGGAGTTCGCACGATTTCACCTCTTCCAGCACTCGTGTCAGCCTCAAATCGAAGTCCTTCACGCAACCCAGAATCTGCTTGTCCAAAGCCATGTGGCTGGTGTGCAGCTTCGCGCCGAACTCGTCTTTGGACTTTTCCAGGTCCTTCTGCACGAATTCGTGACCGCTGCGGAGCTCCTTCTGCAGCGCCGCGAAGCTGTATTCGTGCTTCTTCGCGTGCGACCCCACTTGGTCCTCCAAATTGCTGTGTCTCTCCAGCATCTCTGACCGGCTCCCGTTGATCTCTTGCAGCAGCGTTTCGTGGACGTTCTGCACATTTTGCATCATGCGGTTCATGTTCTGGTTCGTCGTGGACTCGCTTCCGGCCACCTTGGTGTTCATGTCGCGCAGGTCCTTTGCGAGGCCGTTTACCGTCTGCTCCAGCGCCTTCGTGCGGGCCTGAGGTGTGTGGTCGTTCGTGTAGAAATAAATTACACGGAGTCAGCAACAGCGGGCTGAGGTTGGGTATCAAAAGCAAAAAACGCCGTTATGAAGAGGAAAAACGCTAAAGAACTTTATTGCACTTAAGGTGCGCCACGTGCATTTTTCAAATTAGTGGTCAATGTACCGCCTCCTCGATTTCTTGCTCTAACGCTGCCAACCGCAGGTTTTGCTCGTGCATGGTCTTGTCAGCACGGTCGTGAAGCGTCTGAAGGCTAGCGTGTTCGTTTACCATGTGGGCACGTAGCTGGGCGAATTCATCTTGCGTCTGTGATTTTCGATTTTTCCGAATACGCTCGACGCACTCGCTCCTGCTGGAATAAGATATAACATAGATATGCAACATGGCATTGAAGATGATGCCAACTTTGGTTCCATGAAACAAAACATTAGCTCCAGTAGCACCAAAATCACAAAATCCTAAATCACCGCCTGATCCCGCTTCGCAATCATCGTCTGCAGCTGTTGAAACTGGTTGGTGACGTTGTCCGTCACGCGGTTTACCCTTTCCTCCCACTGTTTCGTGGCCTCCAACAACTCTCGGTTCCATTGCAAGGTCGCTTCGTCGAGCATCTTTTTCCACTCGGCGCTTCGGTCCTCGAGCATCTGCTGGAGAGCCCGGTTCTGGGCGTACAGGTGCTGGAAGGTCTGCTGTGTGATGGCATCCTGTTGGGCAGACGCCTCGCGATTCAGCGTGTAGAGGTTTTGCACCAAATCCTTCGTCACCGAACACCGCGAACTGTCTGCCATCAAGACCGCGGCCGTGGTGCCTATGGGCGACCTGGCGCGCGGTGGGATGGCGCCCGGTCCATGTAGTGGCGAACCCACGATACCCTCCATGCAAGAGGACATGCGAGAACCACGGCGGGGGAATTGCTCTTCGCCTTGATGTCTGTGTGGACAACTACACGGCTACGCGCAGACGACCATAGTATGTGCCTTCTTAGAGCTAGAGTGAGACATACTCCTGGTGAGGGGAAATCATGCAACCAATTTACCTGGTGGAGGTGCGGGTGCCGAGCTGGAATTATATCTCTCACGTTACGCTTATGAAGCTGGCAACGCATGAGAAGAAAAAGACGGCGGGAAAAAAGCGAACAGGCAGCGGTAAAGGCTCATTTGTTTGTACAGAGCAGAAGAGCGGAGAATTATTCCTGCTCATTCTCGCCCATCTATACTTCATCCAACATCACCCAATGAATAAACTGAAAGAGTGGGGTAACAATTGATTCAACTAAGTCGGATCGCCGACTTAGTCGTCCGTCCGGCCGCACGGACGACTAAGTCGGAGTTTGCCGCGGGCGGAAACTTCCTCCTTCAGGAAATCGAAGAGCCGAGAACCCCGACCCGGGGTCCTGCCGTTACAGCACGCGAAAACCTTATGAGAAAATGCACTTTTGTAAACGGATTTTTGCACTTTTGGTGTGTTTTTTTTCGGGTGGGCATGAGCATCCCGAAAAAAAATGGCAAGAGCTACTTTTTATGCATGACAGTTGCTGTTTATGCATGACAGATTATCCCTTTCTGCAATAAAAAAAGCAAACTTTTCTTCCTTTCCTGCAAAAGCAAAAAAAAGCAAAAGTCCGCACTTTTCATTTGGAAAAAGTGCAACCTTCTTCAGCTTCGCCTTCACATTCCCAGCTCGGGGGGGGTTGCGCGTTCGCAAGCAAAAGCCCGCACTTTCAAAAGTGCAATCTTTTTCAGCTTCATTCCCAGCTCGGCTCGGTGGGGTTGTGCGAATTCCCGGCTCGGGGGGTTGCGCGAATTCCCAGCTCCGGGGGTTTCGCGTTCGTTGCGCGTCTGGCGAACGCGCAACCCCCCCGAGCTGGGGATTCGCGCAACCCCCCCGAGCCGAGTGTGAATGCGAAGCTGAAAAAGGTTGCACTTTTTCCAGATGAAAAAAGTACTCAAATGAAAAATGCGGACTTTCGCTTTTTTTTGCTTTTGCAGGAAATGAAGGAAAATTAGTTTTTTTCAATTGCAGAAAGGGCTAATCTCTCATGCATAAACAGAAACTGTCATGCAGAAAAAACAGCATTTGCCATTTTTTTTCGGAATGCTCCCCTGAAAAAAAAAACACGCCAAAAGCGCAAAAATCCGCTTACAAAAGTGCACTTTCTCATACGGTTTTCAGATGCTGGAACGGCAGGACCCCGGGTCGGGGTTCTCGGCTCTTCGATTTCCTGAAGGAGGAAGTTTCCCGCGACAAAGTCCGACTTAGTCGTCCGTGCGGCCGGACGGACGACTAAGTCGGCGATCCGACTTAGTTGAATCAATTGTTACCCCACTCAAACTAAAATTGAGAGCCGAAACAAAAGCTCTTTGCTTGTTTGGTTTTGAATGCCATTTTTGCTGGAAGAAAACTTCCAGCAAACCATCTCAACACATCTACATCTCTCCGAGTGCGCATATTGAAAGTTTCACCATTCTCCGCAATTGAATCAGAATCGGGTTCTTACTTTTTATTCTTCGATGTTGCCCCAGCTTGCTACCGGAATCGTTTCCACTGCCCTCCACCCTGGTCCTGCAGGACATCGGAGCCCGGCTGGTATTCCATGGACAGGCAGCAGCACCCGGTAAAGCGATTGGGATTCTGGGAATCCCGGCTCAGCATCACAGCCCAGGGGATCCCGTACATACAAACTGTGTTTTCGCCGCAGGAAGATATCCCGATGCAGCCCTTCAGTCCCATGTTCGGATTCTGCCATTTTCCTGCTACTTTTGCGGTCGGCACGGCGGGAGGGGCGCCTCCCATCTGCTGCTGCTGCGGCGGCGGGCGGGGAGGCATTATTCTCTCTCCGGGTTAATACCAAGGCCTAGGTGGCCGCAGCGAAAGTTCGCCTAGAACTATGACGAGGAAAGACTCCGTCCCCAGTTCGGTTGTAGTTTCTGTCTCCGACTCCGAGCAAATATAAAGGTAGAGAGAAGACCGATAAACCATTTTACATGACTTCGATTCCCGTCCCTCTCCGCCATCCCGGAGAAAGAGCGTGAATTCTCCCTCGAGGTACTCGGCTGTCGCAATGAGAATGGAGCCGACCTTTCTGTTCGGAACAAGGCCATGGCCCACAAATGTGGCCGCTGATGACTTTCAAATATCTGGTCACTGGCAGCCAGCGAATGTTTGTTGGTGACGTTCGGAAACAATGATCTACGTGAAGTTCATTCTCATTGGCTCGCCGGAGGCGCCTGAAACATTAACGTCTACAGTGAATCACCAGGACTACTTTTTACATGATCCGCTTTTGCTTTCGTTTGTTCACACGTCGAAACGGAAACACGTACGTTTGAAATTGAAAAACTAAAAGCGATACGAAAGTCTGAAACTCCGATGGTGCCGATACCGTACAGTACTAAACTGGGTGTTGATTATATTGAATCTGACATTGTTCACGTATCTGTGCCTTAATTTGTGTGAAAATTCATTGTGCATAAGATAAAGACACGACTAGTGTTCGGGGTTCGTTGAGATATTACGTCGAAATTGGGTTTTTATTTGTTTATCTGTGTCACAGCATAAGTTCAATCGTTTTCACCTTAAGCGCTGCTTTTGTCCTCGGTGGGGGGCGGGGCGGCGGTGCTGGCTGGCCCTGACCACCGCGTACTTGCGACCGTCCCCGGGGGGGCGAGGCGTCGTCCACGGTGTGAGCGTACATCACGTTATCCGTGCCGCGCAGCTGGTTCGACAGAATCGCGTCCGCCTGGTTCGGCCGCGCCAAGGAACGCCGCAAAATCTGCGACACCGCGGTGTTGCCATTCGCGGTGTGGTACTCATTTTGATTTCCGCCGCCGGGTTTGGTCGACGCGGCGCGCCGCTTGGCGGAAGCGATTTTCGCGGAAATCGGGCGACCAGAGCTGGACGGTGGAAGCGGTGTCAAATCCGTACTGTTTGCCTGCGAAACGAGCATGGGCAGTTTGGTGTTCAGATTCACCTCACCAGATTTTGCTCGTATGCGCTCACGCGACGATACTGGCGAAGACGTTGGCCGCTGCTCCTGCTGGAAGAAGTTGTTCTTTCCGAGCGCTACGTCGTGGTGCTGGTGGTCCCGGGTATTGCCACTCAACATCCCACCACGCCCTCGGGTAGAATTGTGGTTAGCGACCGCGACACCAAGGGGCAAAGATAGTGTAGTGGAAGGAGCTTCTGCTCCGGGTGGGGGAGCCCGAGTCGTTGTATTTAGGGAGCTTGATGCAACAGAGGCGGCGGACAAGTCACCTAGTTTTCACGGTGAGAGAAAGCAAACTCAGAGTCAATGCTATGTCGTGCCAGCGTCCAGGAAAAAAAACTTGACATTCCTGTGGCGAAAACGCATTGATTCGAAAGAAATGACCGAGAACTATACCCTCGCCCTCCTTCCCGACGGTGGGAAAAACATCCTTGGACACGGGCACAGGTTGCCATCCCGCTCGTCGCGGCAGCGGTTCCCGACCTCGCTTATCCGCAACCACGGTGAGATACTGTTCCTCGCCAGGAACTACTACATCTTGCCGATTTGCGAAGGTAGAAGTTGCTCCTGCACCCCCACCAGCCTCTTCTATTTTTTGCCGCTGCCTCGTCTGTTCCGCCGCAACGTGATCCTCCGCGGCAAATGACAGGGAGCAACTGTTCTCTTCGTCTGCGGATGACGCCGACGCCGCCGAAGTTGTGTAGTTCGACTGGCTGCTAAAGGGTCGAGATTTGACAGCGCCTGTCTCTTCCAGCACCTGTGCCGCGAGGTCCTTTGCCGCTTTCGTGGGACTGTGCTTTTCCAGCAGCTCGTCCACGGAAATGGGTTTGTCTTTCTGTTGCAATATCGGCTCCCGGTGACGCGCAACCGGGGAATTCATGGGGTCGTCCTGTATAAACTCTTCATCGATGGTCAGCTCCGTTAGAGTTGTGTTGTTACGAGACCTAGTTCGCTCCTGCTGATCTGGATCGGTCACAGCGAGTGGCAGCTGCAGTTTTTGAGTGGCATTTGCATCAAAAGCTCCGCATGTGCCTTTGTCTACAGCAACCAAAGATGATTTGTCTGGTACTTCCGCAGTCGTTCCGTTCCTTCCATCGACTGCCTCCGCTTCTTCCCCAGACGAGGAGGAAGACAGTTGGTGATCGTATTCAAACTGCTGCTGTCGCAAGGTGCTGGGTGAACTCCGCAAAGGCAATCCACTGGTCGGCGACCGCGCACTTGGAGATGAGAGCAAGGCCCGTGCCGCCGGGCTCCCGCGGTTGCTCATCGTCGGACTGCGCAGCGAACCCGGGCTCTTCGGAGCAGACATGACGACCCGCGAAGTAGGACTTTTTCCGTGTGGGCTCGAAGAAGAGGAGGAGGAGGACTCTCCCTTCTGTGGTCTGCTTGTGTTGAAGTTTTCCGTAGTTGAGGAGGATGCAGACGGTGGATCTTCACTTTCAACTCCCGCTTGCTCTACATTCGCACCTTTGGACGACTTCTTCCGTTTCGGTTTATTTACCGACTTCGTAGTTTTCACTGCCTTTTCTGTTGCAGGCTCTGGCGCGAAAGCGAATGGAGCGGTCGCTTTCGGCTTTGCCAAGTCGCGCAGCCGTGCGGGATTGGAGGAGGAAGAGGAACTTCCGGCAAAAGAGCTGGTTGGTGGCAGCGACGCGTCTTCACTCTCGACCTTGTCGGTTTTCGCTCGCGGTTGCGCAAGGTTCGTCAAGCGGTTCAAATCGACCGATCTCGAGTTTCGCTCCGCTTCGTTGGACTGTAAAATCGCCTGTGCGGCAGCCCGCATCCGGCCTCCCGTGGTGCTGCCGCGACCGTCGGTGAGGCGGCGCATCGCATCCTCCTGCTCGGATTCGGTTCTTTTCGGGGGAAAGGGTCGGTTAAGTCGGGTTGGCGAGGAAGATTTCGCTTTCGCCGATTGTTCCGTCATGTTGGTGTCGCGGAACGATTTTGATGCTGTCGCGCCCCCGCCCGCGGTGTTGTCCATGCTAGCGGCGCGTCGGCGACCGCGAGGATCGACGCCGGCTGTTGTCGTGCTGTTCATCGAGGTGGAGGCGGAACTTCCGCCGAGCTCGACGCTTTTCGCCGGGAGTGTTTGGCGCATGTTGGCCGCGCCGCGGGGGTTCTTGCGGAGAAAAATCTCCTTCACTTGCCTTCCCTCGCTGTTCTTCGGGAGGAGATGCGTCAGCTCGTTCTCCTCGATGAGTTGCTGCGCGTGCTCAAACCACTCCCGGGTTTTCTTCGGAGACCGCAACCAGTGCGGGAGCTTCATCAACTCTCGTCGCATCAAAAAATACACCTTATCGATCTCTTGCAGGGCGATCTGGTGGAGTCGTATTTTCGAGATTTCTTATCGTGCGTCGAAACGATGGAAAGCATGTTTTCATCACGAACACAAAGCCGCGCGACTCCGACTGCCACACTCACACATAGAGACAGCTGCCGCATGAAAACCTAAAAACATCATACCTGCCCCGCGTACAGCACCGACAGGTCCGGGATCTCGTGAAGCCGCCTCAAAATCTGCACCGCGCCCAGGAAATACGCCTGGTCGATGTAGAAGCTGCCGCGATTTCCCGTGTTGTGCAGCCCGCGTTTCACGCGACAGCACAGCCGGAACCTTTTCCGCTCGTCCGGGACGTAGGGTTCCATCTCGCGGAAAAGCGCGGCGAACCCTAATTGCGTCCCGCGACAGACCGCGTAGTAGCGCATCGCTTGGGGGTATAGGAGTTTGATCTTGAACGTGAAAAACGTATTCAGCGTTGCGAAGCCCTCCTCCGTGATCCAGGGGTTCAGATGCAGTCCAAACCGCTTCCGATTCCCGACCCCGTTCAGGTTGCTCCAGGCCTGCAAGTCTTCGTTCATCATGCGGAGCAGATGTGTGCCGATCTCGTGGTCGCAGATCCCCTGCGCCATCACCTTGGACATGCTGCCGGACGAGAGCGATATCTCGTAGCAATTCCGGCCGTCGATGAAGTTTTTCGTACAGCACGCAGCGGCCAGCCCGGCTTTGGTAATTTTCAAACTGACTTTGTCCTCCAGTTTCAACTCCCGGAGATAGTCGAGCACGAACTCCCGCAGCTCATCGGGTTCGTAGTGGTCGGTGCCGTGCAGTTGTGCCATGTAATCGTCGCCGTCCTTGAACTTCTGCAGGGTCTTCTCCAGAATCCGCTTCGACTCGGGCATCAAACTCGTGTCGATGTCGCTGTTCTTTTCGAACAGTTTCGCGACTTGGTCCCGTGGATAGGCGTACTCAAACTGCGGGTCTATGGTGCAGCCGGAAGCGAAAAATTTGGTTTCCTCCTCCTCGAGATTCTGGGGCCGAACACGAACCAGGAGGCTGGGGCGCACATGCGGAGTGGGACGCTGTGATTTTTTTTTTAGGAAGAGAGGGTCGTCGCAGTTGCAATGACCACACGAGAAATGAAGCTGAAGTGTTTCGTATGTTTCATCTTCCAGATGTTGAAATCAAAATGCAACGTCGATCTTTTTTCATAGTCTTCGTGTGCGCCGAAGAACTACGAGCACGAAAAATCGGTGAAGTTAAAGTTAGAACTACTTTTGGCGTGGCATCATCTGGGATGTGCATCTTTTCCGTCATGGAAACCCTCGCAGCGTCCCGGTCTCTGGGGCGTGACAAACTCTGCAGGCGCTGACTGACGAGAGACCGGTTGGCAGCGCGCTCGTCCTCCGGGTAGTACAGAATCGGCGAAGACGCGGACCGCTTGAGCGAGGGCGACGACCCATCTTCTTGCTCATTTTCTCCGTCTACTGCGCCAACTCCGTCCTCTTCCGCGCCTGCCTGCATCAACATATCGTCGTCGTCATCCATCTCATTCTCGTCGACGTCTTGCGGTGGGTTATCTCCGTCCAGCGCCAGGTGCTCCTCGTCATCCTCCTCGAGAAGGAAGTCGGCGCCCGGAGAAGTGCGCACAGGAGTGTCTTTCGTTTCACCAGAATTGCCCGGAGGTGGGTCATCCTCCGTTTCAGCCGCAGGGTGTGTGCTGTAGGGGAGCAGGAGGGCCGATTTTGATAAAGCTTCCTAGCGCTAGTAGCCGCATCGAGCAGCTGCTTTTGCTTTTCTATTTCTTGCAAACATTCATACAATTAGTTCCTGGCATTATATCCCTTTGCACCTGAAAACGTGCAAGTACCTACAGTATCTATACCTGGGCTTCGCATCGTCTGCATCGGCCGCGCCCTCAAGTTCCTCGTGCGCAAGCTCCTTCGCGTCATTCTCTACCTCGGCCTCGACAGGAGCACAAGCTACAGTTGCGGTGTTGCTGCTATCCGGCTTTTCCTGCACCTCCGCACAGGCCGCAGCGTCTTCCTCGCTGGCAAGCGTCATTGTGAAACAGTTGCACTTTTGGCTATTCAACCGTATAGCTGAGTGCGGTCGACATTTTGGGCAAGGATTTTTTGATCAGTTGTATCCGTGAACTTGCACGACCTCTCAACTTTCGCTCGATCCGAGCAAGGAGTAGCTCTGCGTCGGCGTTGCATGTATTACACGCAGCAAAAGGAACCACCGAATCGTATAGTTCTTCTTCAAGCGCCAAGAGTGTGTCGGTCGTTGCTGACCCAACCTGCGGTAAAAACAGGAACACATCCATCGAGTCTGCCAGACGCCGACGCAGACGCTGCAGGCAGACATGAATTCGCTCTGAAATAATCAGGTTGGACTTAGCACATTGTCACGAAAATACAGGTTTCAGATTTATTTCCAGATACACGTTTGAGCAGTCAATCAACATTTTTGAAACTCTTCCGAAGACAGAGACAACGCAAAATGCAACCACCTCTTGCAAAATTGACTAAAAAATTTTGCTTCTATTGTGAGATTTTGAAGTTGATACATCTAAAGACTTGCCAATGGCTATATCTCGAAGAGCTGTTCGTTCCGATCCGTCGTACTGATATTACGTTACAGTCATTCGATAGGTTCATCATACATTTTGTGAAACGCAGTTATAAGAAGCTAGGTGATACAAGGTCAGAAGACGAAAGAACAGATGGACCGTACTGTACAACTACCTACTTTTGTCAATAACACCTGTTCCACCGCCTGCACCAGCTATTTCAATTTCAGCTCCGAGGCGGCGAACTGAAAGATTTTCGTTGCCAGCGCCTGGTTTTGTGGGTTCTTGTCTGGATGCCACTTTGCGAGGAGCTGCAGACCGTGCTTCCGTACCTCCTTGTCCGAGATGCTAGTTCTCCGGATTTGGATGATTTCCCGCTTCAGCTCTGACTTGATCACAGACTCCCGGTCGCCCGCTTGCAATCCCGTTAGTGATGACGAGTTGGCACTCAAAAACGGTGGTGGGCCGGGCCTAGTTGTGCCGGTACCAGTAGTGTTCCTGCTACCTGATCCTGTTTTGGACGGAGATGAAGACGAATTGCTGTAGTTGTTCCGCGATGCCCCTGCTGGCGCAGTGGATGGTGGCGGGTGCGTGAAAAAGCTAGCGTTTTTGAACATGCCGCGGGTCGACGTTGCTGAGGAGGTGCTGGTCGTCGCGGAAGCAGGATTGCCAGCGGTCGTCGTCGAAGGAGCACCAGTAGTTTTCTCTGGCTTGTTCATCCCGGTCTGCTCTCCAAATGAACTGGTACTAAACGACGGCCCTGGCGTGGTTCCGGGCCGCGGAGGGGGATGGTCGGTTTTCATGCCTGCTGCGTTTTTCGCGCGCTCCTCCGCGCGCCGCTTCTCCTCGCCTTGCTGATACTTTTTGCGCTGGTTCAGCCACTCGACATGCCGATCCATTTCCGCTCTGGCTACACCGTCGACGGCGGAGGGGCGATTTACTCGTGATGGCGCGCCAGGGTTCGAAGAACTGACGTGAGTACTTGCGCTTGTTCCAGAGCTCGACGTGGTCGTGTAAGAGCTTCCATTGGCAAATGGAAAATCGAAGTCGTCCGACTTGCTCCACGGCACGGGCGCAGGAGGCGGCGGAGTCGGCCTGTTCGCGTTCGACCTCGTCCTCGCAAACCCTGGCAGCTGCTGTTCCTTGTGGGGAGCAGTGACCGCGCGCCGCGAGCCAGCCGGAACTTTGGTTGGCGAGGTCGCCGGCCTTGCAGCAGTTGTTGGTTCCGATGTCAACCCGTGATCCTTGGCATATCGGTGTGGATAATTCGTCGGGATCGGATTGTACGGCTTTTGCTTCACCGGTGAGCCGGACTGACGCAGATCTTCGTCGTCCTCTTCAACGATCGGCGACCACTCTGCTGCAGCATTCCTACTTGCCCTCGCTGGTGGTGGGCCGAAGCCACTCGTCACACCCATTTCCTGCCTCCTGGCTCGCTCAAATGCCGAAACACCACCTGGTGTTGTCATCGGACGCATATTGGTCTCTCCCTCGTCAACACCCGAGGTAGTAGAGGAAGGCTGCTGCTGCTGTTGCTGGAGTTGTGGGTTCGTTCCTTCAGAACCAGACCACTCTGAATCGGACGAGATCCGTGAAGATGCGTGCGCACTGGTACTCGTAGAAGCAGAACTGTTCTTCCGCTCCGTCCCACTCGCGAAGAGACTGTGTGCCCAAAATTCCTGCTCTTTGCTCCGCTTCACCGGAAAAAGCGGATTGCTCGGAGCGATGTCAATCGGAGACCGCGGCGCGGCAGCGGCGGCCGAACGGGTAGTCTGCTCCGTTTGTGGCCGGTCAGCGGCTTTCGGTAGATCCATACGAACTCGACGACCGGTCTGCATCGACATTGGTCGTGCCGGGTCTGGTTGATGTCCTTGTCCAACCACCGACACGTCCGGATACGAAACCGGGCCTGGCGTCCCAGACCGCTCGGCATCAAGGCGCGTCAAAGTGAAGGCTTTCTTCTTCTTCGGACTGCGACTTATTGTTGTTTCAACGCCACCCTCATCGGCAGTTGTCGTGAAGTGGTCGCGCAACACATCATCAGCGGACGTTCCATCGGGAGCCGGAAACTGATCTTCAAAGGAAGAATTGTCCCCTGCGGTAGCAGCTTCGGTCTCTTCTGCTCGCTGAGGCGACTTCTTCGGCAGTCTACTTTTCGTGCTCTTCGCGCCGCCGCCCCCAGTCGTTACCTTCTTCCCCTTGGCGGGGGCCGGTTTCTTCTTTATCGGGCTGACGCGATCTTGAAAGTTAGACAGTTTCGTTTTCGACATCGTTTCGAAGCGGCGCAATCGACGTTGGAAAGCCTCCGTCGACATCGGCTCCGCGGTTTGTGCGCGCGTCATCCGATACACGAACTCCGCGGTGTCTAGGGGCTTCTTTTCTGGGAGTGGCTCGACACTGCGCTCACGCTGCTCACCGGTCGTGGTGCTGCTGAAAGTGGTCCCGTACGTCGCTGCGAGGGAAATAAGTTTGTTACTGCTCTTCGAGTTGGTCGTCGGCTCGAGAATCAGCGACTGCGTGTGCAATCGATCGGCAGGACGCGGGCCCTGTGTTTTTTTTCAATTTATAGAGTGCTTGCAGGAAGAGCGTTGTTCTCGAGCAAACTTATTTCTTCTTTCTTGTTTCTTCTTTCTTGTAGTGCTGCAACCACACACAAACAGCCTAAACAAAGACACAGAGTGAAAGCTACCCATGTATCATGTTGTTGTTCCTTCTAGCAGACGTTCCGTACCTGCTTTCGTTTCTTCCGAGGCAGTATCATCGACGCGGATTCGCGAGGGACTTCAACATCTTCGGCCTCTTCCGGCTGTAGCTGCAGATCTACCCCGGCCCGCGCTGCCGAACTTGTTGCTTTTTTGATCGACTCCAGACTCTCCAACTGATCGAGTAAAGAAGTCGAAAAATTCTTCTTCGACTCCGGGGACGCCCGCAGCGTTTTGGTGTCAAGCAGGCGCTTTGCCAGCAGCGACGCCTTCTCGATGCTCCCACGAACGACCGTGTTCGGACTGTCCGGCGGAACTTCAGTGTTGTAGCTCGTCCCATGATGCGTTCCCGGTCTGCTGGATACCTTACTGCTGGTCCCTTCGCTTCTGCCTCGGCCTAAACGATGCGATCGCTTATTTCCCTGCCGAAGACTGGGTGCGGGAGCCGTGCCGCTCCTTGTCGGGCTTACAAATTCTTGGTTGCTTTCGATCTTTTCCTTTCCCTCACCAGTTGCATCATCAACGCGGTCGCCGCTCTGCTGCTCCTTCAAATTCTTACTCGCCTCCTTCGTCGCTGCGGGAGCGCCGCTGCTAGTCATAGTCTTGCTGGAAGACGATTTACTGCCTTCCATTTTCTTCGCTTTCTTTTTGTTCGCGTTCTGGTACTTGTTCAGTTGCCGCAACAGTGTGGCGTTCACCAAATTCGCATCCGGTGGCTGCGCCTTATTCTCGTTGTTTTTCTGCTGCTGCTTTAGCTTCTTGGCCCGCATGCGCTCCTCTACTTGAGCCGGGTGTTCTCCCATAGACGTGCCAAATTCCTGGTACGCGCTCCCGCCGACGAACGCACTCTGCACAAATTCCGGGTCATACTCCTTACGGGGAAACGCGGGGAAAAGCCGGCCGCTGGTCGATGGCTGGTGCAGAAGTTTTTTGTTACACGTGAAGAGGGAATGAGTGAAGAACTATTTCGTACTACAGAAGAAATCGCAAATATATAATCGACGACATCTGCACAGAAAAAGGCACTATCTCAAACAAAATCCGAAAACCACTGTACGGTGGAAGCCGTGGCCCTGCGCATGTGGTCGACCCACTCCCGCCAGGATCCTTGGGCTTGCCGTCGTTGCGCCGCCTGCGCATCGTCCAACTGCAGGCCAGCTTGAAAGCTGGGACCCAACGGGGCAAAGGACGTTGCCGACGACGCCGTTCTCGGCGGGCTTCTTGCCACTGAAGCCCCCGTGGCGCCTGCGGAATCGTTGAAAGTGTGCGTTGGGTAGATGCCACCCTCCTGGTGGCCAGATGAAAATGACGAAATTGAAAATAGACCGGCTGTCGCGGTCGCTGCTCGGGTTTCTGAAGCTGCCCCAGCACCCTCTCCGACCGGAACCAACCCACGGGGGCAGGAGGCTAAATTCGCCAGTCGCCGCTGCTTCTCCTCCTCCTCCTTCACTTTTTCCGGATCTTCCTCCTCTAGCTGGATCGGAGAGTCGGCAGCAAATATCTGCTCGGGTCGCGGCTTTTTCCCACGCTTGGTCCCTGTGGTAGAACTACTTCGCGGTGACTTTTTAAACGGCGACGCCGATCGATTCCGCGCCGGGGCCCCGGGTCGCAAAGCATGTAGGTGGTTTGCCAGCGTACGGTGAATCGCCTCGATCGTGGAATTTGCCGCGGTGTTACTTATCGACTCCTTTTCTGATTTTTTCGGCGATGTACGCTCTGCCACCATTGCCGAGTATCTCTCCGCGACCAGTTTTGCTGTGTCGCTTTCCTTAGAAGTGCTTTCGATCGATGTGGTTGCGAATTGGTTGCTCCTTTTGCGGCGTTGCTGCTGCTGTGATGTTGAAGATCCACCGTGCTTGCTACTTCGGGTTCCTGGCCTGCTTTTCTGTTTGCTAGAGGGCCGCTCGGCAGCGTCGACTTCGCTTGTGTTACTACTCAACGAGGAGGAGCTTGACGACGGTGCGTTCGTGCTCGAAGAATGAGAGTGCTCTTGACTGCTCGTCGTGCTGCTCTTCTTGGTTTTTTGCTTCGAATTCCCGCCGATTCTCGTTGAACTTGAAGATGCTTGGGAGTACAACGCCATGGTCACGCCCCAATGGTCCCGCCGCACGGACTCCTCCTCCGACAATTCTCGGAGGGATTCGTACTTCGCAGGTCGCTCCTCCAGCAAACGATCCATCGCGGCATGCAATTCTGCATCCGATTCTCCGTCATCGATCCCTGCTGCAGCCGGCCAAACCGCGTCCATAGCATCCACTTTCCTGTCGTTCGGCAGCTCAAGTGACCGAGTCGTGCGCCTTTTGATTCCCCGCGGAGGCCTACCGTGTAGGGAGGTTTCTGAGTCGAAAGAGCTCCTTCGGGAGCCGCCACGGGAGTTTGCGTTTCGCCGGCCGCGGAACCCAGTTTGGGGTGGTGGTGCAGCGGCCCATCCCGGAGGGACTTCCAACAGGCGCATGTGTTTCCTGATCTCATCCCCGACGACAGAGGGCGGTGCCTGCTCGATAGAATCGTGCTCGGAGAACGAAGCAGAGCGGGACTGGGCGCGTTTCCGGTAGGAATTCAACACTGCCGAAAAACTACTCGAAGTCGTCTGGGTGCTGCCCACCATGCTTGGCATCTTGATCTCAATATTGGATTTCTTAAACGATGCAGTCTAAGAGTTGGTGGCGGCTACAACCCAGAAACGAAAATACGAGCCTAGAAACGCAATTCATATATTCTGAGTGAGAGTTTTGAACACGACGGAATCGCACAACATCGAGCAAAAATTTCTCGTCGAAAATCACGACTCAAAAAGTGGCTCCGATGGCGCTCGCTCTTTCGCTGCAACGAAAACTACATAATCGCTCTTTTTGTTCGTCTGCCTTCCAATCTCTTACCTCTTGCTCATGCTCTTCATCTTCTACGTTTCGATTTGAAAATATATTTTTGCCTAGAAGTCTGAATGAGAATGCTTCATCAGCGACGTTCCACGTTGCCATATCCTCTATCGGAATTGGAGGCAAGAACTCTACACACACATTTCATATTGACGACGCTGATACAACAGGAACAACTACTCACTCATGAATTGGATGAAACAGGAGGAGCTGTAGGTTCGATTCATGATGTGCAAAATTGTTTACATAGCGTTGCTTATGCTTTCATCCTCCTGCAAGGACTTCCTTGTGCTTTGCTGTACAATCGATTAGTTATGGATCAATGATAGTCCGCTCACGCTGTGGAAGAAAAAATTAAGAATCATGAACGCAAGAGACAAAGCCAAAGATGGCAACCGGACGCATAAGAAGTAGATGAAACGAAACGCATTTTTTTACCATAAAGCACTGACATTGAATTAGAATTTGAATGATTGAATGGGAATCTTCCTTACTTATCACCACGGAATGAGAAGACGGCTTCTTCCGCATCGAGAATCTGGTAGGCGTATTTCCAAGGAACATCAGGGTCCTGCGGTCGCTGCGTCCGCTTTTCAAACCGGACTAGATTTCGCTCGTCGCAATTTTGATCCTGCTCCTGGTCCAACGAGATCCGAGAAATAATCTTCACTCGAGTGTCGCCCTTCACCTCCGCTAGGGGACAGGGCAGCAACGGCTTGTTGTACTTTACGAAGAAATCCAACATCACGTCGTCGCAACTCCACAAAAAATTTCCCTTGCGGCCGTCGGCATTTACTGGGTCCGCGGTCTTCTTCTTGCAACGCTGCTTATCCAGGGTAAATACCAACGCAACACTCTTGCTCTTGTTGGACAGGTATCCGGACATGCTCCAATTCTTCTTGATCATCATTGCGCAAACGGATCGGGCAACCAGTCTGGATGGTGTCAGGTGAAACGGCGTCAGCTGCAACGGGCTGCAACCAGTCCGGAAAAAATGCCAACTCGCACAGCACTTGTTGAACTCCTCTTTGCCGACAGTGACGATTTCATCGGTGCAGCTGTGCTTCCGAAACATATGTACCAAATAGCGAAGGCCATCGCTGTAGGTCGCGGAAGTGACGCTTAGCGGTACTTCGTCGCCGAAGATAACGCTGGAAAGCGATGCAGCTGTAGGGGACACAGTAGGCGAGGTCTGTGCTTCCGTACCGGAGCTGAAGCCGTGGTCAGAGACGACGCTATTATTCAACTTGCGGCGTTTGGCGGTTGCGAGTTTCTTTAGTTTCTCCACCCCTGCGTCAAACTGTTCCTCTGCCAAGCAAAATCTGTAGGTTCGCGTGTTCTCGTCGCTGACGAAATCTGCTTGCTGTGATAAGAACAGTTTAAAAATTCGATATTTATTGACTCTTTATGTTGGTTTCGGCTCGACAGTCAGCTGCTAAAAAGTAAAGAATGCAGCAGCTAGTATGTACCTTGCGGGCTATTTCCGGGTCGCGCAAAGATCGCTCGTCACCATATGATGGCTTGTACAGCGGCACCGTGTCAGACCGAAACGGAAGGCTATCGACGAGAACCAGACCCGCCTTCTCTGCACTATTCTCCCAACCGCCGTCTTGAAATTGGTCCGGGTTCATCATGATACACACGCACCCGCCAACGTGACGCTGTAGGAGCTGTCGACAACCGCGAAACCATTCCGGGCCCGCACGGTTGGCCCAGGCGTGGGGGTGCTCCCCATTGCCCTTTTTTCCTTTTCCTCGTTTGCCATTTTTTCCCTTGCCTTTGCCTTTGGTTCCTGAGGACGGAGTAAACTTGTGTGGATACGGATTGTTCCAGAAAATTACCGTGTACGAGGGCCGAACGCAGGCGGCACTGTCGGCGTCCGTCGTGGGGTCTTCATTGCTGCACAAATACTCCTCGTAGTCGCCGGATACACTGACCGCGCCGGGCTGCGATGGTCGCAGGAGCGTCGGCTTCTCTCCGGGTTGTAGCTTTTCGACGGGCCGACCTGTCTGCGTCTCGTGCGCTCGTCGCAGCGTAGTTGCCGGTAGATCAAACGCATCGACACCGTACAAAACGCGTTGGCCCAAGGCCTCGATGGAGCATGCGTTCTGGTCTCCGCCTTCTCGGTGGTAGAGGTTCGCAAACTCTTCACGGTTTTTCTCGATGACGGCGCAATCCATGAAGTGATTTCCCACACCGACTGGCTTATCCGAAGCTACTTAAGAGTGCGGACACCTCGTAGCTGAGGTTGCCGCCCCCGACCGAAAGCACACGTGTCGAGGCATCGCCGGAAAGGGACGAAAACACGACCTCCGCGAAAGTTGTCTCCTCGGAGTTCTCGTCTTCACTCGTCTCTGAACGCGGGCGTCGCAAGCTCGTAGCCATGGCCGGCCTCGTCTGGAGCACGGAAACGTTTGGTCAGATCAAACCGAGATCGCCCATGATGTCGAGAGACTTTGTCCCGTCAAACCCTAAACCCGGCAAAGAGCCAGAGCCTCGTCCTGATGATCTCTCCCAGATCACGTTGATAAAGCTATTCTAACTTTTTTGTCATTTCGGTAAAGAGGTTGCTACTTTACCAACATCGCCTCCATCCCCATCCGCAACCCCGAGCACATTTCCGCTCATCTACATACAACTCTCATATATCTTTCCCATTCCTTTGAAACGCAACTACACCACTCGTTCTTTTCTCAATCAAATCCTGATCCTCCCCATCGACGTCCCAAACGATAACTTAATAATGCTCGCCTGCACACAACAGAAAGTTGGCTGAAGCTGAAACATCTCTCCACCCACTCGCCATAAAGATTTCATCTACTTGATCTGCAAAATAAGGGGAAAAAACAGAACACTACAACACGGATCCATCCCCACCCGGTCCGCCAGCATGTCGACTCTGACTTCCAATTTGAACTTAGACTTACAAAATCCGGCGTCACTGCACACCATTAACCTCTTGTTCGAAGCTTGAAAATAGAACGGAATCGGAATAGGTCAAGTGATAGTGAAATCTGTCCAATCGTTTTTTGTACTAGAGATCAACGAATAGAAGGAAAAAGACGATTTTGCCGATAAGAATGAGGCACTCGTGCTAGCGAGTGCGGTTTTCGTCTTAGAAAGAGATTGCTATTAAATCAGTTTCAAAAAAAAACCAAAGTTGCAAATCATAAGTTTATACTTTACATACGCGAGAGAGCTCGACTGTCGACGGTGGAAAAGCGATTAAAAACTTTGAAAAATTCTCTAGCATCTGCAAGAGGCAGATGCTCTGATGGTCGATCAGGTCGGTCTACTGCGAGGCACGTGATGGCTTCTTTTTCTTCATCCGGCTCAGAGCGGCGTCGGCTTCTTCCTTACAGCTGACTCCACCAGACCAGTGCCACTGGGTCGAGCCTTCCCGAACGTCTACAAAACCGTGAGCCAGCAGATCGGCGAAATCGATACATGTTCCGGAAAAGCCAGATTGTCCGAGGCGGTGACAAATGTGACACACGTCGGGTTTGTGCGGCCCGGTCTTCATCGCCTTCTTGCGCAAGAAACGCTCCATGTCCTCGTCGTCGAGCGCGGTGCCCCGCACGTTAGACCCGACCTTCCCGAACGCCAACACCTTTCCCTCGACCCACTCCCGCCCACGGTTCCAGCACTCGTTGCAATATTGCCGTTCGAAGCCCTTCTTCAAGCCCTGCGTTTCCTTGTCCTTCAGGTGCTCATGGTACCAGCAGCACGAGGAAAACCATTCCGTGGTTTTTGCGCCGATCGGCTTGTTGTCTGCAGCAGTCTCCTCCCTCTGCTCGTCGTTCGGCGTCGCAGTGCTAGCGGTCGTGTTGCTCGGGCCGCGATTAAAGCGATCTCGTGAAGCATTGTTCGCACCCTTGCTGGGACGGCAGCCCTTGCGCTTGCACTGCCACAGCGCTTCGGCTCGGCAGTAGTGAAAAAAAGTACCATTCTCGTCCGGAAAAATATTTTGGTTGGATTCGAAACAAAACGGCAAACAACCTTCTTTGGCCTTGGCGTCGTTTTTCACAAGTTGCCAGTCCCCCTCGTCGCCCTGCTCGTCATTCTCGAAGGCGAACTTGCGAAAGATCTCACTTTCCGCCACGGACGCGCCATCGCCTTCGTCATCCTGTGTCGCGTTCGCTTGGTGAATAGCCGGCAGGTCGGGTTTCATGTGTTCCCACTCCGCGGTGTTCTCATCGACGTAGGTGGAGAAAGGCGTCCCGCCGAGGATGCCGACGTGAAAGTGCCAAACAATGCGCCCGTTCTCGTTGCACACGTCGTCAAGAGAGCCGAAAAATCTTTGGTAGATCTTTGCAAGCTTATCGTGGACTTCCCCACCAGGCACGCCGGTAAACATGGGTTCGTACTTGCGATAGCCTTTGCACTTCGTTAGCAAACGATCCTTTTTCTCATCCGGAAAGAGAATGTACTTGAAGAAGCAGTGACCCGCTGCCGCGCCCTTTGTTTCGTTCACGTAGTACAAGCTCCAGGTGCTGTCTTCGTCAAACTCCTCGAGCACGCTGGCTGGCAAGGAGATCCGACGCGGGTGGTGTTCGCAACAGGGCGCGGTCCCGCGGCCATTATCGTGCGGGCCGTTGTTGCTGCTACTGCTTGCGGATGCGTCAATTGGACCGTGATAGGCTGTTGGTACAATGTAGCACCAGATTGCCTTCATGCCGATGTCGGCGTCTTCGGTGTGCGTGTGTCCTGGAAGCACCTTATTGAAATTCCGAGTGGTGTGCAACACCTTGATATCCTGGACTTCCCGCCGCGGCATCTTCGAAAAAACAGATGAGGAGTGTTTAGTAGAAACTAAGCCTGTATCGACACGCTGTAGCCTTGTTTTTGGTTCCTAATCGTGCTGCTTGTTCGACAGCACTTGCACCTTTCGGAAGCTGTCCAAGAAGTGTCAAACGAAGCCGGAGAAATCACGCAGACTATCGTAAATTACCATACGCTGAAGCAAGGCTCGAGACAGAAAATGGACGCTATGAGTGAGCGAACAAATCGCGCGCCGTCGATGAACGAAAAATCTAATGAAAAAATCCAATTCCACTGACTGAGAACGCCTCCGAGAAGAGAGAAAAAAGTGCGTGCAATACTTGCGACCGTCATAGGTAAGAGCTTCGGCCGTGGTGAGTAGAATTGCTTTTATTACTTTTTGATCAACCTTCTATCTAGTAATGGGATACTTACGCCCTCTCGTAGGTATCGCTACCACTATTTACATGACATTGATCAGGTTCAGGATAAATAACGTTATTAACGAACTCATTTGCGCCTCGGTTTTCGTGCAAAGAAGCCAGCACGAAGATGAAGAGACATTCACATCGGAAGATTGGTGCATTGCTAATGCTGTGATCGGTGGAGATTGTCAAAATTTTATGTTGAATATGTCGCTTTATGCTGAGTTTGCCGCATTCCATCAACATGGATGCCTGGTGTTTCAAAGGTTCTATTGGAAATAACATCTTCCACGTTTGTAAATTTGATGGCACTGTAATATCTGCTGCTGCCAGTCGTTGGGAAATGAAACGCAAGAGTCGTGATATGCGCAAGCCTCATCATCACGGTTCGCTGTAAAGACAACCCCAAGGAAATCCCGAAGACAGTTTCATCTCAGGATCATACCGCAAGACGGGTGACAAGGAAACGCTGTCTTTTACAAACCATGTACCGAAGCTTTCGTCGCTGGAACTTTTCGTGATCCGAACACCCACTGCCAGTCTGGGGGAGCTCGGTCGTGCGTGCGGGCTGTGGCGAACTAGTTGCGACGTTTTCTTCACGAAGAAATCGAACTCCGGTAGCTCAGGACACGTCCACCAAACCTCGTTCGAAAAAGCGTCGCTCGGGTTTTTACTTCTGCACCGTTTCCCGTGCAGCAAGCGGACCAAGCAGCTCTGTGCGATGTCAGGAGAGTCCCTGCCGTCCCGGTCCCAGCCCTTCCTCCACATTGTCGCACAAATGTAATCGGAGAGTGCTAGAGATGCATCGTGTTTCGTCCTTGCAGTAGCTGCAGCAGAGCTGGTCGTCCCGACGAGCTGCAGCCCTTCGATGTTGTCCGCGTTGCTCCTTGTCCTCTTCTTGACGTGCTCTGTGAAAAACTTGATGAGCTTCTCCCGTCCTTCCGATACTGTCGCGTCGGTACAACCATGGTTTCGGAACATGTCGACCAGAAATTTCAATGCGCTTTCGAACGTGCACGAAGCAGGATCGAAGTTCGCACCGAATATCTTTCGTATACTAGGCGCGCCAGCCAGACCCAGATCCTCCGTCCCGGACGACGCATTATTTTCCGTTGGTACTACTCCACCAGCACTTCGACCAAATGACGAGGACGAGGACACCGAAGCTGCAACTTCGATTTTTCTTCGCTTCGCCGATTGCGCGACGTGCGTCTGCGCCTGAAAATCGTGCTTTATCCTGAATTGGTAGGTCCGCGTTCCCGCCTCGCTGACGAACGTCGCGCGTCTGTTACTAGAACCCTTACCCTGTATTGAATTGCAACAAGAGATATTAATTCATTGCATATCGCAAGCGCAACGATCTCTACATCAAGTAAATTGATGGCCTCATCAAAGCCATGATGCGAGAACTGATGCAGGGGGACAGGGACAGCTACGGAATGGAATCTCATAATTATACCTGGCCCTTGCTATCGGCTGCTATATCCCTCTGTGCCCGCCGATCGCCAAAAGATGGTTTGTAATACGGCTCCACTTGTTTCCATTCGAAGTTCAAGACAGCCACCAGCTCAAATCCTTCCCGTTCTGCGCATTCCTTCAATCCTGTAGCTTTGAACTGCGTTTCCGTCATTGTAATCAAAACGAAGCCGCCTGGAAACAGAATCAGTTTGCAGTCCCGAAAAAATTTCGGCATCATTTCGTAGATGTACTTATGTGGGTGCTCGGGATGCTTTCCACAACCTTTTTTTCCGTTCTTCTTCCCCTTTTTACCCCAATTGGTAATGGGGGGCTGGATTGCTGGGTAAGGATTTGCGAAGTAAACGACGGTATATGCAAACCGGCGGCTTCTTGCATTCGCAGATTCGGAGTGGGCCTCGAACAGGCAGAATCGCTCTCCCGCTCGCAACTTCCCGCGATCGGGTTCCGTCGGCCTTCCAGTTTGCGTTTCTGCTGCTTCTTCCAGCGTGTCTCGCAGCCGTCTGGCATCAACGCCAAAGAGAACCTTTTGTCCCAAGGCTTCAAGTGCACAGATATTGGAGTCTCCATCTTCTTTCGAATACTGCCACTTGAACTCCTCCCGTGACCGCTCCAGCACGGAAACGTCCAAACAGTGACGCTCCATCATGTCCGCGCCCGTCGTACTTGGCAAGTGCTTCATTGCGAGAGAAAGTTCGAGCGAGCAGTTGCCAGACCCTATCGAGAGTATTCGCGGAAGACCATCCGGAGCTTTGGCGCTGTACACAACGTCGACCAGAGTTTTGGGGTGGATGAGCGCCCCCGGCGGTGCAGTGTAGTTAGCACTGTTTTCTTCAGTCTCATTATCGTCGTCGCACAGGTTATTTGTGTTCGCGAGTGGCCGTTTCAGAGTCCGCAAAGCAGGCACTCCTGCCTCGGATCGCGGACTCGCATCGCAAAACGGCATCTCTTCCTCAGCTGCAGCACCAGCCTTAAATAATCATACAAATAGGCCGTGTTCAAGAACGACAAAGACAAAGAAGTCGATGATGCCCAACTCTAATTTACATCCTACACTTTCACTTACCAGATGCAGATAGAAGTTGAAGTATTTTCGTACAAGTAGATTCTACACAGAAGTATTTTTGTACAACAAGAGTCCGCTCGTGGTGCAAGCCTTTTTGTTACACTTCCATCCGTAGCGCATTTTTTTGATTTTGTGTGGCGGAAATGTTTTATTCATCACCCCCCCCCCTGAAAAAAAAACCGACTCCACGAGACTGGGAGCAATGACCAATGACAACGTCGACGAGACGCCTGAGTTCACATGCGACACTGGCACAAGAACCGATGACCATGACAAGGAAGTTGAGAACTACAAAAAAGGTAAAGGAAGATAGAAGAAGTTTCGAAGTAGATCATGCAAAGAAAACAACTTCTACACCGATGAGACCGAGGATACAAAGCGAATTCCACATGCTGCTGAATGTGAATTTGCATTTCCAATATAGACCTCCGATGCATCACACCCCCGACCGAAAACCTCGACACTCGAACAAACAAGCTGCGCAACAAAACAAATCAATTTTACTTCCTCCAGCTCGATGATTCCACCGAGGCACACAGAGCATGGACATGACACAGAAAATGAACATGAACCCGATTTGTGATGAGACGATGGCTCTTCTTCTTGGGACATATGAAAAAACAAAAAAGAAAAACATGTCTGGCGAAGGCGAACATCAAGAATCATTTATTCATAGATGTATCTATCGATCACGGTTTATGACCCGCACACTCAAAGTCAGGTGAATGCACGAGAAGGCAAAAATGAATCAGAAATGCACATCAAGACTGCCCGACATTCTCATCGTTCGTCATGTGCTGCAACAGCGAAATTTTCAAAGTTCTTCGTCCTCGTCTGGATCTTGTTCCCAAAGATTTACTTCTTCCTCGGAATTTTTTTTTGCTTTCGCCTTTTTTATCTGCTTGTCTTTTTTTACTGCATTTTTTTCCTGCTTCTTCTCAAGCTTTTCCTTTGCCTTTTTCTCTTTCTCACTTTTCTCCCTTTGCGTTTGGAACCCTTCCTTCTTGTCCTGTGCTTTCGCTTTATTCGCCTTCAAATTCCGCTGAAGAGCTCCATCGTCATCATCGTCGTCCACCCCATCAGCTGCCTTCTTCGCATTCAGCAACTGTTCCAACAATGCTTTCTTCTTCGTCGCCCTTGCGACGTCCACGATCGACACCGTCGGGTCCTCAATAACCGCTTGCGCATCGCCCAACGCCCGCTGCCGCTCGGCACGCGTTGTTCCGACGAAGCGCCGCAGCATTTTCAATTCTTCCGGTGAGCAGCCCGCTTGCGTGTGAGGTCCGCACTTCTTCGCTAACCTGGTCGCGACCCACTTCTTCAAAAAGAATTCTTCACGCTGATACTCGTACACTTCGCCCTCCTCCCCGGTCTCGTCCGTGAAATAGCGCAACGTTGGATAGCCGGAAACTCGGAATCTGTAGCACAATTCCCCGTTCTCCTCGCAGTTCACGTCCGCAATCTGCACCGAGCCGTCGCTGTGCCACACCTCGGCGAGCTTGTCCCAGGCCGGGCGTAACGCCTTGCAGTGGCCGCACCAGGGCGCGTAGAACTTGACGAATGTGGAAACCTGCTTGAGATCCCCGTACACGATATTGTCGAAGGTGTCCGTGGTTAGCTGCAGCATGTAGGGTGAAGGTTCCCGCGGTTCCTCTTCCTCCGGAGCGGAGGGTGTAGACGAAGCCGTGTCTGTGGATGAGGGTGTTGTAGTTGTTGACGATTCTTTTTTGTCTTTTACTTTCTCTTTCGATTTCTTCTTTCTTGTTTTCTTCTTTTTTTCTTCGGACCCCGATGATGCGCTAGCAGCTCCTGCTGCGCTTCCAGACGGCTTCTGTCCCTCAGAAGCCTTCTCGTCTTTCGCTGCGGAAACGGAACTCATACTCCCCGCCGAAACGATCACGGACGAAAGCACTCGTCCGATCGGGTGCTGATTCGCAGAAAAAAGCACACCGGCCGCCACAGATCCAAAAAGCGGCACTCCTTGGCGTCGCGGTCGTGGACGGCACTTCAGCATTGCTGAGGGTGACGATGATGCGGAACTCATGTTGGTGCTGCCCCTGAGCTTCGTCATCAGATAAAGTCTTTTTGAAGAGGAGCCGTCAGCTCAAACTATTTTGTTTCTCCGTTCACTTAGTTACCAACAGGGTCTGCCTCTTTAGAGCGCTGCTTCGTTCCACGTACGAGAGGAACTACAAGCCTTCAATCCAGTCTCGGTAGCCGTATCAAGCACTGCAAATGCGCGGAATAAAGGAGCAAAGGTCTTTTTATCATTCAACTTTATGCAGCTTTGCTTGCTTTTTATTGTTTCTTGGAATTCATTTAGCATTTCCTGGAAGATCGTGTCAAAACTTGGCAGGTGTGTTCATCAGTCTATGCGCAATGTCGTGGAAACGAAGAAGGTGTCATATCAACGAATTCGTTTATGTATCATACCACTGAGTTGATCCAAAATGGACTTGATACTGCAAAAAATCAATGTGAGGACGAACAGGTGGAGGTGGACCTGCAAAAGAATCAATTACATTCGAACTACTAGGTAGAAGCGTCGACAGCATTGGCTCAGTCGTAAATCTGGTCGAGTTTTTCATTCGTTAGGTTTCGAAAAATTGTATCTAGACCGATCTGCGAATAGCTGACTTCGCTAATGACCGACGAAAAGTCGAAACTTTCTCTTTTTCTACACTCGTTAGGTTTCTTTGATAACAGCGTCTCCACACATTCCATCAGATCAGCGAATGCTGACAGTGAAAAATCGGTCAAGGGCGGCGCAGTCACCGCGAACGACAAAACGATTCCGGCTGCACACACCGGTTTTACCTCGAAGCCGTTCGGTGACATGCAGTCCGCAATGTGCTTCGTGAAGTGATCGGAAACGCGGCGCATTGTTACCCTGTATCGAAGCTCGGATTCGAAACTGGCCCACAGATTGGGCAACTGGGGATCGCGCTGTTCCTGATCCTCTCCTATCTGTTCGGAAGAGTGATTGGCTTCTTCACAATCGCCGCTCGACTGTCTGCTCCCGCTGCTACTATATCCGTCGGTTTCCGGTCCTGAATTTTTCCGAAGATGTTTTGCTAGAAGTTGACGGCTGCCCTTGTGGTGCAGGAACGCTTTCCAGTCTCTCCGGCGCGCGAAAGACAACAAATCGAGCGGCGCAGGGCTCGAGGCACTCTTTCGGCGGTTTTTCCGGTTGCTGCTTCTTCGCTGCAACGATTGGTCGTCCATGGCCTCGTGCTCGAGGTGCCCGCGCGCTAAACCCGTTCTGTTCCTCGAGTAACCGCCGTGGACCCACGAAAAAATTGACAGAGGAAACAACGCCGGAGCTGAGTTTTGTACATCCTCAAAGTCGTCCTCAGTCTCGCTTGGACTCGTTGCTGAGTAGCAAGAATCGGTATCGGAGACGCTCGAAGCAGCCCTAGACGTGTCAGATGCAGAACATGTCGAAAGAGCTTCAGACGCACCTGAACCACGCACGCTGCAACTTCCGCTACTCGAAGACGCGCTGCTATCCTCGCCACCCGCACCAGATTCCTCTTTGTTTCTTTTCATTTCCTCTGCTCGTAAGTCTCCCAAAGCTGTGGCAATATCCAAACTCCGAAAGTATGCTAGGCGGAAAAAATCCATGCTGCGAACCAGTTCAGCTCTTTCACTTCTCGTCCATGATTCACCATCTGTTGGTCTTGTTGTTCTGTCTGAATACAAATCTTCGGTCGGGTCGTCGACGTCGTCGTTCATGTCCAAGCGCAATCGTACCTCGTAGCCCCGTCCGAATTTTCGGCACAGATGCTGAACGGTGCCAACGCACTTCAGCCGTCCCCGGTGCTGAATGGCGACGCGATCACAGAGCGCCTCGGCTTCTTCCATGGCGTGGGTGGTTAATACAAATGACGACTCGCTCCGTGTCTGGATCTGTTTTAGTACAGTCCAAATGCTCTGCCGGCCCATCGGATCTACCCCGGCAGACGGCTCATCGAGCAGCACGAGCTGCGGGTCCCAGAGTAGGGAGAGCAGAAGCAATACCTTCCGCTGGTTACCCCCCGAAAGGTTCGCAAATTTGCGATCTCGGTATTTCGCGAGGTCGAGGCTGTCAAGTTTGTCCTCTATCTCGGCAACTGTAGTGCTAGTGGGTCCTTCTTGTAATTGCCCTGCGGTTCTTGTTCCAAAAGCGGCACTAGCAAGGTCTCCCTTCCGCAACGTTGCAAACAAGCTGACAATCTCCAGCACTGTTAAATCCCCTTGCACGCAGTTGGCCTGTGGGCAGTAGCCAATACGGCGACGGATCTCTGTGATGAATTTCGTCGTGTCGTGGCCGTTGACCAAAATGCGGCCTTTCGACAGCGGTTCGAGGCCCATGATCATCCGAAACACAGACGTCTTTCCGCTCCCGTTGGTGCCAAGCAGCCCGAAGCAGGTACGAGGATTGCCGTTCGCTTGTTGGCACGGGATTGACCAACTGACGCCGCGTACTGCATACACTCTTTGACTGTACACTTTATGCACGCCCTGCAGGGTGAGAACATGCTTCGGCCCATCACTTCTTTTTGTTGCGTCTAGCGCTCGATCTTTTTCGGCTTCGACGTCAGAATCTGAGCACAGAGTACTGTTGTCAGAATCGTCTACGTTTTCATCATGAACGGCGGCGCTTCGAACTTTCAAAAGTCGCTGCAATTGAGCGTCTCGATTTTTCCCGTGTCGAGTTTGGACCGGCAGTGCAGCAACCCCATTAATAGCATCAGTGGAACTGTTGAGCACTTCGGAAAAAACACCGTCGCGAACGCGATCTTCACCACCCGCGACAGCTCCACAACGTGATGCTTTCTCGCAAAATGTTCTACCGCATGTTGTTCTCGTCCTGCGCTTTTTTCCCACAAACGACGTGCGCGGCTCCACTTCTAGTTTTGTAGTTCTAGCCATGCCACTTACCCTTTTCCGTTCCTTCCTTTTTTCGAAAAATCTCGGTTCAGGTTGCAAGCGGCTGCTTCGCCAGACCAAAACAAGCTGCAACACGAAAATCCCAACCGTGCACAGAAACAAGTGCATCCACGCGAAGTCGATTTGATCGCCGATCGTCAGGAGAAACCTGAGACTGGTGCTTTTCAGTTCCACACTCTTCGACATGTAATGCCAGGGCGCGAAGTGCTCCCCGAAGGAGGCACGCGTGAAGGGCGTCCGGCTTGCGAAGTCAACCATGTGGTCGCTTGTCACAGTCTCCATCAGAGCCTCGTCCTCGGGGTCAGTTCGCGCCTCGTCTCCGGGCACCGCATCCTCCCCGCCACCAGCAGAGTTGGTGGCCGATGCCATCCAGCGAAGCACTTTTTGAGCACCGCCCAGCGAAGAGAATGGCGGCTCACCCGATTTCTGGAACGCCAAAAGCTGCATATCGTTGGTTCGAAGGTGGAAAAATGTGCCGTCGCACTTTAAGGTTTGCACCAACACGAGATGCACCCAAGAGTAGAGCTTTACCAAACTTGGCAACACTTGATTCAAGGTCGCCACAATATCCGAGAGCACTACGTTCGCTTGCCACGTCAACAAGCCCCCTCGCAGCAGGCGAAGAGGCTGCCTGCTTTGGTCGGCACTTTTCACGTCGATGAAGCGCATGCCCTCCGTGAGCACGCCCTGAGATTCGTACGTTGAAAGTGAGGTAAGAGACTGGCTCGCACCTGCTGGTGAAATGGATCTGTGGCGAGCATCATGCTCGCGCAGGTCGGGGAGCAAAAGATCGCCGGCTGCGCCATGTTGTGGATCGTGCCGTTCGTGAGGTGCAGCACTTGTTATGTTGTCATCTCCGCCATCATGATCTGCTTGGCGGCGCAGATACCTAGCCAGCGCGGCAGCGGCGGCGGGGGTCGGCCTCAACAGCTCGGCGTCGCGCATCACTGCGGCCGGTATCCTGTCCCTGTGCAAGGAAGGAGTCGCTGGGATTGCAGCTGGTGGTCCTTTCTTGGGTTCGAGCTGAAGAAAGTTCGGGTTTGGCCGGGCGGTCGCCTTGGTCTTTTCCGACGCTGCTGAGGGCGCAGCAGTTGTAACTGCAGACACGCGGCCGCGATTCTGGTCGTCTGTCGTGCGTTGTCCGTGTCTCGTCCGCGTTGCCTCTGCTTGGGCGCGGAGGTGATTGTCGACGACCTCTGGGATTGCAAGACGCTCGTTCTGCACCAGAAAAACTAGTAGATCCTCTAAGGTGTGCAGCGCCCGCACCGGCTCTGGATTTCCATCCGCATCCAGTTCCAGACATTTCTGTTGGCCGTACCTCGCAAAATCGAACAGCGAAGGGTGTTTTTGTTCTGCCGCCTCGCTGGCTTCGCGCCGTAGCTTTTCCAGAACTGCCTTCCGACGGGCCAGGAATGTAGCACTTTGGGTAGCGTCGGGACCGAAGGATCTGTGCCACTGCTTCGCAAATTCCGCAGAAAGGTCGGCCGTTTCGCGCCACGGAACGATGATGCCGAAATTCCAGAAGAAGCTGCGGAACTGAAGAAACTGTTTTTCCTTCTCATACTCCGACACCTGTTGGTCAAGCCTGATACCCAGTCGATTTTCCATCGATCTTTGGTGCTGCTTCTGTTGCAGCTTTTGATGGGAAATGGTGTGCTCCAGGAGAAACTTCGACACCGCACGCACCTGCGCTTTTTGTGCAAGCGAGCTCTGTGCAAGCCCGAGGGGTTTTGCACCTCCAAACGTGAAAGGGTTTGTAGACGCAAAGCCGTCCCAGCGGGACCAGGTGACAGATTCCGGTTCTATCTGTGGAATCGAGCTAGCGCCACCGTCGTCGGATTCGGGAATGAAAGGCACGGTATTCTCGCCCCCGTCAGCCTCAGGCTTGACTAGCACAGCGCGCTGGAGTCCAGTGGTCACGTACCAAAGCGAAGCGATCCTGCTTTCCTCCCGGAATGGAAAAGCAATGCTGTCCCGCAAACGGAAATCTCCAGCGACCAAGGTATTTGTCACCAATGAGTTGAACCCGGCGTCACCATTTCGAACGCCGAGAAATTCCACGCACTCCTTACGCAAGTTGTACACTTGCAATGGTCCTCCTACTCGTTGTCCAAGGCGAGTTTCTTCATCCGGCGTTGGTGCGACGGGTAAAATCGGAGGTGCCGCACTTCTGAACCTTGGCAGGTTTGAAAAAGCCGCCACGAACTCGAGCTGCTGCTCGGGATGCCGCCCCATCGTTGCAAACCTTTCCTCGTCAGCCAGAGCTTTATCCAGATTTGCGGAGTTTCGGCTCCGCAACGGTGGCATCAACCACTGTGCTACGCTGCGCCGCGCGAAAGAGGTGCGATAGAACAGGTAGACCGGATCCAGAGTCTGCCGCAACCGCGCCGTCGCTTCTGACCACACCGTTGCACTCCGGTAAACAAGCGTTTCCAGATGGGAAGCGAGGGATTCCGGACGGCGAAGGTAATTTTGCAGTTGACTGTCCTGATTGTCGACATCGACATCGCCTCCAATCCACGGTTGAAGGAGAGACGCTGGAGATTGCGCCCCGTGTGGGTAGTTTGTACTAGCTTTCTCGACCAGTTTCGCTCTCAGACCAGCTGCGAGCCCGCTCAGAGTTGCAGCTGGCGTGGCCGACTGGAGCACAAGCTCCTCCGTATGAAAGTCTTCCAAGTGAACCGCCGCACAGCGAAACACGTAACGGAAAAAGTCGATCGCGCCGATGTCGAGGCTGCCCGCCTGCATCAGAATTTCCAGCAATTCTGACAAACTAATGCGGTCGCCCAGAAAGTACTTCTGGAGAGCCTGAATCTTGTAGCCGTCGCGCCGTGCCTGCGCGACGTTGCCGTTCATGTGCTGGACGACCCGCAACGGCGCAAGAAAACAAACCTGCGGCAGGGTCTTGCCGGCGAACAGGTCCAGCACGGCAAAGGTTTTGCGCTCCAGAACAGTGATAGAGTGCGTGGCAGGAGCGAGATCTGTACTAGTTCCACGGATAGCTCCCGCACCACTGTGGTCTTCTGGGACGGTTTTCATTACATTCCGTTCCCGAACGCGGCTGCAGATCTCACACTGGTACGTGAAGATGTTCCACAAGACGGAAGACAGCCAGATTTTGACGATGTAGAAAACCGGGAAGAGCAAGCAGCAGGTATTGTAGAAGAAGTGGCAGATCCCAGCAAGCGAAGGGTGCAACAGGTCGCCCGTAATTTCCACCAAAACCAGCAAGAAAAAGACGATGTAATGGACAAAAAACACCACTTTGACCAGGTAGTCGAGTTCGGAGTCTGTCCAACTGTGGCGCCGTTGTCCTCGCTGCGACAATTTGTGTTGATGTTGATGACGCCGCCCATCGATGGGTTTCGTTTTCGTTGTCTCGTGCTGCTGGTGGTCAAGCTGAGCAGACCCGAGGTGGGAAGTTGCGAATGGCAGGGCGTGGTGCGACTTTGACTTTATTGCTGGACAGCGCTGTCGTGCCTTCTGACCATCCTCGTGACTCTGTCTGGTGCACCCATGTTGCGTATTGTTCCTTCTCAATAAACTGCGCGTTGATGCCGACGTGCCAGCCACATTGGTGCCAGTGCTTCTCCGACCCTGCCACCAAAACCTGGAGCAACACCGTTTCACTTTGACCTTGTGCGCTTTCCGACAGCAAATGCGTGCCGCGCAACTGCAACACCTGCGTGGGCACTGGTTTACGGCTGATACAGAAGATCGCCAGACGGATTTGAAAAGAGTAGCACAACAGGAACGCAGAGCTGACGGCTTCTTTGGACTACTTTTGCGGTAGCTGCCATCCCATTGGCTCTCTTTTCTGCTATCAACCGCGTCGGAAAGAAGAGCCGACATGTTGTCTGCATCTTGTAAACCGGGATCAGTACTGGTGCTGCAATCGGCACTACACTGCAGCGTTTTCTCAGGTGAAACTTTGCGGTGTCGTCGCGAGTCCACCTGCAGCTCGTCTTCCTCTTCCTCATAAACAGCTCGGTCAGGGCTCGACTTACGCGCACCACAGATCTTCGAATATTTCAGCTTCAAACGCGGACAGCTGACGTTTTCCGTTACCAAGTGCAGAAGGTACAGGTACACGAGAAAAGCGCACACTGCGAGAACCACGCTGCAGTGCAGGTCTAGGTTGAAGTTGTAGAAAACTTGAAAACCGAGGAAAGGCGACGAGAACTGCCAACCGTCGTACTGACTTGCGAATCCTCCAGCTGGGTCATTATTTTGATTGCCACCGGCAGCACTGAAAGTTGATGCTACCGCTCCGTCCTCGAAGTTCAAAAGGCGCGCAAACACGATCGGCACGAAGTGGAAAAGCAAGAAGAAGCCCGTGACGCTGCACGACAGAAACAGGAAGTCGAACAGCAGGTTCGCAGCCCAGTAAACCCACGTACGGCACCCGTTTACGAAAAGTAACTCGCGGAAACCCGAGCGAGCATCCTCGGCCAAAACACGCAAGCACAGCGTGACGTAGCGGAAGCACAGGATTTGCACCAGATTTCCCTGGGCGAACAGCATAAAGACCCCAACAGTGACGAGGACGAAGTAAGAGGACAAAAATCCCGCCACGCGGTTCGCCACCGCTAGCTCCGATGAAGTTAGGCTGCGAATCCGAGCAGGTAAATCGGCTTCAGAGAACAAACGGCCGAGGTGCTCCTCGACAACAAGAGAGCTCCAACTGTCACCCGCTGCAGAAGTTGTCTCGGAGCTTCCACTACCGCCGTTATTTTGGCTGTGGTTTCTATTCCTGGAACCGGGCTGCAGAAGGGATCGGATTCCGTAGGGGTCGGGCAGAACGAAGATGCGGCTCACGACAAACAGTGTGTACGTGGAAAACAACACGATAATCAAAGCCGAAACGAAAAGGCCGGCAACAGATGGCAGTCGGGCCCGAAGCAGCGTTGCGCGGCGTCCAAACAAGCAACCAAACTGGGACACCCACGTTCTCGGCTCGCTCTTGCAAAGAGTAGCGAAAGGGGAAAACCAGGAAGACGAACTTTGGCGTAATTCACTCACCTTCGTTGCTTTCCTTCTCCGGTTTTCTTCCAGCAAAAGCTCTCGCTCTGTTTCATCTGTGTGTTCTTCGTCTTCGACAACCACAACCGGGTCGCACTCATCGTCAAGAATACATGAGTGCTCCATTAGCGCATCCTGTACCTCCTCATCCCCACCACACCTGGCGGTGCGTGAAGCCACCACTCCTAGATCATGAACTCCGTCGCTGCCGTCTATCTCCATCGCGTCTGGCCTCTCCGTCGCTAAATCTGAGTTTTCCGATGAAGTACGACCTCGTACATCTACATCTTCTGCCGCAGGCCATTGAAAAGAACGATCCCGTCGGCCGACCTTGAGAAACACGTCCTCCATGGTGACCATATGAAAGGTTATGTGTGCGATGTTGCCAATGCGACGACTTCGGCGATCAATTTCTCGCAGGAGGTTGCAAAACTGGTCGGTTCTGAGCTTGGAGACCCATGCAGGAGACATGGCCAGTGCGGAGAAAGCCTCGCTGTGGTAGGTCAAAAATGACTTGCTTTCCTCATGATGATCCACAGCGTTGAGCATGTCTTGTTCCGCCGCATAATTTACGATTTCTCTCTCCAGGCACTGCAGCGCACTGGCCTTGTTCGGGTCGACGTCGCATGATGCGTAAGGATTTCCATCCGCATCTTCTTGCACCATCTTCATCTCGCGGTCGCCACTACTTGCACTTCTATCCGAGTCATCTTTATAATTTTCCGTGTCCACGAAAGTCGGAACAAGTTGGTAGCCGGAGTTGACTTGCGCCTTTAAAAACTTCGGACTGCCGAGACACTCGACTTCCCCGTCCTTCAGGATGCAGATCTTGTCCGACAAAAGGTCCGCTTCGTCCATGTGATGGGTGGTCAGCAGAATCGCGGTCCTCCCCAGCCGTTTTCGCCGAAGAATGAAGTCCCACGTCACTCGGCGGTTTAGGGGATCCATACCGGAAGTCGGCTCGTCCAACACCACGAGCTTCGGCTGGCCGCAAAAAGCGACCACGCAGCAGAGCTTCCGCTTCCATCCACCGGAGAGTTGCGAACAAAGTTTGTTTTCATCTTCAAAAGCAAACCCGGCTTCGCTGAGCAGGAACTCAACTTCAGCATTGACATCCTTAATCAGGGGCTGCAAAAACTGCGAACAAGATGAAGCAGACGAGCTTTTACTTCGCGGAAAAATCCTCCAGTTGCGAAGCTCGACACACACAGTCAAGGCCTCGCGGACCGTGAGATTCTCGAACAGAAAGTTTTGCTGCGGGCAAAGCCCAACGAGCTGCTCGTCCGGCTTTAATGCGGCTTCAAGATTTTTTGTCGACCTCGATCCGCAACAGCTTCGGTTCCTGGACATTGCGGTCTTGATTCGAAAATCTTGGAAAAACCGTCTCCCAAAGATGGAGACGCCGCCACTTGTCGGATGCAGCAAGCCGGTCAGAACTTGGATTAGTGTGCTCTTGCCCGCACCATTATGGCCGAGTAGACAAAAGAGCTCGCCCGGTTGAATCGCCAGACTCACCCCGCGCAGGGCCGTTACGTGTTGCGCATCAGAAGTACGAGCTTGATGTGACGCAGCTTCATCAGAGGTACTTGTGCCCCTCACCTTGTTCGTCCTTCTACGTGGCAGACAAGTAGAGCGAAGAAACTTTCTGATGCGGGCGAAACAGGAACTGAAGAGCGATATATCCGCTGGATACGTCACACACAGATCTTGAACCTGTACGCTGCTGCACCCAATGTTGTCCTCTTCCGTACGAGTTAGCTTGTCGTCAAGGTTTTTCCAGTCGTGTTTCTTACGATCCGCGATGGCAGAAGATCGACTGCGATGCTCTAGCATGTCGTCGGCGAGCCGCCACGCGAGCGTCCACAGGAGCACGGAGAGGACTTGCAATAAAAGCATTTCCAGAAGATACGACTTTTCGTGCGGCAGCACCTGCAGGTTCAAATACGTCGACGGTCCCAGCACCATCATCCAGTCGGCCCAAAAAAAGTTGAAGAACGTCGGCACTTGAATCTCTTCACGGTCAACGCGCGGGTCGGGAGGTTGTTTCTTTGAAAACGCCTTCGCCAGTAGGGCAAAGGACGAAGAGGTTTGTGCCATGATGCCGTCAATCTCGCGTTGCTTCGCGCGTCGCACCACACTGGCGAGAAGGCTAAGTTCAACTGGTGGCTCGCTAGCAACAATTTGCGTCACTAGTTGGAAAAAACAAGAGTGGGGCCAAAGCAGCATGCGCAGCCGAAGCGAGTTCTTCCAAGTTTCCAAGCGCCTCCGCACGGCGGGCGTGAAGCTGCTACAACTTCCAGGATCAGAAAGACTAGACACTCCGAGAAGAGATGAGGTAGTGGTGGTGTCAACTGCGCAAGTAGAAGGAGCGCCGCTTGTTCTAGTTGCCCAACGCAGCCACTTTCTCCTCTCCCGCAACTCGCATCGCGCGACGGCACGCTGACTCCGCAGGAAAGCTCGCTTTTCCTGCAACAGCTGCGCTTCTTCCGGGCTGATCTCCTGACTCCCTCCTGCTCCCGGTGGTGGGTCCACGAGCCACGACAGGGCCCACTCCATGTTCTTTCCGAGAAAGCTCCAGGCGAGGTCCCCGATTGAGGGCGCGCGTCGGTCGCGTTCCTCTTGCAAGCGGTCCAGGAACTCGCTGTACAGATCCGGATCGCGCATGTGAAACAGCTCGTGTCGGCGAGGGAAGAGTAGCGGATTGAGATTGTGAGGAACAGAAAGCCGCTGCTCGGAAGATACGGCAGGTTGTGGCGCTGGATGATCATCCTCATCGGCACTAGCCACTGCGCCAAGACGGTTATCAACTCCACTTCCGTCTCCTCGCGCGTGCGTCGTCGAACCGTACCGCCTCTCGCAGAACGCCGAGATTTCCGTTGGGTACATCTCTTCGACGCCGTACTCCTGCACGCTGGCGCCCATCGGACTGCGAAGCTCTCCGTCGAAGGACAAGAAAGCGAAACTGACGAAGAGGATGGTCAGGATCAACAAGCGCGTCGGCCCGACGCGTTTCGGAAAAAAGAGCGTGAACAAGGCCCCGAACACCAACCCGCACTGCAGGATGAAAAGCCCTGTCGCGACCGCCAGCAGAAGTAATCGGGGCGCGGTGTCCTGGGCGAAAAAGGCGAGGTTGCGCCAGTGAAAATGCCGCTCGTAACTCCAGAAGAAAAGGAAATAGCCGTGGTTCTCATCCGTAAAGTCGGAGACGGTGTTTAATCCCTGGTAATTCGCAGAGAAGGCGCTGTCAAATTGTCGCAAATCTTGCAGCCGCACGGCATCTAGTTGCCGTAGCGCGGCATCAGAAAATAGAGTTTGTTCCGAGTTGACCACACGAGGGCCGTCGTGTGTCATCGCTGTGGCTGCTGTTGTATTCCCTGCTCCATTAGCTGCCGCAGCTGCAGCAAGATTCGCTGCTGGTCCTGGTAAAACACCTCCTTGCCCGATCGCCCCTGTCGCCAGTCGGTGTTCCAAGGCTGAGATTTCTTGTTGCAATAAAACGCGCAAACGCGGGGGGTAGCGCAGCTCCCCCGGTTGGTCCACGTAGTTCTGCCAAGGCTGGGGCAGGTAGTTTCCGAGATACAACAGCAAAGGCAAGCCTGCGACGAAGAACAAGTTGCAATACAGACAGTGCGCTAAGGACGACAAGTAGTAGGCCCAGGGCTGGACACCCAGCACGCGCAAGAGGTACATTTTCCCGCCCTGCGCGCTTTCCAGCTGCAGGCGGCGGAAAAAGCGGTAGCCGAGAGCGAAGCCGAGGGTCAGGACGAAGTTCATCAACAGCGTATCGTCGCGGTCTGCGATGTACATGGTCACCATCCGTAACAACAGACACACCCAGTGCCGCCAACTTCCAAACGTGTGCTGGGCCTGCAAATCCAATTGCAGGGCCTGCAGACCGGCCGACTGATTCGGCGTGGCGCTAGTGTCGCTTGTTGCTGGGTTCAGTTTCTGGTTCTGAGCTGCCCCACCAGTCGGACCTCCGGGTGGTCCACCTGGGCTGTTCGACAATGCATTGGGGTCGGTCAGAATGTCGAGTAGCGCTTTCCGCAGTCGTTCGTCGATTTCCTCTTTGGAAACGTCGAGCAAAAATCCCTTCGGCGCGTTTGCCTGAACCCAGGGCAGTCTACGGCCTGAGCCGATGATGACCAGCGCAAGGAATGGTAGCGCCCAGTACAGCACGAATTGGGACCGCCAGAAGTGCGGCGTCACCCGCTTCGACAGGATGCGGTCTTTCTCAAAAAGAATGCGGGTGTGAAGCCAAGTTAGCCTGCATCTACTCGGAAAAAGCAAGCACAGGCATGATAGCTTTGATGGTTGCGCCCTGGAGGTTTTGGAGGTGCGTGCGCACATCGAGGAACGACGTGAAGATTGCGAGGGTGCAGAAAGAGCGCTCTTCATCTTCTCAGCTTCATCTTCTAGATCGTCGTCTATCATCTTCGGTGTCGGCCCTTCCCGTCTGTTTCGTTTTATTTTCAAACACCAGAAGCTCCGCTTAAACCAGCCTAATATGCTGCGCGTTCGAGCATACTTGGCTCATTCAGTTCCAAGTGATCGCGACGAATCAGGACTGGTTCAAACGTGGTCGCGCTCGACCTGCCGTCCGAGGAACAGGAAACGCGTGCACGGTCGAAGAGCGCATGCTGTCCGTACTTAAAGCGCCGATTCGGATACCGCTCCACCAGAACTTCTTCATCGAGTGAGCAGTTGCGTTCGCCTCCTCCTCCAGTGTGCCTTACATCGTGTTGTCGAAGTGTTGTCGCGGGACGAGACTTCTTTGTGGTTAATCCTGCAGCGCAGTTCAGTTTCCGATCTTCATCTAGATCTAGCTCAGCCTCCTCCTCGAGATGAGAGTACTGCTTCGCAGAAAAGCATCGTGCAAAACATCTATTCCACCAGGACCGGGTCTTCCACCAACAGGACCGGGACAAAAACGGAGAAACAACAGGATCACCCTGTTCTTTTCTGTCTTGCATCTTTCCTACGTCCTGCGCGAGAGGCGTCGCTGCAGCTGCTCCGTTCTCAATACTGCAGTGGCGATGTTGGCCCACAACATCGCCGGTTCTTGCATTTCTTGCATCTGCTGCTTGAAGACCATGACATTTTCTCTTTCGTTTCTTCGTCGATTTTGGCTCTTTTGTGTGCTTCTCTTTCCTTTCCTCCCCACTACCACCGTCGCTGCACGACTCCACATCGGGCCGCGATTTTTGAGAAGCAGCTGCTACAGCGTCAGGGTCGGAGCTTTCATAGGTCGCGTCTGTGCACCCGGACGTCACACTGCTACGGTATGTGAGATTGGTCCGAGATGACCGGCGGGAAGAGGGTTGTTCCGGCGACGACCCTTGTCGTGCAAGGTGAAACGAAACACGCCGCGGTTGCAGTTTTTTCTTCCCTACCACGGCTTTTGAAGATGGGATGTTCGGGGTCGTCGCTGTGATTGTTCCGCCAGTCCGTTGTGGAGATGAGTTCATGAAGAAACTTTTGTTCTCAAAATTTCAATTTTTTGACGACCAAATGTAACAAAACACTCGCAGCTGCAGTCGTTTTTAGAGGTTTTGGATCACCGATACCGAGACAAAGCGCAGTTCCATGCCTTCTGACCCAGCTTTGGTGAAAAAGAAAGAAGTTGATCGCAAAAAGAAAAAATGGCGAAAAGCAACAAGGATAATGTATGCTGAAGATCCTTCGCAAACGAGATCACACACGACGCCTTAACAACTGATAAGGACCAATGACAAGAACGAAGTTACACCCAGGCGTCGTTCGGTATCAAAGACACTGCAGCGGAGCACGATTTTTGGAACACATCAGGTCCTGTTAGCCAAAGGCTGTCAACTTCTAATGAGAAGCATTGATTGGAAGTAGATTTCGTGATTATTGAAAAACACCACCCTGCCAATATCGCTTTGTCCTCCGTGCAAGGCAATGAAAATCTGCAATCCTCAACAAGACATCCGGGATTCTTTCTCATTTGCACTGTGGTCAACACGGTTGAGCACAGCGCAAATGGAACTGTCTTTTCGTTTTCAGATTTCAGCTTCTACCTAGTTCTAGTTCTATTCGTCAAATTTTATCCTTAAAACCGGTGCACGAGCGGAGAAATTGAAATTCCATTTTTTTCGCGTGTCGCAGATCCGAGCGGGACGCCACCATCTCTCATCTTTGTGCTCGCGAAAAGGACACGGCGTGATGAAAAAAAAAAGTAAAAGTAGGTGCTGTAGTCCTGCTCCGGCGGGGGTTCCTTCACTACACTTCTCCCTGCTGCCCACTGCCATTTTTCAGTAACTGTTGCCGCAGGACGTCGCGCTTCGCTTTGTCGGCTTGAGTAATTTTCGGTTGCAGCTTTCGTTTCGTGAAAACGACCAAGAAAAGCGGAACGATGGTGCCAACAAACACCTTGGCGGACGGATGGTCTTTCTTGCCGAGCCACGAGCCGGCCAGAGAGAGCGCAAAATTTACGGCGATCACGATGGTCCACAGGCCCTGAATTTTCCACATCGTGCGGTCAAACGACGCTTTTATTTCCGGGCCGTGCTGCAGTATGAGCTCGTACTTCTCCCTCGTCATGAACTCGTACGCGTAAGCCAGCACAAACGGTTTTCCCAAGCAAAACGTCACGCCCGAGGCTAGCAGCAGTGCCACATTCGGGAGGGGCCCGAGAAGCGACTGCGCAACCGACACGGAAATCGTGTGTGTCGCGATGAGAACGATATCAAATGCAAAAATGTCTGGGTCTGGAAGAATGCAAGTTTGTCATGCGTGTCTGGCATGACTCGAGAATCTGTGTTGCATAGGCACGAAAGAGCCCGGTTAACTGTCATGCGAAAAGGCAGTTTGCCATGTGGAATACGTAAGACATGGCAGCCACAAAATTTGTCATGCATAGCTGCGTCTTGCGGCGCCTCTATCATTCACTTTTAGCATTACAAGTTTCCAGACCCAGACACTTTTACATTTGATAAACGACCTTGGAGAGCAATAGGAGCCAGTTAATCACGGTAGGGATTTTCGGCCAGATCGCTGGCAGTTTTTCGACGTGTTTCCGGCGGCGCACAAACACAAAGTCCACGGCTAAGTCGACCGTAGCGAGCGCCAGAAGCACAAAGCCCGTCCCTACGAATTGCTTGTCCGTCAAATCGCAGAAGCTGAGGAAGAAACAAAGCACAAACGGCAGGGCAGTTAGGAGAAGGCGCACCACTTTGGTACACTTAGACGCATTTCGTGCGGAGCCTGGAGGGCCCGAAGCTACGGGTTGCACTACTGCCCGCATGGCTTCTGACCCTGAAGATAAGGACTTTATTTCTGCTTTTCGCTACAGGTCTCTTCTTTACAGGTGTTCTCACGGCTGATGATGATCGACGATGAAAAGACTATTTCGATTTACTTGTTAGCATGTGTTGTATGATCAGGAACCACTGATTTGTGCAGGACCACGCAATCATATTTCAACAATGAACAACTGAGTGGCTGCTCGAGATCATGATGCTCCTGCTTTACGCGTCGTGGCGAAATACTCAAGTAAGGCTCGTCTGGATTGTTCTCGTCAACCACACTTTCGTGTTCGTCGCGTTTGCTTTGCATTTTTTAGCATTTGGCTTTATCTCGCGCTGTAAAACGCACAGCAATGGAATTCCAAGGACAGAAAGAAACCCAATCCATCGCAGCATTGGCTCTACTTATTTGCGCTGGTACACCGAACTAGCACGTCGCTCGCGCATGAAGCTGAGTACTCACGTTCCGAAGAGCCGGTCGAGCGCCCGAGAAACGTCCCCATTGACTTCATTCAGAATCTGCACACATCGCTCCTCATCCTCGAAGCCCATCGCACGAAGCTGTCCTAGTTGCGTGGCGTAGGTTTCCCGCGGATTGGCGACGACCCCGCCGCCGAAGGCTCCGCCTGCTCCTCCGAAGCCACCAGCGCCTCCGCCCCCGAGCAACATTTGCAGCAGCGCGTCCTGCTGGTTGCCGCCCATCGCTCCGCCCCCGGGTGGAGCACCGCCGAACATCGCAGCGAATGGATTCGGCGCGGCCGGGTTCAAGGGCGAGGTACCCGCACCGACTCCCGGAGTCGGGAGCAGTGGAATTTCGCGCTGGCCGGATTCCACGTTCTTCAGAATATACACTGTGTAGGTGGTGGTTGCAGCCGCGTCTGCTGACGGTGCAGCATCCGCCGGCGTCAAGTAATCAGCGACGGTTTTCGCCGCGTCGCTCCAAACCGCCCCGTTTCGTATCAACCGCACGTAAACCCTGCGGAAGTTCACCAGGGGCTCGATCTCGCCCTTCAGGTCGCGAACCGTGGTTGTCTTCTTGCAGATGTGAAAAATGGTGCGCTGCTCGTATTTCAGCTCTAGTTTGAACTCATCGGAAGCTGGATCCCGGGCGGCGGCCGCGGTGCTGCTCGCGGTAGAGGACGTCGCGCCACCCGCCTGTTGCAACCCTGCGAACAGGTTCGCGAAAGGGTTCGCGGCTGCAGCTCCTGTGCCTGGGCTGCCGGCGGCTCCCCCCGCAGCTGCTCCAGGCATAGCTGGTGGAAACCCGCCCATGGGAAAGAACGGGTTTGCGCCTGGGGTAGAAGAAGATCAAAGGCGATTCGATACTTATTCCATCAGTCAGAGTCAAAGCTTTTTGAAATTCTTGCACTCCACTTTCATCTTTGTCCTTCTGTGCGCGCAGAAAGCTATAGCTTTATTTTCAAAGGGCATGAACACGACCTCTTGCGTCCAAAAAATCATACCTCCTGTGGGAGCGGCGCCGCCACCCATCGCCGGAAACCCGCCAAAAGGCATTCCAAGCGCAGGTGCTGCACCGGCACCTAAAAATTTGAGAAGGATTAAAATCAACTCGAAAACGTCAGAGGCAAAACCGTTTGTTCAGCGACGACACGGCACCACGCAAAAAACAACGAGAGAAATTCGCAAAAGTCAACTATACCTGGTGGTCCTGCTCCAGCGGCTCGACTCGTCGGTCCGCCAGCTGCACCCGCGTTGCGCGATTGGTCGAAGGGGTTTGCTAGTGGTGCGGTCGGAATCTCGTCCTGGGAATACCGATTTGGGTTAGTATTCGAGGCGGAGCCGGTTGTGGAGCCGTCTTGTGCGCCCGAGCCACTCATTGAATCATACAGGGGATCGACCATCTCCGTATGTAACCTGTAAAAGCAATTGTACATTCTCGCTAAGTATCAGAGGTGGACTGCTCATGTATGTAATATGCGTGCTTTCGAGAAACCAACTTCGAAGGAGCTCGCTGATGAATGTTGCCTGGGACAATGAACAACAAGAGCATAGTAGACCCCAAGTAGTACCTTCGCAGCGCGTCTTCGCCTCCGGGAATGGTGTTTAGCTGCGCCATGCCGCGGTCCGCCGACCGCATCATCTCCCGCATCAGGGCAGGATTGCGCATGGCACGCATGGACTGCTGCATGGTTTCTGGATCCTCCAGGATCCTCCGGATGTCCGGGTTTTGTTCGCACAGCTGCTGCAACTGTGGTACAATTGGAAGAAGTTCAAACATGATGCAAAAGACTTCATCTGTCTACTACTTAATTGTGCCCGCGTTATCATCTCATTCCTTCCTCGCGCAAGAATTTATCGTGGCCACTAATAGAACAGCAAGCACAAGTGCTACCTGCGGATTCATCTGCAGCATCATTTGCATCATCTCCGGGCTATTCATCATCGCTTCCATCATGGGGGAGTTGTGAAAAGGAAAAAAGCTTGGGCTTGGAGGTATGTATTGTTCCGTGTGGTCCACGCACCAACTAAGTACAACTCCACCTGTGCGCGATGGCAACTCGACTAACCAGTACAACTGTGCGCGTGAAATCATGCACAACTCGACTAATCAGATACGCATACAACATTTGCCGAAAGCGATCTTATATCAGCACCGAACGCCCTCCGAACATGCAACTGTGCGTGACGCATCCACAATATGACCCCCATTTTATTTGTGCGTGCAACCTACAAAGTCTTGAAATAAATAAATTTCACCGAAAGCATTCCGCCAAGTTAATACAATGCAAAACAAATCACCTACAACTACTATTACACCTCCAAGCCCGGTGCGGTAAGATCTCTGCCTCTGCCACTTTCATACTTATTGAGCAGCTGCGCCATCATCTCCTCTTGCGGGTTCGACTGCGGCAGGACTTGCGAAGCGGCGGACGGCGCCGCGGCCTGGCGGTATTCCAGACAGTGGATTGTCGCAGATTCCGACACATTGTAGTGCGCCAACGGATAGTTGTTTTCGAAAACGCGCCCCTCGCAAACCAACCGTATATTCTCGGCCGCTAAACCGACCTGCGTTGCGATATCCTGCTTAAACTCCAGTACTGTGATGGCGCTTGGATCCGCCACCTCTTTTTCGTGCATTTGCACCGCGCCGTTGCGCACCGCCTTGATTTGGAGCTTCATGATGAACTAACACCAGTTTGTTGCCCACTTCTAGGCCAGTTTTGCAGCCAGCCTCTCTCTTTCGTCGGGAAGCAAATCCAGTCGACCTTGTTGCTGATTGATCACGATACGGCTGTTTGGTCGATTCAGGCTATGTGGACAAGTGGGACACCATCGACATGAGTGTTCTAGTTCTACTTCATCTCGCTGCAATCAAGAACATTATAGAACATCGATCATGCGGCAATTTTGTTTCTGGGACAAGTCACATAATTAGTTTTCACCTGAAGCGATGTAGCTATTGGAAGTGCTACTACATGTAAATTGACAAAAAGAAAAACGTGCTACGCCTACGGGAAAGAAAACCTTCATTGACAAAAAACAAACTGTAAATTGACGACTTCGATTCATTCATACATGTCGACAAAGGTTATCTTGAAGTAAAATGCAAGAAAAATTTTGCCTTTTTCACTCGCGGCGTTGGGTCTATCTCGATCAAAAAAACATGGAGTTGCCACGGCCCTTTTGCTTTGCTTGTTTCTCCGCTCGAGTTCTCTTGGTCTTGGCCCTCAGTTCTTTTGCATATCGATATCGTATCTTGGTGTTGAAAAGTAAAAGATGAAGGTTTGCAAATGCAAGCTAATGTGGACGAACACGAGGCTAAAACTCAAAAAAAGAATGGAGGTCCTTTTACAAATGCAGGTGCTTGCAGCAGACCCGTCATTCTTTCTTGCTTGTAGTTCTACTTCATCATACAGCTGCAGATGGCAGAAAAAACTTCTCACTGCTCGACTTAGATTATGCCAAATATAGCCGCCGGGGCGGGGGTAGTGAGGTCGTGGGCGTTTTCTTGCCGGCCGTCGCCTTGGCCGCGGCTTTGCTTTTTCTGGGCTCGCCATACCGCCGTGAGTAACGTTAGGCCGCACGGTATGGCGGCCGCTTGGTAAGCGTCGCAAATTTTGGCAAATTTCCGAAATTCCTTTCCGAAAGCCAGTCCCCATGCTATGGGGCCGATCCGGGCGCCACGGGGGGCGTCCAAAAAGCGACGAAAAATCGGGCCCGTAGCATGCGGATTGGCTCTGCGCGTCTGGCGCGCTTTTTCTTTTTTGCGTCTTTATTTTTCTCGCCGGCGCTTTTTGCAAAGCCTCCCAGGCTCTGAAACCGGCGAAAAGGCGGCCGCTTTCGCGGCCGCCCAAAATGCTCCAAAATCGCGGCCGTGCCATGCTGTTTCGCTGTTCTGATTTTGGGCGAGTTTTTTGCGCGCCCCTTTTTTGGCGGCCCAAACCGCCAGAAATCAAGGCGGCGGGCGCCTCAGAAGGGCGCCCCTTTTGCCGGCTCCCCTGCGTCGTTTTATCAAGTGCGAATCGATAGTTTTCGACCGGGCTTGTTTGACTTCAAAGCCCCGCCCGCTTGATAATTGGAAATTTTTTATGTCAAAAAACGCTTCCGGCCGCTTGAAAACTGACGGCCGTTTTGCTGTCTGGCTGTCAAAAAAACTCCCTGGTTAGAACCGTTCGGTGACCTCACTACATACAAGCGCATTTCGAGATGTCCGTTAAAAATTCCATGCCCCAGGCCCTGGGGCTGCGGAAACTTTGCTTGCTCTTTCCTTGGCCATCTTGAAAGAACCCTTCTGGATGACATTCATCGCATTCAATCTTTCATCAATTATTCGGAGACAACATCCGTGCTGTATTTCAACAACTTGAGCGCAACCATTTTTGTGTTTCTAGGAAAAGGAATACGTGAATCAATAAAGAGAACAACAGGATCCGTGCCCTTCTGTTCCCTCTACTACACGTTGGTGTTCCACGCGATTTCGTACTCAGTGGCGCCTGACTCGACGAGTGCTTTCTTCACCCTTTTGAGCTTGAATTTTTCGCCGACGGCCGTGCCCGCAAACTCCACCATCTGCCACCCGACCTTGATGCCTTGCTCGTCCGCTTGCCCGCCCGGCTCCACCGTTTTCACCGCGAATTCCTTCGTGAAATCCAAGCCGGCGGACCGGCTCTCGCCGCTCTCCGTAAATATCTGCATTTTCGTCCGCACGATGATGGACTCTTTCTTCGCATCTTCGGCGGGGGCAGCAGGTGGTGACACACCACTTTCTGGTGTTTGGAATTCGCTGCCCGTCTGGTGTTTTAGTGGTTGATGTGGAATCGAGTCCTGAAAAGCTTGCATGCTCGTTGCGGATCACGCCCATCTACTTGCTTCTAGAACTTAGTAGTTAAAAGCCGAAACATAAAGCACCTAGCTAAAGCAGACAGTAGAAAGTCAAAGTGCATGGCCATGGTGGTACATCAAACGAGCAACCGCAAAACTTACCTTTGCTGCTGACCCTGGAGTAGCCGGATCCGCAGCAGCTTCCCCCGCAGCGGCGGCTGCCTCGGCAGCGGCCTTTCTTGCCTGCGCTCTTTCTGCTTTTCGTTTGGCTTTTTCCTCCGCGGCCTTTGCAGCGTCTTCCTCGGCCTGCTTCTGTGCGGCCTCCTGCTCCGCCTGCTGCCGCGCCGCTTCCTCCTCCGCCGCCTTCTGCCGCGCAGCGGCCCGCTCCGCCTTCCGCTGCGCCTTTTCCGCCGCGGCCTTCGTAGCTTCCTCGTCGGCGGCCTTGGCGGCTGCAGCCTCCTCTGCGGCTTTCTGCTGCGCTGCTGCTTGTTCCGCCGCTGCTTGTCTGGCCGCCTCTTCTTCGCGCTGCTTCTGTGCCGCCGCCTCGGCAGGGGCCGCTGCGGCCTTTGCAGCAGCAGCTGCAGCCGCCGTGTCGTCTACCCCTTGGTCTACCGCCGGAGCTACTGGCGCCTGGTTCTCTCCCTCGCCCTTCTTCGCTTTCATCAACCCTGTCGCCAGGCCGCCTAGCGCACTTGTACCGCCTTTCTTTTTGCCGACCGGTGTCCCCCGAATCGTCGGCTCGTCTTCCGATTCGCTTGGAACAACGCCGGGCTGCCCAGGTACGTGGTGCCCGTGCGCCTCCGGATTCTGCAGCACGCTCGCTATTGGGGGCTGCGAGTTGTCGGGCGTGGGCGTGAAACTGACCTGGAACCCTCCCAGATTCTCCGTGTGCGCAACGGTTTGCGCCTGCTCCGTATGCTTCCACTTGCTTTCCGCCGCGGCGGCGGCGGCCGCGCGTTGCGGATCATCGCCGCCGGGAGCGGCGTACATATCGAAGATGCTTTGGTGCTTGTGCGCCGCAGCCATTCTTGCTGCCGTGTTAGGGTCCTGCAAGTCTATTATTGCCGGGTAGGTCTTCATCAGGGCTAGCCGACTCTCCTCCATCTTCTTTCTGTGGTATTCCTTCATCTCGGCGTCTGTGGTGGGGCGTTGACAAAGCAGTTATTGCACAATGAATCCGGCCATGAATCGCCCTGCATAAGGATAAGCAAAGCAAAGAAGTACGTAACAGTAACAATGCAACGGAAAACACATCAAGTCTTGCACTCACCGAAATCTGTTGCGTTTTGCAACCGTAGCCGCTTTTGTCGCTTTGCTAGCAGACCCAGAAGGATGAAGAACAGGAGGCCGAACCAGAAAGTGGGCGTGAGTAAGTTGCCGACTTCTCGAAGGTATAGATCCGTTTCCGCTAGTGGACAGAAAACGCAGCCTTTCTCCTTCAGCGGGTAGTAGGGGACCTCGTACGGAACTCCGACGGAGTACACCGTGCGTTGCGCTAACCACTCCAAGCTCTGGTGCATCGCCCAACGAGAGTAGCTCAAGAACTGACACACCGGGTAGTGGTGCTCGTACAGCCCGTACATTTCCTGTTTTGTTGATCATGGTGTCGGTACAACTCAAATTGGATTTCGTACTCGTGGTGAAAAAGGTCAGTAAAACTAAAAACTACTCCTGTACCTGAAAAAAATAGTGCGGGGCGGACGGACAGCTATCGGCGTAGAAGGCCGGCGGTACTACCATGTATCCGCTTCCGTCCGGCTGCAGGCAGTCCGCGTACGAACCGCAACTGTAACCGGATACACCCTTGATTGACTTTACTACGCCGGGCGGAGTGCCTCCTGCATATTGGTCGTTTTCTCCGGCGAGGTACCTTATAGGTGATGTGGTGAAAAAGATGTGACAATGCCTGCGACAGTAAGAGAAGCGCCGCACTGAGAGATCCTTAAAACAGTGGCTCCCACCGAATGCAAATGACTGCATGCATCCGATGATTTTTTGGTAGACCAATAGTACCTTCGCTGCATTCGCGGCAGCGGGTTATGCTGGTCCAGATAGCAGTCACTTCCCCCGGTGATGTCCGCCCACTTGCTACTGGGGTACTCATCCGCCTGCAGACCGTCCCCAACGGCGAAGAACAGTGTGGCCCGCACGTCGGGGATGTAGTTCTTCGCCCAGTGCGCAATGTAGCCTCCTTGGCCGATCCCGTGCACCGCGATGCCCATGCTGCAGTCGACTTGCGGAAGGTCCGCGCATAACACTCCGACCGCCGAGTTCGGTCCTTGGAAAAAATCCGGCGCCCGGTCCTTCAGCGTGCAGAGCCGGTCGTGCCGAAAATACGTCCACCGCCGGTCGTAGTCGATTTCGGCCGCTACGTAGCCGCGCTGCGCCATCTGGAACGCAAATTCCTGCGCGAGGGGCGCCCAGAAATTGTCGCCGGCGGAGGGGATGAGGACGTAGAGGGGGAACCGCGTCCAGTCCGGGGAGGTGTCGGGGACGTAAGCGTTGATCAGGTGGGGAACTCCGGCTTTCGTCTTGTACTCGAGTGATCGGACGGTTGGTGAGACCGTGTAGATTGCCTTCACGAACCCTTTCGATTTTCTACCACTTTCGCTTAGAGTTGAAGTCGAGGAAGAGGAGGATGCCGCCGAGGACCCTGTTATTCTTGATGATGCCCCTTCTTCTAGGAAAGACGCGGCATGATCTTCCCTGGAGCTTTGGACTATTTGCGCTTGGCTGCCGGCTGCCTGTTCCAGGTTGGAGCGAAGCGGTGTCCTCTCTCGACGAAGCTGCGCCCCGGTTGAAGAAGCAGCAGCGATAGGTGCATGGCTGGAACTGCCATCACCGTCATGAATGCCGCGCTCCTCGTCCTCTCGACTTGCGTCCGCAGTGCCAGTGCCGTCGAAACCTACGCCGTTGCTGGGTGCTGGCGCAGTTATTCTACTGTGTTCCTGCAACGCTCCAACCAAAAGCGTCCGCGAACCATCATCGTCCGGGGAAAACAAAGGCCAAACCACCAACGCCCGGACGGTTACCGCCAGGAGTTTGCGAAGATAGACGGCGAGAAGCATGTTAACAAACAGTTTGTGTTCACTTTGATGCGCTTCTGTGCAAACTCTCCATGCTACCGCAAAACGCAATTTTTTGCTATAAGAAACAGAAAGTAGGAACGAATACTGCACCACGAACGAAGTATCGATTTTTACGCTTCACGGATAAACGAAACCGCTCCCGATAATCGTCCATTTTGAATTTTTCACCAGGACAGGCGCTCGAGTTCAAATAATTGTCGTCCACTTCAAATAGATCTCTCTCTTTCTTCTCAGCGATATTGCAGCTGCTCGCTTCGCGCATTTTAGCGCAAACGCCCTCTCAAACTCGAAGTAAAAGTCCTATGTGCCTCTACTATGTACAGTGTTCCAGAGCAATACTGCCTGTCAAGCGCCGCAGGCCATTTTAATGAACGCGCTCTTTTCACGACAACATGGCTTCGCAAGCATGCAAGGATTGAACATTTGGTACTAAACTATGAAGCAGTGGGCACATCCCGTGCTCCTTCAAACTCGTCAATGTCGTATACCTAGAAGAACGTTTTCAGTGCGTTTTTGTAGAAAGCGACTGAGCTTGCGAAAGTTTTGTCGTTAAAGAGCTTCATCTCCGCAGCCATAGCATTGACATCCTCCTGCAAGAGGTGCTTGCAGAGTTCCTGCAGGTTGAAGAAGAATTTCAACCCCGGCCACCGCACGAAGTCGCTGTAATCGAGCCAGTACGCTCGCGAATCCAGACTCGAGAACGCGAATGGCGGGTATGGATGCTCCGATACAAGTTCTTCCTTCTTCCCTAAAAGTCTCGACGACCGCAGCTGGTATGAGTCTTTTGTCGTGCCCAAATTCCCTTCGCTGTGGTAGACCGTTCGATACAGCATTTCCCTGGACGGCAAGAACAGGGGCATGTTCATGCTGTAGAATTCGTAGAAGGACATGAGTGCCGCTTCCCAGGGGATCAACACGATTGCCGTGTAGGACGCCATTTCCAGAAACGTTTTCTTCGAATCTGTGTTCAACACGTCAAACGCAAATGGGAGCTTTCCGAAGTGGATCATGCGCTTCAGCAGACACTCAAACGTCACCCACTGAAACTTTGTCCGAGACACGACACCCACGTAATGGAGCAGCTTGCGCGGCGAGAAGGAAGACTCGACTGTTGCCGCGGTGAAGCCCGCTGGTACGTAGCTGCGCGACGAAGTTGCTGGTGACGACGTTTCTTGATCTCCTCCTCCTGCACCTCCGATCAGCTCCTCTGCCGTCGGCGGGTAGAGGTGTTTTCTCGGCACATAATACGCGTTCATGTACCGGTTGTGGGGTCGGAGAATGCGGAGTGCTTCTGTATCCGTTTTCCCAAACTGGTACCGCAGCTGCTCGAACAAGATTGGGTTATTCGTCACGTGCGTCGTCCCCTCGCGAAGGAAAAGCCTGTGCCCATAATCCCAGAAAACTTCTTGATGTTGCGCGAAGTCGTGAGGGGCCTTCCATAGAGCCGGTAACCCGAGGTAATTGAAACTCAGTGCGTCTTTTGGCAGCAAAGACGCAATGACTTAGAGCTTGGACACCCATTCGAATTCACAGTGGTTATTTTACGGAGATTTTACATCGTCAACTATCAGCGCCTCCCTTTCCAACCATCCCGCTCATGCCTTGACTAGTGACCGCGACAAGCTACCTGCGTTGCTAATCTTTTGGGGCCTGCACGCGCAAACTAGACAGGAAACCACGCACACCATCGGGCTAGAGTTGAAAACGCCCCATATTGTCAGTTTTTCTGTCGCGCGATACCATCGCGATTACGCTGTTACAGAAGGGCGAAAATGGGGCTGACTGCGCGTTTGGTGATTTTACGGGTTATTTTACAAGCCTGCGGCTGGTTATTTTACGAACGAACATCCGCGCAAAAATCTAATCACGGCGGCACAGTCCACATTTTTATAAAATAACCGGCGCGCAAAAAAGCAGCTTTTCATAAAATAACCAAGCAAATTTTCCGCAAAAATCTATGAAGCCAGAAAGTCAGTTCGTCGCGTCCGTTGTGGCCGAAGGCAGAGACTCTCGTCTCTGCCTTCGGACACAAGAAGGACCCACACTGCTAGCAGGGGAAGACGCAACTAAGAAGGGGCCACCAGAAGGGGCCACAAGAAGGAACCGCATTGCAATCAAAATTCTGAACCCGAAATCTGGCTCGTATTTTTCCCCCGCAACGCCGGGGAAATTCTACCAACAATGTAAAATCTCCGCAAAATAACCTGCCTAATTTCTAACGGCCGTCCAAGCTGTAAGCAATGACCGCACAGAGGAAGAACGGCGAGGTGCAGACGAACAGTTTTCTCGAAGGCTGAGCTGTTCCTGTTGACGCACTAGCAGTACTTCCGCCGTGAGCCGAGAGCAAAGATTCGAACACCAGCTTCAATGTTGAGATAGACGACTCCGTCGTGTAGCTCTCGTCGGCTTTGTCGAAAGCACCCAGGATGCCCGCAATCGGGTCCTGGTCGTTGCACAGCAGAGGGTACAGGTGACACTTGTAGGCGATACCGAACACGCCTTGCAAATCGATATCGTACTGGTCGTCTGGGAAAACGTGGTCGGCGATCATTGTGTAGGGCTCCAGCGTCAACGTGGGATGTGTGCCAAATAACATAATTTGAATTGTGATCTTCCCGTTCTCGTTCAAGATAGCTGTACTGCTTGATGACGACGAGGTCGACGTCGTTGCAACACGATGGCCTCCGAATCCGCCCGGCATCATGACCGCCCCTCCACTGGTCGTCCCCGGACCGCCGCCGGAAGCTAGGTGCAGCATCCAGGAACTGACGTCTTTCCGCGAAAAATCCGGTAATTGGTCCCTTTCCTTTGTGTTGTGCCGCTCGCCAATCGTCCAGGAGGTGCTATTCTGCAGGATTGAGAGCAGGTCCGTCGATTTGAAGCGCCAGGTAGACGACTCCACGTAGTCGAGGCACTGCAGGGAGCCAAGAAGTGTCAGACCGTTCTTCGCGTAGTCAGTGTCTCCCGCGAGGCCGAGGACGACCAGCGCATTGAAGATTCCGTAGACGCAGGTGGGCGTCTGGTGCAGTTCCAGGTCGCAGATGTCGTGGAAAAACGCGTCCACGCCTTCGTACAGGCCCATCTGGTCGGACAAGCTGGCCGTCGCTAGTTCGTTGGCCACACGAATGGTCTCGGCGTTCAGGTTGCCCTTGTAGAGCAACTTGTTGAACTGCTGCCACACTTCGTGCTGCGGCGCATTGCACTTATCCACTTCAAAAGTATCGTACTAATTGCTATCGTGGATGACAAATATCCCTTTTTTAGAAAAAATAGCATTACAAGTTTCATTTTTCTTCTGGAAAAAATTTGTGATGCAATTCATACTAGTACGATACTTTTGCAATGCATAGCACTCCAGCTGGTGCAACACGGGGATTTCGTACGTGATTTCCTCCGGTTCTTCTTCCTTGACCGCCGACATGATGTTGTCCTCCACGTGGTGGCTCATGTCAAAACTGTGGGACATGTCCTGTGCGAAGGGCAGATGCGGAAGGGAAATTGTCATCAGAAGGAACGAGGACAGTAGCAGCACACAGGAAGAGACCCGCTCCACGCGAGTAGTACCACCAAAGAGTTCGCTTTTTTGTCCCCTGGAACCACTGCTGCGTAGCAATTGCTTCTGGATCGACAACAAACTTGACGAAGTTGGACGTCTTCTTCTCCCTCTGTGAAAACAATGACTGCATTTTTCTGTCAACTTCGTCCGGCGCATCGATGAGAGTGTTTGACTCACGATGCCCGTCAGTGTCCGAAACCACGAGGACAACATGAAGGCAAATCTAACCCCTCGTGACGGAGAGGAACTACCCAGAGAGTCTTCTATCTTCGTTGCGGAGCCATGCTAGTTTGTTTTGATGTCTGCGTGCTGTCTCATGACAAAAGAGCCAGCAACTCAAGATGAAGATCATCCTCTGTTCGTTGGGAGCAACTAAATACACAACGACCAAAAAAACAGTGACTGTGACAGGATCGGATCTTAATATTTTTGGATTTCTCCTTCCATGAAGATCTGTCATCGACAACTCGTCGGTGTCGCAATCATCCTGTCACAAGAACCTCAGGCTTAAGAACGACATGGATGAAAATGATCAAGAAAAAACACCACCGACACGGAAAGGAGTCAAATGAAGATCTCACACCAACTGCTTTATTGCCGCCGCAACGAAATTTCCTTTAGAACGAGGAGCATCGACATGTTCCTCCCATTCTTAAGCAAAATACAGGGTTTGTAAATTCACCACGTCTTTTACCGGCTTGAGACATATCAGGAAATCAGCATGCTGGGGATTACTTTCTTGTAACTCTTCGGAAACAGGTCCCGCAACGAATGCCGTATCTGTGCCTCAAAGCTAGCCAAGTTACTCTCCGGGACGGGATGGCAGACTTGGGCCCCGTGCGCGGCCTCGTCGCCGGCGGGACTGCAAAGAAAGAGCTCCGTCGCGTGGTCGCAACTGTCGTCGAAGTAATACGGTCCAGTGTGGTCTACCTGGGCCGGCCACCGCTTGATCGGTTTCCCCTGGTTCGGTCCTCGAGGAAACACCGGCAGGATCGGAGTTGCCAGTTTTGCTTCTTTTCTCTTCGCTACCACCTCGTCGTCCGCGCTTTCGCACCAGAATCGATGAAAAACCGGCGGCTTCTTCTCGGCCTGCTCATCTTCTAGCTGAGTGTCCGGATCTTGTTCTGTAGTTTCGTCTTTTTGTTCTTCCTGGGGCACGACCAGCTGCGGCCCACGTGGTTCTGGCCTTTTTATCTGGTGCTTAAAATCATCTTCGACTTCCCGTACCTTTATGTAACCTAACGGACACGTAAAAGTCACGCGCTCCCGGCCTTTCACAAACACGACTCGTTGCACGCTTTCTTCCGTAGTCCCGGGAGGTAACTTTCCCCCGATAATTTTAGGCGCTTGCTTGTCGTGGAGGGCCTTTTTCACTTGCGTGTCCGCGTTGTTGAAGTACAGAACGTGGTCGTGCGTATCAATCAGAAAATTGTCATTTTTAGCATGATCGACCGCCCCTTCCTTTATTTCTGCGAATGCCGTAGTTTTCGCGAGCAGAAGTTCTTTTTTCGGTTGCTGGCAGGAAACGGAACTTGAATCGCCCACCGCCCAGGGCCAGGGCGACTCTTCGGACAAAAGTGAATGAAGCCTCATCTTTGCGGACGATGGATTTTGGATCACAACTAGAACTACTCGCTAGTGATACTGTATTTTTCGGTAAAAGGATTCACACTCGAAACCAAACCACAACGCGAGAGATGAACCTTTCGGTCGATATAACGAAAATTTGTTCGACTTCGACTAGAACATCAAAAACGCACACATTATTTAACGAATCGCGTCGAAGAAGACAAGCGCAAGCCGATATACACGACGAAAAAGTTCGACAACGAGAGCGACAAAGGGAAACCCGCCTGCACGAAAAGACGACAGCAAGAGCGATTTTGTCAGCACGAGAACCCGGCGCTTTATTCGGTCAGCAGATTACACGCAAGTAGTAGCGTCAAAAACAGCCCTTTGGCTTTGGTGACCACTTTTTTTGCTCATATTGATACAGTACATTTTTTTTATCATGTTTTTTGTTGTTGAGAGCTACAGCTACTAGATTGAGATTATTCATTTGGCATATCACAGTGCGTTCATCTTGCTCCTCTCAACCCATGCTCCTCATCTCGCCGAGCTTTGTGTTTCTTAGCTTGTGTTTCGATGAATAGTCTGCTTCATACAATAGGTAAAATCTGATGTCTGTGTGTGATCTCAAGCTCGCTTGCGCATCGACATCGTCCGCCAGAGTAAAAATACTCGTTCGAAAAGGAGGTTGCTCGGTATGGAAAACTGAATAAAACGACAAACCATAAAGGAAACGTACTACCTTTACGACCTGCGCTCCATCGGATTAACAACCTCACGCGACCTTTTGGAGACGAATATTGTTCTCGATAGAAACTGTGTATTGATAAGCCATAAAAAAACGGAATGAATTCTGATGTAGTTTTGCCATAATAATTTCACGTGAATCATGTTGCCGAACGATTCATTTATCGAATGGCAACGACCGGTCTGCTAAAAGAGATTGATAAACGAAACAGGTAGAAATTTTTACAACTTACATTTCAGCCCACCTCAGTGAGTCAGCTGATATGATAATGATTCTGTAAGGGGTTACTATTATAGTAAGCATAAGCTTATCAAACGACAGCTTTTCACATAGCAATTTTAGGGGTTTTTGGTAGAGAGGTCTTCTGTCAAATGCGGGGGAGAATAAATGGTGGCGCACTGTGATCAGGACTGCTCTTTTGTGCTGGGCTCCTGTTCTGGGGGGACGTACTCTGTGTCAGCCACGTAGCCCAACGCGCCGAGAATATTGGACGAAAGCTGGGCTCGCGGGTCCGCCGGGTCTTGTATGCTCATTTCAACCGTCTTGATCTCGTCCATAAGCTTCGCCCGCTCCTCGCGCGTCTCCACCACAAATAGCATAATCTGTTGTGTTTTTTTTCGAAAAACGCATTGAAACTGATCTTGTTCTTCATCTTGATTCGTAACAATGCACTCTAGTTGTACTGAACGGATAAAAAAACACTATCACCATGACAACGAAGAGCAATCGCTTTACCTGTCTAAGCGCTCCCTGCACGACACCCACGAAGGAGAGCATGCCGTCGCTGTTGGTTTTCAGCTCCAGAAACTCTTTTTCTGCGTCGGTGAGTTCAAGGTCCTTTGATCGCTCCTTCTCCTCGGCGTCCATCATTTCGTATTGCAGCTCGTCGATGAATTTCTGTGCGTTCTCCTTGTCCAGCTTCAGTTTGTAGTCCGGATCGTACCTTTTCCAGTTGTCGATCGCGAGATTCACGACTTCGTCCTCGTTCTTCTGTGTGGAATCTTCGAACCCTTCGAGAATGACCGCGACCACCAGGTTGAAGACGACAAAGGTGATCAACATGGTGTAGGTAACCCAGTAAATGTAGCTCATCGCGGGCGCGCCGCACTGGATGGGGTTGTCGATGAGGCATTTGCCGTTCAACAAATCGTATGCGTCCTCCGTGGGCACATCGAAGTCCCCCACGCACGGACTGCCGTCCCACCGTCCAAACTCGTCCGCCGTCCTGCCCAGGTCGTGCATCAACTCGTTCCAGGCCTCACCCGTCATCGCGCGAACGAGCGTCATAAAGGCGCGGTAGAAGGAGCGGAAGTTCCCGCGCTCGTCGTGGGTCGAGCCGAACTGGACTTTTCCAAACATCTGCACCCCCATCACTGCGTAAAGGAACATGAGCAGAAACAGAATGCACGCGACGTTGAAAAGTTTGGGGATGGACAGGAGAAAAGCGTTGAAAATCTTGTTCAAACCTGTAGTGTAATGATGGTTTGAATTTGTATTTGATGAAAACATTGAAACTACTAGGAGATGAGAGTGATCCCATTTAGCAATGCCAAGAACGGCCTGATACAGTCAGAGGCGATGTTTCTCTACTTGCTTCTTCGTCCTGCTTCGTGAAGAATCCATAAAAAGTAAGTCAAGAAACACTACATAAGCAGTGTTCTAACACAGTACCTTTCGCGAACCGCAGCAACCGCAGTAATCTTGCAATCCTGAAGAGCCGGATACTGCTCATTAATGCTCCGACCTTGATCTGGAAGACGAACTCCAGAATGATGCCCAACAGCGTTGCAGACACGCAGCTGAAATCAAACACGTTCCAGCCGTCGGAAAAGTACCAGAGCCTGTAGGCGTAGATCTTCAAAATCGCCTCGACCAGGAACATGGTGGCGAAGATGTAATTTACCACATCCAACGCGATTTCGTAGGCGAGCCAGTCGAAGTCCCCGCCGGAGGGGTCGTCCGGGAAGATCTTCATGGCCATGATCACCGCATTCAACACGATGCAGATCATGATCATGCCCTCGAAGCGATCGTCGTTGACGAAGAAGAACATGTTTCTCCGGTCCTTGTCGTAGTACTCCAGGTTTTTCAAGGACAAAAACATCCTCCGGGTCGCCAAGTTCTTCTGACTGTTGATCCACTTCTGCTGTGCCGGGGTCACGAGCAGGCTGGTGCCCGGGTTCACCTGGGCCTTCTTCATTTCGGCAAAGTTGTCCACGATCACACCCACACACAGGTTCAGAATCAGGAAACAACCGACCAACATGAAGAAGACGAAGAACAGACCTGTGGTAGAAGAGAATTGTTACGGTAGATGTAGAACTAGAAGTAGCAACTCCATATTATCTACTGTTGCCATGCGATCGCTAGAGCGACACCAAAATTTTGCATACCCCATGATCAAAATGAAAATGACTGAAAAAGAAACAAAAAGTATCTAATACTCCATATTTCCACTGCGTCTCGCTCCGGTTCTCGGTGAATTCCCCGTGCATCTACTGCAGCGTACATGACGTCAACCCATCCTTCTGTTGTACTGATCTCGAGCAAGGTAATCATGGCGAAGCCAATGTTGTCGAAGCTCTGTGATATGCTGGGAATCCACTTGTATTCCGCACCCGCTTGCGTGGACCCTTCCTCGATACAGAGGGCTGCATCTTCCGTCATGGCCTCGCAGTTGTCCTCGCAGGAGCAGGCTGCAGCGCACTCCGCGCGGCACGTTACGCACTCGGGGCTGCTGGAGTCGTAGGGATCGGTGCAACTGTCTGCGCAGCTCCCAATCAGCTTCACATCCTCACAAAAATCGATGCACTGCTGCGAAATACTTGTGTCCGGGCAGTATCTGAAAGTTCGTTTCAAATTCATCAATTTTTTGGAAATGCGTAAGTGTAGGATAAAATGACAATCTTCAAACAACCTGATTGCGATCACAAACCACGTTTTTCACCCAAGACCTCCTCGCTAGTTTTATTCCGACAAGAAGTTTATTGCTCTTGGGACGGGATGCGAAGATTTACTTCTCAGGTTTAATATTTCTACTGCGCGTGGTTGAATAAAGCAGAAGAATCTTTTACCTGTCTTTGCACTTGGTGCACTGCATGAGATTGTACTCCAGTGCTGACCTCCAGGAGTTTGGCATGGGGTGCGTCGCGTCAAACTCCGGCTTCACAATCGGCGCCGCGGCGGTAGAGCCGACCCCCGGAATGTTACACCTGTTGGGCAAGTCGCTGGTTGTCACGCCGTTCTCCTCCTTCGTCGGCTTGACCAGTGCTGGGTAGTTTCCGCAGACGCCATCTCCCGTCTCATCCAAAGGGCATTTCGCGATGCAGATGGGGTGGTCCGGTCGCATGCGCTTGTAGGCGGGACTTCCCGTTGGGCAGGTTCCGCCGAGCTGGCCAGCTGAGCCAGCTTTTATGAGTCGAACGCCCTGGGAGCATTGCTCTGCCGTGCTGCAATCGTATTCGCACATCTGGGCCGTTGGCACGTGACCTCCGGCCTCGTAGACGTCTCTACGCGCGTCGAGGACGTTGAAGCTGTAGTAGCGATGATTTGGCGAAGTTTGATTATCTGCTCTTGATGTCGCATTGGTGTTGCGTTGGGCTTAAGGTTTGTCAAAACATCACATCCACTTTCAGTCTCATTTTTATCAAAGAAATCATGAAAATGTGTCAGAGCAAGTGAATAAACTTAAAGTTCTATACTCGCCACTCGCCAGGGACGTTCCGGTGCACATGGAGAAGGCGCCCTTCAAGTAGTTCAACGCCACGAGACCGACGATCAGGAAGAACAGCATCATGAGCACCATCAAGGTTCGGAGCTGTGGCAAGGAGGCGAAGATCGTGTTCACCACGAGCTTCAAATTCGGGTTTCGCGCGATCACGCGTAGGGGACGGAGGGCGCGGAGAATACGTAGGGTTTTCAGAAACGAGATGTCCCCGCCGGCGCCGCTCCCCGCCCCGGTCTCGGCGATGATCCAGAAGATCAAATCGATTACGGACACCCACACCACTGCACCATCGAGGATGTTCCAGCCGTTGCTCCAATAATTTCGCACGCCCATGGCCACGTGCTTCATGGTCATTTCCGCGAAGAAGATCACGGTAAAGTAGACATTGAGGTAGGTGAGTCCGAGCTGCATGGGGTGGTCAGGGTAGAGCACTGGGTCGTCGAAAGCCATGCAGAGGGAGGACACAATGATCATGACGAGAATGAAGTTTTCGAACCAGTTGTGCTGGCAAATCAAGATGCAGTTCCTAACAAACGCGCCGGTGTTCGGGGTAATGTCCTTGTAGACACCCTTACCACGGTCGACTTGTCGTCTGCCTTTACCTCGTCTCTTGATTGGACGGCCCTGTGTGGTGGATTTAGCTTTAGATAGACTTTGATTCTAATTTTGAAACAAATGGAATCAAACTGCAAACGTATCTCCGCCTCGTCTCAACGTCTGGCACTAAGTATGCAAAATCGCCCCCCGCACGAGGCGTAGCTGGACAGCAGCATCCGCAGAGAGACATCAGACATTATCAGACTAAGATCGCACAAGATACCTGTGAGTCGACGCCACTGGTAACGCCCGAGAAGGGTGATAGCCCCTCGGGCTGGGCAGCGTTTTCGGCACCAGCGTCGGGAGTTGCTGTGTCGGCCGGCTTCTCGTTGTCCGTAGGAGAACCTCCTTTGTTCATGTAGACCGTGTCCACTTTCGTAATGCCCCGCTTTTTCTCGCCTCGCTCGATGTACGCCCCGACGAAGCCGCCGATCTTTTCATTGCTCTTGCTATTCGTCTCCATTTCGTCGCCCTCGACGATGCTGCCGCCACCCGGGGATTGTGGTCGGTCGTCGTTTACGTCGCCGTTTTCGCCTTCGCCGTTTTCCCCCTCTTCCTCGTCCTCCAGGTAGGCGTCGCCAAGCAGTTCCCGCTCCCGTCGGGCGTCCTCAGCTTCCCTGATCGCGTCAGACGCGTCTTGAAAATTCGCCATCAAGATCGCCAAAAACAGGTTGAAAATGATGCACATACCCAGAACCACCATCGCGAAGAAAAAGAGGAAGTAGGCAAACCTGAGAGGTTGAGTCAGTTTTAATGATTCGAGATTCTTTTATCCACAGCGCTAGCGATTGTGTCCATGCAATTGCATCATGACAGCAAGCAAAAACAACGCGACCCCATGAAGACATCGGCATCTACCACAAGCACAACCTCAAGTATCAAACAAAACGAAAAATGGTACCCGGCTCCGCGCATGCCGTCGTACATCACTGCGTTCCAGTTCTCACCGGTGAGGCATTGGAAAACGGTTACGATGGACCACAGGAAGTAGTCGAAGTGCGCTCTTCTGACACAACTGAAATCTGCGTCGCCCTTACCACCGGGGCAGGGCTTGTCCTCGGCGACCGGTTCGTCGGTGTCTGGGTCGAACTTGAACTTGTTCGCGAAAATCAAGCTGCCCATCAGGGCGAAGACGAACATCATCAGGACCAGCAGGATCGTGAAGTTGCCCATCGACATCACTGTGTGAATCACCGCTTGCAGCAACAAGCGGAAAGACGACCACTTCTTCGCCAACTTGATGATACGCAGCAATCGCAACGACTTCAGCGCACCGCCACCCTGGGCGCCGCCGGAAAGCTTCTCCGCGAGCTCGATCAGAGAGACCACGACGATGACACCATCGAGGAGGTGCCACCTCTCCTTCAGGTAGTTCCAGGGACCGATCGCGAGCAGGACGATGCACATCTCAATCCCGAAGATAATAGAGAAGACCGTGTCCATTATGTCCAGCACGCCGTCTGATGTGAGTTGAGTTGTAGTGTTTCATCAAGCGATTTCTTTGCTGAACAATCTGGAACAAGTACATGAGTCTGTATTTGGAACAGTACTCACTATGTATGTCCTCATTGTAATTGTAAATGGTTGACGCGTCCCCATGAAGATAATGTGAAAGAATAAGAAAAGTAATCTTGATGAAGCAGAAGCAAAAAAATCTGTACTCAGTGGTGGTTTTATCGGCGGATAGCTGTCCATCATCATGATGATGATGTTCAGGATGATACAGGCCATGATAAAGTTCTGGAACTGCCAAGTCGACGCCAGATCGAAGAAGAACTGCGACTTCTTTTCGTCCTCGTAAATCAGCAGCGCGCTGCTCCTTATTCGTCTCTTCTGCCGCGCCGGTCTTTCCCCCGTATTCGGGTCGACGGCCTGGTCTTCGGGGGCAACCTTCCCATCCGCAGCAGTGGCGGCGGCGGCAGAGTCTTCGCCACCCTGGTCATCCTCGTCGTTACCGAGCGCCGCTTCCATCTGCTCATCCAGATCGTCGTCTAGCTGGGCTTCGCTACTGAGTTCCTGGAACGCGTCCCACACGACGGCAAGAGCGACGTTGAGCAGGAAAAAGGAACCGGTGATCTGGGGTTGTGTTTTGTTTAACGGGTTGGTTCTTGTCTGAATATCAAACTTTCGAACTATGTATCGTGCTTGGGACCAATCTTCTGAATAGAAATTCAACAAACGATGAAAACACCGAACTGAACTAGTACATCAGAAAGACTCTTGCAGCTAACGATTCAACATGAATTCGTGTACAACAGCTTACCACAAGGAACAGGAAGTAGATGAAGGCGAAGTCGTTGCTGTGTGCGTCCTGGCCCATGTACATGATGTCTGTCCACCCTTCCAGCGTGATGCACTGGAATATGACGATCACGGAGTTCAGAAAGTTGTTGAAGTTCGTGATGCCGTAGCCGAAATTGCCGTCGTTGGACTTTTTGTAGTCGTCCGACTCGAGAAGGGAGTTCTGGCACCACTTCCCGAATTTTGCGGCGTCGTACTTGTCCTTAAAGGTCTTTTGGATGCCCTGTTTTGTGATGACCGAGCCAGGGTATGATGGCTGAAAATCCTCCTCCAAGTCGAATACGGAGCTCGACCCGCAAACCTTCTCGCCGAAGTAGCTGTAGTACACCGTGTCTTCGCACATGTACCGGCCCCCGCAGGGTCGGCCCAGCGGGCCGTCGTCGTTCGTGGCTAATGGCCACTTCCAACGCCCCGGCTCATTGGTAGGGTCGTCGAAGGGGCAACCGGCTTCGGGCTGCGTTATCCAGACTACGTCCGCGGCGGTACGGCAGCGCCGTTCAAACACGCCCATCCACAGATTGAGTCCGAGGATACCTGGATTGTTGTAAATGGGGAGATCGTGATGTGTTCCATGACTACAACATCAGGCAATAGTTTTCGTTTTGCTCTTTTCATAATTTTTATGTTTTCTGTTGTGCACAGTATCGGATAAAGAAAAAGTTAAAGTGACATAAAGAAAAACCGTAAGTACCAAATATGACGAGCAGGAAGAGCGTCATGGAGAGCACGGATCCGAGCCTGGGAATCGACTGCAGCACTGTGTTCACTAGCACTTTGAGTTCTGGCAACGTGGTCAGCGATCGCAGCGGACGCATCACGCGAAACACGCGGAGCATCTTGATGGTTGAACCCGCGTTCGACTCTCCATCATCGCCTCCCGTGGTTTCGAGCACGAAGGTGATGATACCTGAAAGTTTAGTTTTCAGTGAGCGTGACTGAGGGTCCTGACGCTGACAGATAGTGACGATACAAATCATCCACAGATAGCACGGCTAACTCTTTTTTGGATTGCGAGGTCCAAAATATTGACACGATCTTCGGGACCTCCGGAACGAACCGGACGATCGACGCGCCACTGCTAAAAACAGGCTGTCTGCACCACTGAAGAAGATAGACGACAACAACTACAAATGATCGTGCAATAACGCACTATACCTGTCAAAACGACAATGAAATCGAGCCAGTTCCAACTGTCCCTGAGGTAGGTCTTCTTCCCCTGAATAAGCCCGTAAGAGATGATTTTCAGCCCGCATTCCAGAATGAAGATGCACAAGAAGACCGGATCGGCGATGTCAATCAACTTGTTCAAACTGTCCTCGTCCCGCCCGCAGCCGTAGGTCGTTGGGTCCTTGACGCATTCCTTATGACTCATCGGCTTGTTGTGCACTTCTCGGTGTCTGTAGGCGGCCATTGCCGCGGAGTTGAGGAGAATTAAGGCGAGAATGACTTTGTCAAAAATCGGCGTCTCCACGGTGTACAGACACCTTTGGCGAAAGCTCCCCTGGAGGTGAAACACGTTCAAACTCCACTCGATGAGGTCGTCTCCGTACTTCTTTTTCCGCGTGAAGTTCATGGCTATCGACTTCCTGCTCGATTCCGCGAAACTCCGCATCTGGTCGCTCGCCGCAGAGGACACGCTCTTTCTTCTGGGAGGTATACTCGGGGAGTCGCCGCCTACCCCGTCCGGGGAAAGAGGCGGCGGCTTTGGACTTTCGTCCGCATTCTCGATGGACGGGGAGGGAAGGGTGAGCTCCACCTCCTCCGCATACGAATTTATCGGGTTGCCGAGGGCGTCATCCTGTACCTGTGGGAGTTTTTTGACGACGGAGGTTCAACAAGACACGATTTCCTGCGACGTTTTATCGTACTAATAAACCATTCAGTCACATATCTATCTGGTGGAACTTGCTAGTCTAGTGCTACTACTAGCTACACGCGAGGACAGAAAAAATATGCATCCAAACAGCTGGACGCGTACGCAGAAAGTAGATTAAGATTTACGTAAAAATAGGTTCAATTACCTCTTCCTCCTCTTCCGCCGCAGTGTGCACGCCTTCGCGAAGCAGCTGCATCCTTATTCTGTTTCTTGATCTCTTTTTCCGCCCTGCTGCAAACTCCTCCTCGTCTCCTGAGGAAGACACTTCGCGATCCACTTCTTGTGTGCCAGCGCCTCGCTCACTTCTAGTAAGCGCAGCAGCGGCATCTTCGCCGTCAACTACAAGCTGTCCTCGTGCTCTCCAGTTACTGGAAGACGAGGATGCGGACGGACTCGTGCCCGTTCTTAACACCGCCGGAGCAAATGGATGCTCCTGCTGCAGCTCCGATGATCTACTAGAAGACGACGAGCCGGCGCTGTCATCTTGATGCCCCTCCTCTGTTGCCGGGCGGCCGTTGCGTGAACTACTTGACGACGGAAGATCGGTCATCGGAATTGACTCATGGTGTTTTCCAGCTCTGAAGGTTGATGGTGGCGTTGCATTGCGGAACAAGAACTGGGCAGTAATTTATTCCAGCCGGGGAAAGTGGCGGAAGTTATTTGCGAGGCCGTGAGGCTGGTGCCGTCGATCTTGTTGGGATGATATTGAAGCAGTGGTCCGATAGTAATGTTAATTGCTAGGCTGCGGTTGGTATTTCAAAAAATCTCCGCCGTCAGGTCGTGGGGGTCGCAGACTGTCTGATGTAGTTCTTCGTGCCGGGACGAGCGGAAACGGGGGTTCTTGTCCGCGACTACTTGTGTATCAAATCGTCGTAGCAAAAAAAAGTTCGTAAAAAAACACTACTCAGAATCCACTTCACCAACATCTTGCCCGCCTATGAGTATTTGTTGTTGTTCCAGGACCAGATTGATGGTGTTCAGTTGCACTTGCACCTACTGTGCCAAAGAAAGTTGAGTGTGTACTGTAGAGGGGAAGGAGGAATAGAGTTGGGTAATTTGTCCTGGATGCAAGGAGATTGAAATGAAGTCACAGCGAGCGTAGAAGCAGTGCCCGGAACGAATAGCTTCGAATGCTTCTACGAACGAGCAACGATAGTGCGGGTACTCGACATCAAGACTCGTGGTCTCTCGATGACTTTTTCTTTTGGCTCGGGACGAACGAGGAATCCGAGTCACAATGTGAACGCATAGCCTTTTTTTTCTCTCACGAGCTGTTCCACGTTTCGAATTCGAATCCAAATTGCACGAATGGCCACCGACCCAATTACGACCGAAATATTGTTCTATTTCATCGAGGACAGAGAGTTGTAACGTGTTTATTTCATCGAGGACGATTTTGTATTGTATTTGATCCGCTCTTGTTTCAAACAGATGCGGCGCCCGCTCTTTAGCCCTGCTATACTTGCAGCAACCCGCCGGACAGCGAGGCTGTGGAGGCCCGGCGAAGCGTAACCCTCCTACGCAGTCGCCACATCAAGTGGCGAGAGCTGGAGGAGAACAGCGCGCTGGAGGTTTGTGGCCTTGGCAGACCGGCTCTTGCGCTCGTTCCGTATAGTAGCACCAATCAGAGGGCGCACACCAGGTGGGCAACACAGATTGATTATACTACGGCGAAAGGATCCCGATTCGCGCTACCTGGGCGCGTCCTTTAATTGTCGTCTGACTCTAGGCCGGGCACTATCTGCGCGGGAAGGGCGCGGCCCTTCTCCGCCATGGGCGGCGCGCGGGTGCAGACAGTTTGCCCGCCAACGGCGCAACCGCAAGGGGCGCAGAGCCCTGCTGTGCGCCCTTCGTCAAGAAGAGCGGCGCCGGCCCCGCCAGGGGGCTGGGGGTGCCCGCCAATGCTTTCCCGAATAGCGCAGGCCCCACCGCTTCCTTCCATCCCCGGGAAGTGCCGCAAGCTGCTGCGCGCGCCGAGAGGGGCACACCATGCCGGGCCTCTTTGCACACGACGCGGCAACACACCCGAGGGCCTTCCTCGGAGTGGTCGGGCAGGGTGTGGCGCTAGGCTGTTCAGGTTAAGCCGGCCGAAGCCCCACCACCATCTCACCCAAAAGAGACGGCGAGGCGCCTCGCCTGCTCACCAGGAGCCTGCAAGGCTCGCCCGCTTCCAGAGCGGGGCTCTTCTTCAAGAAGAGAACACCCACCAGGGGTAGGGGGATCGCGCGCAGGATTGCGGGCGCCGCCCTTCTTCACTCGCCAGGAGCAGCGGCGCATTGCCGCTTAGTTTGCGCGATTCGATGCGTCTACTTCTAGTAGCGCATCTGGGCACAAGGCCCCTGTCACGACTTCCCTTCCCACCAGGGGCGGGCAGTTGTAACGTGTTTATTTCATCGAGGACGGTTAACGAACTGCTTTTGCACCAGGCGTATGTAGTACGAATAGTAGCTATTAAGGTGGAAAAACCGATGGTGATAGACCGACTCAAGTGATGCACACGTTGAGGTTGCACGGAGTAGATAAGCTTCTCATCTATTGGGTCTTGTATTAGCAGCTCTCCCACCAGATGCTGTAAGCGCTGCGAAACGAAAAATACTGGTACGAATACATCGTCCCCTTTATCATCATCAACATTCTCATCAAGAACTCTAAAAACCTCCACAAAGAGCGAAACATCGTATTCATTTTTGTCCTTATCTTCTTGAAGCACATTATACTAGGTTCTTGCACTGAAAGATGAAAGGTAAAATCAGATAAAAAAGAACTACTCTACGGCACGGTAAAGTAATCGACTACATTTGGAGTTGAAATTCATTAGCGATTCCAAAGCTCTGGAAATTCATCTGTGAGGCAGTTGAAACACATAAAACAAAAAGCAAAGTTTTAGTAATACTCTCGCGTATCAACTGAAACGGTAACTGACCAAACCAACAGCTCAACGCTCGACATACCTCCGGTATGCGAGTTGTATCCATCATTTCCCCGATACAAAATGATACAGTATAGATACACAACAAAAGAAGCTCGTTGTCGAGATCTCCTTGTAGAAAGGTAAAACTCAAACTGGTTGCTGTCAGCAGTTGCTAGCAGCTATAAAAGTTCATTCGAAACGGAAACGAGAGTTCCGGTTCGCGTTGTTCTGTCAAAGGACAACAAAGAATTGCATTTTCTGAAACACTTGTAACACTATCGTATGAAAGAAAGAGCTGAAACAAGACTGAGTGGACAAAAGCACAAAAAGTAAAAAAGTTCAAGTTCATTACTACCGCTTAGACTACTAGTAAAAGCGGTGGCAGTATTGCAAACAGCTCCTACTGAAGCCAATCTTCATGTCTGTCGAGAATAAAGCATATTAGGCGCAGTTCAAGTTGTAAAAAGATTTTATTCTCGATCTTGATATCTGTCATTAGATCTTGTGAAACACCTTATTTCTTTAATCAAACAAAACTTCAATTCAGGCTTACTACTCCTGCTCGGCCGGTGGCTCAGCGTTGTTACCTGTTGCTGGCACTGGCGGGGCGGTATGCTCGCCGCCAAAACCAACAGCTATAACACGATCAGCGCGCTCGAGCACATAGTCCAGATGCGGCATCGCCTTCGCAAGCAACGGTAGCTCTTCCCTATGTGACCCACTCGAACCGTTGCCCAGCATGTCTTCGTCATCTTGTTCCTGGTGGTGGTTTAGAGTTCAATTTCTTTCTTGTGGTAATTAAGCAGCATCTCTGTTTGTATTTGTAATTCAGATGTTCTAAACAAGCAACATGAGGAAACCGTACCTCCTCAATGATATCCATCGGCTGCGCGCCGCAGTTCAGCTCCTGCGTCGAATTGTATGCGATAGAGCTCGCCCCTGACATGCGCACAGCTTCGATGCTGTTGTTGGCGTTCGTGACGCTTCCCCACAAATCTTCCCCGGGTGCGCAACAGTCAGCATTATTTGAAGTAGACGTGGCAGCTGTATTAGGAGGGAACAGTGGTGGCGGAGGTAAGGTTCCGGCAGCTGTGCCAGTGACCGTTGTAGTAATGCTGGAAGATAATTGCGGAGCCGCTGATGTCGCATTTGCCGCGATACCAGCACCTCCTCCCAACGCAGGTGCAGCAGACGCACTGCTAGTACCGTTCGCGGGCACCACCGTGACCGATCCCGTTAGTGGATCTACGACTTCCTGCGGCGCTGGGCAGCCAAACTCGGCACGGCAATTCGCGTCGGGCGTGAGCATGGCGTGTCCGCGCAGCCACCAGACCCCGATGGTGTTGTGCTGCAACTTGTCTGGGAGTAGTTTCAGAGCCAGTTCCGAGGTGACGTCCAACAACGCCGATGCGTTGCAGCGCACGCTGAGGTCGAGGAATACGTCCACGTTGCCAGCATGTAAATGGTCAAACAGAAACATTTCGCAGTCGCGCAGCAAAATTGCCTGGCAAAACCGGTCCGCGAGCTGCAAAAGCTCAGAGGCAACTTCCACGGAACTGATCAACTCCGTGTCGAAGCTGTACACGTAGCGAATCCACGTCTGCATCAGGCTGGCCGGGATATCGGGGAAAGTAACCTCCATCGACTCGCGAAACTGGCTGTTCGTGCGCTGCAGGCCCTCTGCCGGCGTGGAGTAGCTGGGGGGTGGTCATAATTTTTTAGAAGTTTGATATTGAAGACAGGAGGGATTTTGTTGAAGAAGGTTACTAGGGTTACGTACAGATTGTATGTAGCAAGCTCGATCCATTTCTCACGTCCTTTCTTTTGACGAGAGGACATCAACATCATGCGAGTAAAAACGGGTAGGAAAATTGAAACGGTTTGTCAAACATCGCCTACCTGGGTGTCGGACCAAAGAGTCCTCGAAAATACGGAACGTAGGCGTACAGAACACACCGGTGCACGCGAAATTCTTGGCGCTCTTCTCCCGCGATGATGGAGAAGTCCGCCCAGCATCCGTCCTCAAATAACTTCGCAAGCATTGGGTCGGGCTTCGCAAGCCCATGCGGCTTTCGCTCCGGGGGCAGGACCTTCACCTGTGTTTCCATCAATGAACAAATCTTTAGTCGGGACACGACGCTACGAATTTTATCATTTCTCGTTTTCCATTACCGTAACTATTTGGAAGCGTTATCGAACAAATACACCAACCAGCCTAAGTACTAATCTTTAGAGCAAAATCGTTCTACCTGTCCCTTTCCCGGCCTGGACTGATGCAACGTGACTGGCAGTAGCATCGCGTTTCGCAAATACTCCACCAGCAAAGCGGCCGCAAAGTGCGCCACGCGCTGGCCCAACTTGGTTCCTAGACTCTTGACAAACGAAGCTTTGCTCTCGTACCCTTCCCGGATCACATTCACGATCACAGAGAGCAGTTTGAGCGAGTGCGCGTCCGGAATCAGCGTCCCCTTAGTGACCGTGCCGCCCTGTTCGGTGCACACATTGCCGAGGCATTCGACAATGAGCATCCAAGAACTGGCAATGTGCGTGCATTCCTGCGGTGACAAAGGCGTGGACGGCTGCGACTTGCTTTTCGTGGTCGCTGACATCGGACTGGTCAACGTTCTCGCTCCAGTCATTTTTCCACCGGCAGAGCAGCTCTTTTGCAAAAATGTTTCACCGGAGTCTCCGACCGTGCGGGATACCACTTCCACACTTGGCGCTCGCTTGTGAGACCACCAGGGAGAGCGCTTCGGGGACAAGTCCGCCGCATCGTCCACATGTTGATCCTGAGTCGTCGAGGAGGTGCCTCCGACTTGCACCAACCTTTCGTCGTCGAAAAGCCTGGGCTGACTCGCGGTGCTGCCTGGCTCAAACAGAAGGGACGAGCCACATGTTGACGAACAATCTCCTGTGGTCGTTGTTGAATCTGTAACCACCAGCGAAGAGCTCGCACTAGTTGGCGCTGTCTCCGCTCCCGCTCTGGTGGTACTAGCGGTCCACCGCTTGACGGGTGATTGAGCACTGCAGCCGTGCTTTTTTCGGAAAGCTCCGGTGGCAAAGTCCATCAGCAACGCCAACGTCTCAAACAAGTTGTCGCAGATTTGCCCTTTCTCTTTGATGGCACGGCAAAAGGGACTGGTCAAATTCGGTCGATCGGCGTAGATCAATCGTGGACAACTCAAGAACGCTGCCAGCTGGCTGCACTGCATGATCAAACTAAGGTTGAGGGCGACTGGAGTTGCGTTCTTTGGCAGTGTGTCTCCTCCATTTGCGAAGTTTGCAGTTGGCTGCGGTGACAGAGGATTGGAGTTCCCTGTGTCGTGCTTCATCATACCTTCACAAGTGCCGGCGGACAAAGTACTTGCCGTTGTAATCGGAAAAGTGCAACCGCGTGCTGCTCGGGCTAAGATCATGGAGACTGCTGCAAAAGTTCCGGCAGTTAAAGTTTGTGCAAAGAGGCCCGGCGTGGGTCTGAGTGGCGTTAACGTTTGTTCCACATCCTGCTCTCCATTAGGCTGTTCGTGGTGCGGAAAAATTGGCGGAAGCGGCGCGCCGTACAAATTTCTGCGTGCCCGCATTGCAGCAGGCCCGACAACGTTTCCACCCGCCGCTGCACCAGGAGCCCCCGGCGGAGGAGGCATCGCGAGACCCAGCTCTTGCAGCATCTGCTGGTGTTCAGCGAGTGCCGTGGGGTCGAACTCCCGGAGCCCGGCCTCGCCCGGTGCCGGCCAAGGCGGCGGCAGCGCGGGCCACAACAGGTTTGCGAACATCGGAGCCAAAGGCGGCGCGCCGGGTACAGCGTTCGCTCCGGGCCCGACGCCTGGGGGCATCATCGGCGCAGCTCCACCACCCAGCGGTCCAGCAGGCGGCGCTGGGTTATTTCCAAGCTGGTCAGCATTCACGCCCGCAATATTCTGTAGTGGTCCACCAACCTGCTGATGCAGCTCGCGTTGCTGCTCCTCTGGGCTACCCCCGCCATCAGCGTCGTGACGCGCAAGCCGACGTGGGTTGTTCCGCGGTATCGCGAGAAGAGGGTCTCGCTGTCCTGGTCTTAACCATGCACGATTTCGGTTGTCCACAACCTGCTGCTGCGCCGCGAGCTGGCCGTACGTGGGGCCGTTGGTTAGCCAGTGCGGCACACCCGCGAGCACGTTCGCCGGATCCGCGGATGCTGCGCCAGGTGCTGGCATCGAGCCTGCTGCAGTGTGACCTCCCGCGCTCGAGTTGTTCTCTGTGTTCTGTCCATCTCGTAGTTGACCGCCCGAAGGACCTCCTCCTGCTCCTGCTGGAATGTTGTAGTAGTGGTTGTCAAACATAACACTCCCCGCGCCGATAGCGGGCACGCCGCCCCGCTCTTGCCGGGTGCGTTCTATTTCCTGGAAGTGCTGCTCGAGCAGATTCAGTTCGCGATGAACGAGAGAAGTGCTGGAGGACGAAGCGCCGGCGCCAGCAACTGCCGCAGGCTGCTCTTGTGCTGCTCCATTACTGATGCTCACGACCTGCTGCCCATGACGAGTTGCACCAGAATGAGGTTCGGAAGCTACGTCGTCACCATGGGGGATTTGCCGCGCCGTCGGTGCCTGCGGTGTGTCAATTCGAGCTTGCCCTTGTGTTCGTGCCGCCGCATCTTCCTGTTGATCGAAAGCCGTGTTGTTGTACAGGTTCGCGCTGGCCGCCGCCGCGGCAATGAGTCCGTTCGCATGCTGCAGTGCCTCCTGCACGGACAGCGTCGGTCCCAGCAACCTCAATCTCGCGTCTTCCGTAGGCGAAGAGTTCACGCGCACCTGCCCCGTGGAATTTGCCGGAACGGAAATCCGTGCGGTGCCACTGCTCGAGGAAGACGAGGATGGGAAGGCTGAAGAAGATTGTTGCGCCGGTTGCTGGAAAACACAGTTTTGCAAATCGAGCGACCACGGGGGGGAGGACTGTTGTGGCAATAGAGCGGATTGCAGCTCCGAAGATGCCTGCTCAGTTGTAACATCCGATCGCGGTCTCGTCGCTCCAGCCTGTGTAATACTAGGCACATTGTGAGATGAACTAGAAGCCGAAGCAGAGCCACTGGTCGCCATGCCGTTTCGCGTGGTGGCACGTGGTCGCTCGTAGAGCGCGGTGCGGTTTGGCGATGGTTCGCTGCCAACGGAGTGGTAGCGCTGGATAGATCGCCGCCTCCGCAGCGTCTTGGGGTCTAGCTGCTGCTCGTCCACCGGTTGCGCTTGCGAATCAGTTGTTCCAGGAAGAACTACAGCACCTGCTCCGGCTGCGGAAGATGATGTCGATTGCGTTTGCGCATGCGCGATAGTATTCACAACATTTGGGATTGGGCCCCTTGCGCCAGCACTAGAATGATTTCCCGACGGCGAGGCCGCAGATGAGGATGATGTGGAGGAGTCATGAAATGAAACAACTCCACGAGAACGCTCTCTGTCGTTTGTCTGCAGTTCCGCCTCTGGTGCAGGAACTGCTTGCTCCAGTGGTGCTGCGCCGTTCCTCGACTCTACTGCGGAGCTACTTTCAACATTACCGCCTGGCGCAGGAGCTTCCGTGTGGTCTCCAATCTGCACTTGATCTTGCTCTCCGAACGGCTGTCCTTGTTCCGTATTACTGGTGCCAGTAGGCTGCTCACTGCTCTCGCCTCGCGCTCCCTCTTCCGGCACAGTTACCGTTTCGCCGCTGTTGTTGCGTCTCGGTACCAAAAGGGAATCGTCCAAGAGGGGCCCATTGTTCATCCGCGTAACGACTAAAGAGTCTGAACTGTGGTCATCCGATCCGTCGAGGTCCTGCCCACGCGCTCCCCCGTCGTTCAGTACAATCGTCTGCACCAAAGAATCGTCCATCCCGGGGTTGTAATTGTGGGTAGTTCCAGACGCCAACATGGATTCCGATCCCAGGCTGACGTTGCCGAAGATCTGCACATGCTGATTCGACGCGCTCGCGACAAAGTCTCTCTGTTGAAAAAGGAGATTGGGTCTGTTGCCCGTAATTATGCCCGGTAAGGGTTGCAAGGCAGCAGCTCCTCCATCGTCGTGACTAGAGGAGGAGGAAGAGGAGCTGCTATCTAGACGCACGCTTTCCAAAAGGGTTTGGTTCCGTTCCTGTTGCGGTCGCGTCGCTGCGGGACGACGTTCTTCGTCCACGTGCTGACCTCCACTCCTCGGTCTGGTTGACGTCGCTGCTTGCGGAGGTACGGCAACATTCGGTCGGTCCTCTGGTGACCCCGTTCTACCGGGAGTAGTTTCAGGCTCGCGCTCGGCCTGCCGGTCTTGCTGTGGTTCTTGACCTTGTCCATCCGCTGGTTCCTGTGGCCAGTCATTTTCGTACGGGTCGAAACCCTCTCCCTCTTCATGTATGTAGTTGTTGAAGCCTTCCAGGAACCAATTTTCCGGATTGTTCATGTTTGAGTCCATCGTGGATGTGTTGCGGCGCAACAGCGCCCGGCTCGATTCCCCCGCACGCTCCTCCAGCTCCTGCTCCAAAACTGCCCGCGGAGCGGGTATCTGCACGGGTTCGTTCCCGTCGCGATTTTGGTTTTGCTGTGCTGGTTCCTCCGCAGTAGGAGCTCCGCCTGCAGTAGCGGCCACTGGCGCTGCTGTGACCTAAGGTGTAAAGAGCAAAGAAGTGAATCGCTCACTGCAAGTCGTGAGCAGAAGATCTTTCTAAGTCATCCTAGAGGTAGAGACGCTATGAGCACGCTGGCTATTGCTCCTTCTGCATACATAATTCAAATTCATCCGAATGTATGCCACTCAAAAATGGCAAGAGAAGCAGAGCCGAATCATCTTCGTAGTACCTGGTCCCGCTCATTCGCAAGAGGTGCGTGCGGATTAGAATGGTGCGCTAGCATCTCGTCCCGGGTGTAGCGGGCCGGAGGCACCTGCCCAGCCTGCACTGGCACGGGAGGCGGCGGAATGACCACGTGGGTTGTCGCAGTGTCGTTCAAAACGCGCACTCCGCGCTGATTCTCCCCTCTCGTGGTCGGGTCTTCTCCCGCAGGCCGCCCAAAAAAACCTCCCGGTGGTGCACCAAAGAAGCCGCCCGGGTGTTCGCGCTGCTGCTGCTCACCGACGTGATTAAACAGGTGCGGATTGATGGCCACATTGGTCGGCGCTCCGTTCCGGTTGCGCGTCGAGCTTGGGAACATCATTTCCGACTGATTCATGTAGTTGGACGTGAAGGCTAATGTCCCCCGATCCAGCAAGGTCAAGATCAAAGCGTTCACTTCCAGCAAGCAGTTCTCCCAGCACTCCGACAACTTCGCGTCCGACGAAAAAAACGGCACCGCCAGCTTCCGCTGTTCGAATGGGTTCTCCACAGTGCCGTCGTTGTCCAGGAACCGAATTTCGGCTGGAAGGGGATTTTGGAGGCTGTGCTGCTTGCTCGAACGACCTCCTGCCTTCGAGGAACAAGATCCGGAAAAAGAGCCTGTTGCCGCGGTGCTCCGTTTTGTAGAATACGAAACAGATCCAGACGGTGTCGACTGCGGTTGCTGCGACATCGTCACGTCCTCAGGCGCCAAAGAGGAGGACCGCAGGTTGCTGGTGCTGTCATGAGCTGCACCTTCGGTCATGTCAAGCACTGCTGATGGCCCAGCATTAGCGAAGTTGCTGCTGTTGCCAGGAGCGCCGTCGTCTCGGATATCAAGTGAGACAGAAGTCTGGAGTTGCTCGTGTAGGTGCGCGCCCGGCGCTAGTAGTGCGGATTCCGTCGTGTCAACAGTCAGCGACCGACCAACCTGATCCGTTGTGTTTTCCCCGCTTCTCTGCCGGCCATCTACTTGTTCGCCCGTCTGTTCGCCCGAAGAAGTGGCGCCACTGCTAGCTGCGTTCGTTTCTGACTGCTCCAGACTAATCGTCCCCAGGTTCCTTGACTGTCTCTTCTCCTGGTCGAGAACCATTTGGGAAACGGCGGCCGAGCTCGTCAAGTACTCGATGAGTACATCCAACCCACTCAAAATCGGAAGGTGCTGGCACCGCGTTATGGATAAATCAATGGCAGCACCAGTTGCGGGCGGAGCTACTGCTGGCGAAGACCCCGCAGCGCTTTTCGAGGAAGCTCCTGCGCCAGCACTGGTAGACGTTGAGGGTCCCGTCTCACAACTTTCAAATTGCTGGTCGGTGTAGTTTGAGTGGCCCGCTCCTGTCATCCATTGAGAGAAGGGGTCAGAATTTTGTGGGATATCAAAACCTCCAGCCCCCTGTTGCTCTCCGCCAACAACCTCTTCGCCATCAAAAAAGGGCCCTTGGAATTGCGGCGGCGCCATCATCTGCGCTGGTGGTTGCGTCCATGCACGAGGCGCTAGCCGATTTGGGGCGCCACTGCCTCCTCGCGTAGTTCCTCGATTGGACGGCGAAGAACGGCGCCCGTTGGAAGTGCGATTGGAGTTAAATGCTTCGTTGCTCGGAGCTGCAGCGTTTGCGCTTCCGACGTTGTTCCACGGCATTGTCTTGGATGTGACCAAGCCCAGCAAATCCGCGATACACTTCGCAGGTAGGTACGCGGTGTCCGAGAAGATCGTCAGCTCGCGGAAAAACTCCCGGAGGAAAGCCAGAATTTTTTCCACGAGGAACAGGTTTCTCACCGCAGCAAGGGAATATTCTCCGTCCTGCAAGAGTGAGTAGCAGACGCTTGCGTTCTTTGCGTAAGCCTCCAGGTACTGCAGCACGTCGATTCGCTCCTCCTCCGCGCCGTCAGTTCCGCCGTCGTGGTCCGCAAGTAGCATGTTGGTGTTGCTGCCATCTGTAGAAGTTGTTCCGTCGATCTCGTATCGCAAAGTCTTGCCGCGCGGCGCCGCGCCGTGGTTCGTGGAACGAAGCAGACCGCCGGTGCGGTCGGACTTTGTAGAAGAGCCCTTCATCCGCTTCTTGCCACTCGAAGTGGCGCCACCTGTGAGCGAGTTTGTGCTTTTGCGGTGCACAGGATGATCTGCAGAGTCAAACCACTTCTCGTCTTCCATTTCCATAGGCTGCGCCATCAGTCCGCTATTTTGCTCCTCGTCACCGCTAACCTCTGTGCCACTATCGAACTCATCTGCAGTTTCCGACATTGATCCGTGAATAGCACCGTCGCTGTGACTGACCTTGATGCCTCCAGATCCCGGTTCGTACAGAACCACCTGGCGCGGCCTACCACCTGGCGCGCCAGAGAGGTGGACAAGGTTACCGCTAGAAGACGGCCGGCGCCGCAAGCTTTCCCGTCTGGATGCTTGTGTTTCGTTCGCACGCGAGGCGTTTTTTTCCAGGAGTTCGCGAACGGACCGGAGCTTCATTTTCAGGACATACACCAAGTACCGCACGAGCCCCGTTTTGCAAATTGCCTCGCGGACAGTCCTGATGTTTATTTTCACACTCTGAAGAAACAGAAAGGAAATGAAAAACATAAAACATGCAAGGAGAAGTCCTTTTCAGACACCTCCACGAAGACGAAGTTAAAACGACGAACTAAAGCCGCATTAATTCCGATTTTCTTCATCAATACCAGTCGCTCTTGAGGCGGTCTGTGAGGACGTCAAAAACCACAAGAACGTGCTCGATCAGGATCCCGGGCACCAGATCCAACAAGTCTCGACTACACCGCAGGAAATCCGCCATCGTTTTCGGAATCAGGAGCGAGTTTTCGGGTGGCGCAGGAAGGCCAGGGGCGAGTTGTCGTGCTGTTCTTCTGCCATTTCTGCTTCGCGTTGGCCGCCCGTTTCCCTTGATATTACCCTCCGTCGCCGTCGTGCTTCCCATTCCTTGAAGTTGCAGTGGGTTTTGTTCTGCATTTGTAGGATTTCCAGGAACTACACAGGTGTTGGTGTACATCATCCCCGAACCGCTCATCACGTTGGTCGTGGCGCTAGTAGTTCCAGCCGCATGCGGCTTCCATTTCTGCAACACCTCGGCGGGGTCGCGCAAAAAGGCGTCTAGATCGAAAAGAGCAGCTCCGGTGGCTGCCGCAGCCTTTGCGTCCTGCTTTTCTGGTTTCGTTTCTGGAGAAAGTATTATCGCTGATGAGCTGGAGGAGCTGCTACTAGAAGCGTTCGACCCCGGAGCGATTATACTACTGCTCGGCGCTCCTGCCGCTGCCGGGGTGGCAAGTCCGACTTCTTCCTCGAGGCAAAGGGCCCACTGATCGAAGACCTGCAAAAGAACTAAGACCAGTTTCGATGAGTCGTGTTCCCGGAGCTTCTCCACTGCGCCACTCGATGATGAGGCTTCGGGAACGCTTGGTTTTGTGGTCTTGTTATTTGAGACGTCCGCAAAAAAAGACGTCGTTCCTGCGGCGCATGATGCTCTCGTGGCGCTACTTCTCGAGGATTGCTTCCGCACATTCCACGAGCTCGAGGAAGCAGTTGCGGTTGCGGCGGTCGAAGAAGACGTTGACGACGTCTGCCGCGGCGGCGGCTGAAAACCACTATTCATCTTGCCATCTCCTGCCACAGACGAGGAGGTGCTTCTAGAAGATGTTGAGGACAACGGGCGTCCAAAACCATCAGATCCCTGCTGCCCGTTTTCTCCACATAACTCCTGCTGCCCGGCGGGGTCTACTTCACCCGTCAGCTGTACCTCGTCCGCATGGTCGGGGTCCCGGAGATACGTTTGACTGTTGTTCGTGAAAGCAGCACCACTGTGAGGATCTTCCTCCTGCAGTTCTGGCACAGAATACTGTGATGCTTTGCTGCTCACGTGAGGTGCGTTGTTGGACCACAACCGGCTGCCCCAAGGGCTCCCGCCGGGCGTCGCCGTGGGACTGGGTTGCTTCGATATCGAAACAATGGTGCCTGGAGTCATTTATTTTGTTAATAAATTTCTCTTTTTGCATTTGCTCTTTACTGTATTATAATATTGCCTTTGCGTACGAATCGGTCCCAAAGCAAACCCAAGCTAGTGTCTAAAAATAAATGATGAAGTGACAAACGCTGACATTGCATTTCCTCACAACACTTTTTTCGAATTCTGTACCTGGATACGAGTACTTGCTGCCATCGCTACTCGACTCGAAGGTGAACGCGCGTCCACGGCGGGCGTTGCGGTCTGGCGTCGTGTAGTCCCGCTCGGAATTTGAAAGCGACTCTCCCCCAAACGTGGTAACCGCCGCTGCAGGGCAGCTCACGCTTGTGGCGAGCGTGGAGGAGGACGAGTTGCCGGCACTACTCGTCTGACCAGGTTGTGAAACCGCCTGGGGTTGAGCTGGTGGAGGCTGCGGTTCCTGCTGCTCGCTTGGTGTAGCTCGTTGGCTGTCCTCTCTGGCAGTAGTACTGCGATCGGATGGAGCATCGCGCTGCTGCTCATCGTGTGTTGGCATTGTATGGCGAAGTACCAAAGTGGTACCAAAAATGATCTGTATTCTCAAACAAAGTTCTAGCAGTACCAAGGCCTGGCGATGCGGCGCCCAGGCTGCTAAAGAAACAAAGAGAGCATTGACGATTTTCAAAATTGAAAGGACAACCAAAAGCAAAACGTAGTACTCATTGTTTTGCATAGTACTCACTACCACCAACATTTGCGTCGACTTTTTTCCTCGCTCTGAATCGAAGTCTCTCCAGCAGGCAGGATGCTTTTGTAAATATGGTTCCGCTCACCTATGCTCGCTCAGACCAGCGCTCAGTTTCACCTCTTCGTGTCTTCATCCCATACAAGCACTGTGGCAGGTCAAAAGCGAAAGGGGCACGGGGCGCGAAAGAAGAACAAGAAGATCAAAACGTTGATTGAACAAGAATTGTCGTGCTAAAATTTAAATTCGTCAACGGTACTACAACACAAGGCCGCGCGCATTTTAGTCGTCCTACAGAAATCGCTCAACAGTTCTCTGACACACAGGTCTCCTTCTTTCGATTTTTTTTTTCTCTGTGGCACCAGGAGGCTTGACCGCTTGAAGGTCAGAAAATGGTGCCAGACGAGTAGGTGCAGGCGACACATTCAAGGACGCGACTGCCAAGCCGAATTCCGAGCAGAAGGCGCTGTGCTTCACGTCGAACTTTTCTTCAGTGATCGTCTTCAGTTCTGTCAGGTTTCCGTTGATTCGTTCGGCCAAAGCGTTCGCCTTGGGAAGGTTTGCGCTTTCCTCGGCCTCCGGAGTGTGGATGCTGGATTTCAAGCCCGCGAGTTCGGTTTTCAGTTCTTGGAGCGCTTGGTGTAATTTTTGCAGTTGGGTGTGGGGTGTTTCACAAGCAGAGAACATGGGTTCAAGCGTCTTTGCGAAGTCGAATTTCGCCACGGTCTCGACATTATTAGGTAGGACCTTGGCAGCGAAGCTTGTGGATGGCATCATGGATTTGTTCACTTAAGTAGCGCCAAGGCCCTGGCACGGGGATTCTCGTCTCCCACTTTCTAAAAAATTTTCTGGCTACAAACACTGCGTTGCAACGTCGCATGTGAGTAACGTATTAAATGCACCTGCGCAGTGGCTTCAGAGAGCTACTCTGTAAAAGTTCTGTTTCTTCGACACCCGATTGAGTTTTTGAAACAACTGCGACGCTTCCTTTCATGTGACGAGCAACTACAGAAGAGAGCATGCGCGTCGCTCATCCTTCTCTCTGCTTGCATTTCATCTCCCCCTGGCGCATCAACAAGCATCTCTACTCTGTGAAAGTTGATTTACTGTCGAAACGTAGGCGAGAATGTCTTCCCTCAATTATCATGTGGGCGTGGCTCCCCAAGCTTAACAGCGGCGCAGGATCCAGAACGTGAACAACGGTGAGAAGTCTAGTTGCCAGATTTCAGTTTGATCGTGGTAGCCATCAATATCCCTGCGCGCTGGCTACAACAGCCGAAAAGATACAGAATAGGACGGGCGGCGCCATAACAGCGTGAGAGAAAAGCGCCCAACGACGCTCGCCGCGGCGCCACGAGGATGATGATGATGATGTGCCCAACTGCGGGGGCTAAAGTGTAAGGCGCTGGGTGACGAAATTCGCTCGGAAGCACCGCCGGCGACCGCGAATCGCCCAAAGGAGCCCGGCGGGCTCGAACAAGGGAGGGCGCACAAGAAACCCGAACAGCCCCAATGGGAGCGCGCAACGCGGCCCGGGCGGGCCAGGCCGCTGCGCCGCGTCTGCAATGCTTGCGCGCGCCACACCCGTCGCGGCGCTGACTTGAAAGAGCCCACGAAATCAGGGGGCCCCCAACAAAATGCGAAGAAGGGCGGCAATGCCGATCGGTCCAGCCGCGTCCTGCGGCTCCGCTTCCGCGACATCCTGCGGATCCGCCTCGTCCACATCTGCGGCACTACCTCCTCCGGCTCCGCAAGGGGGGCCGCTCTTTCATTCAACATCTCGCGCGCGATTGTATGTTTCCACCTGAGCAGGCGTCCCCCCCTGGCACCACAGGGGCCGGGGCCGGGGCATCGCTGGAGCCCCACGCCCGCCATGTTGTCTGCGGCAACTAACGCCCTCGCTGCCCGCGGCGAGACCGTTTCCACTGCCCACGTATCCAGGCCATTACGACGCCGCAATCGCCACGCGGCCTCGTCTGCAGTTCCACAGGCGTGGAGGCGCCCGCCTGCTCGACGAGTTCTACTGCTGCCGGACGTTTGTTCGGGAGCGCCATTTTTAGATCATGAAGCCGCGCATCAATCAGCAATGCCCAATATCAATCGCGCACCTTAATATGGATATGGCGCACAAATAAACATGCTGCTCTCATCTCTCAAAGCGACAGCATATCTCTGACACGAAACGAGTTCGGACCAACGAACGGATGTCGAGGGAAACAAAAACTTAGGTGATGGCACAAGTAGCCGTTGCTCTCCCCACTTCTCGTTCCTCTCTATGCCTCTACCTGCCTTCCCATGCGCTCTGTCATCAGCTGCAGGAACTCCAGGAACTCAAACTCTGCCAGTGCACTATAGTGGGAGCCCCCAAGCTTCATAGAGGCGCATAGATCCAGAACATGAACAGCGGTGAGAAGTCTAGCTGCCTGATTTGATCGTGGTAGAGCAAATGAACCCACGTCAATGCGCCTTGGCTACAACAGCCGAACAGATACACAACAGCACGGGCTGCGCCAGAACAGCGTGAGAGACAAGCGCCCAACGAACCTCGCCACGCCAGGCAGGAGGGACGCCGGGCGCCAGGCATGATATACAAGGCGCCGGGCACCGAAGTTCGCTCGGAAACACCGCCGGCAACAAGCCGCCCAATGCAGCGCGACGGGGCCGAACTGGGGGGGGGGGGTGCAAGACGCCCGAACAGCCCGGCGGGGTGCGCGCAGCGCGGCCCGGGCGGGCAAGGGCAATGCGCCGCGTCTGCTATGCCCGCGCGCGCCACGGCCGTCGCGGCGCTGGCTTGAAAGAGCCCACGAGATCCGGGAGCCCGCGACAAAACTCGGAGAAGGGCGGCGCCGCCGCCCTTTAGCTACTTCAACAGGCCCGCGCGAGGTTCTTTTCGTTGGTGCGTATGTGTTAGATACGCCAGGCGGCGCGCCGATCGTGGCGACACAGACGTCCGGCGTGGTCGATCGCGCTTGGTTCCATCGCCCGCGGAGCCAGGCCACTAAGACACCGCAAGCGCCACGAGGCGTCGTCTGCAATTCCCGAGGCGTGGCGCCCGCCTGCTCGACGAGTTCCACGTTTGTCGGAAGTTTCGGGCGCGCCATTCTTAGATCATGGAGCGCATCAATCAGCGATGCCCAAGACCAATCGGATGCTCGCATCTGATGGACATGGCGCACGAATAAAGATGCTGCTCTCAGTCTCATCTCTCAAAACGCCAACATATCTACTCTGAAGACACGACACGAGTTCGGACTCACGCATGGAGGTCGAGGAGGGGCAGTCACTTACGTGATGGCCATGGCGCAAGTAGCCGTTGCTCTCCCCATTGCTCGTTCGTCTCTATGCCTCCCCGCCGTCCGCTCTGTCATCAGGAGGAACTCTGCCAGTGCACTATAGCGCCAGCCCCGTTAACGTAACAGCAGGAAGCCGTTTTTCAGGGAGCGACGCCATCAGGAAAAATATATCAATTTTACAGTACAGTAACGCCATCTCAGTTCTCTTTGATTTCATTCTTCGGTACAAGTCAACGAATTTGAAACTTGCGAAAAAATTCGCTGCTCCATTGGGAAGAAGGATATTATACATAGTGAGTGGTTCGTAAAATTAAAACTTTGAGCTGTTGCTGTAATCCCCAGCATCGAAAAAAGTCCGCAGAAGAAACCATAGAGCTCCATCACTGCAAATTTATTAAATTCAAATGCGCTTCTTCGAAGGTGGGGAAGGACAAAAGCTATCCTACCTGACATTCTGCTGGTACGGCTTTATACTTGGTATCAAACTGAGAAACCTTCTCCTCCACCTGTTCTCAGTCTGATTCGTTGTTGAAAGAGCCGAGTTCTTTTTCATTTCTGCAGTGAGACTTTCATAAGGATAAGTGTAACTTCTGCAAGGTGAGGTAAGTCAAAATTTTCAAATTCGCAAGCTGGTGTCACCTGACAAATCATGAAACAAGTCTTTGGACGAAATCCATCGTATAATCATTCATTAATATCGGTTTACTTTACTTTTCTGATTCTCTATTTTTTCGCATTTTGTTGTCACAATTTGGTTTTGCATTTTCAAGATGGATTCTTCAACTTGAGAAATCTACCCAGGCTCGGCTTTCCCGCCAAGAATTCACTCGGGCGGTGGCTCGGTCTTCCTGGACTTGGCTTGCAAGCGGAACAGCGTCTCCTTGTGGACTTGACTCGGGTAATTGCGGTTGTAGATGGGCATGTTCACGATGGATACCATCATCGGCTCATAGGGCGGCGCCAAGCTCACTTTCCGCTCTGTGTTCAATTTTTCGGGAAAGGCTAGATGCGGTTGATAAAAAGACGCACCACTTTCATTCGTACACATCATCACGAAGAGAAGAGGAGTGCCTTTTTGATATAAGGCAAGCAAAAAAAAGCAGTACTTTTCGCCGCCACCCTCCACATGTTGCTGCCGTCATCCATGCTCTTGAGGGAGTTGGAAACCGGGGCTGCGTCCTCTTCAGCCAAAATCTCCTGTACGAGCCCACACAGCACCACGTCTGGCAGAGTACCATCGCCGTACACACCCTTCTTCTTTCGCTTAGAAACTGCGGGCTCACGAGCTTTAGCCTTCGCCTTTGGCTTCGCTGCTGTTGAGAAGATATGAAGACAATGAAGATATTGAAATTGATGTCATGATGTTTCAGCTTCGCATGCCATTGACAACATTCAACATCACAACGAACAAGTCAGCGAGTGGATCGCTGTGAACGTCTACGTCATCCTGTCGAACTCGAAGTTGAACAACATAAATTTACTTGCACCACAAGGCAACAATTGATTCAATAACACGTACATTTCGACTTGGCACCGCCACCGGCCGGCGCTGCGGCTTCGTGCTCACCCTCTAACAAAACTCCGTTCAATTCGTCCTCGTCCAGGTCATCTTCCTCGCTGCTAGCCTCGGACTCTTCGCTCTCTACATCCTCCTCCCCGGCTGCTGCCACGACGTAAGATGATGAGGATGACCCGCCGGTGGTTTCGTTTTGCTTTGCATATTACAATGAAAAATGCCCCCTCCCCATATCAAAGCGGAAATCTGTGATGCAGATTTGTGGTCACAAATCAGCTTTGTGATGCTAGGAGGCAAAAGATGCGGACTGTAGTGCTGTCTAGTAGGGAAAGCCTTGCAGCTCCAGGATGACAGGAGGCAACTGGAAGTGGGAAACAGCATGACAGATTACCTGCAATTTAGGCCGCAGCTTCGTCTCGTGGCCTTCTAGCAATACAAGTAGATTTGTGTACTCAAATACAGCATCACAAATTCGCGCATCTTTCGTTTCCGATATGGGGTGGGGGCTTTTTTCACTTTGATATTGCACTTGATGATGATGCGGTAGCTGCTGCTTGCACAAAACTGGGCAGTTTCGTTCGATCTGCCATCTCTATCGCGCTAGAGCTAGAAGATGTTGCGTTGCTGGAGTGGTTTGCTAAAAATTCTAGGTCAACTTCCTCCGTTGCGTTCTTGGAACTGCCGGATGGACTGCTATCCGGACTGCTTGTGGCGTTGCTGGAATCTGGGGCGCTCGCTTTGTGTTGGCCCTCCCCTAACGCTTGGGTATCACCTGGTCCATCGACTGTATTGTAGAAACCAGAAGTAGGACCAATTTTTTTTTTTGCAATATCATCGAAATGGAGATCAACCAATGGCAATGCCCCAATTAATTCATCACTTTGTTTCTGAGCACATTCCGTGCGGAAGCCTTTGCTTCTATCAATTTGACGACATCTATCGTGTACGCGTAAGAATTCCTGTACCTCGTTTCATCTGCATGTGTCGCGCGATTGCCTCCTCGGCGTTTAAATTTTCGATCGGGGGCTGATCACTGACCATCATTGCCGCGGGGTTTCGTCGGTACGTGCGCTTGTAGGTGGAAATGTCACTGTGCTTTTCCGGCCGGCCCTCGATCGAACGACGCACGTTCTCGACATAGTCTACCGTCCGGGCGTCTAGTGGCGTCAACTGGCACAACATGCCGTTCACGTCCACGATGAGAAGTGCCTGTTAGAAAGATGTTTTGTAACATAGACGCGCAACACTTGGCTATTGAGGCCATTTTCGTAAACCAGGTTTTTCAAGTTCCCTCAAGCTAAACCAACCAATGGCCACTGTCTTTGTCATTTTTGCGCTTCGACTTTATTCAAATCGCCGTACCTGTTCCTCCGCCACTCCAAACGGCAGCTCCCCGGTGATCAGGTTCGGCAGGGGTCGTTCGAGCGAGTCGCCTCCGAGAAAGTTCATACCGGCACTCATGGTTTTGCTCATCATGCTGCTTTGCCCGGCCATGTACCGGGACCCTGCGCCGCCCGGCTGTCCCGGTTTGCCCTGATCCCGCTTCTGTCTTGCCGGCACCAGCTGGCAAATCCACGCCCGGTCACCGAGTTGCTTCAAGATGTCGTACTTGGTCTCGGTGGAGTAGGTCATGAAGGTTCCGAGGTCGCCTCGCAACATGTATCAAAATGAAAAATCCCCCCTCCCCATATTGAAACGGAAACTTCTGTTGCTTGATTTGTGTACACAAATCAGCCCTGTCTTGCAGCGAGGCACTACAGGCAAAGCCTCAGCCTGCGTAGGGGTGTTTTGTTGTAGGCTCTTGGCATACGAGAGGCCTGCCATGTAGGCGAAACAGCATTACAAATCGCCTCCCTAAGGCGGCGGATTCTTTGGGTTTGCCTTCTTGCAAGACAGATGTGATTTGTGACCTCAAATCCGCAACACAAATTTTTGCAAACATACCTTTTCGATATGGGGAAGGTGGATTTTTCTTCTTAATAACATGTCGAAAATCATCATACAGAACACGGTCAAAATCGCGAGAATACCCAACGCGTCGCCCAAACTTGACAGACCGACCTCCGCTACGGAGGTGAAAAGCAGAATCAGGTATCTGTCGTGGTGTGTTTACTTGAGTTCATTCTAATATGTTGATCATTTCTTGAACATGCAACCGAAAGTTTGCAAACAACGCCGTCTTCATCTGCGTCAATGAATTGAAAACTAAACTTCGAATTCGACATAGTATTGATGTCTGAAAATAATACGTGCCAGCACGTAAAGAAGTACATTGATCGCAGCAGCAGGTCCACAACTCGGGTAAACCGGAACAGCACCGGGACGGAGAAAGCTTGCGCCACCCAGAGCGAAAAGCAGGACATGAAACACGTGTAGATGATCAACCCCAAGCTCTTCGAGAATGCGCAGACAAAGGTGATGTACATCAAAGCCTGAAATGGCGAATTGTACACGTGTCCCAGCTGAACCGCCTGGGCCAACGCAATGGCAGCGCAGTCGTCGCGCACGGTGGAGTGCACCACTTTGTCGTCGTTGAAGGTCACCGCTAGGACGGAGCTGTAACCTGGAATGCGATATTTCTATGATCGAGGACTGCAAAACATTTGATTTCGAAGTGGTTTACTTGCACTGACCCTCGACTTTTTACAGGTTCTTTTGCAGCAGGATGCATATGGATATGTAGTTGCTCAACAAATAAGTGATAAAGTCGTCAACCTCCGCACAACTTACCTTGCCGCGCAGCCTCGAGTTGCAGCACGAGCTGTTGCATAATCCAGGTTCGCATGGGCAACACCGTCGCCTTGAACAGAAAGGGGTCCTTCTCCAGGTTTTCCGGATTATCGCAGACGTACTCTCGGTCGAAAAGGTCCACAAACCAAAAGTCAAACTGCTTCTCTACCCCGGCCAGGACCAACGCCCCCGTGATCGGGTTCCGTTCTACGAAACCATGGTAGTAACTGAAATGAATAGTTCGAAAAACAGACTGTGGAAGAAAATACTTAAATGGATCATCAGGATACCTGTTTCGAAGGAACATCAACATCGATACACATGCAGCGACATGCAGATCCTGGTAGCTAAAAACATCAAAATTTAAAATTTCTTTACTCCGGCGGCAGCTGAATCGGTGCGAGAATGGTGATTCTGTATTTGTCTTTGTAGGCCTCGAAGTTTTCCATGATCCGGGGAAGCACCTGATTCCGATTGTCCCAACATTGGTCCGCGGACTTGCGAAAACGGAGTAACTCTTGCTCGAACTCTTTCTGCTTGTCCTGGTTCACCATGGAACACGACGAAAGCGACTTCTTCTCCATCTTGGGCGAGGGTGGAGCGGTGAGCTGGAACGCGAAAAATTACGAAGAAGTTCGTCTTTATTCACAAGAAGTCTCCTCTTGAGTGAAGCCCGTGGCGGGGTGCAGGACGTAGCACAATGAAGACTGACAATCAATAGGGCGTCGCCGTAGACGTTTTTCACGCGACGACTGAAGAGTAGGGTGTTTCTGCTTTGATGCCTAGAAGGAATCGTAATTTGCTCCAGAGGTATTCTTGGAATCGACGGAGACGAGTGCTGCAAAAGGACGGAGCCACTCACATCGTCATTTTATGGTTCTTCTAGTGCTGAGGTGTCACCATTACTACTTAGGGTTGAGAAGCCACTCTATCCTCGGAACATGCATTCAATAAAATTGTCACATATCGTATGCACATGCAGGGTATCATACCGAATTCAAATTTCTAAGGTAAGTGCGCACACTGTAGCCTTGCTGCTTTTCAATTTATTTCAATCAACGGGTGCTAGCGTCACACATAAATGTACTCGACACAAAAGCAACTCTCTCACTTCGCCCTCGCTCGATTTTTTCGCAATTTGGATATCTTTTTGTTACGAAAGCGTCGTATCAATGTTCACTCCACATGCTCACAAAAATCGCTCGTCCAACGGTCGCTCGTCCCACGAAAGTCCTTAGCTCAGCTCTCACTCCTACAACTCGGTGTGATGCAAAGAAATGCGATGACTAGTCGTTCGGTTCGAGTATCGGTTTCGACAAGGACAATTTGATTCTCCTGTCATATAAGTACTGCGATTTCAGTCGAACGAAAAACACTTATGAAGAGGATGGACAATGTTAGACTAGGGCAAACGAGCATAGCCTCCGAGTCCAAGTCGACAGACTTCTTTGACTTATGTCAATAGCATCATAAGGAGCGAATGGAGAATGATGTTCGTGTATGCTGATAAGTATTTTGCATTCTACTTGCAAGCGAGTTTGTTATGCCCCGGGCGTCTGGGATCAGAGCCTGTGATGAAACTGAACTATTGAAACTATGCATGGTGTCAAAATGCACTGATAAGATGATGGTCTCAGTTACAGTTCTGGCGTTCGTTCTTCCCCAATTATATTCGAGGTGCTTAAAAAGTAAAGAAAAAAGGCGCAACTTGAAAAAATGCTCAGGACCAAAAAAGTGTACATTTTCTGTGCAGATGTCTTGACGTACAGAGACGAACTAGGTAAAAACTTGTCGACATGGAAGTATACGTAAATTCAACTGCAACTGCTAATGCGCATGGGGTAGTTAGTACACATACATTAAAAAATCGTCACCATCGCGAAACGAGTGAACAACTTTTGTACATTATCCTGGCGCAGCACTTCTTACCGTGCGTCGTTGTCAACGCGGCTCGTGACCGAGACAAAATCGCTCGGCTCTTCTTCGTCTCCCGATTCGAAAATTAGAGTCCTGGCAGATGCCGAAGAACCTGCAGGAGCTCCGTCGTTGCGCAGTGTTAATGCCCCGCCGCCGCCCTGTGGTGTGTTCGAGGAAGACGCTATCGACGGACTGCGCCCCGGTTGTACAACTAGTGAGGATCCGCCAGTGGGTGTAGTATACGTCTCTTCCGTTTCTAGCTGCTCCATCGGCTGAATCTGGCTCAGTTTTCGATTTTTTCTTCTCGCTGGAGACGTAGAGGTACTAGGCCCGGTTTGCTGGCGCGGCAAAGACGCTGAAGAAGTAGTACCCGCGTTCACTGGGGTAGAGGTTGCGTTAGTTTTGCTTCCTGCGCCGCTTCTTGTGGACGACCAGAAGTTTTCCGAGGAAGAGGATAAGTTGGATGTCACCGCCAGAGAACTGGTCGAAGACCCGCCTGCAGTTCGCGGTCGCTGACTTGAGTGTGATGTCGCTCCTCCTGCTGGCTGTTGCTGCGAGTTATGTCCGACAAACGGTCCAGCCGCTCCGAAGAACTGTTCCATCAACGACTCCCCCTGCTCGCCGGTGCTTCCAGGATCGGAATCCCCCGGCAGAAGTCCTCCGTGGGGAGAAACTACGGACGAGTACTTGCTTCCAGTACGTTCGTTGACCTCATTCGAATTATCTGTAGTCTCATGCGACGCTGTCGTTCTTGTGACGTTATCGCGTGCAGGTCGGGTTGTTGTACTACTGCTACTGCTACTTCTAGCTCCGTCTACCTCCGACTCGCACTGCGGTATTTCGCCGTCGCGTTGCAGCCGATCACAAACCTTAGTGCCATGATGGTTGTTGCGAGAACTACCCTGAACAAGTTGTCTACTTCCGCTATCTGTATTTGCTCCCGTAGAACTTGAAGAACTACTGCTGGAGGAAAAAAAGGCGTTGTCAGTTGTGCTCGAGGACTCTCCTGCTGCTCCTACAGCCTGACCTGATCCTGAAAACGTACCCGCGATGGCCCGTGCCAAAGCGGCCTTTTTACTGCTCGACGACGGAGTGGACGATACTTGTTGAAGCCCACTACCGTGGTCGTGCTTAGGTAGATATGGATGCGACGCTGCACTGATCAAGACTTCACTACCTCTTATGTCCTCCTGTAACCAATTGCACGGCAGCTTTCCTCCCTTACGTGGTGGTGGGGCAGTGCCAGCAGTCGCACTCTCTTGCAGAAGCTGTGTTGACGTTGTTGCAGGAAGGTCTATTAGCTGCGAGCCGCTCGTCCGAGATGCTGCTGGTTCTTCGGTGGCATGCGCTGCTGGATCTTCCTCTTGGCCGCCTGCAAGAACCGGGCCTGTTTCTACTACTGTTGTATCATCTACTTGCTCGTTGGCAGCTGCGATTCCACCGTCAGTGGTAGTTCCGTCGCTATTCAAGTCGGTAATCGCCCTTTGCTGCCTTGCAGCGATGAACTGTGGATCTCGCAGTGTGCGGCTTTCGATGCACCGTAGGAATTCTATGTCCGAGTCGCTCTCCTCAGGCAACCGCGGCCGCGTGTGAATACCGTGGTAGATGTCGCGCAAAACGTCCCCCGAACTCGCTTCATCCTGCCAAAAATCGTTAAGCGAAAGCGCCAGGCGAACGGGAGGAAAAGGTAACGAGAGTGGGCGTTGGTTTCCACCTGTTGTACTACTCATGGAATCTTTACTGTCTCTTTGCTCTACGGTAAAATCTGTCTCCGCATCGTTGTCGGAGGTACTATTTCCCCTTTGTCTACACGACCGCGTATTGAGGTTTTCGTCAACGTCGTCGAGATCGTGGCCAGAAGATCTACTTCCTCCAGATGCCTGGTTGACTGCCAGCATGTGACTCGGGCTGCACGCAGCTCCTCGACCATTTGGCGGGAAAGAACTGTTGGTCCTTTCAAGCTGGTGAAAAAAACCTGCGCTGCTTGTCCCTGTGTTGTCGTACAAGTCCTCACTTAAACCACTCGTCCACAGTCCGGTAAGAACCTCTTCGTGTTCAATCGTGGTGCTTCGCGACTGAATATTTGGGCCCGCGTTCCTCGGTACGTTCTCCCCTTGATCTAAAGTAGCAGCTCTGTTTCGCCGCGGCAGCACGTTCCCCGCCCAGTTTGCGATACAGGAGAGGCGCGTGGCGCGCGCCTGGCCAGGTTCGTCTTGATCGGTCGCTTGTAGTTGTTGTGCCCCAGCAATGTCGTTATTTCCGACCAGTTGCAGCCCGCCGCCTTGTTCGTCTACTTGTTGTACGCCGGCCTGGTGTCCTTGCGCCGCGCCAACACCCCCACCTCCATCTACAGGTAGCCTTCTGCGTGCAACGGTCGGTGACCGTGCGGGAGAAACAGGATTGGCGGTGTCAAAAATTCCGCCGCTGTTCACTGCACTGCTAGAGTTCTCTAAAACCGTCGGGCCATCCTGCGAGAGGACAGCAGCACCACCACTAATACTTCCAGCACCCTGAAGATCTGTACTAGACGCGGAACCCGCTCCGTACAAACCGGAGAGTGTTTGCACCAAGCTCGGCGCGGAATTCGGCGTGATGCTCTTCAGCATTTTCGAACACTTCGCCAAAATCACCGACGTCCTGGTTGGGTACGATTTCGCGTAGGCCCGCTTGATTTCGTCTGTAATGTCGCAATACCGCAACAACTGCGTCGGGGACATCCGCGCCCACTCGTCCTCCGCGACGATCCCGAGCTCGTCGAACGCAAAATCGGTACTGAACACCGTGAACGGCGTGATACTATTGACGCCCCGTGGCCAGAAGTACTTCATCGCTATGGCGTTCTCAAACGTTACATTCTCAACTGTTACATGATTTTGTGCTGCAAGACTAGCACAGGTGAGAGGGAGAACCTTGCGCGTCTTGCATTACAGGTTTGATCCGGATTGCAGTGCTATTTAGCCTTCCGAGAATTTGTCATGCGAAGCAGCTTGATCGTCTGGCGGGTCATCGTCATTTTGCATGACAAATCATGTAACAGTTGAGAATGTAACATTTGAGGATCCCATAATCGTGGGCCAGAAGTTCGGCCACGCGTCCGACGTGGCGGCGCCGTTCGCGCGGGCGGAGAATATTACAATGAAAAATGCCCCCACCCCCGAACTTGAAAGCATTTGTATTGCAAACCTTTCCAAATGAAACATTCGCGCTTTTGCATCTATCAGCATCACAGGTTTTCAATCGTGAATAGCAAAAATTTGTATTGCAAAAGGGCCCAGAAAGAGCGGCACTTGTCATGCAAGCGATGCGATATACGCCTAGACTCTGCATCAGAAAGATCCATACTCCTTCCATGCATGACAGAAAGTTTTCATTTGGAAACTTCGCATCACAAACTTTGCACTTTCAGGGGTGGGGGGCACTTTTCACTGCAATAGAGAAGGCGACCAGGCCTAAGCCGAGCCGGAGCCTCAGCATGTCCTGGAAGGACAGGGCCAGGGGCTGGGTCGTGAAGGTAAACATGCGAATTTGCCGGCAGGAACTGGAGATCAGGTCGCACAATTCCCTGACGTTATCCACAAGTTTTATCCGCCGGAGACGCAAGTGCAGCAACCGCTCCGGGTGGTCCAGTTGGGAAATCATGGTGCAGATGTCGCTCGCGGAAAGCGGAGGGAAGTCGTTGGAGGTCGCGTGACCCAGATTGCAACTGGCCAGCTGCACGCTCCGCAGCTTCGTGCTGCCGCACTTGAAAGAGATCTGCTTGCGTCCGTTGTCGGCGCGGAAAGCGAGAAACAAGTGCTTCAGGTTGTACGCATGAGTCAGATCGGGGAGCGTGGTTAGCGAGTCGACACACAGCTCCTCTAGCAAGCTGAGGTTGAGCCACTTGAAAAGGTTGTCGGTGGTAACCTGTTGGTAGTGTAGTTTTGTTGCACATGAAAAAATCGAAGAGAAAAACGTACTTAAAACAACTTTTAGAACATTCATGATGATCCACGCAAAAACGAATCAGAATTATCAAGAACCGCAGTACCTCCGGCAGGATATTTTTGCGCAGCTTTTTGCTCATGTCGAGGTTGATTTTGAAGTGTCGGAGCTGGTGGAAGGGTCGGACGTCCATCACCAGATTGGTCAAACACAAGGAAACCACGTGCTGGCGGTTCTGTATCGGCATCCACTGGTCGAACTGATCCTTCGTAACTAAATTCGGTGCCAACCGCAAGTGCGCAATCCGCCTCTGCTCGTAGAACTCCTTGCAGGTCATCGCCAAGTGGATCGCATCTTTCAAGTCCAGAAACTCCGACAAATGGTAAAAAGGCAACTGCCACATCTCCGGACCCTTGGTTACCTCCTCGTCTCTAAATTCCTCATCGGAGGTTGTAGAGAGGAAATCCTCCGACTCATCGTCGTAAAAATCTAAATCGTACTTCCCGTCCTCATAAGCCTCTGCTGCGCCGGCGGATAACATATTTTTGTTCTCAACGTGGTGCAGGTCATCCTCTTCTTCGCAACTGGAACTGGTTGCGGCAAGTCCAGAGAGCGTTCGCTCGAAGCTGTTTTCCTCGGGTCGATGCGCCGTGGCATCAAGGGCTCCGACGCCGCTGTTTCCTTCTATCTTTTGATCTTCTTTTTGTGCTGACAAGTTGTGACTCGTCACTGCCTTGTTTCCCTTGTTTGCCCTAGTAACTGCTGGAATATCAGCGAGCCGTAGTTCCGCACTACAAGAAGACGCAACACATGGACGATTGCAGTCGAATTTATTCTTTGCGCCTGCAACCGTGGTCGCGACACAGGAGGTTGTGCAGTGCTGCTGCTCCTCCTGTTGATCCGTTGTTATTATTTCGTTTTCGCCCACCCGACGTTCGTTATCAACTTCAGAACCAGTGGCATTTCTCCTTTGCTTCGACAGTCGTCGGCTCATTCGCCTGCTTCCTCCTGCGCCTGGAGGACGTCGACTTTCTCTGACCCTTACGTTGTCACCATTACTATTCTGGTCGGCCCGCTCCGGAGAGTCTACTTCTAAGCAGTCTTTCCGGCGCACACCCGTACTAACCCCGAACAAGCTCTTCGCTGTGCGCTGCAGGGAAAACGTGATCTTCCCCATCGTACGGGCAGAGGGCGGGCTCTCCAGCGGTTTCTTCATAGTACTGCCAAACAACCGATCGAAGAACTTCAACTTCCTCGGGGACTGGCTCGCGGCCTTTTGCTGCGCTCCCGCTCGCCTACTTCTGCTCCCACTACGCCTGTTGACCGCCCGAGGGGGCGGAGTTGTGAACAAGTGGTCTTCTGCCGCAATCAGCGGCTCAGGCGGAGGTGGGCCTCGACGGACGACTACTTGTGCTGTGGTTATTTCCTGTGGCAGAGAAGACGAGCGCTGTTGTAGCGGTGTGCTGTAGATCATATCGGCGACGGGCGAATGAAAATTTTGGCTCGGCGTGTGATTTCCGAAGTCATGTTGTCCTCTTTGACGAATGTCATCCGTTGGTGTACTCACCGTCAGATCGAAGCTCGTCGAAGTCAGCACGAGCGCATTTGAAGGTGGCCGGTCGCTTGTTGAAAACATGCGCCGCTCTCCTGAACCGCGATCATCCTGCTCCCGGTTTTCTTCTACCGCGCCGTCAGCCGCGTAGCTCCCCTGCTCGTGGTCTTGTTCCACGAACATGGTACTCATCTTCGGCACAGCCAAGTAGCTGTTTGTTCTATCTACGGCGTCGAAAAATTCATCCTTTCTCTAGCTCCCGGCTCCACCGGCAGAGGCGCAGGAGAAAACAGCTCTCCGCTGCGGCGCTTCATTTTCTACACTAGCTACTTTCTGCCGCGGCCAAGCTCTTCTACATGTAGATATGGGTATACGTCACGGGAGGAAGCATTCGCGACACCGGGGCCGGGGGATCACCTAGAAATAAACTTCTGAAGATGTAGGGTAGGCGTATATGAATTAAAGCCTTGCTTGCTAAATCGAGAAAACATAGGATTTCGCATTCGGGTTCCTGTGGGATCTGAAATAGAGATAACAGACAGTGAAAGTCATGGTAGTTTCGAATGAAAGAAGTACTGAGATGGTTATTTAGATGTCGGCTGAAAAAACGAAAAAAACCGAGGAGATGATGGCACGACCGAGGATGAGAGATGGCGATGCTGAACGATTGTGCCAGGAGAAGGACGACCTGCTGCCACGATAACCGACGGTTTTGTTATTTGCTTCATTGTTCTTGATGCTGCACGGACCGACGAATTCTGGTTTTGTATCTTTCTAATGTACGTGGCTAGTCGTTGAACGTGTACCTGTACGAGTACGGAAAAAAACGAACGAAGAAACGAAGATCCTTTACGAAAAAAAGAACGGACAAACACAGTACATTCAGTGGTCAACACTGTAGTTTCTCCGCGCAGGTGGTCCCGGACTCGGGTACTATCCGTGGGACTAGAGAGTAAAAAGATGTAGAAAGTAGCGTGGTCGGAAACAATGGTTTGTACAAAGCATCCCTCATCCTCGCGTAGCTGCGTTCCGTCCGTGCTTCCTACTACCGTCTGATGCTCTGTCTAATATCCCTAGTATTGTAAAGTCCTATTTTTTTGTACACGTGCATTTTGAAAACCTTAGAAACAATATCGTCGGAGCACTCTCGTCGGTCCGGTAATTTTTCAATTTTAGCGCGTGGTGCTCGTCTTCTTGGTTCTGTGCAAGGTCTGTGGATAGGAAATTTCTGGTCCATAGTGTCTATGATCCTGCTCGGTAGACACGACTGTTTTGCGAACAAGAGGTGTTAAAGCGTCAAGATTTTTACCAGGTTTTACTAGTGTACTAAAAAGTCTGATGATGAAACGGTGATGAAACATGAACAGCCTGCTGTGATATCTGCTAAAAATGGGTCAATTACAGACTAACACCAATGCAACCTCGTCACGGTGCTAAAACTGCTATATCTGGATTACAACGAGCTGCGGTCTGATTGTCTGATTAAAAGGTTGTCAACAAGATTCAAAATTCAGAGGAACGTCAACTGCTAAACGGTTGTTATAATGAAGTCATAGTCATCCATAAACAAGAAAGTCAAGAAAGTGTGTAAAGACGGGTGCTCTGGTACCAATAGTTTCGCCCTCCGCCAATTATGCTCCTCCTTGTTGCGCCCGGAGAACGGTGGAGAAACTTGACAAAAGGTTCAACATTTTTCTCCCTGCTGAAGCTGTAGAAACAACTTACTTCTTCTTCATCGGGGTGGCGCCACGCTTGGGGGTCTTGCCCTTGGCTCCCTTCACGAAGACGGGCTTGTTGCCGGTCTTCACGACGTAGGCAACCAACAAGGTCAACACAACCTGGGTCATAGTGTATTTTGTTTTACATCATGTTCCACGTGAGGTAACCATTATAACACAATAAAATTGTACTTGCTCGTAGTCGTACTGTAGAATCCAGTTCATAAATCATTCTATATTCTCATTGCATGACGCGTGGGAACCAAAAATTACCTGGATGCCGGTCTGCACTTTCATCATGAGGGTGTTGCCCTCCGGCATCGTCAGCGCATGAACGAACATGGCCAAGAACAGAGTGTTCGTGAACAAGATCTGCTTCATGAAGGACATCAAAGGCACATCGAAGAACTTCGGACCTGTATGTTGCGATTTGTTTCTGCGTGACAATGAATCCACGAGCGCAGACACAGTGCATGAAAAAAAAAAAGAAAACACGGTAACTTCTTCTTGGAAGAAATTCCAAACCCATTGGGATCGGCACATATCAGAATCCAATAAGCTGCAACTTCTTACCAGCCAGCAGCGTCAGGTTGGCGATCCCGGCACCGCGGGCCCACCAGTCGCCCATGGGCGGCAGGGGCTTGGTCCAGTAGATCATCATGCCGCCCGGAGAGTAGGGTCCGAAGAAGTAATCTGCGCTGTACATCATCTGCAGTGAGAACATGCCGAACATGACGCACATGAACGTGTACAATTTCTGCCCGAGATCCATCTTGGCGAATTTTTTGTTGATAAAGCTTACCAACAAAAGGTGTGCTGTTCTCCCTTATTTCTTTCCCTTTCGGGCTTTCTTGTCTTTTCCCCTAGTTTGTTTTGGTGCAGAAGCGCGATTTCGGCTGCAAGATGTTAAAGATGTTCCGAAAAGGTTGCGAAAAAAAAAAGATTGCGCGTTAGAGTTGGTGGTGATTGATTGAGAAGGTAGTTTTTGGTGCTCGGTACTAGTAGTACCTTGTTGATGGGCTACGTTTGTGCTTTCAACGACTATGCTTTTGTAAACCGCCTCCCGGGGGGATAACAGCTGCAGTCCTGCGATGATTATTTTTTGCACTTGTTCCTTCTGTGTGCTGACGAGTCTCTATCAACGAGGCGATGTGTGTGGGTACGATGAACGGGGTAGGTCTATCTCACCAGCTCAATTGGATAGTCGTGATAGTTCAAAATCCACCCTACGTATCTATGATGAGAATGGGATTATGGTAGGAGTGGCACGTAGACGCCCCGTCTTTCTCTCACGTCTATTGTTCGCAAAAAAAGAAGACCGACACCCATACGTTTTTCACTCAACGATGTAGCCGCGCATTTGGCCATAGAGTTCAGATATCTGCAGCTGTATACATTTCTGCAGCGACAGCGTTATAGTGAGTTACTAATTTACAGCCGACGTGTCATATTGAAAAGCTTCAGAGTCTTCATTCGAAAATCGCTCTGCGTGAACACTTAAGGCAGGTTTTCACAACATCTGCAGTACATTTCAGAATGAATTTCTTCCCGACTTTCGCTTATTTTCGTTGTTTTTTCATACTTGATCCACTCACTGTATCTCAACTTCTGGTCGACGCTTAATGCAGCCTGTCAGAACGCGGTAGGTTCTTTCTTTCAATTTCCATTTTCTTCAGACGACTACTTACTTCCAGGATCCATTCCTCGTAAGCAAGTATCAAATGTCATCTTCTCAACTGCACGCAAGAGTCCTGCCAGCGGTGTCAGTTCTGAAAGACAGTCGGCGACTGACAGAAGGGCTGCTTCGCGTCACAGGTAGGAAGTCAGCTGCTGCGACGAGCGTGGTGATATCGCTCTTTACGATGGAGCAAGCTGCGATCGGCAGGTCCGGCCTTGGAACCAGCTATATAATATTGGATATCACCAAGTACTGCCTGCTGCTGCTTCTCCTCATCCTCAAACAATATCTGTCGTGACTGCAAGTCAGGACGTGCAGCCAGTCGCCCAGGCAAAACGCCCTGCATCTCTGATCCAGTCTTAGTCCTCTTTTTGCAGGTGGGGGAGGAGGTAGAGTGTGCGGCGCAGCTCCGCCGCAGTAAGTAGCTTCCAAAGACTCTATTGCAGCTGCTCGAAGAGCACTATTCACTCGGACGCCCCAGATCGAAGGGATATGTGAGTGGAAAAAGTAAAACAACGCGTGCGATGCTAGAATCGAAATTCGCTGCGTGATTTCCTGGCCGCGGGGCTACCGCAGTAACTACAGCTCGCACTTCTTCGTCGAATATTCCGTGGCCCGCTTTGACATTGAAGGGATCCCGTTCCTGGCGCATGTTGGAACGCCCGCGGAAGATATCTTCACCTTCGTCGTCTAGAGGGGGGGCATCATCCGAGAAATGAAGTCGCATCGTAGCTGCCAGGAGATCAAATCATCAAGACCCATGCACCGCGTAATATCATGTGCAGATAATTGAAAAAGTCGCTGAAGAAAGGATGGTCGTGGACATCAAAGCACGTGGTTTCGTTTTAGAACACGAGCGTGCCGAGCATGGTGCCGAGGATTTCGAGCACATTTGTCGCGATTAACGACTCGGATTCCAGCTCTAGTCGCTTCTTCGCGTCGACTTTTCCCACGTTTTTCACGGCGATTTCGGTGGCGGTGAGCGTAAGTTCGTCCCGGATGGTCTCGTTGTAAGCCTTGGACAGCTTCGCGGTATCCTCCAGGCTCTTATCCGTTCGGTCGTGCTGGTCCGAGAATTTCCTGTGCGGATGGCGGATGAACGGTGGAGATAAATTTTATTACAATATGGCCAGCAGATATCATAGGCACCAGTACTTATCTAAATCGACTGATGAAAGGGAGAGAAACCAGGACAAAAGCAAAACCAAAAGGCTGCGCAAGCAAAAAATATACTCGACTCTGAGCCCTTCGGTCCAGTCCTTCTTGCCTATGTGCAGCAGCATTTTCTGCTCCAAGTCGTTTTTTCGGTAGTTGATGCACAGGGAATAGTAATGCCTATTCAGCCCGTGGATAATCGCACTTATGCTGGGCTTGTTCAGGTGACCTGATACGAAGGGTTTGCTTCATATGCAACTCGGCCCGAAAGAGATTTCGTGATTCTGGTTTTCAAACTAAAAGTTTTCATGCACATGAAATACACTTTATCATCAACATCTTCATCCAAACTGAAAATAAATGGTCGTTGCCGTTTGGCCTATACCAACGTTGCTCGTGGTTTGTCGCGGCTCTTGTCCGAGCATGAGCAGTTGCGGATTTATGAGTCGGAAGCAATCGATGACGACCTGCAGTTGTGATTGGGTTCATGTCCGAAGTAAGGACAAATTTTGTTTGACGAAGACGACCAACTACCTGAGTAAGCACTTACTTACTTTCCACACCCATGCAACATGCGCATGCGCTTGTTTTTGTTTTTCTGTGTTGCTATCACAAACACGTATTGATTTATCCTTCCGTTTACCTTCCCTCGCACGGACTGTACTGGATCAACGACAATGCCGACCGCACGCGCATTCAGCTGTTCAAAACTCTGCTGCGTGTTGATGTCCGTTCCAGAAAACCAGCACCCGAAACCTGGGTGACTATGGTACCACCCGACGACCTGAAGTTGAGTGTTTTATTTCGCATCATAACGTCGTTGCGCCGCAGTTTCGGTTTATTCTTCTTGTGTCGTGGCAGCGTCATCAACCAAAGATTAAATAAAAAACCTGTCATGATTCTATCTGGAAAACGAGACCGTAATCTTTTTTTTTTGAACTTCTTTCTGAAAAATGAAAATGATCCATCAGCATGACATAGATATTACCATTTCTTGTCGTCCGGTCTGCTTTAGCATGTCCAACATTTTTGTCTGGAAAACTGGGTCGACTGCTTCTACCGTCACACTGTTTCCGCTCTGAGGCATGGAGAAGACGTCTACTATTCTCACTGTGTAGTCGTCCACGAACTCACCCAGCATCAGACCCATCACCTAGATGATTTTTTATTTTTACTCTAAATCTAACTCTTTAGCATGGTGCATAAGCAAGAAAGGATTTCAGATTTTCATTCTGCAAGTATCAGTTCCAGTTGCGTATACGCACGCGAAAACCTATCAATGAACCGTACTGCTCTGCTTGAAAATAAGTGATTTTTCCACTCACCTCCATTGGTATGCCCGCGCGACCGTGTCGGAGCATTTTCAAGAGTGCGAGACTACTGACGTACACCTGTTCGCTTGTATCTGGCTTCGAGACCGCTTCCTGTTGGGGCGCACCACCGCCTCCTCCGCCGCCCTGCATCTGCCCCAGCAGTTGCTGCAGGTTAAAGCCGCCGCCTTGGCCTGCCATGATGCTCTGACTTTGTCGCTAGGGGCTATGAATCAATTTGCTTCGATGGCGGTGATTTCTCGTGAATAAATTCTACTTTCAAAAAACAGGTAGATGACCACGTGGTACAAAGGCGAAGCTCAGCATCTTATTTTTAGGTTCTTTTTCTTTATCGCGAATCATCAAAGTAAGTTTCAAAATTTCTATACGAGGTGGTGTCGCTGAAACGGAGAATCAAGCTATTTAGTCAGTCTTACTGTTACTCCCTACTAGCCTACAACAACGCTACTACATGCGCTACAGCTATTTAAAGTCTGGCTCTGGCACGAACATAGCTAGGCCATAAACTACCGGCTGATAAGATCGTCTCCGCTTTCTTGCTCTTCATCTGCCTGACAAACGATACTACTAGAAAAGATCTCCGTCTTCAGTCATACTCGTTATTCGTGGATCCTTCTGATTCGCAACTAATATCACGCTGCGCAGACACGCAGCCTTGCTAACAACGCCGAGAACATATTTTCCTTCTAGGGGTTGCAAGCTCCTGCTCAATCTGCAGAGAGAGCAGCGCAGCGCAGTGACGCTCTCGTAGTTGTCTTTTTTTTGCTTATGATTTTGATTTCTTTATCTTTGGTTCTTTTTGATACAACCTTCCCCGATGCAGTGTGAGGTTCAAGAATGGATAGTTTGTTGCCTGGTGCCAAAGGACTGAGCTCGAACGTCGAGCGAATCCCGAAAGCAGTTATGTTGAATAAAGTTCACTTCTACTTATTCATTGCGATCCGACCAACGATCATCTTCCTCCCCCTTCCAGATTGACATCCACTGAAATTGTTGCCTGCGGCTCCGCAGAGTATCAGGATCACTGGTGCTGTACTTGAGTACTGCTTTGTTGATGTAGACTTGCAGAAGTGCGCCGGGACGCACGATCTGCAAGTGTAGAGAGAATCTGACAATTTTTGATGCGTGCCCGATGTGTACTACAGGACTGCCGTGGTAGTGCAGCTAAAAGTTGTTCCAATGTCCCAGAAGTTGTTCTTAGCTCGTTGTCCGAAGTAACGGCCAGTCAAGTTTTCTTTTTCTGCTGAAGCCAGAAGAAAGCCACAAGCTGTTATTTTCATTTTGTGAAGAAGGAAAAGCGACGTAGGAAGCAGAAGTCGGTCCGGTGGACTCCCAGAGAGACTGCCCTCGGCATTGCTAGAAATCCGAAGCTGTGGTCCGGAGGCGACCAGGCGGCTCGATTGCTCTTGAATGTAGTGTCATGATGAACGAGACGAATCCAGTTCCAAAGGCGCTGTGTCGTGGCGCGTTTACCTGTATGTAGAGTTTTTACAAAAAGGATTTATATCGCACCACCCAGAAACAGCGACAAACTGTGAGTATCAATGTCACGCTTACGGCTTCTCATAAAAGTAAAATGTGTCTAAGTAAAGCCATTTTTACCTCTTCGCCACGGCATGCTTCTGCACCCATTCTCGAGCAATGCGATCGTGCTCGCTTTTGTTCTTCTGATAGAGGTCGGCGATTTCTGGGACTAATGGGTCCGAAGGATTGCACGCATGCAGAAGCGAACTGATAGAGAGCAGGATTTTCCCAACATTCAGCGCTGGACTCCACTGATCCTTGAGAATGTCAAGGCAGATAGAACCTGTTTTTTTTTGTATTGCATCACATCTTATCAACATCAAAGCCAAGCTGCTAAACCTGTTCAAAGAGGACACGCCTTCACTTATTTTCTCTGACAGAAACTCAAACTTCAAAAAAAGCTTTCTCGTATGCTTGTATAGTACCGTTGTTGTTGATGTTGCAGTGGTAGATTTTTGTGACAAAGTGGACTTTTGGCGGCTTGAAGGGATAGTCGTTTGGAAACTGGAGAGAGAGCTCGAAGAGACCGCCCTCGTACGGACTCTCTCCCGGGCCGTTGATGAACGCTCGCCACTGGAAGAGGTCATCCCCCACTGGTTCTGCTACGCACCCGCTCGGTGGGTCATTGCTGATGTCTCGCAGCTCCTTCGAGAGTCGCTTTGTTGCCATTTTGTGGTAGAGATTCTGTGCGTGATCAACAACAGAGATGGATATTTACTAGACGGTCCTGTCTAGTAACAACTACCGAGAGAACCAGAACTTGATTTGACAATACGTAGATCTTTATTCCTGGTGGAAACTACAAAGTCGTGCTGTTCTAATCAGTATCTTTTCTGTGAAAATCGAATACAATTACAACCTAGTCAAAGCTCAACATCAACGTGCAAATATTTCTTCGATTCCTAATCCTATTGGAGTTGGAATTAACAGTAAAAATGCGAAACAGGTTATGGAGCTCCTTCTTTATTCTTTAGTACACAACGATAGATCGTCTGCGAATAGTACAAAATCTTCCAGGATTAAATCATAGTAATCAGGTGCGTGAGAATGAGTATGAGATGAATGAGTTTCCTGCAGGTGATTACAACAGATTGAAGCTTCGTTGGACCACTTGGGTCGACACTCCGTGAGAAAAAAACGAACCAGTCCGACCTCCACCTCGTTAGTTTCTTTCATGTTAAATTCTTGATTTCAATTTCTTAAATTCGGCGCGGTCATTCGTCATAACTTATGTTTCAGCTCCTCTAACTATATGGTGGATATCTGGCTCTTCTAATGGATTCAGAATTGTTTTGTGGATTTTAGTTGTTGAGAGTGGATCTCTATTCATGTCTCGCTGCATTTTCAGCCTTGAAATCGATTTTTTTTGATTTAATCGTGGACTTTTATTTCGTGTGGGTCAACCTCGAAAGGCTGAGTGGTCGCATTGTCCGCACAAAAAACACCGAAGCCGATTACAATTTGAATCTCGAACATGCTTCTACTTCAAGTGTACTGGAGTGGGTGCAGCATTTTCATTTTCATGCCTTTGCGTGCCTGTGTTTGATACTATTTACATGGGAATTATCAATTCCGTGCTGGTGCGTGGTCTGAAAAAATGCCCGATGAGTGTGTGTGTGAGTCCATTGAAAAGTTCTTTGAACATTACTCCACCAGGGACAGGAACAAAGGTGAGGGAATGGATACTTTTACAACTATGAGCATCATGCTGATGTTGTCGCGTGTACATTCAAAACTAGAAAATGGGGGAGATGAGATCATACAAAAAACCGCTTCAGTGACAAAGATAATCCGGATCCGCCTTCCTTATTTACAAAAGTCTACAGCGGTCCGAAAGACGATATATATCGACGAAATCGTCCTATTTGTATTCCTCTTCGATAGCAAGTATTTTCGCCCTGGAGTCTTGCAAAGCTTCCAAGCCGTCTGTCCTTGCAAAGAGCGTGTTCGTTGTTGCCCGGTTGTTGAACCCTCGCTGCTTGTCCGGCCCGAAAACGGTCCCCCGTGGCCGCCAGGGCCGCGTTTCGGTTTCATCGGGAAACATCGACACATAGGGCACACCGTATGCTCCTGGACCTGTTTTTCAATTTCACAAGACGACAGTGCTGCATTAACGAAAAATTTTCTCCGATGCACTTTCTTTCATCAATCTATACACTTCCGCACACCAGCACTCCTCAAAAAAGAAACTGCTCAGCATCGCATGTCGATGTACATGTAGACTAGATGTAGCATCTACATCTTCATATGGTCGGAAAAATAATAAGCTGCATCGATAAACAGATGCATTTAAGTACTTACCAGGTCTCCAGTCGAAGCCCGATTTTCCTTTCCACCTCTCGTCCATGGTAAACCCAACGGACGACGCGAGGCGAAACTTCGACACGGGTTCTTTCACTCTCTTCGGGTCGATCTCCCCAATCCGCTCCACATTGTACCGCCCCGGACCTGTTTGTCATTGACATTGTCGACAGTTGATCCTGCGAAAAACACGATCCAGATCCTCGAACTCCCACTATATATCTCTATTACACTCAAACTCATAGCATCCAAGAAAGTGAAAGATTTGACTCATGCACACATTGGCACCGTTGTATTCCAAAAAGTTACTGAGTCCACTGAAGATGAAACATGAATACCAACGAGCGGCGGCATCTCGCTGCCCTCGTGGATCGGCTTCCGGTGGTTCAGGGACATGAAGTCGCCTCGGAATCGCCTCCCCTTGCGTCTCTTTGGAACTTGACTCGCGTCGAAGCCGGCGAAAACGTCAAATTTTTCCAATACCAAACCCGGCGTTGATGCGGGCTGCGGAACCGAACGGTTTCGTGCTACGTGCTTGTTGCTCTTCACGTCCAGCTGTAAAATAATTCGAGAGCGGAAAATTGCTAAAGTGGAACTAGTGCAGCTTGGTGTGAAGCGTACTAGTCTATTTGCTTTTGCTCAAAGATCATATAGAACCGTCTAAAGAACAGGAAGTAGAAGGAGCGAATTCGAATGCACCCTCTGCGCTATCAAAATCTCAAAAATCACAATCAGATAGAAAACTACTTTACCCATGTCCCCCAGGTTTCTATCGCGCTGAGTAGTGGCTTGGTTTCACCTGGATTCCTCGTTCTGGTTGTAGTGGCTAACCTGGCCATCCTTTTTTTGATTTTTTCATCTGCCTCGCCTTCCTTGTTTTTCGCCGGGGAGAGGTGAAAGGAGATCAGCTGCTCCGTTTCCCGAGAAGGACGAGATGTCATCTTCTTGTTTCAGCTTTCGAATCCGAAGAACGTTGCGAATCTTTGACGTCGTGTGTTGACAAACGGGAAAAGTCAAAGCTTTTTCAGGTAGCAATGGCACGGCAGAGCAGAACTATTTCGGAAATAGGTTAGTGGCAGTACTTATTCTCGCTAGAAGAAGTACCATCAATCTTCAGTGGGTTCCTGTTGTATGACATTCAAGGTCAAGTACAATGAAGAATGCTAGTACGGTTAAAGCGACGATCCGAACGAATGTATGAGTGAGAGAAGCAACATGATGTTCCCCGACCGTAAACGACCTGAACGAGTGTCAATCCCCATGAACTACTTGTTGGTGATGTTGAACGATTTTCTTTTTCGGAGACAGCGAACGTCCGCTTCTCTTGACTGTGTACGATTCACGAGGTTTTTCGATTCCAGACTAGGCGATTAGCGGAACACATGTGAAGCTGTGGAGCGACCGATGCAGTACACGCACTTGCTTCTGATGCGGGATTGATAAAATCCTTCTTCTCGTTTCTTCAGTGATGAGAATGACACTCACACGACAAACAAGCATACATTCGGTTTCTAAACTGCCTATTAATTACTTAGGTACTACTTACGTCACCTGCGCCGCTCAGTGGTGAAGTCGTAACTTATGCATGTACAGTTCGTTGTGTCTCTCTCAGTGGTTAAGTACGACCGATTGATTCATGCAGCATCACATAAAATTTTCCTGGCGAGTCAAACTCAGAGCCATCAACAAAGATTGGATACAGTGAAAGCATCTAGCAAGCTGCAACATAGCTTGTCTCAAACTACAGTTTATCTTTTTAGAAACTTGCATCAACACACGACGTGCTGCTCGTGCTCTCCCAAATGGCGTCCGACTAACTATAGTCTATAACGCCCGTAGGTGCTGCACGCGGGTCGGGGAGAACAGCCGGCCCTTGATGGGCACCCCTTTCAAATGCTGGAACTGACTCCGGTACAGAATGGCGTCGCATTCGTGCGCGGAAAAGTGATTCGATCGCAGCACCTTTCGCGCCAGCAGTTTCACGTGCGCCATGCACTCGTTTTGCGGCAGGGGGACAAAGTATTCGCCAATGTTTTTGATGCTCTTCAGGAGGCGGTGGTTGGCTGGATTATCCAGACTGTCTGGGGTATTTTCTTGTTCGTTGCCTGCCCCGCCCTCCTGCCCAGTGGTGCTGGTTCCCGCGCCTTGCGCAAATGCTGCTGACGTCCCCGATGCAGAGGTGCCGGTGGCTGGGGACAGCTGGTTCTGCTGATTTCCATCGACAGAGAAGCCACCGTCGGGCTTTACTTTGCTGTTCGAACGGCGGAAAAAGAGCGAAGTTTCCCCGCAGAACACGCAGTCCAAGCCCGTGACGCGGAGCAGTGGCAGGACGACCGGGCGAAAGATAAATTTTCCCCACATTACACTCAGAGTGCCTTCCTCCTCCGACGGCTCGGCCAATATGCGAATCAGCGTCTCGCGCAGCTCATTTGTGGCCCGGTGTACCGACTTCTTCAAGCTTCGCAGCAACGAATCGTGGCGCAGATCGTTCTCGCCATGATCGCCAGAAGTACTATCCTGCTCCGTGGACAATGGATCGTCCGGATTCACGAAGTCCAGCACTGGCCGCAGCACCTCGTGTAAAGCTGCCGACACCGCAAGAAACACCGAGGTCCAGCTTCCGTCGGATTGTACGCGCTCTTTAGAAGGAGCTCCTGCTGATGTCGTAGTACTTCCAGTAGGGGTTGCAGTTTTCGCGTTTATCTTCCCGTCGGCTATTCCCCCACTCGACGCTAATCCTGCAAGCTCACCGTCCTCGGTGCCGGAAGAAGTAGCACTACTAGAGGCAGAACTACCCGCTTTGTTATTTTTCCCGCTATTGTTCCCACCCTGCTTGGAGTCTTTCCCCTTCTTCTTCGAGGTATTGTTATTCTTTTTGTCTTGCTTGGTCGATGCCACGGCGGCGACCGCTGCTACGTCGTCGGTCTCGGTTGCGCTGGACGCGGTTCCGTCGGCGTCCGACGCGGAGGTTGAGTGATTTTCGGGATAGATTTTCTCAAAATCTATCAACGCTGCGGTCTTCGATGTAGCAGTCGATTTGGAGGAATTCACTTGAAGCGAAGACAACGGTAGGCGCAACAGCAAATCCCGGCACGCTCTGATTCCATACTCGTTGTTCCAGTAAAGCCCGACAAGTTCGGCTCTTTGCTTGTCGGTCAACGCACGAATCACCTGCTCCAGCTCCGACGCCATGCCGTCGACCTGAATTCATTTCATTCCAACATTCAGTCTACAATTCAGTGCGCTGCCGCTGCCGAAATGCTAGCTTCTGCTAACTGAAAATAAAAGCTACACAAAAACTTCTGAGTGGATTTTCCGTTTTCGATTTCATTCTTTCATCAAGCATAGAAGTTGAAGTACATCAAGGACAATCTACCAAGCAAAGCATCGTACGAAAAAATATGCTGAAGACTACTAGTACCTCTTCCTGCGGAAACGGCATGTCCAACAGATTGATCTCTTTTGCGTGAAGACAGAGAATCCGGTCGAGCCGCGCTTGGTTGCGGTCCACCTGAGAACCCCCTCCCGTGCCGAACACCGCCGCATCCTTGCTCGCGAGTTCTTCCGGCGACAGCCGGTACTCGTGTATCAATTGATCGGCCTTGTCCGTCTCCCCAGCCGCCTGCGGGGACTCGCGCAGCTTCTTCAGGCGGCGTTTCCTCAACTTCCGCCACAGCTTCGACGAGTCTAGCAGGCTGGCCTCAGAGGAACCCTGTTGTTCCGCATTCAAAGCTTGCGCTTCGGCCTGCTGGGACGCAAGCAGGTAATCCTCTAGGTACACCGAGACCGTGAAAATGATTGCCAGCAGAATAAACATCCACCCGATCCAGCTGTGCGGCCAAGAATTGAACAACCACGCGATCACGTTCATGATTTCGTTCGAAGTGAGCAAGCGAGAAACCGAAGCAAAAAAACCCAAACAGAGAAAGAAAAAAAAGCCTGGAAAAAGCGACTTTTTGTTTTTTAAATAACGCTAGATTTGTTGCTTTGTACCCTACGGTGTATTAAGGTCGCGCCCGGAGGGCGATATTGGTAACCAAATGCGTGCGCGAAAATCTAACCAGCGCGAAGGCCCACCAACCTTTTTCTAACATCGCCGCGGCCCGCGCCGCGAAAGCGCGGCCCTGCGGGCCGCGCTTTCGCCGCGCAGCCGCCGCCAGAAACGAGAAAAAGCACCATTTATTTTTAGTTTCTAGATTCCCACTTCTTCTTCTTGGGCGGACAACTACTGTCGCCCGCGGCGGCCCGCAGGCTCCTGCGATAAGCATTGAAGGCGAAATCCGGTCTGCTATTGCGCAGCGGGGCATCCTTTCTCGCCCCCTGCATGACAAACTGGCCACCTGGCCAGGAAGATATGTGGCCGGGGGGGGGCAAGCCCCCCCCGGACCCCCCCCATCCTCCTTCGCAGCGGGGCATCCTTTCGATGCCCCCTGA